TTTTGCGCCCGAAGCCGAGACAACTCGGGACGCGACGCGCCGTGACCCCAGTGTTGGCGGCTGTCGCGGAAGCGCCGAAGGGAAGGGAGGTAGAGGTGCCGCCCGACGACCACAAGCCGGATGCGGACGAAGGGACGGTGGAAGTTGAACCCGATGGGCCTCCGACTGTGGCTGGAAGCGCTGCGATGGAGGAATCGCCTGAGTCAAAACTCGCCGAGCCCAAACTCGACGAGCCAAAACCCGACGGACCAAAACCCGCAGAGCCGGAACTCGACGAGGCGAAACCGGATGATGAGGAGGAAGACGATGCGGTCCTCATCCACGAGGGGTCCGACCTCTTCGCCGAGGATCTCGAGTCCGAGATGGCAGTGCTGCCAGACCTCTCGCTGACCGCTGAGGGGAAAATCGAAGACTTAAAAGTTGGCATGCCGACTGGACTGCCGCCCGAGGAAGCCGCGAGACAACAAACGCGGCTACGCCAAATCATCTGGAAGCGACGGAAGTGGTTAATCGGCAAGGGCAACGCCTTGCCACCAGCCGCCCTGGGGGTTGTCTGCGACATCGACGTGGGCGACGCAAAAGCCGTCGCGCAACGCGTCCGAAAAATCCCGCCGTAGTTCCGAGAGAAGGTCGCCGACTTGATCAAGGGGCTGCTGAGCGAGAGGATGATCCAGAAGTCAAGTCACCGTGGGCGTCGACCATTGTCGTGATTATAAAGAAGAACGGCGTCGATATCCGGCTCTGCATTGACTACAGGCTCATCAATGGGCTGACGCAGTTGATGGTTTACCCAATGCCGCTCGTCAACGACTTGATCGAAGACTTAAACAAGTATCTGTGGTACTGCTCCCTCGACATGGCGAGCGGCTTCTGGGTCGTCCCCATGACAGACCGGGCCCGGCTCATCTCGGCCTTCATCACGCCGATGGGACTGTACGAATGGCTGCGTATGCCGTTCGGCCTGTGCAACGCGCCGCAAATTTACCAACACTTGATCGACAACGCGCTCTACGGGTTCATGAAGCTGTCCCCGGATGGCAGCACTCGGGACATTTTTGGTGAGACCAGGTATTCACTCCGTTCTGGGACGGAGGTCGTACATCGACGACATCCTCATCGGGGGCACGTCCTGGGACGACCTGTGCGAGAAGGTGGAACGCTTGCTGGATGTCTGCGAGCAGTGGCACTTGTCCATCAGTGTCGAGAAGAGCGAGTGGGGTATGTTCAAGGTCGATTACCTGGGCCACCGAGTCTCAGGACTCGGTCTCGAGGCGAAGCCGAAGAATCTGGAGTCGCTGACGTCGCTCGAGTTCCCGCGCACGCTCAAGGGCCTACAATCGTTCTTGGGTAGCCTCAATTACTACCACCGGTTCATTGCAGACTTTGCGGTGTATGCAACCGCGCTGTATTCGCTGATGGAGACCGACTTCAACGAGCACGTCACGCGTCCAGAAGTCCGCGGACATGATAAGTGGACGCACGCGACGCGCGCCTTCGACGCGCTCAAGGCAAAACTCGCCGAAACCCCAATGTTGAAGCACTTCGACGCGAACCGAGAATTCGTCGTGATCGTGTACGCCAGCGACTGGGCCATCTCAGGGGTGCTCACGCAAGTCCACGACGATGTGTACATGCCTGTTAAGTTCACCAGCCGTACGCTGAAGCCCAACGAGCTGAACTACGACATCGTCGAAAAGGAGATCTTGGCCCTGTTGCGCGTCTTGAACGAGTGCTACACGATGCTAGCAGGGAGACCGGTCCGCGCCTTGACACGTCACACGACGCTCGCCTGGTTGTTCCGGTCCAAAAGACTACAGGGGCGGCTGTCACAGTGGGCCGCGATCCTCTTGCCGTGGAAGCTGGAAATCTGCCGATCCATGAAGGGAGAAAAAGAACTCCTCGGCACGCTAGCCGCGAGTATTACACCGCGAGCCTTCGTCGATTCGGCGCTAGAAGAGATCGCCCTACGGAAACGGGCGTCCAGGATTGTAGTCATTCCAGTCCCCGACGTGGCGCGCGACGAAGTCTTGCACGTCTTGAGCTTCGACGGATCGGCTAAGGCGAAGCGAGAAGGCGGAGCATACAGTGCCGTCATTTGGCAGCTGCCGAACTGGGAGATCATGCGCGCCGCGTCGGGATATGCGACGGACCTCACGGTCAACGAGGCGGAATACCGCGGGCTGCTGCTCGGATGTTCTCTTTTAGAGGAACTCGACGACGTCACCCGACTCGTCGTGTGCGGAGACTCCAACCTGGTCATCAGGCAGATGCGGGACGAGATGGACTGCAAGTCCCCGGGGCTGAAGCTGCTGCGACGAAAGACGCGAAACGCACTCCAGGCATGGCCGCGCCACGAACTCTTCCACGTACGACGAGACTGGAACGCGAGTGCCGACATGCTGGCTGGACAAGCTCTGCAGCGTCAAGGAGGCCGCAACGCGCACAGCCCCGAGCAGATTCAAGATCTGAAGACGCTGAATCGTTTGGAAGAAGTCATCCGACCACGGGCATCGAGTCCCGAAATGGCGTCTCCAGCCAGTCTCGACGCGGAAAATCTCGACGCGAAAACGAGCGGCGCAGATAACCCCGTCGGGAAGGCCATGGACGCGGGACGCGGGACAGCACAAGTCCTCGCGGTGGCGACGCGCTCGGCTGCCGCACGCACGACAACACGTAGGGGCCGACCTCCAGAAGTCCTGGAGGAGCTAGTGGTGCAACGACTGCGCCTGGACCGCATCCGCGTCGCCCAGGACGAAGAGGTCTGGATCGTCAACCTCAAGAAGTATCTCCGCGGCGACGTCGGAGACCTATCTCGGCGCGAGGTGAAGAACTGCCAAAAGCTTGCGCCTCAGTACGAAGAGGGCGAAGGCGGGCTGCTCTACTACCAGCCGAGAAGCGACAATTCCGCCGAGGATCGCGATGTGATGATGAAGCTGGTGATCCCGGAGACTCTTCGGGAGGATGTACTCCACCACTATCACGCGAGCCTGGAAGGCGGACACCAGGGTATTGTCCGCACGTACCAACGCGTGAGGCGCCACTTCCATTGGCCAGGGATCTTCAGAAGCGTCCGGCGCTACGTCGGCGAATGCACCGACTGTGAGACGGGAAAGGGTCGGCCGACCATCCATGGCGAGTCGCCGGGCAACATCGTCGCGACGTACCCGTTCCAGGTCATCGCCATGGACCATATTCCGTCGTTGCCGGCATCCTACAAAGGCAACACAGAGCTGTTAGTCTGGGGCGACCTCTTCACGAGGTTCGTCGTGGTAAAAGCGAACGCGTCACGAACCGCGCAGACGGTGGCCGAGGCGTACGATGAGGCGGTGTTCAGGAGCTTCGGCGCGAGCGAGGCTATCCGCCACGACCGCGAGCCGGGCTTCATGTCCGACTTCTTCAAGGCGTTCAGCAAACTCATGGGTCAGAGACAGCGAGCGACGCTCGCTTATCGCCCCCAAGCCAACGGTGCTGCAGAACGGATGGTGCAGACGGTCACAAGAGCGATCAAGATGTACACAGCGGACGTCGACTAACGCGACTGGGACGAATACGCCGAGCGTCTCACCTTCGCGCTAAACACGTCGCACGACCGGACGAGGAACGAAACCCCGTTCTTCTTAGTGCACGGCTGGGATCCTCGGTCGACGCTGGAAGCGACGCTGGCCGTCGGGAACACGTCGACCCGGGACGCCGAGGCGAGGCGGTGGAGGCTCCGTATCCAGCGACACTACAAGGTGGCAAGGGCACAAGCGTTGGAGTTAGTCCGAGAGGCCGTCGAAGAGAGAGCGCATCGACAAACTGAAAACGCGACGCAACATGAGATCGCGACGGGCTCGCAAGTTTGGCTGTACCTGGATCGGGTGAAGCCGGGGTATGCGCGCAAACTCGTGCACATGTGGCACGGACCCTTCCGCGTCGCCGAGCTTGTCAGCGCGTTTGCAGTGCGCCTCGAGACGGCGGGTACACCCTATCAGCTGTACCCCGTCGTCCACATCTCCAAGCTGAAGCCCGTCCGGGAATTCCCGTCGCGACCCGCGACGCAGCTGACAGTGCCGGCCGAGGAGCGCTTCGACTTGGACGAGGAGCTCTTGCCGGAGGATAACTGGGAAGCCACGCGCGAGCTGGAGGACAACGTCTTCGAGGTCGAGAAGATCGTGAACGTGCGCGAGGGGCGGGCTACCCGGTATGGGCGCACGCGACGCGAGTTCGAAGTCAAATGGAAAGGCTACCCGGACACGACGTGGGTCGACGAGCTCGATCTGAATTGCGGCGGGTTGCTGTACGACTTCCTGCGCCAGCGCACGGGACGCAACCGGTTCGAGGCGATGCAGTCGCACGAGAACGCGGAGGCGGTGGAGCCTGGTGGGTGAGCGCCCACGGGTGCGACTAAGTCGGCAGGGGGGCTGCCGACGGGAGGACTGGTGAGAAGCCTCGACTCTGGGAATGGCCGGAGCGAGGGATTGGATGAGGGAAGTGAGGAGGACCAGCCTGTTGCTGTGGAAACAAGGGAAAAGATCAAGGCTACGTGTTGAAGTTACGGCTACGACAACTAAAAGCGACGAACTACGACGATGGGCCAGGGGTCAAACCTGCTGGACGAACTTACCGGCAAGACGCGGGACATGGAAGGCGGGGTGATCGCGCGTCACTCGGCAGCGTACGCTGGCGTCCATCTCAGCCACGGTGAGCGGCGTCCGATAGAACCGACGCCAGGGCTTCTGCGCGTCGATGTCGTCGAGCGCGGCTTGCAACGTCGCGTGCTGGAGGCCTGGATACCACCGTCCGATCGACGAGTGCGCGGGCGGGAAGTGAAGCATCATCGGGTCCAGCAAGAGGTCCATGTCTGCAAGCCCTTGCTGGAACAGCCCGACCACCAGCTGCAACAAGCTGTTGAGGTGGTTGCCCGCGTGTGAACGACGCGAGTTGCGCGCCGTGCGCCATCTTTTCCACGCCGGACCCTGCACGAAGCGTTCATGGGTGGACTCCCAGTACGCCTGAGCCTAGTGCTCGATGTGGTGCCGGAGCCGACGTAGGAACGGGCGGAACGCCGCGTCGCCGGATGCGAAGAGATGCGCCTCAGCGGCTTGAGCGAGGTACCGCCATGGCCGAGTCGCGTATAGTGCTTCGACGTTGGCCGGAGTCACGAGGGCGCGGTTCCAGTTCGCAGGCGCGGGGGGAACACGGCGTGGAATGATCCAGCCGGACGGCGGCAGGAAGAGCGTTCGTAACTCCTGCGCTGTGATGAGATGAAGGCGGAGACGTCGTACCCGCTTGGGCCAAGGAGCGTAGCGAGGCTGCCGCCAGCCAGACGGAGTTCCGGCAGGCGGAATCACAGGATCGAAGAAGGGCGCCGCAGGAGCACTCCCCGCCGAGTCGCTGGAAGCGGTGTTCGAGGACGAGGCGCGGGACGACCTGGAAGCGGACGAGTCGTCACCACTGGAGTCGCCCGAATCGCCCAGACCTGGGCCCGGTCCAGCTCCGACTGCCGCACGGCCCCTCGGCGAGGTGTGCGTCGGCCGTGCAGGAGAAGAGTGACGCGAGGCCGCCGACCCCGCCGAGTGCACCGGCCCCGCCGAGTGCGCCGAACGCGCTGAGCCGGCCGAACGCGCCGACGCCAAGGAGGGCGAGCGTGGGGGCGAGCGCGAACGCGAACGAGAGGCCGAACGTGAGCGCGGACGCGAAGCAGAACGGGAGCGCTGGGGTGTCCGGGAACGCGACTGTGAACGTGGAGGCGGACGCGCCGGCGACCGTGAGCGAGACCCGGGGCTATGCAGCCGGCGACGCTTGGACTGAGCTCGCCGCGCTTGGTCCTCACTGTCCGAAGACTCGGAGCCGAAGAGCGACGCGTCCTCTCGTGCGCGCGCTGTAGCTGCAGCGGCCGCAGAAGGCGTAGCTCCAGATGAGGCCTGCGCAGCGGCTTTGTCGGAAGCCGCAGTGTCGGCCACGGTAGAGGGTCGCTGACTACGTCGAAGGGGCGAAGAACCGGACGACGTGGCGGACGCCACTCCTGACGGCCTAGACGCGCGTGACTGAGAACCCGAACGACTCGACGCGCCGTGTCGAGGTCGCCGAAAACCCGACGAGGAGGAGGCAGCGGACGAAGTGGCAACGTGGACTACTATGTGCTGCGGTACATTTCGCACGAGCGTGGAATCACACACGTGGGCTGCACTGACTTCTTTTTCCTAATGGTTTTGCGTGGAAAACGGAAGATCCGAAGCAGCAATCCGATCACCTCAATGGTACATGTGGTCGCGTCAAATGGGGGTCATTTCCGTTTGTATTTCTTCCGATATCCGGCCGAAAACACTGGAGCTTTGTTATTGTGGAGAATGCGTTCCAACCGGGCCCAACAAACATTAACCACACTGACTCGCTGAAAGGAGTTAAAAAAAAACTCCGTACATCTTTGAGGATGTGAAATGGTTTCTCGTACAGGAGAGAAAACGGAATGCACCTGATCTACTTTCTACTCCGTGGGGACATGGCATTTTCTATATCAAGCCTCAGCAAAACAACAGTATTGACTGTGGTGTATACGTAATGCACTACATAGCACGAATTTCCAAGGAAATTGCGAGACTGTACAACGCGAAGCAAGCCCCGCACTGCATCAAAAACAAGTTGACAGAGTGGACAAGTGGTTTTAACGCAGGTGCTCCGGACAACTTTTGATCTCAGCTACTTCAAGAAATCCTTGCCGGTGCCGATAAAGCACACAAGAAAAACAAGTTGAGTTAGCGCTGTTAGAGAATGTTAAATGCGTTCAAATGCATGACCTCTGTGCTATCTCAATAGCTTTACACGGTATATGCACTAGCGCAGACCTCGTATTGCTGTTGAGCTGGTATTACCATAGTACGCATTGACCTTCCTCCACCGCTGCAGCAGCTGGGCAGCGGCCCAAAGACCACAGCACCTGCGACTGCCGGAGGGTGAGCTTCTTGGGCGCGAGTTGCTGCTTGGGCACGAGCTGCTTCGGTTTTGGCAGCTCCGGCAGCGTCTGCCGGTGTGCTTGAGCGTGAACTTGAAGCGGCGACGGCTTGAGCACGAGCTGCTTGTGCGTCGACTGCTGGAGGCGTGAGCTGCTTGGACGCGGAGAGTTGCTTGGGCTTCGGCTACTTAGGTGTGAGTTGCATGGGCGCGGACGGCGGCTTGGGCGTGAGCTGCTGCTGGGCTTTGGCAGCTCGGGCTGCGTCGGCCGGTGCGGCGACGGCATGGGCGCGAGCTGCTCGTGCGTCTACTGGTGGAGGCGTGGGCTGCTTGGGTGCGGACAGTTGCTTGGGCGTGAGGCGCGGCGACGCAGGCAGCTTGGACGTTGACGGAGATGAGGAAGTTCGTTACTTCTGGTGGGCTCTGAAATATAATATGTTAAATATCAGATATGCTAGAAAGTGGTCAAGAATAACTTGCCAAGACTTGCTCGATTCGCGACAGTGAGACACACGTTTGTACACTTGTGCAGAGCTGCCACAACGGGTCAAAGCACCCACAGGTTATGGTGGAATCACTGCACTGCTCAGCGATTTCCCGGGTTTGTGGTGCAGATACAGATCTATGGTGGAGTTACAGGTCTGTGTGGTATAAGTAACGCGTCCTCATACGGCGATAAATTATCAGTACGTACAACCTTCGTACGTATTGACGTTAGGTGCTGCATGTGCTTTAAAATTTGTACTTTCGGACGGAACTGTCCTCCTACAGATCCAAGTTTTCATTTTACAAAGAAAGGGTGAGTTTATACCATTTACTATAGTAGTTAAGTATTTAAAAGTGCAAAAAAAAATATTTCCGAGTGTGTGAAGAAAATTGCAGAACAGGTTTTGAATTCGATCAGAGCGTACAGTACTTTTTCTACGGTCTACTTGATCACGTCTGCCATGCGTTGATTTTAACGACGCCAAGCTTACACCTGGCCAAGCCTCAGCAGAGTGCCTGTTGTGGCACTGGCACGAATCCTATAGTATGGTGATTTTGTCGTAGCTGTCCAGTATGCAGCCTCTTAACCATCCAAGTCGTGAGGACTGTCGTCCTCGACGTGGAGATGGAAGTCGTGGTTGATCCTGGAGGTGGTCGAATGCTTCGCCGCCCACGAGCTCCTCGCGCAGAACGGCGTGGGATGACTTACAGAAGAGCGGTTGCTTGTTGTTGACATTGATTCTTTGGCTGCTTTCAATTATAGCTGTACATGGGCTCCTGCCCTCGACGAATGGTTCATGCAGCGCGGGCAGTGTTGCTCAAGCGACCCAGAATGCGGTCATATTCAGGCAGTACAACTATCATTAGAACGCGATGCCAGCACCAGCATCGCCTTCGCCAGGTTTACCCAGTGTTATACTAACACAATTAGTGCATCAGCAACGTGAACGGTATTCGAGGGCTGCCAGCTATCGATGACCAAATGCACTTGGCACAAATCCTTGAAATGAGTTGCGTGTTTCGCGTAGCCTAGTTACTCCGTCCCAGACTCTATATTGCTAGGTTGGTGTAAAAAATTGGTGAGGCAAACCGCTACGGTACCCACAACTGGGTACAGTTCCGGTTCGTACCTTTTTCCGCATCCGCCGAGAAATGTGAGGCTCTCCGTGCTCCCCCTCCCTCACTCCTCCTCCTTGGTGAAAATGGCGGCTCGCTGCGTCGCTCTCCTTCACAGGTCTCTTCGTCAACGTCTGGAAGCCGTCAGTACTGCCGTCGATCGATGTAACACCCCGCTTCTTGTGCCATGATCTGTAGTATCTGTTCTATTCCTTGCCCGTCCGCTCATCGGTCTTCAGCATCTCCAGCGTAGCCTCGCGCCTTGATCTGTAGTATCCGTTCTTGTGCCTTGCGCTCCTCCTGCCGAATCCTTCGTCTGCCGTCGTGCTGGATCGGGAGTCCGCCGTACGCCTTGGTCTTGTCGTGTGTCCAGTTCATCTTCCTGGGTCATGCCGTTAACAGCCCGCCAGTACGGCGAACCCGGTCGTAACGCGCAGCGAAGAGTCCTTGGCCACAGCTTGCCACCACCTCACCGCCTTGCCCACGAAGACATCCCCACATGTCCCGCAGTGGGCTAGACGCTGCCTGAAGGCAGCGCCCGCAGAGCGGCGCCGAGACTCAGCTCGAGGCCGTCTACCGGGAGGACGTCACCGCAACCCGACCAAAAACACAAATCCTTGTATCACATTTTGCACAATATTTCATTTTGCGTCACATTCCGGGATTTTCCTAAAAGAAATGTAGCTTCTGGAGTTAGAGTTACATAAAATCCGGATTATTTGAAATAATCCGAAAAAATATTACGGATGAAATACCGGATACTTCAATTATCGGGAATCCGGAGTCTATTAGAGCAACGCTACTGTATTTTAGCTCCGAAATATAATAAAGGGTCAGAAACTGCAGTTCTCATAATCAAACTCTATGCATCGTTGAAATTCACCTTGTGGGACTCAACGCTTAGCAGTACACCATTTCTCAGGCAAAATGGTTGCTTTCTCAACCAAAGTGGTGCGGGAAGATCTCGCGCAACATAATACTGCGACGAAAAGGGGCATTTTTCAACCAAAGTGGTTTACAGCTGTTTGTTTCCCAAGCAAAATGGTTTACCCAACCATATAGGGCTAAAACAGACCAGTCCACGTCTTGAGCTTGGTCTGTAAGAATTAAAAAGTCGCTATTTTTCGACACAAAAAACTTAGTTAGAATGTGCACGGCACGTAGATCACGATAGACCTCTCAAATACATTCACAAGGCTGTTCTAAGCTACGTTTTGACTTCTTCAAAATGGCTATAAATCCTCGATGATTGTGAAACCATTTTGCTTGGGAACGATTTACGACAGAACCACTTTGCTTGAAAATACCTGGGGAAGTGATATGAGGTTTTTCCCGAAAAATGATTTGAACCACTTCGGTTGGGAAACCAACCAGTCTGCCTGGGAAATGGTGTACTGATCGGTGATAGTACACTGGTCCAATTACGTTATTTGTTCTCTGTTTGGCTCAGGCGATTGATAACAGCGTGCAGTCTGGTGCAAACCTTATCAGAGCACGAACATTATACCGGGAGGGCTACGTAGTAGCCTGTAGAGCTCCACCAGCTTTATTTCGCTCAAAAAATGTCGACTGAGTTACAGGTAGCATTTGCTGTACTATCCCATGACACCTTAGGCAATCTTCGCCCAACTCACTGCCCGCGGTGGGGTTCGACGTGCGTTAGGTCGAGTCACTCAGAGGCCACGATGAAGCTGCAGATGCCAGTCTTCTACAAGGACGCATCGTGCAGCTGCGCTTCATGCTGCAGGTCTTAGTCAGCGGTTTGGACAACGCGGAAGAGTGAGAGACGGTCAGATCGTCTATGTGAGTTACATATCACTGCTAAGATGTCTGATAGGGTCTCGATCATCTACCATGACTCGCTCATGTTTCCTCCTCGCTGTCTCGTTCTGCTGGTTCGATACTTCGGGCTTCACGGGGGCACTCCCCGCAGGGGATCGTGGGCCCGTTGACCAAGTCCGGGGTTAGCTGGGTGCGCACGTACGACCGGATGGCTAAGCTGCTCTCGCACTCGGAGCAGTCTGCTGCAGGGGACAGAGGACGCCTGGCCAGGAGGCCGAATGTTACCCCTCTTGTAGGTGGACAGTCCCGACGGGCCATCATGTGCGGAATCCCTGGCCTCTTCCACTTGTCACGTTCGACTTGCTGTGCTCTTCGGGTCGATACACGAGGAAGACAACTCGCGCAACTTGCTTAGACGCACCACTGGATGAAGAGTGTCTGGCGTGTGCTTACTGTACATATACAACCGGTACTGGATCTCAACGGGGTCACCACGGCCTACGGGGATTTCACTTCGTGGGACCGGGGTTCGCGCTCAGCGAACGGGACGGCGACTTGGGATGGGACGCGGAAGAGTGTTGATGGCTTTGACGACCTAGACAACGATGATACGGTGGCGATCAGGGCTGTAGAAAATATGATTGCGATTGTAATATTGCCAACATTGTCAATCACAATAAGCGGTCGTTCCGTGATCCCAATCGGCAATCCCGCTCCCGTATTGTTGCTATACTGATTTTGAGCCTTTGCCAGAGCTTTCGTTGCGATCCGGTAGAGCAATATTCAGTACCAAGTCCCTGGAACCGATCCTAGCTCCTAAATTGTTTTTGCTGCTTCGAAATGCAGGTATGAGAGGTCATTGGGTGCCTGGATGGGGTGCAAGCTCAACATGATGATTATAAGACCCAACACATTGTATTTTGCCATGGTTTTTGAAGGTTAACACGAATGCAATCGAACAAGCAAAGGTCTTACGGCGATAGTGCCACGCTCTTAATCAAGCACGCTCCGTTGTACACGGCTTGAGTCTTGCTGGCTAAGCTGGAATTGCTGATACTTCGTATTGAAGGGGCAAAAGACCGAGAAGAGCTCTAGCAACTACCTACAATGTAGCAACTAACAATGGTGCTTCGGTTCTGATGCGATCTTGTCATGAGATGGCGAGAACGGTTCCGTTCAGCTGAATTGAGTGCACGTTTAGAGCTCACACGAGCTGTACTCGTGACAGATAGCGCCACCAAACGAATGAAACTGTTAACCTAGCTGAGGAAATGCTAGCGAGAACTTAGATTGCAATCTTTTTGGTTTTGGGATTGTCAAGATTGCAATAATTGATAATTGATTCTAAACCGTCAATCGATAAGCATCTATTGTGAAAACCGAACACTATGTCCTTTTTTTGCAAATCGATCGATTTGGGTGCTTATCAAGCGGCTGAGCCCTTGTTTTGTTTTATATAAATATGATGCCACTCCGATTTGGCGTTCCCCGGCCCTGTTCATAGGAGGAGAAGAAAGTTCGATTACCGATTATTTGTCTTCTCAACTTGCTTAGTAGATGCTAACTATATGTTGTGAACTAATCGACTAGCGTCTGAAAGACGATACCTGTTCGATGATTCAGATGTAGTTGGACGTGGCGTATTCGGAATGTGTCGGGGTGGCGTCGATGGAAATCTCCAAAAGAACTGCTTTCAGCCAGCTTCGTAATGATCTTCTTTAGTTTCTGTTGTTTAGGTTTCTCCGCACGTCTCAACAGGCGACGGTAGTGAGCACCGAAAGTATTGTAGATTGCGGTGATAGTGGTGTCGAGTGATTCGGGGTCCTTCTCCTCAAAACAGTAGTGATTTCGTTCGGTCCATCGATGGTGCAGTGTGATACACCTGACTATATTCCACAGAGATACAATCTTGGTTCGTTCTTGGTACCAGCACGCAGCCACTTGTTGTTTATGCGGTAATACCAGGCTGGTCCACGTGAGGGGGCCCACAAGGAAGCGACTCCAGTCCTTCCATATCGTGGCCCATACGGCCTTTGATTTCGCGCACTCCATGAAGAGGTGTTTCACTGTCTCGATGTTGTTGCAAGTCATGTATGGACACTGTTGTACGGTCGGGTCTTGTTGCATAAGAAACCAGAAGCGTGATCGTACAGGCAGTAGGCGAAGTGCGATACGCATCTGCAGGTCGTCGTAAATAGGCAGAAGTTGGGATGTGTGCACGTCCAAATCTTACGAAAGCAGGTACGTCGGCTGGGGTCGTTGAGTCGAGGTCTTGGCGAATCCGCTGCTGATGGCTGTAACAGTTGCTTGAGTTTGGGACGGGGAATGTACGGGAACAAAAACGTTTTTGCGGCGATTTTGATGCCTACATTGGGGAGGTACATCGCTTCGACACGAATATCGAAGCTTGTTATTGTCGTCTCAACGCGGAAGATAACTTGCATCAATTCCTTGTGGAGGCTGCGGAGCCATCGCTTCTGAGTCGTCAATGGGAGTTGGGTGTTAACTGGCTCGAGAGCTCGCCTTAAAAAGGTGGCAACGGATGGGTTTTGGCCGATGTCGTCGAAAATGTCTTTCATACAGGAATATTGTAGCCTTTTGGCTACATGGAGTCGGAAGCTTCTTTTGGGCTCTGCAACAGCGGCGAGATTTCGTATTTGGCCTTGTGGGGTAGTGTAGTGGAGGAGTTGGTTCTTTGAAAGCCACAATGGCGCGTACAAAAGTGCGATAGCACTGCGTTCTTGGCCTCCATCAGCTGGCCATTGACCTTTGTGCCACAATTTCCATGCGTCTCTCCACCATTCTGGTAGCGCTGTAATGTCGAATAAGTATTTGAACTTGTTAGGCGAAATATCAAGAAAGTTGAGTGGGTGCTTCACTGGAAGCGAGGGAGTTAAAGCTTCGAAAAATGTAGACGCTAGTTGCGGCCACGCCTCCTTCTCCGGCTTTCCGAGCAGTTTTACAAACTGTCGTAGAAACTGTAGGCGCTGCAGTTTTAGCTGTGTTTCGAGGTGCGGGAGCTGCAACCCCCCTGCCTGCCGCGGCAAATACAGTAGTTCCGCGGGGGCGAGTTGAACAAATTTGGAGTCTGCATCCGATTTTCGTGTGAGCACAAACTTATTTAGCATCCGCTGCCACCGGTGTATGCAAGGTGGAGGAACCGTGGTGTGTGGAGTGAAATGCCACAGTACGGATAGAATCATCGTGTGCACCAGTAGAAGTCTTCCTCGTAAGGTCCTCGCTCTCCGCCCCCATACGCTGAACCCCCGATAGAACTTGTTGTTTAGCTCGGCTACAATAGTGTCGTGGGACACATGTTGCCCGAATGGGATGCCCAAATACTTGATCGAATCGTCAGCGTAAAGGCACCTTACTTCAGGGAATATTGGGCACGGCATATTCTTGTTCAGTGGTAGCGGGACCCACTGTCGTCTCTGCTTTTCTTACTGTGTATTGAACCACTCGGGAACCTAATTGGCTGACGGTCTGACCTAGGCGTTTTGTCACAGGCCTGTATTTTGCTGATGACTCTACATTAGTGGCTAAGAACACGAACTGCATACGCCAGCAGCTCGGCCAGGTGAAAACCTACTGCTAAGGTTCGGGAGCACGCCTTATGTTTAACACCCCGCGTAACTTGAAGTGGCTGTAGTAGGAACCCGTTCAATAAAATTAGTGCGAGAGGTTTGTTGTACAGAAGACGAATCCACGAGATATACCGGTCTCCAAATTCGAGGACTGACAAAATAAGGAAGACATACTCCCAAATCACTCTGTCATATCCTGTTTCAAAGTCTAGAAACAGCGCCAACGCTTCGGAGTTTGACCTTGTAGCGCGATGCTGAAGATCTTCCAGTAGTCGAACGTGGTGGTGCAGTGATCGGCCATTAACGAATCCTTTTTGGTCAGGGTGTATAATGGACGGTAAGACGTCTTGGAGGCGGTAGGTCAGCACTTTCGACAGAATTTTTACGTCTAGTTGCATAAGAGTGATTGGACGGTAGTTGCCTGGCTCACTGCGATCACCTTTCTTGAAGAGGTGAGTGACGCATGACTTCCTCTGGGACGGCAACAAAATTCCACGGTCTAGTTGGTATTGAAATACGCGGCTCAGTATTTGTCCGAATATATCTGGAGCTGTCTGGTAGAATGCCGGAGTTAATCCATCTAGCCCAGGAGCGGAATTGCTTCTCATGTGCTTGATGGCTGCTGTCATTTCGTCGGCTGCGATCGGGCTGTCTAGCTTTTCGGCGTCTTCCCTGGACATCTTTAATTAAATCGAATCAAGTAGGATCGCTCGGTTTTCCTCGTCAATCGCTATATTGTCGGAAGGGCTAGTAGGATCTCCAAAGATTGTTCCCCAATGGGAGCGAAACGCGGTTCTTACGTAGTGGAGACTTCGCCAGATTCAAGTTTCACTGAAGTAACTTGCACAGGTCTCAGTAAGGACGAAGGAGGGCGAAAGAAAGCTGACTTTGACGTTTCCATGTTTCCCGCGTGAAAATTGAAGCCTGAGTCTTGTTGGAGTTGATGAACGTGTTCTTTGCGTTCAGCGTAGGCTTCTTTTGCTTTCTGATATTCCCTCTGAGTATTTGGCGACGGGTTGTCTACGTAATTCTCCATAGTCCGTTCGAACAGGTTTTCCGCAGCACGGAGGTCCTGGTCTTCTTGAATTTTCATTACTGCTTGGAGGGATTTTAGTTGGCTTCCCATTCGTCGCTTCCATCCTTCCCATACTAGGCCAGGATTGTCGGCATCTAGAATGTCTGAAAGGAGAAGTTGAGCCTCGTTTCGGATTGCTTCTCTTACGAGAGGACAATCCAACATTTTTGTAGGAAGACGCCAGTATCCTTTACCTCGCGGTTGGCGAGAATGGTTTAAGGTCACGCTATGGGCTAAGTGATCTCCAGAGTGAGGAACTTGAAAATATCGGGATGATCCATAGTAGCGAGTCATAAATGAGTCGGAGATGAAACAATAATCGAGTCTGTTTTTCCTTGGTGGCGGTCCGGTAAATACGCGACGTTGGGGGTGGTGAACTCTCCAGCAGTCAGATACACCGAGGCATGCTAGCCATTCCACTGCGCTTTGCCTCGACCGGTTGTCCCAGCCCTGTTCATATACCACGGATTGCCGTCGATTTATAAGCAAATCACTTCGAATGCCCATGTGACACTGGGCATTCTGAGGGTAGCTCGTTTATATGAACGACATCCTATATCAACGTGGACGGCAAACTCGACGCTGGCGTTTACATGACACACCCGATGGGTACATGCAATACGTGTCTAACTCTGAATTATTCACGGGGCTGAAGTTTGTCACGAGTGGCTGCTTGGTACGCTTGCTCTTGCCCGCTGCACGCTGCAGTGCACCTCTGCGGTCATTTATATAGCTCAGGAGGCAAGGCTCTCATTAGCATTTGATAGGGATTTGCAAATGCGGCCAACCCTACGATTTAGGATTTGGCGTACCCCTTTTTATATATTTTATCATGTTACGAACGGCTTCCTTACGAGATACACTTTGACAAGTTTGAGCTTTTGCATATCGAGTTCCTAACGATCATCGTAGCCTTGGGGCCCGCAGTAGGCGTAGGATACCTTTAAATCTACCACCAGCGCAACTGCCAACTCTAGGCTACAGATAGGTACTTGATATGTTTATCAGCACCGTGATATAAGCAGAGAATCATGAATTTCTTTTCACGCGTTTCACAAACTTGACATGAGCTTCGAAAAGCGTTGACCTTGAGTCATAGATTGCTTCTTAGTATACTATGCACTCCCTACGGTAAACCGTTACCAAAGTTTCATGTAAAGTTCGTTATCACTTGAAAATGAGACTAGATTCTAGTCTAGCCACTTCATGTATTCTCTTGAGAAACGCACTCCTGGTGCAGCTGACCACAAAGCGTATCTTGAGGATACTATGTGGGCAGTTTTCGCACTTACTAGCGAGTAGTAGCATCATATTAGAGTAGTAAGTTAAAAAAATACTTCTACATGTACTAGAGTATCACTGGAGCATCGAAAGTGGAAAAATTGTCGCCTTTTCCATATACTCGTAGTGAGATTATCTGGGTTTGACTCCCATCGTCTGTAGCACCTCCCAGAAGCCTCCAAAACCTACGAAATCTCGACAAGCAGGTCGCCAGAGCTGGCCGCAGCAGTTGCATCTGCCGCCGCATCCTGGTCTTGCGTGGCTGCACCGTTCTCGGCCGCGAGCTCGTCGATGATGGCGATGTACTTGAGCTTGGCTTCGTCCAGCGTCATGTCTCCGAGCTTGCTCCAGGCGTCCCACTTGGCGCGCCCCACGAAGTCCAGCATCCCCGGGCGGGACGTGGTGTTGGGGTCGACCTGCGCCTGCTTGAACAGCGCGTAGAGCTGCAGCTTGGCCGCGTTGTCGCTCAGCGGCGGCAGCGTCTTGCCCAGCGCCAGGCTGCGCTCAAAGCGCTCGGTGATGGACGTGGAGGAGGTGGTGGACATGGCGAGCAGCTGCAAAGGGAGCAGGGGGACGTTAAAGCGACCACCGAGACGTCGAGCGAGCGACTGCATTATTGAGGGGGGGGGGGTTGATACATGAGACGCACCGTTTCGGTTTCGGATTCGGATCTGATGTGAAGCCGACGTGACGCCTGCTGACACGCATACGTATGCTGGATGATAGGTAACCGGGGGTAAAGTTGCCTTTCGGTGGGGTCCCGTGGGGACCCCACCGAAAGGCAAGTTAAGGGAAAATGAGCTTCAGTTTTTTTTAAAGACCCTCCAGTCTAAGACGGAGAGAAAGCTCCACAAGTGGTAGGTGAAGGGGCCCCTGCAGAGAAAGCCTTCGCGCTACTCAAGCTCAACAAGGAGGACATCTTCACCGGCCGGAAGCTTGACGTTGTCTGAGTCAGTCCAAACAGCAACACATTAAGACTTCCACCACTTGCAACCGCGACGAAGCGGTATCCAAGATGATCGTCGCGGCTTCGAAGAGCTCGGATACGGGACTGAAGGCCTTCCGGCGAGCAATCGCAGTCACCGCAGTTAAAGTACTGGCTCAATGCGCTGGGCCGAAAGGCCCAAGAGATTTTAAAGTGGGATGGTAGTGCACTCGGGCAATATAATGGGGTGTATGCACTAAAGCTCATCTTACAACTCGTTTTGCTCGCTTATGCGATTCTCTTGAACACTCTGCGCTTATCTTCCTGTTACAGTTTACCAGCACGTCTTGAATCTGCAACGTCTGAGCCTGGATTGATTAGCTGCACCAAGTCTGACATTGAGATCGACGGGTATCTCGCAGCAGTCCCCAGCGGGGAGAAAGCAGGTTGATCCCACACGCTCTCCAACGTCAATCGTCGACTTGCGCTCCTGCTGCTTTCAAACGCCGCTTGTCGCTGCTTCTGGTTGTGACTTGCAATTGTGGCTGGGCACTGCTTCTTCACGAATGCCATGCACGCTTGGCATACTGCAACCTCAACATCGTATAACTTTGTGCGGTGTTGACCCGGTACTTTGACTCTTCTCTTCACTTTGCAGCTCCAGCATAACGAGGTTGCACAAAGTGCTCACGACTTTTCATCGCTCACGGGGACACTGGCACGGCGAGACGCAGCGCTTCTCTTCCTCAGACAATTGTCGCAATGCCTCGACTCGATGCTCATGTCGGTTCGTGCCCAGGCAGATACTTGCTCCTGGTGCTTGACGCTTTTGTTCTCGATACACCACTGCAGCTTCTTCATCTCGGAAAGCTGCGGCGCCCTCCAGAATCCTAGTGTCGACTCCCACATCGCAGCGACAACTAGCTTGTCCATGAGACGACCCTGCGTCTCCACGTACATCTGAATATACACGTCCACCGTGCCGTTCTCTCGCTGGCAATAGATGGCGCCGTACATGAGCTTACCGCGCACCATCGGCGCTGGAAGTGGCGGACACTGCGGCAAATCGATGGGCTGCACAACCTCGTACCCGACACGATCTCCATTAGGACGGCGTACTACGCCAGTGGCTGAGATGATGATAAAGTCCCGAGGGCGGACGATCATCCTCAGCGGCCAGCTCTGCTCCCCCACCATCCACGTGATACCCATGAACTGGTACGGGTCGGCCTGTGTAGGTTCTGTAAGCTGCTCCAAGATGGCTCCATCCAAGGGCTGTTTGCCGACCACCTCGGACCGGATTTGCATCGCGAGGAAGTCAGGCGTCTCCAGGCCGAACATGACCTCGTCCAGGGTGCTGTCCATCGACCCCACAGCCAGCAGCACACACGGGTTGTCCCAGTTGTCGCCGGGGAGATGGAGATCCCGCTGCGGCGTGTGGACACGCTCCGAGTAAAGCGAAGCATTCTTCTGCGTCTTGAGCTGCTTCCACTGCGTGTTGTCGAGGTGTGCGTGGTGGCGTGGGGATCCTGAGTACGGGTCTCTACTGTCGTTCCGCTCGTTGTAGCTGTGCAGCGTGCGGTCCAGCAACTGGAACGTGAGGTCTTGGCAATGCTGTTGCTGGTCGGCAGGCATGTCCGGAGGGGGCATTTTGAAATTCATGCCCCTTTTTAGATATACGGGGTACTCCTGGGGACTTTAAAAGAGGTAGCCCGATCAGTAATGTATCGCTGTGTATTGAAAGCTAGAAAAGGGCCCTACAAGAATGTATAAGAATGTGAACGTGGTGGCCTACGCTAGAGTGTGGCTTGGAGAGGCCCGCACACTAGGAAACTGCTTGGTACCTGGACATCTTGTCCGCCAAACTCATGAGCTCAAAGTATTGTCGACATTGCAACTCACCTTCCATCGCGTAGTTGCTGAGTCGGCCGCGATGCGGACCCATCGTACGCTTCAGCGTGCTGAAGTCCCCCTCCACTGCGTGGGTACCTGGCGCAATGCTAGCGAGTCCAACAGCAAACTCGGCCAGCAGTTCAAAGTTGCCGAACGAGGCCGCCTTCTCCCAGACAACCTCGAGTGTCACTTCACGCGACGAGTTTCGTGGACTTTCAAGCCGGCGGCGACATTCAGACTTCTTGTTAAGCAGTGCGCCAGTTGCTTCCTTTGGTTCCAGATACCGGTTGTTGCCGTAGCACCGAATCGAGCCTTCAATTTGGGGCTGTGAGCTGCCAGCAGTGCACAGAAGGCGCGATCCGTGCACTGTATTATCTCGATAGGAGAAGTAGGAGGTTCCTCGCGGCAATCGCTGTTGATGTCGAGCTTGATACATGACACGGTTTTGATGAAAACGGTGATGGCCTCAGCTACCGCTCCAACAAGTTCAGTCTGAGTCATAGGGTCTTGGGGTGGGGCGGGATCGATCTCATACTCGACGTCGTTTTGATCAGGTTGCTCGTCGGGGGATGCGTCGTCCAGTTCGGTACCATCCGTTGCACTGTGGGTCTGGTCTTCTGTGGCATTCTCGTCTCTCTGCACTCCGACGTCCATGCTGCTAAATAGCGCCAACGAATTGCACGAGCACCACTTGAGGTGGTTGGCCACTTTGGTCTTGTCCACATTCACTGAGTCGTCTTCGGTGTTGCTCTCGTACTTCAACTGGAACGTGTTCACGAGCTCATCCAGAGCGCTGTACTGCTCGTTCATAGTGACAGTCTTAACTTGCAGCTTGCGAAAACACATTCGTATGGCCTCAGTCAGCTCGCTCACAACAAATAGACACAGCCACCATGCGCTGCTCGACCGCGCGTAGTTCTTCGCGTCTTGTGCAGCAACGAGTTGTTCGTAGTGCTTGGCCAGGAAATGACACGTGTCATGAATCGACTCCCATCTAGTCGTTGCATACTTTGGGCATAAACCCACTGCGAAGCGTACACTTTCGTATCTCCGTGTAAACAAGATCTCCATTCCCAGCCTCGACCTGAAGTTCACCGTTCTGTCGAGTACTTTTAGGAACGCGTCTAGGGCAAGGTTCAACTGGTGGCTCCCGCACCAGTTGATCGTGATGGCCGAGTTTCCAAAGTATTCAGCAGCAGCACGAAGTCGCGTCGAGAATCCCTGGTGGCGGCCTAGCATCGTCGCAGCTTCGTCCGTCGAGATACCGATCAGTTGAGGGAGCAGGTTGGTTTCACCGATGTCCTCTAGTAGATCAATGACAAGCTCAGCATAGTTCTGGCCTTTGTGGGCGCTATCGCCAATGGGGATGGCGAGGAGGTGGATGTTGTGAATTTTACCCACGAGGCCAAACGACAAACGCACGTCCAGGTATCCTTCTTTGTTGTGCGTTGCGCCATCAACCATCAGCGAAAATCCCCAGGTCTTGCTGAGCAGTGAGCGGATAGCAGAGAGGTTGAGTGCAACGACACGGCGAACCGATAGCCCTACTACTTGTCTGCAGGGGGTTCATGTTGGACAGCGCGGTTCCGAGCGTGGTAAACAGACCAGCAATGGCACGAAAGCTTACTCCCGCGTTGATGCAGCTGACAATGGTCTCAAACTGGTCTCGATCACGGATAACTAGAACGTATCCATCCGTCTCGGTCTCCATAAAGTCGTTGGAGACTTCAACCTCTCCGATTTCGTCGTCCACGGTCACCAAGCCATGTGGCGTATCACCTCGGTTGCAGAACAGACGCTCGATGAGGCTGGCAATTCCGCTCGGAACCACAAACGAAATCTGAGGGTGTCTCGGGAGGAAGTCCTCGATCCGGGTAGGCAGGAAAAAGCTTTCGCACTCTTCGTCCTCCGTGACAGCAAGGAAGGCAGACCACTGCTTCGAGTTCTCGCGCTGCATGTGTCGGATGATATGGTCGCGGCGAAACGTCTTGAACACCATAACTTTAGCCATCTTCTTGCGCTTCTTTTTCGCGCTCCTCACCAACGCATCGAACGCGGAATCGGCTTGCTCGTCTGGCGGATCTTCCCGTCCAAACACCTCGCAGAATTTGCAGATCGCCTCGGCGACGTCGCCTTCCACGTAGTTGAACGGACGAACGCAGAGCTCCTTGTCATACTTTGGAAGCCATTGCTGACGCGTTGGCAGCTTCATCTTGGTTGGCAATGCTGTTAGTGCGTCGTTAACACTGCGCAGCTTTCGAGTCGCCTGAGTTGAACTTGTAGTCGGCTTATAGCGACCCTTCCCACGGCCTTTGGAGGTTCCGCGAGGTTTGGAAGATGAAGTGGGTGGCATGGGCGTTGGTGGGTTGGCCGTTGTTTGGCAAGTTTAGAAATGATTGACAAGTTCGGCGCTTGACGCTCAAGTGAGCAACTAGCCACCAATGGAGTCTTCAACTTGAGTTTAGGCGGTACGATCCCGACTTACATCTACATATGAGCGATACTACTGGATTCGACACCGCTTGCGACGTGCTAAGAGTGTTATTAGCCATGTATTTGGCCTATTCCTCGTTGCATACATGGATAACCTTCTGCAGACGCTGGAGACCGCAGTGCAAGTTGGCTTCCACGCCTGCATTTCCTTAGTTAAGAGGGGGTACTCTTAGCAACTTTAAAAGGGGTATGTCGTTCTTTTTCTGTCCACAAAACCCCCTCCTGACATGCCTGCTGCTCGGGCGTCAAGTTCAGCGGCTCGAAAGGGTTTCCACGTCTCCGATCGCCGAGCGTCATCGCCGCTCTCGTTACTTCGCCTAGCTGGTCGATTCGATTGTGAGGCCACGCGTGCGTGGACTTCGATCGGATCGAGGTCATTTCTCCGCCGTCATCAAGTGAAAGCTGGGTGCGCAGGTGTATGATAGGCACGCGATATACGCCACGTTCGACACACGAGTGCATCGTCTTCAAGGCGAGATACATGTGCAGATACAGTACTGAGCCCAGTACACTTTGAGTTGGACCGAGAGAGCAGAAGCGCAAATCTTGTGTTCGGTGCTTGCAGATGTACCCGACGTGCGGCGATAAAGCTCGGCTTGGTGTCCGACCAAGTTCCTTCTTGGTCCAGTTTCAGTGACTGCGGCCAACAACCGATGATGGTATTGCAATCGTCGAGTGGTGTTCATTCTGCAGTGGAGGTGCTGGACGTTATCGAGAGGCGATGCGAGTACTGTATAGATGTGCCAAGGTGGTGAAGAGAGGCTCTCCGAGATCCGATAGTTGAAGTACAAGCGCCAATCAAAGGCACGCATCGTGTTGTGCTATTACATGTGAAGTTCGCATTGTGAACCAAGGCTCCAATGCTCGGCCATTGCGGCTAACGAGCAGGCGTTGATACACACTGTACAGGGCGAAGCTTGGTGTATGCAGACGTGTTCCCTTGTCGGCAAAAAAGTTGTCGCGGGTGCCTGTATTTGCCGAAGCCGACAAAGGCGACCTGCAAGGATGGGGACGTGCCCGGAAACCACCTTCAACCGCGTCCATGTCGGCGTTAACGCGCAACGTTAGCACTGCTAACTTAGCAGTTATAGTGCTGATCCCCGACGTCGGCAAGTAATATGCAGCTTCTAGTCACTACTACTTCAACAGCATATCTACTAAGTAAGGAGAGTATACGAACTAAGAGCCACCACGACTCGACAGCAACGCGTGACTTGCGCGATCTCAACCCAGTCCACTGGACTGCATGCTGGGCTGTCTAGAGTTCTCCCCCCTCCTACGAAGGCTACGTAGCATGCAGCAATACGAGACCCTGTGAAGGCAATCGCATAATAGAGCGCTAGTCAAGCCGATGGACATCCCACGCCAAAATTTCGGGTCATCAATTTGTTAGCTCAAAACGCTCATTTGCCTCTTATATTTGTTTCCCTATATTTAGAATCGCACACTCTATTAAGCAGTACACATCTCCAATATCTCTAATAGATGATATCCCTCCTTGATATCCGCCCTCCCACTCGTCATACTCAGGCGTCGCGCCATCCCGCGACCTCGTTCGACGTGGCATCTAATGTGTAGGAAGTACTTGGAGCATGCATGTACGACCTCTCTATTGAACGCGTGCCAGACGCGTTTCGGCCCCCCGCTGGGGGCCTCGTCAGTGGCTTTACCAATCGAGAAGTGAGCTCTCTCTCTCTCTACGTGTCCTCCTGGGCGGTCGCCCCTACGAAAAGATCTGTCGTGGGTACGCTTCTGGTGTCGTAACCGTGTACCCCCACCATGGGGTTACACCTACGTGCCTGCAGCACTTCCAACATAATGGACCTGTCGCCACTGCGCTCCCGCGTCAGCACGGGCGCTCGATCTCTCTGGTCCATGTCGGGCGGTGGGCCGTCGCTCCCGCCGCCGCGCTCAGACTTGAATTTGCAGATTGCAGCTTCGTTCCTGGCCCCCTTCCTTCTTCCCTGATCGAATGGTGGCGATGCCCGTGCAGCCGCCGCGCCAGGCCGTGGCGCTGTCCGAGGACCAGCTCAAGTTCCAGGAGATGGCCATGCAGCTGCTGGACCGCACACTGCGCGACCTGGACGAGTATGACGCCGACCACCGCGACCACGACAAGCAGGACCCGCGGCTGTGGAAGCGCATCCACCACAAGGAGCACTTCACCACGTACACACGCTGCGACGACGCGCCCGAGGCCGCGTACGTGGCGGCGGACGGCGGGCGCAGCACTACATCTCGGCCATCCAAGGATGTGGTGCTGGGCATGGGCTACGTGCAGTGCCCACTCAGCGAGCTCATGTACGGCGTCTTCATGAAAGACAGTCAAGCGATGGCGCTGAAATCCGCTGTCGTGGACAAGAACATCGGCAACGGAGCCGTGTTGCTGCAGCTCTTGGGCCCGACCGAGGAGGACCCATTCCGCTTCCTTGCGCTGAAATGGATCGAGGTGCGGCCGCCGCGCGGGGTCTCGGGCCGCCTCGTGGCCCCCAGAGAAGTCATGTTCCTCGGGGGAAGGGGCACTATGAGGGGCCGTGACGGCAAACTCATCGGGTACGAGGTGCACCACTCCATCGACCACCCGGCCTTCCCGCCTGTGCACGGGCTGCGGCGCACGCGCATCGTCATCGGCTCCATCTACCGCGAGCGCGAGCCCGGAATCGTTGACCTGTTTATCAAGAGCTACAGCATGGAGGCCGATATGGGCAGCATCCTCGGGCCGCTGGCCATGGCGCACGCGGCCAAGTGCATTGAGCAGGTCTGGACCGTGCCCGACTTCGCGTTCGCCAAGAAGCTGAACTGGTGCTTCAACAGCCGCGTGCACAGCAACAACCAGAAGGCCTTCGAGGCCAAGCTGAACAAGCGCTGCGTCGCGTGCAGCAAGAGCATCGCGTCCATCTGGAAGACGCGCGCGCAGAGGCGTGTGTGCACCCTGTGCAAGGCACCACTGTGCTCGAGCTGCCGCATGAAGACGAACCTGTTCGAGATCGACCCGAATTTCCGCGCTCGCAAGAACACCGTGCGGATCTGCCCGTCTTGTCACGAGTACGTGAAGCTGCTGGACGCCAAGGAGATCCAGCGCCAGGAGATGCTGCGTCCGCAGCGGCCGGAGGTGTTCAACCCGCTAACGCCAAGCACGCTGGACGTGCCGGCGCGCAACTTCTCGCTGGACAACAGCTTCTGCACGGCCTCGGTCGAAAGCCTGTGTCTGCTGGACTCGCCCCGCGCACGCTCCGACAGCGTCATGACTGACATGTTGCATTGAGGTGCAGCAATTGTGAAGGAAGGTGGTGTAAGTGGTAGTGGTGATGTTTGCTTATAATTGTAATGCATTGTGCTCATACTCGTTCGTCTTCGCCGCTTAGGCTTGCTTAACAACACCAACAACAACACACTGCACAACACAGCAAGCATCCTACATCAACGGCTCGGCTTACCCGTAGTATTGGGTTCGTTGCGGTGGGGCGTGAATTGACTCGGAAGTCTCTAGCGTGAGCTTGTAGATGGACTCGGCTACCATGCGCAGCTCCACCATTTGCGACCAGATCTGCTCGCGCCGTTCTCGGTCAGACAGCGCCACCTTCTCGACCTCCTCGCCTTCGGTGGCGTCCTCGTGGATGACCTTGCCGGAGTGAGCTCCGCGGAACGAGTCAATTGGCGCGTCGCCGTCTGCTGTCGGTGACAGCACAGAGCGTGAGAACGAGAAGTCTTCAAGCGTCGTAACACTCGCGCCTGTGTCGGTGGTCACGCCCGTGCTGGTGAAGCTCGCCTGGCATTCGGGAGCGCTAATAACGGGGACGCTCTCGGTTGAGAACCAGCCACTCCCCACCTCTGCGCGCGCGACGTCCACGGCCGCGAGGTGGTCGACGCGGAGAACGCAGCGTTTGCATATGAGCACGTCCTCCTGACGCAGCCACAGCGCCTTGTTCACTTCCTTGAGCGTGCGGGAGACTCGGCAACGCGAGCAGGTTGTTGCGGAGCACAACGCACAGGAGATGGCCCCGCTTACGAGCCTGTTGAGACGCTTGGTGCATGTGCCACACGTCAAGTCCTGAGCTAGCGGCGCAGGTGAAGGGGATCGGTTGCCGACGATATCAACGTGGCTCACGCTAGGCGAGCAAGCGATGCTACTGCTGGCGTGGGAGCGCTGGCTTGAACGACGCACTCTTTGTGAGCCTCGACGCCGACCGCTCTCCCAGTCTGGTTGCTGCCGGAAGCACCACATGAGCTTCTTGAGGTTGGCGCACTCGACTGCGTTCCAGGAGCTCATGAAGCCCGTTGAGGCGGCCGTGAGCGCCACCGAATCCAGTAACTTGCCGTGCGCCTCCACGTATCCTTTGACGTACACGTCGACCTTGGAGTGTCTGCTGCCCAGGCCTGCGGGGATCTCTCTGAAGATCGAGCAGCTTGAGATGCGGCCGCGAGTGACATCCATCCCAGACCGAGGCATCATGTCTCGATACTGCGGAGGGTCTACCGAGTGCAGGAGCTGGTAGCCGACACGCTCTCCATTCGGCCGCGTGGTGATCCCTGTGGCTTCGATGAAGACCAAGTCTCGCGGCCGCACGATGCCGTGCAGGGCTGTCGGAGGACCTTTGACGAACCACTTGATCCCCAAGAACCGGAATGGATCCGCATCGCAGGGGGCATCAATACAGGCCAGTACCGCTCCATTGATCAGCGTGTTCTTGACTACCGTGGCCTTCAGCAGCATGCTCTGTGCGTCTGGAGAGGCGACGCCGTACATGACGTCCTCTAACGCGCCCTCGATCCAGCCAGTGGCGAGCAGTAGCTTGGGCTCGGTCCACTCGTTGCCTCGGAAGGCCATGGACACTCTATCCGCTATACTCGCACGGCTACCGGCAGCTCGAGACGGTGCCCCGACTAAATGGTTCGCGGACGCGAGGGAGCTCGGCGTCGGATACCTCTCCTTGTAGACGGTGATATGGTCCCGAGTCTTGACGGGCTTCCACCTTCGACGACTCATTCGACGGTGCCTCGAGTCCGCCGAGTAGATGTCGTAGTCCCGCAGTGTGTTGGATAGCAGTTGAGTCGCCAGCACTCGGTACTTGTCTCGCTGCTCCGCCGAGAGCTCCACGGGCGGCAGGACATTCGTCGTCCACGTCGTGGGGCTGTAGCCGTCACTCTCTCGTCGGTCCATGTGTGGTTGTGGCTCACTCTCTTACTCTTTCGTTTTCGCGCTAGGCAGCGAAATGCAAACTGAATCAAAAAGACGGACGCGCGCATTGCACTGAGGTCGGAGGCGGCCACCTGGAAGCCTAAGCGCCACACACACACACACAAGTCGTCGAGTCCCGCGTGACCAGAGCGTTGGCCAGTGCTAGACACGGCCTTGAGCCGACTCTGGCCCGTCCGAAATCTGAGATTCGGGCGGTGGCGTCCCGTAGTACTCGACGCAAACGCATTTTCGCGCCGGAGCAGCATGGGCAGGAATGGGTACTCGTTCTGATACGACAGTTTGGATGCTGTGGTCCGGTTTATATGGTGCACTGAGCATCGGGTTTGTATGTTATTCACACCATCACTGCACAATGTATTACGGGACGGAGCCTCTCCACAGAGACTGAAGACAGTAGATCGCTGACCCGTTCTGGAAAGGTAGGAAGCCCCCGTTCTTTAGCGGTGTGGATACTTCTGAACAACGCACCAGTTCCAGTCGAGCGACGACGATGATGGCAGTGAGATTTTGAAGCCGCCACTCGCCTCCGACGCCGATCTTGCACCTGCACGAGCTGCAGCCGCCACGTCGGACTTGGCGCCCGTGCTCGAGACGTACCCGCAGATCCCGGACGACGAGGTGCTGGTGCTGCATTTGATGCACATGGCAGTCTCACTCGGGCACTTGTTCGACAATCGATCAAGTTGTTAGGAGTGCTGCAGCTTCCCGGTAAGGATCGATCAACGTTCCTGTCTTGACGCATGCAGCTGCAGCGCTGAGAGCGCTTTCGAGGGCTTCGATCAACCTCCGTCGGCCCCCTTGACTTCGACTTGCACGTTGAAGCCAAGCGGTGCACGTGTCAAAAAGATGATCTGATGTTACTATGTTGTCGTGAATCTAACCTCCACATTACTCATGTCCACTAGGCATCAGGGCCACTTCAACATCGGCAATTTCTCATTTTGATTTGTTGTTTCAAGCGCTTCACGTGCGCTGCATACCGATTAGTGTTTGCGTCTGCGTCTCTCATAGATCGAGACGAAGTTGGTTGCCGTTTGCTTCAGTGATAGTAGGTGTACTGCGAACTCGTGCTTCCCAGCGGACTGAAGCTCGGGCCGCAGCACGAATCCGTCGTATGCTTGGCGATTTGGTACGTGTTCTCCACTGCGAGTCGCAGCTCCGTCATCTGGTGCCAAAGGTGTTGGCGGTGTTGCTGACTCTTCGTGAACTCGGGTGTGTCCGCCCAGTCGTCTTCGTCGTCTTCCTCCACGCGAGCGCGGCCGTCACTTTCCTGGCCCGACGAGCTCCAGCTGTAAGCCAGTGGGTGAATGGGCGAGGCCATGCTCAGCGAGTCCACCGCCGTCGAGCACTGCGAGAGCGCGCCCATCTGACAGTCGCTGAGTGTCGTGGGCTCGCCAAACAGCACGGGTCTCGACTCGGCGCTGTGCGGTTCGCTCTTTTTGCGGCGTCGGAACCAGCGAGGCTTGGTCGGTAGTGCGAGGCGAGTGCTCGAAGCTGACACTTCGCCCTGTTGCTGCTGCTGCTCCTGCTGCTGCTGCTGGAGCTGGTGAAGCCGCTCCAAGAAGACTGTTGTTGAACTGGAGGAGGTTGTGCGCGTCTGTGTACTTTCGTTCGAGCCGCCAAAGTGGTAATGAGACCCTGCAGAGCTTGACCTTGGCTTGGACCGGACTGATCCAAGTGAAGGCGAAGGTGCCGGATACTCTGCGCTTTGGTCATCAGCCTGCTTTTGATTGTCGTTGGATCCTCGGCGATAGCGCCCGTTGCGAATCTCCTGCTGGGCGATGCGGCGGACAGGCTCAAGACGCACTTTGGCCTCACACAAGCGGCAGATGACGCTCTCTCGGCGCTCCAGTTTGAGCTCGCAGGTCACATAGGCCAATTTCTTGGTCACCCGGCACTTGGAGCACATGGGCACTTGGCACAGCGAGCAAAGGCCGACGCTGCTCATTTTCTTGAACTTGCGGCCGCAGGTTCCGCCGCACAGGTCGTTGGGGCCAGCGATGCTGAGGTTGCGCAAGTGCAACCCACTCGGGCCGTCGAAGCTGCTGGCGTGTGAGCGCACTGGAGTGCGCGGGTCAGGGCCTCGAGCACGAGCAGCGGCTGCGTCCTTCCAGCCCACAAGGTGTGGGTTCTCGAAGAACCACATGAGCTTCTTGACGTGACCGCACTCGACGGAGTTCCACGAGCTCAGGAACCCAGTCGACGCCGCCTTGAGCGCCACCGAGTCCAGCAACTTGGCGTGCTGCTCCACGTAGCCGCGGACGTACACGTCCACGCGTCGTCCGTCTTGGCTCTCCTTGAAAATCGTGCAGCTGGAGATTCTGCCGCGAGTCAACGAGCGCTCAGGCAGCGGTCCATACCCGTCCAAGTCAACGGAGTGCAGCAACTGGTACCCCATCCGCACGCCGTTCGACCGCATGATAACGCCCGTTGACTCTACGAACACCATGTCCCGAGGCTGCACGAGGCTTCGTAGAGTGGAGGGGGGTCCCTTAACGAACCACTTGACCCCCAAGAACCGGTAGGGCTCCTCAGGTGTCGGTCCATCGATGCTAGCCAGCACCGCGCCGTCAACTAGCGAGCTGCGTACGATGGCCGCCTTGAGCAGCATGGCCTCGGCGTCGGGCGTGACAACGCCGTACATGACGTCGTCGAGCGAGCCGACTATAGAGCCGACGCCGACCAGCAGCCTGGGCATCTGCCACTCGTCGTCCGTGAGCCGCTGATGCTCGGGCAGGTCGAAGCTCGTGCCTGTGATCTTGGGTGGGTCTCGCTCCTTGAAGACCGTGAGGTTGTCGCGGGTCTTGACGGCCTTCCAGCGCTTCTGCTTGGCCAAGTCCCGCTTGGCGCCCGGCAGCTTGTCGAACGCGTCGAAGTGTGACAGCGTCTCGCGCACGAGTCCGCGCGCCAAGCGGCGGAACTGCGACTGCTGCTGGGGCGAGAGCGTCAATGGGGGGAACACGTTCCTGCTCCAAGACCCCTTCATGGCCGACTGTGAGGGGCTAGTACAGCTCTACTAGTAAGTAGCTACAGTAGGTGGGTCGCCGTCCTGGACGACTTGGTACTGGCGGCGCAGTTTGAGTAATGAGGGATGGCGCGCGAGTCATTGGAGTCAGGTTGGTGCTGCTGCTGCGAAGGATTCCTGCTCCGGAAGAGGTCGCGGGCATTGTGGCAAGTGGCTCCAGTCCGCGACTGAAAACGTAGCACTTTGCTAATCGCGCGTAGAATCAGCTACACCTTGCTAAAGTGATAACCACTAGAGACCGAATCGGCGAGGTAGTCAGATACCCAGTAATTGTTTGTATGCTTTATAACTAAACAGCAGATGCACTGGTTAGCCGGATTATCGTTATAAACGAGGTTGTGGAATGGAACCGATCCTGTTTGCGTTCGACGTAAGTTCAGAGTTTACTCCGGAACAAGCACTGCAACCTGCTGCTGTTGCGCCGAGCCTAAGGCCTGGCCCCGCCCAAAGCTTCGTCTCGAAAATTGAGCAGGTCTACTGCTGAAGCTCCATGGCACATGGGGGCTGTTGATAATGAAGACTTTGCACAGCGTCCCCGGCTGCAGCGTCCGACAAGTCGGTGTCCAGTATCAGCCCCGCCAAACAGCGGTGGCGAAGCTCCGCCGTCACTAGTCGGAGGGAATGCCGCGGCTGGGCGTGATGGCCCTATTGCTGCAGCGGCTGAGCTCCAGTCGCCAGCTCGCCGGCTGCTCGGCCGGGCGTCGAACACTTGCATTGGCACTCGGCACGCTTCAGGTAGCCATGACGGCCAGCCCTGCAGTTGTTGAACGGTCAGCCATCGCGCCCGCTTCAAGGACGCAACTCGGGAGTCCAGTTGTGCGTTCAACGCGTCCAACGCGCTGACCAGCGGACTAAGAAGCAGCGGGCCTTCGCAGCGTCCACATCGCACGAGTACATATCCGGGAACCGTGCATGGCGTCAATTCACACGTCTGTAGCTTTCGGAAAGGAGTCGCAGATCACTTTCGAGTCGCTTGGATAGGCGGGGCCTGACTCGTTTCAGGGTGCTCCTTCCTTGCAGCCTGAAAGCCACAGAGTTGCTAGTCCGGTCTTGTCAGGGTCCCTGACTCAGGGATCCGTATCAATTTCGCGTCGTGGTTACTGAAATACTTCTGCACGGGAAGTGGTCTACAGCACACCTTCTACGAGCCCGAGCCCGTCTACTTCAAAAGTGGGCTCCCCCTAAAACGAGAGCCAAAAGTCGCACAAAACGGGCTCCCTCATGGTAAGTACGAGATCAAGGAGCCCTGTTCGGGCTCCCCATTGGCTCCCCTCCAGGGCCCCCCAAATTTAGCTTCAAAGCTATGACGGGCTCTTCATAGTAATATCTGATTGGCCAATTTTACCTAGACTTAAGGCGAGCAACTTCGCGTGATCGATGCGCCACGCTAGAAGATCGAGCTCAAAGATCGCCACACTAGAAGATCTCGCGCCGCTCATATGTGTACAGCCGCTCCGAGGCCACCCCAGCGTCGCCGATAGTCCTTCCTTCCCCTCAAGGAGAAGCCCTCTTTCCTATGCCTTTTCAGGTTAGAATCTGGAGATACTTCAATGACGGCCAATCATCAGCGAGATATTTAACACAGGTGAGGGGGAGCCCTTAACGAGGGCTCACAGTTCTGGAGGGCTCCTTTCACTTAACCTATTGAACTCAAGAGCCCAGGAGCCCGGCTCTCCCCAGGGCTCGTAGAAGGTGTGGTACTGCGTCCAATTACGCACTACAGTGTGCATGTACCAAGGCGAGCTCCATTGCTGCGTTGCTCCTAATGCGGGCTGACCCGCTGCTCCAACATCGGAGACCGGATTCTCGACACGAATGGATTCGTCCTGATTCCAGACTCGTCTGCATCTTCCACCCTGAACACAAGAACCGCGGCCGGCACGACGACAACGCACGACGCAGTCCAGACCCCAGCAAAAGCTTATTCTTCGGTGGGAACGCAGCCCTTTTGGATTGCTTGTTTTGAGTGGGCGTGCTTCCGAACTCAAATGCCGGGGTTGCTGCATCCACTTGGGTGGTCTCACAGCGGCAGAGCGCGATGCGATTCTAAAATGGAAAATACATTTGCCACCTTCAAGGTAAAACGCAAGTGAACTCCGTGCTGCACAGGCTCGGAAAACGCGGAATCGACCTCACACCGCGCGCTGAAGTGTTTTAGCGAAGACGCAGCTCAACGAACGCTGCCTGTTTGCTGTCTGGGCGGTCGTCAGGTAGACCACGAACCGATGAGTGAAAAGTAGTACCTGCACCTCGACCTTCGTAATTTACGACGTAAATGAGCATATGGGTAAATTCGCATCGTACTAAGTTGGAACCTCACCCACTTTTTTGACGAAACTAAGGAAAGAAAAATATTTTGTAAAAGAAGCATTAACATCATGCTAGCAGGCCGGTTGCAATACATGTACAACTAAGGAAGAGAACTACTCGGTAAAAGTGTATGAGGCGGTTGCGTGTTTATCATTTCACTGTACAGGTAGATATTCTGGCAAGTTTTGATGGTAGAACAATCAATACCGTGTATTCCGGAAAGCCAAGGATCTTTTTGAATATCCACACGCTATTCAGATTTTTAGATGGGGAAGCTACCACAGGATGCTACGTTAGCCGGAGCTCAGCTAGGGGTGTCCGTGGCATGTCGTTGGACGAACCAGTCCACTGCACTTGGTTCACGAGCCGCTGAAGCTGTTCAAAGGACTTGGTAACGCGTCAAGAAGAGGTGTGAAGCACTCGCACCAGCATCTTTTGCCCCTGTAATAGTGGGCGCCCCGCAGAGGACCCACTTGCAGCAGATGCTGGCGATGGACGATGGCGTCGGGCACATGGCGTCGGTGGACGTCGTCGAGAAGCAGACGATGATGATGAACGGCCCCGGGGTCTCGGAGACCGCGGTGGAGAGTCTCCACTGGAGACGATGACGATGGTGACGTGCGGACGGTCGAGCCAGATGCACGGCACGGCGATGATGGCGACGATGGGCGGCACCGAGGAGGGCTCGGAGACCGCGACGATGAGTGAGGACGGCCTGTGAGTGGCCGAGCAGACGAAGAGTGGCACGAGGAGGCCAGCACGAACGTGTTGGTCGAGGATCTGTGTCGACTCGACATCGAGGTTGAACGGTGGGCGGCGAAGCAGTGCAGCGGAGCTGCTCACTCTAAGATTGGACGGCTTGGACACAGGCCGATTACGAAATCTGCGGGCTCGAGCGGAGGCAAGGGCAAGCGGAACGTGACGAGTGTGCACAGCGGGTCTTCGGACACGTGTGTGGGCGAACTGAGGGCGACAGCTCTCCTGACGAGTGAGGCTTTGACGGAAGCGTGACGGAGTTGGCACTGAGGCTGACGAAGTGACGTGAACTTTGTGACGGACGGAGATTGGTGTTGGCACTGGTTGAAGTCGTGTTGGTAGTTTAAAGGAGTGCTACAGTAATCTGCCCGAGTAAGGAACGCCTGATATATATAAAAACGCAGAATATATCAATTGATGTTAAGTTGAGTATACTTTTCCAATGTACTGATTTAGTTATTTCAAAATGAACTGAAGAGCAGCTTTACCTACGAGTCCGGAATGATTCCAACAGTGGCGTACTAACCTTTGACCAGGCATCCTCGCACCACAACAGCGCTGTCAAATGGGTGGAGTGGGGGAGGAGGTGGGCTTGTGGGGCGAGGTGCAAAAGCAAAAGTGCGAGTCTACCACTACGGTACATGCAGTTTGAAGTCTAGTAAGATCGCTAAATGCGCGCCATTTTTCAAACGAGGGTGGAGAGCTGATGATTGGCACTGGATTTTTCACCTTAGTACCTCAGTACCTTGCACATCCCCCTATCGCCACATCGACTGGAAAATAATATTAAATATGTGAGGCTATTAGTTGTACACCCGTTCCTTATTCGGGCAGAATTCTGTATTTAGTTACTCTATTGTTGGTAATAAATTCGATCCGACGCACTGAGGCGGAAGATCGGGCGCGGTAGTTGGTGCTACCGTCGGCCAACAGGTGTTGAACGTAGTGGCTCGTACGAAGGACTCGGGGCGCGGCAAGCTATACGACACGCTCAACAGCCGGGCGAGATAATAGGCCTGTTACACCCCGATTATCGGATCAGTGCGATTTACGATAGCGTACATACAGTACATGTGTGTACTGCAATCTGTTGATACGCCGTTATCATCGTTTAGACGCAGCGCACGGAAGTTTCGGTGAATACAGGCGCTTGAAAGTGTCCAACGTAATCAGGGTGAAAGCGAACCAAGTTGCCGACTGGGCAATGCCAAATACGTAGTGCCTGAATGGAACTGCTTCGCTTCGTAGCTAGTGACGGTTAGTTTGGTGCGTGCATTCAAGTTGCTTTGAGCGAAGTGCTCCGTGTATGCCATCGTAGGCAATACCGGTAGGCGCTAAAGCCCAACAATGATTGCCACTACGTACGCACGGCTGCTTACCCCAGTCGATAGCTTGTTGAACAGAGAATGAACATGAAAGCTTTGACCACGTATTCCTTACAGCACGTCCGCTCCGATATCCCAGACGAATCGCTTCGGTGCGGCATACAGTACTGCGCACACCTTCTACGAGCCCGAGCCCGTCTACTTCAAAAGTGGGCTCCCCCTAAAACGAGAGCCAAAAGTCGCACAAAACGGGCTCCCTCATGGTAAGTACGAGATCAAGGAGCCCTGGTTCGGGCTCCCCATTGGCTCCCCTCCAGGGCCCCCCAAATTTAGCTTCAAATCTATGACGGGCTCTTCATAGTAATATCTGATTGGCCAATTTTACCTAGACTTAAGGCGAGCAACTTCGCGTGATCGATGCGCCACGCTAGAAGATCGAGCTCAAAGATCGCCACACTAGAAGATCTCGCGCCGCTCATATGTGTACAGCCGCTCCGAGGCCACCCCAGCGTCGCCGATAGTCCTTCCTTCCCCTCAAGGAGAAGCCCTCTTTCCTATGCCTTTTCAGGTTAGAATCTGGAGATACTTCAATGACGGCCAATCATCAGCGAGATATTTAACACAGGTGAGGGGGAGCCCTTAACGAGGGCTCACAGTTCTGGAGGGCTCCTTTCACTTAACCTATTGAACTCAAGAGCCCAGGAGCCCGGCTCTCCCCAGGGCTCGTAGAAGGTGTGGTACTGCGTCCAATTACGCTTTGGTGAGTTTGATCGCGTCCCACAACTGAATCAACCATCTAGGGCGCAAGTGGTATCGAATTGGGGACTCTGATATGGCATCCGGTAGACAAGCCCCTTTCGGGCCGCTAGGCCTGACCGACGAACAGCGCCAGCATTGCAAGGATCTCGCGTTCCAACTACTAGACCGCACACTGCGCAGCTACGACGAACAAGACGCCAGCAAAGATCTTCACACTGGTTCGGCACGGCACCACAGAAACCTTGACAGGGCGCATTGGAAGCAGCTCCGGACCCGCGCCAACGCATCGCTCTACTGTGAACGGAAGCTTCACTCTTCTCTCCCTGGCGATCACCCGGACAACGGCTGTGTCTTGCTCGCTGTGGGGACGATCCAAAGCAGCCTTGACGAGGTCATGTTTGGCCTGGAAACACCCGACTTCCTCGCGTTGCAAGTCCGATCCGCGGTACTCGGTAAACAGCCTGTGGACGGAGCCACATTGGCACAGCTCTCAGGACCCACAGAGACCGATCCGTTCCATTTCATGGGCATCATGTGGATGGTGGGGAAGCAGAGTTGGCCACTCAGCGCGGTAGTACGCCCGCGGGATTTCGTCTACGTGTCTGCAACTGGCGTCGTGATCCGCGCCAACGGAGAGCGCTTGGGGTACGAGGTTATCCAGTCGGTCGACCTGCCGCAGTGTTCACCACTCCCAGCACCGATGGTGCGCGGTAAGCTCATGCACGGTGCTATCTACAGGCAACTCGAGAATGGCTCCGTGGATGTGTATATAAAGATGCACATGGGGTCTCACGGTCGCATCTTGAATAGGCTGGTTGTTGCTGCGATGTGGGAGTCGACATTGGGCTTCTGGAGAGCTCCGCAACTGTCCGAGATGAAGAAGCTGCAGTGGTGTATGGAAAACAAAGGCGCCAAGTGGCGGAAGCAGGTTTCGGCGGTGGTACGCAGCAATAAGTCGACGTATTGTGATGTCTGCGCGAAGAAGAGAATCCAGCAAGCGAGGCGGCACAGTGCCCACAGCAACAACGACCAGAGCGCATGCTCTCTCTGCGCGACATCAGTGTGCGCGATATGCAGGCTGAAGCGCACGATCAAGATCCCGAGTGAAACCACCGGGAAGCTCGTCAATCTGTGTGTTTCCCTGTGTCGGGTTTGCATGTTTTGTGTGCAGCAGCAATGCCCCGCTAAGATCTCCATACTCAATGGGAAACAGCGACTGGAAGCAGATGAGAGATCCAGTAATCGCCTCACCCTCGAAAGCGTGTGGGGGAACGCAGTCTTTTCGCCGACCAACTCGGGTAGAAGATATCCGTCCATCTCGGTGTCGGATTTGGTGAAGCTGATTAACCGTTTTGCGGAGGTGGACGCACCCGACGCAAGCCGCACGGTGCGGCGTAAGACAGACCCGGTCAAGCTGTAAGCCGATTTCAATGCATGTATTAAATTCACAAATACCTGCAATTATCACTCAAAGTTGATCACGAAGCGCATTCCATCGCTATTCATTGGCGTTCAGTTAGCTCACTGTTAGCAAAATTGACAAACTATAGTATACAGTACTGTGCTTAGACTTCTGGTGGGAATGGATCAATGCGGCTAGCTTTACCGTACTTGTACCGCACCTGGTCGTTGCATTCTTACTCTCTTGCGCCAGTGAGAATGGATCGGTTGCTGCGTCCACCGAAGCCGTGTCGTCAATGGCACCTTGCGACTTTCCCATTCAAGAACACAAACAATGAGCTAAGCTAGTCCACAGCCAAGAACATAATCCATCGCTTCAGGCACAACGTCGTAAAAGGAAATTTCGGTGAATACATGCATCCCGCTTCCTCAACAAGTCGTAGGGCCAAAGACTTGGGTCGAGTGGACAGGTGAGCCCACATGTGAACGCGACGCGGTAAAAAATGTCCACATCGTCCACCTGTACTGTATCCATGTTGTGGAGTCATTGATTACAGAGATCGAGGTCGTCTGGCAATGACGCGAGATTGACCACGGACTCTACTGTATCCTAGTACAGGACATGTACAGCACAGTACTGTAGGCTGCTATGGACTCGCTATTGCGATGGCCTGCAGTGCTGTTGGTATACAAGCATCCCAGACGTTTTGCTTTAGTAGATACACTCACCTGCATCCGCCTGTCGGTCGGTCGGCACACGGGAAGTCGATTTTACATACGTACGCCCGTCGTCCAGGAGGGCAAGCAAGCATCAGTGATGCTTGCTGTTGTGATGCTGGATCAGTGATGCCATCACAACTCGCTAAACTTTACGTGCCGTTCCCTTCATTGGGGGTTTCAAGGTGTTGAAACAGAGGTTTCCAAAAGGCGACGAGACGTCCAGACGATGAAAGGGCGCACCGCAAGCCTCGGCGCTGCGCCAGCGGCAGTTCGCGTTTTCCTCGAGCACAAGCAAGCCAAGTTTAACCCACCCAGCACCTCCCAGGGCTCAGCCCGCCCTCGCAGCCGGGCTGCAGCGCAGTAGCACGCATACCATTACAGACAACGACTTACAAAGCCGGCAGACACAAAAAGTCAAGCAAAGCTTAACATGAGCAAACCAGCCAATCAGATTCAATCAAATGACTTCATCTTTGTATACCATCTGGTTTTGTGTACTTTATATGATTTCTTGTGTACTTTATGCAACACACCGTGTGTTTTATGACAGTTTTACAGATTTGACGGGAGGGAATTTATCGTTGTTTTTATGTAGGAGGATGGCATTAAGCATGCCGGCTTTGTAAGTCGTTGTCTGTAATCTGTAACAATGCGTTCTACTTTGGCCCCACAGTCTGCGCAACGTGCAAGAGGAAACAGCTCTTTTGTCGCCGACTTGCAAAGCGGCTCTCGGCACGACTGTCGACATCTGCACGCACCGAAAACTCGATTTGTTGCCTGCCATTTCTTAGTCCAGATTGAAGCCCCCACAACTTTTCTCCCCGCGTGGCGACGATGTACGAACGCTCCGCCCGCAATCAGGTTGGCGACCGGTGCGCAGCGCAGGCTCCGCCCCCCGTTATGCAGCGTCGGCCTTTCGGTGGCCCCTGCAGTATGCGCTCGCGTTAGCGTTCCTCAGACGAGTCAATTCGGTGCGCAAACCCCGTCAACCTGCCCGTCGGCGGTGGAAGGAGGACGTTTGAGCTGCCATTTCTGCCCGTACAACTCTGCGGATCCCGACACAACTCAATTAACCTACTCAAGTGCAACGGCTACAAACAATAGTCTCAATATGATCGTCGATAGTCGAAGAGAAGCCCCCTTCGCTCCGCTGCGCTTGACGCGGACACAGCGCCAACACTGCCAAGACATCACCTTCCAGCTGCTGGACCGCACCCTGCGCAACTACGACGAGAGGAGCGACAGCGTAGACGGACATGTGGGTACACCGAGACACCACGCGAACCTCGACCGGGGCCGCTGGAAGCAGCTCAAGACGCAGACAAACGCGTCCCTATACGCTGAGAGAGCGAGTCGCTCGTGGCGCGACCTGAACCTCGCCGTCGAGAGCGCGAACCATGACAAGAGGGGCACGCTGCTGGCGGTTGGGACCATCGACGGGAGTCTGGACGACGTGATGTTCGGCCTGGAGACGCCCGACTTCGCTACCGTGAAAATTCGATCCGAGACACTCGCCAATCGCCCACTGGATGGCGCCATCCTCGAGCAGCTCGTGGGCCCCACAGAGACCGATCCGTTCCAATTCATGGGTATCACGTGGATGGTGGGCAAGGAGAGCTGGCCGCTGAATTTGGTGAAACACCCTCGAGACTTCGTGGTCGTCTCGGCGACTGGCGTCATGACCCACACGAACGGTGAACTCATCGGGTATGAAGTAGTCCAGTCCATAGACTTGCCGCAGTGCCCCGCACTCCCGAAGCCGATGGTGCGCGGTAACCTCAAGTACGCCGCCATCTACAGACAAAAGGAAGACGGCATGGTCGACGCCTTCATCCAGATGTACGCGGAGAGCCAATGGCTCATGTTCGACAAGCTCGCGGTGGCTGGGCTCTGGGAGTCGGCGCTCGGCTTCTGGAAGACGCCGCGCTTGTCTGAGGCCAAGAAGCTGCAGTGGTGTCTCGACAACAAGTTTGTTGCCCCCGAGCAGCAGCGAGCAGCGAATGATGAAGGCAAGCCAACACACTGTGAGAACTGCCCGGCCAAGAGAACCCCGAACTCGCGGCGCCGCAGCACGCACCTCAGCGACCACAACACGTGCGCGCTGTGCGCTGCCCAAATATGCTCACGCTGCAGGGTGAAGCGAACGCTCAAAGTACCGGGGGAAGAAGGCGTCAAGCTGCTTGACTTGCACGTCGCAGTGTGTCGAGCGTGCATGGCGTTCGTCCAGGAGCAAGACCCGGCCGAGATCGCCTGGGACAACCAGATGCAACGAGAAGCAGCAAGCGTGAAGAGAAAGACTACCAAGCCCCGCTTCTCATTCACCTCGATCTGGGGCCTCCCCTCGCTCGGTACGAACAGAAGATACCCGTCCATTTCGGTGGCGGACCTGATCAAGTTGATGAACTCCCTGTCTGACCTGGGCACAAGCAGGGCGTCGCAAACGATACGACGCAAGACAGACCCGCTGCATTGAACGAAGGTGCAGCAAGAAGTTCCATGTTAAAATTGTTGTTGCGTTACAGTACTGTAGTCTTTGGTAGCTGGTAAAAAAAATAAAAATGTCGTGTGCCCCTCTTCTAAGTCCAGCACCCGCCTACTTTTGGTGCATCGTCGCGGTCAGAACTTCTGGCCCAGAAGCACAGCAAGCAGCCACAGTGACGCACCTTTAATCGCAGATGAGCTCAAAGGGCTGCCTTGAGTATTTGCTGCTGTCGCTACCTCTGCATCCAGGTTAAGCGTTTGGCCGTCCTGGTCGACGCACCGCACGAACATGGCGTTCCCGATCACACTGGACTCGTAGGCAGCCGGGCACTCACTGTAAGTGCTGGGATCGTCGGTCAACCCAACGTAGCAGCCCATGTAGCTAAACTCGACCTTGCCCGTTTTGGTGTACCAGTTCCTGCCGCATTCTGTCCGCGTGACATCAGTGGATCCATCTTCATTGATGACTGTGTAGTTGCGGCACTCGCACTCGTCGGGGGTCGAATAATGAGGGTCTCGGCAGCCTTGCCGTCTGCATCGCCGCACACACCTCCCTCGCAGCCGCGCTTGCACATGTCCGAGGTCACTGACAGGACGTTGTCCACCTTGCCGAGGCCGGGTTCTAGTCGCTTTACGTTTGTTGCGGTCATTGCCGCCTTGTTGGCCACCTTTGCGGCACTTAGCGCGGATGTTGCAGTGCTCTCGCACGCCTTCAGAGTGTTGAGCTCGGAGCATTTTGGCGCCGCCTGGCCTGACAGTCCCTTGTAGCAGTTCATGAGATCATTCACCTTGTCGTGGATGATATCGACGCCGAAATCGACCACGAAACCCACCGGGTCGTCCGTGAAGGCGCTGACGACGTCGCCCATAGCTTTTGCGATGTCGTCCAGCTTGATAGCGGTGACCATGGCGAGTGCACAACCGAGATAGTTCTTTGGGTTGTTGCAAAAGACCTTTCAGGACGGGCAGGTGATAGTCCCCCACCAACAGTTCTCAGCGCTGGACGCTTGGAGCGCGTAGAAGGCTTCGATGGAGCTTCCATTGACAACGACTCCGGTGAACGGGTCGGAAGCCCCGCTCACACTTCCGTAGGTCGATGCGGAGCCGGAGGTGGCAACAGACGCCGCGAAGGTCTTGCCGAAGACGCAGGAGGTAGTTAGGACGAGTGTTGGTTGCAGCATTCTTGTTGTTGAAGCTTGACTGGAAGTGGGGGGATTGAATAATGCGATGGATGAAATCATAGCAAGCACTGTACCTGTTAATGCAAGCTAGGGCGAGGACGTGAAATGTGAACGAACGAGGACGTTGACGTTTTCCAGAGCAGACAGGTTCATCTCGTTGAAGAAAAATAGCGACTGCATGAGGAACAACCCAGATTACGAATTTATAGTGACGAGTGATATTGACGGGTTATCTACCCTTCCGCAGAGTGAGTCCGGGGCCCGGTCTCTTGTCGATAAGTATCCAGTCGAAGACCCCAGGCAAATAACAGTCATTGCCCCACGACAAATTCAAAGCCATACGCAACCAGCGGAAAAGAGCAACCGGCTGGTAATGCGGCAGATGATGAAGATAGCGTGTATGAGCCAAGCAATGCGGAGGAAAGTGACGTGAATGATGACGATGTGGACCCCCCGAATCGGTTTTTCAGAAAGCGCGTGTCAAAAAATGATCCTCTGATAGTGTGGACCGATCTCGAAGATGACGATCACCCCCGAACAGTGCACGTTAACCCTGTGGATTTGGATAGCTTGCAGACTGGTGCTTGGTTGACCCAAACTGCGCTGGATTATTTTATCTGTCGCTATATGGAGCGAGTTAAAGGATTAATCCGCGTATGTGACTCGGAGTTGTACGTATTGATGGAGACTGCACGATTCACGCGAAAGCCGAAACGAAGACGCCGACTGTTGGCTGACCTAGTCGCATTGTTTGACTGGTCGGCCTACCAGTATGTGCTTCTCCCAGTATCGGGTCGCAACCACTACAGCGTTTTGGTAATTGAGAACCCATGCACCCGGGGCCAACAAAAGTTTATCACGTCAACTCGATGAAAAATGCTCACAGCTCGGCGTATGCTTTTGACGTTCTGCAATGGGTCCTATCAGAGACCCATAAATCCCAAGCAGAATCTTCGGCTCCGTTTGAGTGGAGCACCTTTGTCCATTTGACCAAGCCCCAGCAATCAAATTGCATCGACTGTGGAGTTTACGTGCTCCATTACATGGATGGGATTTCAAAACACATTGCAGCCGAGAAGCCTGGATGGATCGAGGAGAAGATCGCCGCGTGGACAGGGGGTGATTTCGGCGTCAAGAAGGCAGCAGTATACCGAGCTAAGTTGTATAGGACTATGATTAATTGTAGCACCCGGTGAGTAGAAACACAATCAACTTCTTTTTAACACGGTTCCGGTTATTGACGTTATGGCTCAATGCAGCAAGTATCGGAATATGTAGTACCGCAAAACATCACTGCGGTACCTACCGCAATACATCACTGCGGTACCGCACTGCAATACTGCTGTACCGCATGCATTGCGGTACCGCGTAGGATAACTGCGGTTCAAACAATACCCACGGGCTAATAGAACGGAGGTGCGTTCGTCATGTTTTTCTGTGGTCGATACTCGACTGCTTGGCGATATTCTCAAGTGCACTTCATCTTGTATGTATTCAACTAGATTTAGCGTTGCTTCACTGTCAAACTGTGATTCCTCGCGCGTCATCCGTAGGACTACGGTGAACACATACGTCCGACTATTGACGAGTTCTGAAATATTGCAAGATACGGTTGGCATCGCGGGGTGTGGTCTCAATCGTTGGGGCTGGGATCGGAGATACTAGTCGTGGAAACGGAGCAGCGAGATACAGCAATAGCTTGGACAGCATCGTTGATCTCGCCCGCATGTTTCGCTATCCAGTTCAGAAATTTGTTATGGGTACGCCGCTACTCCTCCAATACTTGCACGGCTCGATTAGTTGCATTGACGTCAGACACCCGAGCCGACGTGGGAATATCATCTGCAACCGCAGCGACTAAGCTGTAAATTCGCCGCCCTCTATTGAAGAACCGTCGTTCGTCCGCACTACACCACTTTGTGCCAAACTGATCCTCGAGATCTCGGACAGCTCTGGCGCCATCTAAGCCGACCGACCATTCTTTCCACAAGTCCGGCACAGTAGCCAACCCCCGCCGAAGTTTATACTTTGTCCGATCACTTTGCACGTCAATAGCTATCGGCGAAGCTGACGGCACTACATGAGCGGTATCGCCGTCGCCTTCGCGCCCACCAGATAGAAGCTGAACTTGTACAACAGCAGTGCCGCCTTGCAGAGGTGCCAACACGCGCATTACGTCACTGAGGCTACCTTGAACCGTCCGCATGGTCGAGCAGACTTGAGCTAAAGAACTCTTGAAATCCTGGTGTAGCCCGTCGATTTTGGCGTCTAACACCGGTACAGCTTTCTGAAGACGCTGTTCAGTTGGATCTTCCATTGCATCAACAGCTTGCATAACCTCACTTTTAAATTCCGTGAACTCCCGGGATTGAAATATGCTGTGCTGCCAAATTGGGTGCGTTGGTGCGGATTTCTGCAAAAAAAATATAGCATCCTGGAGGACGACCTTACGGAGATATTGGAGCAACTCGAGAAAACCTCCGGCCGCAAGCGATTATTCCGCTGTTCCTGAAGCAATGGCCTGTTGCCAAACCTCCACCTGCGGAAATACCATACTCTGCAATGCTAGCGGGGGATCAACAGAAGCTCGGGCAACAAAAAAGCTCCCAATACTCGGTTCAAAACCGGCAAGTGTGCGCATCGCCTGCCTCGGAAGAGATGTGAGGTAACATTTCTCCATTGATTGGCCGTTCCATCGACCCAAACGACGAATCTGGGACTCACTTGCGCCTCCTAAGTCCGCCATATGCGATCCGGATCCGCGACCAACGTGAGTTTTCGCTTTGCTGTGGACGCCGACATGTTTCAACGCCGCTGTGATAGCTGCATTGTGAACTTTGTACGACATTGGTTTTGTGGGGTGTTTACCTGTTTTCAAGAGCTTTATCGGATACCAGCGCTCTGAAGACGTAAAGTCGGGAAATGCCTCGCCATCCACATGCCAACGCCAAAACAAGTAAAATCCAAGAATTACATGGGGGCAGATCTCGACATGCTTATTGCGCATACAAGCGCCGACTTCAATGCGCCCCACTTGGTTAGTTTTACCCTGTCGCATCACCAACCAGAGCCCTGCATGACGTGTAGCCCTCGTTTTCGAGAACAATCGAGTGTAAGTCTGCCAATTCCATCATTCGCGCCGACTCTCCTCTCATAAGGGCGTAGTGGCTCAGTAGAAAAGCAACCAAATTCCGCCAGTTTTTGCCTGAATCGCGTGTCGATGTCCAGAAATACCGAGCTACCTCCTTAACTTGATCGATTGTCGTATAGCCATCCAGTAGTGTATCAGCTCCACGGTCCTCAAAAATGTTCCGCTTCCTCTCGTCTTCTTCGTACTCTGTCAACTTCAATAGGGTCGTCACAGCTTCGTCTCTGGGGGAGGGATTGCTGTTCACTTTAGCCCAAGATTCCTGCTTCCATAGGTCAACCATCGCAGCAACGTAGGAGTTCACAGTAGAACGTCCGACGGTTTCAATTCTGTCGCTGGGTGTACTTCCACTCTTGTGGCGCTTGGTCCGGCCAATTACGCGCTCTTGTAGGAAGAGATGGAGCTTCTCACCAGTAACTGTAAACCGGGTCTGGTTATTAAATGCTGCTCCTTTTTCCGAGCACCAGTCTAAAAACTCCTGCTGCCGACTGCTGTATGCTCTCTGCGTGTTCTTAGGTCGAAGGTTAGTGGCCTTCTCGAAGGTCCGCTGGACAGACTCCTTCAGGGCGACCTGCATTCGAGTCTCTGCCTCCGTGCTGCCCATTGTTCCAAGCTGTCCCCTGCACTCGAGTCTCTTCTTTCCGTGCTGGCTTGGTGCGCGTCTAGCGGCTTGGTCCCTAGCCGCAAAATTAGACGTAATTTTGCCCAACCAGCATCTAGAAGACCCCTCGTCAAATAAACAGTTATTTCACCCCCAAAATGTGAGATAACTACAATGATTTGATCGAAAGCCACCAGTGCTGACCGGTCCCGGTCCGGACCCCAGTGGTGATAATGTGCCTTGCATGCTTTCTGTCTAAACAACGACGTAATTCGTTGTTTTAGCAAATCACGGTGATTTTCCCATCATTGAGTTAGGAGGCTAACTCGTCGATTTAAGATAGAATAGCTGCTAAGACAACGAGTTAACGTTGAGTTATGCTCTCTTTCGTTGAATGGCTGGAGTAAATCCGACAATACTACGGCCCTGGCATTAATTCCAACTCGCTCGCTTTGTCTGATTGTTTTCTAGTCGATGATTGACATGCGTTGGCAATCTATCGTACTAAACTACGTCTACAATATGAAGAACATCCCTGTTTTTATATCGAGGAGCTGCAAGCAGCTTTAAAGTCAGCGTTTCCTGCACTACCAAACATTTCTGGTAGAAATTTTCTACCGCTACTATATGCCGTGCTCTGAAATTCGAGCTTGGTTTAACGCGCAAGGCCACGACGAAGAGCGAAAGAAAACGTCCCCGCCGAAATCGGTGCTTACTATTATTCAAGGAGTTGGCGCCATTCTATCCGGGACCTTATCAGTTTGTTTTCTTGCAGCGACAACCGATTTATTCTTGCAGTGGCAACCGCTCCGTTCTGGTTCTGCGTTGTGCTTGGTACTGGCGTTAACTTTAACTTAGAGTTAGGCTGCGAGATATGATCACCGGGAAGGATTTGCTTGTTGGTTTCGAGCCCTTAATCGCATGCCAAAGTTCATGCAAAGCACAATACATATTGTGGAAACCGATTAGATTGTCCGAGCGGATTAGCTGATAAAGCAGCGTTCATGAGGGATTTGACTAGTAGTAAATTGGGGAAAAACTAACGAGCACAATTTTTTGTTGTGCTGGCTTCAATTTTGACAGCTGGGCATTACGTTCAGTGTTGCTGCTGCAACCTAGTGCATTAGATTACAACAATGCCGTCTACCACATTGCAGCTACCACATTGCAATCTACTACGCTGCAGTCTACCAGCTACCACAATGCATGCAGCTAACCCATCGCAGTATACACGTTGCTGTCGGCTGAGATGCTCGATTATTACCAAATACACTTCGCCTGGTCTATCTACTGTAGATGTCGCTTCACATCAAAGTTGAAATGTTTGTTCTCCATCAAAGTTTTGGAGACTCAACTGCGCAGCTTACCCCACCATTATTCAATTTGGAGGAGTCTTCGCACATCGCGTCAAGGAACGATGATATCGCAATTTTCTGCGCGTCGCCGCGGTTGTCATGATCTCCCGGGCTGGACTGATGCGAGCCGCAGATGCGCGAGGGGAGACTCAATGACGCCGTGACGACGTCAGAAGAAGGCGTCACCATATTGTCGGGTACTGACCAAGAGCTCGAAGGGCAAGGTTCCTACAAGACGGGGCAATCCTTTGCTTAACGGCACCGACCCGAGGAGAGAAGGATGCGGTGGTGTTCCTGCTACGGGCGATGGTAGGGCTCTCAGCGGTGAAGAGGTGTTCGCGCTAGACGTACTTGAACCTCACAACTCTGCCGATAAAGGTAAAAAAAAACATCTTGAAACCATGATTCTACAACTGGTAGACTGTTCGGTTGCTAGTGTTCCAGCGTGAACTTATGACAAGAGAGTTTAGCCACTGTATCGCCGGAATTGAGTCAACCCGAAACCTGTCCAACTTGCAGACCGGCGAAGAGGAGAATGCTATTGCCCAACAAGCGACGACGCCAAAGAGGAAGCGCTATTGAGCGATCAATTCAAGAGATGCTACAAAAGTCGGTACGCTATCGCAGACGAACAGGCCCTTTCAGGGACTGGGATTGGGTCGGGAAGAACTATGACGATGTGCTGGTTGCAGCAGACTATAAACTGGGTGCGGACAAGGAAACCAGCGGTCCTACTAAATGCGCCAATAGAAGTTCTAGCCGTCCCGCTAAGAAGTAGAAGATACGTCGCAAGTAAACATGCAACCAATAAATGATTGCTGCAATGTGGTAGTCGTGATGTGGTAGACTGCAGTCTTGATTGCAAAATGGTAGCTCTCAATGTGGTAACTTCAATGTGGTAGCTAAAATGCGGTAGCTGTAATGTAGTAGCTACAACGCAGTAGCTGCATTGTGGTAGCTGGTAGACTGCAGCGTAGTAGATTGCAATGTGGTAGCTGCAATGTGGTAGACGGCATTGTTGTAATCTAATACACTAGGTTGCAGCAGCAACACTGAACGTAATGCCCAGCTGTCAAAATTGAACCTTCTCTTGGCGAGCACAACAAAAAATTGTGCTCGTTAGTTTCTCCCGTAAATCGAGGATTCCTATGATTTCATATGGCATCGGTATACAGATAACGATGGAAAAATACGCTCCACCAAAAAATACGCCATGCGACAAGTCCCGACTTCTGATCCGATACAAAACAATGTTTGTATTTTAGCCAATCAGACGAACACGAGCTCGTATGTCTTACCAACCATTACTACAAAAAATTACTGGCACGGAGAGCACCGCGAAGCATGGCGTGACAAAAAGCATGGCGTGACAAAAAATTACTGGCACGGAGAGCACCGCGAAGCATGGCATGGAAAGTGTTCGCTGTGGTGGACCCGTTGCCAGCGAACACTACGTCCACTTGCCAGTCCCTCGACGTAAACGTGATGGGCCCGCTGAAGTCGGCCCTGCGCAGTACATGGGCTTACCGCAAAAGCCCCAAAACGGCAAAAGAAAAGCGCCTTGATATTATCGAACGCACTATCATAGCCTGGAACAGCCTTGATGAGGACATTGTAGTTGAGAGTTTTGAAAAGGCGCTTCCTCAGCACTTTGAAGGTCTGGAATTCTTGTAGCCACAACAATACACCCCACCTTTTCTTTGTCACGACCGTAACTTCCTTGTCGTCTTTTTCTACATTATTGACCTTTCTCTAGGATTAAGACCTCACTTTTGACCAATCAGCTCAACTGGCGTATTTTTTGGTAGCTACCTGTTTACTATGGAGGATAGTGGTCAGTGCTGGCGTATTTTTCCGTGGTCATCTGTAATCGGTGTAAGGTTAATAAAATAGGGGCTGCCTCATTACCGCCTGCAATGCGAGGAACGACCACTTACCGCCACGAGCTACTGTTTCGCGTGCCTACTAACGAGGAATAGCATCGCGTGCATTAAATACGCTTCTGTGAGCAGTCGATATGTGCTGCTATCTATTTATCAAGTTGTGAAGTCATGTATTTGCGATGTCATTTCTCGTCAGCATTAGCGTTTGTCGGTTTTACTTTAAATCGGCCGCCAAATGCCGAGTGGGTGTCGGACATTCGGGCTGATTAGCATGCAAATCAGCCGTCCAAGGCTTTGTAAGTCGTGGAGTATTGTGCCTTTCGGTCATTTTGCCAAGTCCTACGTAGGACTTTGGAGGTCAGTTAATCTGAGGTTGGTGGTCTCTAAATCTGAGATGCAAATCTCGGACGAGTCCGATGAGTGGTCTCCTGGAGTCTCTCCGTTCAATGGACTCCGGTTGGAGTCCAAGTCAAGCAATCTTTGTTTGGGGAAGCAAGCAATGCCGGAACCCGCGAAGGCGAATGGCGACGACTGGAGTGTTTAACGTATCGACTGCACCGTGTTTTCTCTGCGTTGACATACACCGTATTAGAGTCAGCTCGTATGAAAGTCCTGCCACAAGACTTGGTAGGAGTCCTTCGTAAGACCTAAACCCCCGAATGCCGTGAAAATGGGCGACATTCGGGCTTTCGGCTGTTTGTAGGACCTGCGCAAGTGCTTCCATCGGACTAGCAATTCTTGGTCCTAATTCCCTACGAGGGACCTGCTAATCTGCTCCGATAACCTAACCCCATCTTAGTAGGTAGCTGTTTTACACGTCCGATTTGCCAAAACAACTGAAAAGCACAATAGCTAAATCAGCTTGCCACATGGCGATGAACGCACAACAGACTGCTCTGTCAAATCAGAGTACAAATCTTAGGTTGTCGATCTAATTAGGAGGTCAGATTTGCTAAATCCGACTCGATTAAGCTTAATCATCTGCTTAATCAACCGATTTATATTCCAATTAGACAATATAATCGGTTGCCACAATAGTTTCAAAGTTTTTAACTAAAGTGGACTTCTTAGCGGACCCTTTCGCTCGGCCAACCACCGACACAAAGGAGACAAAGCAGCATTCAAAGAGAGTTTTCTGATCAACTGTAGTTCGGACTCCGAACTTCGGAGATACGCTGAACGTCAACTTTAAAAGATCAATGCACTTTGTACATGTAGAAGAAGTGATACTGTTCGCGTTCATATTATCAACAAAGAGGCTACCTAACTAACTTGACGCAGGCTTTAGCGTATGCGTGACAATGTCCACAGGTCGCATGTGCCGCACAAACACCATGCAGGCTCTACACACGATGACCGAGTGGTCTGTGAGCTTGAGGCGGCGTTCGTCAATCGCCTCGAGGGTTTTCTCCACGCGGCACTTGGCGCACGTGGGCGACACGCACAGCACGCATGCGGTCTTGTCGTCCACGTCGCTTCCCCGCATTTTGCGCTTCTCGAGACACAGCTTGCAGTTGTCTTTGGCCGACGGAGACGCCTGTCGTTGGAGCTGGCGCCGCTGCGCCTTGCAGTTGGCGATGCACCACTGCAGCTTCTTCATCTCCGCGAGCTGCGGCGCCACCCACAGGTCCATCGTGGACTTCCACGTGGCCGAGACCACGACTTTGTTGAGCAGGGCGCTCTGCGTCTCGATGTACGTCTGCACGAAGACGTCGACGATGCCCGGCTCCTGCTGCCTGAAGATGGCCGCGTACATGAGCGGCGTGCGCATCGACCCGGGCAGTGGCGGACACTGCGGGAGGTTGGCCGGCTGCACCACCTGGTACCCGATGCGGTCGCTGTTGCCGCGCGTCATGGTTCCCTTAGACGCGAGCGTCACGAAGTCTCGCGGTGACGAGACGGTTTTGAGCGGCCAGCCGTGCTTGAAGGCCATCCACTGGATGCCCATGTACTGGAATGGGTCCGCCTCGGTGGGGCCAGCGAGCTCCGCTAAGACGGCGCAGTCCACGGGCTTCATGGCCAGCATCTCGTTGCGGTCTCGGAGACTGGCGATGATGGGCGTCTCCACGCCGAGCATGACCTCGTCCAGCTCGCCCTCGATAGTCCCGACCATGAGGAACACCATGGGTTTTTTCCAGTCGCTGCCGAGGAGGTTGTCGTCCCGGTGCGCGCTGTTGCTGCGCTCGATGTAGAGCGACGCGTTCGCCTGCGTCTTGAGCTGCTTCCAGCGGTTGCTGTCCAGGTCGGAGTGGTGCCGCGGCGTCGTGGGGCGACCCATGTTCTCCTGGCCGTCGCGCTCGTCGTAGCTGCGCAGCGTCCGGTCCAGCAGCAGGAAGGAGCGGTCCCGACAGTTCTGCTCCTCCTCGGGCGAGAGCTCCAGCGCCTGGAAGGGGACGCCCTGGGAAGCCATGACGTCTTCGGTCCTGCAGGCCGAATCGATTGTGCCACCATGGCCGCAACCGGCAGAGCGCGAACTGCTGCTACACAGAGAGCTTGGCGGCTGGAACTTCCAGTGCGAGCAGTGCCCGGAGCCATGTGTCGACGTCCAGACAGTCCAAAGTGATGTCAATGCCCGGGCTTTGGGCCAAAGTTTGGCGATGGCGAACTGGGAGGCGGCTCGCTTGATTGGCGCCGATGGGATACGAAGGCGCGATGGGATGTTAAAGCGCTCTGCCCGAGGAATTTCCATAAATCAGTGATTTTCACTGAGATTTGACAACATGATTGTGATAGTTTGCACTTACAATTTGCAAGTCAAATGTAGACATATAGTAATACTAGAAATAGTACATGTAGATAGTATGTTACCTACTACAACTAATACTACATAATATAGTATCACTGTCGATGTTCTTAGTACATACTCCGGTTGCTACGGTACAGTAGACAGGCGACCCCAACCAGTGGCACTTACGTGATATCTGAACTATGCTTGAAGCGCATACCCCCTTCCTTCCTAGTTTTTGGTTTTCATGCATCGATAGTAGCTTCAGATGAAATATGTTATCTTTAATAGACCAAGGTTTTGTGAAGCAAAGTACCCAGCCCTATAAAAGTGATAAAGTAGCAATGAGGACAGCCTTGCGGAATGCCAACCGCTTCAACTCCGCTACAGATCCTCCGTCCACGGGTCCACGGATCCTGCAATCTCAGGAATGAACCGCGTTCGAGTTGAGCGAGATTGTGTTGTGCGAGTTAAGATTGGGTCCGCAGAAGATGATAATGGTCGACGGGCGAAAGGCTCATAAACATCCTGGTAGGCTCTTCGTCAATGTAGCAGGAGATGCGTTGTAATGGAAACGCAAATTTACATACCACAGATACTGTAGGTAACAGGTAAGCCGTAGATTTCAGAGCTTCTTCGTGCAACGCGCGCGACTTTGTATCTCGTTGAATTGCGATAGCGATAGTGACTGCGCCGCCGTGGTGAAGATGCTCACACTAAGTTCTATAGCTATCCCAGCCTATGCATAGCTCTCGTCTTCATTTGATCGGCTACAAATAATCGGATGTAGGTTGCACTAGCAGCTTTACTCCTACCCCAGAATAAATGTAGTATGTAAATAGAGCCATCTTACCAAAAAAATAAACGCAGGTCGTGTAAAAGTCTCGTTGAGGATGATATTATATTGTGCTGCGATATAGTAACTACTACTAGTGTATTGGCAACTTATAAAGTGGCGGATTCCTACAACGTAGAAAGACAAAGTACTTCCGCACCCACCTGCAAACATTGTGTGTGTCACAAGGTTTTCGGTTCATGTTCTTAGTTTAATATGTCGGATCCCATCGGTACTCAGTTCTTTCAGGTCTCTTACCGCGGCGACTCTGCTCGGTTGTGAAGGGGGGAAACATGTCGACGCATAGTTAAGTAGGCTACGGCCTTCGTCGTGGTGTCTGCTTCCTTCCAATCGACTGGGCAGTGTTGGCAAAAAAAATATCGAACCGATTTTTATTTTGGACCTCTGTACAAAACACGGCCATTTACCTGTCCAAACCGATTTGGTGTGACCGGGACTTGCTTGTTATTCATGACTCCATAGAAACATGAAGTCACGTGGGACATGGCTACAAAAATAAAAATTCTAAAATATTTTTTCAGATTTTTATCCGCGATAAAAATATTTAAATATTTTTTTTGCCAACACTGGACTGGGGCCTCACCCTCGCGGTACACTTCGAAATAATATAGTAATCGAAAGAAGCGAATAAATACTACTGTAGTATTACTATTTACCAAATCACTGAGTCAGTAGTTTCAGGCTATCACAATCATTTTGTCAAATCTCAGTGAAAATCACTGATTTATGAAAATTCCTCCGCTCTGCCCTAATCAGTTAGTTGCCTGACTCATCGACAAGGCCACAGACGCTGGAACGCTGAATGCTCATGGTGTCGTGTCCAACATGGCAACGGATGCAGCTTATCAATTGATTTACTGTACTCGTCAGAACTGGACGTCGCCGTGCTCGTCCGTCACGACGCTGTCGTCTTGGTCAGGGGCACGCCGGAGAGGGCCCCCACGCTACGCACGCGGCCGGCAGTGCTGGTCTTCATGTAGCACGTGGGTCCTGCCGGGTCCAAGTTGACGAACGTGTAGGCGTTGCAGCCCTCGGTCTGCTGGCACAGCGAGCAGCAGAGCCACGGATACAGCGTCAGCGCGCTGCTCAGGTCGTTGCCGTAGTAGTCGACGTCCGTCTCAAGCTCGCCGCAGCCGTCGGGGAGGCCGATGCACTGGTAGTAGTACGTGTTCCAGGGCTGGCAGTAGCTGTCCGACTCGCAGCATGTCGTCCCCTGGGCGTTGCCACAGTACTCACCCTCGGCTACAGAGCACTCGGCTGCCGGTGTGGGCGTGGGCGTGGCTGACGCGGGCAGGAAGGCCGAGACAACAGTGAGATCGTCCGATGTCGTGTAGTTGGTGCTTGTCCCCGCTGCGCTCTTGAGCAGACAGCGCTTGACGCCTTCGCTCTTGGACACGTAGAGCGTGTAGAGCACACAGCCTTCGTCCGCCAGTTGCGCGCAGTACGCGCAGCACTCGTCCGCCGAGTCGGTGGAGAACTCGTAGATGGTGTAGTCGTCGAAGAACACGCCTTCCAGTAGCTCATTGCACGCAGATGGAGTCGCTGTCGACGGGGATGGAGTGCTGGTTGTTGCAGGCGCCGGCGCCGACGTGGCGGAGACCATGAAGGCCGACACCGTCGTCACGCTGGAGCTGTCGGCGTAGTTGGTCTTCTCGCCTGCGCCGCTCTTCAGATAGCAGAGACTCTGGCCCGTGCTGGACGAATGGAAGTACGTGTACAGCACGCAGCCGTCGTAGGCAGTGCAGAGCTCGCAGCAGGCGGCCGCGTCGCTCACGGCCGAGGTCTGGAGGTTGAAGCCGTGGTAGTAGATGTTCTTGAGCTGCGAGCCGCACGTCAAGCCAGAGGACGCAACGGGGGGCGATGGTGTGGACGTTGCTGCGGTGACATCCTCCGTCCCACCGACGCTGGCGCTTCCGGACCCTGCAGCGGCGTCCAAGAGGCAGTCGAGGGTCAACGCGATTAGCATCAAGAGCTTCATCTGTGCCAAAGCCATCGCAGACGTCAAGCAAATGTAGGGGTGACCTCCGCTCGACCAGCCAGCCCTCCAGCCAACTTCAAGCAGTGGCGACAACTATCGGAAGGGACTTCAAACACAGTCTCCGATATCGTGGCACTATCCTAGCCAGGAAGGTTGAGCAGTCGAGTTTGACGCGCGTTGCTGGCAACTTGCTGCTGCAGTCGCTGCTTGTGGTTCAGTCTCGCGATGTCTCTGGGCCGGAGTTGCTGCACGAATATCAAGCACGGCGGACACACCACTACGACCTGGTCCGTCAGCCTCGCGCTGTCGTCGTCGAGCACTTTGATCTTCCGCTCGACGCGGCATGGCCAGCAGGTCGTCGACGCACACAAGACGCAGCAGTTCTTGTCGTCCTGGTCCAGGTCGCTGCACTGCTTCATCACGGCGTGCCTACCGAAGCAATGCTTGCAGACACCCAGAGTCGATCCAGACGCGCGTTGTTGCTGCTGCTTGAACTGCCTCGAGCTGCGGTTGGCGATGCACCACTGCAGCTTCTTCATCTCCGCGAGCTTGTCGGCGCCCCAGAAACCCAAATTCCCCTTCAACGTGACCGACACGATCAACTTGTCCAGGATCGCGCCTTGCGACTCGACGTACGTGTGGATGAAGACGTCCACTACGCCAGGCTCCTGCTGCTTGAATATGGCCGCGTACATGACTTTGCCCCGCAATACCGCCCCGGGCAACGGCGGACACTGCGGGAGCCTCGCGGGCTGCGTCACCTCGTAGCCGATACGGTCTCCGTTCGCCCGCATCATGGTCCCGGTGGCCGCCAGCGACACGAAGTCTCGGGGCCGCACCATCGTCTTGAGCGGCCAGACGTGCTCGTACACCATCCACTGGATCCCAAGGTACTGGAACGGATCCTCTTGTGTGGGGCCCAAGAGCTCCGCCAGGATGGCGCAGTCCACCGGCTGCTTGGTGAACAGCTCAGTCCGCATGCGGAAGCTCGTGACGTCGGGCATCTCGATGCCGAGCATGATTTCGTCCAGATCGCCGCGGATCGTCCCTGCCGTGAGAATCACCACGGGGTCCTTCCAGTCTCCACCTAGGAGGTTGTGGTCGTCGAGCGCGCATTTGTGGCGCGCTGTGTAGATGGACGCGTCCGCCTGCGTCTTGAGCAGCTTCCAGCGCGTGTTCTCCAGGTTCGAGTGGTGCAGCGGAGCCGCGCGGCGGCCTTCATCTCCTTGGCCATCGCGCTCGTCGTAACTTCGCAGCGTCCGGTCGAGCAGTTGGAAGGACCGGTCTTGGCAATGTTGTCTCTCGTCATCCGAGAGCCTCAGGGCTTGGAAAGGTACGTGGCGTGAGGACATATCGGTACACAAGGCCGATCGAGTTGTTTGCTCTCTTTGAAAGTGAAGAGGGGGAAGAAGACATCTCACCGCACATCGCATCGAGACCGAATCGACTGGACATTGATCAGATACCTAGCCAGGACGTGACACGGCTATGATGATGGCGACTTCCCAAACGGGCAAGTTAGAGCAAGCCGATGGGGGAACGCAGCGCCTTGATTGGCGAGAGCTGCTCTCCGTTCGGACGAGCGGTGACGTGTTCGGTCCCCATCACTGTATGACAGTGCTTGCAACCGTACGGCGGCAAGGTTGATTGAGCATTCGCCTCCTCCTTGGTCTGCTTTGAATCAAAGTTTGATCCATAAAACGTTTGGATGAACGGTGCATGTAGTATGCGGGTGAGCTCTTGGCATCTCGATCGACATTACCCCACTGGCGGTAGGAGATCCTACCTCAACGCGGCCCGTGGAATGGTACGATTCGTACAATACGAAACAATCGGATGCCACGCCGTTGCCGTTGTGTGCTTCTGAACTACCAGTGCGGCTGTGTGTTTAACAGCAAGCCCACTATTGTACGCCAATAGCTGGTAAGCGCTGCAATGAGAAGAGCTGCTCATCTTTTCTTGTAATCTTACTCGGGCCATGTTATTATTTTGTTGCTACTGGTATCCGAATCGAAGGAGGCAGGGAAACTGTTGAGGGCGGCGCATTCTTAGCTGAAGATTGCTTGTGTTATTGCTACAGTATCCGATGCCTGTTAAAGACACGGGATCGCCCTTACTTTCAAGTATTTTTCGTTGATTTCCAAGTAACGAGTAATGTGCTACGTTCGTGAATGCCATCACAACAAACAATGCTTTTAGAGTAGAGTCAGTAGCTCGCTCACGTCCGCACACATGTGGGGCCTATCGTGCGGTTCGTCCTCGCAAACGGCCCAATGGTCATACTCGATATCAAGCGTGCTTTCGTTCACTTCCGTGAACTTGACCGAGTGGCCTCCCTCCACAACCCAGCGGACACAGGGGTCTTCCGCGGCGCGGCTTCTTGCGTTGTCACTCGAGTCCGCAGCAACTACCGGTACAACGAACCGAACCGATCGATTCTGTGCTTCGTTAACCGTCACCTGTCGCGTCACGAGCTGGAAGAAGCGCGTGTGCATATCGCCGGGAAGGTAAAATGATGGCTCACCACTCGAGAAGAGAACGCGGAAGCCATCCGCTTGCTGCCGTGACAGTGCAACCCAGGGCGAGTTGCAGATTAATGGTTGGATAGTGCGGGAGGAACGAACCTGTTGTTTCGGACTCGAGCTGACGGTATCCGTTCCGGAAAGCTCACGAAGGAACTCGTCACAGTTGCGCTGAATATACCCACGGAAACCGCGGTGGAGGTGTACGTGCTCCTGTAGAACCATGTTCTGCCTGACCAGGAGAGTGCTCTCAGTCCTGAGCCGCTGGAATGCGACCTCAATTGGCCGAGCCGGCGTGTCGCCAGAAGTTTCGGGTGCTACTTCAATCGCTGCGACTTTCGCCTTCAGCTCGTTCTCGAGTCGATCTTGTTCCTGTGTCATGACTGCAACACTCTCCTTCTTCTTGCGTCGATATAGCACCATTCGCTGTCGCTTGCGTCGCTCTTATTCAAGTTTGACGGCGTCCAGAATCGTTCCTTCCGAGTCTTTATAGTCGAAGTCGATGTCCATCAGCAGCGAGTTGAGAGGACAGGCTGCTGGCACCCATGGAACGAGGGGCTAGCGATCTTATCGCACTCCCTTGACGGAATAACTTGGAGGCACGTAGAAGAAGATTGCCTTTCTTAAACCATATTATTGGTGTCTGCCCGCCGTCCGTGCGCAGTAGTAGAACAAGACGCACAGGTGCGATTATTATAAGATGTCGACGTCTACAACAACAGACGGATGGTCTTAGCACCACACAACAAAAAGTTGACAGAAAAACACCTCTCTCTTTTGGCTATACGCAAGGGTTGACGCAAAAATGCACAATCGACAGATTACTCGAAAATGCGCTGAACAAGGCCCACTCACTTGCGCAGCCCACCTCCCATGCCGCCAAAGCCGCCGCTCCATCCGTTGCCACCCTGGTTCCCATTGCCCTGCGTTTTCGATCCAGACGTCCACGAGTTGCCACTGCTAGTAGTAGCAGCAGTTGAGCCAGTAGACGTCCACGAGTTGTCGCCAGCCGTCGTTCAGCCCGTAGTGGTGGTGGGGGGGCGCTAGTCGAGTCACCCGTCGTCGAAGAAGACTCCGTGGTGGTGGATTCGCTCGTCGTGGCCGACGGTGTCGTTGTCGGTGTCGCCGTCGATTCACTAGTCGAGGCTGTTGAAGTTGAAGCGGTCGCGTCAGCCTCGTTTTCGGTAGTCGTTTCGCTGGTGGTGGACGACGTGGTCGTCGTCGAGGTGGAGGAGCCGCTGGCGGGGCCTGTGAGAGGCACGCAGTCCTTGTACACCTGCCACACGATCTCGCTGTCCACGCCCTGGAAGGCCAGCCAGTAGAACCGCAGCATGCAGCCGCTGGTCGAGCACGACGAGTAATCCACAGGCGTGAACACCGACGCCGTCTCCTGAGTGCCGTCTCCGTACGCTGTCATGCAGTCGTCGTTCGAGAGCACCATCGTGTCGTCCAGCCATATTTCGCAGGGACCAACGTGCACCATGCCGCGCGAAAACGTGGCGTCTCCAGTCGTTGGGGGGTCCTTCGCAGTGACGTCCGGTCCGTGTAGCCGCAGTCAGCTCCGTAGAGCGAGGTGTCGCTGTCCAGCAGCGTGCGGATGTCGCTGTAGCCGTTCGAGGACTTGAGTGCAGTGTAGACTGACGTGAGGCAGTCGCTGTCGTCGCTGCTGCAGCTGTCCCAGTCGCCCGACCACTGGGGACTGATCTGCACGATCCAAGACGACGTGGCCGTGCCGTCGAACTCGGCCAGCGGGATGTACATGTAGCCGTGGGCGTCCACATGTTGCACGGCGACTGCCAGCGCGGCGGCTGCAACGGAGATGCTACTGGTGGAGACCATAGCGGACGAGAAGATGCGGCGTCAAGTAGGACTTGAACTGGAGGCGCCAGGGGAAATTCCCGAATGAGGTTGGGGGCGGCGAGGCTGAACTAGACAGCCACACCGGTCAACCGGGAAGTGAAGGGTGGGGTGTGCCCCAGTCAGCTAAATGCATTAGAGCGTAGAAAGCTGGTGATCTGTCGAGATGAAGACTTCCCGGATACCTTTCAGCTAGTACATGTACGCGCCGATTAGTTTCGAGCAAGATCGGGTATGAAGGGAGCGAAACCAAATGGAGTTGCTGGTCTCATGTAAAAACATACATGTTGTGTGCTTTGGTGGACTGGAATGCTTCAGTCTGGTGTGAGTGTATCTTTCGTCGGAGACCGTCAGAACCCCGCGATCCTATACACTTTCATGAGATGTGGGCGCTTTTATACAGTTTTGAGGATTCGAGTCGCGCCATCGTCGTGAGCGTACAACACAAGAATGATCGACATCTGCTGGGTGGGCGCCCACCGATACTAGTACACCTTTACGGGATCAACACGTTGAAGACATACGCTTCCGCACCGAGACTGGATCCGGTAGGACAGACCCATGCTAGCGAGTTGGTACCTCAACAGGTAAGCAGTTCTGACAAAGGATTGTGCTAAAGTGACAACATTTTATTCATACTTACGATATTTGCACGCTGTTCTCTTCTCTCTACTCTACCCTGTGCGCTTCACTCGCTTGTTGCTGCGTGGGCTGCTCCAGGACCACGACTTGTCCGAATTCGTATTCTTGGCCGCGCCCGCCAACTGCTGTGGCTCTTGGTTCTCTCCGTCCTCTTCCTCTTCGGGCTCTGCACTCGGCCGCTTTTCTCCGTGGCCGCTCCACCGAGGACTCTGCTTCGCCTGCTGTTGCGGGACATTCGTCGCTTGAAGCCAATCATGTGCTCGCACGTGGTCCGCTGAAGGTCGTTGTCGGGGGTCCACACGCAGCATCCAGTCTAGCAGAGCGCAGAGTTCTCGTGGTAGTCGGTCTTCGTGTCCCCACTGACGCAGCAAGGCGCACACCGACCCCCCGGGCTTGGACACGAGGCGGAATCTCGCATCGACGTCGCTCGCCTTCTCGAAGGGCGGGATCCCGGTCACCAAAATGAACAAAATGACCCCCAGCGACCAGATATCTGCGCGCAGTGCGTCGTAGCACACGTCCGCCCCCGCGCTCACGCTGTTGGGTCCTGTGTCGGGTCGGTAGGCAGGGCGAGAGACGACCTCCGGGGCCATGTACAAAATCTTGCCCACCCGCGCGCCGAAGCAGCGAGATCCAGTAGCACTGGCAAGTCCAAAATCGGCCAACCGACAGCGTCGGAAGCTGTCGAGCAGCACGTTCTCCAGCGACAGGTCGCGGTGCGCCACGTTGCGCGCGTGCAGGAAGCCGACAGCGCTCGCAATCTGCTGGAAGCACGCGCGCGCCATCGCCAGCGGCAGGCCACGCGGTCGGCCGTCGCTGTCCGTTTGGGCGCTCACGTGAGCGAACAAGTCTCCGTACGGGCAGTAGTCGAAGAGGAGGCAGCGCGTGTTGGTGGCGCAGTCCACGAAGTCCTGTTGGAGCGTGAGCAAGTGGCGGTCGCCTCCCGAGGCTGCGCGGGTGTCGTCCTCGGCCCCGTTGCACCACACGGGGCTCACACTCCAGCTACAGTCTGCTTCTTGCTCCTCATGCTCCTGCTCCTCCTCCTGGTTGTCTCGAGTCTTCTTGCCGCCCGTCGAGTAGTAGACGAGATTCCGCCCGAGCTTCCGCAGGATCTGCAGCTCCGTGTCCCCGTCCTCTTGCACGAAGGGCCCCGTCACGGCGCGACGAGCTTTCACGTGCGGCCGACTCATGACCTTGAGCGCGTAGTAGCGGCCGGACGTGCGGTGGCGCACCAGCATCACGCGCCCGTAGATAGCGGCGGCCAGGGGTCGGACGACGCTCAACGAGTCCATTGGCAGCAAGTGCGCGGGTTGAGAAGTGCTGCTCTGCCGGATTCGCCTTCTGATGCGACGCTCGACGGACGCCCAAATAAGCACCGGGTATGGTATTTCGAGAACGCTGTCAAACGTGGCCAAACATGGCCGACTACATGGAGTGATGAACGGCAGCCTCTACCTTCACCTCGGGGCGGAGACGCTCGCTGAAATAGCGCGGCAGCTCAGGGGAGCTCTCGTACTTGACTGTGGTGGTTAAAGTCGTTGGTGTACTTTACGGATCCCAATGGATTATGCTCAAGAGCTGATGTCATGCTTTGCTTGGCCGGTGCGCGCTCTCTCTGCGATGGATCGATGAGACTCCGTTAGTTTAGTTGAGGCCACAACTGCACAATACTCACCGTGGACGTGCAGGCCTGAAAGCATCGACGCCTAATCTAATGCCTCACCCGTTTGAAGAAGCCCTGGAGCTGACGGACGCGGAGGAGCAGGACTGCTACGACCGCGCCTTCCAGCTCTTGAACCGCACGCTGCGCAGCTATGACGACCGCGATCGGCAGGGCCAAGAGGGACAAGTATCCTCCACGCCTCTGCACCATTCAAAGCTGGACAGCAGTCGCTGGAAGCTGCTCAGGACACACGCCAACGCGTCGCTTTACCTGCAGCTGCAGCGCGACCATCGAGACGACGGCATCCTCGGCGAGGACTCGAAGGAACCGGTGGTGGTCCTCACGGCCGGGACGATTCAAGGCGAGCTGGACGAAGTCATGCTCGGCCTCAAGGCGCTGGACGCCAACAGCATCCGATACCGCACCGAGCTGCTCATCAACCACATCGCAGACGGAGCCGTCTTGGCCCAGCTCTTGGGCCCCACCGAGGTGGACCCGTTCCGGTTTCTCGGCGTCACTTGGCTCATGTACGAGCAGAGCTGGCCGCTCAAGTCGGTGATGCGGCCGCGAGACCTCTTGACGCTCACGTCCACCGGCACCATGACACGAGAGAATGGCGACCGCATCGGCTTCGAGGTGGTGCAGTCCATCAAGTTCCCGCATTGCCCGTTGCTATCGGGGATCGAACGCGACAACGCCACGTACGCCGCGATCTTCAAGCAGCAGGGGCCTGGCGTCGTGGACGTCTACATGTGCACGTACGTGGAGACTCGTGGCGCCATCATGGACAAAGTGATCGTCGGTTTTACGTGGAAAGCGGCGCTCAAGTTCTGGGACGCCCCGCAGCTCGCCGAGATGAAGAAGTTGCAGTGCTGTCTAGCCACCCGCGGGCTGGAGCGCCGGAAGGAGCAGGAACGAGCGTCTTCAACGTCGAGGGCGAGTGCTTGCAAGCGCTGCTTCGAGAGACCGAGCGTCATGAGGAGATTCAGCACCATTCACATTGGTCGCGGGGATAATAAGAGCAGCTGGTCCTGCGCGCTGTGTGCGTCGTCGGTCTGCTCCGACTGCCGAGTGGAGCGGACACTCAAGGTAGCTGGGACGAAGGATCAGCGTGTCGTTCTATGTCAGTCGTGCTTACTGCTCGTGCAGCAGCTTCACCCCGCAGAGATTGCAATGCTCAACAGGAAACACCGACCAGGACAATCATCATCTTGGCCCAATACACGGAGTTGCTCTAATAAATATGACGTGTATGAGTTGTCGTTGTACTTTACGTGCTGTCCATGAGCTGCTTGAGCTCGAAGTCCGAGCGGACGCGGGTTTCCTGGCCGCCGGGAGCCACGCAGGCCATTTGTCCGTCCGGGAAGTAGCGGATCTTCTTCTGGTTGAGCAGCGTCACCTCGCGCAGGCCGTCCGGCTGCTCCAGCATGGTCGTGCCGTCCGGGAACACGGAGAACTCGTCGCCGTTTGGACGGATCGTCTTCTTGATGCCATCCGCGAACTGGATTTCCGTGGTGCCGTCCGGGAGGCTCGACTCGATCTGCTGATTCGGGAACTCGTACACCTTGCGGTTGTCCGGGTACGTCGTCAGCTTCGTCTGGGCCTCGTAGTAGTAATATACACTGATCCCCGTGTCCGGGAAGAGCTACAGTGGCACAAGACATTGCAATAAGCCGCGTCGTTAGTTATCCACAACGTATCAGATCCTTTCCATCCATTGGATGGAAAGGATGGCATCCATACGCATATTTCGTACCTCTTTGTGGTCACCATTCGTGAATTTGATGACGACGTGACCGCTGGCGTCGATATCCTTCTCGTTGCCGTCCGGGAACATGATCTTCCTGCTGCCGTCCGAGTATATCAACTCCTTCTTGCCTCCTGCATGCTCGATCTCTTGGCTCACTGTTTTGATCTCTGACAGCGATGATATCGATGCTGAGATAGCCCTGTCACCATCAGTCGGTCTTCGGTCGGCGTAGCCAAAATCGTGCAAAGCACCGTTATCCTCAGCCTCAGGAAGTGCCCATTCAAACGCTTTGGCGGCGCCGCTATGATCTGCGCCGTCGAAGTTGTCCTCAACCGTTGTGTTGTAGATGTCGCCACCGTTGGTGAAAGCTCCGGGCTCGGCCGAGAGATGAGTGTCGTCTCGGTCCAAACTGTACCGGTTCGGGTTGTAATCCCCAGTTGAAATCGAGTCCACCGGCCGATGATACCCAGCACTTGCTGTAAATGCGTGATCAGGCTCTTCTAGCTCTTTGTGAGACGAGTGTGGTGAACTCCACCTCTGTAGAAGTTCATCGGCCGTTCCCTTGATGGCAAACACGTCATCCATCGTTCTTATCGTTCTTAGATCGCTGCTTTCCCCGAGCACTGAAGAAAACGCGTCAGCTGTTGACTGCGGCTTGAATTCCTTACTCGAAGTGTCTTGCTTTTCCTTCAGTAGACGTTCATACCTTTCCCACTGCTCCAGGCGATCCTTCTCCAGAAACTTGATTTCGTCGCTAAGCTCGCGGTTCTTTCCTTCCAACTCCTGCATTCGTGTAAACCCGTGCAGAGAGTTAGGTCACCTTATTCTACGTAACTCTGCACTACACTGCGAACAATAACGTACCGTCACACGCTGCCGCAAGTTGTCGTTCACAGCCTTCCACTTACTGGCACGTGCTTTCTCATCTAGCTGCATCTTCACAATTTGCGCTTTGAGCGTTTCGACTTCGCCGCGGTCTTTTCGATCTTGGTGGGATATCGTTGCATTCATGCGGAGCTTCCACTGCCTCTCCTGGAGCTTTTCCTCTTTCTTCATCTTGGCGCGCTCTCGCTCCCACTCCTTCTCGATCAGCACCCGTTGTTCCTGCTGATATTGCGCAAACTCATCCCGCTCGAGCGCAAGTTTCTTGACCTCTTGTTCATAGTAATCCTTCCGTTTCTGAAGCTGCAGCGTCTCCGACTTGTAGAACTTGACTTCTTCTTCAAGTTCATATAGTTTTTCTTCGATCACCGCAGGCAGAATCATACCAGAGTCGGCAGGCTGCGCAGCTCGACCACGAGGTTCAGCTTGTTTTCCTGTACTTACTCCAGGGTTTTGCTTGACTGGAACGCGCGGAGGAGGTCCAGCCTTCGACGCGCGGGCATTGTTGTTCTTTGCCTTGCTCACCGGCACTTTGGTAGCTGGTTTTTGCTTCCCACGCAATTTTTGCTTCAGAGTCGACAGAGACTTGTCTTGAGCAGGAGGTGGAGGCGGTGGGGGGGGGGGAGCTACCAGCTCACTGGGTGCTTCGACGTTGGAGGGCTCTTCGGACGCCAAGCTTTGTCGAGGCTGAAACGATAGACCATCATCCCACGGCACAGAGTCGTCAAAACTAACGGCACTAAGATCTGAAGGCAGGTCGCCGTAGTGGTTGCCATAGCCAAAGTGATCACGAAGCTGTTCCGTAAATCCACCGCGTTCGGACAACAACTCATCCTTTGGCAGCGTGTCCTGATGGCTGTCGAATACCAGAGCTGAGTCCGCCTCGTCGTCCAGACTGTCGTTAAATATCGAGTCTGACCGGGTTGTTTGCCATCTTGACTGTTCTTGCTCGTGCAGTTCCGACACAAACGAAGAATACGGCAATCCCCAATGGTCGGTATGGTTGTCATTAACCTGGTCTGGCCGGTCCGATTGGGGCGGTTGCTGATAATGCTGCTGTTCCTGCTGCTGCTTCTCCATCAAGTAGGCCTCTTTCTCCGCCGCCAAATCCCGCTCAATAGCCTCAAACTCCGCCATTTCATTGGCCTCTCGCTCTTGCTTCGCTTCGTACGACTGCCTCACGTTCTTCATGCCCATGATATCCGTGCTCGTAGTCGAGCGGAAAGACGCGTTTTTCCACGCCACGACCTCCTCCTTTTGCTGCCACCTCTGCCCCTCCTGACTATCACCTTCTTTACTGAACTGCGTCCGTCGAATCGGCGACACTGCCGGTGACAGCGTCTGTAGGGGCGTTGGGACAGCGCGCACCTGCTCCGGCGGTGTCGTCACTGATGACAGACTTCCAGAGGAAGATGCTGACGACGACCTCCTCCTCCTCGGCTGTTGCTGCGTTTTCCTCTGAGCCGCTGGCTTTGCCCTCATAGCAATACCGTCCTCCTCCTCCCCTTTGGACATGAGCGTGTGCTTCACCACCTTCTGCTGAGCGCCTGGCTGTCGCATCCACCAGCCACGCGCTCCTCTCTTGAGGAACGGCTTCTTACCCGCTTTGCCACTGGCTGCTGCTGTCCTTTGAGCGTTATTTCCCTCGGATTTACGCAGCTCTCGAGCCAGCAGCTCCTCGAACGGCACTGCAGTCAGGTTTTTAGACAAGTGACATTTTATGATCCACACAGCGAGCTCCACAGAGGCAATTAGCACGCACCTTTTGCACCAGACACGGGTGCATCCTCGCTGGACGTGACGCTGAAGCGTCTGTTGCCGGCGTAGTTCTCCTTGCGCCACGCGGGCGGCTCCAGCCGACCAGGCGCCATGGCCGAGCGCGAGGTGTGCCGGATTATTCCGCAAAAAGGTTCAAATCGGTCGGGATTGGCTGAAATTTGCAATTAGCTGGTCGACACTTCTGCGTAATTACGCCTGTAAGAACGTTTTTACGCTGGTGGGAATGGGTGGCCTGGGCTTTGACTGGCAGCCGCAGTGCATTGTGGAGAGCTCAGTTTGGAACAGGCCGACAGACGGTCGGGAGGAGGATGCGCTACTGTGTGTATCAATCTGCATGTGGGAGTTGCCTTCGGACTGGGGAAAATGATGATTCCTTTATCTCGATGTTTTCACGACGGTCATCTGAGTAGGCCAAAGGCCCGCGTTGGTGATAATCGAGAAACAAAAAAAGCTCTGATACTTCCAGTATCCAATACATGTAATGCGTGTCTTGTACGAAATGGTTGCAATGAGGAGAAACCTTTTATATCTGTCAATCCACTGAGTGCGACGGTGAAGAACAACAAAACTATAGCTTTTTTAACTGCAAACCGAGCAACCAACATCAAACCAAGTTGTATTTTTCCCTATGTGAGCCTTCATGTCATAAAACCAAGAAAGTTTGCAAACATGCTTGGTACACCACATCCTCTACAGGAAGAGTATCTTGCAATTGCACTGAAAGGTTGTTTCGCTTCATCTGCTATGCAGACGGAGATCTTTATTCAGCTCCGGAGGACATGCACTGAGCCCTGAGAGCAGCGACGTACTCCTATAGAGCTGGCGATGAAGCTTGAGCGGTAGATATTTACTACTATTCAGTAATATTAATACATGTAGTATACTAGTACCAGTAGTAGTATTAATAATATTATAGCATTGTACTCCATATGAGTGCACATTTTTGAGTATAATCTGACGTATTATCGAGTTAACGTTTTTTGTTTATTTTACAGTTTCGAGTAAAATAAACTTCATTTGAATTCACATAACTACTGATTCAAGTCTTAGCAGGTCGCTTGTAGTGATGGCATTCATGAACTTGAGTAAGGTGCTACAGGCACTGGACTCCAGAGCTCCTAACTCTGGAGCGCCATTATTTTAACTTTGTTTAGAAGATGCTTCAATGGAGCGATATAAGAAAATTCCCCGCTGGTTTTCCCACGTCCGCACTTGTATGTCATTGAGTTTCTCCCCAACTACTATCGTTCTATGCTGTTGTGGGTACGCCAGGCTCGGCATCTTTCCAACGCTAAATTGTGTTCAAATTTACTTGGACGACTTCGGCGTGTACTCGAAATTTTGTGCACCACACATCGCTGCAGCTATTCCCACCCTTGCATTGGTCCAAGCACTACTACATGTAGTATGATGCCAACTCTACCTATTGATTCCACCAGCTTAGCGGCCACAACGCCTTTATCGATGGCGTGCACTGCAGGCGACGTATCGATGGTTTGTAAACTCCTCGAGGACGGCACAGTAGTAGTTCCCAATGCCAGAGATAAAGCGGTTTGGTCGATGAAGAGTGCAGAGCAGACGGTGTGCGTTCAAGCAGCGGAGATCGGTCACTTGGAGGTGCTCAAACTCCTGCTTCCAGCTGCTAAAGGGCAGTTGACGGCTTCTGCAGCCACATGCGAAGAGTCTGGAGTTTTGGAGAGAAAGTGCTGAGCGCATCGATTCGCAGCAGAAGCGAAGCCGCGGTGTCATTCGTGCTGGATACAAGTGAATTGCGGTTAGCCCCAGACACCACCTCCATAAATACACACTACGAAGATCTGCCCCTTTTCCAAGCTGTCGCACACGACAACGCGGAAATTGTCGAGCTGCTGCTTTCTCGTGGGGCAAGCTTGAGGGAACGCAAGGCGCTGGGGCACACGGTGCTGCATGCTGCGGCTGAGCAAAATGCGCAGCACGTGCTTGACCTGATCCGTGCTGAAGACCTGAAGGACGAGCAGGCCAACACGGCACTGCACTACGCTGTGGATTATAACCGAGTTAAGGTTAACATCACGGCGCAGCTTCTAGCTGTGGGGGCGAACGCGAATGTTACCAACTCTCGCTTGGTTGCCCCGTTGCACCTGGTAGTACGCCGTGGACGAGTGGACATCACCAGGATGCTGCTTGTAAACGGACAGGCGAGTTCAAACCAAAAGGACTACAACGGCAACACGCCCTTGCACGACGCTGTCGCTCTCGATGGAGCTCGCTTGGCGGATGAAAATCCACGAATCGAAGCACTAAATGTTGAAGAGCAACCAGAGCGAACTCACGTAGCTCTAGTTGACGTGCTGCTCTCGCATGGGGCGGACGGGAACCTGCAGAATGACACGTTCCCCACTGCACTTGGCTATTCGCGGTGGATACGAACGTATCGCTGCCGTGCTGCTAGCACACGGAGCCGACGCGCGCAAGACAAGCAAATTCGGAGTGGCGCCGCTTCATGTAGCCGCTGCGTTCGACGCGAGTGAGCGGATGTGGGAAGCGCCGATTGAGCACGGCGCAGATCCGATGGCTAGGAGCGATGACGGGAAGAGCGTGAGAAGCTCAAGAAATTGGTCGCCGACTTCCAGCGCGCATAAGGATATCTATCTATCGTCAATGTTTGCAGTGGTTTGGGTCTGTGGACGTCGTCTAACGAGACAAAACAATAGGGATCCGCCTACGTGTACTTGCTTCAAGTCAACTTGCTTGCCAAGTTGCAGGTTGCACTTCTTGTCTGTCAGTTTTATCAGTCCATTTTCTGCCAATGAAAAGTGTCCATTCCTTTCTAAAAAAGGGCGCGAAGGCGGTGGAGGGAAGCACAGTGAGCTTTTGTCTGGCGCGCGCAGGCGTGAGAGTAAGATGGAGGCGGGAGCTAGCGCAGACGCCTCTGGGCCACCGCAGCAGCAGCAGCAGCAGCAGCAGGAGCAGGAGCAGGAGCAGGAGCAGCCCTCGGTAGCGCAACCCGCCAAGGAGACGACGAAGCCTATCGTCGAGGTTGAAGCCTCCGCGGCCGCTGCGAACGCATCACCGACCACGAACGATGAGGAAGCTGAAGCTGCTGCGACCAACGCGAAGCCTTCGGTGGAGCAGGACGCCAGCGAGACGAACGACGTTGCTGGTGCCACTGCTACTGACGAGCATGAAGAGGTCGCTAATAAGAGCGGGACCTCTGAAGGGGTCGAGACTGTGACTTCCGGAACCAAGCGAGCTCACGAAGTGGATGAGGACGGAGAAGACGCCGCGTCGCAGAAAGTGAAGCGTGCCGCTCTAGGGGACGACGACAGTACCGTACCCAGTACTTCTGCGTCTGCTGGCCAGACGACGGACGAGACCGCGGACGACAGCTCGGATGATGTGGAGATGGCCGAGCCCATGGACGAGGAGGAGGTGCTCCGAAACGATGCAATGCACGCCACGGAGGAGGAGAAGCGTGCGCACCAGGAGTTCTGCTCCAGCCTGCAGGAGAAACAGCAGGTGGATGTCTACGATGTGGGCACCAGGGAGTGGCTCGCAGCCAAGATCGAGCGCGTCGAGGGCGAGAGCTACACGGTTCACTACATGGGGTGGAACTCCAAGTGCGATGAGAAGATTGAGAAAAGCAGCATCTACCGCATTCAACCCAAAGCCACGAGAGCTCCAAAGGCGTGGGAAAAGCACCAAGCGAAGATCGACAAGCATCGGCGCAATGAGGAGCAAAGGCTCGCGGCTGCAGCTGCAACTACAAGTGAGAACCTCGAACGGCTCAATGCGGAGCAGCTGGAACTTGCTCCTACGTTTGTTCAGACTGGTCTCACCCGGTCAGGACGCGCGATCACGAGACGCGTTGAGAACGGAGCGCTGAAGAAGCCCAAAACGCCAGCGAAGAAGAAAGATGCAGCGGCTGTGGAGTCCAAGTTCCCGGAAGAAGATCTGTGCGGTATCTGTGGAGAAATCGAGGATGACGACCTGACGGACATGATCTTGTGCGACGGCGGCTGCCTCAAGTCGTATCACTTCTCGTGTCTGGGCATTGAGTCTGCTCCTGAGGGTGAGGAATGGCTGTGCGAGCAGTGTCGTACGAACGAGCAGTTGTGCTTTGGGTGCGGCCGCAACGGCACAATCAACGAGAAAGGTGGTGTGTTCCGATGCAGTGTGCCGTCATGCGGCAAGTTCTTCCACCAGGCCTGTGTTGATGCCAACAAAATGTCACGTCGCGCGGGTAAACTCAAACCGGGCTCAGCGACAGTGGAGGAGCTTCTTGAGTCGGACGCTTCTTTCCGTTGCCCCCGCCACATTTGCTTCGTGTGTGAGGGAAAGAAGAAGAGCTCGGACCTAATGTGCTGCTTAAAGTGTCCTGAATCGTACCATCCGCAGTGTGTTCCTCCGAGTGCTCGATACAACACTGTTGGCCTGCTCTGCTGGAGGCACTCCGATGACGGGCTGCCGAAGATCCCATCGTTCTACCTTTCTGACCGGACCATCGATACTGTGACGGTGGATTCCAGCTTGCATCTCCCATGGATGTTCTTGCCGAAGCGTGACCCGGACGCGAGCAGTCCTGACGACTGCCACCACTTTCGTCTCATGCGAAATATTATTGAAGATGTCCGTCTCCAACCGCCAACATACCGCAAGCTGGGGCGCAGCATTTACACGTTCAAGCAGCCGAAGGTCTCACTTGAAGACGCACCCATGTGTGAATGCAAGCTACAGTGTGGAGACGATTGCATCAATCGCCTGAGTTTCACGGAGTGCTTCGGCCCCGCACCGACTCCAGGGATGAAATTCAACAAGCAAAATAGAGAATCAAACTGCATGCTGGGTGAGAACTGTGGAAATCGCGCGCTCCACCAAAAGATTTACCCCCGTTTCGAGAAATTCCACACGGTTGAAAAGGGCTGGGCTCTTCGTGTGTTGGAGCCTGTCAAAGCGGGGCAGCTAGTTATCGAGTACGTGGGCGAGGTAATCAACGAAGAGGAGAAGGAACGCCGACTGCTCGACCACGCCAAGAACAGCCCGGAGGACAAGAACATGTACATTATGGAGCTTGGCAAGGGCGAGTACATCGATGCACGGTTTAAAGGCAGCGTCTCCAGATTCATCAACCACTCGTGTGACCCCAATTGCCACCTGCTGAAGTGGCGCGTGAAGGGTGTGAACCGAATCGCCATCACCGCTCTGAAGGACATTGAGCCGGGCACAGAGCTCTCGTACGACTATCAGTTCCACACGAAGCAGGCGATGGAGTGGAAGTGTCATTGCAAGTCCGCAAACTGCCGTGGAACCATGGCGCCTGAGAAGATTAACCAGCAGGAGGCACCGGCGAAGAAGCTCACGAAGAAGGAGCAAATGAAGCAGAAGAAACGCGCTCTCATGCAAGAAAAGATCCAACACGATAAGGAGATCAAGAGCACTGCGAGGCGGCTTTCGTTGACGGCGCACGTGAGTATGGGCGACCGAACGACGATTGACAAGATTGCTGTTCGCACGGGTCCGGCGGCACGGGAGCTGAAGTGGGCCAAGTTCAATCATCTCTTCATGGTGCGTGACGCTAAGCACGGCTTCAACTTCAAACTTCGCAAGGAACTGCGCGATATGAGAGCTGAGGGTAGTGGGAAAGTTAAGCGAGAGCAACTTAGCGTCTCTGGATCGACGACTGCGGCATCAAGTCGATCTGTAAGCCCCGTTCGTCGTTCGGATACACAAGTGCCGCTAGAAGTTGAAGGCCAGGAGGTTGCGAACAAGGTGACGGTCTCAGAAGAGTGCAAACCGAAGGAGTCGATGGGTAACGATGAGCCAGTCGCCACCGAGCAGCCACAAGTACCCAAGGAAAACCCAGTTGTGCAGGCTTAACTTTGTGTATGAGAAGGAGGCACAGCCGTACGATTTCCGCTGAGGGACTGTGTACACAGGTTATGCTTGTTCGTAGATTCGAACTTGGGTAGCATCAAAGGCTGCATTTCGCAGTTCAACTCAAATAATGAAGCAGCAAAATCTTTCTTTTGATCGGTGTCCCCGTACTTGCTCGCTACTGCAGTAGCAGTTAGGGAGGTGCGTACAGCATCGCGCTACAGCTTGAGCCACGATGGCTTCTTGCCGGATTTTGCCTGTGCACTTGACTCAACAGGTGGTTGGGATGTCACTGCAGCCGGAGGGTTTTCTACAACGAAGTTTCGAAGTCAGCACACGAACACTTCAACACTACTTCAAGGTCTGGTTCGGGTACTCACCAAGGCGCAGTGGCTTTGGGTATTCGGTCTTCTGCAGCGGATCCGAGCTCTCCTTGGACTCAGCGCACTCGTCTGCCACCTACGTAGTTGCAACTCTCTAGTTAGTCATTCTTTCCACTCGGTCTGATCGGCACGATTTGGAGTCTTACGAGGTCACTACGGAAGTAAAAGCCGATGCTGGGCACTTCGGCTTGAGGGGGCATCTCCGACCACGACAGATACGTCAAAGCAGCCGGTACGAGGTTTAGATCTGCTAGCGTCTTCGCAGGTGCCAACTTTTGGGTAGGGGGCGTGACATAGAGATAGAACTTGCCCCCCTTGAACTGCTCGGCCAAGCATTCCGTCACATGGTCCATGACGTCTTGGATCGTTTCATTCGGGTGAAAAGATGCCTGCATGACAGCTAGCAGTAAAAACAACCAGAGTTAGGGGGTGTGGGGATCGACCCCTGTGTTGTTGCGAAGCTCCACGTACCTCGATCCGGGAATTGAACACGGATTAACGCCGTCTGGAATACTTTTTTGCGCTTCAGCTCATCGAGTTCGCGCATCGCCTGGGTTCGAAAGTTCTACGAGCGAGCACATCACGTATACCATGTCAGTTGCAACGTACTTTAAGTATCACGAATGATGCCATCAACCAAACACACCTTCGTTTTCTCCATTTCCTCCCGCCGACCTCTAAGGCTCGAGATCAGCAACTGCGCATCACTTTTCTCGCTCAGCTCGTTTTCAGTAGCCCCAGCAGCTCGCTCATTTTGTTCGCCAGTCCGTCTTCCCTGAAGTGCAACAGTAGTGTTTCGAGGAGGTTTTTCCTGGCCGACCAATTGATCTTGCTTCGTCTTTAGCGCATCCACAAGAACTTCAGTCGTACTCGGTCCCCGGGGTTGCATCTGAATAGCACATTATTCAGCAACAATTCAGCTGAGAAGGAACCTAAAGCGGTAACATGGTGTGACCTATTCGTACCTGCACACGAGTAATCTGCGTCTTGAATACGTCGAAACTGGGGTCTGATCTTTTCTCACGAACCGTGGGGCGAGTGTCAGGCGCGATATTTAAATCATTTGCCTCAACGTTCAGCAGCCTCAGGCCCTCCTGCAACACGCCTTTGTCTTGTGGAGAAGGACTGAGCACGATCGTCTGCGTTTCCGGCACCAATGCAAATCCTAGGGACTGCAAGAATTCCAGTCCGCCCTTAACTTGCCCAACCGAACGATGGAATGCAGCATTCGACAGTCGGATGGAGCGAATCTTTTCATTTTCTGTAGTGCAATCAGAGACGTTAGCGCTACAGAACAGTTCTGCAATAGAAAAAGCTAAGATGAGCACTGTACCTGGGTCCGACAGGATGTTTGTGACGATCTTCATCAACGTGGTGATAGCCGTGCGGGAGACCGCATCAAAGCTGCCGTCTCGCAGAAGTTGCAACGCATCGAAACTGCTCATAGCGGCTTCTCCACCTGTTCTGACCTCCTTTTCTTCGTCCGCGTCTTCTTTCATTTCAACGTCCTCATCCTGGACAGGCGGCACCTCGGCGGTAGGAGCAACAACTGCAGCAGCAGCAGCAGCAGGAGGTGAAGGCGGCGTCGCCTTTGTCGTGGACGCAAATGGCACATGTGGCTTCGGTGAAGACATAGAAGCGTTCTGGGTCGTGGGAGCTGAAGTAGCTTGTCCATCAGCAGACTGAACTCGGAACATGGCTGACCCACTCAGAATTCCCAACTCTGCAATGAAAAAAAAGAGATTGTCAACACTCATTCAATAAGATTGCAGACAACATTGCCATACAATAACCTTGCAGCGTGGTCGTTGCGAATGATTGAAGCTCGATTTCTCGCCGCAGGAAGCCCAGAGAGAACTGTTTACCACATTAGAACGCCAGTTAGTTACCATCAGTGAAATACTATGCAAAAGTAGAGGGGTAATACCCACCTGCTCTTGGGTTGGAAGCAGCTTGAAGAACGTCAAGATCCGCTCGATCGTGGCGTCGCTCCCGAACGAGGCCTGGACGCGCTTGCCGTCGCGCAACTGCACGCACACGCGCACTTGCTGCACCTCGGCCGCCCCCTCCAGCTCCTTGAGCTCCACGGACGCGTTGTTGGAGATGCCCGTGAGACGGAAGGGGATGGACAGGTCGATGGTCCTGGAGCGGTGCAGGAGCTCGAACTGGCGCGAGTCGCTCAGGCGGAAGTGCTCCCGCGCCTCTGCTAGCACTTGGAACTGCGAGGACAGGGATACAAAACGCCAGTCAAGAGCTGGAAGGTAAAGCACACAGACATACAGACAACAAGGCGCACCATCGTCGTGCCGGGGGTGACCTTCACCCGCTTGGACTGGTGGTTAAACTCCACGTTCAGCGCCATGTTTCTTCGTCCGATGGATACCTTCGTACAGTGTCCTTTGAGAGCTCGTAAGCAACATAACCCTTTCAAATAGACTACTGTGTGACCGTACTCACCCGAATATAAGCCCACTGTCGAATAGAGGCCTGCTCCAGCCCATACAAACTCCAAGGTTTAGTGTTGGGACCCGGACTCGGTACATGTATGGTAAGTTGAAGTCAGCCATGTGAACGACAGTTTGTTTATTGGGTCTTGCAGTGACTCATTGCTGCTCGCCGCCTAACTTACTGCTGCTTGTAGTGGTAGCGCAGGTAGGGCAGCTCGACGTCTTCTCCGTCCGCATCCATGGCGCAAACCTCCAGGATCAGGTACTTGAGCTTCGGGTCGATGGGCTTCTTGGTGACGGTGCGCACGAGGTCCGAGATTTTCATGGCCATGCGCTCCTTGGACCGGGACTTCTGCGAGTACATGGCGTAGAGGATCGTGACGCCGTACGAGAGCATGGAGACCTCGGCGTCGTATTCCTTCTCGAAGTAGGCCAGGAACTCCTTCAGCGTCATGTCACCACGGTCCACCTCCAGGCGGTCCCACGCCGTCCACTTGTACTCCTCACCCTTGAGCATCGTCTTGGTGGCCTTCGGCTCGATGGGCTCGGCAAAGGTGAAGAGCGGCAGCGCGAGGTTCACGAAACCGTTCTTGTAGTGGTCCAGCGGCTTGTCTTGGAACACCTTGAGGAACTCGAAGCACACGAGACCCGTCACGAGCGCCGTCGTCGTGGCAATGGCCGGGATGATCTTGCCAGCGATGAAGCGCGACTTGTGCATGTCCTCCTCCGGGATCTTGTACGACCGTGCGCGCAGGTTCGAGACAGACACAATGACTTCCATGTGCGAGTCATCGTCCTTGTCGAACTCGATGGGCTCCATGCGGTAGCCCGCAAGGTCCGAAGGCTTCGGCAACTCGTTCAAGATGGACTCGCACTGAGTGTCCGCGTCTTCCAGCCCAGGAGCAGCACCTCCTTCCTTGAGTTCAGCGTCGGAGGCGGCAATCTTCACACCCTTCTTGGGAGAGAACTCCGGAACGTGAATCCTCGCAAGCACCTGCGCGAATGCATCCCTGTCCGTGTGGCCCTTCAGGCCGTAGTTCTTCGCACGGCTGTTAGCGACCGAAACAATAAAGTCGAGGTGCAACGGGTCCTTCACGTCGAACGTGATCGGCGTCGGGGGTCGCTTCGGTCCGGACCAGAACGGGGTTCCCGAAGTTGTTAGCTGTGATGGGGGGTATAGCATTCGATAAATTAGTGCAACACATAGAGTGCCAAATAAATAGTTTGCTACGCACCTGATCCAGGGGGAAGTTGTACAACAGCTGCTTGAGCTGGTTGCTGAAGAGGTCTTCGAACTTGAAGCGAGCCCAGGAAATGCAGTCCTCGAATGACATCGGGCGGTTGTCCACCAGGGAGCTTTTGAGTCGCTCCAGCGTTTCCACCTTGGTGTTTTGCTGCTCATTCAGCTCCTTCATGAATGCCGGTCCTTCAAGGAAACGATTCACATCCGATGGGGCCTGGAAAAACTCACCCTCGAACCAGTCGCGTGCCCACTGAAGAGTGTGCTCAATAGCATTAGGGAAGTTCTTCAGAGTGCAAATAGGAATACTCTTCTCAGGCGGGTCACGCGAAGCTCCGTAGTTTTCGGTCTTGTGGGGCACAACAATCTGCGTGTTACCCTTCGTTCCAAGCGTGCCCGACTCGAACATAGGGAGCCCGTAGAACAAACAGCGCTGGTCCATGTACAAACGCGCCTCGACGTTATCCAGTGCAGTGCACACGCCCGATAGTGACTCGAAGAAGTCGTCGTTGAACTGGTCCTCGGATTCAGCACCAACGCGGGACACGTAAGCCTGCACATTGACGTCCGGGTTCATTTCCTTGATAGCCCGGGCAGCAACCGAGGACTTCGCCTGTTGCACATCCTTCGAGCGGAACAGGAACTGGCGGTTGAGGTTGGACTTTTCAATGGTGTCCATATCGGTAATGTGAATCGTGGCATCCTTGTTAGAAGCAACACCCATCATGGCCCAGTTTTTCAGCATTTCGCACCCGATCGCGCCAGCTCCCACCAAGAACACGTTGAGGTTCTTGATCTTCTCCTGCACCTTCCGGCCAAACACCACAATCTGTCCATCGTATCGAGTGCCACTGGGGGCAAATTCATCTGGGGTGTCCGCGTAGACAGTGTCGGGGAGACACTCGATTGCATCAAAGTAGAAGAACTGTTGGATCGGAGTGAACTTGCCGCTGCACGCCTTGAGAGCCTCCTGGCCGACAATACCTCCAAGGAAAGCTGCCATAGGAGAGATCACGCCGGTAGCGCCAGCCGAAAGCGCCTGGATCACTTTCTTCGACTCATCAGCATCCATGTTTTCGACACTGAAATGCTTCTTAGCAGCCGACTGCTTGTTCAGCTCAACGGCCAGAGAGAACACCACGTCGGCATCTTGCATACTTCCAGGTTTGGGGAAACTGCCTTGGTGCTTCTCCTGGTACGCGTCCAGCGCTTGGAACGCAACGTGAAGCAGCTCGGATCGACCGATCTTGGCAAAATCGTTAATTAGGAACTCCCCAGGCGCCGCAAGCGCGCTCTCCAGATCCTTGAACTTCGTCATCAGAGGCTGCTTCACCTGGGTGACATACCCTCCACTTGAGGGCTGTCCCTCCTCAAATCGCTTTTTGTCGGCATCATCATTCGTGTCCAGAGTGAATGTGAACGGCCCAGTCACCGTCACCTTTCTCGGTTTGCTGTCGTTCAAGAATGGGAAGCCAGCCACTTCACGGAAAGACACCAGGTCTCCAGTTTCCAGGCCGTGGCGAGTATCATCGCTCACGGTAATAAGAGGCGGCACGGAGTTGGAGACGGAAGAGATCAGACAGCTCACAGGCTCGACGCCATCACGATCCGATACGACAAACTCGTCGCCGAAGTCGCAGAAGACGGAGCCAAACACCCCCCGGGCTTCCGTCGTGATGAAGGCGATGGACTTGGCATGGCAGATAGCGTTGATACGCTTTGCCTCTTTCAGCGGCGCGTTGACGAGCACCACAGCCTTCACATTGCAAGTAAATCAACAGTTAAACACACGTAAACCGTTAGCACAGGAGGCATACAGCGAAGCTACAGCTATGTAGTCATCAATTGCGCACCCTGAATCCAGCGAGGAACTCCTCCGTGATCTCGCCCGAGTGGCAGCGGACGGGGACGTACGGATTCAGCTCCGCCAGCTTCTGCACTGACACTGTCGCGCGCGACTTGCCAATGTCGGCCTCGCTCAGGTAAAACTGGGACGCCAGGTCGAGCGCGGTGGCCGGCGCGTCGTCGTGCAGCGTGACGCTCTTGACTCCAGCCAGGACGACGTTCTTGGCGATCTCCACGCCGAGTCCGTTGAGCCCCACGATGAGCACGTTGGACGCCCCCATGCGCAGCTGGGCCTCGCGGCCCATCACGTAGAGCTGGCGGCTGTAGAGCCCCTCGTCGATCAGAGCCGCGCCGGTCTGGTCAATGTCCATGGCGGTGTCTGTGACATGCACCAAGTTCCGCACTCCGTCAGCGGTCTCACTCACATCCCCCGCCGTGACAATGTGCGAGCTCATGGCGACGCTGCTGCCGCCGCGACAGAAAGGAGATTAAACATGGAGACTCTCGCCTCTACGTCCATGCACAGTGATAATTTTCTCACCTTTCTTCGCTGTCAAATGGAATCTCTGCGGTATCTTTCCAAGCCTGCAGTTGATCGGCACGAACCAGAGGATTCAGTCAGTTCGTTAGAAAGCTCTTTATCTCCAGGGGGCGGCAGCTGATGGTGGACAGACACCGGACTGACGTCGCGGGGGAACTGCGCGCCGACGCTAGATCTTCATTACCTATTCTCCTCGCTTTGACTCGAAAAAAAGCCTCTCAGTGGCGGCTTCGCCGTGGATTGGCCATAACTCGTTTGTGTTTGTAGCCAATCACGGACTTCATGTGACACACATCTTTGCAGCCGGCACAAAAGGTGAACCACCAAGAAGAAGAACTTCATCTTGGAATTAGAAGCAGCATGGGGAAGAAGCGTGGAGGTGCGGACCAACAATAGCGGGCTTGGGCTGGCTGCAATGATCTTTGGGGGCTGACCTTTGCTATTGCAGGAGCCCGGCGGATGCGCCACGAAGACGACGAGGACGACGAAGTTGCGTCGGTGGCGTCCGCGGAGACCCGCGGAACGTTCATGTCGGACGACGGCGAGTTCTATGACGGCTACTCGAAGAACGAAGACGACGAGCAAGACGTCGACGACGCCGTGGAGGAGCTGACCGAGAAGAGGTGCCTAGAGAGGAAGAAGAAGATGCAACAATCGATGGATGGGCGGATGCTCATATCTGCATTGGTAACATGTGTATTCGTTGCTCAGAACGACGACGCGGGTTGCCGCGCTTGAAAAGCTGACGACGCATCTGCTCCAGTATCTGGCCCCGGAAGACATTAGCGAAAGGTAGGCAATGTCACCCAGTGTGTGGAAATGGTTCAGTGGTTCAACCCAACTAATAATTCTTTGCGACGCTGCCTGCACCAATCCAGCTTCGTGGATAACGTGCTTGGGTGCCTGCGCAAGCCAGGCGAAGGCGAGGCAGTATTGGGCTCACGCATCTTGGCGATTTTGGCAATTATTTTCGGGGAGGACGAGGAGCGCTTTTTCCAGCGATCAAAGAATGTGCTCAAGCCTCTGGTCAAGACAGCGCGAAATGCGAAGATTAAAGTGGCGGTAAGTAGCAACTTTGCGGGGATTGTCCGTAGCTGTCGTGATACTCATACTTCACTTTGCACAGACTGTCCGCGCTCTGGGTCTGATCTGCTTTGTGTGCAGCGTTGAGGTGGAGAACACCGAAGAGCTACTGGAGCTGTTTGAAACGTTTTTCAACCCGAAAATTGTTGGCGACATTTGCAAAGCAGCCCTCGACTCGTGGGGTCTCGTGGCGTCCAACCTCTCGGATGAAATGCTGGCGAGCGGCGAGTTGCTAGAAAGGTAAAGATTTGAGCTGAGCGAATCCGTGGCAAATGCGTTCGGCTGACATCCCCCGTGGTTTGTGTGCAACAGATTGGTGCCAAAGTTCCTGGCCTTGCTAGACCACAAGGACGTCGACGTGCGCTCAGCCGCCGGCGAGAATGTTGCATTCCTTTACGAAAGCGCAGCGAGCTGTGGTGTGCCGCTGCCCTATGGTGAGGAAATCTTGGACCGTTTTCTTGAGATGAGCAAGGACAGCAGCAAGAAGAACAGCAAGAAAGACCGCAAGACCCAGCGCATTGTCTTCCGCGATATTCACTCGACTCTCTCTGTAAGATGCTTCTGATGCGGTTTTCGGCGGTATTACGGATTATTGACAAGATTGAGTTGTGTTGCACTTTGCAGGCCGGCGAAACTCCGCACGTTTCGTTCTCAGTAAAGAGCGAGGTGCTGGAGATCAGCTCGTGGAAATCGGTCAAGCAGTTTGAAGCGATGAAGGAGTGCTTGCAGACAGGGCTCCAAGAGCACATCAAGTACAACAACATGCTTCGCGCGATGCTGGACTTGCCCGAGACTTTGGAGGACCGCAAAATTGACAGGGTGTGTTTACAAGCTTTATGATGGCGCTATGTTCTGATCTTCCTGTTGACTCGGTTGTGTGCTAACAATTATGCTTCTCCGTGTGTCTGCTAGCGCGACGTCTTCGATAAGAAATCGGCTTCAAGGAAGCAGCGCAGCAATGAGCTCAAGGGAGACCGTAAACGGAAGCAGCACATGCAGGACGCATTTTACGACGACGGCTTCTACTAGTAGGCAGTGCAAACGCCAGTTTTTAGAGTTTGATCAAGCTTAAGGGCTCACGGCCTACAAAAGTTTCAACTTTAGTGCTCCATTATGTTGATGTACCTCGTTACCACAATCAGCAGCACTATCACTGTAAGATCAGAGCCACATTAAATGTTGTGAAGCTAGCCACTATATGAGCGATGGGATGCGTCAGTCAAGTAAGTAAACTATCTTGTTCAGCTCGTAAAACGCCGAGGCGACAGTGGGAAACCTAGTTCTGCACACGATACGGGATGTTCCTGTCTTCCAGGAACCGCTTGATCGAGTCCGGCAGCTCTCCCGACACGGACACAGCATAGATCCCCGGGATCAAGCGCACTGCAGGTCGGACAACATAACATAATGATTAGTGTACCAAGCACATAGCAGCACAAAAGTCCTGTCACGTCCTCGTACCAATGCGCTGCCACTTGGCGACCCAACTCTCCTTGGGCTGCATCATAGCGATCATGCTGTTACAATAGCGAGCCCCAGTCAGTCAGTCAGCTACTACCGCTCCAGAACTAAAGGCGCTTCAAGCTCTCCAGCGCACCCTTCGAAGTAGGCCGAGGTGCACTCTGCCACGCGTTGGCGGTTGTCGGCCATCTGCAGGAAGGCGCAGTTCTCGCAGCCCGTGTCGTAGAACTGCGTGAAGGTCTTGATGAGGGAGCACGTCATGCAGGCGCGAAGCTCGCGGAAGGTGTTGGGGATGTCGGCGTGCTGGAAGCTCTCGTCGAGCTCCTCGTCGTCCTCATCGCGGATCCGGCTCATGGCGGGCTTGTCGACAATGTCGAGTGCATTGGGCTGGTCCTAGCGGTGGATTGGTGTGGTGCCAACACCCGTTTAAGTACGAATCAAGGTGACACCTGCGGCAATATGCTGGAGGCTTCAATGGCATGCTGCAGGGGGCTGCAACGCAAGCTGGCCAGGCAAGCCCACATACTAACCAAAATCATACGAATCCATGTATTAGGTAGGTTCAATACCTGGCGAAGTGGCGAAGGCAACAACAAAATCGTAAGGCCTCGCTGTCCACCTCTTCGCCACACTAGGCGACCTGGCTGATGCAGCACCGAAACTGAAGATCTAAACTGTAGTCTGCACGTGGAGCAACCCCTCAGTCTTTCTTCTCCACGGCGCCTTCTTCCGCCTTAGGAGCGTCACGACTCGAGCCACGAGCCGGGGATCGCGGGCTGTGGCTGCGGGAACGGCTACGACGGTCCTTCTTAGCTGGCGACGGAGAGCGGCTGCGACGCGATGACCCCTCCTTCGGGACGTCGTGTGATCCACTCCGCGAACGTGAGCGCCCCCGTCCATGTCGACCCCGACCGCGGCTGCCACTGCGACTCCTGCTGCGGCTTCTGCTCTTGCTCCTGCTGCGACTCTTGTCACGCCGGCCGCGGTTGAACATCCTCTCCAGCTCGCGCTGCATGGACCGCGGCACTGTCTTGATGTGCATGAAGTTGCAGTAACCGCCGCGGTTGCACGTTCCTTCGTCGAACTGGCGGCATCGCGCTTCCCTGAAATCTGTCACGGGGGAGAACTCGCACACCAGCGGTCGGCCTGCGTAGAACCGGCCGTACAGAGCCTTCTGCGCGGCCGCCGCGTGCTCCTCGTCCTCGTACTTGGCGTACACGTTGCCCACGAGGTGGTCGCCCAGGTTGTCGCAGATGTTGAGCTCCTCCAGCTTGCCGAACTTGCACAGCTCCTCGAACACTTCCTCGTAAAAGTCCTCGAACTCTTCGTCCACGTGGCGCTGGTCGAGCGAGGCCGGGTCACCGTTCTGCGCAATGACCTGCGCGATCGGGTTCTGGTACATGTGGCTCACGAGGATCGTCTGGCTGAACACGGGCTTGTTGTGCAGCCGCGAGCAGCGGTCTCCGTGGCGGCAGGCGCCGATCTTGAAGTAGAACGGGCAGTTCACGCGGTCCTCCTCTGTGCCGTGGATGCGCGCCAGGTGCTCCGCGCCGCCGCCGCTCTGTTCGCCGCGACGTCCGCCGCCCACGCGCTCGCGCTCTCGCTCGCGGCCGTAGCCCCCTCCCCCTGAACGTCCACCGTAGCTGCCGCCGCCTCCTCCGTACCCTCGGTCCCTGCTGCGGTCCCTCCCGCGCCCGCGGAACTCGTCCCCGTATCTGCTCGCCATGGGCTCCGCAAAGATTCCAGAATGGTTTCCACTCCACCCGCCACTATGTAACTGTCGAAGTTAATGCCTTTCCAAACCGATGGGGTCATCTTTGCCAGGAGATATTTTCCAAGAATATTCTCGTTTAAGTACGATATTGAATGTGCGGCTAGGGAAATTCAAATTTGAAAATTCGAGCCTCTGATAGTAGTAGAGCTTCGAGCACCGGCGGAAGCGATCGATGAGCCGCCTGCACCTGGATCTGTCCTGGGAGGAAGACGAGGTGGAGGCAGAGCCCGCCGTGCGATGGCAGCGCAACCGCGACGCCCACGATGACGACCGCTATCTGTGGTTCAGCACGTACGTGCGTCCGTCAGGTAAAAGACAACCGGAAGGCGGCGGGGTCCCAACTGAGACTGCGAACTAAAGCTAACTCTTCCCTGCGCAGACGTTGTGGAGGCGACGGAGCACCGCCCGAAGTACGAGTACTCTGTCACCGGACGCAAACGCATTAAACCTGGGTCAAGGACGACAACGCTGGGTACGTTCGTGATTTGATATTGCGCTCGGAGCTTGCGCCATGACGTTGACCCGCTTTGTTCGCGCTGTTCAGGAACGAAGGTGACCGTAAACGGGATTAATGTGGCAATATTCAAATATGGCGGTGGGTTCTATGCCATTCAGGACGCGTGTCCGCATCAAGCTGCATCGCTGCACCTCGGAGACATCGAAGATATTGGTGGCACGCCCTGCATCTCCTGCCCTCGACACAGGTGGCCCTTTTCTCTGGAAGACGGCCAGTGTATAATTCCAGTCAACCGCCAGGCAGAATGCTACCCTGTTCGCATTCGACGCGAACGAGATGGCTCAAAGGTCCTCTACATAGGTTTCACAGCTCTCTCGGACACATTGTTCAACGATGACTCTTTTTAGGGGTAGTGGCGTTGTGTGTCGATCGATTCGATAGATTGTTTGTTGTGACGAATTGAGTGGGTATAACAGAATCAATCCCAATACATGTAGTTCACCGAAAGCTCACAAATTCTAGCTAAGGCATTGCTGTTGTACGGCAATCCGCCATATTTAGAGTTTGACAGTATGGGGGCCACGCAGAGCTCCTCCCAGCTTCACCTGGTTCGTGAGCCCACCGCTTTACTATCAACAGACGCTGGGATCATTGTGCGCATCCCGGACGCTGCCACTGGCGCCTCGACTTATCAACACAACCAACGACTTCTGGCGTGTCCAACATCGATCGTTGAAGACGTTCACGAGCGAAAGAGCAGCCAGCAAACACACGTCGCGATAGTAAAGCCAGGAGAACGAAATCAAGCGCTGAAGGGAAGCATTGTGTATTTGAAGAAGACTTCGAGCAGCTCAATTCCGCCACCGCAAAACCCATAGGCTCTTCATGCTTAATCGCTGGTCAGCAACACGTTCAGCTTTATTGCAAACTTTTGTGGCCTTCGCACTATTCTATCCTTGATCGCGACCTGTGTGTTGATGTCAGAGCACAGCGCAGCAACGGCCTACAAGACCGTTGCAAGCCGGTCGTAATCCACAAGCTGACCGCTGTCGGTACCGAACACGAGATGCCGGTCGTTAAACTTCGTCGAGATGAAGCGCGCGGACGGTGTCGGCGGCTCAAACCACCGCACCGGGTTAGGCTCGTACCATCGCCACATTGCAGCCTAGCGACAACAAACGAGAACACTCTTAGTTGCGGTAACAGCCTGAGAGCCATCGATAAAACAAACACGCACCTTGCCAGTCGATGACACGCTAACGAGCTTGCGGTTGTCGAACTGAAGGGACTTGACTCCTCCATGTTCGTGATTGCTAAATGTACACAGCGATTGTTGGGTTCGCACGTCCCAGGCCTCCATTCCCTGCTCCGAGTAGCCTGCAACGACTACAGTCTCGTCCATCTCGAGCGCCGAGATTGATCCTTCACACAATGCCGATTTTGACAAAATCTTCGCGCTCTTGCCACCCCACCAACGAACTGTGCCCTCGTTACCCGCGGACCACAAAACTCGTCCTTTCGTGTCTGCGTTGACGACAGATCCTGTGAAGTGTTGGACAAGAGTTCACATAAGCTCATTAGTACCAACATACCAACCACAGTAGATATATCGACGTTAATATCCGTACCCGGGTGGCCTGCAAGTCGATGAGTCAGTCGGCTGCTGCGCAGATCGAAAACACGAATGAGGCCGCAAGATGTGCCGCACACCAGAGTGTTGCGAAGCAACATCAGAGTCGTTATCTGTGGGCAAGTCTCCCTCTGGGATCTGGGCAGCATCGACTTGTGGATCTTGCTAGACGGGATAGATACAATGATCTCTCCTTTTGTGACGTCCCACACATTCGCTTCACCCTTCTCTGTTGACGTCGCCAGGTGCAGGAAGGTGCCATCGTTGTGATCGATACGAACGTTTACCACCTTGTCCTTCGCGCGAGTCCTAATGAAGGGAACCATTCCCAAGCTAGACCGGTGGGAGATAGACGTCGTGGGTGACGCATTCACGAGCGGCGTTGTGTCGAGGTTGCGGCTTTCAAGTGACGAAAAGCTCCAGATTTTAACCGCGCCATCCGTGCAACCAACAGCGAGAGCTTCATCGCACACGTCATAACACGAAGCGTTCGTTTGCGTCATCGATGCCCGCAGCTGCTGCTTCTCGAGCGACCACAAGTAAAAGTTCGCGCGCTCTTGGTCAATCGCGCCAGAAACTAGCTGCGTACGCAATAAAAACAAGATGTACACGTCAGAATAAGCACAAATCCATTGCAAAGTGCACCTCTTGCCACGTACTCGTGCGTCTTGGCTCCGACTGAACCTGTTGTTCAGCAGTCCCACGTTCTCAAACGCCGTCCGAGAGTTCTTGTGCACCTCGTTTCGTAATTCCGGCACGTCGTCAAGATTCAGCGTCCGAGGCGGCTTATCGAACCACTCGTTCTCCGCAGTCATTAGCTTCAGGTCGTGCACGTATTCTCGCATGGAGGTGCGTTCGTTCAGCAGACACGCTCGGATGGCAGGAGGGGACCCTCGACGGTTCACATTGCTGTCGTTGACACAACACATATATATCCCCTGTCAGACTTTGTAATCTCCACCAGCAAAGACGGTAAATAGCAGCAGGCAGGCATTACGGTGAAGGAGCGTCCACCTCGCGGTAGCAGTAGTTGGCTGCGCGGCGGAAGCAGTTGATCAGCAGCGGCTCGTAGGGCACGCCAGCCGAGATCTCCCACACGGAGGGCTTCATCATCTCCCTCGCCCAGTTGCGGTTCAGGCAGACTGCAGCACACAGAGACGTAGATCGCTGGGTCAATTCCGAAAGCTCGCCTTTTACCTTCTTTCCTTTCTCTCTCCGCCACGCCTACGCACCCAGCAGACGCGTATCCACGGAGCCCACGAACGCGACCACCCGCGCCAGCAGCGTGGGCTTGCCCAGCAGCACGTTGATGGGGGCCGAGGCCGCCTCGGCGTCGACTTGGTCCGTCATGGCGGTCGCTTCTCCTGATTCCCGGAATGCCGAGGGGGAGGAAGCCTGGCGCTTTTCTTGCCCCGCCCCGGGTGATGGCCGAGCTGTACCACAAACGCGGTACCCGACTGTGGCAGCAGTGCAAAGAACAGCTACGATTGGCGGTCAGCTCACTTGGTCGGTGACAATACTATTAACACGAGAGCCTTTGTATCGTGTTTCGAATCCACAATTTACATCTTGGTTTCAATATGCCAACAAGTCTCTGCTTACCATGATAACAGCAATCGGAGGTCTACCGGGCCGAGAGGGGGGAAACTGTAATAGGCTCGGGCGCGCCAGAACGAACCAAGGGACTGCCTGCCTGCAGCTGCCGCCGCCATGTCGTCGAGCGACGAGGAGCTGGACCGCAACCTGTCGGAGGACGAGGACGTCTCGGAGGACGAGATCCCGGAGGAGGAGGACGAAGAAGAGGAAGAAGAGGAGACGCCCGTGAAGAAGCGCAAGGCGGCCGACAGCAAGCCCAAGCCCAAGAAGCGCCGCAAGCCCGTCAACAAGTTCATCGAGGAGGAGGCCGACGTGGACGAGGATGAGGAAGAGGAGGAGGACGACGACGACGACTTCTACCGCTCCGAGCGCCAGATGGCCGAGGAGGTCGAGGCCGGCCACTCGTACCGCTACGAGCCGCAGGACCGCACCGAGTTCGACGAGTCGGAGAGCGCCGAGGCCATCGTGAACCGCATCAAGAAGCGCCACCAGCAGAGCCGCAAGCAGTACGACGGCGATGAGGAGGGCGGCGACGTCATCCAGAGCGAGGTGGCGCAGCAGTCGCTGCTGCCGTCCATCCAGGACCCGCGCATGTGGGTCTTCAAGTGCAAGCCCGGCCGCGAGCAGCACCTCGTGGTCGCGCTCATGAACAAGTTCATCGAGTTTGCGCGCCGCGGCGAGCCGCTCATGGTCAAGTCCGTCGTGGCCTCCAACTCGAAGGGATTCATCTACGTGGAGGCGGAGCGCGAGCCGCACGCCAAGGACTGCCTCAACGGCCTGCGCGACGTGCAGCAGTGGTCCATGAAGCTCGTCCCGATCCACGAGATGACGTCGGTGCTCAACTTCCAGACCAAGAGGAAGCCGCTGGTGGTGGGCGCCTGGGCGCGAATGAAGCGCGCTGGGCTGTACAAGGGCGACCTCTGCAAGGTGATCGAGATCCTGGACAATGGAGCTCGTGCCGTTGTGAAGATGATCCCTCGTCTGGACCCGATTGTGCTGGCGGGTGGCGAGCAGCCCAAGTACAAGAAGGGCCAGCGCCCAGCGCAGAAGCTGTTCCACGCGAACATGGTCCCCGGCGCAGATGTGGCCCGCCGCCGGTACCCCTCGACAGGAGAAATGATGGATACGTTCGACAACGACTTCTACCACGAAGGTTTCCTCATCAAGGAGGTGAATATCGCTACTATGCTGACTACAGAGGACGTGAACCCGACATTGGACGAGATTAATCGCTTCTCGTCTGTGGCTGGAGAAGATGGTGAACAGAGCGCCGAGGATATGCTTGCCTCGGTGGAGGCCGACGATTGGAAGAACAAGGTCGACTTGACAAAGGGCGACACCGTGCGCGTTATCGAGGGTGACCTGATCAACCTCATGGGTGTCGTGCTCAGTACCAACACGGCCAACGACACTGTGCGGGTTATGCCGCTTCACGAAGAAATCAAGGACACGATATTGGACTTCCAGCTGAAACAGCTTATGAAGTATGTGAAGGTGGGCGATCACATCAAGGTGGTGTCTGGCATGTACTCGGGCGAGACCGGTACGGTTGTGGCAGTGGATGACAGCGAAGGTGCCCCCGTGGCCATTGTGCTGGTGGACAGCATGGCACGAGAGATTCAAGTTCGTGTTCGCGACCTCCAAGAGTCAGCCGAAATTTCTCAGGGACTTGACTCGTACAAGGGCAAAGAACTTTATGACCTCGTTGCGCTCGCACATGGCGATGTGGGTGTGATCACGCATGTCGGACGGGAGGGCTTTACAGTACTGTGCCAGAACGGTCAGTCTCGGAACATCTCGGATCAGGAAGTACAGCGGAAGATTGTATCTTCGCGCACAACTGCCGCCTTGGACAAAAAGCACAACCACGTCAGCGTTGGAGAAATGGTAAATGTGGTGGAAGGACCCTTTTCCGGTCACAGCGGCACGGTGAAACACATCTACCGAACCTACCTCTTTATTCACAACAACCGCATCACGACGAATTCTGGTATTTTCGTGACGCGCGCGCGCGGTGTGATTCTATCCGGTAGCAAGGCGCGCTCCGACATGATTTCAAACTCAACTGTGCCTCGCATGGACGCGGGTATGCGTCAGCAGAACCAGCGTGGAGGCAGGAACCAGCGCGAGTCGGAGTTGATTGGCCAGACTGTGAAGGTGAAAAAGGGCCGCTGGAAAGGATACATTGGTATTGTGGTCGACGAGAGCGACCAGAAGGTCAAGGTCGAGATCCATTGCAAGGCGAAAATCGTGGATATTGACCGGTTGCATATTACGGTGGCTGGTACGCGCGATGGCGGTGTTGTGGACAAGCCTCGCTACGCTGGTACTCCGATGACTGGTGCTACTCCTCTGCCGTCGCAGACACCGCTCCATGGCAGTGCCATGACGCCGATGGCTACGCCACTACACCGCGGTATGGGCACTCCGCAGTCGTCTGGCCGTGCCGGCGAGGCTTGGAATGTTGCGAATGATGATGCATTGTTGGAGACGCAGATGAACCAGGAGAAGGATATTACTCATGCTACCAGTTTCGGCACGCCTCTTGAGCCTACTGCGCCGTCAAGTGATATGTCGAGCAGCCGGTACTCGAACCCGACGACGCCGATGGCCCCGCGCTCTCCGACACGAGATGGCATGATGCCTGTGACCCCCGCTGCTAACCCGACTACTCCTGGCCTGAACCCGACGACTCCCGGTCTGCAACCGAGAACTCCAGCGTACATGATGGGCCATAACCCGACGACACCTGGTCTCAACCCGACGACGCCAGGCTTGAACCCGACAACACCGGCACATTTGTCAGCGGCTACGCCAGGCATGGGTCACGAGCCCATGGGAATGGAGCCGATGACCCCAGGCTTCAACCCTACGACGCCGGGTTTGTCGGCCATGACTCCAGGTCTCAACCCCGTGACGCCTGGAATCAACACTCCAGGCTACAACCATAACCCGATGACTCCAGGCTTTGGCGTGGCAACTCCCATGGGTCGCATGAACTCGGCCGCAACACCTGCTGCGACTCCCGGCATGATGGGCGGTAATGGCGTTCCTATGACGCCCGCGTTCAACCACGACATGAATGATTCCGCGGGTGGCCCTGCCAGCGGCGAGGTGACGTGGAAGATGAAGGGTGTGGAAGTTGAAGTCATTGCTGGCGAGCTCAACGGCAGCGTGGGCGCCATCACCAATGTGAGCGGAGGCTCGTGCTCTATCGACGTGGATGGTCGTGTAATCACAGTGTCGCTCAACGACGTGCGGCCGGTTGTTCCCGAGAAGCAGGATACGGTCATCATCCTGTCGGGTGACGAGGCGGGCACCAGGGGCTCGCTGATCGGTACCGATGCCTCGGATGGTATTGTCAAGGTCGACGGTGGCTCTGAGATTAAGATTTACGCGATCGCGTCGCTGGCCAAGATTGCGCAGTAAGACTACTAGGCATGGATGGAAGCGGGCAACAGACACGTATATTTGACGCGCCGACAGAGACAGACAGACGCTGCCGCCCATCAGTATGTACCGACAAACTAACAGGTTTCCACTGCTTGTTCAATAGTGTTTTGAGTCGAAATGGAGTCGTCTAATATGAGGCATTGCTGAAGCGACGCGCTGATGACCGGACACTGCACTGCAGTCCTCACTGATGCCGTCAGTATCGCTCGGCAAGCCCCATGAGCGCCAGGTTTCATCCACGGTGGGTGCTCGAAGGAAGCCCAGGCATCAGGCTAATGGTAAGGGCGCCCCCGCACACAGCAACAATGTTCTTCCTTATATCGAGAGCCCAAGCGAGCTGGAAGCGAAGCGACTTGCAGCCCAGCGCGTCGCAATGGTGGTGGCAGATCGTGCGACTGCCATCCTGAAAATGCAACAGCAGCGGGATCCTGACGTCCTCGACCTTCGGCCTTACGCTGAGGAGCTCAACGACGTCCTTCTTACCGAAATGGCGCACCAGCTTCGGGCCAACCGAGCGGCTGGGTATTCGCTCCTTATACTTTCGGGATGCAAGGGCTTCACCCCGGTACGTTCTGAATGATGTACGATGATTACGAGGTTCACTAAGAGCAAATTGTATATGTAGGTTGGCTTGCGTTCTCTTGTGCATGCCGTGGGTGAAAATCTACGCCAGTTAGACTGCTCGCGCACGACGCTGTCGGTGCCCATGCTGCAGGTGCTGGCTACAGGTATCGAACGTCTGGACGTGCTCGACTTTTCATCGTGCCCTCAGCTATTGAGTGAAGGAGTGCGCGAGTTCATCTCGTGTTGCAACACTTCGTTGACCCGCCTAAATCTCTCTCGTTGTGGAGCACTAACCGACGATGCGCTGGGGTGGGTTGGTGGTGCCTTAGGGCCTCAGGGTTCGCGTACTCGATGCCATCGGCTGCTGTCGCTCGACGTATCTTTCACCGTCGCCATCTGCGACCGTGGTCTGGCAGCTCTCGGTGCGGGTTGCCAAGCTCTGCAATTCCTGAATCTGGAGGGACTGGAGCGGATCTCGGACGCTGGCATACTGCACATCGTTCGGGGATGCAAGGCACTTCGCGTTCTCAGTCTGAAACGATGTCTCCAACTCACGAACACGTCACTGAGCCATATCGGAAAGCACGGTGCAAAACTGCGCACTCTTAACCTCAGCGGATGCTACGGGATGTCGTCAGCCGGGTTATTGGTAATGGTGCCTGGGACGCCTTTGCTGCAGTCGCTGAACCTCGAGGGCTGCCTACACATGCGTGAGGACATCCTTGCGCCAGTTGCAACTGCGTGCCCCGCCCTGCAGACACTGAACCTGACGGGGTGTCAAGATATCACGGACACCGGCATCAGGACGTTAGCGGAGAACATGCCGTTCGTGCAAAGAGCACGAACGTACCGAGGACTGGAGCCGCGTGTCGACGGATTGCAGATTAAATACTCGGTTCAGGAGCAAACTATTCGTGCTTCCGCTGCACTGCGCCTACAGGCCTACTTTCGAGGGTATATGGGTCGACGTGTTGCAGCTTCATGGCGTGAAACAATGGTGCAGACCCCGGCGTGCCGCAAAATTCGGCGGTGCTACATGTCCTGGCATTTAAGACGTCAGATTCAATCCCGTGTGGAGCGTACGAAGCTCATAAATCGCAGTGCTGTGCGGATCCAGAGTCGAGTGCGCGGTATGTTGGGTCGAGCAGGTTTTGTGCGCTCCCAGCGTGAGGAGCAGCGGCTAAGTGTTTGGTCCGTCTACGCCGTCAAAGTCCAAGCTGCCTACCGCGGTTATTGGACGCGGCGGCACTTTGTGTTAGTGCGTAAATCCATGGATCGATACCAACTTGAGCAAAGGCTCCTACAGCGTGAAGCCGCCGCAACTCGCTTGCAGGAAAACTACCGTTCAAGGTTTGGTCGGTCGCGCTTTGAGGATCTAATGGCTCTGAACCAAAGACGCCGGAAGGAGCAACACGATGCAGCAGTGACGCTACAGCGGTTGTATCGAACCCGCGCTGCACGTCGCGCGTATCGTCAATTGCAAGCAGCAATAGCCCGACAACAAGAAGAGGCCCGAGAGCTGGAGCGGCTTGCAGTCAAACTACAAAGCAACTGGCGTGGTCATCGAAGTCGTCGGAACGAACTGGTTCGGGTGCGCGAAGAAGCAGCAGCCAGAGAGAAGCGACAGCACGCGGCTGCGAGCCGCATCAATGCTGGAGTGCGCGGATACTTTGGTCGAAGATACGCGAGGGCTGAGCGTGTCCGCGCTCAAACACGACTACGCGCGGCGTGTGTCATCCAGCGCACGTGGCGGAGATACTCAGAGCCCGACCCCAGACAACTGGACCTCGACGCAATGCTGATGCATCTACGCGAAAGCGCTCTGAATGAAGACGCCGTGGCTCGAGCTCAACAGGCGGAGATTCTGCGAAAGGCGAAAGAGCTGGTGAATCGGGATTCAGCTTCAGAACCCGAGAGTGATGACGACTGGCGTGACTTCCAGAATGAGTATGGTGATCAGTTCTGGTTCTCTCCTTCTCGAAACGATAGGGTTTACATGAGACCAAACGACCACGCTCGGGAGAAAAGTATCCTCGAGATGCCTTGCCGCGTGTTGTGGCCGCTCGAGCAGCGCTGGTTTGACGGCAGGGTGACCCGCTACAACTGGAAGAAGGATCGACACCGCATCGACTACGACGACGGGGACCACGAGTGGCTCAGTGTCTTCCGTGCAGACTCGTCCCGCGTCCAGCTCTTCAATGGGCACTGCTGGTGCATGGCTCCTATGCTGGATACGTCGACACGGACACTTCGTGCTGCGATTTTCATTGGCGTCTACTTCCAGCGATTCGACCCTCGACGCATGTGTTGGCGCAGCGGGAGCATTCGAGCGTACCATGAGCCGAGCGATATGTTTCTGCTGATGCACGACCCCTACGAAGATGGAGCGGAGTACGAACAAGAGTGGGTGAGCGTGTTCACGACGGAGAACCACTTCCAAGTGCAGGACGCGATCACGCGGCAATGGTACTCGCTGAGCGGGTACGTCTTTGGTCGCGTGCGTGGACGGCCACTCGATCTGCAGATGCTGCAGTCCAAGCAGAACGAGGGATACTGGTACAGCGTTGCGGACTATCTCGACTATGATGAAACAGCATTCGCCCAAGCTGAGGAGGCACCTGTGGATGCTGCTGCCGATAACGAGGTGGAGGGAGTAGAAGAAGCGATGCAAGCGGGGGGTGACGATGCTGCAGGTGCCGAGGACGAGTCACAAAGTCGTGACGGGGACAGAAGTGAGAGTGGAGAGGAAGGTGACACCGAAGATGAAGAAGACGAAGAAGAGTCCGAGCAAGAAAGTGAAGAAGAGGAGGAGGACGAAGAGTACGAGGATTAAGCTCACGTTGAAGTCAATACAGGTCATATCTGTGACGCGCGCAAATAATGTGTATTTAGTGTATATTTCATGTACCACACATATTCGTGCGCAAAACGTCAAAAAGGATGAAGCTCTTCCAGCTCACGCTGCCCAACGAGCAGCACGGCAAGGCGCGTGCCCTTGTGTCTCCCCTCCTTCTCTCTCTCCTCCTCCTCCCCCTCCTTGCTAACCGCTTGTGCTGCCCCCGCAGGTCGTGTCCGTGCTCCAAGATGAGCTCAAGCTGGACAACGTCACGAGTGTCGAGGCGCGCACGTCGTCCATCGTGACGTTCCGCGTGGAGGACGAGGAGATGCAGGCGATCCTCAACAAGCTGCAGCGCATGGGCGTGGGCGTGCAGTTCGGCTTCTGCGACGTCATGTCGCTCACGCCGGGCACCACCATGCGCAAGCGCAGCCGCAGCAAGAGCAAGAAGCGCAACGTCGGCCGCATCCTCGAGCGCAACACGGACGTGGGCACGGCCGTGCCGGTGGCGGAGATGTACGCGCACATCGAGGCCAACTCCACGCTCTCTCGGGACTCGGTGGTCATGCTGCTCATCTCCTCGTACGTCACTTGTCAACTTGCTGACGGGGTATGCGTTCTGACGGGTGCTGTGACTCAGATCCATCGCTGGAATCGGTCTGGCTGGAGACTCGGGGGTGAGTATCAATGTGTTAGTGTTGCGTTGTGTTTTGTAGTAGCAACTGTGGCATGAGGCTCTGACGTTGGCGTTGATACTTGACAGACCTACGTCGTGGCGTCTATGCTGCTCTCGCCGATGATGGTACTGCAGCCTGCCAAGCTAATGTTTTCATTATTTTTTTTGCGAACGAGTGCTGATGTGACGCTGGTGGGTCTGGTGTTGATAGGGCCCTATTCTTGGCTGCGCTTTCGGGTTTGCTCTTCGCGACAAAAACCTTTTCATTAACGGAATGGTGAACGAGCTCTTCGCCTTGGTACGTCATCTATTCGCTGTTTTTCTGTGCAAACTTAAAATTAATGTCGCCTTCCTATTTTATTTTCTAGACGATTACTTTCCTGCTGGGTATAATGATCGGAGCTTTCCTGAGTCCATATGCGGTGGCGTTAAATTGGCCCACGGGGGAAATGCGTGAGCGAGGGCAAGCCATTCAGTTGCTGTTTGGCGCAGTTGTCGCTGCTCTCTCAGGAACGGGCGTGGCGCTTGCTGAGTCGAACGCTAACATTTCCTCCGTCGTCGGAGTTGCCATTGCGGCGGCGCTGCTTCCACCCACCGTGAATTGCGGGATCTGCTTTTCATACGTCATGATCGGTCAATACTTTGTGGTACGTTTATTCATGCGGGCTCTTTCTCATAGTGCTGGGGACTAATGCATCGTCTACTTTTATTCATTAAATAGTCGGATGATGTCATCGGAGAAGAACAAAAGCTCGTATTCTACGAAATCGCCGTGGGCAGCCTGATGCTGTTGTGGATCAATGTCGTCCTCATCTACGTCACCGCGGTGCTCGTGTTCAAGATCAAGAAGGTCGACCAATTCCAACTGATTCGCCGAATTGACGAGGGAGCGTGGCAGAACTTGCCGCGTGTCCAGAGATCGCCGGCCCACAGAAACGTTGGCGCAAACCAGCACTTCGAGCGGCGCGAACGCGTGGAGAGCAGTGGCAGCGCCAACAGCACTCGAGGGTTCCTCACGGATGAAGAAGACTTTTCCCCTCCCGAACAAAAGGAGGCGCCGAAACTGGCACCAATGCGTCGGCGACCGCAGCCGCTGTTGAATATGGACGAGATGGAGCTCAACGGAGGCAAAGTCGATGTGGTCTAATGATCTGGCCCGATAAAAGACAAAACATGGAGCCTGATTACACTAGCGTGGCCCAAACGTCTAGCTCTCGTCCATCTCCAGTGTAGCCTGGCGGATATGCCGCCTAGTTTTTGAGCGTCTCTGAACAGCGTGCAAGTGCATTGCGGCAATTTCTCGGTTTCGATCGTGAGGCAGATTTTGGCAGACTACGGAGCGTTGTGTCGGTGCTTCCTTTCGAAGAGGGGCTAGTGAGGGGGCAGGTTTGGGTGGTATCAGTGTGTTTGGCTTCGCCCGAATCATTACTGCAGCTAGGGCGGCTTCCGGCTGAGAAGGTGCTTGCTTTGGTGCAGTTGCTTCGAGTCTAGCGAGAGAAAAATGGTGATCAGCCTCATCATATCCCAGAGGGTGAGTCAGCGCGCACACTTCACTTACATTCGGGGTTCGGAGAGGTGTCTGGTAACTCTTGGCGGGCGAACCCTCGTGAGAACAGGTACTGCCAGCTTGGTCGGCTCTGTTTCGATGGCTGGAGCTTCTACAGCACTTTTCGGTGGAGTTTTCTGCTGGTCTTCCTTATCTTCGTCCTCCGTGGTGTCCCCAGACGGGTCCGACTCCGAGCCAACCGATCCATCCTCTTCTGAGTTATCCTGGAAGTTGTCCGGCAGCGCTGCTTCAATCTCCCGTATCAAGTCGTGGTCAAGCAGCGACATCATCGAGACGTCTTCTCCAGCGAAGAGATGGTCGAATTCAGGGGGGAAGCCGAAGGAAAACGAGTCGCTGTTGTCTGTTCCTCGGCCAGGCGAAACGACGGGGTCGAGCAGTGGGGAAGCTGGTCGGTGTTGCGGCTCCACCCACGACATGGGTCCATTTTGCTCTTTGGGCAGCGCATGAGGCACTTGAAGAGGAGCTAAGCGAATTTTACTGCTATTGCTCGTGAAGTCATTGGCAGTACTGGGTCCAAAGCATTTGACTGTAATCGGAGGCTCGAAATCTGTCTGAGGGTGCACAGACACAGACTCGACTTGCTCTGTTGTCGATCTGGAGGGTGAAGTACTAGGGAGTTTCGGAGATACTGGGAGGGTTAAACTGTTGCTGGCGCGCTGCAACATCAGCACTTGGGAGAACGGAAGCAGCGCGTGGCAGAACTTTACCCCCGCCATGTGAAGATCGGCGGGGGTAAAGTGGCGAAGCGATGGATTCAGCTGCTCAGCGAGATCGAAGTCGAGGCGGACTCGGCTGTTTGGTGCAGGTTGCAGTTGCGCTCTTTGTGTGGTAGTGTCAACGCCGAAGAAGGACGCCTCGAGCGTGAAACTATGGAGCACCTGCATCTCGTTCCACACGACCACGCGGCCTGTGCCCTTCTTGGATGCGTTGATGGAGAATGTGCAGTCCCCGAAGCTGTAGAATCCCCCGCGTGTGCAGTCGCTGGTCTTGCACAAAATATGCGGGAAGAGACGAACTCGAGCGGCTTCCGTTCGACTGCCAGTGTCAAATGGGCGGCAACCGTAGAGGAAAATATTTTTCTTGCGACTGTGGCCGTGGAGATCGCAGTAGAGACTCACGGGACGAATTTTACAGACAGAGAGGAGCATGTTCTTGGTCGCAAAGATTGTCGGATGCAGCTCACTGGAAGGGTTAAGCCATCGTCGGTTGAGATCGGTACCAGCGAGAGAGCAGCGATAGTTGCCGTGGACTACCCCGTCAGGGTTCAGCATGGGGACGACCTTGAAGACGAAGTGGTGGCGCAAGAAGCGCGCCTCAAGGGAGCTCCCCGTTAGGAACTCCAAGAGTCCGTGCATGACGAAGCTGCTGTTGCTTTCTCCCGGATGAACTCGCGCCGTGATGGCGATGGCAGTACGTCGTCTTACAGTCGCGTCCTTCTCGTCGTCTTGGCTGAAGTCGGTGATGGTGAGCAAGTCGCAGTTGTTCCCCGCGATGGTCTTGCACATGACTCGCCGCTTGAAGGTGGTTCTCCGCTCCGGGTCTTTTTGCATGGACAGCATGAAGCGCTGAAGGCGGGTGTACGTGTACGGGTAGCAGTGCGCGAAGTACGCGACGAAAGGCCTGTCGTCGGACATGCTTGGAGTCTGCGTTGCCTTCGGGGATGATGAAGATGCTGGTGGTTGGACGGAAAACTCGTACACGAAGGAGAGCGTGTAGTAGTTTCGCACTTTTCCAGTGCGGCGATGCCGGTATGTGTCCGTATTCTTGAAGTAGCAGACGTTGACGCCCGAGTGGTGCCACCCGCACTTGGCGAAGCCCGGGCTTTCGATGTAGACAGCAGGGAGCATGCCATCCGTGTACAGACTGGCCTTCTTGAGCATATTGCGGATGTTGAAGCGCACCTTGAGGGTTGCAGCTCCGCGTTCTCGGGTCTGACGGAGTAAAGTCGACGGAACTGTGACCCGGAAGAAGTACCATTGGACGTGTCCGTGCGTATTGACGTCCGTGTCCGCGTACAGATCGTATTCCGAGTCGACATCAACGAAGAACGGGAAGGGCATCGCCGACGCTTTGGCCACGACTGACGGCTCGGTTGGCGCCTTGTTAGACCTCTTCGTCGAATCGGCTGAAGACTGCGAGCTGCGTAGCATGAGGAGGTCGTGGCTGGGAGCGTATCGGCGTCCGAGAACGCGATAAGCTCGGTCCAGATTCCCGCTTTCGAACGTAGCGCCGAAGCTGAGCTCGTCGGGGCGATTCGAGCTGGCGATGAGGGCGATCGAGCCGCTCTCGAGCTCCTTGTTGCGCTTGTACACGAGCCGCGTCTCGAGTCCGAAGCCGTGGCGTGGCGTCTGGAAAAACTCGTTGTTGGTCATGTATTCGCTTAGCAGTCGGGATCTCCTGGGGACTTCCGGGGGAACGGCGATCGAACCTTTCTCGGCATGTTTGTGTGCGTCTGGCTCATCGAGTGCTGACAAGTATGGCAACGCGTAGCCGAAGCCGGTCTGCGTGGCGGTGTCGAACTCTTCCCACTCGTCATCGGGCGACAGCGCGATTAGTGGAAGCGGCGGTGGCGTGCTCAGCACGGGCCCGTGGGAGCGCTTCCGCACGAGTTTGTACGGGATCTCGGCGTACAGCTTCAAGCTCATGCTGAAGCCTCTGTCTGAAGGCTCTATAGACGCACGAGTGAGCGAGTGCGTTAGGAGGAGGAACCAACGAACGTAAATGGAGTTCGTATTGAAAATAGTTTGAGCTTGACGTTGCTTGTCGTCACCGTCCTGAATAGAAAGCCTCCGGTCGGAGATCGATGACCGCTTTGCTTAAGCGGTGGCAAAAAGCACGACGGCCATCTGACCGATGTAGAAGTACAGGAACTTGGACTGCTCGTGCGTGACGTAGCACGCGACGTTGCGCCCGACGCAGCAGTGCCACAAGAGTCCGTGGTATTTCTGCTCGAAGTGCTGCTTCACCTTGGCCGCGATCTCCTGCTCGTTCGTCTCCGTACTCATGGCAACCTGCGCGACCGCGATGACCTCGTCCTGCAGCTCTTGGTCCATCGTCGACGTCTTGACCACGGGCTTCACTTGAGTCCCCATCGCGTCTAGCTAAATAGATATCTCGCTTTGAGCTTCCGACCTTTCAAACAAACCTCTATGATCAAATCGGGTAGCGATCGATCGATAGATACATGTACATCAACATCAACAACAACTAGTAACATGCCTAACTACTCTTTGAACGCTTCTATTTGGACTCCCGATCGTAGCGCGAGAGCGGGTGGATCCCAGCTCACCTCTTGCGTCAACAGGTTGACGTAGTACACTTGGCCGGAGCTCGGGTCCACCGCCTGCCTGAACCGCTGCGCCAGTCTCGAATTCAGGTCCTCCTTCGCTTTCTTGGCTCGGTACAGTCCTTGCAGCCGTGTGGCCGCCTCCTCTTCCGTCCACTGGCGAGGCTTTCGTGATCCTGGAGCGTTGATCGCTGACATAAGCAACTGCAGCTTCTTCTGGCGAGTGCGAGGAGTGAACACGTCCGAATTGGCGCCTCGCCATAGCAGCGGCTTCTCCCATGTTGTCTCCTTTGTGCGGGTGTTGTGGTAGTAGTACATGCCTTGCTCTGGGTCGTAGATCCGCTCGTAGACTGATCGGCAAAGCCGCAGCAGGTTCTGAAAGCCTCGTTTCCGGCGGTAAGCGCGCTGCACCATGCACGCGGCTCGTTCAGGGGTGAAATGTTCCTCCCGCTCCTTCTTCTGACGCGTGCGAGGTGTGAACACGTCTGATTCCGCCCCACGCAGCAGCAATGGTTTCTCCCATGTTGTCTCCTTCGTACGAGTGTTGTGGTAGTAGTATAAGCCTTGTTCTGGGTCATAGATCCGCTCGTAGACTGCGCGACACATCCGAAGCAAGTTCTGAAAGCCCGACTTACGGCGATACGCACGCTGAACCATGCGCGCGGCGTCTTCTGGAGTCAATGGCTCAGTGCGCGCTATAGCAGCTCTCTTCTTGTCTCGTTGACCTTCAAAATTGGATTCTTGCTTTAGATGTTCGCAGCGTGTGCGCGGTGTCAGCAAGTCGTCGTCACTCACCCAGCGAGGCTTCTCCCATTTCACCTCTTTTGTCTTGGTGTTGTGGTAGTAAAAGCGTTGAGTACCAGCGTCCCAAATCTTTTCGTAGACAGACGAGATCAACTTCCTCATGTGGCGTCGAGCAAAATGAGAACGGGCCATCCGCTGCAGCGTTGAAGCTGCTTGCTTTTCCTCTTCCTCCTTTGATTCAAACACCCTTTTCACCTTGTTTTGAGTAGTTGAGGCAGGACCGGTCAGTGTCTCGCGCCCGAGAGCCACAGGCTTCGTCCACTGTGTTTCTTTAGTGTACTTGTTGTAGTAGTACGTCTGCCCTGTTGCCGGGTCTTGGAAGCTGGCATATACATCACGAACCAGCTCCTTGAGCTGTTTCCGCGCCTTGCGAATCTTCCACATCGACTGAATTTTCAGCAGTGCTTCTTCACGAGTTAGCGGGGGCTTCTGCTCCAGCTGATCGTGGATTTGCTCCAGCAAGTCTCGAAGCGTGCTGTAGATCCGCGCTGTAGTGGCGTAGGTCTTTTTGAAATCGATCGAGGTAGAAGGAGACCGTGGGGTTGAATCCTCCTCGACGGGGTCAGGTCGCACACATGACCCGGGAGAAGAAGATCGTTGCATGAACGCTTGCGTATCGGCGAGCAATAATTTGCACTCAGCCGCATCCTGCTCTAGGTGGTGTCTGAAGCGCAAGTTACATCGTAAATAAACTTACGAAAAAGTTGCAGCGAGGCAGCCAACAGATCGTGTACAAACCTCGTGATGTGAGATATCCACTCATCTTCCTGGTTGGTAGCATCTACAGTTGTGTAAAAATTAGCACGAGAGTATTGATCAACTGTTCGTAGTGTCGAAAGGTTACCACCTTTAATTGGCGTCCATGAATGTGGAAGTCGGTAGTCAGGATGTCGAGCAGCAAAGCAAGCGTCGCAGTAGTATCCCCGTTGAACCTCATCAAACCTACACAAACCATTGACCTGAATCAGTAACTTCAGAATTTAACGTGAAAATGCAGGATTCCGTACTTGGCGCAGCTGTGGCACTGTTTAGTAGCTATAGCACCTCGACAGTGAAAGTGGCAGCTGCATCGGCTCTAACAACAGCAATCTTTGGCATGAGTTTTCACAATGTGATTTCGATCCCTTTTTCGGAGTTTGTTTTACCGGGGGTAACTGAATGCCTTGAAATTGGCGAACATGCGGTCGCTTCTTGGTTCCGGGTTTGTTTTCGGGGGTGGATCCGTCTCGCGCCCTGAAGTTGGCGATAACTTCGTGTCGGTTGATCGCTGCCCGTGGCAAAGGTGCTGCTTGCGTGCTCACGCGCGGGTCACCGAGACCATTGGGCCACTCTGGGTATGAATCGGAGTTGTCCATGTTTCGCTTTCCTGCGCGACATCAAACACTTTCACTGATCATCGCGATCATGGGGCTATTTCTGTCATCGTTGTAGTAATTGGGTCTTGCTATTCAGGTTTCGAGTCGACCAGCTGGTGCAAGTGCGTTTGTTTGATCCATGCGGGTGTTGATCGTGAATGCCTACCCAGCCTCCAGTAAGCGCGGTCGTGAGCGTTTCGAGCAATTCCGGCGCCATGTCACGCGCGTGGTGAGAGAACTGCAGAGAGCGGAAGTCACGCGCGTGGAAATCGAGGTAAGGACAATTTGCATTAGTAAACAACGAGAAGGTCTCATTAAAATACATGTAAATCCTCTTCAATTGTGTTTGCTGCAGGAGAAGCATCGTAGTAATCTCGACTCGTTCCTGTTCGAGCTCCACTCGGAATTTGCTGATCCGAACAACATCACCAACTTCGATCAGCTCGACTTTGTATTCGTGGATGGAGACGCAAATTCAAGCCCGTGGGCTCCAAACATGCGCAAGCTCGCACTGCTGACCAAAATGTGCATGATGACGGGCAAGTGCTTTTTCGGTAGTGGCATTGGCGCATCACTCGTCGCCTTCTCCTGCTCCACCGGCGGCGAACATTTGCGTGTCCTAAACAACGACGGTAAGGGGAGTTTGATCGATAAACTGCAGGACGTCCCTCCACCGCCGCCCGACTCCAGGTCAATCGGGTTTGTGTCACCTCGCGGTGGAGACAACAACGTGCTGCTTGATATCAAGAGCGGCGACTTCTTCGTTTTCGCTGAGAAACACCACAGTTGGGTACCGAAAGGCAATACAGGCCTTGTACTCCACTCAAGTGACAGCGCGCGCTGCTACGGGGCTCGACCTAACTCGGCTCGAGCTGGGGGAAAAAAGACAAACGTTGGGCAGATAAGCCAACCACTTTTCCTTGCCAAACGCGGCGAGTTGCGCTGCTGTATCCGCCTCGAAGTAGCCAACCAGCACCCAGTAATAACCACGACATTCCCGAGGCAGCGCGAGCTGGTTCTCAACTGCAAGAGCAAGTGGGACCTCGACGAGGAGATTGTGAGTACAGGCGGCAACAAGTATCGAGTTCTGATCGATAGCAGCCGTGGTCCGATGCTCGTCGAGTTCGGGAATTGTTTCGGTTCACACTTTGAATTGGCCAGTGAGTATCCGGAAACGCTTGCACTGCTGCGCAACTTCACGTTGACAAAGTACGAGGAGCTTAAGGTGCATGCGCATATCGACCGCAGTTTCGTCTCCGCCATCAGTGGCTCGGCCAGATTAAAGCAGCGATTTGCAATGGCACAAACCAAACAAGTTGGGTCTACTCGGACCGAAGGGATCTCGAATGCCAAAACTAACAACACTCACCTGGTAGAAGGCCACGAAGGGATCGGTGTGGGTCGAACGTCGCCTAAACGATGTCGTCCCGTGTCCGCAGGCCCGTACCGTTCGAAGCCGCACGAGGCAATAGCAAGACGCATCCATACATCGAGATCAGCGTATCCGTCGCCAACTTCTGAAGCCTACCACAGTCATGGAAGCGTGCTTGAAAGTAAAGCACCTGTGCATGTAGAGTCTGCTAGAACTGACCGGGACAGTGAGAAAAGGGAACTATGCCCCGAGACGGACGAACTCTCGTCTGATGCTGTACCATTTCAAGCAAAACCACGTCGAGTTGTGCGCGTTCCCCAGAAGAACGAGCTGGCAAGACCATACTGCGCACAGCATCGCTTCGTCAAGATGCGCAAGGAGGAGAAATCCCTGGCGAATGGCTACTACTCGGTTGTGAACGATGCGCCCTATACGAGCGCGTACGAGCAAGAAGCTGTCGCCAAGCAGGTACGGACACTTGAACACGTTCGAGTTGAACTCTCTGGTCGTAGTATAACCGATGTCTGCATTGAAATGATGTAGCGGAGCAAGTTGAAGTGGATGGGTGGGCCATTCCGGACGGTCTTTGGGAAGGCGTCGACCCATGTCGTGCCGGAAGCCAGCATCTTCGTCAAAGACCCGTTCGTGCAGGAGAACGTGCCGTTCTACATGACCCAACGGCGACAGCTCGAAGTCGATGAAACCAAGAGACCCTCACCACCTCAACAGCATAAAGTGCGACAGAAAGCGCGAGGGAACTAGTGTGTTGAATAGTGCATGTTGTAGTCCAATGACGGCGGTAAAACACGAATTCATAAAGTTAGTGCCACAGTCAGTGCCTGTTGCCAACTAACTGCTACTTGAACTCCTGGAGGCTTCGCTCACACTTGCATTCGCTCTTGCTGTCTGTGCCCCCAGGGGACTGTACCGGTAGCTGATTAATTGTACTGCGCGATAGCTTGGAGCAAGTCCTTCGACTCTTGCACGAAGTTGACGGGCTCCAGGTTCACCACGCCAGCCTTCACACGGAGCTCTTCCTGCACGTTCTCTGCCTTGACGCGAAGCCGGCACACGTACTGCTTGAACAGCGCTTCCTTGAACGTCGACTCATAGAGCGTCGGGTTCGTGTCGCGCAGCTCGCCAATCTCATCGGCAGTGCGGCCGTTCATCACCACCTTGCCCTGGTCGTTGAAGCACGTCGTCCACGTGCTGCCAGTGTGGTCCAGCATCACCACCGACAGGATGTAGCGGTTCTCGCAATTACTGTAGGACGTCTGGCACTTCTCGCACGTGTAATTCTGCGCCACATCGGCCACAACCTTCTTCTGGCACTTGGGACAGGCCTGGTAGAAAACGCCCGTGTCGTGCTTGATAAAGTTCACTGTTCCCTTCACTGTGATGTAGTCGGGCTTCTGGCCAAAGCCCAGTTGCTTGCCCTTGATATCGTTGATCACAGCACGCTCGGCAAAAGTGCCAAGCGAGCCACCACCGAAGCCGCCTCCGCCAGAGCTAAGAGACTTGGTCTGGGCCGCATTGCCGCCGTTAGAGAACCAGTTGACGAGGTGGCCAGCCTCAGGGATCGTCGGGTTGACAGTGAAGCTCGAGCTCATCATCGTGCCGATGGATCGGCCGTTGTAGTCGCTAACACGGCAGCCCTTGATGGCCACGACCTGGTTCAGCCAGCTGGAGCAGTCCTCCTTGGCGCGTTCGTTCCACATGGTGCACTTGATCTCGGCGTTCGAGTCGTCCACGAGCGAAATGTCGCGCTTGAAGAGCTGCTTGCCAGCCTTGGACGTGATTTCGTTCACCTGGCCCACATCGCGCACAATACCGATCACATCCACGTTGGCCTCAGCCGGCACGCTCTCGATCTCAGCGATCTTCTTGAACGTGTAGTTCATCTGGGAGATCTGGCCGTCCTCCGGGGCCGGGGAGATGTCCGAGTGCTGGTCGAAAGTCACCTCGTAGTCGTTGTCCACCGACGAGAAGCGGCGGTTGGCCATCTTCACCTTTCCGCCGGCGAAGTAGAAGACGCCACCCGGGCGCAGCGTCTCGTAGAACTTGTCCACGCCGTCGTTGAAGAACGTGGCGCGGATCTCGCCGCCCCGAGCGTCGAGCAGGTCTACGCTGAAGAGCTTGCCGGAGCCGCGCGCATTGGTCCAGTTCTTGATGGGCGCGCGGTTGGTCACGCGCGCCTTGATGGTCCAGCGTCCGCCAGCGTACGGGTTCAGGCTCTGGATGTCCGATAGACGGACGTTCGGGTCTTGACGCACGACAGGGCCTCGGTTGTAAGCCGACGGAGCGGGCTTAGCCGGGGGCGCGTAGCTCAAGGGGGCAGCGGGAGGCTGGTTGTACTGGTTCACGGGGGCCGAAGGCTGCTGGAAGGACGACTGGACAGGGGCAGCGGGCCTCGCGCCAAGGGAAGCCGCGGGCGGCGCAGAGGCCGCGGGGGCAGCGGGGATTGGCGCTCCCTTGGAGCCCTCGATGCTCTGCGGGTTGCCGATGCGGTCAAAGGCCGGCACAATGTCGCCGATGCTCAGCACGATGAGGATGCGGCGGCCCTGCACTTCGTTGCCCAAGTAGTCCTTAAGTTGCAGCACGTAGTTCGTCTTGAGACTCTCGTTCTCCATCATCTAAGAGAGAAGGAAAGGGCCACGTTAGTGAGCTGACAACTGTGAGAGGTTGGCTTGCCATTGGAGCGCAGTACGTACCGGGGCCAGCTGCGTCGCGAGCATGCCGCTGATGTAGGACGTTCCATCGGAGAGCACAATGCTAGAGTGCAACACAAGAGCAAGGAAAAGGTTAGCAGCGTGGTCGCTACCCGTCGAGTGGAGAAGGAGGAGCATGGGCTCCTCCTTCTCCACTTGGGCTCCCTTACCGGTATCGGTCGCCGCCCGTGCCGCTGGCGGGCTTGATCTTCTTGGTGTCGATGATCTGCAGCCACGGCTCGAAGCCGTCGGGCGTCTGCTTGTTGTAGAGCATCGACACGGCGTTGGGCGTGAGGTTCACCATGGTTCACTCGCTGTGCCTCGGTCTTTGAGAGTGGCGGGCTTGGTCTTATGACGCGGGCACTTCGGTTTTGGCAACAATTGTTTGGCGCCAAAGTTATCGCACGTGGACCACATAGTATCCGAAATTAAAGGTGGATCGAAAATAAGGAGATGGCTACATTCATCACGACATGGCTTCAAAACTGCAATACGGCATGGCTTCGCTGCTGCTGGAGCAGCTCGCGAGCAAGGCGGCGGTGGACGCCGCCATCCGCGGCACGAAGGACCGCGTGTTGGTGCTGCGCTTCGGCCGCGCTTCGGATACCGTGTGTTTGCAGCAGGACGACATTGTGCGTGGCGTGACAACCAACTCGCGAAAAGATTCGGACCGTTGTCTGATGATCTCCACTACTGTACTGTAGCTGGCCAGGTGCGAGCGCGAGCTGTCCAAGATGGCTCGACTGTGCCTCGTGGAGGCGGAGCAGGTGCCGATCTACTGCCAGTACTTCGACATCACCCTCATCCCCGCCACCATCTTCTTCGTCAACGGCCAGCACATGAAAGTGGACTACGGGTGCGTCCCCCATGCTGCTTCAAGTATCTTTCACTATTATACCTAGCTGACGGATATTCGCCAACTGACACAGCACGCCCGACCACACCAAGTTCATTGGAGCTTTCCGGACAAAGCAGGACTTCATCGATCTCGTGGAGGTGCGTTGTTAGGGTGCAACAGGGCTTTTTACGTGTTTGGGGGCCGGGGTTTGACAGGGTACCTTGCCCATTCTGGAGCAGGTTATTTATCGCGGCGCAAAGCACGGCAAGTCGATTGTGAACTGTCCGATAGAGAAGTCGCACATCCCGCGGTACGACCTCATCTACAAGGACATCTAAAACAATGTTTTTATTGTTGTTATAAGTGCTTTACTTGAGTATGTTCATGCTGGGAGGAGGCACTACAGGCCGATTGTTGAAGAGATCATGCACACGCTGATTCGTCTTTTTGAAGGATTGTCGGGCGTCATCAACGCTGGCTTGTAGCTGCTGTAAGCGTCGTTGCTGTGGGGAACGTGGTCGCGGCGAGATTGCTTTCGAGGGGCCAAGGGCGCGCTGGTTGCCGGCTGCTGGTAATGGCGCTACATTATACTGCTGGAGTTTCGTCTGCAATGAGGAGAACAGGGGCAAGAACTCGTTAGTCGGGGTTCGGATTTCACTCAGACAGTGGCCAGCGTAGACCTACGAGGGTCTCTGCATCGTTCGGGTTGAGTCGCAGCGCTAGCTGATAGTCAGCGCATGCGGCCTGGCGTTTCTCGAGATATCGCGCAGCGTCTCCTCTTCGCACGTAGTACGACGGAACGTTGGGGTCCTGCTCGATGGCATGTCCGAACTCCAGCTCCGCCTTGTCGAACAAGGCTCGGTTGAACAGCTCCACGCCGAACTGGTAGTGCACGAGTGCAACTCGTGATTGAATGTTTTGGTCTCCGGGAAGCAGCTCCAACGCGTGGTGGTAATCTGCCAGAGCCTACGAAGACAATGAGTAAGTTACTCCGCAAGGCTGATACCAGAACCCGTACACATCACGCACCGCTTGGAAGTTGCCGAGCCCCCGATACGCGTCACCTCGATTAAGAAAGTATTGCGGACTGGCGAATTGCTCGCGGAAGAGCTCGGCCAGCTCCATTTGTCCCCGAATGGCTTGGTTCATGGCGTTTACTGCGAGCTGGTACGATTTTTGGCGCAGAAAGCGGATCCCTATGTCGTTCAAGATGAGGCTGCGCTGTTTGATAATGTCCCGGTACTGAGGTGACGTGTCCCGCGCCTGGTTAAGGCGCAGTGCTGGAACATGACCTGGTTGCTGGTGGTGGCTTTCATGGGAAGATTGGTGCTGGTTGTGCGGGATATATCTTTTGTGACGGTGGCAAGTCAGAGCCTTCTCCGTGTCTCGCAGTGCCATGTGATACTCTCCCAGCTCCCGATACGCTGATGCACGCAGCAAATAGAGCTTAGTCTCCTCGGGCGTGATTTCTGTGGCTCTGGAGAGGTTCTGGATGGCTTCTTGGAACTGATGAGCCATCAGCTGCGTGCGGGCCTGCTCGTAGATCGCCTGGGACTCCTTGAGCAGCCGCTGTTCGTGTCCAAGCACCTCCGGGTGGTCAGGCTGCAGAACAGCCGCCCTGTGGATATCTGCGGTGGCTTTCTCCTGCATGTGCAGTCGCCAGTGGAGCTTGGCTCGAAGCACGAAGTACTCGACGTCGCGGCTATTGAGGCAGATGCAGTGGTCCACGTCCTGAACTGCCTTCTCGAAGCAACCAGCCTCAATGTTCGCTATCGCTCGGTGCAGCCAGTAAACTTCGTCGAGTGCGTTGAGCTGAATGGCCTCATGGAGATAGCCCAGCACAATGTTTGGGGATTCCCCCAGGGACAGCAGCGAGTAAGCGTGGAGGTCAAGCAATGCCGCAAGCTGGTCCTTGATGCGCTGCGGCGGGTCCGGGTCAACCGCGAATAGCTTCCGGTAGTTTGCAATCGCCGACTTGACATCGCAGAGCTCCCAGTACACTTGCGCGCGCTTGGCGTACAGCTGCGCGTGCTCGGGACGCAGGAAGATGGCCTTGGTGAGGCACTGCAGCGCTCCGTCCAGGTCGCGGGCGGCAATGCGCAAGTCGGCCTCCTCCTCCTTTTGCCGCGACGCCTCCAAGGGGGTCAAGTCCGTCGTCGTTGAGGCATATTTACTCGGGCTCGAAGCTTCCATGATGCCTGAAGACAACCTGGTACATACGTCCATGCAACGCGATCTTTCGGTAGCTGGCAAGAATAGAAGCTCTATTTCGGCTCTTCATTCGCAATGCGGCCGTCAATGCTGCGTTGGCTGCTGCTGCTGCTGCACGCGTGGGGCGGCGTGCTCTCCCTCTGCGTCGGAGCTGCAGCGGCGATCGACGTCTACTCGCAGGAAACTTTTACGGACGCTGCAGCGCTGGAGCCGTCGGTGGACGCTGAATGCGAGGTGGACGAGATCCAGTTGGCGTCTGACGGGACGATCGCGCAATGGGGACTGGCACTCGGCACGCGCGTGGCGCCCAACATGACCGTGAACGGCACCGTGGTGCCCGACGGCTACAACTTCTACCACCTGTGCGTCGGTCGCCATGAGCACGAGCACCTCATCACGGTGGAGCTGCTGTGCCACGACGACGACGTGGGCGAGGGCGGCGACGCCAACCTCTACCTCTCCAGCGAGGTCAAGTACCCGCGCATGGGCCACTCGACATGGATCGCGCAGCGACCCGGCAACGAGCTCATCAAGCTCTTCACGTACCTTGATGGCTTCCCACGCAAGGACGAGAGCGGCGGCAGTCGCTGGATCGCGCTGCACATTGGCGTATTTGGCGCGGGATACGTCGACACCAGCTACGACCTGGTAGTCTCTGTCACGGACTTGCCCATTACCCCTGACATCCTCTCGAGGACAGAGTTTTACACGACGCAGCACAATCAAGCTCAGAAACAGAGACTACGCCGAGGATAGCTCAGCATTCCACAGCCTTAATGATGTGGCACCGGAACTATGGGAGACTACCTTGATCTTGCAGCTATCTCTTAATGAATGATCGTTCTTCTGAAAAGGGTGGTGTTAAAAAACACCAGAATGAAGTGAGAGGCTAAAGCCACTAGCAACAGAGGCAAGCTAGAAAGCTGCCAATACTGCAAAGTTGTTGCTCAGGCAGCCGAAGCTGCGTGAACACCTCAGCGCAATGCGCTTATCCGCCGAAGCCGTACAGGGTGCGGCCCTGACGCTTGAGGGCGTACACGACGTCCATGGCCGTCACGGTTTTTCGGCGAGCGTGCTCCGTGTAGGTGACCGAGTCGCGGATGACGTTCTCGAGGAACACCTTGAGGACACCGCGGGTCTCCTCGTAGATTAGGCCGGAGATACGCTTCACACCGCCACGGCGTGCGAGACGGCGGATGGCGGGCTTGGTGATGCCCTGGATGTTGTCGCGAAGGACCTTGCGGTGACGCTTAGCGCCGCCCTTGCCGAGTCCCTTGCCGCCCTTGCCACGTCCAGACATGTTGCTTGAGTTGGTTGGTTGTTGCTTGCTTCTTGCTTGTCAGATTGCAGAATGAGCTTCCTGGAGGGAGGGAGACACCGCGCCCTCCAGTTCAATTCAAATCCATCGGGTGGTGTCCTCCTCGCCTGTTTTCCCGCCCTCTTTTGCGCGCGCAGCCTCGTGACACATTGGGGCGACCGGCCTGCAGTCTCCTCTGTCCCCGCGGGAACTCCTCTGATTGGCTGCCTTAGCCTCGTCTTCGTTTCTTCTCTCTGATTGGCGGAACGCCACCATTCGCCTCTCCCACTGGTCAAAAATGCGTTACTAACCTCTGCGATTGGCGGAGCGCCCCGATGCAGGAGGGGACTTTGCAGCCAAATTTGGCGCGGCAGCGCCTGGTCTCCCCCCCCAACGTTTGAACGGCCCCGCCCTTCAAGTCATTCCCCAATTTGCTCAGCTCTCAACACTCGACCGCCCAGCAACCGAAGCAACCATGGCCCGTACCAAGCAGACCGCCCGCAAGTCCACCGGTGGCAAGGCCCCGCGCAAGCAGCTCGCCACCAAGGCTGCCCGCAAGTCGGCCCCCGCCACGGGCGGCGTCAAGAAACCGCACCGTTACCGCCCCGGTACGGTCGCTCTGCGTGAGATCCGTCGCTACCAGAAGTCGACGGAGCTGCTCATCCGCAAGCTGCCGTTCCAGCGCCTGGTGCGCGAGATCGCCCAGGACTTCAAGACGGACCTGCGCTTCCAGGGATCGGCCGTGCTCGCCCTGCAGGAGGCCGCCGAGGCCTACCTCGTGGGTCTGTTCGAGGACACCAACCTGTGCGCTATCCACGCCAAGCGTGTCACCATCATGCCCAAGGACATCCAGCTGGCCCGCCGCATCCGTGGCGAGCGCTCGTAAGTTGTCTACCGTCCTCGGTCAGTGGTAACTGCTCGTTAAGAGCACATTCACGCAACCGGTGAGCTCATCCTCTCTGCGTCGGCTCGCTTGAGCTGACCTACTTTCATCCTGGTGTTTTTAAACACCACCCTTTACGAAAGAAACCAAACGAGTAATTGCAGTTTATACGAGCATCAGTAGTGGAGTACATTAGTGCAGCGCGCGAGGAACAGCATATTGCTGGCGGTGATGAAGGGCTTGAGAGAATTTTCGAACTCAAATTCAGCGTTCGGAAAGTCACGATAGATGCAAGCAGATACGTGTTGCATGTAGAGTTAATTCTCGTATACTGTGTTGATGCTTTTACGCCCGCAGCCGTTGAGAAGAATCGAACTTCACTCCGCAGGCAACACACCTACAGGAGACATCAACGTTAGCCCTTTTGCGTGGTTCTACCAGCGGGAGCTCACGCTATGAGTACTTACGGAAAGTCGTCTTCGGTAGCGACAGCAGTCTGTAAGCAGTAGTAGCAGTACACATGCTTGCACGACGTGATGTACGGCGTCTGTGGCGGCGAAATGCCACAGAGGCAGCACGCCGTGGAGCACGTGTCAGCAGAAGGCAACCCCCCCTGCAACGCCGAGGTCGTGCGCAGGGTGCTCCACGTCAAGAAAGGCAAAACAAAGTTGCCAAACTCCTGCAATCAAATCAAGTGTCAGCCTTGTACGTGTAGTCAGCCATACCATTGATGAAGTCGCACCATCAATCCGTCCCAAAGCAACTGACGGGTCATGTACTCAAAGTTGATCGAACGGGGCGCTGTCGACGGCGAAATACTCTCCTGCAATGTGCAAACAATATAACCATGTAAGCAGTCATTCAACCTTTAGCAATGCACACAGTTCAAGGTTGAAGCGTACCATTTTCATGCCCAAGCATCTCTCAGGCAGCGATCGATACGTCCCCTTGCGCAGAAAGACGAGCAGGTTTACAAACTGGCACGTGATCACAAGCGTCTCCAGCTTCTTCATCACAGTCAGAACCCGCTCCCGAGAGCTTCCGCGCTCATCCGACGTGCCACCAGCTCCTCTGGCCGTCCACCGGGCGGACGAGAGGTATCGAGACAAGCGCTTCCACACGTACGGCACCCCAACCGACAGCAAGAAGAAGGCGCCCACACGTCGTCGCGTCAGCAGGTGCGGTGCGTACCGCACGTTCTCCAGCTTCATGCCTGGCGTTGGCTGCAGCACAAGAACAGTTAGATCACTCATGGAATTATTCACGAGAGAATAAAATACCAGCGCCTCGCACCCTTCCCAAGCCCGTCGTGAAGGCGAACAACAGCGCCCCAAGAGCCGCATCGATCTCCGGCTTGATGCGGTCCACGACGCCTGGCTCAAACATGCTGAACATGCTCTTCATGGGCGTCTTGAGCAGACCGAGGATCTCCGAGTCCAGGATGAGCGCGTCCAACTTGTTCACGCGGAGGTTGCTCGACGGGCCACGCAGCGACTGGTACGGCACGCGCAGATTGGGGTCATCACCGTCCTTGGGGGCTGTCGCGCGGCTCTCCTGTAGCGCCGCTGCCGCGGCCTGCACGTGCGTCTGCATTGATGGGCTTGATGCGCTTGAGGTTGCGTTCTGGTTGACGCAACGTCGAACGTGCAAGGTACTACCGAAAATAGCGCCTTAATTTCGGTACTTGAAGACGGCATACAAAAATCGAGTGAAACCGTGTCAAGCTTGGCGAAGAGGCGCAATGATGATGAGGATCGTGGTTGTTGCTCTCGCGTTGCTGTTGTCAGCTACAGCGGGCGCAGCTCGACACTTCCGAGGCGGAGACTCCATGGCGCTGGTGCTCTCAGAGAGTACCGAGGACAAGGTGAACGAATCGTGCGACGCCTCAAATGGCCAAGGGTGCCAACGCCGCCTCACAGAGCAAGACGACGGGCAGCAAGACGTTCCTCCTGAGTTCGTGCCGACACATGAGTGGCAGGACATTTTACCTAACCAAGTGATCCCGCCGGTAGGTGAAGTGATCAAATCTTTGCTTAAGCGTAAGTATTTGCAGATGAACATCTCTCTTGACATTTTCTAATGCGCTGCAGGGGTTATACATCCGCGTGAACCTTGAGACCGGCAAGAAGGAGGCCAAGCTGCTGGATTAACTTCAATTTGCCATCGAAAGTATAAGCGGCAATAAAGTCCCCAGTTTGATATCGGACGAGTGATCGAGCCTCGACTTCCACATTATCACCTGACCGAAACAATGCAAGACCGCTCCCTTCGATAACGCATTGACCTTTTCGGCAGCACACGTTTGCTAACTGCAGTACGTGTGCGCGCGCACTTCGACGAGCGAGCCTCGGGCGGCAAATGCACGCTCGTGCCGGTTAGGAGGAGGCAAGGAGCGGTGAACAGGAACGCAGCAGCAGCTCCACCCATGTTCGAGCCGACCCACGAGTGGAAGGAAATCCTTCCTAACCAAGTCCTCCCAGCGGTACGTGCCACACTCAAGACGAGCAGCTTGTTTGCGCGGTGTTATTGCAGTCTGACTCGTGCACTCCTGTCCGCAGGGTCTCCACATCCGCGTGAACCTGCAGACCGGCAAAAAGGAGGCCAAGCTGCTCGACTAATAGCCAGTCATCGCCAATAAAATTGCGCAACATGACCCTGGCAGCGATTCCACCTCATGCAGCAACAAGACTTTGATTGTCTTTATTCGTCCACACACCCACACTCTCAGAACTACCGTCCTGCGTTGCGTCGAGGCCACGTGTCATGCACAGCGACGAACACCACAAGAACAGCTTTCCTTCACATTTGAAAGACGCGTCACCTTCCCTTATGTTGCGCATCAGTTCTGTTTTCAAACCTTATGGTGCTTCAGCAACTTTACGAGAAATGTGAAGACCACGTATCCACGTCAGCGAGTTGCCATTCTCGATTCCGACAAAGTTGCCGCGCGAGCACCACCGAAGCGAGCCCCCACAAGCACCGCAATGCCTCCACGAAGCTCGCGGCTTCGTCGCTTCCTGCTCCTCACAGCCGCAGCAGTTGCCGTCACGCTGTGCGTCACTGCTGTCTCCGCTAAGCAGCACCAGAAGGTCTCCGTGGACATCTCTGCGCCCGAGCCGGATGCCAACGGCGTTACCGTGCCCGAGTTTGTGGCCACGAACGAGTGGCAGGAGCTGCTGCCTGGCCAAGGCGTGCCGCGGGTGAGTGTCTTTGTTGTTGCTTCTGCATTGTGTCCATGGTAGCGGTTGCGATGTACTGATGACGATCTCTTTTGTGACACAGGGACTGCACGTGCGTCTGAATCTGGAGACCGGCAAGCGCGAGGCAAAGCTGGTGGACCCAAATGAAGAGGCGACGGAGGAGTCGATGCGCTCGGTCGTTGTTGACCCGAACGCGAAGGAGACCACAGTGACGGTGTCCACTGATATCTCCGGAGACATCGTGCCGACCGAGGAAGACGACGACACGCTTACCGTTACCGATGAAGTAGTTAGCGAGGACGCCGACGACGTGACTACGGACAGCTCTGAGTTGACTAATACGGAAGAGGATGAAGCCCCACCGGCCGAGCCGAACTGGAACCACGAGAAAATATACGACGTGCTGCAGGCGCTGCCCGAGCCGCCCAAGGTGGAGGGTATGGACATCCACGAAGCGCACGAGAAGCTGTCTCCTGCCGAGTTCCGGAAGCAGATCGTTACCCTCTGGAAGAAGCGCCAAGCTGAGCTCAAGGAGGCGCTCGAGTCGCTTCAGGACGACGCAAAGTATCTGGGCAAGCTGCTGGAGCAGTTCAAAGATGCTGAGCAGAGAGGTGATACCGAGGGCCAGCTGTCCGTGCTGGAGGTGCTCGAGTGGGAGGTGCAGGATCTGGACAAGACCCACGTCTTCAACTTCATTGGCGGGTTTGGCATCATTGCCGAGTACCTGAACTCGACCAACTTGCCTGTTCGCTCGCACGCTGCGTGGGTGGTCGGATCCGCGGCGAAGAACTACAAGGATGGCCAGGAGTGGGCTATCGACGCCGGTGTCATGCCGAAGTTGATTGATTCGTTGACCCTGGAGATTCCCAGTACTGAGGAGACAGCCAAGGACGTACTGGAAGTCAAGAAGAAGGCCATCTACGCTCTGTCTTCCATTGTGCGATCGAATGAGCGCGGACAACGGCTGTTCAAGCTCCACAATGGGCCTGAGCTTCTGGCGGGATTGTTTAACGATGCTCACCCCACGAAACTTCAGTTGAAGGTGAGTCGTGATGCAACCGGATGTGAGCGGCTCGAGTAGCATCTAAAAGTTGTGTGGAACTGTTTGTGCGTGTAGGTGCTCCTGTTTGTGTATGACTTGCTGGCAGAAGCCGCGGAGAGCAAATTGCGTGCCGGTGAACAGCCGGAACCTAATGCGCTGATGGAGCTGGAAGAAGTATTCCAGTCCGCGGAATGGTGTGAACGCTTCTCAGCGACTTTCGTTAAGATGGCACGTGGAACTGATATTGCTGAGCTTTATGCTCTACTTAGTAGTTCTAACTCCTTTGTCTCGTTCTTTCAGGCCCCGCTTCTTGTTCATCGCGAGGTGATTGAGCTGGTGGACGCCATGCGCCACCAGCTTCCTACGTGCCAGCAGGTGCACCAGACTTCTGGTGTCAAGACCGTAGTGGAGTCGCTTGCCAAGAATTTTGCCGATGACGAGGAGCTTGACAACGAAGAGAAGAAGGAACTAGCACTCTTCTTCCAGGACTTCCTGGGTCGCGTGTGAGTTTCCCGGTAGGTAGTGAAGCTTTTGGCTTAATATATTAACGTGCACTAGCGTGCACAGGTAAGCTCACTGTGTGTTAGTATGTACTCGTTTGAGTAAATGCGCGGGTCTTAACTGCGCAACCCCCTGCTTGGTTATTCAACTTGGGGGTATTTAGCTCTGCTCTACATCTTCGTGACAAAGCCCCAGACCTCCACGTTGTAGATGCCGAATTCAGCTTCAGACGTTAAGCGTCTACGCGTACAACGGAAAATAGTTAGGAAAATAAACGCCACCATCAACACAATTACGCTAACGTACTCGTTCTCAAATGTCTTTGAGCATCCACTGGTACCGCGAGATAAATCCGAGTTTAGGCACCAAGCAAAGTCTCCCCTACAGAGCGCAACAATAGCATTAGTGAGTCTGTTGTCAACAAAAACCTCAGGAGACTTAAAGCGGCTTACCCTCCACCCATGGCGATACACTCGTCGTTGCTGAGCATGATCATGGTATTAAGGTATGACCACGGATAGCACTCGAACTTGGAGTTGAACGAGAACACAAAGGACTCGCCAATACCGTAGTAGTTTGCCGAGTCTTGCCATTCCTCCGAAGCAAAGCCACCGAAGATGTCGCCCTTGGTGGTCTCGACAACGACCAGAGTGGGGTTGTGCTTCTTCGCCTTGAGCAGGAGTGTGTGCAAGCTGCAGCCATCCTGAGCGAGACTGTAGAGCAGCTTCCAGTTGTGACATCGGCGAGAAGGAGCCAGCGAGGCCTGAAGGTGCGCCACGAGCGACGACGCATTTCGCGGGTTCGAGAGCACCTCGTTCTTGGAACCTCCAATGAGCTTGGGCAGCTCCGGCTGCAGAAGCTTGCGTCTCCGTTCCTTCGCTAGTCGGGCCTCCTCAGTTTCCTCCGGCTGAAGGCTCTTGCTCCGCTTCAGAAACGTAAAGTGGTTCCCCATTTGGCGTCTACAGACCGTACAACAGTCGGTTTACAACACATCACGGAAGATAAGCTAAGTTCGGTAGACAGACGTACATTTCCTGGAGGTCGTCGGTGTGCAAGTCGAGAGCCACGATGTCCGAGTCGATCCGCTCCGGGAGGCTGTTGCAGCGCGGCTTCCTCTCGAACACACGCAGGGCTTCGACAGTGGCGTGAACCACCTGCTTGCCGAAGTTATTGATATCCGGGAGCTCCGATTCCTGCATGTGGAAGCTGCAAACACACCGCGTCAGACACGTTGGCATTTCCAAGACCGACCAGACAACAGGACGATCGCTTTAACATCGGGAGGAGCAGCAAGCAAGTACGAACCGTTCTGCGATGTTGTGCAGTGTCTCGTCTCTCTTGGAGGCGTGCGCTCGCTGGAAACGAGGGTCGTCTAAGCTCAACGGCGTGAACAGCCGACTCATACTGGTGTCGTGCTCCAATGAGCAGCGTTGCCTTTGCCTCTTCGCGCAAAATGCACACTGAAGACTTCCATGTTGACGACTCGGTTTATGCGGTGCCTTGAGACGCGGATGAGCGAGGCATCGCAGGAGCGACTCCGACACAAGGATGCACGCCAGTGGCGACAGGTATAAGGCACTCGATTGCTGGGGGGGAAACCAACGAACCAAGCAGCCTCCGGTTTGACGGGGGCGTTATTGCGCAAAGCTGGTGCCGCCAGTCCTGACCAGAATCAGCCCATTGCGCAGCGCGGGAGGCGTGAGCAAGCCGCTAACGGCAGCGGTTAGCGCTCGTCCGGTTCCCGCTTGCCAGCGACTTCAAGTGCCTAAGCGGCACCGCGCGGCCCGTGTCTCTGCCCCAAGTACGTACCGGACCAAGCTGAAGTACCGAGCGCGACCCTGCGCCGCAGCGACTATGACTCGCACCGCCTACAGCGGATCTCCCACCTGCAGACCGTCTACGAGCAATATGTGGGGCTGCAAGCGACCGAGAGCGGTGGCCATGGCGGTCATTGCGCTGGTCGCACGCAATTTCAAGCGCATCAAACTTCAACTCGCTTTTGGATCGCCAGCCAGCCAATCACGACGCGTCCACTGACGTGAAATGATTACACCACTTTTGCTTTTCAAGCGTCATGCGCAACTCGACCAAGGCGACGCCGGAGCCGCTTGGAGTCCTGCGCGGCCACGGCGCTCCTGTCAACAGCGTGGGCTTCCTGTCGGCGTCCACCGTCGTGTCTGGCGCTGGCGATGGAGCCGTGAAGATTTGGGACTTGAAAACGCGCCGGGAGCTGGCGTCGAACGTCGCGGCGCACTCGAAGGCAGGCGTGCTGCACTCTGCCGCCCTGCGAGGTCTCGCGACGTCGGAGCAAAGGTTCGTCACGCAGGGTCGCGATGGATTCGTGAAGCTGTGGGACGCACAGTCTTTCAGCGCGGCAGCGGAGCCCGTTGCCAAGTTCTACTGCGGGTCGTACTCGTTCACCAAGTTCGCGACGCTGCGCTGGCCAGGGGACGAACGCGCAGCTGAGAGCGCAAACTTGATCGTTTGCCCAAGCAGCGTCGACAACAAGGTGAGATCGGTAGATGATGAATGACTTCTATTGTGATGGGTTCAAGTTATCTAACTTAAGTTGGGAATGGGGTGGCAGCTCTTGGTCTACGATATTCGAGTCGATGGTTCGTCGCCAGCGTCAACGCTCGTCGTGCCGGACGCTGCCAGCAAGCGAGGGATGTGCGTGTCGCTCTCCCTTTTCAACAGTAGCGTGGAGCATAGTGAGGATGGCACAGGCGGCAATGTGCAAACGTATATCGCCGCCGGCTTCGAAGGTGGACAACTCGCTATCATGGACTTGCGATCCGGTGGCAAAGTGGCTTGTGAGACCACCGTCGCTCAGGGTACAAACGCATGTACGTTGCTTCTCCTCTTGGAGGTTTATACACCGCTGCTCCCTCTACTGATACTAATGTTTGTTTTGTTTGGTGAATTAGTGCTTGCTTTTGATGTCACGCGCGACGGTAGATCGGCCATCTGCGGGTCTTCGGGCGAAGAGCTCTACGCAGCCAACTTTGATGTGGCAACGTACACACTTAACTCACGGTCGTTCTTCTCCTGCAGCCACGGGGGATTCAGCAGCGTGTGTATTCGAGCAGATCAACGCATCGTCGCCACCGGTGGCTGGGACCATCGCGTGCGTCTGTTCCACTTGCGAAAGCTCAAGCCCCTCGCCGTGCTCAAATACCACAGCGAGAGTGTCTTCGGACTGGGCTTCGGTGCTGATAGCGCGCTGCTCACATCTTGCTCCAAGGACCACAAGATCGCTCTTTGGTCGCTATACCCGCCGTCTGCAGCCGCTGCGTCAAGTGCGTTGCGGCCGTATTGAAGTACGATACAACGGCTTTGATGGGAAAACTGCGGTTAACTTATTGGGCTTACGATGTGAACTCGACCGACTTTTTCAGATTGGCGTTGTAGTACAGGAAGTGGTGGTAGCGGAAGTAGGTGATCAACTCGGCGAAGCCCACGTCGCGCTGCGCGTGGCACTCGCGTCCACGGTGGCCATACTGCTGGCACACGCGGCACTTGTGCTCACCGGTGCAGTGGTTGGCGTTACCGCACAACAGGCAGGCCTTGTTGCGGTTCGGACAGTCTGCACCACGATGAGAGCCGCGCTCAATGCAGTATCTGCAGCGGTGCTGGGCCGTGACGTGGGCTTTGCTCTGGCAGAACGAGCAAGCGGGATCGTTCGTTTTGTTGTGCTTGTGAGCCTTGTGGGCATGCTCGAAGGCGCGATCGATAGACTTGGTGACCGGCAGAAGCGAGAACGGCGCAGGTGTACGTCGCCCGACACCCATTCCGTGCTCGCGCAAGAAAATCTTGATGCAAGCATCCACGTATCCCTCAGCGGTAGGAGGGAAGGCGTGCACTGCATCTGAAGGATGCATCACAATGAGCAGTTGCTGCGGCTCGAAGAGAACGCGCAGGCGAGCAGCAAAGCCGATGTCGCCCACACGAGGCGATCCGAAGCCCACGAAATTGATCTTGCTTGCGTCCCAGCCGTTCATACGCGCGTGGTCACCCAGGTACAGCATGAACAACTGCCCCAAGCACCCTCCCATGCTGTAACCAGTCACGTGCACCGGAACGCCCTGCTCCACATACTTGAGGATAGCGTCGAGCAGGCCTTCCTTGATCATATCTTGCATGTAGTCGTTGATTGCGCGGTGAACTCGAACGACGCGGGCTTTGCTGAGTCGCACAGGGTTGATCTCACCCGATCCATTGCTGTCCGCGTCACTGTCTCGACGGCGTCGTCGTGTGTGGGTCTGCGCATGCACTGGGACAGCCGTCGGCTGATCCAGAACGAGCGAGTCGAAGCGCTGAATACGCGGCCTCCGCATCAGCTTCTCCAGAATCGAGATCCCAGCAGGCTCAGTCAAACCGCGATCCAACGCGACCGCCATCATGTTCTGAATACTCTGGCGGATTCGAGTCTTCTCACCGTCTGACCAGGCGTTCCCGATCTTGCTCCACATAAACTTCAAGAGCTGAGATGCAGGCTCGTAGTCGCCCGAGACGGACGACGTCACGATGTTAATCGCCGAGGACAGCGACATGCCCTTCATCTCCGTCTTGAACTCTTGCAGTTCGTCTTCCGCCCAGCCAGACCAGAAATCTCCCCAGACGTCACGAATAGTCTCCGGGTTACCTGCAGGGCTGAAGGCCACCACAACATCGCGCGTTGGCTCGCTCGATGGGTGCTCCACGATGCCTTCCCAAACGTGAGCGCGAGCGCAGTGGCTCTTGTTCTGGAAAATGTGCTTGAGCTCGTACACAGGAGCGATAGCGTCGGGTGCCCGACGATCAGCGCGGATCTTGACACCAAGGCCAAACTGGACATTCTTGTTTCCGTCGGCATCTTCATTCACGACGTCGTTCTCTTTGAGCATCGAGAACTTGGCCGACAGCAGCAGCAACTGCTTACCGCGTGAGAGAATCTCACGCTTCCGCCGGAAGCTGCGGTGCATGTCGGCAACAGCTGACGCAAACGAGTCGTTAATGTCTTCATCTTCGGGGCAGGTCACGATGGTTTCTTCCTGCTCGGTGATGAGAAGAATCTCGTTCGAGTGGTGATTTCCTGCAATCACATCGACGCCCCACTTCTCAAGATCGGCGTGTGCAGCTTCAATGTCTTCGCCACTATCGAGTTGGTGCTTGCAAGTGATCAGGAAGGCCTTGGGACACCAATCCTTGCGGATCTTGCGGATCATGTTGGGCACTCGCACGAAGTTGACTGAGAACTCGTCGCTCTTCTTCTTGGCGATCTTCTTGGCCAGCTTCTTGATGTGCCTGGTCTTGCTGTGCTTCGACGTCGAAGAAGAGGATGACGAGAAAGAAGACGAAGTCGACGATGGCGCTGGCTCGACACTACCGCTGGCTTCATCCGCAGCTTCCATCGCCGCGGCGGGAGGGTCCACCGGCACGTAGAAGTCCATGAGCGTGGCGGCCAGCACGACCACGCCGCGGTCTTTCGCGACCTCCATCGCTCTGGCCGTGAGTCGCACGAGCATGAGATACTGCTGCACGGACGTGAAGCTGAGGTTGAGCACGCGCGTGCTGCACTCCGTGTAGAGCTGGGCGATCTTCTGGAACTGCAGCTGCTGCGAGATGTCGACGCCCGAGAGCATGAGCCCGTTGTCCTGCAGGCGGAACATGTCCATGAAGGCCCCATTCTGGATGTACTTCTGGAAGTGGCGCGTGAAGGGCCGCAGCGAGTCCTCGCGGTGCACGAAGATGACGGCGTAGCCCAGCTGCAGCAGGTACTCGGCGCACGCGGGGCCCTGCTGCTCCTGCACCTGCGGCGCCACGTCCACGAACGTGTCGTTCTCCGGGTCCAGCGGCACGATCGTCGCGCCCGACGTGATGAGCGCGATGCCGCGGCGCTTGTCGGCCAGCTGCGCGGCGATGAACTGCTCGGTCTGCCGCTGGACGGCGCCCAGCTCCCAGCGCGGGTCCTCGGGCGTCTTGCTGAAGAACTCGTTGACGAACTCGCTCGAGTCCGTGGGGACGGACCCGCCCATGCGGTGGCGCAGCGTGCCCCAGAGCGCCATGTCGGAGCGGTGCGGCAGGAACGACGACAGGCGGTGGGGCTTGCTGTCGTCGCTGGAAGTTGCGGACTGACGCTGCTGCTGCTGCGTCGTCTCGCTGCTCATGGGGTCGTGCGTGCGTCTGACTCTGACTTTGGCTTGCAACTAAGAAACGGAAAATGCGGCTATGTGTGTGTGGTGTACACTCTCTTGCACTTGCTTTTTGTATGCCGCGACTTGAACCCACCTTGGGGCGGAATGGTCAGAACGCGGATGCGCGTCAGTCTTCGATCTGGGGCCGAGTTCGACTGTGCTGACTCATTCCCACGCGGTGCAACTTTAATCCGCATGCTGCATGTCATGCAGGCGTGCAAGGACCATTGGCACGTTATGTGTAGGTAGTTTGCCTCGATGCCGCTTCAGCAGCAGCAGCAGCAGAGACTGTTTACGGGCGAGCCGCGGTTTGACATGTCGACGACATGATGGTGTCGTCGCAGCGTCGCTCGAACAGCGCAATGTGGATGCGGAACGGAGACCGAGCCGAACGACTGGTCCGAACGCCTTCAGCTTCCGTCGAGGGCTGCCTTGGGTTGTGATTGCTAGCGCGAGGCATGGACACGTCCGGCTTGGCACTCTCCACGAAGCTGCCGCGCTTTCGAGTCGCAGTCTGCATGCACGATGGGGGTTCCTCCAAGGTGAAGCTCGCCCGTGGTAGCCATGACATCTTGTAGCGTCCTGGACCATCCTTGCCTGGAAGCCGACGCAACATGCAGCAACTTGCTGAGCAAGGGCAACTTGAGGTGCATGTCTTGTGATAAAACCACAAAGACCCTGAAAAACACAATAGCTTGGTGACTTTTAGGATCCCGAAAAAGATTGCATATCAACGCGCGCAGAAACCTGGTGGATGGAGGCCCCAGAGCGACATCGGCGGTGTCCAGCTTTGACGCTGCTTGTGCTGTTGGTATGGTGGGCCACGGCATTGCTCCCGACGCTGTGCGGTGCACTGAACTGTGCGCTGCCGGAGCCGCAGCTCGTGGGGGTACAGAATGCCACCGCAGTCGAGCTACCTGTAGACGTTGTTCTCACGACGGTCTCCCACCAACACAACGCAAAACCAAGCGATTTGGTCTTCGTTGCCATCCGCAATGCCCGGAACATGCCATGTTGGTAGTACGTGCTACGTTGTTCAGGAATCGCGCCAATCTGTGCTGACGTTGCTGTGCAGGGCACCAGAAGATCACTATCAAAACTCCAGGCAGTCATCGGATACGTAAGTTGCTATCTTACGTGATGCAGAAAAATTGACCGACTAACGGCACCAATTTCATTAGTCACCACGATATCTGCGGTGAGCTCCGCGTGCTCGAGGACAGACCTTTTCGTTTTCGATGGGTACCTCCCTGCGGAGACGAACGTGAACACGCAGCTCGAGCCGACCGAGTTGCAGTGTGTGAAGACGCCTGAGCTGCATCTAATCATTTTCTGGTCAGCCATGCCGAACGCTCAGTTCTCGAGACTTCATCGCGTTCTAGCCGCGCTGTCCGACGTTGTCAGCTACCCCGAAGCCGACTACCATATACGGCTGCATGGGGTTTTTCGGGCGGATCCAGGCGTGGAGAAGATCGATGAGAGCTGGTACCAAGCGTTTTACGGCAGCACTTACTACGGGCTCTACTTTGGAACGCCGGAAAAAGTAGACATGGTGCATGTGAAAGGAAACGGAGCTTTTTACGTGGCACTGGTGGAAGACTTGTGCCCCCAGTACGCGTACGATCTCGAGCGCGGAATGATTCTAAACACCAACATGTTTGCGCTGAAGAACATTCTGCGAGAGCTAAGTCCTCAATGGTATCAAGTACATACGACCCAGACCCAGCAAGAATCGGACGCTGATTACAAGTTCCTATTTGGCGGGACTGCAAGGGAGATCGTCCGATCTCTTCAGCTGGATAAACTCTGGTCTGCTGCCGAGTACCGTGAACCCCGTGTCGACAACGGCGTTTACGTCCTACCATGGAGGCGTATATTCATCCCCGTGGATGCGATGGAGACACTTGGAGCTATGATGCAAAGCGAGTGGCATCGGTTCGAGCTAGACGTGCCAGAAATCCATGTACGTGCATGCCAAAGGCTACGAATCACGGGGATTCTTACAAATGTTTCATTTGACTGTTGCAGGCCGAGCTAACTCCTGGTATGCTGGACCCTGACCCAACGTTAAGCCAAGAGAACATTCTTCGCGCAGCTTTTCTCGGCTCGAGTAGGCTGCCGCTCTTGGCACACTTGCCCACTGATTCGCGGTGGTACAAGGGGATGCTGGAATTGAAGCACGCCAAGGCGTTCCGCGTACTGAAGGAAAACGGTTGGGGGCGCCAATTGCCCACATGCTCTACTGTTGGAGATGCCGCTGCCATCCTGTCTTCCGAGAGCTCCGATACACCAAAAGATAGCTCGCTCCGCGACCACGTTCGTCAGCTTCAACAGCGCGTCGACCACTTCAACCATACCCTCATCGTCGTCAGCGCCAGCGCTGACGGACCTTTCACAATATGGGACGGCAACCACCGCGCTATCGCATTGGCGCTCACCCAACCGGACAGCCACCTACTGCTCGTGTACATGGGCGTCAGCCCCAGCTTTGCCTCTCCGCACCGAGGCTCGCTGTACTGCCCCTGATAACGCCGATCAGTTGATGGAACTGTTAGAAAACGGTTATGTTATTAACAAAACATCAGTAATCTCCCGAAACCGAATCAGTTCTGACAGGGAGTGAAGTGCTACCGAAAACCGTCCGAGACCGAAATGGAGCAGCACCACGACGGCGCCAAGAAGCCCCTGGGCGGCCTGTCGCCCCGCGGGCTGCTGAAGCGCGGCTGGAATGGCGTCACGAGTCCGCTGAGCGCTCTCAAGGACTCGGTCGTGGCTGCAGCGACGCCCCGCTCCGTGGCCGCGACCCCCACGAGCCGGATGACGTTGCCCAGCCCCACCGAGTATCCAAGCCTCTTCGACGTGCGAGGGCCGAGCTCCACGCGCTCGGTGGATGGAGTGCCAGTGTCCAGTCACAAGGGCGAAGTGGAGACACAGTCAGCGCATGAGAGCGGCAGTGCCAGGACCGGATCGTGGGGCAGCTCGGGCAGGACGGCGGCGAGCAGCTCAGGCTGGGCGGACGAGGGGGCAGACGATGTCCAGGGAGAGGAGGAACGGGCCTATCTCTCCGTGTGTCACCACAACCTGCACTCGGTGCTGACGAACCCCAAGGCCAACAACTGGGGCGGCGCGCTGCTGGACGTGTTCTATCCGACTCTGGATGTTGATATTGCGTTGGCCCCGTTCCCTGGGCTGGCAGACGTGTCGACGAGGGACTTCCAGCCCTATTTGCGGCAGTTTGGTACCAATGCAGCCAAGTACGAGGAGAATCATGTGAAACCCGTCAACGAACAGCTCTCGTCAAGCAACGTGCCGTCGATATCAGTCGCAGACGGTAAGGGTTTTGCTGTCAGAGGGTGCAGGTGCAATTATTCTAACTAATTGCTGGTTGCGATTGTTGCAGAGGATGTGGCCAAATGCCTTGAAGTCGTTCCCAACTTGTTCTTTCGACCAGACTTTGATTTCACTGATTCCAACACGTTCGAGGAGGTTATGAATATGCCGAGCTCTTCATCCCTCCAAGAAGAGGTGTGTGTTATCGTCAATTGTCTGCTTTCTTACCGCGCGATCCAAATAACTAACGCACAGATATGTTATTGCTGGATCCCCTAGTTAACAACATACCTGGATCGCGTCGAGTTTACACTTCTTCGCCAGGTATCCTCTCGATCGAATCGCTTTTTTGAAGCGTCAGCAGATCAAGAAGTGATGAAGCAGTCCATTAAAGTGGCCTGTGATCAAGTAGCAACGTTGAGGTGGGAAGTGAATCGATTTTGCGGGCACTTATAAAGTGGTTTTATGAGTGAGATGTTGTGCTAATATATGTCTATGTTATCCAAACGATCATAGAAAAACTATGGATCGATTGCGGAATTTGCTTGCTGACAAAACGCTCGATATTGTGAGCTTGCATCGGCGCCAGAAGCGGATTAAGGAGCTCCATGATTTAGTGACGATGGTTGAGGAAGTCAAGAGCGCGGAGTCTGCGGTTGAGGCATTAGTGCAATGCCAAGATTACACGAACGCACTAAACTTGATCGAGAGTTCCCAAACGATACTACGTGAACATTTGCAAGGCATTCATGGACTTAGTTCTCTTAGCGAGAAATTTCGTGGCTACCGCGGCTTCATCAGCACGCAGATATCGCAGCGGTTCATCTCGGTCATTACATCTCCTGAATGGACATTTCAAGACGAGGACGAGTCTGGGTACTCCGACAAAAAGCGACAGGGAAGTGTCGGTGACGAAAAGGACACTGTGCAACAGGAGACGAAGCGTCTCGTGGATGTTCTGTTCCGATTAGACGCACTGGACGATACTGTGAAGACCTACCTCGACCAGCTTAACGAGGAGATTCGCGTTATTGTGAAGACGGTGGTTACCGAAACGATTGCGGTGTCCAGCAGCAGCAAGAGCAGTTCCAACGATCTAGGGGCATCCGGTGGGAGTGAATCGAAAGTGTCGATTCAGCTGCGAGCGCTGACGTCGGATGAGTTCCTTCAGTGCGTGCAGATGATATTCGAGCACTTGCTCATGGTGCTTAAGCGTGCTGTGGTGGTGCAGGGTATTCTGGTGAAGTCAATGCAAAAGAAGATCGATGAAGCCGCAGAGGAGGAGAAACGACTGAAGGCCGCTGCTCACAGCGAGGGACACAGTAACGGCACGCAGGATTCAAAGTCTGGAGAAGGTGCTCCGTCTGAAGGCTGGTCGCCATCCGAGAATGCCAGCGATGAGCACAAAACCCTTGGGGACTGGAAGAAGAAAACGCGATGCGCCAAGGCTATTCGAGAGATTGACGAGGTTGTGCGCAAGACCTGTGAGTTTTCACAACGCAGTGTATCGAATCTATTCGCTGTCAGGAAGGAAGTCCAGGCTGTTTACACTATGCCACAGCTACGCAAGGTGTACGACACCACCATGGATTTCGTTGTCAGTATCGAAAAGCTGACGGGTAAGACGGACTACACGCTTCGCGGTGCATTGTTCTCGCAGTTGAAGCTGTTCCTGGAGAAGTACCACCAAACGCAAGTGACGAAGCTGGTATCGACATTGGATCACGAGCTTTGGAAAAACACTGAGGTCTCGGAGACGCGCCATAAATCCCTCGAAGATCTCTCGAGTGGAAGGGGTGTCGCTTTGCTACTATCCGATGATCGAGAAATCGCTGGTGAAACAGCACCCCCACGCAAGATGGTGGCCATTTGTGGCAAATCCTTCCGGGTTGTCTGGTCGGTTCTTCTCATGTTGGAGATCGTGATGAATTATATGTCTTGCGCTGCCAACTTCCCTGTTCTAGCAACGGATGTACTTCAGCGCTCTATCGAGATTTTCCGGGTACGTTAACTGGTGCATACGCATGTGCGATGTTATCATAGATTGAGGCTAACGCGGTTTTTTATCGCAGTTATTTAACTCTCGGACAACGCAACTTGTGCTTGGAGCTGGTGCGATGCAAATTGCACGCCTCAAAAGCATTTCCGCTAGGCATTTAGGTGCGCACTTCGAGTTCATTTACTTGCCATCGCTTGCATGGCGCTGATTGTAAATTTTCGTGGCATGCTACAGCTTTGGCGTCGCAATCCCTGGAGCTGTCGATGACTCTCATCCCTCACATCAAGGCTGCCTTGGCGGCGCATTTCACCGATCGCCAGAAATTGCTGTTGGACGAATTCGACCGTGTGCTGCGAGACTATGCTGAGCACAACGAGAAGATTTTTAGCAAGTTTACAAGTATCGTGGAAGACCAGATCATGAAGCGCTTCCTGGAGAATGTAGCCACTGAGGTACGTCGGTATTTGTCGTGCTCTATCGGTGCATCATGATAGTAATGTTCACGTTGTTGTACCACCAGGTTGACTACGATTCTGCCAGCCTTGCAGTGCCTTCGAATCCTATGCGCGGTATCACGCAGAGCACGCTGAAGCTCCATGCAGTGCTCCATCCCGTCCTGTCGCCGCCTCAGATGAAGGACGTGATGTCGCGCGTGTTCGACATGTTTACCCAGAAGCTTCCGGAGTGCTTCAAGCTTGTCCAGCCACGAACAGCGGCGGGCAAGAAACGGTATGTGATACTGCGGCGACAAAGATCATTCACGCTAGCCCTACTAATATGCATATCGTGTTTTCGTGCTGTGTATCAACAGTGTTGTGGAAGATGTCGAAGTGTTCGTACAGAGCTTCAAGGAGGTGACCGAGCTGGCTTTCGACGGCGCAGCCCTCTTGAACCACTTTAAGAACTCTTACAATGTGTCCTAGATAGAGCAAACGCACACCACGAATATCACCTGCACTTTCATCCAGGATCTCGTAGATCACTCTATCTCAGCACCAAGGTAGCCAGGTAATGCACCGCGTAGAAGGAAAGAGTATGCTGTACACGCAGCAGTGCTCCTAGCTGACGGTGGACAGGATAGCAAGGTCCCGCGTAGCAGGAAAACATCTTTTAGAGCTTGCATTGGAGCTAGTTGGATCCGTTGGCGGCGTCGACGGCCATCATGAGCGTGATGGTGTCTCCCTTGAGCAAGATGCGGCCCAGCGGCGTGCGCTTGAGGTTCTTGACGTCCAGCTCCTCGGCGTCGTCCAGCACCAGGTTCATGTACTCGTCGAAGCCCATGATGCGGCCCTCGATCCGCGTGTTCACCTGCTCGTAGAGCCACACCTGGATGCGCGATTTCTACACGTACACCAAAACACGCATACCTTTAGACACCGAGAGCACAGCAAAGAGACTTGTGGTGCCACGCACGTTCTGCAGGAATCTGAACATCAGATTGATGGGCTGGGTCATCAACTTCTGCACTTTGGTACTCATGGTGGCTGGCTGGATTCGGAGCGTCGTCTTCTATGTGTCTGATCGCAGCAGCCGCAGCGTACAAAGCAGTCAGTCGGTGTCTAGTGCTATTATCTACCAGCGTCGTGCAGACTCGGCGTCTGCAGCGGCTCCTTCAGCGCGTCAGCGATGCACACCCACGCTCACGCACCTGTTGCTGTAGCTTCGGTGCTGTCCCCCTGCAAAAAGCGCTGGCTGGTGCCGCTATCCAGAGCGGGGTTGTATTGGCTGAAATGTGCAAAGTTGTTTTGACCAATGGTTTTCGATAAAGAAGCGGATTGGATGAAAAGACTGACTTCAACTTGTACCATGTACAGTAACGGCTCGAGCGGAACGACCGATTTGGTGACGGCACTCTCCGCCGCGCTGGACGGACAACCCCGAGGATGCAGTCGCGCTCGCGCCGCGCGCTGCCTAGTACAGATGCCAGCAGGACACTCTCAGGACGAAGTATGGTCAAGGCTTCAGGTATGTAAGTAGTCTGCGTGTGCCTTGCTTGGCCTGATAATTCCTCGGACGTGGCAACTTCGTGCTAAACAAAAAACGTGGTTGCAGCAGCTCCAGACACGGTCGACAGCAAGTATTTTGTGGCGGAAGACGACGAATTTCTTGACGCTGTCGACAAAGCTTTGAATCAGCTGGCTGCGGATTGCAAGACAGCGCTCCGATGGTCTTACGACGACGAGGACGTGGATGCTGCTATTCAGGCCGCAGAACAGAGCTTCTATTCCATCGCATCAATTTGCAGAGAGGCCGGTCTCACTGTGGATAACAGTTTTCTTGGTGGAGAGCATGACACCAATCGATGGGATTCCGAATGGAGCACGATTCATTCAGTGGCGTCGTCGTGTCCATCGCCGAAATGGCCCAACGAGCTAGGAGCAGCAAGTACCTCCTCACGAGGAGAAATTTACCGCGAAGACGTTGTTCATCCTCCACCGGCGCCTATGGAACGAACTTTGATTCTAGACACTCAACAAGGAGCTTTACCGCTGAGTCCTACCGAAGAGATTGTGGAAGTTGAGCTCACGGACCTCTTGACCCAATCTCACGAAGAAATGCTGGGTCTTCAGCGCGTGTTTGAAGCTCGGATGAGTGAGGCCGAGCGAACTCGCGAAGAGTACGAGCACAAGCACGCGGAAGAGATGCAGTCACTGCAGGAGGAGTTGGCGAATTCCCGCTTGGCGATGGACCGCATCAAGCAGGAGCTGCTCGACAGCACGACGCGCAAGCTGGAAGACATGCACTCGGCCATCACGGCGTCTCAGAGAGCGATCGAGGCAAGCATGAAAGACCAAGCGCGGTACTGGAAGTCCATCTGCGAAGAGCTCGTCGTGGAAAAGCGAGACATGGCTCAGAAAGTGGCGGAGGAGCGAGGAAAGTACACGGCGCTGAAGGCTCACCTCGCAAGTCACGACGACGCCAGCGCACGGCCGTCACTTCACTCTCGTGCACGGATACGAGATGCGCCTGGCGAGGAGAGCGTTGCTAGAATGCGTCTGTGTGAATTGTCGTCGCCTGCCTCTGCGTTGTCGCCACTCGCGCCAGGGAACCAGGGCTCGAACGAAGAGTCTGCAACTTGCGCATCAGTCTGCGGCACACCAACTGGTTCTTCGTCAGGGCTGGTGGTCGTCCCTGATGCAGACAGCGTCAGTGAGCCGTCTAGCGCAGAGGTGTCGCCGACGCACAGTAGCAGTAGCGGTAGCAGCGTCAGCAGAACCGGCAAGCCGACGACGTTCCGACGGTATTACCTCGCCCAAAAGCGCGTGGTGCTCCACTAGCGAGCGCAGCCCTTCCGTAGCCTCCCCAGCGCCAATGCGAATGTGAACCTGCTTGCAGCAGTCTGTGATTGCACTGCGATCGGACCTTGCGAATCTCTGCCTGTGCAGGTTGCACAACGAATGTCGACGTCAGCTCGACTTCAAGTTGGGCGTGTTTGTTTACACCCAAATTTGTTGCAAATATACGAGTGTGGAGTCAAAAATCCAAACATGGCGAATTTCGGGCTGCGATAACTTCGGATACGCCGATCATTTGTCGACTTGCCCGACAGCGTCCAGCCCCTCGAGATCATGCGCGTGCCTACGTCGATGCGTCCGCTCGCGTCCCGCGCACGCGCGCTGAGCTCCGCGGCCGGCGCGCAGCAGCAGCAGCCCGGCTGGTTCAACCGCATGCTGCTCACCAACGAGTACAACCTGCCGCGCCTGCCGGTGCCGCAGCTGGAGGAGACCGTGACGCGCTACCTGGAGAGCGTCCGCCCCCTCGTGGACGCCAAGGAGTGGGAGGCGCACGCGCAGCTGGCCAAGGCCTTCCAGGGCGCCGAGGGTCGCCAGCTGCAGGAGATGCTGCTCAAGCGCGAGCTCAAGCAGGCCATGGGCCGCGCGTACCCGTTCAGCTACATCGAGGAGGACTGGGACAAGATGTACCTCGGCGGACGCTACCAGGGCCCCATCAACGTGAACCCGTCCTACGGCCTGCTCGACGAGACGGACGGCAACCTCGAGGGCATGGTGCCTCGCAGCGCCGCGTTCGTGCGCTCCATGGTCAAGTGGTGGGCCAAGGTCAAGAACAGCGAGCTGGAGCAGGACAAGAACCAGTGCATGGCCGGCTTCGCGCGCCAGTACGGCACGGCCAAGGTCCCCAAGAAGGGCATGGACGTGCTGACGTCCCACCCGCGCGCGTCGCACATCGTCGTCATGAAAGGCAACCAGTTCTATCAGCTGAACGTGCTCAGCCCCGACGGTAAGCAGTTGCTGTCCCAGAGGCAGCTCGAGGCGCAGCTCGACTCCATCCTGAACGCGCCGTCCAAGGGGGACCACGACGACTTGGATCTGTCCACGCTCACGGCTGAGGAGCGCGACACGTGGGCGCAGATCCGCGACGACCTGGTGGCGCACCACCCCGTGAACGCCGAGACGCTGGAGGTGATCGACTCGGCGCTGTTCATGCTGGTGCTGGAGGACCGCAACCCGACGGACATGAAGCAGCGCATGGAGCTGTCGCTGCACGGCCAAGGCTCGCACCGCTGGTTCGACAAGCTGCAGGTTATGGTGCAGCCCGACGGCCACCTGACTGTCAACTTCGAGCACTCGTTCTCGGACGGCACGGTCTGGAACCGCTGGCTGCACGAGTGCTGGCACGACATGCGCGACTCGGACTCGGGTTTCGCCCCGCTCGAGGAGATGCCCGAGTACGTCGGGGCCACGAAACCCGAGAAGCTCAGCTGGAAGCTGTCCAACAACCTGATCGAGGACGTCAAGAAGGCCGAAGACCACTTCTCCGATTTCTCAGGCAACCTCAACTCGGAGTACTTGGTGTACAAGAACTTCGCCAAGAACAACTGCAAGCAGTGGAAGCTCAGTCCGGACGGCATCGCGCAGATGGCACTCCAGCTCGCGTTCTACCGCACGCACGGCAAGATCGCGCCCACGTACGAGTCGTGCTCGACGCGCCTTTTCCACCACGGACGCACGGAGACCATTCGCTCGGCAACCCCCGCTGCCGATGCGTTTGTCAAGAGCGTGGAGGCGGGTGCTCATGTGGGCACTCAGCGTGAACTGCTCGTTGCAGCCGTGAACCGCCACGTTGAGATGGCAAAGATGGCGCAGAGAGGACTGGGCGTGGACCGCCACCTGACGGCGTTGAACTCGATCGCCAGCCAGAACGGGGTCTCTAGTGAGTTCCTGGCCAGCCCCGTGCGAGCCGAGAGCACTAACTTCCTGATCTCTTCGAGCAACGTGACCACGCCATTCCTGCAGTACTTCTCCTTCGGTGCGGTGGTGCCCCACGGCTATGGCGTGGGATACTTGCTCCATAACAAGAGCATCAACGTAAGCCTGACGAACTACAAGGACAGCGGTATCTCGGACGGCAAGAAGTTTAAGAAGGCGCTGGAAGGCTCGCTAGACACCATCAAGGCGCTCGCGGACAGCCCTGCTCCCTAAAAGCTCAGATTTTGACGAGAATGAAGTCGAGAGCTGATGCTAGCGATAAAAATGAACCATGTTTGTTCAGGTTGTTGAAGTGAGTCACTCACTATCTTCAAAGCTACATGTACTCACTGAGCTCGGTTGTCTTCAACGTCGAAGCTGCTCCTACAGAGCAAGGCTGGCGAGCATGACAGCTACAAGCGCCGAAACAATCAGCAGCAGCTTGGAGGTTTGCACTGTCATGCTTGCGTCGGTCGGGCAAGTCGAGCAGTCAAAGGTGTAGTTACTCAGCATATCGCAGAGTGTACACGACGGGCTACACGACGGGCAATAACACGCCGCTGATCCGTTCGTCAGCACTTGGCAGTCTCCTTCCCCACAGTCTGTGGTGGTACACGCGTCCTCAACGGCACCACACGTGTCGCCGCTGTAGCCAGGAGCGCAGACACATTTCCCCGTGTCAGTGTTGCAAGTGTTGTTGTACTGGCAAGCTAAGTCGTTCGTGCATCGAGTGCAGCGCTCGTTCGCCGTGCCTTGCTTGCCATCGTACTCCTTGCCGTCGAATCCTTCCTTGCACACGCACTCACCGTCGACGCAGTCGCCTCCCGTGCCGCAGTCGACGTCACATGCGTTGGAAACCTCGGTTGAGCACATATCCCCCTCGAATCCGGCATAGCACATGCACGTACGCTTGGTGATCTTCTTCTTGCTCTTATACGTGCACGTTCCTTGGTAGGTGCACTGTTCTTACGAGTTGAACGACCCACACGCGCTGGGGTAGCAGGTGCTTGGGTCGGCGGCCTTGCTTTCGTAGTCCGACACGTCCAGGCAGACGAATTGGCCCGTCACCTCCTCTCCGTCGATCGTTGCCGTGTACAACGCGTCGGCATCGTTAGTGCTGCTCGTGGTAGATGAAGAGGAAGTCGAGTTTCCACTTCCGCTTGACTGGGACGACGAGATTGAAGCAGAGGATGCGGACGCCGTTGAGGTTGATCCCGAAGACGAAGCCGCCGCGTTGAGGCAGCGACGACTTGATCCGGACCCGCTAGAGGAGAGTGATAGGTTTTCTTCCGATACGAACACGCAGTGCGCATTCAGGTATACTTGGTCGGAACTCTGGTAGGACGGACACAGCCCAGGTTGCGCTCCACGACAGGCTGGACGCTTGGAGGTGTTGGGGGTGCACTTCGAGATGACGTCGCCGTAGTTGTTGACGGAGATGCAGACCGTGCCCGGGTAGTTTTTTTCGCAGTAGGCGTCCGAGGTGCAGTAGTACGGGTGATCGTCGTCCCCGGCGACGACCACGACGGACGCAGCGGCTAGCACTTCATGTCGATAGCTCGTGTGGGGTGTAGAGGAAGTTCTCGACTGACATCCCTCGTGCCAATGTCAAGAACGTCCCGGTTGGCATAGGCGGCGTCGCGCTGCTCGTGTGGGTACTGCTCCCCCAATTGATCGGTAAGGAATTCCTTCCGTTCTCATCGATCATTCGCAACATGCTGTCCGTCAGTGACGTGATCTTTGTGTGTAGGTTGGTGCCAAGCCAAGCATCGAGTTGCGGTGGCTTTGGGGTGCAGTCTCACCTACGCGTTCTTAGCGCCGTGCGCATGGATCCTTGAATGCAAAATGGCAGGCAATGTCAGTGTACAGTACTTGCTCAACCCACTGAGTGAGTTATTCAGAGATGCCTGTCGGCCTGTACTACTGTTCGGCGAGGGCTGCCCTACAGAGTTCTCGACTTGCCTTTGCCAAGGGCCAGGGTCCCTGGTTGTGCGGGAGTAATGCCGCGAGGTTGGAGGATACTTACCGTCTCCATGTATTATCGTCGAGCAACACGAGCTGACAGTGAACGCGGCAAACTTCCCCCCAAGATGTACTAGTACACAAGTGCTTGCCATACTGTATCCATGGTGAATGATGCTTTTTAGCGGTGTTTCGTGCATTTGGTGACGAAAGTCCGACCATGGTCATCCAGTGTAATTTTATAATCCCACTTAAGTACGTTTTAGATCCCAACGGCAACATGCAACAATTCCGCACTGCGAGGAGTGCGCAATCTGTTGTCCCAAGAAGCGACTCATTCTCACTAAAGCTCGGCGGCGATCAAGACCAGTACGTCATCTTCTATGACCTGGCCGCCACGAGCTACCTGTAGAACTTACTGTTGTGAAAGTTGTTGCTCGGCAGAACCGCGATTATGGCACGAACGGGACGTCCGCGTCACACAATCTGGAGCGAGTTCACAGTTGTGAATGAACATGACCGAAGACAGCTAAAGGATGTCCGATGCAATCACTGTGGTCTCGTTCTTCATAAAGTGCAGCCTGGGCAAAAACTAATGCATCACGTACTAAAGGGGTGCTCAGCAATGCCTCTTGAGAAGCGCAGAGAATGGGAATGTGTTAACGGGGCATCAAAGCGACAGCGCCTGATCCGAGAGCAGCAAAATGAGGCCCGCGTTGCACAAGCCACCTGGGTTGCAGATGCAGAGAGAGCGGAGGAAGTGGCAAACGCTCAACGCGTGCATAGCGGTGCAGAACGAGCTGTTGATGAAGTGCAGAGGGACAATGGTGCTGCAGAACGCGTGGAGTGTGGCGGACAGCAGGGCCGCAGTGATGAAGTGGTGATTGGTGAAACAGTGGAGCCCCCGGTCAGTGAAGAGACGTTGGAGATTTGGGACGAGATTGCGATGATGTTCTATCTTGCTAACTGGTCGTTTAGCTCAATTGAGTTACCATTAACGCGCAAGGTGCTGGGCCGGTTGTACCCGGATGTTCCTCTTCCAAACAGACACCATCTCGCTGATTTTCTTTTGGTCCGAGCGTACAAGCGAGTATTGGAGTTTGTTATTAGAAGGGTGTCGTCTAAACGATATGCTGCCATATCAATGGATGGCTGGTCTACTTTCAGACGACAGAGTATGATTAATGTGACTCTCCTGATTCCCGGACTGCCCGCAATACTGTGGGCGACCAAATGCACGGGTGACGCTGTCAAAACAGGAGAATTCATCGCCAACTTTGTGGTTGTCGAGATTGATGACATTGAAACGCAGTGTGAAAATCTGGAGGTGGTATCGCTGAGTACGGACAACGCCAAGAACATGAAGAGCGCATGGAGAATCCTGGAGGCAAGGCGTAGCGGTTTTTTTTTTCTGTACTGGGTGCAGTGCTCACACGATGAACCTCCTTGTAAAAGACGTTGCGGAGCTGCCTTTTGTGAGTGACATTTTTCGCCAAGCCAATGCTCTTGCTGTTTTCATCCGATCGCATACAAACACGAATGAACGTTTGACCCTCGATCACGTGGCGCACCCTGACAGTTCTCAGCGTGGGCTGGCGGTATCCATTGCGACACGTTGGTACTCGCACCGCGATTGTGTCCAAAATGTACTGGACAATGAAGATGCGATACGGCGTATAATGCCAGACGATGGGCTTCTAAAGTCTTACGATAAGAAGAAGGTAGCCGCTGCCAAGGCTATCGTTGACTCGGATACCTTTTGGATTCAGGGAGGGCTCGTACTTCGTTTGTTGGACCCGATCATCTAATGCATCGCTCACTTCGAGAAAGATGGGTGTTCGCTCTCAGTTGTCTTCGAACAATTTATTCGACTGAAGAACCTTGCGATTTACAACCACAAAACTCCTGGCATTCCTCAAACCGTTCAGCAGCAATTTCGGAGGAGGATTCGCGCCCGCTGGCGCTTCATTCACAAGAGTTCGATGAAACTAGCGTATCTATTGGACCATACCAAGTCACAACGGTGTTTTCCGAAGATGATATCGTTTCGCTGGTCCAGCAGCTCGTTCTTCTCGAGGAGAAGCTGAACTACTCAGATCTGGAGTTAGATCAGATTCAACAACAACTTTCTAGCTTCATGAGCGAGAAGTCTAAGTGGCCCCCCGCCAAAAAAGCTGTGTTCTACAAGTTGCCTCCGATGGAGTGGTGGACCTGGGTTGGAATTATCAACTACCCGCTGGTCTCTTTGATTGCTGAGCGAGTGTTCACGATTCCGACCTCTTCGGCATCAGCCGAGCGTGCATGGAGTATTCATGGGTACATTTGCTCTAAGCGCCGAAGCAGTCTCGGCAACGAGAAGGCGCACATGTTGGCCTCCATCTACTCCAACCATCATGACCGCTCCACGGCTATTGAACATCAGCTGATTTTGGAGACCAAGAGAACCTGTGGGGGAACGAGTGCGATCCGCTTCGGGACGCCGACATGGATAATGACTCGGACAATGACTATGCAGATGACTCGGACGATGATTCGAGCGTTTGCTCAATTGAGGACGCTGCTGGCGATGCTGATGAGGATCCGCCCGAAGTACAACAAGTACTTGAGGCCTCGCACGGCAGTACCTTCAACTTTGTCAGTGTTACAGGAGTCGTCATGACTGGCAGCAGCGTAGGTATTGGGGTGGCAGGAACCGTCGTGGTTAGGAGTGGTGGTGGTTATGCTGAAGTCGGAGAAGCCGCAATGGTGGGCGGAGAAGGAGTCGCCGATGAGGTCGACGATTGGCCCTCCGAAGTTGCCAACTAATTAGCGACGGCTGTCGTGTTAAGCGTGTTCGCAGGCGGCGAGATGTGCTGCTGGTGTCTTTGGCTTCGTTCGCGTCACCCGTACTGCAACACGTGAAGCTTTGGACTGATTCACGCATTTATAATGAAACACCGACAACAACTTTAAGCTACATGCAAGATACCCTTTAGTTTAACGTAACGTGGTTGGGCTGAGCTTCGGTCCATGCACTCGTCCGTCGCGGCCTCCTTGGGCATTAAGTCGTGCTTGGCGGTATTGTGCACGATCTTGTCGAGGCTCTTCTTGTTCATGTGCGCCATCCCCTTCAGGTCGCTGTCGGGCGCGACGTCGAACTTCTGGCAGCGCGCCTCGGGGCCGACGGACGTGAGCAGCACCAGGTTCGTGTAGAAGAGCGCAGGCATTGCGTACGCGTGGCGTACATTTGACTTGGGCTATGCTCGTAATAAACCATTTTTGTTCGTGTGCACGAAAGTGCTGTGGGACTTTAGTGCATGCACTAAAGTACTTTAGTGCTTTTTTGGTGACTTTCGTGCAGTGCACTAAACAGCCCTAATGCTTTTCATTCGGCTTACTTAATTTAAAGTACCTTTTTGTCATCGATTTGCTCTGCGATTCATGTCACCAATGTTGTTGCTCATTCTTGCCTAGAAGTTGATGCTCAGGGGATGAAGGCGACATCACATTATCGTTCCCCACGAGATCAACCCATTCTCAACGCAGAACCCACAGCTTTCTACAGCGTCTTGGCACCCCCTGTGCATTCTTTGACAGACCTTCTTCTCAACTGAATCACGGCGACAAATAGGCGCTCGTGTGTGCCCAACGATGCCATCCTAAAACGCCCGGAAGCAGACGCGTCGGGTTACAGGCTCGGCAGCATACGCGAAGATCTTGGACAGGGCGGTCTGACCCAAATTCAACAGCTGACGTCGCGACGCTAGTGTTGCGCACTTCTTCTTCGCGGGGGCCTCAGTCGGCGTTCTGGGGTTCGGCAACACACTCAAGAATGCGATCTTCGACTCCAAGCTGAGGTTGTGGCGGATGATTTCATGGTGGTGGCGTCTAAAGCTGTCGAGGTAGTCGCTGTGCTCCATGGACACCTTCACTTCGAGGTACTGAAGGTGCTTGTTCACAGCAAGCATCTGCAGAAGAGCGTCCAGCCACACGCGAACTTCATTCGACTCATAAGCACGATCATCGGCTTCATTGGACATCACCAAACGAATCCGGAGCTCGCTAATGCACTTGACAAGAGGATTGCTCTCCTTGGTCAGAGAAGTCGCAAGAGCTGCGATGTTTTCCCAGTGCGGGCGGAATGTAGAGATAGCTTGCGGCAGTCCACGGTACTGATCGAACTTGAAGTGCATGTCAATCAAGCCCCGACTGAGTGTCAACTCGCGCAGGTTGGGGCAGCACCGCAAAATCACGCTTGTGTCCACAATATCTCCAGGGTTGGCAATCTTCAGCGACGAAAGAGACGAACCAACGGCTGCCAAGAAGCGAGTAAGTCCATCCATTGTAGCTGTTTCATAGAACTTGAGGCTCAGCTCCGATAAACTGGGGCGAATAGCCTTCGGCGCCGACTCCGACTTGAAAACCAGATCACTTCGTCGCACCAAGCAACGACCGAAACCGGGCACTAGCACGTTCACCCACTCACTGCTTCCGTCGTCACTAAACGTGTGTAGCAAGAACCGGCACGACGTAAATGTGAGACTGCGAGACTGGCCGTGTTCCTGAATATCGTACTGGACGAGAGCTCCATCCTTCAGCGTCGCGTCTCTTCCCTCTACTTGGCCGTGCGGGAATCCATACAGCACCTCCTCTGGGCCCTCCGAGTCCAAAATCGCCAGGAATGCCTCCACATCCGCCAGACTCAGACTGCCGATATCGTTGAGTTCGAGCGATCGAAGCGCGGAGTGCGTCCGCGCTCGCTTCGAGAAGCATCCGTACGCCAGCCACTTCCACCAAATGTTGGTTCTATCCTGCTCGTTGCTCATCAAGTACACCCACGCAGTCAGTCTCTGGGCCGTCTGGTTCAACACGAGCGATGAGAATAGCGCCTCGGTCTCCAAGGGGTCCAACGCTCCGTCCGCGTGCAGCACCAGCTTGCCGAGCTGGAGCTGACTGCGCTGGGCCGCAATGCCATGATATCTCGTATGCGCCAACGCAGGATCACGGCGCGCACCGTCAAACAGAGCGATCATCAGCTGGCGGAAGGCGATCAGCGTGTCGGGCTCGCCGCTCTCCGAGGCCAGCTTGGCCTTGACCGACACGAGCGAGAACCAGAAGTTGTTTAGCACGTATCTCTCCATCATGCCTGCGGTCTTGGCGACGCTGCCGCTCTCCTGGATATCCATGACCATCGGCTCCAGCACGAAGGTGCATCTAATCGACCCAGACTCCACGTCCGTCGTGTGCAGTCTGTCCCACTCCTGTCGGATGTTCCTCTCCGTCCTCGGCATCTTCCTCATGCCCTTGATAAGCTGGTCCGGGTGTCCCGCCGCCGCCAGCTTCTCCTCCGCGACACCATAGGCCACTCGGATGGGCACCTCGATGTCCACGCCGGGGCTCGTGGGCTGCAGACGGTGGTCAAAGGCCGCCACCCTCTTCATGGCCTCCACGTAGGCCCCACTAGGCTGCTCTCTATGATCCACGCCGAAGAACCTGGCCAGGTCGTCCGCAACTGTCTCCTGCGGCAGCTTGAGCACGAAGCGCGCCGGCAGCCGCTCGGGCAGGTTCTCCTCGCCGTCGCGCCACCAGTTGAGCTTGCAGTGCGCGTGCAGCAGGTACTTCCAGGCCTCGTGGTCCACGTGCGCCACCGCAGCCAGCAGCGCCAGCGCCTCGCGCACCCGCACGAGCTCCGAGGGGATGTAGGCGTCCTGCGCGTGGCGCTGGCTCCCCACCGCCACCTGCAGCTGGCGGCCCTTGCTCTCCCAGACGGGCTCTCCCTCGCGGCCCGAGCCTTCGCAGCGGAAGCGCGTGTACTGGACCTTGTGCGCCAGCGCTTGGCACCAGGGGTTCAGAAACCCCCAGCGCTGCTCCATGCTGATCGCCGCGTGTGAGGCCTCCATCCGTCCGTATGTCGTCCTACAAAAAAGTAAAAGTGTAATTGAGCCGCCACTTGTCTCGTTCTTGTGATTTTGGGCAAATTGGGATTTTGACCAATGGGAGAGGGGGAGCGGTAGCACATACTGGGACCGAGTGTCAAGGAGTGATGGTCACGTGTCAACGCGACGACAGGATTCTTGAAGTGGGATGGGATCAGCTGAGGACATGGGTACAGCGCGACGCGTAAACTTGCACGCTTCAAGGCTCTTTCGACGGCCAGTCTTACACTACTGGGGCTGATACATGCAGGAGAGCCGGAAGTCTGCGAGCAGTTGCTGCAAGCTGTTGTGCCCTTCGCCACGCATGTATGAATGCAGCCGTGTGCTACATGTACACGTTGTAGCCTACAACATTGCAAAACATTGTTTTCTCCCTGCTTAGAAGGCGATTGCATGGATCTTACTTGGGGTCTGCGCGCTGGGCTTCCCTGGAAACCAGCTTGCTTTGCTGGGGTCTGCGGCCTGAAAAAAGCTGACACAGAGCGGGAGCAACGAGATTCTCGAACCCATAAAACTGACTACAGTACTTCCCCGGCCAACCCAAACTGATAACAAGGTTATCCGGCATTTCGTTTGTCTGTAATTTCCTTTATAATGTAGTTTGCAGGCTACGAAAAAGAAGTTTGCAGCGCTCCGTTCGACAACGTACTGTGAGCATCTTGCTTCTTTCGTCGTCGAAATCTACATTGCAACGCTGTCGCTGTTGCCTTCACCTTGGAATATCGATAAACGACGCAGACGGAGGATATACAATGTACCTGCTGGATCGAGTAGGCACTTTTTTTATTAAAGATATTGGACGACGCGGATCGTATTGAACAGTGCATCTACCGTATATGAGTGCCCGCACGGACACAGTATTTATAACGGGGGTTCGAGCCAAGCGCAACTCTGGGAGCAGATAGCCATTTAAATAGTTAGGTGTGCTGGTATACTACAGTATTTGGACGGTAGACTTGTAGCAATTTGTTGGGGACGAAGTCTGAGACTCCGATTTAGGGAGTTTTACGACTCTATATACACCCCGTTTTATTACATCAACTTTGTGAACGGCACAATTTGGCACTGGGGGACCAAACTTTCACGCCTAATTTGGTATTTTATGCGCACAAAGGAGAAATGCAAAAACCGAGTCTCCGGAAAGGCGAGTACTCACGAGTTGCCCACCGAATGCTCGTTTAGCGCTGGCGGTTCAAGTTCGCTGAGAATCGAACCACTTTTACATGGGCAAAGTCTTGTGAATCGTAAAGTAAATGATCATGTTACGTATTTAGTGCTGCAAGCAGCCCCGCGCGTCCTGGAGGACCGTACTACTATTCGAGTGGCGACTCCCTTACAGAGCCAAGTTGGCGAGCATGACCGCGACGAACATCGAGGCGAACACCAGCAGCTTGGAAGACTGCATGGATGAAGCGCCGTCGGTGGGGCACGTCGAGCAGTCGAAGGTGGAGTTGATGTCCATGTCGCAAAGGGTGCACGTAGGACTGCACATGGGGCAGTAGCAGGCCGACGAGCCATTGGCAAGAACCTGGCAGGCACCGATGCCGCAGTCCGTGCGGGTCGTGCACGAGTCCTCCGTCGCACCGCAGGTATCACCAGTGTATCCAGGCCCGCAGATGCACTTGCCCGTTTCAGTGTTGCACGTGTTGTCGTTCTGGCAGGCGAGGTCGTTCGTGCAGCGGGTGCAGCGCTGGTTGGGCTTGCCCTGCTTGCCGTCGTACTCCTTGCCATCGAAACCCTCCTTGCACACACACTCGCCATCCACACAGTCACCACCGGCGCCACAGTCGACGTCGCACGCGTTCGACACTTCCTTCTCGCACTTGTCACCGTCGAAACCAGCGTAGCACATGCAGGCGCGCTTGGTGATTTTCTTCTTGTTTTTGTACGTGCACGTGCCGTGGTAGCTGCACACCTCCTTGGAGTTGGGAGATTGGCAAGTGGTGGGCTCGCACGTGGTGGGGTCGGCGGCCTTATTGGCGCAGTCGGAGACGTCCAGGCACACGAACTGGCCGGTCACCTCCTCTCCGTCGATCGTAGTGGTGAACATGCCGCTAGCGCCACTGCCGCTCTCGGTGGCAGCGGAGTCCTCGCTGCCGCTGCTTGTCGTAGAACCCGAGGAGGTAGCAGACGTTACCGCAGATCCAGAGGATGTGGTAGAGGACGCAGCCGAGGTGGCTGTGCTGCTGCTAGCCGCGGCAGCCGACGAGGAGTTGGAGGCCATGCCCATGAGGCGACGGCGGCCGGAGCCGGAGCTGCTGGCGGCGCTGCCACTGGACGACAGCGACAGGTTCTCCTCCGACACGAAGACGCAGTGCGCGTTTAGGTAGCCGATGTCGGCGCTCTGGTAGGACGGGCACAGGCCGGGCGTGGCGCCGCGGCAGGCCGGACGCTTGGCCGTGTTGGGCGTGCACTTGGAGACGACGTCGCCGTAGACGTTGACGGAGATGCAGGCTGTGCCGGGGTAGTTCTTCTCGCAGTAGGCGTCCGAGTCGCAGTAGTAGGCCGGATCGTCGTCTGCGGCCACGCCAGTGGCCAAGGCGGCGGCGAACACAGCCAACGCGCGGATGCACTTCATTGAACCGGCGGACAGCTTACAGCAGATAGGTACACGGCGGCGACGGGAGCGCGGTGTGGCAAAAGCGGAAATGCACGCGCGGGTCGTTGGGTTGCCAGCGCAACCGCCGCGCTGCAACGCTCCGCAAAACGGGTGCGGACCCGCGGCGTAGATGGGATGCAATAATTCCGGGAACAGAGACTGCAACGAGAGCGCACGTACGTGACGGGCGTAATTAATCGGGACCATAGTGAAATCAAGTCAGCGAAATTTGCATCCCCTATCCTCGCGGGCAGAGGGAGGGGCAGTCCTCGTTGAAAAACAGCAAAACGGACGATGCCGCCATCCTCGTGTCGTCCGTCCTCAGCCGCGCCACACAACTGTAAGTCATCTGGACGGCGAGTTTCGGGGTGCAAGCAGCAGTATTTGGCCGCAATTGATCCCGACGCGGGGCTCGTCAATCCGCCCGCTCACATTCTGCGCTGAGCGCCCAGCTGAGCGTGGACGTACCCGCCGACTATCCTAACGGACAGAAAAAAGATTCGGTCCAATGACCTATCCGCTAGCATACTGCCCACGCTCAGGCATACCGGGGCTACCGGTATTTATTTTGGCGAATCAAACGCCGCGGCTATGGGAAAATGCAGGATTGGTTGAAATTGCGCCCCCGGTAATTGCTTTTCATTTGAATTGAGACAGCAGCAGCAACCATGGTGTTCTACTTCACGTCCTCCGGTGCGTGCTGGTCGCGGCTGCTAATACGTCGAGATGAACAAAGGCAGATAAAGTAACCTTATGATGCGCTACATTCCCCCCCCCCTCCCGCGGTCTTTCGCCCCATTCGCAGAGGGCCACACCATTTACATGGGCAAGGACAAGTTCGAGAATGAAGACCTCATTCGCTATGGCTTCATGGAGGACATCTGGTGCGGCATTCGGGTTCTCGATACTCTCTGGAAGTGATGTCCATATCTGACTAATTGGTGCACAAAATACAGGTTCCACGTGGATGACTTGTCCTCTGCTCACGTCTACCTTCGGCTCCCACTGGTCAGTTTGAAGTGGATAGCAACGATCAATTTTTTTTCGTTGATACTGACATAGCATGTATTTTGGATATAGGGGAAAACGAAGGTGGACGACGTCTCGGCGACTTGTCTGGAAGAATGCGCTCAGCTGGTCAAGGTTGGTCGATTCCTACAAACTTTACTCGATCTCTTTAAGAAGTAACAAAACGATCGTATAACCCTTTTGCCGCAGGAAAACTCGATCGAAGGGAGCAAGAAGAAAAGCGTCTCCGTTGTGCGTACTGCCAATGACTTATATGGTAGTTGTGAGATTGACCCGTTATCTTACTTGATTCTACAGTGCTACACGAGATGGAGAAATCTGAAGAAAACGCCTTCGATGGAGGTTGGCCAAGTTGGCTTCCACCATCCCGAGCGAGTAAGTGACAGCCTTGACGTTGTGCCTTGCCCCAACAGTGCTAATACATTGTTTGTATACACTACGGTACGATCAAGGTTCGACACTACAAGGTTGAAGAGAAGAACAAGGACATCATCAAGATGCTCAACAAGACGAAGCAAGAGTTTCATCCCGACCTGGAAGGTGCGTTGTCCAGCAATGCCGCTCAAATTACTGGTGCCGTCTTTTTGACAATACACTCCTCCCTGCAGAGGAGCGCCGCCAGCGTGAGTTGCTGTACAAGAGTGAACGCAAGAAGCAGCGCTTGCAGCTGGAGGCGGAGCAACGCAAGGCGAAGCTGGAGTACAAGCAGCAAAAGGAGCTGCGCAGCTACTCGTACGTCGCTGTTCTGTATCGATTTCACGTACTGTGGTTATACTAATCTTTGCGATTGCTTTCGTACAATGCAGCTCTCTGCTGTCCAGGAACAACATCGAGGCCGGCGACAAACTAGAGGCAGCCGCGGACCTCAGCAGCGTCAACGTCTACGAGGACGACTTCATGTGAATTTTTGCGCTTTTGGCGTCCCAATCGAAAACAATACCTTTTCGAAAACAATACTTTTGTTGCATTACATATCCATAATTGCGTATGTGTACCACACCATTGCTGCGGTTTTGGCCGTCAACCAGCCGCCAGCCTCGGAGCTTCCACGGAGATGGCCGCCGAGAACGGGAGCGCGCCAGTGGCCGCCGGCGCCGCCGCGTCGGCCGAGAGGATTGCGCAGTGCATGCGGATGCTGGCAGGCAAGACCGACGAGCACAAGTTCGCGGGGCTGCTCATGGTCACGAAGCTGGGCGACCTGCCGGCCGAGGAGCTCCAGCAGGTGCGGCGCCAGGTGCTGACGACCGTCGGCGTGAGCTTCTTCCTGCGCCTACTGCACACCAAAGGTGCGCCCCCAGTGATTGCTGTACCATTGCCGAAGCTGTGACGTGGTGGTTGTTGGCCCCCTACTGACGTACGGCCTTCACCGCTCTCTCTATCTGCTGCAGGCCCCGACGAGGTCGAGACGCTCTCGTCCTTCCAGAGTCTCGGGCTGAACTTGATTGCGAGGTACGATGCCAATGGCTATGCCGCTGTAAGTATGCTCTAGCCTTACTGGGACTGATCGGTTGGGTTTATTTCGTTCAGCTTCTGCTCGGACCCGACCGTGGCCTCGGAGTTCGCGCAGGATAAGCTCGTGCGGTTCCTCCTCGAGCAACTGGCGGCACACTCGACGCCGCACGAGTCTGCCGTGGACTGTGTTCGTATTCTATCTGGCTTGGAACAGACTGAGAAGGGACAGCAGGTGCGGCAACCCACCTCGTTCGCTAGATGCTCCTTGAGTGGTGCCTGAGGCGTCCCTGTGCTCTTGCGTAGGTGATGGTGCATGAAAGCATTCTCGGACGTCTGTTTAGCGCCATGAAGAAGCTGAGTCGATCGCACTCGAGCCGGGATCTGACTGCAGAGAACAAGTCAGCGGAGCAAGAGCAGCAGACGGATGCGCTGTTGGAAGATCTGTGGGGTATTGTGGGCAGCATGGCTAGTGAGCCCGAGGTTTGGACGCATATCCACAGCTACGACTTCGAGTTCGTCTGCTCCAACTTCTCGCACGTGCGGGGCGATACGGCCATCCAGGTGCTAGCCGTTTTGAACAGCTACATGAGGCTGGTTGAGATTGGCGAAGCGCCTGTGGAGCTGCTCAGCTCACAGTGCCTCTCTGATATCCGCACCGGCGTGCTACGGTTTCTACGTGCGAAGTGGCCTCATCAGGAGCGTGACGAGTGTTTGCGCCTGATTTTCCAGCTCATGCAGCATTCTGGAACTTCTTGGATGCTCCCGGGCACAACACTGCGCAGTCAAGCACCTCCTGATGAAGTGTCCGGTGGCAAATTTATTCTGTTCCTCCTGAAGCTTGTCTCGATTGAGGTACGTTCGCGACTCTGCATCCGCCACTACACCCTTTTAAACTTTGTTAACGCTAATGTGCTGCCCACTATTCCAGATCAAAATCATGCTGGATGAAGTTGAGCATTCGCTGGTCCAAGTTGACCAGACCAAGGTGGAGTCGGTGGAAGAGACGGAGAGGCGTGAAAAGGAGATCAAGCGAGTGCTCGCTATCCTGCCCATTTGCTATGGCATCGTGGAAATGGTCATCAGTGGCCTGGTTTCCAACTACGAGAGTGATCTCGTGCTGCCCTACGACATTCTGCTGGAGATGAAGGGCACGTTCAACCAGGTATTCGTGGTGGTGCTGGAACTGCTGACGTTGGTGCGCGATTACGTGCAAACCCATCGATACCGCGAGCTTCGCGAGTCACACGCGGAGTCGGTCTACCACTTGGACGCTGTGATCTGCGCTAGTGTTCGTATCGTGAGCGCCTGGATTGCAGAGGACTCCGACACCAGCGTCGACTTGGTGATTCAGTTGGTTCCGTTTATGGTGTGTTACAAGCCGTTGTTGGCCTGGGTCGCCGATGATGGAACGCAGAACTTCAAGTCCGACAGCAACCAACTCATTGATTCGGACGACGAGATCGACTCGGACGACGAGGTGGACGCCGTATCCCAAATGATGCAGAAGGCCGCGGTGATCCACAAGACGGACAGCAGCATCGACCAGCTCCATTTCTTGCTCCCGGGGTTGCTTCAGCTCAGCGCGCTTCCTGACGGAGCTTCCATCATGTCTGAAAACGTGGACGTCCTGCGCCGTATGATGCAGTTTTGCTGCACCATTTGCGCCGACATCGCTGATGGCAACACCGAGTTTGCGAACGTGTCGACCCTGACTCTGTGTCTCGGTATCTTAATCAACCTCATCCTAATCCGCGGAGGCAATGAAAGCACGGGCGTCTCCCAGACGTCAGGCGTGCCCAACGCGCTCGAGTGGTTTCGAGCTTTGACATTCCTGCTGCCCGTCGCATGCGCAAGCGGCTCCCGATTAATGGTGGACAAGGATCTCACGGTCGAAAGTCGAGGTGAAGACGACCGCTACGTCATGCTGCTACACGTCGTCTGCGTGGTGCTCTTTATTGCGAGTCGTTTCCAAGACAAGAAGCAGCATCCGTGTCGCCTACAAACTGCTATCGCGAGCCTTGTTCCGCCGTTTAACCACATCGTCGACTGGATCGTGGAGCACCCTCCCGACGCCAAGGCCGAGTCAACCGCCGACCTGTTCGAGTTGATGCGAGTGCTTTCGATGCGCTCGATTCTGACGCCGGAGCTGCTGTCACGGTGATGGACGAATCTACATGGTGGAGAGCGAGGAAAGACATTTGGAGACGAATGTGTGTTTGTGATGCATATTCTACCTAGCTTATTGGGTTAAATAGTTTTCTCAATGAAGCAGCCACGGCAAGCTCTCTCTTTTCCTTCAAGAGAGGGCAACGCCAACTGTACGAATAGTGAACACGTCTGCATCGCCCGCCGCTTGTTTCGCGTCGCTGGCGTAGCTTCCACTTGACTTGTGATTTTTTGCTAACAATCGAGGTCTATCTTGTGTGTGTGTGTTGGGGGGGTGTCAAAACGGGATCGGGAGGGAAGACTCACTCCGCAGACTTACGACGTCGAGATATCCTGTTCCTCTGCAGAATCACTCAGCCGACGTCGCTTGTCGATCGCCCGGATGGTCTCCTGCTCCCGGAATCGGCGTCTGGAGGCATTCCGGTGCATCACTGGTACTACGGGCTCGGTGATGCAGGGCGGTAGCGCGGCAGACAGCCCAGAGCCACGCTGCAGCACGCTCGCGTTCATAACGGGCGGTTCCGTCTGGAAGATCGGTACGTCACTCGACAGAGATCCCTGCGCCATGACGCGCGCTCCGGCAGCGGACGTCGAGGCCGCGTTCCGTCTCACGCGCGCGTTCACGATGGCTCGGATGACCTGGTTACTGGCCGAGAGCTCCAGCAACTCTGCGGCGGGCATACTGGACTGGGACTGTTGCAGGACGATGGTGGTGTTGATGGCGTAGACGCTGTAGCTCGTGTAGGCGTCGGTGGGGAGCTGGTGGCGGCACGTGGGGCACGTGCTGTGCATCTTGAGCCACGGCTCGATGCAGCGCTCGTGGAACTGGTGGCAGCACTGGGGCAGCTCAGCGCACGGAGACGTGAGCGCCTCCATGCACACGACGCACACGGCGCGCTCGCCGTCCGGCTGCTGCCGCACGTCCGCCGGGTTGCGCTTGAGCGTCTCCATGAGGTTCATGGCGGCGGGCGACACGCTGTTGAGCTGCGGGATGATGTACCGGATGATGGAGTGCACCCAGCGCGCGCTCTTGAAGAGCAGCAGCGCGTCCTTGATCTGCGAGTTGGCGGGGGCGGCGTACCGCACGTTCACGCGGATGGCGAGGTCCATGGCGTGCGCTCTTTGGGGGCAAATTCCAGAGTGCCGCGTCCTTTCTCGCTCGGTGAAGTTGAAGCCTTTTAAGCCTTCGAAGCTGAAGCTGAAGCCGAAGCTGGCCTGGCTACAGTCAGTCCCTCTGGAAGTATCAGACGCCCCCTTACGTGCAGTGCAACTGCAACACTGCAACACGAGTGATGGTCCGGTGCGCTTGTCTTGTATGAGGTGGCGCTGGGTTGTTGCTGCAACAGGCGGCTTTTTCGCGTTTGGGCTGGAGTTGCAAGGTGTTGCCGGCAATTTGCGCTTCCGCGGGTGAGATGGCGGGAGTATTTTCGATCGGGGACTGCGCGCGTGTGGAGACCAATGTTATTTTGAGGCCGTGCCGTTAATGCTGTCAGCGTTAGTTTTGCAAGTGCCAGCCTTTGGGCGAGCCTCGCCTCCCTTCCGGTGTGAATGTCTCACCGCTGGGGCGATTACGTAGACTCGATTGATGAGCGGGATTTGCATGGTTTTAGAGGCATACATTTTTCAAGTCAAAACCGACTTTAACTATAATCGTCAGGTAAGATGCAAAATTGACCCGTAAACGGGTTACCTGTCGGTGCCAGTGGCATGGGAACGGAGGCGCTTCCACAGCAATAGCGCTGCTGGAATCCGAGCTAAATGCACGTCCTCGAAGGCGTAGCCGGCAATAGCCGCCCATTTTCGTGGCCTACACCCAGAACGAACCAAAATGGAGCGCAGTAACAGCAACTGCAGCAGCTTCAACCGGCGGTGCCCAGAGCTCCTGAATTGGATTACATACCCCGATAAGCTCACCTCGCAGCCGCTAACTCAAGCCTGCGAGAACCTGTTCACGGATGGATGGAGGTACACCCGCTGTAGTCTGCACCCAGCTTCCGTTCGTTTGACAGCGCTCGCAGCTCGAGTCGTCGTCATTTTAACCGTCGCGCACCTAGGCGCCTCGGGCCAGAAGTGGCAGCGCGGGCGTTCAGCTACAAACTAGAGGGCCCGCTGATTCAGCAGCTACTGTGCTGAATGCGCTTCCGTTGCCGATGAAGAGGCCGTTCTGAGAGCTTCGGAGCGGCCAAAATGCAGCCATGTCTTATCTTATGGGCGATAGCGTAAACAAGTGCCGGCTCATCAAAAAATCGGAATCATCTTGGACACGCGCAGAGCCCCAAGCGCGATGAAACTTCGGATCTGGTTGGTTGAACTGCCATTCGCTTTTAGCGCGAGGCCGCAGCGAGCCTAAAAGCGGGGAAATGGTATATGTTTCGCGAAACGCCCGACTCGGGGCTCATTGTCGAGACGCCCCAGTTAGTCAGCATGTTGAAGTTGATTCTGTAAAACTGAAGTTGTTGTCACAGCCGTTTCGAAACAGCAGAGAGATCCATTCGATCACCGAAACACTAGCTAGGTATACCTTTAAACTCCACCTTGTTGCAGTCCATCCGTTGCACCCCCGTTGGCGTCATTGCGCGGGGGTTTCCTGCGGCTCCAGCAGCGTCTCCGGCTCAGCGCTGGGGTGGGGCGGGTCATCAACCGATTCGTCGGTGGGTGAGAGCACGAATGACGACTGCAGTGGCGTGGAGGGCTGCGCGGTCGGCAGCGGCCGTAGCGTGCCAATGCGCGAGACGGACATGACCCCGCGAGCTGCGTCCAGCGAGGCGAGGGACTGCGAGGAAGACGAAGGCGATAACGGCATCACCCGTGTTGCCCCAGCGTAGTGCTGGACCAGAGGCGCATCGGCCGCTCCTGACAGCAGCAGCTGCACTTGGGTCTGCAGGCGCTGGATCTCGCGCTTCTGCTTGTCCACGACGCTCGCGAGCTCGTCGGCGCGAGCTGCGTTGTGACGACCGCGCTCCAGGCGCCCAAAGGGAAGCAGCGGGGAGTTGGCGCGGATAGGAGACGGACTGCTACTGTTGCTGCGGGTACGAAGCCGTCGCTGCTGCTTCGACGGGGTGGCCCGCCCTGTGTGCAGCGGCGCGAGGCTGACAGGGCCACCTCCGCCGCCTGATGTGACGTCAAGCGTCAGGTCGAGTTGTGGCGCTTGAGACGGCGAAATGGGGCGTGTGTGGAGTTGTGGACTCGACCGGCTGAGCTGTGACGGTGATAGCAGCTGGAGAGATCTCGTGGAATCGAACCCGGTGCGTTGCTCGCTGTCGCCGCTGCCAGCACCCTCTCCAGCGATGTACAACGAGCGTTTAAGGTCGCGGATCTGGATCTGCAGCAGCTTGTTTTCTTTGCGCAGTCGGTTGCACTCGTCTATCAGTATGCTGCCTTCAGCCACGGAGTCGCGACGAACTCGGTCGGCCTGGGTCTTCGCGTGGTCCAGCGCAGTCCGCAGTGTTTGGATAGTGCGACTCATGTACTCCATTTGCTTGACCGACTCGTCCACGGACTGCTTGCAGTCGTAACCCAGCGCTTCGTCCGACACAACGGATGCAACGCTCTTCGGGGTTGCAGCTGTAGAAGGTACGCTTTGCTTTTGTTGCGCGTTGGTTGCCTTGGCGTGCTGTGTCACGGCAGTCTTTGCTGGAGAGTAAAACCCACCGCCACCGGGAGACGACGGTGTGGTCACTGGAGTGTTGTTGTTGCCAGGCAGAAGCGCTCGAGGAGGTTTCTTGTGCAGCGTTTCTCCTATGACGTAGACCTTGTAGGCATCTTTCACCGCGCCCTCTAGGTCCTTGTAATTGGTGAGCTGGGCGAGACGACTAATCTCACGAGTCATTTCTCCAACTGAGTACTCTTTCTTGAGCGAGCTTTGGCGCAGCGCCTTGACTTCGTGCAGTAGAGTGCGGATTTTGGCGTCCTTGTTCTCCATCTCCTGTTGGGCTTCGGCCTTGGCTTGAAACTCTTCCGCTAATTCGTTTTGCATCTCGCTTATCTTTGATTCCAGCGCGCGCAGGTGCTCCTGCATGGGAACTTGCTCCGTTTCCAGCCCGTCGATGCGATGCGAAAGAACGGAACGAAAGTTCTCGAGCACGCGGTTTTCCGACTTTAGTCCATTGATCGCTCGCTCCTTTTCGTGGCTCGAACTGCGGCAAACCTCGAAATGCCGCTCGTAGTTGGCTAAGGTTTGCTCAAGCCGCGCGAGTTTAGCGCGTTCAGTGGATAGAAGCACGTCTCGCGCATGTGATGAAGCCTTCAGCTCCTGCATCTTTTTCCGAAGCGACTCGAGCTTCGTATTCGCAGCACTTACTTGACCCTGTTTCACTGCCGTATTCTGACGTTCATTTTCCAGCTGTGCGGCAAACTCCACACGCATTTTCTGCCTCTCCTGCTCGTAGTCGGTCTCTTCCTGGTGCAGCACTTCCTCGAACTTGACGTGGTTGTACTTGAGATCCTCGTGCAGTCTCTTGATGATTTCGTTCTGCTCTTTTGCCCGAGTGTACGCCGCCTTGCGCTCTGCGTGCAGCGTGCCTCGGTTCTGGCTGTCTTGGGCTTCTACCAGAGCTTCACACCGCTGCCGTGTTTGCTCCAGTGTCTCAGATAGAGCGTCGTATCGAGCAACTTCTTGCGCGAGCTTCCGCTCGTACTGGTTCTCGAGTTCTTGAGTCATCTTGACATGGTGCGCTTCAAGCTGCGTCAACTCCTCGGTGTGTTTCCGGGTAGCTAGCTGGTGACGAGCTTCCAGTTCCTCGTAGCGCACTCTTTCTTGAACCACAAGATGCTCGGACTCCTCCTTTAAAACGTGCAGCCGATTGATCCACTCGTTCTCTTTCCGGTGCAATGCAAACTCCACGTCCGCCTTCACTTGATCATGCCGTTGTTGCCACTCCAGAACCTCCGCTCGTCGCTCCTCAAGGTCATCACGAGCAACGAGCACAGCGTCTGTATAGGACGCACCGACTTTCCTACGCTCAGGAGAAGCTGAAGACGACCTGAGTCTCGCCGTTGATATTCCTGTCCTCGACGTAGTGATTCCGGTGCGAGAAGTCTCGTCGTGAGCTTGTTGCAGCAGCCCACCGTTGAGGATCTTGAAAATACCGACACTACCGTCTTCAGCGCACGTGATGAGCTGTTCGTTGTCTTCTGTCATGCGTAAGTGGAGTATACCCTCTGCGTGGGCAAAATACTCACTTACTCCTTTGTTTGTCAGCGGCCACGGGTACACGAGGATACTACCGGCCTTGGTTCCAGCAAATAGCCGCTTACAGTCCTTCATCAACGCCATGGATGTGATAACTGTGCCTGTAGGCAAGTCAAAGCTTTTCGTCTCTTCACCTGCTGTGATCTCCCGGATCTTGCCATCGCTGCCGGATGCAACTACGACGCTGGGGTCGTTCCTGTCCACTGCGAAGGCTGCGTACTGACACTGCTTCACCACATGCTGCATATCTTCACTGCGCGAGCCTGTGCTGATATCCCAACGGTAGATTGCGCCGTCGTGGGCTGCCGAGTAGAGAAAGCTGTCGTCGCGACTCCAGCTCAGACATCGAACAGCTCCGATATGGCCGGAGAATGTATGCGCAGCCTCGAATGTGTACGTTCTGAAGGTGGTGACTGTGAGCCCCGACGCGCAGGCGAAAAGATGGCCACCATGGGCATAGCGCACGAAGCGACAGGCCTTGAGTGCAAGCTCCTTAACCTGCCGCAGACTTTCTTGTAAGAGTTGGTAGATACGCACTCGCTCCTTGAAAGCCACAACGAGTTGGAACCCGGAAGGATGAACTGCAACAGTGGTTGGTTCCTCGGGACAATGCTGGAGGAGCTCGTAGTGATGCAACTCGAAGTTCCACACGCGCACGGTCTTATCGGTGCCACAAGTCACAACAATGGGGCGCTGTATGCAGACATCCACTTGCAATACGGGGCCTACTTGATGACCCTGTGAGAGTCAAATGTTAGTCTCGCTTCAATCGAACATTGTCATGTTTTGTTGCAGCTTACATGTCGGATGAACTCGCGGTATTCGATCCTGTCCTCTTGCTCGGTATCAATGGCACTCATGGAAAACGTTATCAACTCTCGGCTTTTCGAGCAAGCCACGATAGCTTCCGAGTTTGGCGAGATGGTGATGCAGTCAAACGCGATATCGCCGATGGACACGGATCGCACAAATGGGAACGGGTCCTTCGCGTCATCCTGTGCAACACACTATGAGACCTTGTACTAACAAAGGCGCTTGTCTACTACATTGTACTCACCGATGCTTCGTAGATACTAAAGAATCCGGCCGAACCACCGAGGACGAAGCCCTTGGCATGAGCCGTGACGCACTCCATACGCACGTGGGACGGCTGGTGGCATCGAGATGAATGGACGAGGTCGGCGCTACACCCGTCGAGGGTGATCCGAAAGCAAAGCAGCAGTCCTCGCTCCGACAGAGTGATCATGTGCTCCTTTAGCCACGTATGATCCACGAAATGCTCTTGATCCTTGAGTTGCGGGAGAAAGTTGGAGATCTTGAAGTCGTTGTTTGTCCAGACCCAGTACTTGAGCGTTGTGGGTCCTGAGACCGAGATGAAGTTGGCGTTAATTGGACTGATATGAATGCGCGAGCCGCGACTTGGGCACTTGCATGAGGCCAATAGCTTCGCGTTGCTAACCTTCCAGTACGTCACCGTGTGCGCTGGTGCGTCCTCCAGGACCGCCAGAAATTTGTTGTCCACCGAGAAGCTGCATGACACGACATTGGAATTAACTGGAAGCGGTAAATTACGTACGCGAGTCCTTGACTTCAGTTTGTAGATGGCAATGGAGCGAGCTTCTTGGTCTCGTAGCTGGGGCTGAATTGCCACGCTCGATCCCTTTGAAGACGGAGAATTAAGCGATGGCATCGACATCGGAGATGTAGTCGTAGCGCTGACCGCATGAGTTACTGCCGGAGCGGTAACACATTGGTAAACTTCAGCCACGGCCAAGAGCTCACGGTTCGGGGACAGTTGGAAGCTCTGGATGAACTTGACATGTCGAACATGGTGGAAGAAATCCATCGCGCGGTTCTCAAGATTGTAGAGAACTAAATGGTGCGCCGCCGGGTAAATTACCATGTACTCGCTTGCAAAATCGATGACCGTACGACCGCAGGATCGAAATCCGAGTGCATACGTGGGTTTAAGGTGCAGACTCGCTTCCTTGTCTTCATCAGCGCCTCGGTATTGATCCCCGTTCTGCGGCGGAATAATTGGCGTAACATCCTCCTCGGGAGACCCCGCTACTTCGCTGTCGTCGTTGTTTACCTCGACATCCATTGAGTGCACTCGTATCGTCCTCGCAATAACGAGTTGGTACAATCTATCTACACCAGCGTCATGCTTTATTGAGAGGGGTCGTCTCCATTCCGGGCGGTGGTTTGACAAGAGCGGCGTTTCGAAACTATTCTCTCTCACTCTTTGCAAGGAGCAGCAAGTTGTAGACCTTGCCGAGCTTTTTACCTCGTAGGGAGGTAGGTGGCCGTCCTGATGCTTGGTGGGATTTTCCACAAGCGCAAGAAGAGTCAAGAGCTGCGGTCGCCGTCGCTTCAAGACCTCAAGAAGTGCGTTGAACTGGTCGCGTTTATCTACTTGCTGTACGATTTTGACAATTTGGCGTGGTGATGCAGGTTTCGAGATGCCTATGCCAAGTATGCAGATCTCCGCCAAGTGGACCCCCCTCCGTGCTTTGAAAAGGTGAAGTAACAACCATGCATTTAATAGTTATCACCTGCTGACTCGCAATGCACATTCAGAGTGTTTACAAAGCCATAGCTGGACAGAAGGAGCTGCACACTGTGGAATTCAGACAGGAGGATATCACGGATCCACAAATGATCGCGTTGGCGGAAGCTCTCCTGGAGATGCCGATCGTGTCTTCTCTTGACCTGCGTGACAACCGCATAACGGATGATGTATGTTTCGAGCGGTAGCGTCTATCGTACACTAGCTCTCATATCATTTTGCTGAACAAACTATACATGTACAGGGGGCGAAGGCGTTGCTAGAAGTTCTTCGATTGCAGATCATCGCAGCCAAGACCCCGCCCACAATCGATCCTCGAACAAAGCAACCGCTGTACCCGCCACTGCCCGAGTACACCCGGTACGTGACGAATGTTAATCTGAAGGGCAACGAGGTGTCGGCGTCCGTCTTGCAAGAACTTTCGCACTACATGGACGTTTTAAGGCGAGAAGACAAGCGATTGGAGATTCGAGCAGCGCTGAACCGCATCGATCGCAATCATGACGGGAGTATCGACGAGGAGGAGTTCAAGGGCGTGCTCAAGCTGTTGACGACATCCACGCCCACGAAAAAGGAGATCCGAGCCTTTATGCAGCAGCACACGCTGTCCACTGACAGCACCCAGAACGCCGTCAACCTGGAGAATGTTCTACTCGCCAAGTGCGCGGTGTCACCTTCGAGACACTCGGCCTGTCCGCCATGGGAAGCGTTAGTTCAAGAGCGCCACGCCATACTGGGAGCTCCCCGCATGGCACCAACACTGATGTCCACTTCGCTACATGCAGAGACTCATGACCCCCCAGCGTCGAAGGCAAGCCTCGTTCGTCCAAGCCTCACGTCTTCTGATGTTGGCATGACCTCTGATCCATTCTTCCACAGCAACAGTACTTCCGACTTATCTCCTCTCTCATCACCATCGACCCAAGCTCCAGTTGCACCGATTGATATGGGGAACACTGTGCCAAAGCCCCCACCGGCCCCCGTCGTGAATGCGTCGGTAGCTCCCCAGCAGCCTCAAGTCGTGACTAAGGCCTCTGAATCGAAAAGCGCGACGTTGTCACAGCCAGAGCAGCCACCCGTTTTCTCCAAGCCTCCACCAGTACCGATATTATCGCTCGCTTCAGTATTGCAACACCCAGTGAGTCGCAGCCCACGTTCTGCTCGATCAAGCGTTGATGACGAGGGGCATCGAAATCCGTCGCTGGCAGGACCAAACTCCATTATCTCGGTGCCGTCGTCACCCCACGACTCCGACATCAGCGACAGCATGAGCGTCGTGTCTTCAGCATTCGGAGGATCCGTCTCGCAGCGTGTTTTGGAGGACCACGAATCTGTCAGCGTGTCAGAACGTAAAACTCGTGCAGCTTCGAGTCTAACCCCCGCCTCAACAACCCTCGACTCACCTCGTTGGCAGAGCGAACACTTCTCGGCGGAGGACGAGGAGGGGATGAGCAACGGGGCTCCTGGCGGTGTTCGAGAAGAAGGTGACGAATTGAGTTCTGGCAACGTAGATGATGAAGCCCGTTCAGTTTACTGTCACAGGGGTCCGAAGTCTCTGGTCACGTCTGGAAGCAGCAGTCACGCCGAACTCAGCGACAGCAAGAGCGTGTCTGCGCTGTCACGTCCAGAGGCTGGAAATGAGACTCCACGGGAATTGGTGACTGCGAAAGAAAGTGAAAATTTCAGCGTGGGGCACGATGAAAAGCGGTCTCAATCTGGGAGTGTTGTTTCAACGCCACGGTTTGATGATTTGTCCTCTCTTGTGTATCGAGGAGCCGACGAAGCGGGACGTTCCTCCACTGAGAAGATGGGATCGTTCTTTGATCAACCTGAAGAGGACGAGGAGGAAGTCGAAGAACGCGTTGACTCGCTCATGTTTGACGTAATGAAAGACGGCAAAGAGCGATTCGTGATGAAACTGATCCACTCCGAGTTCAGGAGTGGACTACCGGTCAAGGACTTCCCAGCCGAGTTGCCATTCCGAAACGTACTGGCACTACTTCTCCCTGAAAATGGGTTATCGGATCTTACGCTGTTTGCAGAGGTACTTGCATCTATCCATCTCACTGACTGCTCGCACTACACAAGGCTCTTAACTTCCTGCTATCGCGATTCTTGCAGTGCCGCTTTCCCTTCGTCATCGTGCTTGACTTGTCGAAGAACAAACTGTCCAAGTTACCAGATGACGGACTGACTGCGTTTCCACGACTTGAGGTGCTGAATCTAGGTAATAACCAGCTGAAAACTATCACAGGACTCACGAAGACGCTCAAGCTCCGAGCACTTTGTGTCAGCCATAACGCCATCCGCACAGTGAAAAACGTTGAGCATCTCTTGCAGCTGGAGATACTGCAGCTAGCCCACAACCAGATCGCCACCGTCCACGCTCTACGGATCTTGTCCCTCAACAAAGTACTGGCACACTTGAATCTGGACGGGAACCCGCTTGTCCAGACGGACGAGCGCCAAAAGCGGAAGAACATCGTCCACGTGCGAAATCTGCTGCCTGCGTTGCAGTCACTTGGGTCAATCCCCTGCTTTGGTCTTCACACGAAGGACAAAAAGAAAGCGGACGGCAGTGCCAACCCCGGCAAGAGCTTGTTCGATAGCGATTTGATACCGGACTATAAGAAGTTGTGGGTCTCAACTGCATGCGATACTCTTCACATCTTACAAGACGCTACGAGTCTCGGTTCAGGTCAAAGCCAACATGACGATGATGAATGGGACACAAGGGATGAAGACGGAGGCGACGACAGACCCAAGCGCCCACTCACCCGCGAGCAACAGCGTCAGAAAGATGAGCTTCGAAGCCGAGCCATTGGATTTCGGTCGCGAGGGAAAGCTATCCCCTCACCGCCGAAGGTGAAGACATCCGTGTACTGCTTTGGTCCACCGCAACCTCCATCACTAAAGAAGAAAGGCAAGAAGAAGGCAGCCCCGGCAGATCCAAAGGTTGTAAGAGAGCAACAACGTCGAGCTAGTGAGCTCAGCGCCCCCAAACATGCCCCAGTCGACAAAACCTTGATGCACCAGGAGCAGAAGCGAAAGTCGCGGGTGGATTTCCACGCGGCGATGACAGTTGGAGAGAGGCTTCAACTCGCACGTGACATGACTCAGCGACGGCCGACTGCTACTATCGGGCTTAGTGCTCGATCGCGGTCCATTCTGGCGAAGGCGGATAGTCGCAAGCGAGCGAGTACAGCGGCTTCCATGACGATACAAGAGGAAGCGAGTGGACTGGAGGGTAATGCAAGACCGCTAAGCCCTCGACAGGCTTCCCCCATCAAAGACGCAATGGTGTTTCGCGTCGATCCGGCTAATACCCCGCGGTCACCCAAGGGCGTCCTTACTTTCCGTGTTGATCCGCATCCTGCTGGGGCAGGGGGTCAACAAGGCTCACCGAAATGCATCGGGTCAAAGGAATCTGGCTTCTTGCACGACTTGGCAGTCTCTGACTTTTTGAACCACGCAGAGGAGGAGTTTTCAACTGCGTTAACGGCTCTGAACGTGCTGCTGTCGATGAGTGAGAAGGAGCACGGTGACCGCAAGAAACTGGCAGATTATCGAGCAAGCCTCGACGCCTTGGATATCCTAAACGAGCACGAGAGCCAGGAACTGTTCAAAAAGGCACACGGACACCCTGAACACGAGTTGCAAGCCCAATGTACGGAATGGTTTACCAAGCTTGGAGTCGTGAAGAAGTGCATGCGTCAATTGCTAGAGAAACTGGAGGTTCACGCACCAGGTTCGGGTGTGATTCGGGCCTATTGCCGGTGCCTCCGCGGGAACGAGCTGCGAGGAATTATCACCACGATGCTCGAGGATGAAGACTTGAGCGAGCCACAGGTAGCAGAAAATATCGAGGTGGATCCTAAGCAGGAGGACGAATCGCCTGGAGAAGAACAAGTTTTAGCCACACCGGTAAACAACGACACGGCTAGTGAGATACCCCATGAAGAGATCCCAGCACCGAGCAGCGTTGCCTCTCGTCTCTTTGGAGAATCGTCGTCGCTTGCACACACTGAGAACAACAACTCATCGCACGCTATGGCTGAAGAATCGAGCGGAGAAAAGCAGGCTAACGATTTCTCTAGTGGGGATACCGACTTGGATTTCCTGGAATCTAGCGAAACAGTGTTTGACGGTGATAAGGCACAGGACGCGGATGAGACGATGGAATCTCACTCTGCTAACGACGATACGAACAGCTCTTTGGACCACGGCTCGATCCCCGAATCGGTGCTGTTGGCGTCCACGACCGACATCACGATGGATATTCAGATGAATGAGGATACCACCAGCAACCAAAACGCTGATGAAAACCCGTGGACGGATGATACGACAGAAGCTACTGGTGGTGTGGAGGAGGCAGCAATTGTGACGGAAAGTGAAGAATTGAACACTCACGATGCAGAAGAATCGGTCGAACAGTTTGATACTGAAGGCCACGACACGGAAAACGTTGGCGAAGTAGAAGAGGAAGCAAGAGAGGGACCAGTTGAAGCAACAACGGCTCAAAATGAGGACTACGACTGGCTGGCTAACTCGACCGAGCTCGATGCAGAAACTGCTGAAGCCGACTCGTTCGAGCACGAAATGGCCACCGTTTCCGAAGACGAAGCGGATGTAGCTCATCAAGAGCAAGCTGAGCCACCTCAGGACTATAACTGGTCCACCGCAGAAGCCACTGAGCCAACCATCGAGGAAGGAGCAGAGACCTCAGAGGAGGCGCAGAATGACGTTGATGGCGAGGCATACGAGAACGAGGAAGCGTACGAAAACGGTGTGGTTGAAGACAACGGCGACTACAGTGTGGATGGAGAAGTTGCAGCTGAGGACACTGAGGACACAGACGCTCAATACGAGCTAGGAGGGGGCGTGGATGCAGACGACGAGGAGGCAGAAACGTTTGGTGACTGGGAGAAGGGCTTCGATCCGAATTCCAACCACTACTTTTGGTTCAACCACAGCACCGGCGAGAGCTCGTGGACGCCACCAGAGGGGTGGCCGTACGAAGTTGATGAGCCTTTCAGTGCAGAGAATGAAGATGCTGCTGAAGGGGCTGAAGCTGGAGAAGAGCAGCAAGACCAAGAGTATGATGAACAGGGCACAGAGGCTCAGGAGTATGAAGAGGGCGGTGTTGAAGAGCAAGAGTATGCTGAAGGAGCCGCTGAAGGAGAATACTACGAGGAGGAAGCTGGTGGCGAGCAGTATAATGAGGCCAATGCGGAAGGACAATGCTACGAAGAGAGCGCTGAGGAAGGCCAATACTATGAAGTGGGGACGTATGATGAAGGCGAAGCGGAAGGTCAATACTACGAAGAAGGTGCGGAGCAACATGAGAGCCAGGAGTACGAAGAGGGCGCAGCAGATGACCAGTACTACGAAGAGGGCGCGGTGGAAGAGCAGCAGTATGAAGAGAACACTACCGATGGTCAATGGTACGACGAGACCGCTGCTGAAGGCCAGGACTACGCGACTGAAGACCAGAACTATGAGGTCGCCGCGGACGAGGGGCACACAGTAGAGCAAACCGAAGAGGAGTCGCCACGGCGTAGCGAGGTGTCTGACTTTGAGTTCGACGACAGCGACCTGCCCGGCTTCTGACGATACACCCCCTCCCATCTAGATTCTTCATACACGTAGCTGTTTTGTATCTGCACTTCACTTTTGCCATTGCTGTCTAGGGCGCGTGGGCTCCGTAGAGTTGCGGCTTGCCCAGTATCTGCAGCTGCTTGCGCTCGGTCTCCCGGGCCGCGTCCTGCCGCTGCTTTGGGGTCACCATGCGTCTGCTGCCTGTCATGCACTTCTCGAGGTGGTTCGTGTACCGAGACGCGTGCACCTGTCGCTTGCAGTAGAGGCAGCTCACGAACACGCTGTCCTGCTCCACGACGGGCGTGTCCACTGTCCGTCCGTCCGACAGCAACAAAGCAACGAGGTCAGGACTGCATTAACGATATAGCCGCTGTTGTTGTTGAAGGGTCAGACCAACCTGTCCGCTCGATGGGCTCGACGTCGTAGAGCTCCTCGAGGCTCAGTCCGTCCACCGAGATCTGGCGGTGCATCTGGTCCTCACCACACTGTCAGACTCACTTTCTCTGTGTATATGGGTGGTGTCGGCTACTGCACCTCGAAGCACACGTCCAGCGCGACATCGTCGAGCAGGAAGCGGTAGATCTGCTCTTCCATTTCGATCCGAACAATTGATACACTAATGACAATTCTGATGATTTCTGAGTATAAATCTGATATAATTTCTGATTCGACCCATTTCGCGCCTTGGCTGGCAGAGACTGGAAGGAAGCGGACGCGACGATGATCGAGGTGATCCTGAACGACCGCCTGGGCAAGAAGATCCGCGTCAAGTGCAACGAGGACGACACGGTGGGGGACCTCAAGAAGCTCGTGGCGGCGCAGGTGGGCACGCGGCCGGAGAAGATCCGCATCCAGAAGTGGTACACCATCTACAAGGACCACATCACGCTCGAGGACTACGAGATTCACGACGGCATGGGGCTCGAGCTCTACTACACGTAAGCTAACTCCAGCGGCGTGGCGGCTTTTGCTGCTGTCGCTGCTACCAATGAATCGCGTGCCTGTTGCTTGTGCCTGTGTAACCCCCTCCTTCCTCTCTCCATCTCCATCTCCTCCGTCTTTTACTGCCGCCGCCTGTCGTGGCGGTGCCCGCCTTCTGCCTGCTGGCACCGCAGTTTCAACCATGTAAAAGTCCAGCAGGCACCTCGCGATTTCGCTCGAGCTGAGTAGACACAATGCAGCCCCCGCCGACTGCGGGCACAATGCGGTGGGCTCATTTTGGTATTATCGAGCAAATGACACACAACTCAGGTCGGAGTTGAGTTGCGACACCCCTCGACAATGGCGCCCTGAGTTTTCGGTCCGGTGTTGGCGAGCCCGAAGGTGTCGGGGCAAAGTGTTCCCGTGACTGCTGTAACTGCACCCACCGGCGGCTGCTGCTTGGCGAGGGGCTGCATTGCATAGGGAACTAACTGTAAGTTCGGCAATAATAGTGCAAGAAAACGTTGAGGCGACTTTCAGCCAATCGCGCGGGGGTTGAACTCGGATATCGGCCAATGCGCGCTGCGCGTCGTAGGCGACTGTACGATCGTGGTTGTTTTTCGCAGTGCAGCCCAACGCCAGCAAGCGCGAGCGAGTGAGTGCGGAACTCAGGCGGCAAGGCAGGCAGGCAGCGGGCAGAGGACGGAGGCGACGGCAGGCAGCGCATGCCGCCGACCCCCTCTCTCCTTGGCTCAGCAGCGGGACGACCGGGTTAACAGGTGAGCACTGTGAAGCGAAGGGGTCGGGGCGCGGCGCGAGTGGCTCACCGTGTTACACTGTGACAGATCTCGCACACCAAAGGCTCAAGAGGACGCCCACTGGGCCGCCTACAGCGCAGCACACGCACGCAGTTTCCCGACGCGCAGAGCGGGGGCTTGCCCGATTGACGCAGGCAACAGGCAGGAAGGAGGCTCGAGACACGACAGAGGCCGCAGCCGCGGCCCGCAGACACGAGCGCCAGGATTCTGTGCTTCGCCCACACGAAGCGCAACGGCATGGAGGTGCCGCACACGTTCGTGCGCACGGTCAAGGCGCAGGACCTGCGCTTCAGCCAGGTGGACAGCGTGCTGCACGACATCAAGACCAAGAACTCGCCCACGTGGGTCATCTTCTCCTTCGCGGTGCGTTTCCGTCACGCTTGGCTGAAGCTGGAGATAAACGCGCCATAGCTCTGACTTCTCGCTGTTTTGACGACTGACAGGACCAACGAGAGAAACGGAACACGCTCAAGGTGCTGGCGTCCGGACACGGCAGCATCTCGGACCAGTCCAAGTGGCCGCCCGAGCTCTTCTCGCCCAACTCGCTGTGCTACGGCCTCACGAGCGTCGACTGCTATGATGAGAACGCGGCGCCTACCAACGTGCTGTCGTTCTGCTGGAAGGGACGGAACCTCCCGATCTACTTGCGAACGAAGTATGCCGAGTTCAACTATGTCATCCGGGTAAGCTTGTTGAGATGAATACGCGCGGTATCTTGCTGTGCGGAGGAAGCTTAAAGGGCGATACTGACTTGTGCGTTGTCGAGCAGAAACACCTGGGCGCTGTGGCACACGTCACACTACACAACCCAGAGGAACTCGTGTACGGAATGCTACTTGCAGCGCTGAACAAGCGAATTTGTATCTAACGCGCGGATACTTGGCGTTTTGTCAACAGGGATGGATCAGTGTTTATGCAAACGCCGCGGCGACGACCACGAAGCTCGTCCAGGAGGTTTATCACGAACGATATTGAATTTACCCCTGAGGTGATGGCCACCGTTCAGGATATCCGATCGGACACGTCGCCGTTCAACTGGGCGGTGTGCGGATACGATAACTCGGATATTGAGAGCTCGACGCAACGGATGATTGTGGTGGAGAAGGGCATGGTAAGTTGGTTCTTCGTTGTTTGGCGTGGAAGTGCATGAATGGACGAATTGTGTTGTGTGCAAACAGACTGGTCTTTATGCACTGAAAGGAATTGGCGGAATTACCTCAGTCCTTGAAGAAGGGAGCACGATGTACATTTACCTGCGAGTGGACGTCCCGTTGCATCGCGGAACCGAGCGCATTGTGTCAAAATACGTCTTGGTAACATGGCAAGGCGTTGAAAGTGGCTGGAGCGGCGGCACGTCAGACGATGAAGTCGAACTATGGTTTGGGCCTGGCTCGAATGGAGAGCGATCGCCCCAACGCCGCGATTCTTTCGCATCTAGCTCCAAACTTCAGCGCGCCGTCACCGCTCATGTCCACGGGAGTGAAATCTACCGCGTATTCCCCCATCACGTACGTCGATTCACCAAGACGCAACGGGACTTGACATTTGACTAATCAAAACGTTATGGTTGTAGGTACACTTTTTTGCCAGCACTATTTCGGAGATTTCGGAAGAAGCAATCCGAGAGCGTATTCGGCGGGCTGTGGACAATGATTGCATGCTGCTTCGAGTTGTACGTTTCAATGCCGCCTGAGCTTGTCTTGGTAAGAATTGTGTGTCTGATATGGTGGGTGCATTATGACGGATCAATAGGTCTGCGTTCAAGCTTCGGGTGACACTCAAGCCCCGGTATGCTTAGAAATCCCGTTCGATGCTACGATTGGCGTGCTCCGACAGGAAATCGCCTCGAACATCGGAATCCCGAAGGACCGTCAGCGCATTGTTTGGATTCGGCAAACAGATGACTTGGCAAAAGGTTGGTCAACTGTGCTAGGCTTGTTGAATGAAGATAGAGGCAAGCGATGATCGGCTAAGCTTGTGTGCATTCTCGCAGATTCCCAGCTATCAACGGCGGTGATGCTGGAAGATGAAAATGCCGGCATTCGAAAGGACATCGGACTTGCTCACGGCGACAAAATTCACGTCGACGACAAGGACAACGGAGAAAACTCTGTCTTGGCTAAGCTCTTCGAACAGGTAAGGTTCGGTGAAACGCCTTCTATGGCTGTAGGAAGCTAACTCCGCTGTTTTGGGGTTTTGTAGATCAACTCGGGCGCTGCCACTGTGAGTCTTTCGGCTGAGCGGCGACACGAAGTGCAGCGAGGAGTGGAAGCTCGTGAGGCTGAGTTGAGGAAAATATTGTCCGTGACGCACTATTTAATTCGGCGGAAGGCAAGTGAGGATCTCAAGCCAGTGCCGCGCATGGCTGGTGTCGTTGAAGAAGCTGTTTCCAACGAGACGAAGGAAGCAGATTCTGTATCACCCTCGAGTCGGCATAAGGTTGTCCATCGCGCAGACTCGTCTGCCTCCTTGACGGCATCACTGTCGGAGGAGCTTGCGAAAGAAGACGTATCAACGTTGCAGGAGCAGGCGCGGGTTCTGGAGTCGCAGAACAAATACTTGGAAATTCCCTACGAAAGCATCCATATCCTCAGTGGCAAGGAGAACGAGCTGGGTTGCGGGAAGGCGGCTACTGTGTACCGTGGCATTTGGATTAACCGGAAAACTGCAGCAGAGGTGGCTGTCAAGTCATTCCGCTACGCGCGGTTAACCGACAAGATCCTTGGAGACTACCGGCAAGAAGTGGCGCTGCTCAGAAAACTGAAGCACCCGAATATTGTTTTATTTATCGGAGCATGCACGGACCCGAAGCTGATGATTCTGACGGAGTATTGCTCGCGCAAAAGGTACGCTAGATGCTTGCAGCTATGATTGGATGTTACGTCCTACTAACATTTGTGTGCCCTCTTTCGTCCAGTTTATTCGAAGTGATCCACAGCAACAACTTCGAGACGATTCCTTGGAAGGTATGATTGGGCTTTGTGTTTTTGCAGTTTGACAGGACAATACTGATCCTAATGTTTTGTGTGATTCCTGCAATTGCAGTTCAAATTGCGAATGATGCTAGATGCAGCACGAGGTATCCAGTATCTCCACTCAAAGCGCATTATTCATCGCGACATTAAGGTGAGAAGACGAATTCTCCACGATTTTGTGAGATATGCCATTGTTTGACTGACGCTTCGTTCTCGCTTGCAGTCCCACAACTTCTTGGTGGACGATGACTGGCGGGTAAAGGTGGCTGATTTCGGTATCAGCAAGGTGCTCGATACCGATACTGCGTTTACGCAATGTGGCACAACTGGATGGTACGGAAGATCTCAATTTGGAGAATGCAGTATCTATCCTGTGCGCTGACAAAGTTGTGTATTTGGCAGGGTCGCTCCCGAGGTATTACTGGACGAAGACCTAGGGTATTCATTCAAGGCCGACAACTGGAGGTATGTGTCCGCGTTGACAGAGCCTCCTTTTCGTTACCTCCAGCTCTAACTTGACCATTTTTTTACTTGCAGTTTCGCCATTGTCATGTGGGAAATGATCGCCGGCGGGCTGCAAAATCCGTTCATCGGGATGGCCCCGATCAAGTTCTACAACAAAACCATCAACGCCGGCATCCGGCCTCCGATCCCCGAGGGCGTGGACAGCGAGTACATCGACCTCATCACGGAGTGCTGGAAGTCGGACGCAGCGGACCGGCCTTCCTTCGACGTGATCGTGGCTCGGCTGGAGCAGATGCTGCTCGCGTTGGGCGCCAGCATCGACCTCCCGCCCACGTTCCAGGGTGGCTACCACCAGGCAGGAGGGGCAGCGTCGAACCCGTAATTGTTGTTGAGAGTCCGTCCGTCCACCTCCATCCCTCCATGTCGTGCTGAGGCGCCGAACCGCTTGGTAATTTTGAGAGACGAGTCGTGCCAAGACGTGTCCTCGATCGTATTATAGCAAGCTCATAGACAAGCAATCCAAACTATCGAGAGATAATAGCCGAGTGTTCCAGGAGCACTGTTCCTTGTCGATTGCTGCAGCTCCATTGGCTGAAACGAGAACACGAGCATGGCGTCGCTGTATGCGCTGGCGCCGGAGCTCGTGGCGCTCTTCGGCTTCCTGTGCCTCCTGCTCAACGTGCTGCTGCCGGTGCTGGGCTTCGTCCTCCGCTTCGTGGTGGTGGACGTGCCCCACGAGTGGAAGAAGTGGCAGCTGCATCGCTCGCAGCAGCGCGAGCTCAGGCGCCTGCAGCGACGCGTCGACACGCTGACCCGCAGGAAGCTGGCGGTGAGACCGCGCTGCTGAAGTCCTTATAGCTTGGGGAGCTTGTGCACTAACTTTAATGCGTCTACGCGCAGGACGAGCAGGAGACTCGAAGGCGCACGAGAGCGGCGAGTGCGAAAAAGCGGCAGCAGGTGGAGGAGACGCCGCAGCAAGCGCTCGACGACAGACGTCTCCACCCCATTGCGGGCCTGGTGTCTAACGAAGGGGCCGACGAATGGCGAACGCAAACCCCGCAGCAGCAGCGACATCGACTCGGTATCTACTCGACGGCCAAGAAACCAGCTACCGGTAGCAGCACGCGAGAGCGCCGACGCATGAGGTGGGGGCTCTTGTCGTAAATACAGGATGTTGCTACGGTGTCAAGGTAGTAATGGTCATGTGCAATTGTGGGCAGGGACGAAGAGGAGCCTTGAAGGCGAGACGCCCGTCCCGGTATTTATCAGCTGCGCCAGTGGTCAATGCTACGTTTAGTTTTCAGTTTTGAGTTGTGTGGAGTGGGCAAATGGCTGCGAGTTCGTTTGATTCGGTTCTTGTGCTTGTGTGCGGCCTCCCTGCTGCTGGGAAGACGACACTGGTAAAACGTTTGGTGAATAATGGCAGCACTGCGTCAAGGCTGTACGAGCGGATCTCTTTCGACGACATCTACGAGCACGCGGCGGCAAACGATGAAGATCGCGAGTTCGATCCCGACAAATGGAAAGCGTCGCAGCAAGCTATGGTCCTCCGCGTGACCGAGCGCTTGGAACAGCAGAGCGCGACGACAAGGGAGAAGGAAACTACGCAGCAACTGGTGCTGCTCGTCGACGACAACTTCCAGTACCGGAGTCTGCGCAAGCGCTTCTTCCAACTCGCCGTACAGCGTAAGAAGCCCGTGCCTGCTGTCCACTCGACTGAAGAGAGTACTGTAACTAACATGTCTTTGGTGACTTGTAGTGGATTGCGGCTTTGCGGTGCTGCACGTGAACGTCGAGACAGAACTATGCCGCGAACGGAACAATTCTCGGGGAATCAACGGGAATGAAGGTGCGCGCGTACCTGACGAGGTCTTTCGACGGATGGCAGCAGCTTTTGAAGCTCCCAACGGAGATCAAAATCCGTGGGAAGTTAGCACCTGCGAGCTGAATGACGCTGTCGAAAACGACGGCATCGAAGACATAATGGACACATTGATCAAGCGCGCGGAGGGTGAACTCAACGAGCGACGTCTTTTGCAGTTGAAGAAGCAAAGCGATGAAGAGCAACAGGTAAGACTTCAGTCGCTCTTTAGTACGATTATGGATGAAGCTAACGCTGTCTTGGCGTGTATCTTAGCGCCGCGGTCGCCTTGGAATGCAGCAAAATGTCCTCCACCTAGTTGACCTGGGGCTTCGCCAATGGGTATCTGCAAAACTTCGTGACGGGGTTGCGTTACCATCTGGCATGACCAAAGCACGCTTAGCGTCTCAACTGAACCAGCGACGTAAAAGCTTTCTCGCGCTGATCAAAGGCTCACCCGGCCACATCGCAGACCTCTTGCACGACAAACCTATCGCGGAAGTGGTGGTTTCGTTAGTTGTGCGCTTCCATCAGCAAGAATAGTGTCGACAATTGGGACTACGCTGATACCACTCTACTTAAAATGATCTCACCAATTCAACCAGTGTCACACCAAAACGACTGCGATGGTTTTCACGTGACTGGCATACCATTCTTGATTTCGACATTCAATCAAGCCCGACGCAGCGTTGCCATGGCTCAAGTCATCGATTCACCGCGTTTTAGGATCGATTCCGACAGCGATGAAGAGATCGACATCGAGCTTGGAGCTCGGCAAGACCCGACGTCTGAAGCACCAGCTGAACAAAATTTGGAGCATGATACTGCGTCGCTTCTAGGGCCAGAGCGACGAAGTAAGCGGGTAAGGACGGCAATATTGACCGTCTCCTTCCTCTTCCTTCTGGGTGTGAGCATCGGGTTGGCTGCGCGCTTTTCACGAGAACAGCCTGCATCGATAAACTCAGGGACTGGTGACGATTTCTCGGTGTCTTTCGGGAGCTTGGAGACAATTGGAGGCGAAGAAGTTCAAAACGGCGACGTGGTTCCCTTCCTTGATGTCCAGTTTACCGCGGACGAGAGGTCTGTGTTCGTTCTCAGCAAGACGCACTGGAACTCCTCCTTCATCGTGTACCCGACTGTGGTGAGGCGCGCGGCACCCGTGAAAACTGGACTAGAACGAGGCGGCATTTTGTTGGAAACCAACGACTTTGCCTTCCATTTCGAGCTGTCGCCAAGTAGACGGTACCTGCAGCTTGTTCAGGAATATCACTACGCAAGTCTTCGCAGAGACAAAGCTGAAGAGCTCCAACAAATGTTTGACGACAGTCAGTGGCCTGGATACGTGACCAAAGTCCCCATTTACGCGGAGACTGACAGCGCTTACTACATCCCGTCGGACGTCTTCCTCTCGAATGGATTCTTCGTGTCATCCCAGCTTGCTTCGTCCGATTTCACCGCGCTGGAGAAACCATCAGAGTCGTTTGAACGGAACACGATGCTGTTTGTCGAGTACGAGCTTGCTTCAGGAGTTATTGAGGTTAACTACGCGATCGGTTTGCTACCTGATGAGGTCATGCCTCAGCGAGTGGCCGACGATCGGATCGGATATTTCGCCAAACGTTTCACGCAGTACAGCATTCAAGGCCAAGAGCTCAGCGACGGCAACGGCTATCACTGGTGGGACCCGCAGGTGACAGTCATCCATCGCCGGAAACTCGAGCTTGATGCAACCAGAAACACTACTAAACATCCAATCGCGTACTATATCGACCCCTCGGTGCCGCCGGAGTGGAGAGAGGCGTTTGCGACGGGAGTGGAGGCGTGGGTCCCTGCATTTGAACGCATTGGATTCCCCAATGCGATCCGCGCGGTTCTTCCAGGTGATGACGACTGGCCAGCCGACTATAGGCTTGGAGATTTACGATTCAACAGCATTTCCGTGATGATATCGAAGGAGACGTATGCGTACGGCCCAACCGTTATTGACCCAAGGTCTGGGGAGATCCTGCACAGCGATATCGTGTTCGAGTACGGATTTTTCAACGAAGTGATATCTGATTTCGATATGAAGTCGCCCACAGACCCACCCCAGTCCCGTAGAGCCTCTACTTCAAGTATTAACGACGACACGGACACAACAGCTTCAGCCAAGACGTTCACTCACGTCCGCGCTGGTCGAAACCACCAGTGTGGGATTGCTCGTGAGCAGCAGCATCAACTTGATCGCATCATGCTACGGTCCTTTGCAGCTGATGGTGATGGCTACGTTCCCAAGAAACTCATCGCTCAGCACTTTGCGGGTATCGTTATGCATGAGGTTGGCCACACTCTCGGGCTACGACACAACTTTGCTGGATCGACTGCCTATTCTCGCGATCAGTTGCGTGATCCTGAATTTGTTGCTGAGCACGGACTTTCGACGTCGATCATGGACTATCTACCAGTGAATATTTTCTCGGACCTGACGCAGGATGAAGTGGGCAGGCACCCGTTCTACATGACCGCGATCGGAGCTTACGACTACGCTGCCATTGCCTACGGCTATTCCATTACCGATGACGAGGTTCCAGGATACAAACACCCGCATTTGACAGAGCTGGCCGCTGCTGCGCCGTTATTTCTTACTGACGAGGCGGTGGAGAATATGCTGAATCCTTACGCACAGCGATTCGACTTGTCCTCCGACCTGGTCGACTACGCTGCGGATCGCTTGCAGCTAGTGAAGAATGCTCGGAGTTCTGATGCGCTGTTGAACAAACTTCCAGATGATGCGTCATCGATGACGCTGTGGCAACGAGAGCGCATTCTACTGCGCATCATCGAGCAAGCTATCAGGATCGTGCGACCCATGCTCGGCGGGGTGAACGTCACCCACGCGCACCGTGTCAAGGACGAAGGCCCCTACAATGCCACCTTTGTATCTAGGGACACCCAACTCGAAGCGCTAGACCTGCTGCTACGTGCTATCGAAGCTGAAAGTGGGTTGTTCCCAGAGCCGAAGGACTACGGATTGTTCATGGAGGTGGTTGGCTTCGACAAAGGGAACTGCAACGAGGCGACGCTCGATTACGATTGTCTCGGGCGCGGACTTGTGGACGTCGGTGGCTATGTCCTCAATGTCCGAGGGAAAGCGTTAGTGGCGGCGCTATTTCCTGCTATGGACCGCATCGTGCAGCAAGATGTACTGAGCCCGTTGACGCTGGAAGAGTTACTGGACATCGTCTTCAATACACTGAACAACCACCTCACACCGACGAGCGACACGCTATATGCCCTGCTGGACGAAATCCTCCGAAACGCCATCAGCAACCGCGATACCGATGCACGTGTTAAGAAAGCTATCGAGAAGCAGTGGGGAGTGACTGAGCCTCCTGCAGTGGTCGTCGTGAAGCCCGATGGGGAAGGTAAATAGATGATAATTCTATTTAATAACTACGGTTCTATTTCTATTATTGCAATTTTTTTGTACTTATAGATAGTATTATCTTCTGATACACACATTAATGTTGTGGTAGAGTAATAAAATTTAGTAGTGTGATTACTAAAATCTATTAGGCTTCAAACTGTCTATAACAATTTCTTATTTAGTAGTTCTAAACGCACATCGCATTTCGTGCGGCTGGCAGGACCAATTAACAAAGCTTATAAATACCCCGAGCCAATCTGTACAACACTTTAGAAATTCGGGTTACAAAGGGGCAAGTTGTTTTACTAACCTCAATTAGCAACCTGAGCCACGACGAGACCACTGATATACGTCATTTGATCTCAGTGGTTACTTGCGGCTGGCAGGAGTCAATTGATACCATGTCGGCCATGCTGCTGTCTCGCCTGCGCAGCCGCGCGCCGGTCCGGCCGACGGCTCTTGCGTTGCGAAGCTGCTCTTCGCATGCTACTAGTAGCGACAAACCTACATCAGCAGTGCGTGTCCGCTATGCTCCGAGCCCCACAGGCTACTTGCACCTCGGCGGTCTGCGCACCGCGCTGTTCAACTATCTGTTCGCCAAGAGCTCCGGCGGGCAGTTCATTATGCGCATCGAGGACACGGACAAGGTTTGCTCGAATATACAGCAGTTCTGTATACATTCGTCTAGCTCCAGTGCTAATTGTTGCTCGTGCTGGCTGCAGACGCGCCAAGTGGAGGGATCGGTCGAGGCGCTCGTCAACAGCCTCCAGTGGTGCGGAGTCAACGAAGACGAAGGTGCGCGTGCAAGAATTACTGCTTGACGCTGGACAATAAGGCTAATGCTTATGCACTTTGTGTTGCAGGCCCTAACGTCGGAGGCCCCTACGGCCCGTACATCCAGTCGCAGCGTCTTCCGATCTACCAGGAGGCCGCCGAGAAGCTGATTGAGGTGCGCATACCATTCTTGCAGAATTGAAGAGGCATTTCACTGACTGTGGCATTGCTGCAGGGCGGCCACGCCTACCGTTGCTTCTGCTCGAGCGAGCGACTGCAGAAGCTGCGCGAGTCGCAGACCCGTCATGGAGAAGCGACGATGTACGACCGCGCGTGTCTTGGTCTGGACGAGAAGGAGGTGGAAGCTCGGGTGGCGCGGGGCGAGCCGCACACGGTTCGTTTGAAAATCCCCGAGGGCAAGACGGTGGTGAAGGATTTGCTGCGTGGATACGTGCAGTTCGACCACTCGGGCATTGACGACCAGGTCCTGATGAAGAGCGACGGCTACCCGACGTATCACCTTGCCAACGTGGTGGATGACCATGCCATGCATATTTCTCACGTCATTCGTGGCGAGGAGTGGCTGCCGTCGACTCCTAAGCACGTTATTCTGTACAAAGCCCTGGGATACGAGGCGCCGAAGGTGAGTCCATGGTAAAATATTTGTCACGTTGGAAGGAAGTGTGCTTATGATGGTCGTCTTTGGTGTTGTAGTGGGCTCACTTGGGTCTTCTGCTGAACGAAGACCGCTCCAAGCTGTCGAAGCGCCAGGGTGATGTCGCTGTCGAAGACTTCCGGGTTCGTGTGACGTTACTTCGTTTTGCTTGATAAGCGCAATTGTTGACTCAAATTCGACGTGCAGGACAAGGGATTCCTGCCTAGCGGCCTCGTGAACTTTGTGGCTCTGTTGGGTTGGAACCCTGCTGGCGGTAACAACCAAGAGATTTTCCAGATGAAGGAGCTGGAGAAACATGTACGAGACGCTGTACTATTGTCGTTCTTAAAAATTACCGCTGAATCCTGACATCTATACATTTTTGTATCGTAGTTCTCCATCGATCACGTGAACAAGGCCGGCTCGGTAGTTAACGTGGACCGCCTCCGCTGGATCAACTCCCGTCACGTCCGAGCGCTATTTGCTGAGGAAACGGCAACGGACGAGCACAAGCTGGCAGTTGTGAACGACGTGCTGCCCATGATTTCGTCAACTCTTGAACAGGCAGGATTCTCTACGCCAGCTGATGTGGTGGAGAAGTTCGGTCTTGACTACGTGTGGCGCGCCATGGACCTCATGAAGGAGCGTGTCAGCGCTCTTCCCGAGTTTGGACCGCTCTGCATCTCGTTCTTCACCGACCCTGACCTTAGCTCGTCTGTGGCCCAAGACATGAAGGCCAAGTACATTGACGAAAGCACGCCTGAGCTCGTAGCCGACGTGTGCTCCAGCCTGCGCAACCTGTCGGATGATGACTTCACCCCGGTAAGTAGTGAACGTAGCCATTGCCTATGTGAAGGAACTATTAGCTGACGCTTTTGCTGTTTTGCAGGACCACATCACGAAGAGTATCAAGGCTGTCGCTAAGAGCCGGAAACTGGGGCTGAAGAAGTACGTCGCGTTGCCAAAGTTACCATGCTGTTGGCGACCCTTTAGCTGACCCTTTGTGCTGTGTGCTTTGCGCAGGGTTCTCATGCCGATTCGGTACTATCTGACGGGCATGGATGTTGGCGCTGGACTTGGCGACACGATCGAGCTTTTGGGCCGCGATACCGTTATGAGACGCCTGGGCTAGGAGTAATGCGGTGTTCCGCCCAAATAGAGAGGGGCCACCGATGATCCACACGCATTCGAGTTTACAAACAAAATCTGGTATTCATGTTGAAGGGAACAGAATGTAGATGGGGCTCTATCCAGCAGCTCATTTCTTCTTGCGCTGAGTAGGCACTTTGCGTACAACTTGCGCGGTCTTGCCCGCGACCGCCTTGCGGTTCTTTGCCCGCTTCACAACTGATTTGGCCGCCGAGTTCTTCTTGGCCAGCGTCTGCGACAGCTTGCCCGGCAGCAAAACCTTGCCGGCCTTCTTCTGCTTCTTCTGGGCGTTCTTCTTGCCCGCCGAACCCGGGATCGTGATGCTCAGCTTGGCTTTCTTGCTGTTCGAGCGCATCACCTGCCGTACTGGTGCCTTCGCCTGAGTCTGCTGCTTCACCGTCTGCTGCTTCTTGCCGCCCTTGGGCTGTACCACACGCGTGGGCGACGCGACCTTCCTGACCTGCTGAGGTGCGTTCTTCTTCTTCTTCGGCTGCTGTGCTACGTTGTTCTGCTGCGCCCTGGGACTGACAACCAAGCGGCCAGAAGCGTTCTTAGCCGCCTTGTCCGCGCGCATTTGCCGCCGCAGCTTGGCGGTGGTGGCGGCAATGCTCGTCTTGGTCTTGCTCTCCGTGGCAGGAGCAGCCGCCGCCGGCAGACCGCGGTTCTTGTTTACCAGAGCCTTTCGCTGCGCTGCCTGGCCGTTCTTCACCGCCTTCTTCTGCTGCTTCTGTTGTTGTTGCTGCTGCGGCTTCTGCTGCTTGGGCGCCTTCCTCTTGCCAGCAGACTGCGGCTGTGGCAGCGGATTCTCGTTCTGCTTCTTCTGCTTCTTGGCCTCCTCCTTCTTCTGCAGCTTGTGCTCCTTCCTGCGCTCCTTAATCAGCGCGTCTGCAGGTGCAACACCAGTCAGTATCACATGCGATAGAGTATCTTTCTTGCTAGTCGCAGCAGGAGGAGGAGGACGCACCGAGAGACAGGTCCAGGCGCCCTTCGAGATCCACGCCGCGCGGACTCACGTTGGCGGCGAACGGATGCACGTCCGCGGGGATGGCGATGGAGGCGGCGGGGGTCGAGGCAGTCGCCATTTGGAGCTGAGGCCGAGGCTGACTAGGACTTGCTTGGTGGGTCTGCGGCGAGTTGCAGAGTGACCGCCACGTTCGACTTGCACCACTTGCAGTTTTGGCGAAAGATTTCCGTTTTGAAGGGGCGCCGTGAAGGGGTTTCAGCCAATAAATTCTCGATTCACCGCTCGAGCGAACCAATCAACGCGCGGAAATCCATGGAAAGATCGCTATTTTCAGAATCTATTGCTGGGCAAAAGGTGCAGAGCCCGGCCATGGGGCCCCATGCCTCTCTGGGCCTAACGTTAGGGCTGCCCCGTGGAGCCGTCGAGGAACTCGAGGTGCGCGGCCGTGGGCTCGAGCTGCCAGTCCTCGCGGATGTGCTGCTCGTTCCAGAACTTGGTGAGGTGGCGCTGGCCCGAGTCGCACAGCACCGTGACGATCGTGTGGCCCGGCCCGAGCTTGCGGGCGGCGCGCACGGCCGCAACGCAGTTGAGGCCGCTCGAGCTGCCCACGAAGATGCCCTCCTCGCGCAGCAGGAAGCGCGACATCTCGACGATCTCCTGGTCCGTCACCTTGAACGCGTCGTCGATCTTGGCCAGCAGGAAGTTCTCCGTCAGGCGGTCGATGCCCACGCCCTCGGCGATGGTGTCGTACCTGTGGCGGCGGACCTTGGTCTCAGCCTGCTGCGGCGCGTAGCACACGTTGCTGCGGACTTTGTTGTACAGACTCGAGCCAGGAGGGTCGGCCAGGAAAACCTGCACGTCCGGGTTCTGCTCCTTCAAGTAGGCCGAGGTGCCTGCGATGGTGCCTCCCGTACCTGCGGCCATCACAAAGGCGTCGACCGTTCCGTTGGTCTGGCGCCAAATCTCCGGCCCGGTCGTGGCATAGTGGCTGTCGAAGTTGGCCGTGTTCTCGAATTGGTCAGTGAAGTATCCTCCTAGAAAAGTCATTTGCACGAAATCATTAGCGCCAAGAGAGCGGCAGGTAGTAACAAGCTGCTTCAGAGTCACACGCGCACCTTCAGTGTTGCGTGCCAGCCGCTTGGCCTCGTTCACGTAGTGCTTGGCGTTCACGATGGACGCCGGCTTCACCAGCACGACCTCAGCGCCAAACTGCTCCAGGAGCTGACTCTTCTCCTTCGCCTGGTCGTCTGGCATTACAATAACGCACCTGTAGCCGCGGGCTAGACAACCGAAGCAGAATCACACGACGTTAGCTCCATCACTTCGCCACTTCAACTTAGCATCAGCCAAGACCACCGACCTCGTGCCATGAGCGACAGACTGATGCCCGTACTACCGGACGTTCCCTCGACAATGGTTCCGCCCTCTTTCAGGAGCCCACGACGCTCCGCATCCTCCACGATTCCTTTCGCGATTCGATCCTTGGAGCTGCCACCCGGATTCAGGAACTCGGCTTTAGCCTGGAAGCACCAAGCGTACAATGGACCCCTCCCCGATCAGTCAATTGACTATAACAAACTTGCACATAGTATTGAATCCCACCAGAATCGTGCAGCCGGTGGCCTTGGACAGACTGGTGAGCTCCACCATGGGCGTGTTGCCCACGAGACCGGGGAAGCCGGCCAAGTACTGCTCCTTCTTCGCCTTCTTGCGGAGAACGCGGCCCCACGACGCATCGCCGCTCACTGCCAGCTCCACCACCTTCCAGAGAGACAGCGACGCCATCGTCACGCACAGCCCCCATCGCCAGAGCGACGCGCTCCAGTGCCCGCCGCTCTCCATCGCCGCTGCAATTTCAAATTGTGACGCACTCAACTGCCGCCATAGATTATTAACCAATCAAACCGATCTTTTCAAAACACTTTCATCCAATTAGATAACATTCAACTTCAACTTTCTGATTCGGACAGCTTGTCGATGGCTGCTAGGAGTCCGTTGCAGTGCTGCACGTCCAGCCCCAGCGCTACTGCCTCTCTGTTGTCAATAGCACAAGGTTCACAAGCTGGAGTCAGCAACAGGCGTTGCAGTCGTATACAAAAACACCATAAAATGTCCACATACCTCTGGATCTCCTCCAGGTCGAGCAGCAGCTGCATGCGCATCTTCTCCGTGTCCGAGACAGAATTGTTGGTCAGAGTGGAGCTCGATCCGGAGTGTCGTTGCAGTTTACGACTCTTGAGCGACTCCTCAAGCTCCAGCGCCGACCTCAGCAGCTCCGACGACAAGGCCGAGTACACGTCGCACACTTCCTCCACGATGGACAGGAGCAATTGGTGCCTTTTGGTCGAGTCGAAGTGAACGCCCCACTTTTCCAGAAATTCTTGCATTGGCCTGCATATACGTAGCGAACGTAAGTTTTGTGTAAGCCATGAATGGTAATTGAATGCTAAATAAGCATACCGGATGATGTTCGGCACGTAGGTCGACGGTGTCGTTGGTGGGGGTTTGTTCGTCATCTGGTACTGGCCCTTCACAGTGCTGAAACAGCAATGGGAATACGTAAGTACAAGCTTCAGCACTACATCTCGGAGCTCGCTTTCAATGTCACGTGTGCACGTACCGGATCGCAGGAAGCACTTTTTTGCAGTCAGCAGCAACCATTGTCACAGCTGCTGACCAGCAGCCTGCCTCGAGCTCGGCTAACGATGCCAGCGGCTGCATTCATGAAGGACATCAAGCACAGTTCTGCGTTAGCAAGGTCGTTGCATGCGTCTCTAGAACAGGTATCAACTAAACAAACCTCTTGGAAAAGCTCGGTCACGAACATCCGGCTGTCATCTGTAAAGCCTTCAACTTGAGTTTTTACTACTGCAAGGAGATCTTGTGATACCTGGGAAGTACAATAAGAAGGATACGTTAGAGACGCCACCCTTATCATCATTACGTTGGTGACACCACCACTTTACCTTCTCGTACAACACGTGGAAGTCGCTGCCAGCTAACAGTATATCTTCTTCCGTCGACAAAAAATAAAGTGGCACAGCGGCGAAGTCAATCTTGGTGCCGCTGTTGAGCACTGCAACTGCATTGAGCAAGGGCTCTTTCCAGATCTCAATGTAATACGCGAAAAGCTGTACGCAGATCTTGCAAAAGTTGGGGAGGAGCGGTGGGAGGAAAATCCGCTCACTCCAGCAGTCTTGCATCGCTTGCCACAGGCGCTTCGAGTTTTCAAAGACCAACGACGTCTTGTCGATCACAGACGACGAGTCTGCTGCAGTTGGCTCGTCACGCTTCACGCCAAACGACTTTTCTAAACTTGAGGCCAACTGCGATGCTCGAAGCTGGAAGTACACATCAATATTCCACTTTTCTTTGAACTCGAGCACACTCTCGTGGGACCGGAAGCGGGTTTTCATAACGTCACTTTTGCAGAATCGCTCCTCAATATCGGCAAGAAACCGCATACTGATCGTGTAGCTTTGGTGAAATCGCTCGGGGTCTGCCGCTTGAAAGATAACGCCGTGTTTGGACGAGAGGATTTCCTGCAGAGGCTTCCAAATCGCGTTTCCTAGGATGTCCACTGAGCATTTGGCCTCTCCTTGACATACAGACAGCGCCAGTGTCCCCGCAAATTTGCTAGTAATGAAGTCCAGGATCGACTCATAAATCTGTGGCAGACCCTCGCAGGACCCACGGACTCGACCGTCGAGTTTGCCACGAGTCAAATTTTCCTCTGCAAAAGGCTGCACCAGTAGACGTCCGATCATCTCCTCAGGGATGTGGCTCTTGTGCAGCAGCACATAGGCTCGCAGCAAGTAGCTCAAAGTGAGCGAGCTGATCGCGTGGTCGCGGTTGTAAAACGTATCGGGGAAGATTTCGGTCGCGAACTCCGTCTCCAGTCGGCCAAGCAGCGTTTCTTCAATCACAGCAAGGCGCTTTTCCTCCCTCTAGGACATCACAACGCACCCTCGTCAGCTTTAGCGCCACTCACATCAACTGCTGCACGCACAATACCTGAATCGCATTGAGGTGCATGCCGTTCATGAACTCCAGATCCAGCTGCACGAAGATCTGCGCCGCACGCTCGAGCTTCGCGCAGCCTTCAGCCGCGCTGGTGGCGTTGAGACACTTCTTCACGCGCTCGAAGTTGTCGAACTCGTCGTCGCTTTCCTCGTCCGAGTCGATGGGGCCGCTTGTCTCCAGCTCGCCCTCGTCGCTGTCCGCGGGGGACTCGATCTCCAGCAGCTCCTCCAGCAGCAGCAGCTTCTCCGAGATCTTGATGCTCAGCTGCAGGTCCTTCTCCTGCTGCTGCAGCTCGTCCGCCGTCTGCAGCTGCGACTGGATCTTGCCTTGAAGTGCAGTCTACACGCACACACAGCAACAGACACAGTGAGTCAAGGCGTTCAACAAGCGTTCAGCCGCCTCTACGCCACGTACCATGGCGTGCTGCACTTCGTCCACGCGCTTGAGCACCGCCAGGATAGGCGCGCGCACGCTGGAGACGGCCTCGTCCACGCCCTTGAGCTTGGACGAGAGCTGCAGGAACTCGGCGTAGTCCTCGTTGATGATGGCCACGAGCTGGTTCTCGAGCGACGTCTGGAACTGCTTGAGGTCCTGGTGGATGGTCTCCATGGGGCTGCGCGCGCGGCAGTCCTCCAGGAACGCGCCCACCTCGAAGCCCTCCGCGGAGAAGGCCTCCTCCTCGAAGCAGTACTTGCCCAGCACCATCTCGCCCGTCCGCCACGTGCGCCGCTATGGATACAATAGTGAGCGCCCAAATAGAAGGCCCATTCTGCCTTTTGGGTGCTGGTCTCGCGGTGAAAAGAGCCCAAAAGCGGCGATAAATGGGTCAAGCGATCGGAGGATCGGCTGTGGTAGAGAGAGCAATCGCTCGACTTGAAGCTGGAAGGACGGAGCCCGGAGGCGAACATGGCGGACGCGGAGCGGCGCGTGCAGTCGATGCCGCACCAGCGTCTGGACCGAGACCCCTCGCGGTGCGACGCGCAGCAGAAGAAATGACCCATAACGATTATAAGGAGGTGCTCATTTGTGTTTATTGCTTGCTTGTGGCAGCTTGACGACGTTCCCGATCCCGGGCTTCATGGCGTCCACATTCCAGGTACAAAGCAATTGTATCGTGGTTTTAGCTGCTTTTGTTTGGAGAGTGTGGCTCAGTTTGGTCAATACTTGTGCTAGGAGCCCGACGCTGACGCTGCTGGCGGTGAAGCTCCGAAGCCTGCCGGTAGGTATTATAGCTCTGGGTGGATCGCTACTTGCTCGCCAGTAACGGGAAACTGATGAACTTATTCTGGTTGATTTAGCGTCGCCGGTGAAGGTGCGGCCTCCGCCGATGTCGGCTGGCAACCGGTACTGGATGCCCGACCACCTGTGTAAGGTGAGATGGAGGCAGCATTTGATCAGATACCACGTAGCTGTGGATCTAAGAGCTGTGTTGTGTGTGACGTCCAGGTATGCTACGACTGCTCCGCGGCCTTTTCTCTCTTCCGACGTCGTCACCATTGCCGACTGTGCGGCCAAATCTTTTGCTACGAGTGCAGCAACAACTTCGTGGACGGGGCGCCCCATGGCTTTCCGAACGCCATCCGAGTGTGCAAGTTCTGCCTTCAATTCGCGGATGCCGCTGGGAAGAAGAAGACAAAGACGAGGGAGAACGAACTCGGTCGGAGCTCGATCGGCAGCTTGGACGGGAATGACACGGCGAACGATTCGTTTTCGAGTCGGTTTGATCGCTCGTCGCACCGGTTGAGTGGAGAGCTTGGCGCGAAGAAACCGTCGCCACTGGTCTTCGGTCCACCCGTTGACCCAAACGAGTTGCCGGCATCGTTGCTATCACCCGTCGACTCGAACTCAAGCGACCCCGCGGGCTTAGAACCGAATGCAGACCCAACGAGTGCTACAACGGAGTCTGTGGATTTCTTCGAGGAATCGGACAGCGTAGAAGTGAAACGGAGGTTTCGTGCGCGAGTGCGCTCCAGGCGGAGACATTCCAGCGCGGAGTTGCTGGGTGCGATTGAAAGCGGGGGGTTAATGGATGCGGAGCTGCTGGCTCTTACTATGGGGCGAAGCATGGCGTCTCCGAAAACAACAGAGATTGCGACCGTCCCTGAAGAGCCACAGTCAGGGAATGCTGCTCACAACAGCAACAGCCTCCACACACAGCGGGAAATGGTGCTGGATAAGTACATGGTAAGTGACGACATGCACGCTAGACTCCTCGAAATGACTGGCGCTGATTTATTATTTTTCAATGTAGCAAAACGCACACGAGCAAATCCGGACTGGGATCAAGAGTTTGGTGTCGTCGATACCTGACAGTTTGCCGGAGTCAGAGTCGATGGATACGCAGCATCTGGCGGTGACGTTGGAAGACATGGCTTTTGTCGTGACGGGCCACTTGCTCTTCAGTATGAATTTCCGCTCTCCAAGTGGCTTCAATTACACCAATCTCGTGAAGGTGAAGAGCATTGCCATGCCCAAGCGCGCTCACACGAGCAAGAAGGAGCCGAGTTACAATTTTAAGTGGCTGGCTGGAACAGTTTGCCACAAGCACTTGAGTCACAAGCAAATGGCACGCCAGGTCGTGAACCCTCGCATCCTGCTATTCGCCTGCGGGATTAGTTACGACCGCTCTAATGGTACGGGGCGCATGAGCTCGCTCGATACTTTGCTGGAGCAAGAAAAAAGTTACATGGCCATTCTCGTTGACAAAATTTCGGCGTTGGAGCCAGATGTGATTTTCGTGGAGAAGACTGTATCACGATACGCCCAAGAGCTGCTGTGTGAGCGCCGAATTTCAATCGTCCTGAACGTAAAGAGTGAAATGCTGCATCGGATCGCTCGCCACACTGGAGCTGAAGTCCTTACATCAGTGGACCATGTCGATAAGGCAGATCCTGCTAAAGTTATCGGCCGGTGCCGAACATTTTCGGTGAAATCAATCCCCACTGTTCCCGATGAAGGGCTGTCACCAGGAAAGAAATCGCTGCAGGCACTTGCTGGTGTGTTTATGAAGGCTCCTGCTGTGCCTAGCAGATTACGATCCGACACGTACCTATACCTTGACGGATGCGATCCCCTCAATGGCTGCACAGTGCTTATTACTGGGCCGTCAAAGCAGACGTTACGCGTACTCAAACAGTTGACTCGGACGGTCTTGTCAATGACATACCAATTGCTGCTGGAAGCTCACGTTCTTTCCGATCTGGACCTGAACAAGAACATGCTGATGTCGAAGGAGAGTGCAGAGCTGGTTGAAGAACAACGCACCACGTGGTGCACTACGTCAACGTTACGTGTCCGTGACCCTGGTTCGTCAAACCCTCGCTATCACCAATGCGTTGAAGCGAAACATCTTCGCATTACAGCTTGCTCTGAAGACGACGTATCGTTTGGTAACTTTCTAAACCAAGAATTGGCAGCACTCACTCTAAAGTGCCAGGTACGCGCTCACTTCTACGGATGAATTGTTGAAAATAACTAACGGTGGGGCTACTCGCTTTTGTTTCTGGTTGTAGAATGTGAAATGCAATCGTTTGATGGCGGATCATGTTCATTCGTTCAGCTGTCGGACTGGAACGATTACCATTTCCTTTGAGGAGCTACCGGATAAAAACAAGCAGTCGCTGTCATTGTCCATGAGTCAAGTGAGCGACAATGGAGCGACTGATAAATCATTTGGGTCATTCAGCGAGCTGTCTTTCACCATGGGGTCTGAAAGGGATATCAACTTACAGGCGATGATGACACCAAACTCTTTTTCGCAAACGTCGATCAATGAAGATGAAACTGCAGTAGCTGCGGTGAATGGGTATCCGACGGTCATTTTCTGGCGATGGTGTCGTGAATGCAATGGCGTGATCACACCTTTCATCCCGTTAGAGAAGTACATTTACAAGTACTCGTTTGCGCGATTCCTGGAAGTTCTCTTCTCGGAAGCAGACGGACCGGCAGCGCCAATATCGCCGACGGCAGACTGCACACACTCTTCTATGGAGTCGCATGTGCTTTTCTTCAACATTGGGAACTCTGTTGCCCGATTCGATTTCTCAAAACAGGTATCACTTCGTCTCGGTCGTGCAGATTTGCATCGAAACAATGGGGCATTCCTCAAGAATCCTTCCTGGGAGAAAACAGAGCGCGCGGTGGTGGAGAAGGTTGTCACTAGTCGGCTGAAAGAATTGAATGAGCTCCTGGAGTCGCTGATCAGCTCTTTTTCGGAAAAGGTGCAGGGCATCAACCAGGCCGTTGAAGCCTTTGAACGAACTGATACGGGGCACCACGAACGAATCCTTCTCGAAGTCATGTGCATCTCGAAGTTGGTACGAAGTGGAAACGCGGTTTTCTCGCACAAACTGGAACGACTGAGCGAGGAGCCAGCGGACAGTTTGGGTGCTTGTGACGCCACGCAGCGCGCGTTGTATTTAATGGCATGCAAGTGGATCGCCTGCATGCTACGACTTCGCAAGCTTATTAAGAAGCATCTCTCGACCGAGGGTACTCCCCCAGCTCCAAATAGCGGGTCGTTTACTCTAGGAGGGATCACCTTCCACCCAACGGCTGTGCTGTCACCGATATCGTCCCCTCGGGTCATAGAAGAATCAACACTGACGCCCAGTGCAATTGTGAAGGAGCCCGATTGGGGTGGAGACCCTGAACCGTTGGTTCGGCGGAGGAGTAGCGGGACTCTTAGTACTGTGACGGAGTCTGAAGCATTGCCAGGGAAAGCAGTGTCTTCTGCTTCAACTATTGCGAGCCTCGAGTCGTCGAAGAGGCCATCAATACCGTTTCCCGCTCATTCCAGCAGCTGTGGGGATATGAAGGAGGTGCGTAGTTTTCAGGCGATCGGACGTGTTGCTAGTGTATTTAAATCGATATTTTATGCGTTGTAGGGTCGAGCTGGTTGGAAGGAGGCATTGTGGGATCTCTACCGCGTTCTCGGACGATCAGAACCAGGGAGTGACTTCACCATCGAACTTCCCGACGCCTTAATTGCTGGTCATCCTAGTTTACCGCATCGCTCGAAGTCGCGAATCGTGCTGGTAAATGAATCCCAGCCGATCACATGCGTTGCATATGCTCTTTCGACGGACTCGTATGAGGAGGAGCTGGATGGGTGGAAACTTCGCGTTCATAGCGAAGCGGTGGAGTCGGCCGCTTCGCACAAGAAGAAACGTGACGGATCAAGTGTGATATCCACAAATTGGTCCCGCGCTGCTCTCGAGACAACCCTGAATGCACCTTTCAAGTTCGTTTCGGTCGAGATGCCACTGCACCTATCACTTCTCTCAGGAAAGGCTTCTTCTACCTCGTCAAGCACATGCTGGGAGATGTCGACCATAGCTTACTACCCGCTTCAGGTACGCCTTGTTTTTATCATGTGCCGGCAGTAACTACCACTCACCCAAGTGCTGTTGATGTGCTTTGCTTAGTTCGAAGTGCTCCGTGAACTATTTTATGGCAGTCTCCACAGCTTCGTTTTCTCGATATCTCACGTCGCAAATTGGAACGCCAACGGTGGCAAATCCGGTGCTTCGTTCTATCGAACACTTGACGACCGCTTTGTTATCAAACATATTTCGTCAACGGAAATGCAGGTACGTGCCGTTTTGACTTTTGTATAGTGCTATCAGAAAAAATGATTAACCAAATGTTCTTGGATGCGGATGATCAGAGCTTCCTGGGCTGCCTTCCGGGCTACTTCAAATACATGGCCGCCATCTACTTCGATGGCAAGGCTAGCCTCTTATCTAAGACCGTCGGACTTTATCAGACAACTATCACCCGAAAGGATTCTGGACAGAAGGCGGTACAATACATCTGCGTCATGGAAAACGCGTTCTACCAAAAGCAGCTCGCGCTGACCTATGACCTGAAAGGAAGCTCTCGGAACCGATTCGCCAAACCGCGACCAAGTTCAGAAGCCCCGCAAAATGGAAGTCGCGTCCTCCTCGACGGTAACTTTTTGGAGTTCACCAAAGGCCATCCCGTGGGCGTACTGGCTGAAGACCATCAATTCCTGCTGAAGGCGGTGCAGAACGACACCGCATTTCTCTACTCCATTAACATCGTGGACTATTCAATGGTCGTGGGGCTGAGCTATCGGGAAGACGTCGTGGAGGAGATCGACGACGCCCCATCCGAAATGACAGTTGGAATCATCGATTACCTGCGCCAATTTGATCTGATCAAGCGGGTGGAGAGTGTTGGCAAATCCGTTGGTATGATCGCTGGACAGTCTTCCCCCACTATTATTGAGCCAGGGCTCTACGGAAAGCGCTTTCGAGATGCTATACGCCGATATTTTATGCCGGTAACTCCAATATCCTCCGGCACGAATGATGATAAATAAATTGCGCACTACATACAGCGCTTAATGATCTTAAAACCAATGTTGTTCGAGTCTGGAGTTGTAGCAGCTACGAAGGTGGTGATGGAGAGGCAAGCGCTCGACTAATGGCTTCGATGTGTGCGGATGTCGACACGATCGGCAAGATACAACGGCATCGCGTAAACTGGACTGCGTGTCGTGAGCACTTCTTCCGAAAGTTTTTCGTCCCGATGCTAACACCTCGAAGTCCATTCGTGACAGGGAACGCAAACTGAAGCGCAGACTTGATTGGTGCGCAGGGAAATGGATGCTTACCACTGAGGGTTGATTTTTGTCGGAATGTGAAGTGCATTTTGGGCGGTGGTTGGACTGAAATGGTGAAACCAGCGGGCGCTTTGGCCTTGAGCTCTGCTGTAGCCATCCGAAGCGCTGGGACTAGGATCACGCGGCTCGCCATAGCATCAACGAACCGAACAGTATCGTCAATTGTCATCGGCAACTGCAACATCGGGGGGTCCTTATCTCCAGCGCCGAAGCTGCGCAAGTTTATCGCTTGAATGCAATCTGCAAGCGGAATCGTGAACTCGGTTGACTGGACCCCAACGCAGTCGACAAAACACTCCCCCGTCAAGCGATTGACTGATGATACGCTGCGAATTGAGACCTTCTCACCCTTGCGAGTGAACTCTCGGTCGCACAACGTTTCACCGTAGGTCCAGTTGAGATAGCAAAGCAAAGCCATTGAGCATGAGTGCGAGAAAAAACCGTGGTACGTAACGCAAGATTCCAAGTCATACCCGTCCAGCCGAAATGAAAGCCCACACTGGTTCAAGTGCATCAACACATCCAGAGAAGGTTAGTTTCACTTTGCCATTGTCCCCCCAGGCAAAGTGCAAGCTTACCTTTTCAATGATCAGCATGACACTTCGACCACTAATATTCACGCCACGCTGGAAGACTCGCTGTGCCATGTATAACGTACAGCTTCCCTCACGAAATGCTGCAGCCCGTAATCGTCCTCGGTACCCGCGGAAGATTCGTTGAATTACACCTGCTTGCACTTGCCATCGACGATGAAGCTGTCGGAAAGCGTATCCCTTGTATATGCGCTGGATTGCTTCAGCACTAGTACGTCTCAGCTCTCGTAAAAGATAGTTCACGTGAAGACGGCGATGCATGGCATCTGCTTGTTGCTGCCTAATGTCATCAAGGAGCTTCTCTCGCCGAATTACAGCACGCAACTGGAATCCACGATATACTCTTTGAACATCTATAGCTGCCCGTGAGCGAGCGATGGCACTTCGAAGCTGCTGCCTAGTCTTCAGTATAGAAGGGATCAACATAATTTTCTGCAAAACGCTTTTTGTAGACCCGGGTTGTTGGTTTTCGTTCCCCTGGCTCGGTTCTTCTGTGAGACTTGCAGCCGGATCAACAAATACTACCGCGTTTAGGAGAATTTCAGCGGTTGGCTTGGTCAGTCGTAACTTCGACCTCGTTTCGGAAAATTGAGCGAGGTCGCTTGGCTTCACATTCAGCCCGACGAACTCCTGTTGATAAAGCTGAGTAATTGTGCTCTTTTGCGCAAGCAAACGCGTATCCGGTGCCTCTTTTCGAAAACTTTTTTGCCGCATGGAAGAGCTCATGTTACTGCTTCCCCGACTTATAAGGGCTTTGTGGCTTTTGTGTGGGATTCCAACCTCGGACTTGTTTCCGTCGTCCGCTTCTCTTTCTGCTTGAGCCGTTATTCTGAGAACTTCTTCGTCGGTCAGGTAGAGAGCGTTTATTAGGCACAACTTCGGGTCGTCCATAGGAGTGATTACCGTGTAATGGTTCAGTTTTGATACCATCAAACGAACCTTTTTACCCTTCTTGGAAGTGAACACCTCCTTTAGCAGGACATTCACTTGTCGAAAATTGAAGATGGAGCAAAACCGATGATAGTTGAGAAGCAAGCGGTCAACCATATGAACACGATGAAGGTAGCCAGGAATGGCATATTCCTGGGGTGACTGAGCTAGCGCTTTTGCGTAATTTGCTTCGGCTCGAGAGAGTTGGTCGTTGCTTTGACACAAAATAGCCAAATCCAGGAATGCCTGTGCATCCGTTGGGCGCAATAATTGTGCAGGCTGGAAAAATCGTGTTCCGCTCTGTTCATTACCACGGACAACAACAAGAAGTGAGTCGACCGTGGACAGTTGATACTGAAGCAAACCTTACCTCGGCGATTTCTTCGTTTCTAACCCCTAATTCTTTCGCTCGCTTCAGAAATGTCATTGAGATTTCGCAATCTTCGCACATGGCTTGCAGTAGCACTGAGTAGAAGAAATGAAACTTTGACGACATTGGAAAAAGCCGTAACCCATCTTCGCCAAGTGTCCGCGCTCCTTTGAAATCGTGCAGACCCACGTATCGCACCATGAAGCACGCGAATAGCGAATCTTCTGAACAACTCTCTAGTTCACATCCTTTGCACCTCAAGCGCTTCCTGTGAATTTCACTTTGACGAACAAGTTCTCGGACGTGTCGACTTCGTTCAAATCGAACGGCCACGGCGCGCTGTCTACCTTTCCACCCTCGGTAGCAGCGTTGGATCTCGGTGGCCACGTCACAACGCCTCTTATGCAGAATTGCCATTACAATGCGCCACAAACGACGACCGCGAATATACCGCTGGAAGTTTGTAATTCTCTGGTTCATAACTCGAATGTGCTGGTACCACAACTGATCGCGACACCGATGGCCCCGATACCAAGCCTGGATTTGAGTCGCTCGGTTGTTCCTCTTCCTATCCAGCCGCGCAAGTACTTTCCGGTACACAACCACTCGCCGAAATGCGAATTGAATGCGCGAAGCCGCATGCTGGTTCCGCAAGCAGTAAAACGCTCGCCACTCGTTTCGAGCGGCCACGCCACGGAAAATCTTTTGGATCTGCGTAGCTGCGTAAATGGCTTCATGGCCATAGTGGGTCAATACCGATGCCGGCACATCAAGCTCCGATTGCTGCTGCTGCTGTTTCCACGCACGTTTAAGCGACGAATGATAGAGAATCAGCACGCGCTCATCCAGCGCCGGTAGTGTCGGTGTATAACTTTCCGGTGCATGGTCTCCGTTCTTGCGGCAATACTTTAATCCAGTATTTTTGTCGAGAAGGAGTCGCGGGACATGCTTCCTCCCTCTCTTAGCGCTCTGCCTCTTGTCTCGAATTGTAGCAACCTGTTGTTTACTGTGGTTAGACGACTGTTGCTCGCTCTCCTGGCGCTCCTCCGTGCTCATAGGCGGCGCCCAAGTCCCTGGCTCGCCATACTGAAGACTGCCGCGTAGTCTCAGAGCCGCGTCGATTAGGTACGGTAGACGTGTCACCTCCGACTCGGGCTGCTGTCTCCTCGGCTTGGGCTTCGCGTGTCGAGGCCGCACCGGCGGCGCCATGAGCAAAATGGTCGTTACCACTTCAACTTCGGAATGCAGCGCTGTGATTGGCTGAATGGTTCACTAATTTCGGTCCGAAAATAAGAGTTGGGTACGCCACTATTTTCGAGCCCTAAGGGCAAGAAAACCTAGAGAAAGGAGGAAGCGATGGCGACATCCCAGCAGCGCAGCGTGCTCTGCGACCGGCCCTTCATCACGTACCCGACGCGCGACCGTCTGTACGGACTCTGCTGGAGACCCAACGTCAGCTTGCTGCGCATCGCGGCGTCCACGTTCATCCCGGGCGAATACGCCAACAAGATCGAGGTTCGTGGACCCATACCCCCAAACTTTGCCGCTGGCTACTTAAACTAACCACACGCTCGTCGCAGATCTTCCGCCCCACGTCCAACCAGACCGAGGTGGTCTCTGCGCTGGAGATCGACCACCCGTACCCGCCTACCAAGATCATGTGGTCTCCGGCCTCGCTCGGCTCGCGCGTGGAGCTGCTGGCCACCACCGCCGACTTCCTGCGGCTCTGGAAGATATCGGACTCATCTATCGAGTTGCACTCGAGGTTCACTGAGGTTTGTGATAGGATCTGGAGCTGCGTGCTGGTGGTATGGGGGTTTCTCTAATGGCTGGTGGTTTATATGCCGCAGAAAAAGAATAACAATGACGCCTGTGCGCCACTCACGAGCTTCGACTGGAACGAGATGGAGCCCAACATCATCGGGACGTCCAGTACCGGCACCACCTGCACCATCTGGGACATCAACGTACGCCGGTTGCTATGAATACTGCAATTGTTACTGCGTCGGAACTTGCTTACATTTTTTCTTACGTTTGGTGCAGTTGCCAACGTCGCCTAAGCACCAAATCGTAGCGCACGATACAGAAGTGTACGACATTGCGTTCTCCAGCAATGAGCCGAATAGGTTTGCCTCCGTAGGCGGGGACGGGTCGCTGCGGTTGTTTGACTTGAGGTGAGGAATCCGCTGCAGTTTATTTGTTGAGCGATAGGGAAAGAATGGTGGGACTCAGAGCGTGTTATGTGGCGTATAGGTCATTGGCTTCAAGTACTATCGTGTATGAAACTCCGGACCAAGCAGCTCTTCTTAGGTTAGCGTGGAACAAGCGAGACGACCGCTTCATTGCAACTTTCGCTGACGATAGTACCAAGATTTCCGTGATTGACCTCCGGCGCCCCATTTACCCCATGGCGGTGCTGGACAAGCACAAGGCCGGTGTGAACTCGATGTCGTGGTCACCTCATTCGCGGTACGACCTCTGCAGTGCTGGCGAAGACAACACTGCGATTGTGTATGATATCTGCGCTCAGATGACGAGGTCTGGGGAGAATGTGGAGGGGAGCAGCTACACCCTGTTGAAGTCGGATGAACCGATTAACCAAATCCGGTGGTCACCAACTGAGCCGAACTGCATCGCAATGTGCGACGAGAAGGCTTTGCATGTCGTCCAGATGTAGTTAGGGGCTATCCTAGCTTTAAATCTTTAAGTCTCCTGGTGGTAAGAAAAAATCAATTCAACTATAAGCGTAACTGGCCCAAAGTGACCCGTAAGTGAAATTGCAATCAAGTTATTTGATTGATGAATGATAATGGTTGTAGACGACTCGTCAAGGCGGAAACCATCTAACGTTACATGTATAATTCGAGATACTCGCCCATTTTTTGAGTTTGCCGTGAACCACAGAGATATCTGGACAAAATGAGCAACCGCAACACCGGGGGCTGGGGTGCTAGTGAAACAAAGGAGCTATCAATCCCAAGCCATGTTCCAGTTGGGGCGGTCATTGGGAGAGGCGGGCAAAACTGCAGGAAGATCCGACAGAAGCATCGAGTTAGCTGTTTTGTTGATGGGGATGCCCGCAAGGTGATGCTAAAAGGGCATCCAGTCGGCATGAAAGACGCGGAAGATGAACTTGCTCAACTATTTAAGAGTTTCACCATCGCCAGATCAAGTGACAACCGAGTTTTTGAAGCTGTCGCTCGTGATGGATCAAAATACCGGTGGGAATTCGTAAAGGAAAAGAACATTTCGACCGACAAGCAAGTTCGGAAATACCCGTACCGCCTTCAACAAGCTGGTCAAGCCGAAGAAGCGGCAGAGTTCAATAACGGCGGTTGGATTCAGGAATTTAACGAAGAAGACATGAACAGTATTATGGCGTATCTCGACAAGAGCCAAACGTTGCCTGAGCTACCGGTCAAGATCAAGATCGGGTTTGGTAAATCGTGCTTTTGCCCCATAACGCGCCGATTCCCTGCTTCGACTGTATCTTGGACCAATCTTCAAAAGCTTCAGCAGCACGAGCACTTCGTTACGCGCTGGTCCAATGTTTTTGATCGATCGGCACCGTCTGTCGGGGCCTTGCTCAAGGAGCTCGAACTGCAGGTGGGCAAGGATGCACTCCCAAAAACTACGATACTTGTTAATCTTACTGACAAGCAGGGTCAATCGTACGACATCAAATACCATGTAGTGGATGGCAAGTGGCAGTTGCACAACGCGCATGAAAGACGCATCGTGCACGGCTCAAACGATGTGATTTTGGACAATGAGACTTCCTTCCGCGTCCGTGCAGCTTCCCGCAAGAAAATGTCTGACCGGGACGCAGATGACTTCCATCGCCATCTCATTATCTCTGTCCCAGAGAATGGAGACTTCTTTGGTACAGAGGTGAATTTGAGCCGACCGGCGCCGGTCGGGTTGTTTATCAGGTCGGCGGATCCGAAGGTCAACGTGGAGATGGAGAGTAAAGGGCTGCAATTTACCATCTTCTACTTGGATGAGAGTCGCAAGGAGTTCCGCCTCGAGTGTCGTTTGCCAAGCGGGGACAAGCAAGACGTGAATGCTAAGGGCAATGAGTGTCAGGTGCTGCTGAAGAAGGTGCTAGCCGATATGTGAATGCAAGATTTAGTTGCTCCGGGGCATTTTGAAGTCTTATGCTGGTACACGCTATTGCTGACCTCACCAAGTGAATATCGCGGTGAGTAAGTATCTCACAAACCGTATCCACCATCCCTGCGGGAATTTACGGGTCTGATGGTGCTGGGGTTTTCTCTGTTTGAACTAAATGCGTGTGCAGGGCAAAACTGTGGGGCTAGTGCCCTTCCGGTGGAAAGGATGTCGTGGTGATTCCCATGAAAACGCTAACGAAGTTGCCGACGATTCCGAAGTACTTCAGTACTTTACTTTTCGCGATGCATCCGACAACTGCTACTACTTCTTCTCAGTAAATACTTGAGTTAGTGTACGGGGTAGACCACTCTCCCCCATTTCTAGGAACCCCAATTACAGCGCAGCAAGCAACATGTAGTTGAACTGGTGTGGTTATTGACATTAGCTGAAAGTCACGTTGCCACGCAAAATGGTTTAGATCAGGCGTACATGAGCTTTCCAGCTGGGCTGCAGGGTAAGAACTTTGCCAGCTCGATGGCCAAGGCTTCACGAAGGGCTGGCATGTCGTGATCGACGCACCACTGCTTCAGGTCCGTCGCATCAACAGCAGCACCTTCTTCCAAAACAACTCGAGCTCGGACAATACCTTGCTTGCGATATGTCTCGCCCTGGATAAGCACGAGAACGTCAGATACGCCAGGGTGCGCAGCAATCACCGCTTCAATCTCATTTGTCGTGTACGACGTGCGCTGGTCTTGCCATTCCACCTCGACGGGCGGACGGAGACGTCCCTGAAGCCAAACACAGCTAACCCCATCGGCGTCCTGAGTGATGGCGCCAAAATCCGATGTATGGTGTGATCCATTGAGACGATGCAGCACGTGCTCCTTTACGTATCCAGCCGACTGCCACGGGGTCGTAATGGTTACCTCGCCGTTTGGTTCCGTACGTGCCTCCACCCCCGGCCACACGCTGCCGACATAGAGCTGCTTGTCATTGCTCTCCATTTCCTTCAGCTCATCGCCAAACCGTTTCCCGTGCAGATACCAAGCCGTCATGTCACCCATCTCCGTCGAGCCATAGTTCTGCATCAGCTTCAGCCCGTACTCGTCGCGCATTTTGCGGAACAGCGATAACGAGAGACGCGTGCCCGCGCAGTAGGGGACATCAGCATACAGCGCAGTCGGCGGCATCGCGGCGAGTGCGGTGTATGTCCCAGGGGTCGCGTACAGCGCCGTGAACAGCTCACTACGCTGCGCAAGCAGCGAGTACAGCCCCACGGCACTGGAGGCGAAGCAGAGTTCCGATTGTGCATCGAACGGCGACGTGAAGAGCGCGAAGATGGTGTTGATGGAGTAGGCGTGCGAGATGGACGTCCCGCAAATAATACGAGCCGGGCCGTTGGGGAAAAGCTGCTGGTGCGTGGATTCGCCCTGCCGCAGCATGTGCTCCCACGTGCACGGAACCACTTTGGGCTCGCCGACACTTCCCGACGTGAGCATGCAGACGCATCCGCCCTTGGCGATCTCCTCGTCCTCCAGCCATGGGATGGTTGTCGAGTCCGCGTCCGCTTGGGGGTTGGCGTCGTCCTGCACGTCCACGGAAGTGGCCGCGTCGTCCACTGTGAGCACTTTGGAGATGCCCGTGTGGGCCTTGACATGGTCCAGCAGCGCCGCGCGGCTCCTGCTCACGGCCGCGCAGGCGCACTGCAGCTGCATGGCCGCCAGCATGCACGCGACGCTCGTGCGGTCATTGTCCAGCACGAGGACGAAGGCGTTGCCGCGCCTGACGCCGGCGCTCCGCAGCAGCGTGAGACCCAGAGGCAGCAGCACATGGCGCAGTCCGCCGCGCAGCACCTGCACGCGCTTGTCGGTGGACTGGACCAGCGCCGCTGAGGCCGGGCGCCCCTCGGCGTCGAAGAGCGCCAGCTCGCCGCGCTTCACGCCCAGCTGCGCCATCAAGAACCGTTTCTGCCCATTCAACTTCGAGTGACACGCGAAAGTTGCTGTTATGTGGTGCACATCAACTTTGTGGACGAAGCGTCAGCGTCAGTTGGTCAGGAGAGCGGCATCATGGGCCGGCGGAGAGCTCCGTACAGGATGAAGGTGCAGCTGCCTGCGGACGACCCGGACTCGGAGAGTGACACGGAGAGCGAGAAGAAGGCGGGAGACAGCGACTCCACCAACTTGGAGGAAGGAAACAGCTCTGGCGGAGAGCAGAGCGACACCAAGGAGGAGGACGAGGAGGACAGCGCCGAAGCAACAAGCAGCGCAGAGACAAAGCCGCAGGTCAAGAAGAGTGGAGGCGACGCCGGAAGCTCCGATGACAGCGACTTGGAGGAGACGGTGCGCAGCAGACTGCGGAGGCTGACCAAGAAGGCGAATTTAAGTGCCGAGGCCAGCTCCTCCGACGAGTCGAGCGGCAGTGAAGATGAGCAGCCACGCGAGAGCAAGAGCAAGCAAAAGGTGAAGAAAGAGCGTGGAGACTCCAGCACCGTGGAGCGAGCAGGCGACGCGGAGAAATCAAGCAGCGGTAGTGAGGATGACAGCGATACGGAGGATGAGGCGAACCAGGAAACACCGATGGAGTTGGACGGAAAAGCAAGTGATGTTGGCGAGGAATCGGAGGACGACGAGGAAACGGAGGACGAGCAGCAATATGGATCAGATACCGACTCAGAGGAAGAGTATGTGCCCCAGGAGGAGGCCGACGCCGATGAAGACGCACAAAGCGAGGATCTCGATGACCTCGTGGAGGAAAGTGAGTTGGAGAGTGGAGACGAGTGGGAAAAGGACGCGTTGCGGAACGAGAGTGAACTGACTGACGATGAAGATGAAGCGCTGTGCACACCTAACGATCGGAATCAAGCAAAGCGCTTACTGCGAAACGTCTTGATGCGTGTGCCACTCGTCGAGGAGACCGCAATTCGCCGAGGCGTGAGACTATCCGGTCCTCCGCTTGAACACGCCACGACTCATTCCGACGAGTACGCTCGGTACGTTTCAAGCGGTGCATCTTTTGGGCCCTATCCTTGCCCAAGGCGATTTCTAGTAACCTCGTGTTGGCTTTTGTGATATATAGGAAATTCCGTTGGCCTCAGCATGTTCGTAACCTGCGGAAGACTAAGTACGTTGTGCGTTTATCCTTTTTGTGGGTGTAAGAAGGCTAAGTGGGCATGCTTGTTGTAGCTTTTCTCAAGATCCACTTGAGATTCTGGAGGACTACGAAGTTGTATCAGGGGCTCAGCAGTCGAGGTCAGATCAAGGGGAGCAGGACACACCACAAGAGAGTGCTTTCGCACAAGTTCCTCGTCCTATAGTGGCACTAGCTGCAGAAGCCCTGCGCCGCTCATCGCGAAAACGAAGACGAAGTGGTAGTGGTGGTGGTGAGAATCAAACAGAACCCAGTGAAGAGGGTCCTTCTGCGGCTACTTTACTGAACATTGCCCGGGTCGGTGGGCAGTTCGGTGACCACTTTGTCGAGTCCTTACTCACTGCAAACGCAAGAGCACTTCAAGGCATTGACGATGGGTTCGACTACGATAAGCGCTGCTGGTAAGACCCGTGCTGGCGAGGGGGGTGACGCGAACAAACTCTTAACCTTATCTGTGAAATGCGCAGGTCTTCCCTCCCAACGAAGAAAAAGCCGATCGCAAACTGGAGATTTGTTCTCGAGCACGTACGAAGAACCATGTGTAAATCGGACCGTTTTCGGGATGTCATGTACCCGGCCATGAAGCCTGAGTCAGTAGCGCCTGCATAGATCAATTAGCTTTACGATTGGAAGTGTGTACTGACATGACTCCAATATGATGTTCGCAGGACACTGGAGCGAATTACGAAGCGCTTGAAAAAGTTGTACGGTCATACCACCCAGCACGAAGAGTACGACGTATTTGAGCATGCCAAGCCAAGTTCAAGCGAGAATGATGAAGAAAGCAAAGCAGAGTTCTAAGCAGCAGCATGTATTCTCGCAATGGGAACACGCAAAGGAATTCGCTTAACCCAAGGCCAGCCAGCAGCTGCTTCACATATTCAAGCGCCACCTTAGGTCTTGAGTGCTTTCTTCTTCTTCTTGTACTTGTCAAAGTACGCCTGCACCTTTTGGTTGTAGTTCTTGTCGCGCTTCTGCTGGTTGGCTGTCTTAACGATGACCTGCAGAACGTCCTCGTCCTGTAGCATGTGCTCCTTGCCGACACGCTGCGGGTTGTACTTAGTGCTCGTGCCCCACACCAGCGCGTAGTTGAAGTTGTCGAGCATGTCTTTCGAAATCTACAGAAGCATCAGCAACACACATCAACACCAACAATACGCTTTCAAACAGGCTGTAGATGGCTACTACGTACCGACATGCATGCCGACTGCACACTGACACCCTTGCGCTCTGAGCCCAAGACCACAGGCTCTTCGAATTGGGGGTCCTGCATCAGATATTGGAAGACAATCAATCAGCTTCAAAGAGCAACTCAATGAGTGTTGCCACGTGCATCTGTACCTCTCCACGGCGTTTCGTGTAGACGCGCGTGAGTCCCATGTAGTCCCACATCTTGGCGAGGAGAGTGTCGAAGTTGAGCTAACAGAACAAAAAGTTAGTGTCGCCAGCAATATTAGGTTCTACTCGGCAAGGAGACGTACCGCTGGGCGATCACCGTGGGCACAGGCGATCACAGTCGAGTTCGGCATGCGAGCCAATCGATCCACATCTTCAATTGACACGACGTCGATCTTGTTGTACACGTACAGGCACTTCACATACTTCCGGTTGCCTTCGATCACATCGATCAGGTCGTCCGTCGTGCAATCCTCGCGGAACAACACTTCACAGTTGTGGATCTTGTACTCGTGCAAAATCTTGTACACAGTCTGGTACGGGTCATCTCCGAGCTGATAGCATGACGTCAAAAGTCAGTAAACCAAGCATTCGAGTAGAATCTCAAATCGACCTTCATACCTTGGTGAGACGGATGGTGCTGTTAAAGGTGATACCGCCTCCATTTTTCTTCCGGAAGTAAATGTCAGGCGGCTGACGGTTGAGACGGAGGCCGACAGTCTCCAGCTCATTCTCCAAGATCTCACGGTGACGGTTGCCAGCCTCACGACCAGCGTCCAGCACCATCAGGATCATGTCAGCGGACTTGGCCACAGCGATGACCTCTCGGCCGCGTCCTCGTCCGTGCGCGGCGCCTTCAATGATACCCGGAAGATCCAGCAACTGCGTTGCAACAACAACAAAACCCTCAGTAATAGCCCCAAACAAAGCTATCATGCTGGATACTGTAGCTCACCTGAATGCGGACGTCGTTGTAGAGCAAGTTGCCAGGAATGCACGTCAGCGTGGTGAACTCCACCGCGTTCGTCTCGGACTGCGTCTCCGTTAGCTGGCTGTAGTTCATCAAAGCAGTTTAAGCGTTAGTGGACACGCTGTATAATATACTTCCCATCGATCATAAATCCATACCTCAGCATGGTCGACTTGCCCACACTAGGGAACCCAATAAGCGCGACGCGTCCATCGCCGCTCTTGGCCACATCGAAGCCTGGTCGATACAACAAAAAGAAGATTCAAGCCGTCAGCATTAGAAACTACAGCTTACAACTCCACACAAAGCAGCACTAAATCCTTACCTTCGCCGCCACCGCCACTCGACTTTCCTTCCTCGAGAAGCTACATGACAACAAAGAGCGCTACAAGTCAGCCAGAGTCACCAATACCCGTCCGCTGCACAAGTAGGGCGCGCACCTCCGTGCGCAGCTTGGCGAGCTTGGCCTTGAGACGGCCAAGATGGCCCTCCGTGGCCTTGTTGATCTGCGTCCGCTTCATCTCATCCTCTGGTAGCAGCAGCACACAGCCACAGACACACACACAAGAATCGGACGTAAGACCTCCATCCAAAGCCATCGACTTCGATCCCTCCTCGGGGGCTTGCAGAACCAGCACAAGCGCCACAGTCGGGCACAAATCAGCACTCGAGACGCACCGATCTCCTTGATGCGATCGACGATGCCCATGGTTGCCTCCCGATCCGCTGCGGCCCGGAAGCCGCGTCCTGCTTGAGTGAGTGGACCGCTGAATTACGGGTAACCGAGGGGACCGAGTCAGGGTTTGGCATAATAGTAGCGTTAGTAGGCATATTATGACTACTACTATTACTACTACTATAGATCTGGGATTGGAGCCATTAGTAGTACTATTTATATAGTAACCAAACGAAACATGGATAGTAGTGCTATTATCACTACTAATGTACCCATTCCTCAACCGACGGCAGATCGCACGAGTGAGTGGCCACGCACCAGTCAGGATCCCTCATTAGGCTTCCAACTTCACGCAAACGTGCCATGAAGTGCGCGAAGAGTGATTGCCACCAAAGTTCCATATCGGAGACTTTCCGTGCTGTGTATGCGGCCGACAGGTGCATCATTTGCGCAACAACGTGCTGTGTGACAAATGCAAGCTACATGTAACGTTATATCACAGGTAACGCTGCTGTTCGGGGTTGCCTTTGTAGCTTCAATTGTACTAAGCAGCTCACCAAACTGATTTTGCGGCCGCACACGTGTTACCAGGGACTTTAATGCGGAGATACCGACTCCCAGGAGCCTACACTCAACTGTACATCTGAGAATCGTCCTTACTCTCAAGTATTCTCCTGACTTCTGAGTAAGAGTAACATGCTTCAACTTTCGAGTACATTATTTCTTTTGGAGTTAGTTTGCTGTATAAACTAGAAGCTAGATACATCAACGTAAGGTGCTGGCTGTTGCACTATCACAAGCGAAGTGAATAGCATATTACAAGCAGTCTGGGGTGGTGTTTGTATGGTCTTTGGCTTTGACGACGCTTAACTTTCCTATTAACCTCTTCTCGTCAGTACATGTATGCCGATGATCTCCTCCTCATGTATACTTGCGCTGTGTCTTCCTCCTCTTTTTGCTAGGTTGCCATACTGGGCATGGCATCTTTCCAAAGAAACCAGAAACCATTTGAAAAGTTACTCAGAAGTAATCACTTTTTTCTAAATCAAGTATCTCACTCTATCGCTTGTGATCGAGCAATGCCCGACCGCAATATTCAGGCAAGGTAGAGTGCAATAACGGAGATCGTGTGGAGTAGAAGACGCAATATAAAGGTTTGGAGGGTTGAGCAGCTTTGAGGAAGCATTTACGTGTGCTGTTGGTTCGCGGAGGATCGCGAAAACTTAGTCGTGCTTGAACGCTGCTCGTCACCAAGCGCGTCTAAACCGGGTCTTTCGTGAGGGATCCTCTTAGGATGACAACGGACAGCGCGCACCTATAGTTGTAGTTCATACTTCGCATATGGAGGCCAGTAAGCACCATTGCGGTCGGAATTCGGAATGATGGTCAAATAGTCATAATTAGTAGTCATATTAATACCACCGATGCCTCACTAATAATAGATATATCATGCTACTATTGCCAGAATTTGGATAGTAGTAGTATGACTACTAACCAATATTCCCACTACTAAACCCTGGACCGAGTACAGTACCGTACTTAAGTTGATGTTAACAGTACATTACTGTAGCAATCGTGCGTTGCCATCTGCGACCACAAAAGCGATCCCGCCGAGCGCGTGCCTCGGACTCGCCCCGTTGCGCAGACCCAAGATGGCCGACAACGCAGACAACTCGCCCCCTCAGCGCGGCTTCTTCCCCGCCCTGCTGGTGCGCAGCTAGCCTGCTGTGGAGAGACGTTGCTGGTGTGAAGCTGTGGTGCTCACCACGCGTTGTGGATGCGCTTGTCTTGCTTGATGCGCAGGGCGGAGCTGTGGCAGGAACGTCCGTGGACATCGCGCTGTTCCCGCTCGACACTATCAAGACGCGACTGCAGTCCGCGCATGGATTCTTCAAGGCCGGCGGATTCCGCGGCATCTACTCGGGCTTGTCGGCGGCTGCGGCGGGCTCTGCTCCTGGAGGTGCGGCGGCCGAAACGTGAACTTTGTCTGCTGTTCCTGGGGTTTGGCGAGAGGTTTCTAACTCTTTCTCCGTTGACTACATTGCAGGCGCGCTCTTCTTCAGCACCTATGAGACTTCCAAGTCGCTGATTGGGGCCATCGCTCCGAACCAGAAGCACTCTCCTCTCGGGCACATGGCGGCTGCTGCGTCGGGCGAAATGGTGCGTGTGCTGACAGTTTCGAGACGTCCTAATGCTTGTGGTGGCAAGTGTGGAATGGGGGGTGGAGATGCTAGTTATTGCTGACCATATTATGTATTCTCTCCAGGCGGCGTGTTTGGTGCGCACCCCGACCGAAATCGTGAAGCAGCGTATGCAGACTGGCGTCTACAAGTCGCTGCCTGAGGCTCTTAATGCCATTCGCGCGGCTGAGGGCGTGGCGGGATTCTACCGGGGCTACTGGAGCATGATCGCACGCGAGATCCCCTTCTCGTTCATCCAGTTCCCGCTCTGGGAGGGTCTTAAGGTACGTTTCACCTACCCGGGCGCTAGATTGAAGGTCGGTATTGATGTATGGTGTCACTCTCTGTTCGCAGTACCAATGGTCGAAGCAGCAGAACGCTCCCGTCTCCTCGCTGCAGGGTGCGGTATGCGGATCAATCGCCGGTGGCGTGGCCGCAAGTATCACGACCCCGCTTGACGTGGTCAAGACGCGACTGATGTTGGGCAAGGACGCCAAGGGAGTTCCGTACAAGGGCACGCTCAACACGCTGTCGCGCGTGTACACGGACGAGGGCTTGAAGCGCCTATTATCTGGTGTGGGTCCCCGCACGATGTGGATCAGCATTGGCGGCTTCGTCTTCTTCGGTATGTACGAGAAGGCCACCTCGACGTTCGAGTCAATCATGTAAGCGGCCTCCTCTTGCGGTATTAGCGATATAAAACGATAACGAGCTGACAGTGCTCTCGCAGCGCGCCGACGGCATCGTCTAGAACTACAGATGTAGATATCCCGTTTTAAAAGACTTTGATGTGACCCGAATCTTCTTACCCAGTCTAGCAAACCTACTTGGGTCTCCTCTATCTTACCCGCAGAGCAACTGGTTCTAGACTTCTGCAACCGATGGCAAACGTTTTCGCCGGCACAAGTCGCTTCGGTTTTTTCTGCTGGTTCTACACTGTGTAGTTCGCCCTCGCAGAGTGCTCGCAACCAGTGCGGGGCTGGATGAAGCATTGTACTTCTAGTACCATGGTAGGCTTCCAGCACAACGAAACCAGTTGGCAGGATTGGCAGGTTGAAGTTTCCTTCAAGTTGGTGTGGTCCACATCGTTACTTTATACAAACTTCCAATCACCATATAGGACGAGCCAATCAGCATCCACCGTCGCCAAGGTCCGGTATTTCAAGGTCATATCCCGATTCTCAACGTCGACGCAACATGCTGGCCTCCAAGTCGCTCTCCCTCTCTACCACGGCGCGCCGCGCGCTCGGAGCCACGCGTGGCATGGCCGGAGGCCGCGCCGCCTTCAACTGGAAGGACCCGCTGATGCTGGAGGGCCAGCTGACGGACGAGGAGGCCATGATCCAGGTGCGACTGGACGGTCTCAGCAAGGGGCGCTGACTGTGGAGATCTAACGCTTTGCATGCGGTATCACTCGCAGAAATCCGCCAATGACTACTGCCAGGGCAAGCTGCTGCCCAGGATCGTGGAGGCCAACCGCAAGGGCAAGTTCGACCGCTCCATCATGAAGGAAATGGGCGAGATGGGCTTCCTAGGCCCCACGATCCAGGGCTACGGCTGTGCCGGCGTGGGCTACGTCTCCTATGGACTCATCGCGAACGCCGTGGAGCGTGTACGTACCTGGGGATGTCAGAGATTTGGTATGTGGCGGAGGACTTACTAGTGTTTGTATTATGCCGCAGGTGGACAGCGCGTACCGCTCGGCTATGAGTGTGCAGTCGTCCTTGGTGATGCACCCGATCAACACTTTCGGTTCGGAAGAGCAGAAGGAGAAGGTGCGTCAACTTTTATCAGTATGAACATTTCAGCAGTCGTGATATCTCACCACTCTGTGTCGCTTCCTTGTAGTACCTGCCCCGCCTCGCTACTGGCGAGCTCATCGGCTGCTTTGGCCTCACGGAGCCCAACCACGGCTCCGACCCTGGCTCGTGCGTTGCTGCTGCCTCTTTCAATCGATGTATACGAGAAACTTACTTTGCTTGCTGTCGACCAAAGGATGGAGACGCGCGCCAGACTCAAGGGTGACAAATACGTACTCAACGGCTCCAAGAACTGGATCACCAACGCACCAATCGCCGATGTGTTCCTCGTCTGGGCCAAGGACGACGAAGGTGACATCCGTGGCTTCATCTTGGAGAAGGTGCGTTTGCTGATTGAAGTCTAGCACGGCGTCAATACTAATCTGTATAAATCCCTTCTCTTTGCTCACGCAGGATTTCCCCGGTCTGTCAGCCCCGTACATCGAGGGCAAGGCGACTTTGATGGCATCAGCCACTGGTATGATTTTCCTTGAGGACGTCGAAGTCCCCAAGGAGAACATGCTGCCTAAGGTGAAGGGCCTCAAGGTGAGTTGCACAATTACTTCCCCCGCATTGCTGCAGGGTCAGCTTCTAACGACTCATCTCTCTCTACAGGGTCCTTTCACCTGCCTGAACAGTGCTCGCTACGGCATTTCCTGGGGAGCCCTGGGTGCTGCATGTATGGACGTAAAAGTTTGAGTGAAACGGTTGATTTGCAGCGGGTCTAACTTCGTTGATTTTGTTTTTGTTAAACAGACTCGTGCATGGACATTGCCCGTCAGTACACGCTCGATCGATCGCAGTTTGGTGCTCCTCTTGCGGCGTACGTGAATTTGGTGCGAATCTTTGTTGAAACGCTGCGATCTAACGTTGATGGCATTGTTCAACAGTAACCAGCTCATTCAGAAGAAGCTCGCGGATATGAACACGGAAATTGCGATTGGTCTGCAAGGATGCCTGCAAGTTGGCCGTCTGCTGGACGAGGGGAAGGCACCTGTGGAGCTCATCTCGATGGTCAAGCGCAACTCGTGCGGCAAGGCCATCGAGATTGCACGCAATGCCCGCGACATGCTCGGCGGCAACGGCGTCTCGGACGAGTACCACATCATCCGTCACGTGGTGAACCTGGAGGCTGTCAACACCTACGAGGGAACTCACGACGTGCATGCCCTCATTCTGGGTCGTGCTATCACCGGCCTACCAGCGTTTGTGCCTCGCATGGCACCGTAGAGCGAGTGTATCTCCGGGTTGGCTAGGCGATAGAGAACTGTCGAACTAACTAGCAAACAGCGTGCGTATTGGATAACGTTTTGCCAGAGATCATAAACACATTGTTGTTGCATGTGTCTGGCATCGCTGGTCATTCATGGCTGTCGCAAAAATTAATTGCCAATCGACGGCATGTACCGCGGAGTCTTCGTCGAGGCATGCTACAGTACATGTAGCAAAGCTATGTTGAAGTTATCCATGCTTGATTCGTACAGTAGCGCTGCACTGGGACTGCATTCGGATTCAGATTCAAATTCGGGTCGGTTTGAATGGAATATCCGGCCGAGTTTACCAGCTCGAGAACAATGCTTTCAAGTCTGCACAGCCTTGAACAAGTTGTAAGTGGTAGGTCACCGCTACATTGTGTACTACCTTATAGCTCTCAGTAAAAGGAGACACACAGGAGACGTAGGACAGGAATCAACAAAATGACTGTTGATCGCGGGACTCCATACATGTACCTGGAGCGCGAGATCGGATATGGATAGACAACATTCCTACCTGCACGCAAAGAGCAGAACACAACAAATAAACGCCAACCAGTGCCTGCAACCGAAAATTGCTGTCTGCATGCCAACTCGGCCACGCGTTGAACTTGAAGTGTCCAGGGACCGCACAAACATGCCGCCGCGCCATCGACCCTCGCCTGGAAGAAGTACTTGCTCTCGAGAGTGTTCCGCTTCCAGCTTGAATGAAACAACGACAGTGTGAGCTGCTCACGGAGCCACCTTGTGGTGTCCCATGCGTGGATTCCGTAGTCGTGGTCAACTTCATCATCATGCCGGACTTGCTGGCAAAAGCTACGTCACCAGGGGTAGGGCTGGACCGGCACATAATCCTCAATGTACACACATAGGTGTGGCCCACACCGAATACCTTGTCTCAGGGATGTTGTCGTACCCACTGACACCGCAAGGCTCATTTCCGAATCTGCGCGCTCGAGACCAAGCACCAGTTCCCACCTCCTCCTCCCCCACCTCCCCACACCACCTCCAAGATGGCCGCCTCCCCCAACAAGAAGATCCGCGAGGCCTCGCAGCTCGACCAGCTCAAGCAGTTCACCACCGTTGTGGCCGACACGGGCGACTTCGAGCAGATCAACAAGTACAAGCCCCAGGACGCCACCACGAACCCGTCGCTGCTGTTCAAGGCCGCCCAGATGGAGCAGTACTCGGCCCTGGTGGACGACGCCGTCGCGTACGGCAAGGGCCTGTCGGCCGACCTCTCCGAGAAGGAGCGCCTGGGCTACGTCATCGACAAGCTGTCGGTGAACTTCGGCCTGGAGATCCTCAAGGTCGTGCCCGGCTACGTGTCCACCGAGGTGGACGCCCGCCTGAGCTTCGACACGGAGGGCACGATCGCGCGCGCCCACCGCATCATCGACCTGTACGAGAAGGCCGGCATCAAGAAGGACCGCATCCTCATCAAGATTGCCAGCACGTGGGAGGGCATCCAGGCCTGCAAGAAGCTGCAGCAGGAGGGCATCTCGTGCAACATGACGCTGCTCTTCGGCTTTGCCCAGGCCGTGGGCTGCGCCGAGGCCGGCGCCACGCTCATCTCGCCCTTCGTGGGCCGTATCCTCGACTGGCACAAGGCCAAGACGGGCAAGTCCAGCTACGAGTCGCACGAGGACCCCGGCGTTGTGTCCGTGACCAAGATCTACCAGTACTACAAGAAGTACGACTACAAGACCATCGTCATGGGCGCCAGCTTCCGCAACATCGGCGAGATCACCGAGCTGGCCGGCTGCGACCGCCTGACCATCTCGCCCGCCCTCCTGGAGGAGCTGACCAAGTCCACGGACAAGCTGGCCAAGAAGCTGGACCCCGAGACAGCTGCCAAGGCATACTCGGGCGAGAAGCTGTCCTACGACGAGAAGGACTTCCGTCTGAGCATGAACGAGGACGCCATGGCCACGGAGAAGCTGGCCGAGGGCATCCGCGGCTTCAGCGCCGACATCGTCAAGCTCGAGCAGATCCTCAAGGCCAAGCTCAGCGCTTAAGCGAGCGTACGCGAGTAAGTTACCGACCGAGTCTCTGCACAGATGCAAGGGGGCGCCCGCCACGTCATTGCCAACCGCGAGCGACACCGCATTGGCCCCTTTGGCGGTGGGAACGCGCTGATGTAGTAGCGCGTCTCGAGGTTATAGGAGTCCCTGCTTCGACGTCGTAGCACGACAATTAAAAAAGCATACACAAACAAAGATCAACCATCCCCAAACTAAAACCTTTGCATTTCACGTTGTCGGCATTTGAAGACCAAATTGACTTCACTGAGGGAAAGTAAAAGTTCATCCGATTACAGGAAAAAAGATCGAAAGATCGCTCGTACTTAGTAGGCCCCCCGCAGTACTCGTTTCCTGGCCCAAAACGCCTCAATTGGTTATTGGCGCGCGCGAGCGAGAGCTCAGACGACGGAAATGGTCAACTTCGGCGACGAGTTCCAGCTCAGCCGCTGGTTCAACGCCAGCAACGGCCCCAGCAGCGCCCACGCCACGGACACGGAGGACGGCGACGCCGCCGGGTCGGCGGACGACGCCGTGGCGCCGTCCTCCAGCGCGAGCCTGTCCGAGTGCTTCATCTGCCACATGCCCAACCCGGAGTACATGTCCACGAACACGGTCAAGAAGGCGCCGCCCGTGCCCGTGTGCTCCGTGGGCTGCGAGGCCAAGTACCTGGAGATGAAGGGCATGCGCCCGTCGGGCGACGCGCGGAACGCGGACCCGAACCGCTGCTTCATGTGCCAGGCGCCCGACCCGGAGTACTCGATCAGCAAGCGCGGGACCGTGGTCCCCGTGTGCAGCAAGGAGTGCGAGGACGCCTTCCTCCGTCGCAAGAAGCAGAAGCTCAACTCGGACGACGCCGGCGCCTCCGCCGCGGGGAAGCGGGCCAAGGGCGACGACGCGGAGCCCGCCAAGCGCCAGCGACGCACGCTCAACTTCCTGGGCGATCAGCTGCTCGACAGCTCGGACGGCAAGGGCTACAAGAGCTGGTGGCTGGGGGCGCTCACCTTCTACGACTTTGTGTATCAGCGCCATGGCATGTGGCACAGCTACTCGATCAGCAACGACGTGCCGCGTGTCGACCCCTGCCTGATTAAATTTGGTAAGTGGTCGGGGCCAAATGATGGCAATAGGGTGCCTTGTGGTCGGATACTGACGATTGGTATGGTATTTTGATTGCAGCAACTTGCAACATCTACCGCGAGCTGGACCGCAGCACTGCGTACGTCCGGAAGCATGTGCTCCGATGGCAGCAGTCCCACCAAGGCCGTCTTGGTGTGCGTGAAGTGCTGTGGATGACGGTGGTGTTCAGGTATTGCAACCAACTCGAGACTTTTCACAAACTCAAGGGAATTCCCAGCTCCGACGACTTCCCATACTTCAAGAAGCGGTGAGTTGAAGATCGGATATTTGCTATGCGTCGGGGCAAACAACTGACCGTGTGCTTGTGTCTTGCCAGTCTGCTTGCGATGGCAAAGCGTACCGATGACAGCAACCTTCTGGCGGGTGATCGCGAGCTCACGGTGGCTTCGTATGTGGAGACGCTGGAGAAGTTTTTGCAAAACATTGATGATATCACAGTGGCCTTGAAGGAGTGCACTAAGACCAAGCAGATCTTCGACACTCTCTGCAACTTCCAGGACAACGTGCTTGGATCATTTACGTGCTGGCAGGTGGTCTGCGATCTGATGGAGCTGCATATGCTCTCCGAGGACTTCACCACGGACGACTATGTGTGGCTTAGCCTTGACGCGAGGAAGAGCCTGGTGCAGATCTTCGGCAAGAACCGTGCACGCCCCTCGGAGTACGTGGCACTCGCGCAGCTACTGCAGCAGCGCCAGCTCCAAGGTTTTAAGGCTCTGCAGGTGGATTTCCCGTTCTTTATGAACCAGAAGCTGGACTTGAAGAACATTGGCCACGCGCTGCACGGCTTTCAGGTGTATCGCAACATGAAGCTAATGGAGAATAAGCAGATTCACAAGCAGGAGTCTGGCACCTCGCAGCCGGCGGTGTACAACTCGCGCACGTACATGATGGACTCGGAGAACTGCGAGATCTGTTCCCGCCCGGAAAACGAGGACGAGTTGGTGCTGTGCGATATGTGCCAGCGCATGTTCCACAAGTACTGCATCAACATGAAGGAGCTGCCCCCGGCGTCGTGGGTGTGCACTGCGTGCAAGACACTTCAGAACTATCCTCAGGAGGGTCTGGTTGTGGAGCAGGAAGTCATTTCAATCGATTAACTACAGGTTGCGCAGCACTCGCGCGAGATAGTATTGGTCTGTCTCAAGTCAGGACGTTTGATTGAAATACAAACGATCTACACACCTACTCAAGCTGCCTTGGTTTTCGTATCGGCAGGTGTCTTCTTGGTAGTGCGTGTTTCATTTTTTCTTTCCCATCGGTTCTTCACAACTTGGTAATGTGAATCATTTTTCCAGATGTAGTAGAATGCGATCACGTCTCCGCAGGACTTGCTGTTAATCTGTAAACATAGCGTACATCACCATAGGCAACAAGAAGAATTTTCCGAATCTGCCACTCACCACATCAGCAATTCGCAGGAAATCCTTGCCGTAGCACTCAATCGCAACCTCAAATACTCTGATCTCAAAAGGGGTCCATGAATCTGCCATTGTACACAATATTTTAGCTTCGAGGGTGCCGGAACAGTGCCTCCAAGCAGACTCACCTAGCACAGATGGAACACGCAGTGGAGATAAGCCTTTGAGGCCTTGCTGGAAGCAGGAGACGCGCTGCAAGCCGAAATCGGATATTTTTTGCCGCTTGTGGTAAGACGCATAAGCTGGCTGGGGAGCATACATAGCTCGAGACGCATCCAGGTAGTCTTGGATGTATAGCTGTCGCTCTGCATCGAACACAAGGTTAGAATTGATATCAGATACGGGACTTGTGGTCGGTGGGCCAAGACAAGAACACGTACTCCGGAGCCGATCCATGAGCTTGAGCGTCTCGCTGGATACGTCTGGTTCAGGCTCGGGTAAAAAGTCGTCTGACATGTTGCCATCGTCTCGATTTTTCGCGCACGAGCCGTGCTTCTTCCAGATATAGTAGAACGCAATCGTATCCTTCACCGACTTCTTCGGGAGCTGTAAGCACACACACACACACACAACATGTGAGCAAATAATCTTACGAGAGCTGCTGTATTCACACACTAAACGGACCTGCTCAGCAATAGCGTGAAAGTCTTTGCCGAAGCGCTCGTAAGCCTCTTCAAAAAGACCGACCTCAAGCCCAGTCCAATCATCTAGGTACAGGTATACGCATGCACTAGAAGTCTCACAATGTTGTAGCCGAAATGTTGTTCAAGGAAAAGAAACTTACCGAGAACTTGGTGCGCCCGGAGCGGAGACACCAACGCCGCCAACGCATCGAAGGTGGATCGGCTTTTCAGTCCGTACTGCAGCATCATCAACAAGAACGCAGCAACAAGCGCAATTAATTGTCAGGGCTTGAACACAAACAACCCCAACGCGTCATCCTCACCGCGTTTGGCTTCATCTTCAAAATGGCCGACGGCCTCTTCATCTGGAACTGCATCTCATAGAGCGCACGCGCCGCCCGCAGGTACCGCCGAATGTTGTTCAGCTTCACTGTGCGAAGCGAGCGTCAGCGTCTCAACACCATCATCACAGCCCTCAAACACCAGCAGAGCGTTCACCGTCAGCATTCTCTGCGTCCGGCACCTCGTCTCCTCGCCAAATCGAGGCCGACGGCACCATCTTCTGCCCGTCCCGTTCGTCCGCACTGCCGGTGTCGTCCCCACTGCTGCTATCGAGTCGCAACTGGCGTCACAAGACCAAGAAGGAAGAACCACACATTAATTACGCCCCATTTACTCGCCTCCAGCGCGTCAACCACAAGAGCAACTCGCCTATGACGTACCGGACTGGGTCTCTTCTGCACCCTCAACAGCGCCGCCTTGTTCGGCGTCAGCGGCGAGCGCGCGTCGGACTCGCTGCCCGACTCGGCGGCGACGCTGCGCGCCATGACCGGCCGAAAGTTCGATGCGCAAAATGGGTCCCAAGTAATACCCAAAAACGGAAATGGGTATATTATCTCACTAAAGTACGAACGGCCACTTCAGCTACGAATTCAGCGCAGGAAGGAGCGATGAAGACTGCAGCGGCCCGCGTCGGGGGCGAGCGGCGGGCGGACGATGCGGCCGACTTCCTGCGCCGCCTGTCCATCGCGGACGCCAAGGTTCTGCTGGAGCGGACGAGGTGCGTTGTGATGTACCTTAAGACGCCCGGACGAGCGGGGGGAAGCTCGCTGTGCTTGTGGATACGCTGACTCAAATGGCGTTCATGTGGCAGGAAGGAGAAGGAGAACAAGACGAAGGAGATGCAGAAGATGATCGGCGTCAGGTACCGCGACCTCATCGAGTCGGCGGACAAGATCGTGAACATGCACTCGGCCGCTCTGCGCCTCGAGGTGTCGCTGAAGGAGATGCCCGAGAAGTGGAAGCAGATGGAGCTGGCTCTGGCCGGCGCTCTGGCTGTGGAGGGCCAGGTTGAACATGCAGAGGAAGAGGAGACTGCTGCTACAGAACTACAAGAGGAGATGACATCGGACGACGCCACCGACGCCGACAGAGTGGCGTTCCTGGTGGAAGTGCCCGAGCAGATGTGGCAGCTGCTGGACGAGGGCGAGTCGCTGAAGGCGCTGGAGCTCTATCAGCGGGCGACCAAGGTCCACGATGAATGCGTCACGAGGGCCGCGGAGCAGGAGTTTCCCTTTCTCCAGACGCAGTGGACTTGCATTCAGTGCTTTCGGCCGGTATGATGCGCCATCACATGACTTCGTCGTCGTTGCTGTTGCTGATGTTGGTGGGAACAAGTGCTGATGACTCTGTTGTTATATGTGTGTGCATGCAGAGGATGGTTGCGTGCGCTAAGAGTTATCTAACTTGCCGGGGAAAGGAAAGTCGATTTTATGCGGACAACTTGTGCACTCTGGCGGTGCTGAGCGACCCCCCCATTGGCGCTGACAAGCTGTTTGGGGTGTTTCTGGAGTCTCGCTCGAAGTGGATGACTCCTATTGACAACAAAGATAGCGAAGAGCACACAACGCTGACACCTGCCAAGAAGGAGCGCTCTTTGATGATCATTCTGAAAGCAATCAGCATGACGATGGCACAAACAGAGAACATTTTTGGAGACGGAAGCTATAGGGGTCTTTTGGCCTCGATCTCTCAACTGCCGCCGAGTTTCAAGGACGGACTGGAAAGGTTCGTATCTTCGGGAAAGTTGTACAAACTGCTGAGCGACTGGTTCCAGCGAAAGCGACGACAGGTGAGCTAAACCTATAGAGTTGTTTTGTTTCGGGTTCCAGCTTAACGATTTCGTTTCGTTCATGTACAGATTTTAGAAGTGGTTGTGCCCATTATTTCAAGTATTGACTCGATCTCACTCTTGTCACAAGTTCAGTCGAAGCTGTATGCCGTCAACAAAACCAACGGTGGCTGTCTGAATGTGAAGCTATGGAGTCGGGTCGTGAACGAGTTGCCTGGGAGTCGTGAGAACCAGTTGTCTGGTTCTGTTGAATCGGTGTTTACTGTTCTCTTTGCGGAAGCATTTCGGAAACGAACGCGCGATTTGGTACAACACTCATTCGTTGAAGCTCTTGAAGCGATTAAAAGCCAAATTCGTGCAAGCCTCGAAGATACGGCAGCTCGTACTTCTCGAAGTGATTTCCGTCTGCGAAACGTCAAGTTCTACGATTACTTCGAAACTATTCAGAAAAAGGCGGCCGACCTGGATGCGAGTGATCTCCAGAGCGTGCTGATCGAAGAATTTCTCCGCACGCTCTTTAAATTGGTGCTATTTTTCGAGCAGGAATTTCCACTACCAGAGAGCCAAAATGCCCGTTCTGTGAACCTGGCCCCAAGCGTGTTCCTGAGTATCTCCAACATCTTAGCGGGCATCGTTGCCGGATTTCATCATCAAATGAACAAATTGTTTCCAGGGACGACGACTTCAGTCTCGATACCGGAGAAGGACCCTTCATTGCTGACGGTCGGCCCATCGTTTGAAAAGTACAGCAGTGATGGATTCGTCATGAAAAAGCAATTGAAGCCAGCACTGGAGGTGGGTATTACTATTGGCTTCACATATAAAGTGCGATTTATCTCACTCCTGGTGCTGCTGGTTTATGTAGGAGATCTTAGAGGGAGGAGAGGGTGCACTAAGCTGCTTTATTGACGAAGAACTGCGGCGCGTGGATGCTTTGGGATTTCACTCTCTTTATCTTGTCTCGGAGATCAAGCGGAAGACTTCGTATCCTCAGCTTTTCGTGAATGTAGTGCATGGGCTGTCAAAAAAGTACTGTGAGGCATGGGCTACGATCCTGCTGAACGAGAAGATTGAACCGTTGCGCGAGCTAATGCAGATCGAGCGGTATGGTGCCACGAACGAGGTACGGATTTCATGACAAGACGCTAGCATTGCTTGGTTTGGCTCTAACACTGTAACTGTCATCTTACATAGGAATGGATCGCTACCCACGAAGGCTGGATTGAGCAAGTGATTTCTGACGAAGGTCTGGGGGGAGACACTGATGATTCCTCGTCCGAGTCGGAAATGGCTCTCGGTGACGAAAAGGTGTGGCTACCATGGTGCGAAACACCAACCGTCTCAAGCTTCCTTTTCTCTTGCTGCTATAGCTTGGACGATGCGAACCGGTTGGTTCAAAGAGCTATTGGGACAAAGGATGAACAGATCAAGTTGATGCAGCGTACTATTCGCGAAGTGCTCGTCGAGCAACTCACTATCGTCAGCGTGGCCGTCTATGACGCTGTAGTCTCTCTTCTTGTCGAAGCGAAGGCGACTCAAAAGGATTCAGTGCTGAATTTTGGCGAATGCTGCATCCAGCAGTTCCTTTTCGACATGTATTTCGTCCGAGCAACGTTGGGCTTTTCCGACTTCATTCGCTTTGGTTGGGGTGACGAATTGAACCCAGAAGAGTGCTCTCCTGGACTGCTGAAGTTGACAAGCCTGTTCGAGCGAATGCGCGAGTTCGTTGATCCTGTGGATTGGGAAATCTACGGGCCACAGCTAATTGAAAACGTTGTGCTCCAATTCCGAAAGAGTCGATTACTCTTTTCGTCGCTGTCAGAGTCGAATGATATCAACAAAATCAGTAAGTCTGGATACCTTGGGGTTATTGGCGGGTGAGTGGGCCTTATTTAACTGTGTTTGTTGCCACCATTAGATGGGAAAGAAATTGTTATTGGAGCTCAAGACACCAGGCCGCTTGCTCGAATCGCGGAGCCTGTCGCGAGGTTTTCACTGCTTCCGGTCCCATCTAACCGCCGCAAATTCCAGCGGACCATGTCGTCGACATCGCGCTCGAGTGAGGACAACACTACGGAGGGGCGAAGCAGAACCAATAGCTCGACCCTTTTCCACGAGCGGTCAGGTGCGGAGGATACGCCTCAGTCGTCGGCCATGAAGCTGCAGAATCTGCTGTCGGCGTCAGCGAGCTCAAACATTTTTTCAGCGGCAACTTCAGGCACCAACTTGCTTTCTTCCGCCGCCAAGGGCATCGGGTTCCTGTCCTCTGCAACTACAAACAAATACTTTTGAAGACAATAGAATGGGGTCTGTTGATGTGTGCACATGAGTTTCGTGTTGATCGATCTGTACTCTATGGTATGGTATGTGTATCAAAGATCTACTCCACAAACTTCATGGATGCGCGCTCCTTGGAAAGGGCCCCCCACTGCTGATCGTACACCTCCGCAAATGCACCGATATCGGCCTTGTCCTTTGCCGACGAGTCCTCGTCCTCTGAAAAGAACTCGTTCGTGACGACGGTCAGAGTATCGGCCATCAGGTCACAGATCACGAAATGAAGGCGGTCACCAGTTTGTTTGAAGTCCGGACCGGGGTTGAACTCCAGGAGCCACACGTTGAAGTCCTCATCGACCATGAAGTCCACGCCATAGATCTCGAAGCAGTTGGGCAGTGGCTGGAAGACCGAGAACTCGCCCTTGTACGCGTCAAAAGTCTCAGCAGTGATGTGACCAATGTCAGCAAGAATCTTAGCCTTCTTGCCAGCAGCATCAGGGATGCCTTGCTCGGTAAGAATCTCTTCGATGTCGTCCAGAAGCAAAACGCACTCGCTCTCGACAAAGTCCGGGTGGCTTTGCTGTTGGAACGTGTTGGTAATGTGCGAGTAGTTGTTGTCCGTATCAGCCTCGCGGTACTGCTCAAGAGCACACAGCACGAGGCAGTGCTGGTACACGTAGACCTTGAGACCGCCGACAGCGAGAACATATACACGGATGTGGAACTTGCGGCCGCGAAGCAGCAGCGGACGCTGGATGTACTCCTGCACGACCCACTCGCGAATGTCGGTCCACTCGTTGACGATACTGCGCAACTTCTTGAAGTCCTTGATCACGTTAACCTCGGCGCCCTTGTTGGTGGCACTGGGCTTCATGATCCACGTATTTCCCTCCGTCTCCAGAGTCTGCTTCACTTCCCACAGACACGAGTCCAGTCGCTGGCGGAACGAGATGCCAAACTGAGCCATGCTCTCGTCGTACGCCTCCCACGTATCCACCACGAGCGTACGGGGCAGTGCCTTGCTCAGCTTGCAGTCCGGGTGCTTCATGATGTACTTGGACAGGTAGATGGACAGCTGCGCCTTGCGCGAGAGGCCCTTGCGCACGCAGTAGGCGTTGGCCACCACCTTTCCGGCCAGGACGCTCTTCCAGTCCAGATTTTCGTACTCGTCCCACTGCAACCACAACGCCCGGAGCCATCGTTAGCGAATACAGTTCACCAAAACACTTGTTTTCCTCTCAAACAGCCACGTACGATCAAGTCCGGAAGCCCGTCGGGAGCCTCCTCGTCCTCCTCCACGACTGTGTACATAGCGGGGTGCAGCGCAAACGCGCGGTCCACGAGCGGTGCCACGTACTTGCTGGGCACGCCCACGCGCGCTACCAGTCCATGCTTGTAGCCTTCGGCCGCCTCGCCCTCCAGCAGGCGGTAGGAGATGGCGCACGCCAACTCACTCGTCTGCCAGTGCGCGGCGTTCTGCATCGTTGCTCAATGGCCAGCAGTGCCAGTGACGTACTGCACGCGCCCCGTGATTGGCTGAAAACTCGAGCCGCCAAGTGAACCCATGTCGAGGAGCTCATCCATGGCAACTTGAACGAGTCAAATTTTGAAGTATGAAATGATATGTTATTTGAATAAGCACTGCAGATCTTTCAAAAACCAAAAGGGACATTTAAAATTTCAAACAAAATATCGGCCTAGGGCACGACGTTTTTTGATGTAGTGACTAGCGCTTTCTGATCACCTTACTGCGGACCCACGCTCGCATATATGAAGAAGAGGGTTCGACAAATTTATTGCCGAAGTATTTGGCTGCTGCGAGTTTCCAGCAAATTTTAACGGTTAATTCGGAGCGCAGCTGGATTTTGCATAGTTGGAGCGCACCACTTATTCTGGACCCATATCGTATCTCAACAAATCAGACACCTCCGACGCGGGCATTTCCGCTCCGTTCCGCCCCCTCTTGAGTGCGCACTCTCTCTCTCTCTCTAGCTGCCTGAGTGAGGAGGAAGCGAAGCCATGGCGGAGAAGCGGCAGGCGCGCCGCGAGGGCGAGAAGGTCTGGTGCCCGGACCCGCGCAACGTCTGGCAGCTGGGCACCGTCGTGGAGGACGACGGCGAGAAGCTGCACGTGCTGCTGCCCGACGCCGACGCCGAGCAGCAGTTCAGCTTCGACCAGGTGCATCCGTACGACCCGTCGCACTCCGTAGACCTGACCAACGTGGCGGAGATGGACAACTTGCACGAGGCGCCGCTGCTCGACCTGCTGCGGCGCCGCTACCTCGACGACAAGATCTACACGTACACGGGCGACATCCTCATCTCCATCAACCCGTACAAGAACATCCCCATGCTCTACAACTTCCCGGAGCTCGACTCCATCGGGAAGCTGGATAACCCCGTGCCGCACGTCTACTCGACGGCGCACGGGGCCTACCACGCCATGATGAAGGACGGCAAGTGCCAGTCCATCCTCGTCTCCGGCGAGAGTGGAGCCGGCAAGACGGAGGCCTCCAAGTACATCATGCGGGTACGTGTATAGCCACTGAAAAGTATTGCAAGCTGTGGCCATTAATGCCTTTCTTGTGTGTTTTATTTGGTGCTGCAGTATCTGGCCAACATTTCCGAGATCGGGAAGAAGACGCCCAAGGCCCCCAAGGACGACAACGACGGGTCCTCGGTGGAGCAGTGTGTGCTGCAGAGTAACCCGCTGCTGGAGGCGTTCGGTAACGCCAAGACGATCCGCAACGACAACAGTAGTCGGTTCGGCAAGTTCATCAAGATCTACTACCATGCGGACGGCACCATTTCAGGCGCGACGACGAGCCACTTTTTGCTGGAGAAGAGTCGAATTGTCGGCAGTGCCGAGTCGGAGCGCAACTACCACATCTTCTACCAGCTCTGCGCGGGCATGCCTACGGAGGAGAAGAACGCGCTCCAGCTCAAACCTGCAAGCGAGTTTCACTTCCTTAACCAGGGCAACTGCATCCAGGTGCCTGAAATCAACGACAAGAAGGACTTCAAGGAGCTCGTGGAAGCCATGGGCACTGTGGGTATCCCGCCCGATTTGCAACACACCATCTTCCGCCTTGTCGCCTGCGTGTTGCATTTGGGTAACGTGGAGTTTACCGAGAACGCCAAGAATGAGTCCCAGATCGCTCACCCGGAGGATGTGACCAACCTGGCCGAGCTGATGATGGTAACGCCCGATGAACTCGAGTTCGCGCTCACAAAGCGAACGATGTCTGCTGGTGCGCGTGGCTCTGTGGCTGAAATCGCGCTGACCGCCGTCGAATCCGTCAAGTCCCGTAATGGTTTGGCGAAGGATATCTTCAGCAAGATTTTTGACTGGTTGGTGTCTCAAATTAACAAGTCGACGTCTAACGTTGGTGGAAGCTCTGCAGTCGGCGCGGGGTCAAAGTTTATTGGAATCCTGGATATCTTCGGCTTTGAAAGTTTGCAAGTGAACTCGTTCGAGCAACTGTGCATCAACTACACGAACGAAATGCTGCAGCAGCAGTTCAACCAGCACGTGTTCGTGTACGAGCAGGAGGTGTATGTCGAGGAAGGCATTGACTTTTCTCGCCTGGAGTTCAAGGATAATGGACCGTGTCTTGATCTGATCGACAAGAAGCCGCTTGGTATTCTGCCGCTTCTGGACGAGCAAGGAATGCTTGGTCGACGTGCAAGTGACGAGAACTTTATCCAGAAATTGCACCAAACGCATCTGCCGAAGGGAAAAGTTCCTGAGGGTACGACAGTTTACTACTCTAAGCCACGCTTCGCCACGGATGAGTTCGTGATCAATCACTATGCTGGTGAGGTCACCTACAACGTCGTGGGCTTTTTGGAGAAGAACGACGACTCGCTGCACAACGACCTCATCTCATTGATGGACAGCTCCAAGTGCGAGTTCCTGCGCAAGCTTTATCCTCTTGCTCAACCGGGTGCGGCGGCAGGAGGTGCAAATCCGCGTAAACCCATCCGCAAAATGGGCAACAAGATGACTGGTACTATGACTGTCGGTCGCAAATTCCGTGATCAGATGGCAAACTTGATGGTGGAGCTCAAGGCAACCGCACCCTCGTTCGTGCGCTGCGTTAAGCCTAACAACCTGCGATTTCCGCAGGGCTGGAACGCGGAGCTGATCTTGAACCAGCTCATTTATCTTGGTGTCATGGAGACTGTCCGGATTCGACGATCAGGATTTCCCGTTCGTCGGCTCTTTGAAGAATTCCACGAGAAGTACCAAATTCTGACCCGCAATGTGCCGAAGGACAAACGGGCGACCATGACGGACAAAGATTACTGTGAAGTGATCCTCCGCTTCATCCCCCGTGAGAACTGGCAGCTGGGTCACAAGAAGGTTTTCCTTCGTGACAGCCAGTTGCGTATCCTGGACAACGAAGCGCGCAAGATCCTTCACGAGGCTGCTACTGTTATCCAAAAGTATGTTCGCGGTCGACAGCAGCGTCGCAAGTACTTGGACATGCGTGCGAAGGCCATCCGTATCCAGGCCACAACGCGCATGTACCTGGTCAAGCGTCACTACCAGCGCATGCGTTATCGCATCACTCTACTCAACGCTGTAGCACGGCAGTTTATTCAGCGCCGCAAGTATCAGCGGCTGCGTAAGGCTACTATCCTCGTGCAGAGCCATGTTCGTGGCAATGCGGCGCGACGATATGTGCTGTACCTGCGCACTGCTCCTCCTGCTGCGACGAAGATCCAGGCTCAAGTCAGACGCTACTTGGCCCGTAAGCGATTCCTCAAGCAGAAGCATGCAGCTGCGAAGGTCGCAAATGCACGTAAGATGCACAAGCAGCGTGCCGAGTTCCTGGAGATGCGTGGCGCGGCCAATGTCATTGCCTCTAGATACAAGGGCTACGCTGCTCGCAACAAATACCGCGAGATGAAGAAGGCAGCGATCGTGTTGCACGCAGCAGGCCGTGGATTCAATGCTCGTCTCAAGTACGGCAAGAAGGCTCGCATGCGGGCTGTTGCACGTAACAAGGCGCAGATCCAAATCGCGCGAGTGGTTCGAGGCTTCCTAGCTCGACGCCACTTTCAAGTGTCTCGTCGCCGAATTATTATGATCCAAGCACGAGTGCGTGCCAACCGCGTTCGAACGGAGTACCTGAAGGGCAGGGAGGCCACCATCAACTCTCAGGCTATGATCCGCCGCTCCCTTGTGCGTCGTAAGTTCCTGCGCGAGAAGAAAATGGCGACACGTATTGAAGCGTTTGGACGTATGGTCATCTGTCGCCAGCGTTATCTTGACGAGCGCAAAAAGATCATTATCGTGCAATCTCTCTGGCGCATGCACAGTGCCCGCAAGCAGTACACGAAGCGCGACCGACAGGTTACGCTGTTGCAGTCGCTCTGGCGCTGCCACGCTCAAGCGAAGAAGTACCGCGAGACACGAGAGAAGATTATCACGATCCAGGCCTTCTCTCGTATGACTGTGGAGCGCACACATTATTTGAAAGTGCGCTCTGCGGCACGCGTAGTGCAGAGCGCCGTGCATACCTACTTGGGCCGCCGGATGTTCATCCGATTCCGCCGCGGAGTTGTGAAAACTCAAGCGGTCTACCGAGGCTACGTCCAGCGGAAGAAATACCGCCGAACGGTACAGCGAATCGTCATGGTTCAGAGTGTCTTCCGCCAGAAGAGGGCCCATAAGCTGGCAGATGTGCGCCGTCGGTCGATGGCACGTGTTCTGGCTGTCGTCCGCATTTTCCTGTCTCGTGTACGGATGCGAAACCGCACCCAGGCCTTGTTTGACGCTGCCAACGCGTACGATTTGACCGAAGTACTCCACATTGCGCAGGAGATGCCAGGAATGCTGCGCGTGCGTGACCGCGCTAACGACATGATGTCGTTGATCCACGTGGCCGCCAAGAACGGTGACCTGAATCTGGCGCGCTTTGTGCTGGAGGAGAACCCGCAGCTTGAAGACCTGGTGTACGGAAAGGATACTGCTGGGAGCACACCACTGCACTACGCTTGTCGTCTGGCGCACCTGGATATGGTACGGTTACTTGCGAAGGTTGCCAATCGCAATTCGAACCCTGGAGCGCACTTTGACTTCGGGGCTGCTCGTACTCGAAGTGCAAGCAGCACGAGCAGTGCAAGCGACGATTCGCCCGAGTTGAAGCTTCGTTCTGCCTCTACCGCTAGCACCGTGTCCATGACAACGCCCTCTTCTCGTTCGCCATCGAAGAGCGTGTCTATTGGAGGCAATCGCAGCCCAGTGGGAGGTGTTGATCCCCGAATGCGAGGTATGTCTTCAGTCACCTCGTCGTTTTCGATGGAGCCGGGCTTCAAGCCGGGCGACCATAGCGCGCCAAAGCGCCATGGTCGTCGCGCTCTCGTGTCATCTACACCTAAGCGGCGACTATCAACCTCCATCGGAGGGCTACCGCCAGTGCTGCCCACGACACTACAGATTGAAGTGTACAAGGAGGGTTTCCTTCGCAAGGCAAGCGGGACTCGTTGGGCCACCAAGCGCTACGTGATGGTGGACGAGGTGTGCTTGTCCTACTACAAGACTGAGAAAGACAAGATCCCGCTCAAGATTGTCGAGCTGTGCGATGCCACAATCAAGCGTAACTCGGATGTGGAGTGCTGTTTCGAAATCCGATCGCCGCGCTTGAAGAGCTCGAAAAACCCGGACGGCATGCTGTCGTTTGTGGCCGACACCGAGCAGGAAGTGCACGAGTGGATGCTTGCTATTCGCAAGGTGCAGGGTGTGCGCGTGACCACGACGATCCCTCCTAACCACAACATGATCTGCATCGACAGCGGACTGCGTCGCGACTACGTCAACATGAAGAACAAATTGGGCTTTACGCCGCTGCATCTTGCAGTGCAAAACGACGAAGACGAAGGTTTCGAGGCCGCCAAGGTTTGCGTCTGGCTCATTGAGAACGGCACCGACCCCAACGCGATCGATGTGAATGGCGACACGGCCCTCCACTATGCGGTGGAGCTGGAGCGCTATGATTTGGTGGAGACACTCATGAAGCGTGGCGCTGACTCGAGCATTAAGAACCTGAAGGGTCTTTCGGCGATGGAAATTGCCGAGGAGGACGACTTGAAGGAGATTCTCAACCCCGCCAACCATGTGCCTAAGGTGGAAGAGGCCCCAGTTGAACCCGAAGAGCCCCAGGCTGATGGACTGGTTCCCGTCAAAAAGATCACACCAGTTACTCCATCGCTGCTTCCGCCGCCGGACAGGTTGACCGACAGTACGTACGTGTCTGTGTTCCTGGGCGCCATAGCTGTGGCCACTGGCCCCATCATGGAGACGCCGCACTTCAATCTCTACATCATGGACTACAGGGGTGCAGTCGTTGACACGGCGCAGCGCACTCCAAAGTCTCTCATCCAGACGGGAGGCAACTACTGGTGGTTCGGCAATACGTGGTATCTTCAGACGCCTCTGGAGCATCTCAAGGACGGTAAGAATGCGCTGGGTCATGTTGTTTGTTCAAGTACTCACGATACTTGCTTGTTACGTGCTTTGTTTTGCTGTTAGGCTGCGTCGCGGTGATGGAGCTGCGGCATCGGAGTCTTGTCACGCAGGAAGTTGAAGTGGGCTGCTGGACCTTCTTCCACCTGGACATCAGCAAGATCACGACGGCGCCAGCCACCTTCGAGATGTACGCGCCGCCCGTGGACCCGCTCAGCAAGATTCTTGCTCGTATCCCCGGCGATTCGTTCCTGCAGGCCGAAATCAACGTGTCGCTATAAGCTTTGTGGCGTCGAAGTCAGGCATAGACGAAAAGCCCTGTAGTTTGTCTAGGCCACTAGAGCCGCACCAAGATTAACAAGACTGTGGCTAGCTAGACGGTGTAGCGTTGGCAAGTAAAACAAATCAAGCATCTATTTCAGCAAAGGAAGAGCATGAGTAGCGAGTGTGCGAGGCCAAAGGTGCCACCAATCTACAACACACGGCGCTTCTTGGCCGAGTTCATGTACGGCCGCAGCACCCACTCGTTCTCCGCCTCCTTCTGGTCGAGCGTGCCAAGCTTGACCTGGTACAGCTGCAGCTCGAAACGGGGCCCGCACTCCTGCAGCTCCACCTCGCGCCCTGTCACTTTGAAGACGTGGTGGCGGAAGGACACGAAGTCGTTGTCGTTCGACAGCGTGATGACACGCTTCGAGTCCGGCTTGGGCACCGGGAACAGGTGCTTCAGGATGTTGGCCACGCGCTTGCCCAGCATCGTCTCGAACTGGTTGATGATGAGGTGCGGGTACGCCTCCGAGATCGTGGCGCGGTCCTCGATGTCGTGACGCAGCACCGTGTTGCTCAGCGAGAAGTAGGCCGTCGGGCCGTACGGCAAGTGGCACACCACCAGACCATCTACACAGCAGCAATAATGTCAATACCAGCGCCCGACTGCTCAATCTGAGGTTATCGCCCACGCACCTGGCTCGCCTCGGGTCTCCGTGACCAGGATCAAGTCTGTAAAGTCGTTGGACCTCGCGCTCTCCACCAGCTGCAGCAGCAGCACCAACAAGCACACAAGGTACAATAAAGTTAGCACCAATAGTCAGCGTAGGTATAGAGGCTTCAGGCACGCGGCACTTACGTCGCCGACGGTGTGGGCGCCGCGGTTGAGGCGGATGGCGTTGGGGAAGATGAGGCGGATCTCCTGCGCGAACTGCTTGAGCCTGGCGCTCGGGTCTCGCGACGTGGTGATGGCGATCTTGGGGTCGAACATGCCGGCGTTCTTGTACTCGTCGTCGATGTGGCTGATGGGCTTCTCGTGGGCCTCGTCGTCGTACTCCATCTCATGGCGCAGGTCCTTCTCGACGCTGCGCAGCTCCGTGGGGATGGCCTTGCCGCTGCGGATGGCCTCCTTCAGCTGCTGCTTGTGCTCGTACAGCGCGCGCTCCTTGCCCTCCAGGCCCTTGCGGTACAGGTACTCGCGGCGCAGACGCACATTCCTTCGCACAGACATGGTATATGGCGGCAGAGTTCGTTATGAGCTTGGTGCTGCGCTCCAGTCGATTGGCTTGTCAACGCGTACCCCGCCGCGTAACCCGTAACCGGTTACGGAATGAACGTTTAACGTAAGAGACGGTGGAGTTTAACTACACCTTTGTGCGGCCTACTTCTCACCAACGTGCAATCAAATCCAAAAGTCGCAAAATTCATATTGCAAATTTCTAGTTAGCAACTTCAATTACGCATTCAAAGATAGAATTACGGCAATCAAAGTTGGACCAGAGGTCCAAGATCTCCATGGCTACGTAAGCTGGCGTGCTGTGCTCACGCCAAAACGGAAGACGGAGCTGCGCTCGCGCCAAAAGCAAGGGCGCGCGGTTTGGCGCGCACTATAGCCGACGCCGACCGAGGGGAGCTCACTTCGCAATTCGCCTTCTTCGCAGATGTCCCTCCAAGGCCGCGTTACTCGCCACACCGTCCTCGAGAAGCAGCGTCCTAAAATCCCGCATTAAGCGAGACTTGGCTCTGGATCGCCACGCAATCTACGATCGCTCGCGTGAGCCAGACAGCAACGGTGAGATCCTCTCCATTTCAGAACGCCAGATGCACATCCTGGAGCGCGCCGCGACCGCTAACATGAACGTGATGACCCCAGCGCTGGTGGCCAGCATGGAGCTGCACGGTCGCGACTTCGTCACCAAGGCGAACAACGAGGACATAGTGTACGGCATGTAGCAGGGCTCGTCGGACCAGTAGTAGTAGCCTACTTTACTGTACGAATTTGATTGCCGTAATTCCATCTTTGAATGCGTAATTGAAGTTGCTAACTAGAAATTTGCAATATGAATTTTGCGACTTTCGGATTTGATTGCACACAAAGGTGTAGATGTAATCAGATTATTGTACATATTTTTTCTGGAGCACGGAATGGAGGACGTATCGTCCATCTTCGTCCGCGGGAGACGGAATAGCTAAATACACACTACAAACTAATAGACAAAACTAATGCAAAAACTCCGCAGCTCGTCCCGCTACGACGGACACAGCACCTTGCCGATATGCGACTTGTTCGCTGCAGGAGCCGACGCGCAAGTGTGGCGGCAACGCTCGGAGCGGAAGTTGCGACGACGCTGCTCGTGTCGCTGCTGCTGATAGCGTTGCTGCTGCTGGCGCTTCTCCGCTGGCGAGAGACCACTCGACGGCGAATTCCATGACGAAGACGGCGAGGAGGGAGAGGAAGACGTCGACGATGTCGAGCCATGCCGAGCGCGTTTCTTCTTCCGGGACAGGCGAAGCATCGGTGAGCTGCTCGGACTGAGACCGCGTTCCCATGGACGCTCCTTGCATACTCGAGGTGAGATCGTCTTCGGAGCTGGAGGCACAGGAATCGCGATGGGAGGGGAAGCCGGCGCAAATCCCACGACCGGGATGAAGCCTGAGTCAGGGGCCGCGTCTGCTGCCGGGATGTTGACGGCTTCAGCCGCCTCGACAGGACGGGGGATGTCTCGGAAGAAGAGCATCGGGCACTCGGCCTTGTAGTGGCCGTACTCACCACAATACCAGCAGTCCGACAAGTGCGACATCGAGTGGCTGCCCCGGTTACAGGTCGATGATAGACGCTGATGCAGTAGCTGACCGCAGTCCCGAGTGACGTGGTCCCTGCCGCGGCAAATGTAGCACGTCGCCATGAGATTCCACGAGGTTGCGTCTGGTGCGCAGATGGCATCGAGCCGGTGATCTCCACTCAGCATACTGCTCGCACGCTTGAACTCCGAGCGGATGAGGTCTTGGCCCTTCCTGTGGAAGATAACGCGCCCGATGTCATGAGATAGCTCGAAAGGGTCCTCGATACTCAACCGCCAACCGACCGGGTGGCTCCACTTGGTCGTCTTCGACAGCGCCCTCCCCATTCGAATGCTCACAACCTCATCCTCCATGTTGAATCGGTGGGCGTAGAAGTCGAAGAACCCGGCGAGTAGCGCCCCAACCGAGTTTATCTCCGACGTGCCGAACGTGGATGGAAGCTCCATGGTCGGGAACGACTGCAGTCGCTCTAACAGCACCGAAACCTTCGTCTGCGACTGCAAATTCTGGAAGACGGCGTGCACTGCCGGCAGCTGCATGTCCGCGTAATGTGACTGCAGGTAGAAGACCAGCAGCAACGTGTAGCCTATCCAAATTCACACGCAATAAAACGCAGCCAATTCAAGTAAGAACACAATTGCACCTCAACTATCGCGAGATCGCCAGCTCTTCCGTACCATAAGAACTCAGCGTGCCATTGACCGAGTCGTTGATGCCTCGCTGCTTGGTCCAATACTTGACAGCGAACACCAGCGGCCGAACACGAGGATCCACTTGGCCGTAGTACTTGAGCAGCGCCGTGTTCAGCAGTGCATTCACTCCTCCCACGCACACGTCGCAAGCGACCTGCCAGCAACAAAACACCGTCAATCACAACGCTTCGCATTCCAACAGCTTCACAGCCGCAAAAGATCCGCGCATTACCTGGCGCTTGGAGTCCCAGAGCTTGATCACGGGCACTCTCGCGTTGCGCACGAACTCCTGCACTTGGAAGGCGCCCGCGAGTCGCTCGCACGCGGTGGCGAGCAGCTCCACGCGCTCCTGGGGCGAGAACTGGCCCTGCGCGTCCACGTCCACGTCCTCAAAGTAGATGCCGAGGTCGACGTCGCACCCGCCGAAGCCCAGGCCGCTGCAGTCCGCAACCAAACCCATGACAATCATTCCTGGGATGTCAGTCTACCGCCCACTAACGCTTTCAGCTGCAAGACGACGCACCTCTCGGACGACCCGAAGGGCAGCACGCGGCACGTGGGCCACTGCTGCTTGAGCAACTGCTGCACGCGGCGGCGCACCGCGCGCTTGGCCGCCAGCTCGGCCGCATTGGGCTCCAGCTGCTCCAGCAGCGCGATGCTATCGATCGTGAGCTTGCGCACGCTGTTGGTCGCGCCCATGGCTGTCGCTCTGGCTGCTGCTGCTGCTACTGCTGCTTCCTCCCGCTCTGCTGACTAACTAACTGGGTTGTGTTGGTTGCCTCTCTGCTCTGCTCGTCGCGTCGCGACCTGCCTGCCTCGTGCGGTGGAAGACGGCGACTGAGAAAGAGGATGCGAAAACACGTCGTTGCAAAGACGAAGTATATTGAACTTGGCTTCAGATTCCCCAATACAAATTTTCAGTTGTAAGTCGGGGGTACGTGGCGTTGAAGCCTCAGAGTGAAGGTTCGCGAACAACGTAGGGACAGCAAAGGGCCTGAATCTGACTCGCATCTTGCCGTCGCTCGCCGGTTGAAGTGCGTCGACCGCAACTTTTTCTTCAGGCATTTAGAGACGTCGGCATGGGTCTACTAGATTGAGTCGGATGCAAGCAATCTGGGCTCGTAGTCTGGTCAGGATGGGGCCTCGAGGCTGTCGCAAGGCACGGTCTCGAAGGTGACGAAGGATATAGCCGCGATGTGTCTGGCGAAGCTAGCGTTCGATGCTCGATGTGCCGACACCATTTATCTGTACATTAGGAAATGCTGAAAGGACCCGGTGTTGCTTTCCAACAATCAGTCTCCCCCCTAATAGTTAACCGATGATATGTATCGCAACGCATCAGGGGCATCTTCACAGTACCTGGCGACCCACGATGCAAACCTCGACGAACCAGCTTATCTGCATGTGGATTGGTGACGCGTCGGACCCGTTTATCATCGATATGAGCCCGAACGCAATGATCGCTGATTTGAAAGAAGTGATTATGGAGAAGACCGGAATGTCAGCACTTCCTTCACTGGTCAAACTGTTCCTACTTAGCAAAGCGAGGCGAAGTATGGCTATCGACGGAGTCGGAGGAATTCAAGACGTTGAAGCGACTCCGCACGGAGACGTGGTCCAGGACCAGGACTCTCGTACTTAACCCGATGGTTACGGTTGGCAAAGTCTTCTTACCGTCCTACTCGACTGAGGCTCAGCCCAGTCAGCCTATTCACGTGTTCGCCATTGAGCAGTGTATGGTCAACCGACTGCGGAGTGAAATCGTCGTGCTTGAGCAGCGTTCCAGTGGGTGGAAGCGACAAAGAGAACTCGACGAGAGAACCGACGTGATGAAGATGCCAAAGCTCGACGAGGAAACCAACGCATGCTTGCCTGAAAGTGTTGTGCGACATCCTTTACGGATTTTGCTGAGCAGGACCGCGAGAATTTGTTAGTACTGTTAGATCAGCTTCGCTGTATCGCCCTTGCTGCTCCATTTAACAAATCAATGCAGGACGTTTAACTTCAACATGAAGCTGGATGTAAAACATGCAAATGTGAAGGATCGTCTCGGGAAATATCCCCCGGCCCCATACGTCCTGCTCACACATAGTTCACGTCCAACCGCAGCTTGTGGTTCTGCACCACCTTATCAGCGATGCAGTTTGCCTCACGAACGGCGTTCTGGAAACACTCTTCTTTGTCGTACATGGCGAGGCCCTCGATGGCCACGCGATGCGCGTCGTCGAACCCGCACATGGCGAATATGCGCGACAGGAACGGGAACACGTAGTCCTCGTGCGCTGGTGGCGCCTTGCCGCCCGACGACGAGATCACGATGAGCGGCCGTCCTTTGAAATACGGACGCGAGGGCCCCTCCTCGTCCTTGTCGTGGAACGTGAGTCCGGCCTGCACCACGCAGTCGATGTACTGCTTCAGAGCGTAGGGCACGCTGAAGTTCCACACGGGACTCGTGATGACGAGGAAGTCGGCACGCAGCATCTGCTCGGCCAGCTCCTTGATGGGCCTGAACGCCTTGAGGTCTTCCTCGTCCTCGCTGCCGTGACGCGCCCTCCACACGCGCGTCATCGTCTCGCGGTCGAACTTGGGCAGGCTACTGCTCCACACATCGCACTCTTCGATGTTGAGAACGTCCTCGGGCTTGTCCGCGCCGTCAACGGGGCAGTTACCATTGCAAATGTGGCAATGGTAGTGGTGCGTGAGGTGATCGATCATCTTGGCGGCGACTCGATCTGTCACGGAGTTGTGCGTGAGGCTGGCGTTGATGTGCAGAATGGTCTGCTTCTTGGACTGCAGTAGCGCATCGGACATGACAGTTAGGTGGCTGGGATGGGGGACAGTGGGGTGTCCTTGAAATTGTTGCAGCTAGCGAACCTCGTCGTTCTTGGACTCCACCGGCGTCATATCTTCGGAATTTCTCCTTCACTTGGCTGATATTTGGGCACTTGTTGTCGACTTGGCAACTTGTTCACTGAGTCGCATTTCTGAAGGCTTCCTCGCCTCGACGCTGGCACCTCGTCCCGTTCTAATACTTTCCGAGCCAATTCGATGGAGTTGCAGTGAGGCAGCACCTTGAAGTTGTACCCCAAACAAAAACGCGCGCCCGGCTCCAGTGCCAAGAAACACTATCAACGTGTATGCTTTTAATCGTTTTCCGCGGGTATGAGAGCTTCAACACGTGACGACAAGCGGCTGCCTGCCGGAATAAACGAGTTGAACAAGCGAGTCCTCGCCCCGCTTCACAAAAGTTGACACAACATCGCCGAGCTCAGCCGAGCGTACTAGTCTCCTTAAGTGTATGTCTCCTATCTGGAGGAGCGTAGAGTCAACATATCGGAGCACTCACATACCTCATGGATTGCCACCGCGCTTTCCACGCTACACAACTTGCTGCTGAGTCGTGGTGCCGCCACTTAAACTTGTCCGACTTCAACAACAAATGTTGCACGAATGTAACCCCTCTATTCAAGGCACTTCGAGCAACCATCTTATTGTGCTCAGTCCGCGCCACCAACTGGCGGCGGACCAGGACGTCTGGTGACAGCAGCCGTGGCCGGGCCAATCCCGTCGTTTTATGCCGAAAGTGATCGAGCGAGTGAGTACGCTAGAGCGAGAACAAGTCGACTGCGCGCCGGAAGAGGAAGCGCCCCGCCACGTCAAGGGAACTCGCGCGCCGTCGCCCTCCGCGCCCCAGCTGCATCCGCCCGCGCCTCCTCTGCGAGTCGGTGCTTTGTGTGTCGCGAGACAACGACGGGAAGCCGCCGCGTCTGTCGCCACTCCACTCAAGCCGACTACCTACGTGGCTGAAACTCCCCCCTCCCTGACGCCGCGCTCCCCTCGCTCCGCCATGGAATCCAAGGTCTGGCAGCGCGCCGCCGCGGATCTGGACCCGCCGGGCGTGCCCAACTCCTTCCGCCACGCCAAGAACCAGCAGAACATCGCCAGCGTGCTGCTCCGTCGGGAGTTCGGCAACGCAAGGCGGCAGAAGACCGTGAGGGCCATAGGAGAAGACAGAGAGGAGAACTTCTGGGCCGAGAGCGAGAGCGCCTCCAAGGTGCGTACTCTATTATATCGGTTGCGTTGGAGGGGGGTATTTGATGATAGGGGGGAGATCTAACTACTGTGCGTGTGTGGGGTTTTGTGGGGAACAGCATCAAAGTCGGTACTTTGAACTTCCGCAAACGACCAAGTCGACGATCTCCATTGCTATTAGTCCGGACGGGTAGATTGGACGACGGAGGGTGCAGGTGAACGGTGTCTCCAGATTCTGAGTATTATTTTTGTTGGTTTGTTGTGTTTCGTTGTACGCAGCAAAACTTTCGCTTCGACACATGGAGATCACACTGTCAAGATTATATGCATCGAGACCGGCAAAGTGCTGCAGGTACATTAGATTGCACCCACCACTGCTGCGATGCTTACGGTATAGTTTAACTGATATTGTGATGATCCTCTGTGATATTACAGACACTGGTCGGCCACCCGCGAACTCCGTGGAGTGTCAAGTTCCACCCGACAGACCCGCGTTACGTGGCCTCTGGATGTCTAGGGTTTCAAGTTCGGTACGTTGAATAATGCGGTATCAAGCCACGGCTGCTCCCTACTCACAAGTAAATTTTACTGTTGTTTGCAGCTTTTGGGATATCGAGACAGGCCGCTGTCTGTACGTGTCAACGCTGCGCCACGCCATTATCTCGATTTCTTTCCACCCGTCGGGCGACATTTTGGCTATTGCCAGCGGAACCTGTGTCTACACATGGGACTACCAGGTAAGCATAACTGTGAATGTTGTTCTTGGGCTGCGGACGCTTACGCTATAGTTCATTCTGCAGCACACGTGTCCTCGCATCGCGATGTTCAGCTACCAAACTTTACGGTCTGTGACGTTCTTACCCGACCCATCCAAAATTATGGTTGGAGAAGCTAATGAGCGCTACGTGGTACGTAAAGACGCTAATGTATATTGCGTGCTCGGCATCATTGTTTGACCGTGTACACTTTGATTCAGCAGAGACCGCAAGGTCAAGCCCCGCCTTCTGATCTCACTGTCACGCTCACTATGTGGGACTTCGATCCGTCGTGGGCGCTGTCGCCGGAGCCGCTGCTGACAAAGAAGGCAATGAACAATAGTCGCGTCATTCTTTCCCACGCCCTCATCTACAACGACGGTGGATTCGACATTTCACGCTGCGGTCGCTACTTGGCGATATGCGCCGACTTCTCTCTTAGGCAAGCGGAGAAAGAAGTGGAGATGGAAGCAGAAAACGAAGCCACCACCGATTTGGAGACGATCCTGTCTTCAGTACCAACTACACAAGAGACAGTCGGGGGTACTACCAGTCCAAGTGACGATGTCAACGACGTGTCCGTATCAAACCCGCAGGCTACAGCATCGAATGAGAGCAGTTCCTCCTCTGGCGCTGCTGCGCGTACCACAAGAACCAACACCGCTGCGCCCCAGACACTACCGGCGACGATGCCGTTATCTCTTCCCATCCACCCGCCGCCACCTCGGCTTGGGCCTATCTCGGGAATGCCGGGAGCGCCTAATATGCTGGCAGCTCTGCAGTCAGCAGCTGCGGACCTTTCCCTTACGATGGACCAGTATATGAACCAGCAGATACGACGCGTGAGACCCCGGCTGCACCCCCCACATAGTATTCAGCGGTATACGACGACACTTGAAACTGCAAGAAATACTGCAGCCGCCCCGACTGCCGCGCCTCAACAGAGGTACTCACAGATTCGACCAAACATCGCGCTTAGTCGGACACGGTTCACTAGAAATCAGCGCAACCGTCGCGGCCGATTATCTTCTGAGAACCAGTCGACGTGGCTAGCTTTGATATCTCTGGATCCCGAGCAGCTTGGTCGTGTCATCCAGACTTGTCATCTTGCTGAGACTGCCGCAGGCGGCGTTACCTCCGTGAAAATCTCGCCAACATCAGCTTACGTCTTGCTTGGGTATGGCGTCCGAGATCGTATACAACGGTAAGTGGTGCAGTGCAGCGTTCTAAGCAGTGTTGTTGTTCGGGTGGCCTAATCAAACTTTTTTGTCTGTGATGCATCAGTGAGACCGAGTTCCCGGTCCATCGTGTAACGCGCATCTATCGATGGGAAGACATGGCGCTGCTTTCACATGTGGAAAGCGCGATGGATGATGTAAATATCGCGTTGTTTAGCCCGATTTGTGGTGGTGGCTTCTTGTATGGCACCAAGCAGGGCAAACTGCGAGTGTGTAGTACCTTCCGCGGCGATTTCCACGACGAAGAGAACTGTAACGTCCTCGGCGGCCCTCGGCGTTGCCACTATGATCAGAATGTGAACGGTGACGATGAAAACGATGACGACGACGGGGACCTAGGCGAGGAGGGAGACGAAGATGAGGAAGACGAGGAAGATGAGGAGGACGGAGTCGATGATGACGAAGAGGAAATGGACGCCGATGACGATGAGGAGGATGACCATGACGGCAACGAAGATGAGGACGCTGACATGGGCGAATAGTTCCCAGAGTGTTTGATAATTCTAATTAGTCACGCAAGATTGAAGTTTGAAGGAAACGCAAATGGACAGACGCTTCCATGTTGTGAATGTTGTGATAAAGTAACTCGCGTTAGTGTTCACCCTGCCAACCTCCAGTATACAGCATGGAACTAGGACTCATCGTCGGCAATGCGGGCTTTGTTTGTCCCGTGTCCAAATGTCTTGCCCAGGAACATCTCTTTGTCAAAGTCGCTTCCAACGAACTGCGCTTTGTCGACCTTCCGCGCACGGTTGATAAGATCGGCCGTCTCCTGTCGGTGAGCCTTCTGGCTGAGTTCGCTTTCCTCACCACCGCATCCCCAGACCTCGATGGTGTCAACTACAAACTGCTCGCTGGAGGACAAGCGACCTGGCTCGAAGGACAGGCACTTGGGCGTGGTGTAACTGTGTTCGTCCAGGTCTTCGCTGAGGAACAACCGGAATTTGTCGGTTGACCCTCCCATGCCAAGCCCGCGCGGTAGAGCAAAGCCCTTGGAGTTCAAATACATGTAGTTTTCGTTGGTCCCGCTCGCAGACACTCGATAGATGTTGATTTCAGGTGCCATCCGGAAGAGGAAGCACCCATTCCCACCGTAATAGCGACTTGACTCCTTCCACTCGGTATCGCAAAACATGCCAAACACAGCTAGCACAAAATTGGTCGGTCAGGCCCGGAGCAAACTAGTTCAACAATTAAGCAAAGTGTACCTCCTTGTGTGTCTCGGATGACCGTAAGCGTTGGGCCGGAGTAACCGAGAATGTGATAGCTCAGCCGGTTGAAACTCAATCCATCCTGGGCGCTCGTATACAGTCGACTCAGCGATGTCTGGATTGACGTCGTGACGGTGGATAAGGCCACGAAGTGGGATCTGCATGAAATGCGTAGTGTTAACAAGGAATTGCAACTGCGCAAGGGAGCTGCTTGATGTTCATACCTGGACAAGATGCCGCTTGGGTGAGACAACTTGGGCGCCTCAAATGACGGCTTGGTCAATGACTCGAAGCTCTTGCGCACCATCCACGACATGAAAATGGTATAGAGAAGAGGAAATTGCGATCCAATCCAACGGACAAAGTCGTCGCTAGACGCTTGAGTAGACCCAGCGGACGGGGGCATCGCGGCGCGGGCAAGAGCCTTCGCCACTCCAGCCATGCCATCCACATCTTCAACTTGCTCGCCTTCCGCCATCACCAAGCAGGCAAACAGCAGCTGACTGAGCTCTTGCCCCGTCATAGCATTGGCCGTTGCATCAGCGGCAAACAGTCGGAACAGTGACCGGCAGATTGACTGAGACGATGCACGGACGCACTGCGCAACTACAAAATTACATTGCACATCAAATGCCGGCATCAATGATGGTGCTAAACCCCAATTCTCTCCGTCCTACAGCTCTCTCACCTCCTTGCGCGAAGTTCACCATCTGCAACTTGGCTGCTTTCCCAGTGGGAGCTTCCCCGCCTTCGTTCTGCTGCAGACACAACTGGTAGAAGGCGGCACCCAGCCGACGACTCGCGGCGGTCAGCTCCTCCGGCGCTGCAGCAGGCACCGGCAGCTCCAGCCACGACTGCAACAGCAGCACACAGTCATTAAGAATACTACAGCGTGAAGTGCAATAATCTGTTGGTTTGCACCTGCAGATTGGCAGCCGCCGCGGCTGCCGACGGTGCCGACGCCACCGTCGCATTGAACTTTTCCTTCAGGCAGTCATACTCCTGCGCACCAGCGCACGGCTAGCATTAGACCCACCCCTGCGTCCTAATATCCAGCAGCCACCCGCCGCACCTCGTCGCTGAAGGGGCCCTTCCACTCGCCCGCGCGGGCTCCGGCGGCGGCGCTGCTCCCAGCATTCCCCATGCTGTTCTTCTTTCCTGAGACTGACGTACGCGTACCCTCAAATCTTATCCTCGTACAAGATTGCAGAGGTCCTCTCCTCTTCAGATCTTATCTGTCGTTCTATTTTTGAGAGTGTTCTAAAAATGCTATCTTTGGCGGCCGTGTGTCACGGCAGCAACGGCAAGTACGGAGTTGAGCCGCTCACTTCCGCATCCCTCGCTCCTTCCTTCGCCCCGGCCTTCCTCTTCTCTTCTCTTCGCTCGTTCGACCATGAGCCGGCTGCCGCTGGCTTGCGTGGCGCTGCTGCTGGCCTCCGCCGCCGCTGACGAGTGCTCCACCACGTGCGGCACGCCCTCGGGGCTCGAGTTCTGCTCGTACGTGTCGTTCACAGTCTGCGGCGGCGAGCCTTCGTACGAGGAGCTGGACGCCGCGGCGCTGCTGGCCTTCCAGTCCTGGAGCAACACGAACGCCAGCGAGTCGCCGCTGGCCGCGCTGCCGCAGTACGAGGACTTTAGCGACGACAAGCTGGCTGCGACCGTCAAGACGCTGGACCTCACCAACACCAGCAGCCCGTGCGGCGCCTTCCTGCGACGAATGGAGTGCGCCGCGCACTTCCCAGTGTGCGAAGTAGGGCGGGACTACTCGAAGGTGTGCCTCACTTCTTGCCAGTCTACTGTGCATTCGCAGTGTCCAGGCCTCACCGGCATGTGCACGACGTTCGACGAAGCGGAGGTGGAGATGAAGGGCAGCAAGTGCTTCAAGGTCAGCTACTCGGGCCCTGCAGTGGGCATGTGGGTGGCTGGGTTCCTCATCTCTCTTGTCTTCTCCGTGCTCAACTCGGTCGGAATCAACCTGCAGAAGCTCTCCATGACACGCAACGACACGGCCGAAGTCAAGAAGACCACGCTCAAGCAGCCGCTCTGGATGCTGGGCTTCGGCCTCGTGTGTCTTGGATCGCTGCTGGACTTTGTGGCCTTCGGCATGGCCCCGCAGACGCTTCTGGCGCCACTTGCTGCGTTGTCCCTGGTCTGGAACATGCTAATTGCTCCCATCTTCCACAAGGAGAAAGTCACGCGGGAGAACCTGCTAGCCACCGCCATTATCTTCATTGGCGTGACGTTGACTGTGATCTTCGCGGGGCACAACACGCCGACGTACGAACTTGAGGACCTCATCCGACTCTACCAGCAGCCAGCGATGTACGCCTACATCGTGCTGATCGTGTGCTTCTTGGGCGGGCTCTTCGCTTTCTGCCGCTACATTGAACGCACGCACAACTTCGAGGAGGGGCTGTTCCACATCATTTGCTACGGCGGAATCGCCGGGACGTTTGGGGGCCAGTCAGTGTTGCTTGCCAAGTCGACTGTGGAGCTGCTGAAGAGTGCAATCTGGGGCGACTCCGGCTTCTACATGTTCACGCAGCCCACGTCGTACGTCATTATCGCTGGTCTGGGGGCGTGCTTAGGTTTCCAGGTCCACTTCCTCAACGGTGGACTTGCCCGCTTCGATGCGCTTGTGGTCATCCCGGTCTATCAGAGCTTCTGGATCCTCATGAGCGTGCTGGGCGGCATCATGTACTTCGAGGAGTACGTGAGCATGACACGGATGCAGATGCTCATGTTCACTATTGGAAGCTGTGTCACCATTTTGGGCATCATCGTGTTGCTCAAGACAAGGCACTCGGGCGAGGCCTCACGCTATGTTGAACTGGTACGTTGCCATAATTACTTGTAGCTGCCATACTCTCTGTAAACTCACCGTTATTTTTTTCCTTTCTTGCTTCAGGCGCTCACACCAACGTCGGCGTGGAACGTTGACGACTCGGACGAGGAGGTGGAGCTGCACCTGCCGCAGAGCCCCAACACTGCCAAAGTTGCCCCAGGAGCGGTAGCACCGGTGTCTTCAAAGAAAATGTCGGACAACGACTCGGCAGTTGCAGCAGCAATTTACCGATCCAAACCTGCTTCACCCACCGGTGGCAGTCGAGTCAGCGCCAAAGCTAAGGACTTTGACGACGATGAAGAGGAAGAGGATTTTATTTAACTGGAGACGGTTATTTAACTCCAAATTTCATAGAGCTATCAATCCTTACTTTTGCAGGATGCATCGTCGTCGGAGCAGTCAGTATTCGCCACTAACAACCAGTTCCACCCGCGATGGCCAAGCACGAGGTGGACGGGAAAATGGTCATGAGGTTGGTCATGATAGCCCAGACGAAGCAGAAGGTGAAGACCACGACAGTGACGAAGCCGGCCAGTTTGCTCTTGCCTCCAGTGCGCTTGAGCTCTAACGTCTCCGCTTTCTGATGTGGCAACAGGAACACCCAGGCAATGGAGCAGATCTGGAAGGCGTACGCGATGAGGTAACAGTACGTCACTTGGTTGCGAACGTACGTGTCGTCCACCTGGAGGTACGCCTTGCCCGTGTCGAAGTGTGCGTCGATGTTCTAGTAGATGACCGTGGCAAAGGGCGAAGCAATGGTCTGGCAAGTGGTGATGAGACCGAAGACCGCGGCTTCATTACCACCTCCGACGATCTCGATCGTTGCGTACTGCGATACGATCTTGGAGATCGTGCTGGGAACCTCTTCGAGGAGGGGTGGGCCCAACCACATCCACTGGCTTCAGTAGACGTCCCAGATCGTGAAGAAGGTCGGGAAGCAGTCCACGAAAACCACCGACAGTTGAGTGATGACGATAATGGTGCGCCAGTTCCAGGTGAGACCGTAGCGCTTGATCACATAGAGCGACACTGCAGAGATGAGCGCCGCGAGGATACTGGAGATTGCGTCGTTGACAGGTTCCACCTTGGCCCAGAGGCTCTCAATGGGGCTCACAGCCGTCACGCTCATGAGCGAGAAGACGAAGTAGAAGAACCGGAAGGCGATGAGCTGGTACACCACGCGGTGTTGCAACAAGTCGAAGAGGAGGTGCATGTAGTCACGGAATGACCTCGCTGGTTCTTTAGTCTCAGCCACGAAGAACCAGGAGGACACCGTCGCGATAAGCGCAGCACCGGCACACACTGCGGAGATGGCATTCACACCCATGGAGCCCGAAAACGACCCACCGAAGTCTTCTCCGTTGAGGCCAAAGCCGACCATGGCAGACGACAGGATGGACATGACTTGCTTGAACACTTGCATCATGGTGAGTGCTGAGCCCCGAACTTCGGCCGGTTCACGCTGAGCGAACTCGATGACGACGCCGTCCGACGCAGCAATTGCCATGGTCATCCCAAGGTTGGCGAAGATCATGAGCAGGATGAACTTGGTACCGGCCTCTGGCGCGTCTTCGTTGATGAGCGCGATCTGATCACTGGTGAGGTTGGCCGCGGCAACGTAAGCGAGGTCGGGGTCACCGTAGTACGGGTCACCCGTGCGGAAGATGACCATGAGCACCAGGCAGATCGTCGCGAAGATCCAGCCAAACACCATGTACGGACGGCGGCGATAGCCCCAAACCGGGAAGCAATCGGAGAGGATGCGGATGCGGACAAGCACCTTGGCCGATGCGGTGGCCGTTCCAGACATCCGCAGGTGTTGTTAAGGAACGGGTACACCAACCCGTAGATGGTGCCGTTGATCACCCCCAGCGCTCCGTACTGGATCAAGATGCCAATGGTTTCGCGACTGTAGATGTTTGGGGGTCCACCCGGACGCAGAGCTCCGCCTTCGAGGGCATCGGGGGTCTTGAGCTCTTGGAAGGTGTTGGGCGAACTGACCGACAGCGGTGGCGCTTTCGGGTTGTCTTGGGTGGCGGCGGTGGTTGGAGTAGTCATGAAGAAGCAGACTTGATTGAAGGCAGGGAAATTGAGAAGTGAGAGTGGGGTCTGAAGCACTAGCCGCCGACGTCTAAAGCAGTGGAGAACACTCGTGGACGTCAAAGTTTGGTCCTTCTGTCGGCAAACGCCCTATAGTTGACCTGTCGATGTCATGGCAGCGATCAATCGCTGATCCCGATGGTGCACTGCTATTCACAAGTCTTGCGGTTTGTCAGGTGACTGAGCTGCCGTCCCACGGTGACCACGTGCCATTTACTAATGACATCGCGTCTACTAATGCGCGCACGACTGGAGTTCCAAGCGATGCCGTTCACATCGTCTCTATTGTGTCAACGATTCAACAATCAATTCGCACGGCAAGAGCAGACATGCCCTGATACGCAGCAGTCTGCAGGTCAGGCATCACTCGATGGCCAGCTAATGTCAACAATGCGATCACGTCCTGGGGGTGAATTAAGTATTAATCTCCATTCGTCCATTTACGGCATTGAATTCTTGGGAAATGGAAAATACAAAATCGGCGTTTCGTATCCTCCGATATGCGACTTTTCAAGCTCACAAGTCGATAGTCTCAACTGTCCCCACTGCTCCCAGCGAGCCATGGCGTCCAAGTACGCGAAGCCGATGCAGATCCCTGTCGACTTCCCTGACGTCTTGCGCAACTTCACGCGCGAGGTGCTCCGGCAGCAAGGCAAAGTCGAGACAAAGGAAGCGATCTACGCTTTCGGGTCGCAGTACTTCAAAGAGCTCGCCGCGAAGCAGGGTGGAGCCAACAAAGCGGCCGATGAGGCAGCGATGAGCGCGTTGACGCCAACGTACATAAAGATGGAAGAGGAAGCCGTGAAGGAGGTTTTGGTGGTTGCATTCAACGACGCACAGCAGCAGGACGGAGGCATGGTCGTCTACGAGCAGTTCAAACAGGTATTGCTGATAACTTCTTGCCCAAACGAGGCGAATATTTCTGAAGGGAGAATTGTATCGTGGCTCGATACAGATACTCGACGGAGTTGGCGAGCAGTTGCAGCTCTCTGCTACTGAGTTGAAGGCGCTGTACGCCGAAGCGGATGAAAACGAAGGAGGGGTCGTCAGCTGTGCAGGTACTGACTTCAGCGGTTTATCTTACTCGTCTAGAGCTAACGCGCTGCACCTGTAGACTTCTTGCCTCTAGGCATCCAGGCACTACTACAGCTCCGTGCCACTCATACGCAGCGCCTTGCTCGTATCGAATCGTTCAGAAAGCGTGAGGCCGAGGTTTTCTTCCATGGAATGATGCAGGACGAGATGGAGAGTATTTTGCGCGAAACCTTTCAGCGTGCCGATAAAGATGAGGTCGGTGCTCTTACTCGGTTGGCATTCATGGACGCGATCCGAGATGCCGATCTAGGGCTGACGCGGCGTGAAGTGAACATCCTCATGTCTGAAGCTCCCGTCGCGGAGGATGACCCGAATATCGTCGTTTATCCCGATTTTGTCCCAATCTGCTTCCCCGTGCTGAAAGACGCCTACGTCCAAGGTATCTTGGAGGCACACAGCAATCCGGACTGGATCGCACAGTATCTCATGGAAGTATTTGCGAGTGGAGACAGCGAAAACACTGGGCTGCTTACGGTCGCAGAGATCGCTCGCCTCTTTCGTGCCGCTGACGTCGGTCTCACGCGGCTGCAGATCATCGCCGTTATGGCTGAAGCTCAGGAAGATAACACGGGCTTCGTCAACTACGAGAGGTTCGCAGCCCAGATATCGGGAATGGTGCTGGCGCTGACCAATGTCGACAGTCAACAAAACTATGCTTCCTACCTGCAGCGGTATCGCAAAACGAGCGAGTACTACACCGTCTTGGAGCTGAATCAGCACACGTTCGAGCAAGCACTCTCACGCGCGTTAGAAGCCGTCGATGAAAGCCACCGGGGGGTCCTCGTGCGGGATGAAGTCGTGGGGGCCATCCGAAGTGCCTTCCCGGAGATAACCGATCGTCAGTTGCGATCGTTGATGGCACTTTCAGATCCGGACGAGATGGGCGAGCTGGATTACAACCTCATCACACTCTCCGCCTTCCAAGCGCTGCAAAAGCTGCAGGAGTATGACGTGATGGTTGCTGAATCTTAAGTGCTTGTCAGAAGCGCACAGGTCATTATTTCACAATACATAGTTCTATCAAGACCCCGTACTTTAGTTGGAGTCAATACTAACTGACGCTGATGATACCATCAGAATGTCGCGCATTTTGTGCTGGAAGCGCTGGGCGTACAGCTTAGGTGGGGCTGCTGAGATGCCCAAGCCGTCATGACGGAGCACCAGCGTCTTCCACAAGCGCTCCAATCTCTTGCGCCATGTCCACGTTTGGAGCATGTCAACTACACCAAGCGTGTAGTAGTCCGGTCCAACAACAACACACGCCTGGTAGCCACGCTTGTCAACAGTCCTGGTTCCGATCCACTGTGAGTCATCGAACGTATGGGAGCTCATATCAGCCGGACCATACGACACCGAGTTGTAGCGGCGCATTGATCGCCCTAACAGTGGCGTGTCATCTTGGATCGTTACAGTGCTGTCGTCGAGCTGGTTCACCACTGAGTAGCGGCAATTTCTGTTGAACTTTCGTCGATTCCCAGACTCCACCTCGTCCAAATCTTCGTCACTGGAGCCTTCCGTAGGTTCCGCACCATCCGTAGCAATCGACAAGAAGGTGTCGCTGTCGGGATGACACACTGGGTAATTCACCTTGCGCTTCGTCGGCGACTGCAGTCTGGCATCCGTAGCCGTGTGCTCTACAACGTATTTCGTGTTGTGCACACTCAGCATCAAGCTGTAATCCATAATGCCTTGTTCTCGCAAGAAGTTGCTATCACTGTCGAGTTGCCGGACAAGCGCTTGAGCTGTAATTACACAATTTGTCAGTTTTAAGCCAGATTTGTTGCAGCAGGAGCGCAGTTGTGCTTACCGATGTCCGATGGAACACGTAGCTTGCGGTGAAAGTCGTTGTCTTTCAGCACAATGTGGGGCAAATGATTGCCGCGAAGGCTGTACTCGCAGCTCTCGTTTGTACCGTACTGAAAAGCGTTGCTGCAGTACGTGCAGATCACGGTCTTTCCTGGAGGAATCGCCTGTAAGAACCAAATACAAGCGCAATAAGCACACAGTTAGCCATCTCTAGGATAGCATGTCCAACTCAACACCAAATGACACGTACCGGCGCGTTGCGGTCAACCCACGATCCCTTGATGTCGAAAAACTGATGCATGCTCGTCCGGCCCATGACATTCCCCATGACCACGAAGCTAAAGACTTGGCCATACATCTCGATGGAGTGGCAACCGTAGAACCGCGTCAAGTGCGATTCTGGATTCAGCTTCATGTGGCGAATGTACGCTGGGAGCATATCCAGCAGCACATTGCGTTCGCTGGTTGTCACTGACTTCACCAAAAATGAGTAGTCGGCCGTGTAAAACATGAAGGCGCCGCTGGATCCCCCAGACTCGAGTCTTTCGTGGCATGTGGCTAGGAACGCTTTCCTGTAGAGGGTCTCGTTGATGCCGAAGCCCTGTCGGATATCGCGGAACGACGAAGGGCTGTAGTCGTCGAAGCACACGGTCATGCCAAGCTCATGCAGGCGCAGGTGCACCACGCGTCGGCCGTCCGTGACCATCGGAGTGTTCGACGACGCTGCTACGATGCCTCTTGTCGTGAAGTGGAGCACTTCTTTGCGTAGCGCGACGTTGAGCTGCGGCTGGAGATCGATGTCGACGTCGCTGTAGCGGTCGCTGTCGAAAGTCTCGCGCGCGCGGCAGTCCACATGCGGGTAGCCGTTGATGGCCACCCAAATCACTAAATCGATCAGCCCTTTCGCCGTCTGGAGGAAGGACGATGCATCGCGTACTAAGTGAAGCGCGCGCGGGTGGTCGCCGAGAAACAGCACGTCTGCGAGCCAGAACGAGATGAGGATGATCTGGTAGATGATGTAGGCCACCGTGAAGATCCTGGCGCTGCGAATGACGTCCTTCTTGGCCTCCAGCGCCTCCTTCATGCCTCGGAACGGGTGCGTCTGCGTCTCCAAGACTGCGAACACCACCGCGCACAGCACCGCAAGGATGACCACGATGTAGTGCATGACGAGCTCGTCGGCCACCGTCTCGTCCACGAAGCAGGCCGCGTGGACCTTGGGGTCGAACTCGACGCTCGAGACCCAGAGCAGCGCGGCGAAGAGTGCGCCTACACCCCACGAGAAGGTGTGATACCACTGCAGGTTCAGCTTGAGGTTCGTGAAGGGGTTCGTGGAGCACTGGTAAAGGTTAAATGACATGCAGAGGAACCAGCACTCGGACGAGAAGAGGCAGAACTGCGTGAACGTCGCCAGCGCGCGGCAGCCCAGCGCGTTCGTGTAGACATCCCAGCTGTACTGGAAGCGCAGCGCGTAGAGCAAGTCGACCACGGCCTTCCAGTAGATGAGCGGGTTCGGGTGGCGCCTCCACTTGCGCTTGAGCAGGAAGGACAGCACGATGACGGAGCAGCTGATGACCGAGATGAAGGCGCCCGTTTGGGTCGGCAGCGAGTCGGGCCGCGCATCGGCCAGCACGTAGTTCCGGTTGGGCTTCATGCACGGGCTGCGGGCTGGACCGCGGCGACGACGGGGCGGAGCTGTCTGAGAGCAGGTGAGCCTGTTCCGAGTTGTTGGCGGCGGCGTGTGAATGAGCAACTGTACGACGCTGTTGCTCTGCTTCGGGCTGTTTGTGGTGTCCTCAGGAGACCGTGTCGAGAGATGGGCCGGGGACCCGCCTCTCTACTGTATTAGAAAGGCCGGTTCACACTGTTTCACACGGTTTCACATCCGGCGGTGAGCTTGTTGGTGGCAGTGCGCCTCGATGATGGCTCAGCGACTCGCTTGCTTTGCTGTGCTGGTTGGTAGTGAGAGCGCAGGCTACGACACGCGGGAGGGAACGCCCTGCCATCGCGAACGCGACGAGCACTGGGCTTGATCCAGGGTTGTCGCCATCTTGTTAAGGCGAGCTGCTCGCGCGCTGGGCTATGCAATTCGTACCTGGCCATTGCGAGCTCGAGTGCGGCTCAGCAAGCTGAGTCGGACGAGACTCGCGCCTGGATGCACCATCGGCCATAGAGAGAGGAAAGGATACCGCAGCGCCATGCGATCCGCGCTTCACGCCCAAGCAGTCTGTTGTGCTGGTCAATCTTGAAGTTGGCACGCTCTCAGATGGCGACTCGACACCGTTTGTGTCGTTAAACGAGCGTGCGTCTGCAGGCGGGGCGGGCGCAAACACGGCTTGAAGCAGCGGCTTGGCGGCGATCCTGAGAGAAAATCACTCCTTGTTGAAGCGCACCCGGCCCGAATACATTCTGAACCTTGATGAAAGCATTCCGTGAGCATTCAAGTCGAGATATTGTTTGTGCATTTCACCTGAAAGGTGTTTATCTTTGTTGCTGATGCAAAATCTAAGTTCGCAGTGGTGTATACAAGGTCTGCGGTGGGGCAAACTACAGCGACAGGAACCAGTCGCGGGTCTCGCCGATTCCGTCCGAGAAGTCGTACGACGCTGTGAAGCCCAGCTTGTTCGTCGCCTTCACGGGCGAGCACACCGACTCCTTCACGTCACCGGAACGGAACGGCACGTTCACGATCGCAGCCGACGATCCGAACTTCTCGACGATACGCTGGGCTACAGATTTGATGGTGGATTTGACGCCCGTGCACACGTTGAACACGTCAAACTCGTCGTCGCCCAACAGCATCGCCGTGCGGATAGCGCGCGCGACGTCCTTGACGTACACAAAGTCACGGTACTGGTCGCCGTCGCCGGTCACTTTCAGCGTGCCGTTGATCTTGGCCTGCTCCATGAACCACGAGACGACGCCGCTGTAGGACGAGTGGGGGTCCTGGCGGGGGCCGTACACGTTGAAGAAGCGCAGTGCCGTCGACGGGAGCCCGTAGTCCTCGTTGAACTGCTTCATCAACTTCTCCATCTGGAACTTGGTGGTGGCGTACGCGCAGATTCCTCCGGTGGCCGTTTCTTCACTGAGGGGCAAGTTCTCCGGCAAGGGGGTACCGTAAGTGGCAGCGGAAGATGCCGCCACGACGCGCTTGACGCCGTTCTTGGCGGCCCAGTCGAGCACCTTGCGCGACCCTTCAACGTTGATACGCTCGTACTTCTCTGGAAGACGCGTGCTCTCCTCCACGGAGATGGCAGCGGCAAGGTGCACCACGTAGTCAATCTGCGCCAACATATCACTACTCATTAGAGATCCAAAACATGTTAAACGAGGGGAGTGGGAGACCCCGCCTTGCCGCCCCACGCAAAGATACGACCACCACCAAACGCACCTTGTGGATGATGAAGGAGAAGTCGTCCACCACCGTGATGTCCTTGACCAGGACGGCGGCCGCGCCACGGTTAAAGTTCTTGCCGTTGCTCATGTCGTCGTACACCACCACCTGCAGCAGCCAGAGCCATAGCCACAGTCAACAGCGTTAGTTAGTCTCGTGTCTGAGTTAGATCCAATTTAAATCAGTGCCGACCTCGAAGTTGTTGGCCAGCAGATCCTCCACCACGTGGCTGCCGATGAAGCCCAGGCCGCCGGTCACCAGCACCGTCGGCTTCGGGGCCGCGAAGCGGCGGAAGACCGGCGTCATGGCGCTCCGCCCGCCGCTGGTCTGGTAGTAGCCCCCTCCGAAGAGCGCTCCCACCGCGAAGATGGCCAGCGCGCCCACGTACACGTAGAACTTGGGCAGCAGCAGCCAGCTCGTCTCGGGGCGGCCGTTGCGGCCGTGGCGTGTGGGCAGCATCGTGAGTCTCTGGGCGGGGGTCGATGCTCGCTTGCTCGCGGAAGTCGCGCACTGCCTGCCTGCTCACTTCGCGCACCCAGCTTCGACTGGCTGGTGGCAAGATGTGTGCGGGCGGTGGCGCAAGCTGCTGAAGGGACGCGCACACCAAATCCACACAAAAGACCCCTGTCCGGGACAAATTGCCCCAATGCCCCGATGGCCTCGGGCCGGTGAATGAGCCGAACTTCATGAGCATGTATTGCCGCGCTGCTCATAGCAAAACCATCAACATAATATAAGGCTCGCGTCGGCTAACTTCAGGAACGTCGTCATGTGGTTCGTCACTTTGACGGCTGAAGCAGATTCGCGCCTGGCACAGATGCTTGCCTTAGTTAAACACCGCTGGCGCTCGCACACCCATCAGACCCACCACAATATCACCGCCATTCAAGTCCTCCGTGTTGTTTCTGTTTTTTATTATTTTTATCATTTTGTCAACAAAAAGCCACTTGCCTGCTGCACACGTGCTGTTGCTTTCCCAGCACCACCCGCAGCAGAAAGCAGAAAAGTCCGCCTGGTATAGTTTTGGAGGCGTAGACTCTCTACGTACAGTACAGCCAATAGCTCACTCGCTTGCTTGCGTGCTCACTTGTTGGCAATGTCATGGTGGGCACGGCTCTTCTTACAGAGTCAAGAACCAGTCGCGCGTCTCGCCGATGCCCGTGGGGAAGTCGTACGAGGCCGTGAAGCCAAGCTTGGTGGCAGCCTTCACAGGCGAGCACACCGACTCCTTCACGTCGCCCTGGCGGTACGCAATGTGCGTGATGTCGGCCGACGAGCCGAACTTGGCCTTGACGGCAACGGCAACGTCGTTGATCGTCGTCTTGACACCGGTGCACACGTTGAACACGTCGAAGTCGTCGTCCTTCAGAAGCATGGCCGTGCGGATGGCACGCGCGACGTCCTTGACGTACACAAAGTCACGGTACTGCTCGCCGTCGCCGGTCACCTTCAGCGTGCCGTTGATCTTGGCCTGCTCCATGAACCACGAGACGACGCCGCTGTAGGACGAGTGGGGGTCCTGGCGGGGGCCGTACACGTTGAAGAAGCGCAGAGCCGTCGACTTGAGGCCGAACTGCTCGTGGAACTGAGCCATGAGGTGCTCCATGTCGAACTTGGTGGTGGCGTACGCGCAGATTCCGCCAGTCGCGGACTCCTCGCGCAGCGGCAGGTCCTCCACCTTGGGGATGCCGTAAGTGGCGCCCGACGAGGCGGCGACAACGCGCTTGACGCCGTTCTTGACGGCCCAGTCGAGCACCTTACGGGAGCCCTCAACGTTGATCCGCTCGTACTTCTCGGGGAGGCGCGTGCTTTCCTCCACGGAGATGGCAGCGGCGAGGTGCACCACGTAGTCGATCTGCAACGTTGACAAGCAAAACGTGAAAATGGACGGGCCAGGTGAATGTTCCGAAACACATGAAGGGATAAAGACAGGGGCGAAAATGGAGACGAACGCGCGCGCACCTTGTGGACGATGTAGGAGAAGTCATTGACGACCGTGATGTCCTTGACCAGCACGGCCGAGACGTCCTTGTTGAAGTTCTTGCCGTTGCTCATGTCGTCGTACACAACAACCTGCACACGAAGAGACTTTGGTCAGAACAGTGCAGGGGCAAAAAGACGAGGAAGATCACAGACAGCACCCACGTTAAAGTTGTTGGCGATGAGGTCCTCCACGACGTGGCTGCCGATGAAGCCCAGGCCGCCCGTGACCAGCACGGTGGGGTGGCCGTTCGAGGGCTGCGCCACGGTGGTGGCGCCCAGGCTCTCGGCGAAGTTGAGCGACGTGCGGTAGTAATAGCCGCCGCCCGAGAGCATGCCGACGAGGAACACGAGCACGGCGCCCAGGTACAGGTGCGTCTTGGAGATGAGCATCCACGAGCTCTTGAGCTCGATCTCGTGCTCCGGGTGGCCCTTGTGGTTGGGGAACGTCTTCTCGGCCTTCTCGTTCGGCGCCATGGCTGCGGTGTCCTGCTGCGCTCCGAGGCTCGCTTGTGCTGCTTGGGGGTGAATTGCAAAGTGGGTCGACTGGCAGGACTCGCAACGTCAGCGCTGTCGAGTCGACTGCCAGCATGGGCCGACGTACGCCGCCAAGGTCCACTGTCTTTGGTGGATCAACTTGGCCGAAAAGAAAAGTAGTCATGGGTCTTTTCAACGAAAATATGGAACCTCAGTGTGGTTTCAGGGATCCACCCACACAAGATACGGTGTGTTTTATTGCACACCCACGAATTCGGATTAAATACGAATCCACTGAATCTTGATCTGAGTAAGGCGACTTAGTAACACCCGTTTCCACCCAGTTTTGGGTGAAACCTGCGGCGTCGCTTCAACCCCACCCCTACACAACCGTAGATGATCCATACAAAGTCCAGGTCTATAAGCTTTGGCGAGTCCCACCAAAGCTCACTTCAACCACCACCAAGACCCTGCCCCCTTGATACTTGGCCGCAGTCTCCGCCGCTTTGAGCACGAAGAAACCGCGAGCTTCTGCTTCGCATGCGGCGCTGGCGTCGACACACCACCCGGTGCTTGCCGCGCTTGCTGACGGTCAAGCGGTCCCGACGCCAGCGCAAGCGCAAAATGTGCCGGAATTTTGGACGGCGAGCTATGGCCTGCATACTCTCCGCGAGTCAACGCTGGTTTGGAGGCAAAAGTTTGAGCCGGAGCGCGCAGTTGCTCTGCTGAATGCAACGGCTTGCGCTGCAGGAAGCCTTCCCAGGCATAATCGCCTGGTGTTCGAGAAAGCTGAAGTTTTGGCTCCGAGTACGTGGCCGGCTTGGTTGGCGCTCGTCGCCTTTGCGCGTGCGCGGTCGAGCTCTACTTCCGTTTTTTCTCGGTGAAAGTGGCCGGGCTCGCGCAGCGGCGCGCGCGACTGTGGGGTGAGACGCTGGTCGACGACTGCGTACTACAGCGGGATCCCTTACGCGCAGATACCGGCAAGAGCAGCACCTGATGCTTTGAGCTGTGCCCTTGTCCATGACTTCCAGGTGCGCAGCGCTTTGTTTCACTGCAGGTTGCGGCTCCAACTTGCAACTTCATGGCAAGTATCGGAGAGACCGCGCCACGGGAGAAGCTTGAGTGAACGTAGCATGTCTGCGTGCCGACCTGGACGCAGAAGTTGTATCAAAGCGAGTGCTCACGAAGGAAAGCGAGTTTTTGGGCGATCGACAAGACAATCGCGGCGGATTCTGGCGACATTTGCAGCTCAACGTTGGTGGCTCTCGATCCCGTTTTTTGCCTGACGTCGATTGCCCACCTGCAGAGTGCCAAGATCTAATCCTGCGAATGATTTGCAGTGGAACGTTCCGCCAGTCGACAAGTTGTCATGATGACAACGTTGACCCGCAAGTCCAGGCACTGTAGACCACACCTTCTACGAGCCCTGGGGAGAGCCGGGCTCCTGGGCTCTTGGGTGAACCCAAAAAGTCGCGAGCTCGGGCTCCTGGGCTCTTGAGTTCAATAGGTTAAGTGAAAGGAGCCCTCCAGAACTGTGAGCCCTCGTTAAGGGCTCCCCATCACCTGTGTTAAATATCTCGCTGATGATTGGCCGTCATTGAAGTATCTCCAGGTTCTAACCTGAAAAGGCATAGGAAAGAGGGCTTCTCCTTGAGGGGAAGGAAGGACTATCGGCGACGCTGGGGTGGCCTCGGAGCGGCTGTACACATATGAGCGGCGCGAGATCTTCTAGTGTGGCGATCTTTGAGCTCGATCTTCTAGCGTGGCGCATCGATCACGCGAAGTTGCTCGCCTTAACTCTAGGTAAAATTGGCCAATCAGATATTACTATGAAGAGCCCGTCATAGATTTGAAGCTAAATTTGGGGAGCTCTGGAGGGGAGCCAATGGGGAGCCCGAACCAGGGCTCCTTGATCTCGTACTTACCATGAGGGAGCCCATTTTGTGCGACTTTTGGCTCGTTTTAGGGGGAGCCCACTTTTGAAGTAGACGGGCTCAGCTAACAAGACACACGCAGCTCGAATGTATGAAGCACGGCAGCAGCACCACGACGCGAATGGCGTACACGGCAATTGGTATGGAGTCTGACTGGCTGAAGAGGAGACCTGCAACTGCAACTGCAGACTAACCGGCAGTCAGATGCGCTTTGGATCAGGCAGAGAGTGGTGAGAATCTAGCCTACAGCACTCATAGATATGTACAAACACTACGTGGTACTGTACGTGTATGCTCTGTAGATGACGGCGTCCAGTGGGCCTCAAGCTGCGGGCAACCCCAAGGAGTTCTAGCTCGAGATCCACCGCAAGACGCACTTCCTGAACTTCACCGCGTTCGAGGCCACAGACGAGGACGTGACCACCGTCGGCGAGGAGCAGCAGAACCTTCGCATGAGCCAAAAGATAGTCAAGCTTGCGGCCAATGGCTCCATGATGGAGCCTCCATCAGACCCCCTCCCGAAAAGACCGCGCTTGAACGTGCTCGCTCAGTGTGAACAAAGCCCTCGCTCCTTATTGCGAATCCGTGGCTGATGAAATGTTGGTTACGACGAAGCATTGCAAAGCTGGACAGGAATCAAGCAAGACACAAATTCATGGCTATCGTGCAAGAAGCTCTATGTGCAATCTAAACGCATAGCAAATCGACTGCAGCTACCAGCTATCCATGCACGCTTACTACGAAGACGACACAGGTACAAGTCCTGCACTCCTTCTACAAGCGACCAAAGCACTCAGCGAAAACGAGCTTACAGCGCGGGGGCAGCCGTGGCCTCCACAACGGGGGCCGCAGCGACCTCGGACACAACATCGCCGGGCACGTTCAGCAGACCGCGGCCGTTGTTGATGCTCTTGAAGAAGTCGCCGAACACCAACGAGATGATAGCCATCAGCTTCATCAGAATGTTAAGGGCGGGGCCCGAGGTATCCTTCAGCGGGTCACCCACGGTGTCACCGATAACGGCGGCCTTGTGGATGGCGCTGCCCTTGCCTTGCACGATGAGCTTGCCGTCCTTGTCCTCAATGGACACGCAGCCCTTCTCCACGAACTTCTTGGCGTTGTCCCAGGCGCCACCAGTGTTCGACTGTGAAATGGCGAGCTGCACACCCGAGGTCAGGCCGCCGACAAGCAGACCAGACACGGCGTGCACACCGAAGAAGGTGCCGGCAACGATGGGGGACAGCATGACAAGAAGTCCAGGCGGGATCATCTCACGCAGAGAGGCGTCCGTCGAGATCTTGATGCAGCGGGCGTGGTCCGGAGGACCGTGGCCGGGGAGACCCTCAAGAAGACCGGGGATCGTGGCGAACTGGTGCTTCACCTCCTTGACCATCTCCATTGCGGCAACACCAACCGACTTCATCGTCAGGGCGGTGAACCAGTACGGCAGCATAGCACCCATGAACAGGCCAGCGAACGTGATCGGGGACAGGATGTTGATCGAGGTCTCCTCAATACGGGTCACGAAGCCACCGAACAGGGCCAGCGACACAAGAGCAGCCGAACCAATGGCGAAACCCTTGCCGATAGCAGCCGTCGTGTTACCGGCAGCGTCCAGAGCGTCGGTCTTGTCACGCACCTCAGCGGGCAGCTCAGCCATCTCGGCAATGCCACCAGCGTTGTCACAAATGGGGCCGTACACATCAATGGCCAGGCAAGTAGCGAGTGTGCCCAGGAAGCCGAGAGCGGCAAGGGCAACACCGTACATGCCGGCCATCGAGAAGCCGACGTACACAGCGAGCGAGATGATCGTGATCGGGATGATAGCCGACTTGTAACCAAGAGCAAGACCGTAGATGATGTTGGTGGCGGCGCCAGTCTCGCAAGCCTGGGCAACCTCACGCACGGGGTGGTAGCTGTGCGAGGTGAAGTACTCCGTCACGAAGCCGACGATGCAGCCGCCCCACAGGCCGACGGCAACGCAGTAGAAGGCGCGGATCGGGGTGACCTGGAACGAGCCACCGATCGAGAAGGTCGACGGCAGCAGCCACAGGGCAACGGGGATGATCAGGATGGTCATGAGCAGAGTGGAGCCGAACAGCTGCACCTTCAGCACAGTCTCGACGTCCTTCTCCTTCTTGACGGGCCACACGTGGGTGGCGAGGAAGCTGACGATGGCGGACACGAAGATGCCCGTAGCCGTAATCACCAGAGGGAACAGGACAGCGGGCCAGCCAGCGCCAATGATCTCGGGGCTCTGCGTCGAGATCACCAGGCACGCGCACGTGGACTCGGCGAGCGAGCCGAAAAGGTCCGAGCCCATACCAGCAACGTCACCGACGTTGTCGCCGACGTTGTCAGCAATGGTAGCGGGGTTACGCGGGTCGTCCTCGGGGATGTTCTCCACGACCTTGCCGGCAAGGTCGGCACCGACGTCGGCAGCCTTGGTGTAGATACCGCCACCCACACGGCCGAACATGGCAATCGAGGAACCGCCCAGGCCGTAGCCGGAGATAGCCTCGAACAGCTTCTTGTAGTCGGTCGACAGCGGGTACTGCGTCTCGAAGGCCTTGATCAGGATGAACAGCACCAGCAGGGCCATGGAGCTCAGTCCGAAGCCCATGACGGCACCGGCACGGAAGGCCGTGTTGAAGGCGTCGCGCCAGCCGCGGGCGCCCTCCTTCATGGCCGAGACCGTGGTACGGGCGTTCGAGTAGACGGCAACCATCATGCCCATGTAGCCGGCGGCCATGGACGTGAGGCCGCCGACAGCGAAGGCCGTGGCGTTCAGCGTGCCGAAGAGCCAGTCGAACTGCTTGCCGTCCTTGTTGACGAACGACGTGAGCACGAGCACGACGGCGCCGAAGACGATGATGAAGGCGAAGCACAGCGTGTACTCGGCCAGCAGGAAGGCGCGGGCGCCCTCCTGGATGGCGCAGAAGATCTCGAACAGGCGGTCGGCCGTCTGGTGGCGCACCTCGGACGCCAGCAGCGCGTAGCCATCACCGCGGCGCGTAACCTTGACCTTGGACACTTCCCAGAAGAGGTAGGCCGCGAACAGGATGCCGAAGACACCCGCGCTCACCACGTAGGCGTAGGCTTCGAAAGCTTCCGCCATGGTGCTCTTTAGATCCCCTCGACAGAATGCAGAAACGAAAATGCTTGGATCTTGCGGGTCGAAGGGGGAGGGAAACCAACGGCCAGCATGCGAAGATCCTTTCATTTGGTTTCTCTATGCGGTATACAGTGTTGCCGTGGTTGCCTTTCACCTTTGCGTCTGATTCCACTCGCCCCGGCTCTGCAAAGATTTGATTTTCATCTAGCCCCCATTCAGGGCGAATTTGGGCCGAGTTGGATACGCTGGGGTCCCATTATGGAGTATATGGCGATTTGTATGCCCCAACTTGAAGCGACAACGCCGGACTGCCTCAGCGTGCTCGGCGGCACGGCCTGATCCCCAGACGAGCGTCGAGCGACGTTGCTCGGTCCGACGCCACGCCGCATAGGTATCGTCACGCGAGTCGCGTGACGCGACCAGTGCAAGTGCAGGTACACGAACCCGGTCGGTGGTGTGCTCATTTTGCCGTTTGGGGGGGGGGAGCGAGGTTGCCATCATCGGGCTTGGTCCCAGCAAAGGTGGCGACCACTCTATTTTGCATGTTCGAAATCCGCTTCGCAGAGCAAAGCAAGTTGCTTGCTTACGACCATCTTGGCGCGCGCCTATTCTCGGGCTACTATTATACCCCTGTTGATGCCGGCGCCGTAACAGCGGAAGCGCAACGACGAATCCGCGATGGTCACTTTCGTCAACCTCAGCGGCTGCAGCAAGTATTTGTATTCTCTGGCTGCAGCAGGACAGCAGCAAGCTGTTTATATGGCCGTCCGCAGCCCGCAATGCGGAGTCCGCACTGCACATGCCGCTCGGCGAGTTGGAGTGGCGTCGGAATGGGCATCGAAATGGGTCTCGGTCCGTCCTTGCGCGTCAGACGCTTCCAGCGAAAAACCTTAAGAGCCGGTATCTCCTCGTTTCACTGAGTTAACGTAAGGAGACCCAGAACCGGTACCTCCGCCACGGGAAAAACCTCGCCCGGAAATCGAACCAGATTTCGCATAGAACGGCCGGCGAATCAGTCGGTATCTTTTTGCTTGGTTGAAGCTTCCGCGAACAAGCGACATGCGCCGCTGTCATCGAGCCGCCTTCGCGCCATGGTGCTTGGGCTGCGGACACTTTTGCCTGCATACGCTTTGCCTTGCCGAGGTCGGCCTGCCCCGACGAAGGTCCACCAGCCATTCGGAGCCCGCAGCATAAATACGGGCACGCGCTCGGCGCAGCTGCCCGCTAAAAGCGTTGAGGCCCACGCAACGCTCGTCGGGTTTCTGGCCGATTGAAGCAGCAGAGACTGGGCGCGTGGGTGCTCGGTGTGCGTGGCGAGCAATCCACGCAGCCCGGAGTCCGGGCCCCGGCGACGGCGAACGGCGTGGTGGATGGCCGCGCTCACAGCTGGAAGTGCGAGCGAGCAGTGCCGCCAGCGTCTGCCAGGCGGAATGAAGAGGCCGAACAACGAACGGGCCGGACAACCTCGAGCTCTAGCTGGTTTGGTGGCTCTGCAGACTGCTTCACGACCAGGTTACGCTGCAACGCAAGTATGTTCGGAGCGAAATATGGGCGAGCTAAGCGTTCCAATGTACGGTATTGTACATTTGCCGTGGTGCATTGCCGAAGTTGGTGATCTAAGTTGCATTTGTTGTGTGCATAAGTTTAGCTGTGTCCTCAACACGGTGCGTCCGCCGCTACCGGTATACGAAAAGCAGCAGCTTGCATGCAGCGAGCACAATCGGAATGGAGAGGAGTTAGATGCACCGAGCGAGTCCCATCTGTGAGCAGCCCAATTGTCGGCGCTAGTTTTGGAAAGAGTGTAATGCGCTGCTGGCCGACCTTAGAGTTGCGGGGCGAACCCCATGAAGCGCGATTTGACGCGAGGTATCGAGCAGCGATACATTCGTTCAGCCGGCGCGTGGGTCTGGTCACCAGACTCTGGTGACAATAGTGTCATTATCAGACAGACGCGCCTGAACTCGGCTAGCCAAAATCGCCGATCAGCCTCGTTAGAGGAATATCAAAAGCAGACAGCTAGTAGTATACGCCAGTAGCATTTGGTTCATAGGGCAAATGGCAAATGGTATCTGTCTCGCGCGGCATGCTGTGCAGAAGTCATTCAATAGATGGATCCGAGTCACCCAGTACTCGATTCGGATTGGCCAATCACCTTGAAGTTGTTCGGTCTCTCTGGTACCTTTATGGTCAGCCTGCATTTTGGCCAAGTGCGCCCCACAGCTAGAAGCATCCGACTCTAGTTTTATCAAGCGGTTGCCCACGATATCCCTAAGCATTATGGAGCGGTTGCGGACGATATTCATAAAATCTTAGCACAAACAATCTTGAGAAAAATGTGCAGGCATTAGTAGTTAGTCTGACGTTGCCTTACGCGCTCTTAAGCACTTCATTGTGCCGCGTTCGAGTACCCTCTCGTCCTGCAGCCACTTCCGTCTCCTGAAGGAGAAACAGCAGCAGCGGGTACATCAAGTGCTGGAAGAAGGCATAGTTCACTCGGCCGTTACCGTTTGGGTCGGCCAGCACACTGAGCTGCTTCATTTCCGTCATCGTCCCGACAGGAAACCCATGGGTTTGAGCGAGCTGCTTGAGGGCTTCATGAAAATCGTCAACCGAGATGACGCCCAAATGCCCGTGGTCAAAGCTCTCGAAGCAGTCGTAGCTGGCTTGACGAACAACATTTTCGCTCGGAAGCCCTACCGAAGTGAAGTCCCAAACGCCCATCTCATGAAGCAGTGCGGATTTCTCGGACAGAGTGGCCACGTCCACCAGCTCGCGCATATACTTCGCTAGTTGAGGGATGATTTTTTGGTAGTAGACCAAGTGATCGGGTGAACCAGCGCGCTCTTCGGTCAGCGCGACAAGCTGCATGATTTGATACGGCGACAAGAGCAGCTTTTGCATCCCCTTCAGAGCTGCTTTCACCTCCTTCTGCGTTAGGCGTTGCTTTAGGTGCGTCGACGCACCTTGCAGGTTCCGCTTCTCGAAGGCCTGGAATTGGTGCAGCAAGTACTTTTCCATGCGATCAAGAAAGCCTCTGCGCTGGAATCGAAAGATCATTCGGCGTACACGTCGTAATAGCGGTCCGAGTTTCTCGCAGAGCACTTCCTCAATGCCATTTGCGTTGGTTTTGGTCTCAGCGAGAGCTAGTGTGAGGTTGATCTCGGCTTCGCTGAGGAGGAGCTGTGGCGTCTCCAGAACTCCTCGTAACTGGTGGCGAGTCATTCGTGGATGCTGTTTCGCTGACGAGCCACGACGACCAGTGGACGACCGTCGGCGGGATGTTGAACGCATCTCAGCATCCTCTTCAGCAGCAGCAGCAGCAGCAGCAGGAGACGTATCATCAGCAGTAGGTGCCGCCTCCGGAGAAACTTCTTCTTCTTCATCCTCATCCTCTTCTTCATTTTCGCCCTCTTTAGTCTCCTCCAGAACCCCGATGGTCATGTCTTGTTGTGCTTCCATCTCGGCAGCGGCGCGACGAGCAGCCATGGCGTTGGCAGCCTCTGCTGCACGTTCTGCGTGCGCTTCGAGCAGAGCCACCAGTTTTTCCACAGTGTAGTGAGTCTGACGGGCTGACACCACCTCAAATGCGTCCAGAGCTTCGTCATCCTCTTCAGTGCCGACTGTCATCTGGTCTATATTGCTTGCACTGCCGTCCCCACTCATCGTATCGATCATGTCTGCGGCGACAGCCACAAGGTCTCCATACGCCACCATATCGTCTCGGTCGGAAGCGGCAAGAGCGAGCAGCACTTCGCGTGGCGCAACCCGCGGATTGAGTTCTAACGCGTCCACAGTCTCGCGGAAGACCTCGACCAGCAGTTTGCCGTCGTTGTACGAGTCGCTGTGTTGCATTTGCTCCAGAAGATACTCCTCCATGGCCTCGCGCTCATGCTCGCGTTGCTCCACCTCACGGGCGCGCATGACCGAAGGCACGCGAGTTGAGGCAAACTCGTCGCTGAGATCCACGAGCTGAGCTGCTCGCAACTGCAGTTTGCGTCGCAGCACGCGGTCAAGCACCGCTTCGTCGAAGTTGACGGCCTCGAGGTCGTGGAAGTGCGTGTCCTGCTCCACAGTGAACCCCCGCACTCGCTGGTGGTCGGCGCTCAGATGGAAGCAGAGCCGCGCCACTGCTTCGGGGGCGGGCATCTCGGTCGTGGGCTTGCTGAAGGTGGCCATCATGCGAGACATTGAGTCTTTGCCGCTGGCGACAGCCGTCACGTGGAACTTGTACGAGAGGCGGCCGCACGCCGCCCACTGCGAGAGCAGCGCCTGGACGGCGTGCTGGGAGTCGCTTGCATCTGCCATGGCGCTCGATGCGGACGAGCACTAACAACGTAGCTAACTGCCTGCTGGAGGCACGCTATGTATAGATCGTGGAGCAGGGTGGAATGGCTACACATGCGCCACCCCGTGATTGGTCGATCTAGTTGAAGTGAGAAGATAGCCATTTGCAACTGGATTTCTCAAGTGCGGAATAGGGAATCCGGTGGATGCAGTTTGCCGCTAACCAGCCGCTGGAGATAGACTTCTTCTCTGTGAGGCTGTGGGGGTAGTATCCTATACAAATGCAGCGGTTTGGGTGGCAACGATGCTGTCTCACGTTCGAAAGAAGTCATTGACAGCTTGGTTAGTCACTTCCGGACTTGCTCCGTGTCCAACGCAACGCGCTACAGGTAAGGGTGAGGTGCTACTGAATGAGAAAAGCGAGAGCGAACAGCAGCAGCCAGACGGAGCTGACGCTGGTCGAGGCCACCAGGCGGCCTCGACGTGGCCTGGTGATCAACAGCTTCTCGTGCGCCCCAGCCACGGGCGTCTGGTACTACCGAGTGGACGTGTCCGCGTACGAAGAGGAACTACTGTCGACGTTCATCGATGAGAAGGAGAACGAAAACGACGATGGCTCCAGCGACGACGGTCGCAGATCCAGTCACACTGACTCACGGGCAGACGCGGACGTGGAGCACTACTCCATCCTGAGACGCTACAACGACTTCCTGCAGCTGTACGAACAGATCCGCTCTGTGGTCATTGCTACCGAGGGAAATGCATGTAGTTTGCCTCCGTTCCCAGGCAAAGAGTACATATCATCGGCGCTGATTGGTTTGCTGTGGCGCGGGTCGTCGTCGAAGACTGTACTGGAAGAACGACGCGCCAAGTTCGAGGTGCTGCTGCAGTGGATTGAGAACCACCCCATTGCCCGCAACTGCCCGGCGTTCATGATGTTCCTGGGTAAACCTCCGCAGACCACAGACGGCTACGTCAGCCTAAAAGAGTACGCGTCGCCAGACTGGCTGTCGTCGCTGCAGCAGGTGACGCAGGGCGTCGAGGGTCGCAAGCGCCGGTACTCAGCCGGTAGCTCAGCTATCCGATCCATGCTGGAGAGATCCACTTCGGAGGCGTCTGGGCGTTCTCATCGCCCACGTCTTCAAGCTGTTAAGGAGGTGTCTTCAAAACGTGTGCTAGGCAAGCGTCGGAATCGTTCTGCTCACCGCACTCTGCGTGTCGAGCCGCCGTGTAAGAAGGTGGCGCTGCCTGTTGCAGTAGCAAGTGCTATGGACAGCCAGAAGCTGCCTAACGCAGAACAAGTTCCCCTCGTGCCACAGACTTTGCGTAGAGAGAAACGTTGCTCAAGTGGAAAGCAACACCTGAACGAGGAGATTCATAGCGTGACCGTTTAAGAACATCATCGTAATTTGATTAAGTATTCTTCTTCTTGTCACTCAGTCTTGTTAACTGTATGCATTCTAGTCGCCGTCATTGCCGTCGTCGAGGTCCAGCACGTCTTCTTCCTCTTCAATGTCGTCGACTGAGTCGGCATCTTCATCTTCGTCGTGCTCCACGTGCTGTGGGAAGTAGTAGTCGTCGCCCTTTTCCTCCGCGTCTCGGTTTGTGCGGCGGTGACGGTGATGACCACGCCTGGGACGCCTTTGTTCGCTGTCTCCTGTTGCCTCCGGTTGCGACGCCTTGCTCTTCTTCTTCCGATGCAAGACCTTCGGAGACTTGGCAAGGGGTTTGAGTGAATCTGCGTGAGCGTTGTCATCGAGGAACGTCGCCACAGACACAGCATCAAGCACATTATCACGATACGCCTTCGCCGCCAGCACCTTCTTGCGCGTATCAGGGTCACGTTGGCGCCGGAAGAGCACCATGCGGTGCTGGCCCCGTTCAGCATCTGGCAGCAGGTTCTCGAGCGACAGCTTTAAGCGCGTCGAGTCGATCCAGGCGAAACTCAGCGTGCGGTGCTTGTGCATGAGCTTGTCGATCCACTGCTTCTCATACGGCTGAAACCGCTGTCCTCTAAGGAAGAGCACGCATCCGGACCGCGACAGACAGCGCGCCTCTAGCTGCGCCGAGTTCTGCACCTGCTGCATGGTCTTCTTGGTCCGGGCCTTGACGTGTTTGGCCAGCGCCGTGGCCGACTGCAGGTGGTTGAGGAAAACTTGCTTGGGATTCTCCCCATTGGCCACCGTGAAGACTGTGGGCGAGATGCTGGTCCGGATGCCGTAGCGCTTGAGCACCGACTTGCCCGACGTCGGCAGCTTCTGCTTGCAGTCCAAGACCCCCACGAAGCTCTTGCCCGCCAAACGCGGCGACACCTTGTCGAACACCTCGGGAAGCACGTCGTCTGGCCCCGAGCACAGCACCACCCAGGGCTCCCCGGAGCGGAAGACGCGCTCCATCATGGCCGAGTCCGACACCTCGAGGCGGTAGACGTGGTCTTGCGACGTGGAGAACTGCAGGAACGCCGAGCCGAAGAGCGCCACCACGATCACGCCCACGGACACCAGCACGTACCAGTGGTCGCGCCACATGCGGTTCCGCAGGAACATCTTCATATCGCGAGCAGAGCTCGACTGCGCCCCGCCCGCTTGCCCTCGCGCCATCGGTATCCTATCTCCTTCGAAAATGGGCAACTTTGCGGTGACGTTGCCCAAATTTGGGTAATACAAAATCAAACTTTCATTTATGCTACCGTCAAAATTCAACAATTTGAAATTCATGGACAACGCGAAAGACCGGCATTTACCCCAACTGCTTCTCCGCGATGATCTCGCCTCTGAAAGACATCATGATTGGCCTAACGCTCGCCATTGGGGTGGGTTTGATCTATAAAGACCGGAAGGACGGAGAAATGGACCGCATCAACCGATTCTACAAGAGGCAGGCGGCTCGGGAGGCGAAGCAGCAGCAGCAGCAGCAGCAGCAGCAGGAGGGCATCCACGACGCTGAGTAAAACGCTGAACGCAATGGAATCCAGCGATCTGGCAGTGCTATCGTACTATGTGAATTTGTCGTTGTTGTGGCATCAGCTGGAGGATCCTCCGTGGTGATTTTGATGCAAAAAACCTATTCCAGCAGACGCGAATCGGACGATCAAAAGTTTAAGAATGCGAGCTTATTGATACAAGCGGAGTCAGCTATTCCACGCTCATGTTTGGAAATAACTATTCTCATTGCTAGCCATGCCAACAGGTCCATCCTAGCTCAGGATTCTGGAGATGTCTGTGTGCAAAAGGCTTTCGAGTTGGTGCAGCAGACTTCAATCGTCCTTCAGCCCCGTCAAAGTCGATTTGGTCCATAAACACAAAAATGATCAACATCAGTTGATACAGATCACAATTTCAAGCCATGCTGCCGCGTGTACGTGTCCTGCTAGTGCTGGTGCTGGCGCTGGCCTCCGTGGCCTCGGCGACGGCCGAAGCTTTCGCCACGCAGGATCCGAAGGCCCTGGAGATCGCAGACCACCAGCACCACGGAAGTCACGAGCCCGAGAGCGACGGCGTCGTCGTGCGCTGCCGCTCGTGCGGCGCCCCCGTCGCCTACAAGAAGTGCGTGCCCCCTCCCTCCGCCTTGTGCGTCATTCTGCGCCTGACTCATTTGCATCCATCCATGTCACTGTCTTGCTGCTGATGCAGGGACTACATCGAGCTGCACGACACGTCCAACGCAGTCGGAAGTCGCCGCGAGGCCGTTTTGGGCGACGACGCCGAGATTTTCACCTTCGTGAACCCCAGCAGAGTGAGCTCTCGCCGCTTCTTCCATTGCTGCAAACTTACGGCGAACTTACTTGTCACCCGTGATTGGATTGTACTTTGTTGCAGGCAGAGTTCGAGCTCGCGGGCTTCAAGAAGGTGGTGGGGCTGGAGGGCGAGGTCTTCTCCAAGAAGGCGACGGTGTTTGACGACTACAGCTGGCGGGACATTCGCTGCAGTAGCTGCAAGAGGCACATTGGGTGCGTTGTGTGCTGTCTCTGATACTTTATGGTACTGTGTTATGGTTCTAATGCTTATTTCACTGATGGGGCTAATGCAGGTGGGCATTCTACCACGACGAGTTGCAGCAGTGCATCAACACGCAGCTGGTGGAGTCCATTACAGCCAAGAGAGCCAAGGAGAAACTGCTCGCGTCGACCGCGGAGAAGGAACGGAAGGCCGAAATCGTGAGGAAGGAGCTGGAAGGTCAATGCCTCTTCGCTGCTGCGGGCTGGTGGACGTACGAGGTCTGCTACAAGAAAGAGGTCCGTCAATTCCACCAAGAAGCGGACGGATCTCGCCCCAGTGACTGGAGCATGGGCGTGTACGTTCCTGATGCTCAGGAGAAGGACACTGGTTACGAGGGCACCGATGTCGTTCAGTACTTCGCGGGTGGCCAGCACTGTGATGAGAATGGTGAGCTCCGCAGCACCAAGGTCGTGTACTCGTGCTGCAAGTCCCGTCCGAAGGACATTTCGGTGGAAAAAGTGGACGAGCCTGCGCTGTGCACGTACCTTATCAGTGTATGCGTACCAAGCTTGTGTGACACGGAGCAGGATGAAGAGCAGGACGCGGCCGAAAACGAGCTAATTATTGAGTCCTGCAAAGAGAAATTCGACGCTACCCACGCCGATGCACCAAAGCCGTCCACGTTTGCTGGTTTGCGCTGGTCCACTGTTATCTCAGAAGACAGCAGCGAGCTGGACTGGGCTCGACGGATGCAGTTTGCAGACTGAAAGGTGATTTTTGTCGTCGTGTAGAGGTTTTTTTCTTGACGATAAATGCCATTTACTTTATCCTTGTCTTCTCGTGTGTGTGATATCAGCCGACGGAGGCTTAGTGTAAGAAGGCGAAGTGTGAAACTAACTACCTGGTGTATGTATGCGTGTTTCCCCCCTAGATCAGGAAGCGCGGATCTACAAGCGTGCTTCTTGCAATATTGCCCCTACCGACATGAGCTCGGGCAGAAAGCAGCACCATTTGGAGTGCGTACGTTGCCAGGGCCGATACTGCATGGTTGCCGACCCAGAGGTCGAACAAGCAAAAACACTATCAAGGTATACCGTGAGATTCTTACCAAGAAAAATGAGAAGCTCAACGTGGTTTCGTACCAGGAGGTCAAGCAGCATGAGCTCATTTTCGATACCCAGGAGCAACGAGGACTTGGCGAATCTGGAGTTAGTATCTGCCAACAAACAGGACCATGGTGAGCTCCGTGCGCTTTGGAAGTTCAGGCATTCAAGGGAAGCCGCATCATACCTGGTAGAAAAAGTGACTGCTTGCTGAAGGACATGTCCGGTGGGATATCAAGGAAGCGCGTCAAACAGGTGTGTGCACGGTAAATCCGCCATCGAAACCTGTCGTTTTGGTTTTCTGCGAACGCTTGCAAGAAGTCCCGCAACTGGTCAGCGTTCTGTACCATGCTCTCCGTTGTCAGCGTGCCGCTCTGTCGCTTCAACTCTGCACTTTTCAATGGAAGCGTCGGTGGACTCTTTGGCGTGAACGACCGCTGGATAAGCCCCTCGCCGCTACCACGACTGCCTTCAAAGTTGTCACCTCGCACCGAAGAGTACAAATTACGGAACTTTCGCTTCCATTTTCGAGTGACGAATACTTCAAATGTTTGGCAGTCGGGAAACGTGGAGTCAAGGTGGCGACCGGCCGTAAGTCCGGCCTCTTCCTGCTTGAGCTGGTCCACTAACTCCTTCATACTCCCGTCGGCAAATGGATGCGGTGATCGACAATGGAGATAAAACCCATGGTACGTCTCATCCAGGAAGAAACAGCTCACCTTCGACACAGTGCACAGGTCGATGAATAGCTGTTCTCGTGGTTCATCGATGTACCGTTCGTAGATCCCCCACTTCCAGAGTCTTTGGCCCACCCAGATGAGAAGCCACCAGATCGACACATTGGCGAAGCGCAAGTACGGATTGACTTGGCCATCATCTGCATCAGTTGCTGTTGCACTCGTCGAAACGGTGACGTACCGCATTTGACCGCGCGGAACAGGAAGTGCCAGAAGTCTCAAGTTGCACCCGTACAGAAGGAAAAGCATTGAGATGAGCGTGAACTGGAGCGACGTTTTTCGAGCGGTCTGCAGTTTATTCCACTCGTTGACAACCAGGATCATGCGCCACACACTTATTGGAGCGTGGGTGGGTTTGGCCGAGTCAATGTCCATGATAGTGGCGCGGGGCTTCTCCCAATCGACGAAGAAGAGCTGCAGTTTAGCTTGACGATGTACGCGACGAAAGACCGAAACCAGTTGGCAAAAGAACGAAAGTGGAAGCAGCAGTCGAAACGGGTAATACTCATCGACGCCACTTTCTAGAGCGTCAAAGTTCACTTCAGGAAGCATCAGAATGGTGCTGGACTGCATCCGGAATACCATGAACAAGTAGCTGCACATCAAAAACATGACCACGAAGGAAACCGGCCCAAAGATGGATGCACTGTAAGCCGTCAGAGTAGAGAGCAGCTTCCACGTCACATTCTCCACGATTTCATTTCGGATGCTACGTCTGTACCAGTTGAAGGTTTGGAGCAGGATCCGGCAGCCGGCAAGGACACACCCCACGGTAAACAACGATTTTGCGGCCGACCAAAACCCATCAGTGTTGGAAGTGTACGTGACGCGAAATAACAGCGGAACGGATCGGGGGTTCTGCGTGTCGACGTAGTGTATTGTCAACAGCGGGGCGTAGATGAAGTGGGGATCGGTGGTTTGCGTATTGATGGTGAGCGTTATAGTCTCGGCGTATCGGACGACCTCAGCGGAGGGTTCACCGACGGATACTCCAGTTTGATCATCGTACAAGAAGAAGCGGTGGCTCAGAAAATCGTTCGTGGTGTCGCTATCTTGGTTGACGAGAACCCCATTGATGTCACGGTAATTCAAATTCTTCACGGGAACCGGGACGTATCGTCCGTCTTCTCCATCGCCTTTGGACTCGTCAATTAGAAACAATTCGTACAGCACCAGCGACGGCGGCTGCAGAAGATTCAGATCGCACGAGTACTCGGACACTGTGCTAACGCCGAATCGCATCCACGAAGGTGAATCTGTTGCGGCAGTACTGCTCTCAGGATGGCAATATTCCAGTTCATTTGTCAACGAGCGGAATCCGATCAACATGCCGTTCACAAAGTAACTGGCCAGAATGAATGAGAGTTTGCTGGTACCCCCGTCGCTTGATTCGGTGTCAGTCGACATCTATTAAATACATCGCGGAAGGTTGTTAGCTCTGGACAGTTTTCTGACCAACGAGGCGTAAGGAATATCGTACCTTCATGGATACTGGCGTTTGAAGCACGCTGGATGCTACAGAACGGTAGTTCAAAAATGGCAACGTAGTATACCATCCGTTGATGTTGTTCACTGTCGATGAACGACCACTGCGCTGAATTAAATCAAACACTGCACAGGACGGTGCCGCTGGATCCAAATGCTGCAGAACACACAGATTCCCAAGAGCTTGGCACGCAACCAGATCTCTCTCACTTTGGTAGAAATAACATTCAGTGGTAGCGGCGAGGAAAATATCGTCAAGCAAGGCACTCGAGACGGACAAGACTGAGTCCGAGCTACCTGTTTCTTCCTTCAGGAATGACGAGTACACCAATTCATTGGCGGAGCTGAGAGTGACCTTGGAGCTGATCAAGTCGGTATGCGCTTTGTGAACGCACTTCTGGATGCCCATAAAGGAGCTCAATACCTCTTGATAGTCGCTGGGGCAAGTGCAGATGAACGTATCGTCTGCAACCACCATCGCAGGATCTGGACATGGCTTGCAAGTATTCGCTAAGCTGTCAGCAATTGTGTTGTCGACACAAACCACACACTCTTTTGCGGTGAGAAAGCTACCGTTCTACAACATGTTAGTTTATGTTGATCAGATCGTGCTTGATGAGGGTATCATGAACTTTTGATGCGTACCTCGCTCTTTTCTTGGATAATTGAATTTTCACCGCACATGCACTCGTGAGTGGATTCGTTGACGCCGAGTGTAGAGTTGCCACATGGCATGCATCGAGAAGAATCCCTGGATGGAACTTCATTCGAGGGACAAGCCGTGCATACGTCGAGACTGCACGGCGCCGGCCAGATTAATTCACACGTGGATTCGTTTCTCAACTTCCAGATAGCGTCAGGTCTGCAATCAACAACGTACGTCAGAACCCCCATGGTGACTAGAGCAGATGGATCCATTCGTGTTCTTACTCGCACGTGCAAGTGGTCTGTAACCCAGGGATTCGTGAATTGTTATCTGGAATCTGAGCACGTGAAGGAAACACCCCTTAGTCACGAACTGCACTAGAGCATCAAGCACAGATCTTACCAGCAAGGGGTTCAATAGTGTAGATGCTCCATTTGCTGTGACGCACTGGCTGCAGGTAAGCGCCGATTCATCGTAGAACTCGATGGATGCGTTGCATGTGTGACTCAATGCTACTGCTGTTGTGTTGCTTCCAGAGGATACGAAGAGCTGCGCTGGTAAAACCACTTGCGCTGCGACGTGTGTATCATCGACGACAAACAACCACGAGTAGAACAACGCTAGCACACCCAGCAGCGGAGTCATAGCAATGTAAGAGGAGACGTCTAGCGGCCTGGGAAAGCTTTTTCAAGAAAAGTGACTCTTCAATTGGAGTTACTCGGTAAGTTCATTCAGTGGATACGAGCTATCACGAGGTGTATGGTAAAAGTGGTGGATTGGATTTCAAAGCGGTGTCTTCTAGCACAAGAACGGCAAAACTTGGTTGGTGCTGTGCGTACATTATCCAGCGGAAGAATCGGCTGATTCCAGCGACACCATCGCGGTGTGAAACGGATCATGGTTTGCCATGATACAGGTCTTGCTGGTCTTGCTGGTGGTTTCACCCCATGCAAAAATACATGCGTGGAAAACCCATCGTCCCGTGGCCAAAGCGCATGACAAGGGAGTAAGTCGAGTAAGTCTTCGACATTGGCCAGTCGTTATTTTCTCGCACCACCTGGAGTCTGCGTGGAAGTAGCGCACCATCAAACTCAAGTTGACCCAGGTCGCGAGCTCAACACGGATCGTCTTGAGCGAGGATGGGGAACGTGTATTCCAATGAGGGCGTACACTTGCGCTTCTTAGACGGATGTCCTGAGGTACGTACGCGCATCGAACACAACACGCTACAACAATCCCGGTCAATCACGTTTTTGATTCATCCAGATCCCGCCAGCTCCTGCAACGGACCAAGTTCAACTCCTCTTCGACGAGCTGTTAGTCTCCGCTTGTGCTGACCAAGAGCTACGGGAGGAGATAAATGGGGCTGAATCCATTGAAACCAAGTGGGCGTACGCATTCCTGTAAGTACTGAAGACCTGAAGAACAAAATAGGAATTGATACGAGAAATCTAACGACTTGCTTTTATGTGTCACAACAGGAGCAAAATCCCCCATGACAGTGTTTCAGAGGAATGGTTAGATCCTCGCGAGTGTGTGGAGCTTGTGCAGCGCTTCAGCGGTGATGTGAAATGCATCCACGATCTCTTCTTGGCCATTCGGATCAACATGCTGCTGAGACGTGGGTATGGTAAAACCAACTTCAACTTCATTTTTCTCCAAGCTGTGCTTGCTAACGTTTACTGTTGTGAGCAGGGTGTGGGTCGAGAAGTTCGTGGCGGAGAACGGAATAGATCAGTTGGTGGCTCCACTGCAAGTGTCTGGTGGTGCGTCCGTGGAGACTTGCAATGAAGTTTTAAGTACCCTTTTCGTGCTCTCCAACAGCAACAGCGGAGCCCAGGGCATCGTGAAGACCCGAGAGTGTTTCCCTCTGCTGTATTCCGTCTTCGATTCATCGCCATCGAAAGAGGTTAAGGCGCGCACACTCAAGTTGATGGGGATCTTGTCCCGCGAAAGCTCCATGGCTCGAGACGCTGTGATGAGTGTTTTCTCGTCTACAAGTCCCGAAGATCGATCGCTACACTCTTTGGTCAGCAAGATAGAGGAGAACCAGTCTGATCTCACTTTCCAGCTTGCCGCTGTGAAATTCATCAACGTGTTGTTGGAAACCACGCGAAACCGGAAGCAACAAGCCTCAATTTGCGAAGATCTGAAGGCAAACGGCTTGCTCCCGCTGCTTGAAGTATTCAAAGGTCAAGATGCCGCGACAGACGCAAACTCATCGACTATGACTTGCATGGTTGCCCAAGTGAAAACTTTCTGTGAGGTGTTTAACGAGGCAACGAAAGAGGACAAGTTTGGAGCTCTGCGACTAGCTCTCGGCGGTGCATTGAATATCAACCGAAACGATCCTACTCCGATGGGGGATCGTGCAACAGGCAACCAAGGTGAAAATGATGGATCGGTCAACCTAGAGCAAGAGCAAACACATGAGCGTGGCCCGAATGACTCGCCTGCTGACACTTGGACAGATCCCTTGACGGAATCCCCTGACTTGGCAAACACGCCGGATACCACGCTTGCAGATGGTATGAAGACTGAAGGCAATACGGAGGCTGGATCAAGTCCGGAAAACGCACTGCTCGACGCTGTATTTGGCCAACTCCAGCAACACACGAAGAAGCTGGACCAAGAGACCAGTGAGAAGTTGGCGAACTTGCTGCAAAAGATCGCATCAAAGCTTTCGGATGAATCCGGCGCTTGTCAGGCGTTTGATCGTCTGGAGAAAGTGCTATTATCTCCAAACCAAGAACACCTTGATTCTGAAGTACAAGCAAAAGAACCAGCCACTGCTGTACCCGTGGAGACAAAGGAACCGGATTTACTCACCCGTGTAGGTATGGCGTTGTTCCCAAATATGGGCGAACCAGCCTCGTCGCTCACAAAGCCGCCTACGTCTGGGAGACCCACGCTCTTTTCAGGCTTTGGCGATTTCTCGCTACCTTCACTTTCGTCCAACACTCCAGCAAAAAGCTCCATTTCCAGACCTTCCTTCACGAGTTTCATCGGATCTGAAGGCGCCTCAAGCCCCTGGGGTAAAAATTCGGGTTCATCCGCTTCAAGAGGTGTCAAGCTGTCTCTACCATTCTTCCAAAGCTCACGAAAGGGTCCAGGACTTGGAGTGACACCGGCGTGCACGCCAATCGCCACTGCCAGTGTGCGTAAAGATGCCAAGCGTCCGGTGTTCCCATCGTTCCCGTCACCTCCTCGGAAAGAGCCACCGCCTGTTGTGTCTCCAACTCAAGCATCAGACGCAGTTCCACCACCACCAACGACTGCACCGCCGCCTGCTCCTTCCTTACCTCCCATCGATTTAACACCAGAGCTCCCAGCAGTGAACGTTATGGTTAAGCCTCCACTGGTGATCGAACCTGATGCTGCAAGTAATTCCTCTGCGCTGCCCCCACCGGCAACCGGGACCGACATTTCAAAGTTCAGGAAGCTCCTGTCAATGGGAGCTCCACGAGACGCTGTACGGGCTAAAATGCAACAAGCAGGAATCGACCCGGACCTCCTTGATGAGCAACAGGGATTCATTCCTAAAGCATCTCCAAAACCAGCGGCTACAGCGGAAAGCACGACTTCTGAAGCCCCTAAAGACGTCGTCGATGTCTCCAAGTTTCGCAAGCTTCTGTCTATGGGGGCCCCACTCGAGGCTGTTAAGGCAAAAATGCGTCAGGCTGGCTTGGATCCGTCCTTGTTGTTGGACCAGAATCCAAGCGTACAAATGGTAACGAAAGAGCAAACGCCTACACCTGCATCGCAGCCAGCACCGACCTCCGGACCAGACATTTCCAAGTTCAAAAAGCTGCTATCAATGGGGGCACCGCTTGCAGCGGTGAAGGCAAAGATGACCCAAGCCGGATTAGACACAGCTCTGCTGGATGGTCCGATCAGTTCGACATCACCGGCAAGCTCAGATTCACTTGCACCTTCAGCGAAATTGAAGGTTAAGGACGACCCCAGCTACGCCAAGTTCTTCAAACTCCTGTCGATGGGAGCTCCTGCTGCTGCAGTGAAGGCAAAGATGGTTCAAGCTGGGCTGAACAGTGATCTTCTCGATACACCAGACGCTGACATGCCCACTCTCGGTGCTCCTTCCGACTCCGCCCCTTCAGCAGCTGAAGCTGCTACGAATCCACGTGCATTGTTGTCAAACATGCTTGCGAGTCGAGCAGCTCCACAACCTGAAACTCAGGTGAAGGTGAAGGACGATCCGCAGTACGCGAAATTCTTCAAGCTGCTGTCAATGGGAGCTCCGGCCGAATCTGTCAAGGCGAAGATGCGCATGGCAGGGCTGCAACCAGAACTATTGGATACCCCAGACGCCCCACTTAAACCTGCATCAAGTGCGTCTGAAGTGGGAGCATCACAATCCGAAGTCAAAGTCAAGGACGACCCAGCGTACGCCAAGTTCTTCAAGTTGTTATCCATGGGAGCCCCAGCTGAGTCAGTGAAAGCTAAGATGCGTATGGCAGGCCTCAATTCGGACCTCTTAGATACTCCCGACGCCTCCATGCCTAGCGACAATGCTCCTGCTGCAGCGACTAAAGCTGCCATCAAGGTGAAAGATGATCCGGGATACGCAAAGTTCTTCAAGCTCCTGTCCATGGGTGCACCGGCCGAGTCCGTGAAGGTGAAGATGCAAATGGCAGGCTTGAAACCCGAGCTTCTTGATACACCCGACGCTGATCTGCCTTCTGGAGACACTCAAACACCAGCTCAGCCCCAAGTGAAGGTGAAGGATGACCCTGCGTACGCCAAGTTCTTCAAACTTCTGGAAATGGGGGCCCCTGCAGAAAGTGTCAAGGCGAAAATGAGGATGGCAGGTCTGCAGGGAGATCTCCTTGATACACCGGACGCATTTTTACCTAGCTCAGCTCCTGCCAGCCAGCCAGCCGCACCTGCTCCGACGACTACTGCGGCCCGCAGAGCGCATTTATCCATTGCGATCAAGCCTGTGGTCAAGGCGAAGACGCGCGCATTCTACTGGCAACAACTGAAGGCCGAAGCAATCAAAGGAACGATTTGGGAGGAACTCGAGAAGGAGCACAGCAACCAGAGCAACCAGGACCGGCTCACTCTCACTGACAGTGAATTGGAGCTACTAGAGACTGAGTTCCCTCCTCCAGCAGCTTGTGGCCCTGGTACAGGAACTCGACGTGGGAGCATGGGCGGGATCGGCTCCCCGGGGGGTCCTGCCTCGCCACTGGCTTCCCCTCGAGTTGTTTTCCTAATTGATCGAGCTCGGTCCAACAACATCTCAATCATTGTTAAGCAGTTCAAGATGAGCAACGCGGCTCTGCGTGTAGCGATCATGAAGATGGACTCGGAGGTGCTCACTCTTGATCGAGTGCAAGGGTTGATCAAGATTCTTCCAACTGAGGAGGAAATCGCAGCGATCACGGGATTCAGCGGAGACCGAACGACGCTCAATGGAGCAGAGCTTGTCCTGAAAGAGCTCATTACTGTACCACGATTGAAGCAGCGACTGTCAGCGTTGGAGACCAAGCACCAGTTCCCGGCTTTGGTGCGGGACCTTCAGACGAAAATCAACAAGATTCGGGTGGCGTGTAACGAGATCGCTCAGAGCTCCGAGTTCAGAACGATTCTGCTGGTGATCCTCCAGGTTGGCAACAAGATGAATCAGGGCACAGCTCGCGGAGGGGCCAAGGGGTTCCGTTTGAACGACCTGACCAAGCTGGTGCAGCTCAAGTCCGTGGATAAAACGGTGACTCTCCTGCACTACGTAGCTCGGATGATACGCACGAAGAAAGGTAACGTGGTCCGACTGGGAGATTCGTTGGCGTCTCTGTACGACGTCCAAAGCATCCCGATTCCGGAGCTGCAGGGCGACATGAACAGGATCAACGATATTACCGAAAACATCAACGTTGAACTGGCAGCTCAGCGTCTGAAGAACAGGATTGAGGAGAAGGAGGAGAACGATCTATTCGTTGAGTCCATGACCGTGTTTGTGGACGAGGCTTCGAAGGATGTAGCCACACTAAAGACAGACTTGGACGAAACTTTGCGGTTAATGCGAGACGTCATGCTGCGGTTCGACAAGAATACCGACGAAGACGAAGCTCCCCCTCCAGCAGTAGACGCCCCCCTCACTCCAGCCGCTTTAGCTGGGGCTGGCGAGTTCTTCAGCATAATTTACGAGTTCACGATGTCGCTCATGAAAGCTGACCGCGAGAACGAAATCAAACGCATCCGTGAGGAGAAGCGACTGAAGCAACAGGAGCTCAAGAACGCAACGCCTCGCAGGAACTCCGTCGACCGGGCTTCACTGAAGAAATTGAATTCCTCAGCAGGGCCAGAAAAACAGGACGCCCCCAGAAGGAAGAGCATGATCGCAGCTCCTTGTAGTGCGTCACTAGAAGCCGAAGGTGTCAGCCCACCGCTCCCAGGAATGCCGAACAACCCGAGTACCACGAATGTTGATGCTGCAGTCAAACCTGAGGTAGAACCACAGTCGTCAACGCCACCTGGGGAACAAAACGCTTCCAAGCATCAAGAGGTCGAGACCGTCAAATTGGAATCTCCCAGTGTGTCAAAGCCGACAGTTGGAGCTTCGTCCACTACTGATGAGCCCCAGACAGTTGCAATGGCAAAGAGCGATGCAAAGGTGGATGACAAGGTGGTGCCAAAGCCGACAGGAATCCCCAAGCCTGCTCTGAAAATCCCTGGCAAGATCCTCATGCCTGCAGGTGTTGCGTCTCCCCTGAAGAAGGTCGTTGGAGCAACACCGACTGGTATCCCCAGTCCGTTGAAGTTGAAGCGCACCAACTCGTCCTCGTCGTCGATTGAGAAGAGCAAAGCTCCAGCCGTTCCTTTCGACGCTGCTTTTCTCAGTGAGATCAAGTCGCAGTTGGAAACCAAGCACACTACGAACAATGAACTGCGAAAATCCAAGCCAGAGGTTGAGACCGAAGGTGAAGACCATGACAACAACAACAGCGAACCTTCTTCGCCTGAGAAGGCGCTTTCCGAAGCGGAGCCTTCCACTCGCCTAGCCGTAGAGTCCGACGCATAGTTCATTCATAACATAAAAAAATAAACATAAAAACTGATGAAACTTCTAGAGCGATATCCACATTGAGCTGTCGTTTTGAAGAGACACCAGTGCAAGCATGCGGTACGCGTTATTGTGCGTGTTGCCGCTCTACGTGGTGACAGCTACTGCCACACAGCTCCAATGCCCGTGGATGGATGGATTGTAAGTGGACGATCTTTGTATGCGTGCCTGTCGTGGACGACAGTTGAAGGCTAACACCGCACGTGTAGTTTTGCTCTGGTGTCGACGGTGTCCATGACAGATTTTGCATCTCCACCACCACTCGAAAACTTAGCAATGACGGATACCAGCAATGTAGAGCGGCGCCTTACGGCTGACGCTCTCAGCTCTTTTCGAGCTATTGACAAGAAAGGGATTCGAGGCTTCCTAGAGGGGGGCGTCTTCAGGTTGTCGACTCCACTCGCATGTGCTGAACATTGTGTTGCAGACCCTTTGTGTCTTTCGTTCGACTTCGAGACCGTCTCGTTGGACTGCTACATTTCTCACACGGATCGCTACGCGCACCCAGAGGCATATCTCGACTTCCCGACAGGCGTGTACTACGAATGGCAGGGGGTCGTGGACGCTCCTGAAATTGAGCCGAGTGGTGGTCTAGTCAACACTCAAATCGTCGTCCGATTGCTCACAGCGAAGCTAGGGGCTGCGCTTCATTACCAAGTCATTCCTTCTACTGAGCTAGCGAGTAGAAATCTCACCGCCTCGGATCTTTTCGGAGCCGGCCAAAACTTCAGTATCGCTGCGAGTGGAGATGTCATTACCCTTCCGACATATTCGTGCAAGCTTTTCGCTATTGCGGTCAAAGAAGGAATGGACGATAGCACGCTCATTGTCTCGAACGAGTACCAGATCTTCCGTAAGTCTTGGTCTGTTGAAATCTTGAAAACCACCCTAACATTTTGTATGTTGCGTAGCGTCAAAATACGTCTACCTAGTGCCATACTTCAATGGCGAGTATCACGGGCGCGTGGCACGAATAGAGCTGGACTCGAAGGGGAAGAAGCGTCCGCGTCCTGCTCGATTCCTTGAGTTTAGCGATTACGAGACTCCGAACGGCGTCGGCCCCTACGACAACCAGGTCGACGTGATCGATATGGCGGCTTTGGATCTAGTTTTCAAGGGATTCTACAGTGGATTTACGGCCTTATCAAAGGCAACATTCGTGAACGAGACTTACGTCGTGCCAGCTGCAGACGACCCGAATTACAACACAACCGAATGGCGACTGGCATTGAAGGCACAATACACGCCTTCCACCTCCCACTCTGGCTTTGGGATCCCCGCAGAAATAGAACAACATGTCGAGTACCTGTACTTGGTACCGTTCTACAACGGAACCATCTACGCGTCCAAAGTGCTTCGCGTCATGGCTCTTACGTTTGCTTCAGCAACCCCTATCGTGGAAACTCTTGACGTTGGTAGTCTGGATAAAAGCCTAAAGGGATTCGGGTCGTCTTTCACGGTTGGTTCCTACGGATATTTGGTACCACGAGAAAACGAATTTGGATTGTTTGGGAAGCTCGTACGCTTTCGGGTTGATAACTTTGCGGCATCAAGTGTCGAGGTATTGGATTTAGCGGCAATCGATCCACGCTACGTGGGCTTCAGCAGCGCATTTACATGTAAGTTTACGCTTCATTTACCCTCCTTCTGGAACTCGTGAACTGATCCCTCTGCCGTATTTTGCTTGTGTAGACGGAACGTACGCATACTTGGTGCCTTACCGAAGACCTTTAGTAGGCGATGAGCTGACGATGAACTTGCGCGAATTTCCTGTGTCGAATTCTGGCCTGGTTGTTCGAATCGACTTGAGCACATTTCGGGTTACGGGTAGTCTTGATCTTGCCGCAGTGCATCCATATCTTTGCGGCTTCAGCGGAGCTGTTACAGGTACAGACAACTTGTGTACTGCTACTGCTGGTTGATATTATGTCTCTCGAGGTGCTCACACTATATTTTTTGTATCATTCTAGTGACCCATTTTGCCTACTTTGTTCCATACATGCGCGTCAAGGCCCCTGACTCGCAAGAGCTAAACCCGTACTCAGGCCTAGTCGGTCGTGTCGATCTGCGAGATTTCTCGTCCGTGCAGTATCTCAACCTAACTGCCGTGGACAGCGGTCTGCGTGGGTTCAAGAAAGGGTTTGCCTATCGCCAATACGTATTTCTGGTACCTCACCGCTCATCGTTCTACGACACATCGAAGCCAACGCAATCGGGCAAAGTTGCTCGGATTGATACCAACGATTTCTCTTCAAGCGGCGTGTCATTCCTAGATTTGACGACGGCACTGCGCAGTCAAGTGCCTGACTTTGCGGATAGTGACTTGCGAGGATTCAACGGAGGCGTGGTGTCAGGGAAATACGGCTTCTTTGTGCCATATTTCAACGGAGCAACGTTTTCAGGGAAGGTTTGCCGGATCAATCTCGACAAGTTCGACGAGGTACAAACACTCGACTTGACACAACTTGATAACAGATTGCGTGGATTTGCGGACGGAATTCTCTCTCGGGTGGAAGAAACTCTGGAGGCGAACTTGTTCGATGAGTTCCAGATTCGTCTAGGAACTACTGTCCCCTACGATTACCATTACTAATCTAATCAGAAGTACTTCACCAATTCGCAACAAATAGTTTAGTAGCCAAATACGCGGAGATTCAGCGATTCTTTAGGTTTTCCCTCTAGGCCTGCATCTGTGCCGTTGGCAACATGAAGTACATATCTTCCGCCGCCTTGCTTGATGTCGCGATTCCAGACTCCATGGTAGCTGTTACCATTACTATAGGTCATGACACCACTTCCATGACGTCTTCCTTCGTGAAATGTACCTTCGAACACCTTTCCAGAAGCATACAGAATCTTCCCGTGACCCTCACGAACGTTCATGACCCACTCCCCCTCGTAGGTGTCGCCCGTTGAGGCACAGAAGAAACTACCAAAGCCGTGCTGCATTTCGTCCACAAACTGACCGTTGTACGCATCACCGTTTGGCCACGTGAATGTTCCGATTCCATCGCGCTTGCCGTAGTTCCAATCACCACAATAGACAGTTCCATCGGCATACCGATACGTGCCTCTCCCATGGCGGCGCTCGTCGTCCAACATACCCTCGTAGTTCTCTTGTTGAGGTGTGTTCGGATTCCAAGTAAATATTCCGACCCCGTGACGTCGATCCGCTTGCCATTCGCCATCATAAATATCACCATTGCGATAGGTAAATTTCCCCTTCCCGTGTTTCTTGTTATCTTGCCATTGGCCCTCATAGATATGACCCGTGGCGTACACGATTTTGCCGTTCCCCCGTATCAAGCCGTGTTCAAACTGGCCTTGGTACACACTTCCGTCTTTCCAGCGATAGACGCCTTCTCCGTGCTTTTCGGCATTCACGAAGTCTCCCTTGTACGTATTTCCATTCGAATACGTCATTGTACCATGGCCTTCAACGTGGTCGCTCACGAAATCCCCCGTGTAGCTGCTACCTCCAACGAACGTGTAGGTGCCGTGCCCGTGTCGTTTGTTAGCGACCCAATCGCCGATGTACAGGTTGCCACTATCATAAAACCGATAGGTGCCTTTCCCTTCGGCCACACCCTGGATGAAATGGCCATCGAATACGTCGCCGTTATCAAACAATAGTTTGCCTTTACCATGTTGCTTGCCTTTGGAGAACTCGCCAATGTATTTAATGCCTTCACTGGACACATAGATTCCACTTCCGTTCCATCTCCCACGCCACCATCCACCAGAGTAGACGGCACCATTCGGATAGAAACAAACACCACTGCCATGCCGAAAATCTTTATCCCAGTGACCTTTATAAACTTCACCGTCAGCTGTGGAGACCGTCCCCACGCCACTTGCCAGACCGTCAACAGTGTTGCCAACGTACCGATCTCCAGTAACTTTTTTGAATTTGCCGAATCCATTCGGGCGGTTATCTTGAAATTGTCCTTCGTACCGATCTCCATTCGCTGCGAGGAGAACTCCTGTGCCGTGTATCTTTCCATCTTGAAAGTGTCCGACATATCGCTCGCCACTCGACAAAGTCTGGATTCCGACGCCATGCTTTCTTCCGTCGGACCAGTCTCCAACGTACTCGTAACCATCGGCGCCTTGATAAATTCCCTTTCCGTGTCGTTGGTTATTTCTCCACTGGCCGACGTAGCGTCCACCATTAGCGTAAATCAACTCGCCTAGACCATCAAAGCTCTTGTCGCGTGCTTGGAAGTCGCCAACGTAAAGACTTCCAAAGCGAAGCAGAGACTTGGCGAAAACATGGTCTTGCTTTGCTTTGCGGTGCCACGAAGAAAGCCATTCAACTTCTAACACCGACGGGTCCAGATCTTGAATATGAGCGAGGGCCGCAATGTCCGGGTCGTCTGCGGCGGCAGCTGTTGTAGTAGCAGTCAAACTCGATGTCGACGTCGACGTGCTTGCTTTCCCAAACCCAAGAGACCGCTTTTTCTTCGGAGATTGACCCCGCGAGTTTTCTTGCTGCCCCGCCAGCGCTGCCCAGTACTGCATTCGATGCTGGTAGGCTTCTTCTTTTTGGCGTCGCACCTCTTCCTTTGCTTCTTTGGCTTGCTGCATTATCTGCAGTTGGGTCTCGCCGGGGCCTAAGATTTCCCCCGTCACCGCGTCATGACTGCATATACTCTTGCACATCGGGCAGATAGGATACGTGGACGTGCACACTTTCATCATGCACACAGGACACCACCAGATATGCCGCGTCCTGTAATGTTCATGAATCTCGTGGATGGTCTTGGCAACGAAGTCGCACTCGGGCCACTTGCACACGAGGAACTCTTGGTACGACTCGGGTGGGAGCCACTGCGAGTCGTGCGTGAAGATGTGGAAGTAGAAATACTCGTTGGTGTGCGGGTCAAGGAGCTCTTGCCAGTTCTTGATCGTTCTCACCACCGTAGATCTCTCAAGAAGGAGCTTCAGCGCGATGGGGCTATGCAGCACCTGTCGAAGCTTTCTTCTCTCTTCTGCTGCGCGTCGCCGACCCAGGAACCCGCGAATGATCCGTCCGATAGCAATTGCTGCATTGTGACGTTGCCGCTTTCGAGCAGCAATGCAGCGGCCCTTCCAGCCACGATATCTACACTGCAAAGAGGTCGCCACGAAGTACTTCATGTTGCGCTCAATCTCCTCCCTCAGCGCATTGTCCCGGCACAAGGACACTTGCCGTGCCGCGATAGCCTCCAACCTCTTCTCGTAAATGCGACGATAGAGCTGCTGTGCTCGATACCTCTCGACTAGATCGGGCATCTTCAGCTACGTCTGGTAAAATGAGGTAGTGCTGACAAGAGGAGAGAACGGTGTCGGTCTATTTCGAGTACAATTTCGCGCTCCAACAGCGAGTACACTCCTGTGGGAAATCTGGTCTACAATTTAGTCGTTCTTCTTGCTGTCGACAACCTTGGCGGACTTCTTGCCAGGGAACACCAACGCGAGGATCTTCTTGGCGAAGAACCACACCAGCCAGAGCAAAATGAACGCGTTCAATGGGACACACAGAAGGGAAGCTCCCACCATGCCCACGAACAGACCGGTCCAAAGCATTCGCTGCCAGGTCGGGATCCCACGTGGCGCTCTGCATTCACTGGCGTCTTGCTCCGGAGCGGCCGAGTGGAAAGGGGTGGACTCGAAGGTGTACTGGAGCTTGACGTCGTCATCGGCACCACGGGTCTTGACCACCGCGATAGGGTGCGGCTTGTGTTCCCAGTCGATGTCGATAGAGCCCCAGTTGAGGTGGCCGTAGAAAGACTTCTGGGTAGGGCGGAACTCCCACGGCAACACGAGGTTCGCGTAGGTGAACAGCAGAGCCATGACATACTTCATCGATGGCACGTGGAACTCCATCCAGCTATGCGTTAGGCCCGAGCTGGTCACTTCGGTGATCTTGTTCTTTCCGTTCGAGCACACAACCTGGTTGATCTCCGAAAAATGCACATCACCACTACAAACAACGCAACAAGCTCGTTAGACCCGTCTAAAACGCATCAGATAAACATTGCGTAGCCGACAAACCTGAGAAGAATGACGCCCTTCGCGTTTGAGGCCAGAATCAGCTTAAGCAGTCGCTCGCGCTGACTTGGGAAGCGTCCCCAGCACTCGGCAAAAGGATAGCGGTCACCCGGCAGAATTTGAACTCCAGACACGATCACATTGAAAGCAGCTGTGGACGTCATGAGTTCATTCTCCAGCCACTCCCACTGGGCATCTCCGAGAAGGTTGCCGTTTTTTGTGTTGTAAGGATCGCGGTGGTATCTGAACAGCACGGGTACATTCGTTAGCACACCTGCGGTCTGCATTCACCTAAACACGACGGGAATTGTTGTACCGGTTGTCGACGAGAATGAACTTGATGGTCTGGTCGCCCGATCCAACCGTGTACGATGTGTAGATGCCCTATCACAGCGAATAGACTGTTTGTTAGCACCGCGAAATCAATGTTTTTTTCTGTCCTGAACATGCTCACCTTTTGCTTGCGGCGGGGCGAGTCCTTCGGCTCGCCAATAAAGTCCAGGAAAACCTCCTGACTCGCCTCCCGGTTCGAGAACTCGTTGCCGCCGTCATTAATACCATAGTCGTGGTCGTCCCAAATGCCAATAATGGGCGTGCGGTTGACGAAAGACGCGTAGTCCTCGTTGGCCAGCAGCTTACTGCAAAACAACCAAGATTACACCCCATGAGTACCTGACGCACCACCAGAACACCACCTCCACCCAGAACTGGAGACGTACTTGTATCGTCGGATGAGCTCCTCGCGAGTGGCCTCCACGAACATCTTCCGTGGGGGGATTGGGATCGGACGTGGCTCGCCCAGCTCCTTGACGTCAGCGTAGATCTGCCCAAACAACACAAATTACAGGTAAGCTTTCCAAACGAACCAAGCATTCCCATACTAGTAGAGCTACATACATTGTCGCCCATCCAGATCCAGAGCTCCGGCTCGTGCGCTGAGATGTTAGTCCACATGGGTTGAGGGAAGCTCTGGTCGTTGCACGAGCCAAAGGCCACGCGCTGCAGCGGCTGCTTGATGTCTTCGATGCGAGGCGACTCCACCACGGTCATCGATGAACCCGCGGACTGCGCGGAGCACAGCGAGGAGACGATAGCCACCGCCGCAATGGCGGACGCGAAGCCGTTTCCGAGCATTGCAGCGAGATCTGAGGACGCGAAGCTCGGACGGAGAACGAAGAATGAGCAAGACGCACACAAAGACGCCGCCCCGACGCGACGAAATGCGAGAATGAGATCGGACTCGATCAAGCAAACATACGTACGATTTTCCCTTTCTTTTCCGATATGGCTACAGTATCCTGTTGTCGAGTTGAAGTGGCCACCAAGACGTCGACAACTGCACTGCACTGCAGCCCAGCAAAGCTAAGTTACATCAAGTTTTACGAGAGCACCTGCAGCGCCTTCTCCAACAGAATCTGCGCATCGTTGTCGTTCGCAGCCAGCTTCTGCTTCTCCGCTGTCGACAAGCGACACTCGAGTCGAAACTCCTTCTGACGCTTGTCCAGGTAGCAGATAGAGAAGCGAAGGCCGTTTGCGTCCACGTGCATTTTCGTCCTCGTCTCGAATGACTTGACGTACAGCCCGCTACTCACACTCACTTGAGTCCCGAAGAAGTCATCGTTGTCCGGGATGGAGATGGCGAGATGGCGCTGGATGCCAGCAGCAGCATTTTCGGAGAGCTCCTCTCGCGTGACGGCGCGCAGGCGGAGAGAGGCGTCGTGGCTCAGAATCACGTCGTAGGTGCCGCGCACATGGCGCCCGCTGTAAGCGTTGTTCAGTTCCCAATGGCCATCGACGAGGTGATACTTCAGGTCGTACGAGTTGCCTTCTTTGTCTGCCAGGTGCACCGAAAGGGAGTTACGCGGCTCCACGTCCTTCTCCATCCGCTCCTCGAGATCGTCCATTAGCGCTGCGATCGACGGTGACGTCCGTCCGCAGTAATTCGACCAACGAGTCGAGAAGTCAGCACCATTGCGCAGCTTCTGCAACTCAGGCCAGGTGATGGTCGAGTTCGCATAGCGAATGGACTTCAGCTTGAAGCACAGCTTCCCAAATGCGAGCTTAACCTTGGTCGGGGGCCCTGTCGGCTTGTCCGCGAGGTAGCTCATGACTGAAGCCACGTCGTCCTCAAGAAACTCCTGGATCCACGACGTGTTGACGCTGGCAGTCTCAACTGCGTGTCCAGAATGCTGGAGGCGATACGGATAGTCCTCAACCTGCGAGTCGCTCGAGACGTTCTTCTCCCTTTCAAAGGACCACCGGCGACTGGGTCCGTCGCGCGCCACGACCTCGAAGACGCGCTTCTTGTCGATGGCAAAGCTCGCGAACAACTTGGCGAGATCGTCTTCTGCCTCTTGGATGCTTGTCCGTGGCCCCTTCAGCGTCACCTGTCGGGCGTCGCCGTTCACAGAGCAGTGGACGCCATGGTTCTCTCGCAGCGCCTTGCAGTAGCTGCCTCTCTTGCCGATGACAGCCCCAACCGGAACGTGGTCAGGGATCGACAAGTTCGTTTGGCTCGTAGCCGAACTGCGCGTAAAGCGGTAACTCATGCTGTGAGAAGAAGGCTCAACACCGGAGGTCCCTCAGGTTCCAGGTGAATCTTGAAGTGAGCGCGACTGTGATAGTCAAACGGCCTTGTCGATTTCTACCACTGATGGCACAAGACTTTCCCGGAGATTCAACTGATTTCTTTAGTCGTTTCATATACCATCTTCCGCGCGAGAACGGTGGACTTCAGTAGAATCGCCTTCCTTACCACGAGCGAGCGTCCTGTGCTGTCTGGGCAACACGTTGAAGCTTTGCTCCAGGAGATAAATGTGGCATTTCGAGAATGTCGGTCGATTGCGCACGATCCATAAATTACTCTAACTGTGGTATCCGCCAAAATTAAGTCGAATCTGATAGCGCGATCAGCACGCAATCCGTAAAATGCGGCAGAGAATGTATGGCATACAAACGTCAAGTCATTAGCTTAAAAGTGGCACTCGCTACCACATTCAAAATCGACTGGGCAGTCAGGTCACTAGGCAATTCTTCTGGTGCAGCGCAACTCGGCAAGGGACTCTTTATGAGCACACACACTATGGCTCTCCAGGGCAACGTAGCGATCTTGACGCGCCTGCAGGACACAGTGGACGCTGTGCAGCAGCTGAAGCAGGCCAACGCGCAGGTGGCGGACGTGACGGTGCTCTCAGTGGCGGCGGGCTCCGACGTCGCCCAGACGGTGGCCAGCAGCTCCGCTAAGGAGGGCGCCTTCGACGTCGTCGTGTCGTTCAACGAGCAGGTCGAGCAGCTGGGCGCCGAGCTGGCCGTGGTGCTGCCACTCCTTAAGGACGGCGGCGCGCTGCAGCTGCACGTGGCCAACGTGCAGGAGGAGAAGAAGAACGCCGTCCTCATGGCGCTGATGATCGCCGGACTCGTGGACACGACGGACAAGCAGGAGGCCAGCCCGTTCTACCCGGAGTTCACGGGCGCCGCGAGCTTCTCGTCCAAGAAGCAGTCGTTCGAGAGCGCCGCCATCCCGCTGGCCAAGACCGCGCAGCCCATCAAGAAGTGGACTGTGCTTGCCGACGACTTCGGTGGCGATGATGCGCAGGACGACGACATCATTGACGAGGACACGCTGCTGGACGACACGGACGAGGTCCTGCAGGCTGCCAAGGCCGACTGTGGCGAGAAGGTCGGCGGAAAGAAGCGCGCGTGCAAGAACTGCACCTGCGGGTAAGCTACATTGGTGTATTTGTGCCGAGATAGTGACGAGTATGAAGACGAACTCACACTGTGCTTGACGTTTGTGACTGCAGTCTCAAGGACGAGGAGGATAAGCCCGTCATGTCGGAGAAGGACCTCAACCAGCTCGTGTCGGGCTGTGGAAACGTTAGATCTTTTCATTTTTTGTTCCTTTTTGATAAATCTGCGTGCCTGACTTGTTTTTATGTAATTTGGGCTTTCTGCGTGTAGTGCTACAAGGGCGACGCCTTCCGATGCGGCAGCTGCCCGTTCCTCGGCAAGCCTGCCTTCAAGCCGGGCATGGAGAAAGTTCTGCTGAACCTCGACAACTCGGACGATATCTAAATTGCTCACACTTCGAGCAAGTAGTAGGAGATTGCCACGTGACTGGCTACCCAAGGTCTGAGCAATCCTGCAGGAGCAGTCGATCCATTGTGGACGTGCTGGTACAGTAAAGACGCACCAATACAGCCTGCTAAAAGGCACTGCATTCACTTGTACTTCCATTGATTTGTTCTTTGTGGTTGCCATTCTCTTGACAGCCATTTCACGTCAAGGCACTTTCGTTTTGGTCGCCGGCGAGGTTCACAGCAAATTTCTATCGCTAGAACCCGGGCTTGCCTACCTCATGTCAATCAGTTGAGCAGAGATCTGCTCCATCCACTTGCACTCGAACGCGTCCGAGTAGATTTCAATCTGGCTCGGGTGCGTGTGGAAGCCCGTCAGATTGCAGTTTTGAATCAGCTGCAACCCGCTTGGCTCTGTTAACCGAAACACGCCGACACTGTATTATATATAGCACAACAAGTATCTTGGTCAGTGATGCGTGCTGTGATCAAAAGAATGCACATTTGCTTACTTCTTGTGCGGGTCGCTTGGTGCAACAACGATGGCGACAGCCTGGGAGAGTCGAAGACGCAAAATGTAACCGTGAGCACTTCATGAAACGCAGCGACAGCAGGAAAGAGTGCATACAGTACCTCGGGCAATATCGATTGAAAGCCACACTGGGTGTGGACATCCACCGACGACAAAAAACAGTCCTGCTTAGGATGAGTCTACATCCAGATACAATACAATAGTATCAGGAAATGACCGATGCAATTGTTTCCAAGCACATCACCCAGTCTTACGTGAATCCATCCAAGAGTAAGCAGCTCGTTACTGAAGCAAAAGTCATACAACTCCTCTTCGTTCGTCATGGTGCACATATCCGATGACCCCTTCAAGAAGAGAAAAACATAAGCACACCGCTTAGTGCACAACCGCTAAGAACCGCAGCGCATTTTGTCGTTACCCACTTCTTGCTTCGGGATAATTAGTGTGGTTATCACGAGCTTCCGGTCATGCTGAGAGTGAAAACAGTAACGTCAGTGAACCGGGAGAGAGTCGACGACTACTCCAGTCAAGCTATCCACGCTACCAAGGATTCGTACCAAAATTCCGGCTAATATACCACAGGTCTCAATGCCGTAGGGGGGCTGGTTGGTGTTCGGTGCAGCCAGTAATGCGAACTGTGCAATAATCCCCGCCGGTATTTCCAGCGTGCGAATCTTCCCACTACGCAGTCGTATTAGCACGAATTCATTACATATTGCACACCTACACAAGCAAGCTACATACCTGGTCATGTTTGCAATTGCCTCCTGTGATCTCTGACGACTGAGAGGCGGTGCAGAATAGTGCGTGTGAGAAGGCTGAGCAGCATCCCCAGTCATCCACGATGCTTTCCCCACTGTGGGGTACGATACAGTTTTGCTTCGTTCCTAAAAAGCACATATCGTCAGCCGATGCAATGGTACTAAAAACATAACAGCAAGAGATGAATTACCTTTACACGCGGCTCAACTGAGCGGCTGACGTGCGGCTTGACCGGCGTCGATTGGTTGAGTGTGCGCACCTCTTCCTTCTCCGCTGCCCCCGCTGCCTGCACTTTTGGCTGCTCTGCGTTTTTCTTGGCCAGGCGCATCGCCTGCAACCGAGCCTCCAATGCACTCATATTTGCCTGCTCTGTGGCGAGTGCAGCGCTGTTGTTCTGCTGCTTTTCCTGGTTCAGCGATCGCTCATACTCCAAATACTCGAGCTCCTCCGCTTCCATGCCATCCAAAATCGCATCGAAGAGCTTGAATCCGTCTGCAGCTTGCTACGTGCACAGTCATGCAACCCATCATAAGACATCGATCTCCACCGCACACAAAAATCCAGTCTCCCATGCCAGCATACCGTGCGCACCCACTCGCGCTCCTTCTGATACCGAGGCAACTCGTAGTCGTGGTGTGCTGTGATCACCTTGGAGCAGAGCCTGCAGTTACATTACAATACACGACGAAGAAAATATTAAAAAAAATAGAACGCGGTGAGGTCTCTCTGCCAGCCTCCTCTCTCTCTCTCTCGTCCAAGACTCTCGCTAATCGCAGCAGCAGCATCTTACTTGATGAACTTGGCCAGGAACACGTAGCTGCAGTCCACAAGCCGAGCGACCACACAGCACAGTCAACCACAGTGAGTTCCTCGCCCCCCGTAGCGGCCAGCCCTAAAAAATAGAACCTCGGGCGCCCGCCCGCCGGCACGACACGACACGTACGCGTTGTCCCAAGCGCCCTCGGCGAAGTACGTCTCGGACTGGCGGTGGAGCTGGCGCGCCAACTGGTAGTAGCTCTGCAGGCGCAGGTGCTGCTTCACGGGGTCCACGCTGCAGAACGGCGCGAGGTGCGCGCGCCGCGCCACCAGCCGCTCGCTGACGTCCATCACAGCGCTCGCTCGCTTTTTCGAATGCAGCGCTTGCCACGTGAAAGGCTTGCCACCTTCAAGTTCGGACTTAAGCGGGAGTCAATACTGAGACCAAGTGAGCGACATACCCGATACTGTTGATACGGTAGTCGCAGAAGATCAGGGCGCGTGTAGGATGTCAGGCGAGACCAAGAGCCTAAGCGGTATGCAGCGGCGCGCGGCCGGGTGAGGCATTGGAGGCTAGATAGAGGGTGATACGAGGTTGAAGCGCTGACGCTGCGGGACGCGTGGTGTTCCTGCTGCAGCAATCGCGCGCACAACCGCATGGTGCTGCAGAAGCTGGTGGCGTTCTCGATCTTGATGGTCGTGGTGCCCATATCCACGTTCTACGGCGTGCGCAGCTTGTTCACGCCAGGTAGGCAGCGGAGGAGAGGGCTGCGTGTAGATGGATTGAGGCTGATGGTGGTGTGAATAGGGATGCCAGGCAGTCAGTACGCGGATGCGTGGAGGTTCGTGCAGCGAGAAAGCTTCGATACGTTGGTGTGGGGATTCTGACGGGTTGCTATGGCGACGGGGCGATACGTGTAGTGGATTTACGGCAGTGCTGGCAGTGAATATCGTGATTGGACTCTACATTTTGTCAGCGTGGAAGGAGGACGACGGCAAGGAGGTGGCGCCGCCGGTGGGGCGATTCGCCAAGGCAAAGGAGCAATAGTCGTACCGTATAGACGTGGTGGATGCAGCAATTCATCACCTTCGGGCGTCGCATGCAAGAATGCTGCTGCCTGCCTTGAAGTTCCTTTTACTACTTCTTGATTTGTGCTACTTTTTGTGGATGCTGCGGTGAGCTCGAGAGCCAGAACACGTACGCAACGTTTAGCAGGTGAATCCTGCAGTCGCAACGATGTTTTAAGCGCAAGTGGGAATTCGTTTGATGCTCATACATTTTATTAAACTTACATCCGGCGTATCCGCTTAGTGCACAACGCCCCAAGCGTAGGTGGCGAACGACATGTGGCCCATTCCCCACCCGCCGAACACCTTCTCCGCTTCCGGCTTGCTCTCCTCCATGCCAGCGCCAGCAGCGGTAACGAACGGGATAAAGTGATCGGGCGTCGGGTGCGCCAGTCTCGCCGCAGGAGCTGTGGGCCAGTTGATGATCTGGTCGCCACGCTGGCCGTAGCTCAGCTTCGACTCAGCCGTGAGCGTGTTGTCGAGCCAGCCCTGGAACGCTGCGGCCCAGTCCATGATTGGGCTGTTGGGGTCGCGGTTCGCGCGCAGGTTGTGCGTGGCCTGCCCGGAGCAAAGGATGAGCGTGTCCTCGTCGCGGAACGGAGCGATCGCCTTGCCCAAGTCAAAGTGGGCTTTGTTGCCAAGACGCGAGTTGATAGACAGAGTGACGATCGGGATGTCGGCCTGGGGGCGGATCAGCAGCATGGGGACGAACACACCGTGGTCGAAGCCGCGGTCGACAAGCTTGGCCTTGAGATTGTTCTTCTCAAGCTGCTCCTTGACCTTCTGGGCGAAGTCGGGGTCGCCCTTGGCGGGGTACACGACGTCGTACGCCTCTTGAGGGAAGCCGTAGTAGTCGTAGATCATGTCCGGGTTGGCGGCGTTGGAGATCTCGAAGCCGCTGCTGTCGGACTCGAAGTGCGCGGACACGTACAGGATGCGCTTGGGCAGGTTCGTGCCCTTGGGGTAGAGCTTGTCGAACGTGGTGGTGAGCGTTTGCGCGGGGACGCTGCTCCTGTTCATACCGGCGAAGCCCGAGGTGAGCAGCCACAGCGGGCCGGGGCCGTGCGAGACGACGACGACGGGGTGGCGGAAGGGGGACATGTCGGGGTGGACGGTGGTGTCTTGGTGCGAGGCGAGGCTTGCTCACTTGAAGGCGAATTGAAGAATGAGAGTCCTATTGAGTTTGTTTAGAGGACGCTCGTTCCGGTTTTGTCCATGATAACGCCTCTTATGGTAGAATATCATCAAATCTGCGGTCGGAGCATAATAGTATTACCCTACCCCTTCCCAAAGTGTTATGCATACACAGTCCAAGATTGATTAGTCGTCCCGTTTGCTCATTGGTCGTAGCCTTGGGATGGATGGCACGGAGCGAGCGCAGCGAGCCACCGCCTGCGGTTTGACAGTCCGTGTGCGTAGCACGCGGCTGCAAACCCAGGACCCAGCAGTGCTCTACCTAGCAAGCGGAGGCGACGCGTGCGAGCCGCAGCGGGCTTAGGGTTCTGGACCAGCGAGCGCAGCGAGCCTTTAGGGGTTTTAGGTTCGCGCGTAGCTGGGTGATAGTTAAAGGTGACCCCCCTCCTATCCGCATGTTTTGTGTACGCGTCGGAGAAAGTCGGAGGGGTGGGAGGTTTTTGGATTTGGTTGCGATTGGGATCTGCGTAATTATGGTAGAAATTCACGAGTGGCGATGCGGCGCTGCTTGCTGCATTGCTGGAGTAAGAACAACCCAGGCACGACGATAAAGGTTCTGTTGCGAGGATGACACCGGCAATGCATGTAGCGTTGTGGCTTGTTGAGCTTTTGGCAATAGTCTATCTTGTAGTAGTATGGGACGCACGAAGGGGTTGTCCCCTTTTCAGTTTTTATTGGGGACTTACAAAAACCAAGTAATTGTGTTTGCGTACCACTAACACGTTATCAGCTCCTACATTCAGCCAATCAGCATCCAGCTCAAGCCCTCGTAGCGCTTGGCACGATTACCAAATCCGAAAAGTCCAGCACTTGACGACGTAGAGCTCACTTGAAGACTCGCGCCAAGTATGGGGCTCCGGTCTGCATTCCCCATCTTCCTCGCCGCGCTGTGGTCCACCAGCAGCCTCTCCCCGCGCATCGAAGCCTCCGCTGCAACCTCCCGCAACATGAACACGTTCCGCCAGCCGGTGGTCGCCGTCTCGCACGGCGCGGGGCCGCTCTGGCTGCTGGACGAGGGCGCCGCCAACCTGAACAAACACTCGCAGTCGGCCAAGAACGTGGCCGACATCTTCAGCAAGATCTACATGAGCGACGCCCAGCTGCCCAAGCGCATCCTGTTCGTGTCTGCGCACTGGGAGGCGCGCAGCACCGGGATCGAGGTCTCCAAGTCCGCCGCGCCCGAGATGTTCTATGACTACAGCGGGTTTCCGCCCGAGTCCTACGAGCTCGTATACGGCGCCAAGGGCGACCCTGCGTTCGCTACGAGAGTCAAGGAGCAGCTGTCCAAGAGCGGTATTACGTCCAAGCTCGTGGACCGCCCGTTCGACCACGGCGTGTTCGTGCCCATGTTCCTCATGCGCCCGCAGGCCGACATCCCCATTGTCACCATGTCTATCAACGACCGCATGCTTGACGCGAAGGACCACTTCGAGCTCGGCAGGGCGCTCGCACCACTCCGAGATGAGGACACACTGATCATCACGTCGGGCCAAGCCACGCATAACATGTACGCCGACTGGTTCCCGGAGGGCCACCCGATTGAGCCCTGGGCACTTGAGTTCCAGAACTGGCTGGACAAAACTCTGTCGTCGGCGTCCACGCAAACCTACAAGGAGCGCATGGAGTCCGCCATAGCATGGAAAAAGGCTCCGTACGCATCGAAGTGCCATCGCACGCCGGACCACTTCACGACGTTCGTGGTCGCGGCCGGTGCTGGCATGGAGGAGAACCAGCCCGCAGCGAAGAAGCTCAATGGCGGGTGGGGTCTTGGGCACATGTCCTTTGCCTCGTACGCGTGGGGTGTGGACTCGAATCTCAGCGACGTAGTAAAAGACGAGCTGTAGGTAGAACAAAACCCCAGTCAAACCTAATTAACGAGTTACAAGTTCCCACCCCTGCTGTTAGCTTGTCAGACTCGTGCAACCAATAACTAGTAGTAGATCTGTACTGAGTAGTTATTAACTACTCAGTACAGATCCATCGTGTGGACGGAGTCCGAACTTCGAACTCCGAAGCTCCCATGTCAGGAAAACCTCAACCACCCCATTGTCGACTGGGCGGCTGCATTCCAGGACTGGCTGGACGACACGTTCACATCCAAGTCCACGCTCACGTACGAGCAGCGCGCTGTGCGGGTTATCAATTGGCAGGAAACACCCGGAGCAAGACTCGCGCACCCGACAACAGACCACTTCCTCCCGTTTGTAGTCGCTGCTGGAGCCGGCATGGACGCAAAAGACACCGGAGCAGAGACTTTCTTTGGCGGCTGGGGAGCCGGCCACCTCACCTTTGCCAACTACGCGTGGGGGCTTCAACAGTAGGTGATGTGATGAAAGTGTTTGTGTCCTCAGAAAACTTCACATAACGCTAGCTTCGAATGCACCAACGTTTTGTTCCTTGATCATCTCGTTCAAAAGCTGAGGCCCTCGTTCATTTTGCCAGTCCCCACAGTCATAGTTCGGACAAAAATGCAGGATCGTCCATAGATCAATCCGCAAAGGTCAAAGCTTGCCCCCCTCCCCTTTCAGGCATGTCAGCGATGAGGCGCATGCTCGATGAAGATGGTGAACTCTCGATTGCGTATGGAGCGACGGGCTATTACGTGAACAGGTTCAACACCTGCACGGGCAGCACTATTTCTTGCCGTCGTGTGGTGCAGCGGCAGCGAGAATCCGGGGCCTGAGCCGAGGACGCCACCTCATGCGAGCCGATCACGGCTCATTCAGCAATTTGCTTCCAACTCACAACTTCACCAGCACCGATGCCGTCCTTCCGCCACCCCGCAGTCGCCGTCTCGCACGGCCCCGGTCCGCTGTGGCTGCTCTCGGACGGCCCCGCCGACATGATGCGCGAGGCTGCCCCAGCAGCGAAGTTGCTGACTTCTCTCTTCGCGAAGCTCTACCCGAACAACGAGAACCTGCCCAAGCGCATCCTCTTCGTGTCGGCGCACTTCGAGTCCGACAGCAGCGGCTTCGAGATCTCCAACGCCGCCAACCCGGACATGATCTACGACTACTACGGCTTCCCTCAAGAGGCGTACGACGTCGTGTACCCCGCCAAGGGAGACCCCGCCTTCGCCCAGAAGGTCAAGGAGCAGCTCGAGAAGAACAATCTCAAGGCCAAACTCGTGAACCGCGGCTTCGACCACGGCACGTTCGTCCCCTTGACGCTGATCCGCCCGCAAGCCGACATTCCGGTGGTCACCTTGTCCATCAACTCGTACCTGAGCAACCAGGACCACTTCGACCTGGGCAAGGCAATTGCTCCGTTCCGTGACGAGGACACGCTGATTCTGTGCTCGGGGCAGTCGACGCACAACCTCCGTGGCTTCCACAGTCGCAGTCCTTCCCTGGTCGAAGGCGCTCGGGCGTTCCAAGCGTGGCTCGACGACGCGCTGTCCTCGCAGTCCAAGCTCGAGATGAAGGAGCGAATCAAGGCTATCACCAATTGGCGCGACGCACCCGGGGCGAGATTCGCTCACCCGTCACCTGACCACTTCATGCCGTTCGTCGTTGGAGCTGGAGCTGGAATGGAAGAGAAGGAGCCAGGCGCTGAACTGCTCTTCGGAGGCTGGGCTATCGGTCACTTTTCCTTCGCAAACTATGCGTGGGGACTGCAGCAGTAAACCGGAAAGGGTTAGCTTCAACAACAGCCCTGTGAGAATATGTATGTGCTCAATGAAATTACGTTCAAAGCATTGTTGGTACTTTTAGCGGACTCACCACCACAGGTTGTCAAAACAAAAAGTCTATTAACTATTTCCATTGCGTTGTTGTGCACAAGCCTGGCGCTACATGATTCGTTCACACGAATTCCTCGGGGCTCTCGTCGAGGACAACGAAAAACTCAGGTCCGTTCTTCCTGATACACTGCGATAGCCGTTCGTTGTCTTCAAAGAGCATTCTCGAGTCTAGTCCAATAACCTGGAGTTCTGTGTATGCAGAGGCATCTGATAGTACAGTCGCCCGGAGGTGACTCTTAAGCGCAGCAACGTCCTGGCACGAGCCGAGATTGACCACAACGGCAACAAGCTGCAGCACAGCAAACGGCATGAGCACTTAGCGTTTGGCTTCATGCACCAATTATCAAAAGCCTCTACAAAAGAACGTACCTCAGGAAACGACTTGTTTGTAGCGATCTTCAGCTCCACAGATCCTGCAGGCTCCGCACTCACCGTCGTAGCATGATCCCTCGTCGCACGTTCATCAACGTCGGAGTTCTCAACTTCAACGCGATGTTCCTCGTCTACTTCACCAGGTAACGACTTCACAACAGCGTTCTGCTTCACCACCCTGGCCACCGTGCGGCCAGCTACAGCAGGAGCTCGCCGGCGGGGTTTGGGCGATACAGAGGCCGCTGACGGTTCTTCGTTGGACTTATTTGATGCTGCGCGCCGCTTTGCTGGGCGATTTACTGGAGCGTGCTCACGTTCAGCAGGCGGAGTCAAGCTACCTGGGGCTCTGCGTCGCTTCCGACTGCTTTGCCGAGGGGTTTGCAGATTTTTCCACTTATCCTACATTGGCACACCGATCCGTCAGCAAACCCGCACTAAAAAGGCACAGGCAGGACGCAGTTTACCTTCAGATCCACATTAGTTCGATGAGAGGAGAAGACTCCAGCACCGTCAATAAGAATCTGCTTCCACTTTCCAATGCCGTACCTCGCTACCCCTTGACGGAGGAATTCCTCCTCATCCTCGGTCCAAAACACCGTCGCCCGTCGTCCTCTAGTGTCGTCACAACACGCCGAGCAACTATTACATGCTGCAGCCTCACTCCAACTCAAATAGTGTACCCTTGCTCACCTTATGGGGCGGACATCAGCAGCGTCTCCGTCCGCTCGCTCACTCTCGGGGCTTGGCACTTCCTCGTCCTCTCGGTCGACGTCCAGCAGCTGCACCGGCATCTTCACCTCCTCAACCACTACTGCTGCTGCTTCTTCTTCTTCTCCGTCACCAGCCTGTCCTTCTACATGAGTCTGGATATCGACAGCCTCTGCTTTGCCCCCCTCTTCCTGCGTCTGCTCGTCATCCACGTCGGCGTCGTCCACGCTGCCGAAGTCCAACTGCCTCGAGCGAGGTGGGGCGCCCTCCTCGCTCGGCTGCGACCGCTCCGGCGTGCGCTGGCCCAGCGACGCAGCCACGTCCTGCAGCGACTGGTCCTTGCGCCACCGCCCCGAGGACGTGACGGAGCTGATCGAGGCGCGCCTGCTGCTCGAGGCGGAGGACGGCGTGCGCATCGCTCACGAGTACCTAAAATGCAACTGGTGGCAAACATTTTGTGCCCAAAATAGTCCCGATGGACTTTTTGCACAAATTCTGAGCACTTCAACTTGAGTTAGTCCGCAAAGTCGTCGTTGGAGTATTCCTCGTCTTCGTCGTTGCCTTGGTCTTGATTGCCTTCAGGGCTGGGAGTGAGAGCAACGCTCGAAGGGTTGACGGCTGGTTCCTCTTCGAACTCACTGCCGTATCCGCTGACTTCGTGCTTGTCGTTCACGTGGGGCTGCTCGTCTGTTGCTCGGGCGGACGGAAGACCATAGTCGTCGAAATTGTCGCCGTCGTAAGCTTCGTCTTGTTCTTCATCGGAGTGAGGCTGCTGTGCTTGGTCTTGCTCAAATGATGGTAGTGACGACTTGTCCTCATTCGGAGTGCCGGCCCTCTCTCCCTCGTTTCCCTCGCTAGCAACAACTTCCTCTGCGTGTTCGGGTTCCGCTACAACCGACTTTTCATCAGACTCACCAGGAATATTGGAAGCGTTAGCTACTCCATTTGTCGGCGCAGATTGAATGACTTCGCCATTGTCGGTGGATCCATCTTCGTCCTTGTTCCGCACATCTTTCGGGGCTTCACATTCGTCACCACGATCAACGGTGCTGTCCCCTTCATCGTTGGAGCGATCATCCACTTCAGTTAGTTGAGAATCGCTTGCATTGAGTGCTGCCTCGTCGGTAACATTGGTTTCAACTTCTTGCAGTTGATCACTGTCTGGTGGATCGAAATTTGAGTCCGCCACTGCCACTGCATTCAGCGCCGTCTCCAACTCAACCCCTGGAGAAAACGCCCCGGAAAGACTCATCGTATCTCGATCACGTTCGTCTACATCCAAAGAACCCGGTGGGTCTGCCTGTTTCATGTCGGCTGAGTTCGTGCCACTTCCTCGACTCCGACCACGGGAAAACGTGAACCGCACAGAGACGATCTCATTATCCGGGATATACGCAGCCTGCTCGTCACTTGCTGCCGGGTTTGTCGTGTCTGGCGTACTCAACCCTGTGGTTGATTCGGTCGTCTTAACTGGGCAAAGAGGTGACGGTTTTGTCTTACGTAGCTCGATGATGCGTCGATGGTTGGCAGCACTTGCTTGTGGCACAGTAGTGTCGAAGCTTCCTCGACTACCGAGTTGAACTTGTCCTTTAGAGCTTCGGCGTCCAGACTTTCGGGCACTAAGGGCCCCCACCACATCAGTCTTCGTAGGAGAAGAAGTTAGTTCTAGATCCCTATCGGATTCTGCATGAGTAAGACCGGTCTTTAGGTGATGTGGCTGGAGTGATTTTAGCGGCTTGGACCGCAGAACAGCCTGGGGCGAGACCTGAGCTCTCCGTAGCTCTTGTTGCAATGCCGATCGACGCTTCTCCTGATTTTTGAGGAACTCCTGCGTCCATTTACCGTCCTTTTCCCATTCCTTGGAGTTCAGAGTCGCTTTTGTGCTCTGAAGACGCTTTATGAGAGCCTAGCGCACATTCAACGCGCTGGGTTAGCCTTATACACAGTCGTTTCAAACGCAATGCAACTCACCTGGTTCTCTTGCCAGATTTTCCGCTGTTCCTGTCTTTTGTAGTAGTCGTGAGCGAGGCGATTTCGCTGGTGAGGTAGGACCAGCGGCGTGTCATACGTAGTTATATCCCCAGTCGTAGTCCCATTCTCATTTCCTGTATGCAGCCTCGCTGGCGGTTTGACCGCTGGGATCCGAACTCGTCGGTCTGAGACCTCTTGGTTAATTTCTGCGCTGTGATTTGGTAGTGCAGCCCCGTCGGCCTCTTCTCGGCCGCTGCCTCCTCCAAGACCCCTGAAATCAACTTCCTGTTCGCCACCGGGTCGCGAAATCGTCACCAGATGCTGCCGTGTCTTCATGGGACTGGTAGGACATCTCTTTTGCGCGTACGAGTGGTGGAACTGCGGGAGGCGCGTAGATTTAGGGGATCTTGTGTCAACACAACTGTGAGCTTTCGACACGCGCGACAAGTGACCAGCCAAATTCCTGGCGATCTCGCGTGTCCAGATTGTAGCGTTGCTGTATGGTTCTGCGCGTCGACCACGGTCCATGTTTCTCTGTTCAATGGGCTGCTCGAATATCCCAAGCGAAACCCAGTGGCAGCTCAGCTCTGTCTACGAATGAGTGCTCAGAACTTTCGATATCTGCCTTCAGCAAAATTAGATTGTGCTTTTATTTAGCTCGGAGTGAGTTGGTGATGTATGGTGATCTCGACGCGATACAAGCCACTGCAAAGCTTGATCCCAGTGGACCCTCTCTCGGATGTTGCTGGTCTTCACTAGGACATCTTCGTCTCGGACTTTCAAGCGGAGCACGCAATCACCCTGAAAGTTTTCTTTTAAGATAGACCGGGCTAGAAGTTTCTTCGATGGAGATGACGGACTTTTCGCCTCAATACCGAGTGAGCGCTGAGGGCAGACTTCAAGCTGACTCGCGAAGACGCGCTCAATACGAGGTACGTGGCTGCTTTCTTTTCGGCGGAAAAGGAGATAATCTCCACTCGGTGCTAGCTTGATCTGGATGCTTTCAACGGTGTCTGGTCTTGCTTCCCGGAGCACACGAAACTTGCCCCCGCTCACAAGTAATTCGTAAAATGCTTTCTCCGAGTCCGGTATTTGCAGCAGTGGGCTTGAACTCGGCGTCGGTTTTGCTTGGACGGACTTGATGCGTTGCTTTTGATAGCCCAGAGCCGACACTTTCTCCAGGATAGTGCTGGCAATGCGATAGATTTGACCCCCTGTCGTCTCCGGATATTCTTGGGTGACCAGCTCGAGAGCCTCAAACACGCACTCGTCTTGCAGAGAAGGGTAACTCTCGCCAACGTTGAGAACCAACAGGTCAAAAAAACACAAACTGCTCAGTAGTGTACTTTCGTCCTTGATATGGTTCAATATTCGCTCCAACGTGATAGGGATAGCGTCATACACTATCAAAATCTGGGCGCATTCAATGTCCTCACTCAACGTGCACAGCAGCCCATAGAGAGCTTGCTCCAGCGATCTATCGTATCCCACGCTATCCAGCAGCTCAAGAATCGTGAATGATCCTTTAGGTGATATGGTTTTACAAATAGCGGTATCAACTGCAAGTCGCCCCAGAATCCCAACGAGTTTCTCCACAGACATCCCAGTACTCGTACTGTGCAGTTTGTGAATCGAATCGGCAAGTTCTAACAGCCACATCGGTAGATCCCTCCATCCATGACCGATTGCTCGGTCAGAGCACGCCATATTCACAAAGCCGTCTATCGCCAACTCTACCAATGCACAGTCGAAGTTAGTTTCCCAGATTCGGTCGATGGTCTGCTGCAGCTCTTGAAGCCCATGTAAAATCTCAGCAGACTCACACAAGCGCTCGTCTTTTGTAAGGGTTTTCAGCAATGAGAGGCACGATTTTAGCACACTATTATCCCCTCGGCTGGAGTAATTGTCCAGTATATCAAACAGCAGCGGGATAATATCGGCTTCAAGTAGATTCGCCAACAACTCCGATTTCTTTCTTGCTCTGTCTCCCAGAAGTATCCACGTCTGTACATGCTTTCCGGATTGGTGTTCAAATACTTCCAACATTCGATTTACGAATTCAATGCACATATTGCAAATATTAGCGTTGTCAGAGTTCTTCTTGCACACGAGCAGTATCGATTCAGCTGCATCGGCTGCCACAAGCTGAGCAATTTGTGTCTGGAATGAGGTACTTCGAGACGCTATGTCCAGCAACAACCCAAGGCAAGAGCGCCCTATCCAGCCGTCGTTGGCATGCAACTTCAGACACGTCAGCAGTACACCAACGCCATCTGAGTCGATTAAGTGCTGCAGAGTTAAATGCCGCTTCTCTTGGTAGATGCACGCAAGAACTGTAAGAGCTCTCCTCACCATGAAACTGTGGCTCATGAACATGCGGATGATGCCGACGACAACGTTGGTTGTGGCTTCAATTGATTCATGAACCAGATCATCAGAGGCGCAGATTATGGTTGATATGCACTTGAGCCAATTCCAAGCCGTTGGACTGCTGCCGATATATGGCAGGACAGCGGTGTTGAGGACAGCTAAGCTGTCGCGACTTCCAACACTACGAAAGCATTGAACACCGATCTTATTGTTAAGAATGCGGAGCGTCGACAGGCACTCATCAACGACCTCCTCATCAAGTTTCCAGTTTTGGAGTAGCTCAAATAACAGATCCAGTAGAGGCTCAAACTTCTCAAAACTGGTCTCAGTTGGGCCTCCACCTTCGGTAGCAACGTTGTTGCAAAACCTTGCGAGACATCGAGCAAACGGAAGCGATAGACATTGGTGCAACGAGCAGGATGCTAGTAACGCAGGAATATCGAGCTCCTCATTCGAACGCACGACAGACGGGTGCACGAATGCTATCTGATCTAGCATTTGCATCACTTGGCAGATCATTGGGGTCGTTATTGTGTGAAGAACAACGATTTCACAGAGAGATGGCACCAAATCGAACACATATCTTCTGTTTGAAGCCATGTCTGGGTCGTCCAACACAAGGCTGAGTTGGTTGACGGCTTCTCGCAAGTGGATATACGCCAGGGGCTCAATTGAAGTTTTCTCGGAAGTGTTCAGGTCAACGTACAAGCACTCCTGGGGTTCACTCGACACCTGGACTATACTTCGGCAATTCGACGAAATGATCTTCAGAATTTCGTTCTCGGACAGAGGCATCTGCAGCTCCGATTCATTGGCTACCGAGGTTGTAGCAGTACAACGGGGTTTGGATGCTGCGGATATTACCTTCTGTCGTGTAATGTATAGCTGTAGAACAAGCGTCTCGGTCTCTTCATCCGATCGCGCTGATGCAGGTATTATCAGCGTTCTACATTGCTGTATCAAGGACATGTTGAGCTTCGAGGGGTCGACCGCTAAGAAATACTCCAGTACGAGATACGCCCACCGGGTGGAAGAAGAGCCTTCACTTGTTTCAACGTAAATAAACAGCAGTTGTAGTGCAAATTTTATGCTTTCGTGATCCAGGTTTGCGCCATAGCCAGCAAGAAGGCAGACGATCTCCAGGGCTAAATAAATGATGTCTGCATACTGAGAGGGTGCACAAAGTACGTTGTGCAAAATGCCAATACCCCCTAAATCCGAGCAGAGAACTGCACAGTTTTTTCGCTTGCTGAAGAGCTTCAGGGTTTCAAGAGCAGCCCGCAACACGTCGCTCCCTGAAATTTGCCGCCATCCTCGTTGACCCGTGTCACCAACTTTTCCAGCGAGATTCTGCTTTACCACTGCCAAAATCGCAGTGAGCTCGCCACTTTCAATCCGCTGCGTTTTGTGGCGTATGTCATTAACATGATCGAACAAGAACGTGAAGATTGTCACGTGAACATCGTTACTTGGCGCACCACGGGCGAGCTCAAAGAAGTGCAGGAGACCTTGGGGAAGAACCAAAATTGATTCTAGGAGCAGCTCCTGAGACCACTTGTGTGGAGAGAACACTCTCAGAAGTTCCAGTACACTTTCCACCTCTCCACTTTCCCATCGGGCACCGTACACGGTTCTAAGAGCCGAAACACAATTTTGAAGACTCTTTTCAAGGCACTGCGATCGATTTACGCCCGTTGCAAGTCGTTGCATCACATTGGACAACACGTGCGTGCAAGCGTCAACAAATTGCCATGCAGCCGCTCGAACAGAAGGCGAAAGATATAGCGCCACGGCTAAGTCCATGTAGTCCGCTAGCGCTTCGTCAGAAATACAAATCGGGTTCAACAATTGTCTCAAACTCACCGCTGAGTCCTCCACGGTGGTTCTATCGGTATCAACCTTTAAACCAACCACTCTGGCAATGTTGAGATGAAGGCTGACTATCGCTGAGTACTCGGAGATTTCAAAACTAGGAGCAGCATTGAAGAGCTCGTAGAAAGCCGACCCAGATTGAGCAATCTCCTTCAGACTACAGCCCGATCCAACGGTTGAGGCGTCTGTCGTAAGCTGGCCAAACTTCAAAGTTAGGCAAGCGACGCTGTCTGTAATGTGTCTTTTGATCCTTCGTGCATTAGCCACGGTAGTTTGGCTATGAACCAAGCGCTTGCTTTGCTGATATAATTTTCCGAATAACTCGTTGCAATCCAACTGCCAGCCTTTCGCACCATTCACCATTCCCACACAATCTGCCAGGCTCTTCCACGAGAGAACGCTCATATCTGCAATTACAATTTTGACGAGGCTGATCAGCAGCGCGATTGGGTCCGAAGATAGTTGCAAAATCTTTTCCGCGTAGAGAAGCCCATGATGCTGGATCACAGCCCCCAACACAACGGCACACCAAGTTTGGCAGGGCTTTCTGTGTATGGCTATTGTACTGGTCGATGAGGCCAAAGCGTGACGTGTAGCTCGATGTTGAGTAATATGACGCACGTGTTCCGCTCCAAGTTCTATACAATGCTGAAGAATAACACCAGTGGTCTGAAGAATTTCTTCCAGAAGTGCGGACTTGGTCAGGCCAGCGTTCGTGTCCGAGAAAAAAATATTCAGCGTTCCCAGGCACAAACGAACTAACACGTCACTGCCATTTTCCTCGCTGTGAATAGAGAACACGTTCTCAGAAAACGATGAGAGAAGCATAGAAATTATCCCCAGCACAGATACAGCGACATCGTAACCATCCGCTTCCGCCTCTAGGTGTGCCAAATCTGCCTGTACAAGCTGCCACAGCACGTTTTCCAGTTCGCTGATGTGAGAGGACGCCAGCACTATTTCTCTGCACTGACTGCATCGAAGAAGGTAGTTCAGTGCGTCGAGAAGTTCCATCAGCAAAGCGGGCTCAAGGACCGTAAATCCTGAGACGATTCGGAGAAGTACGAACTCGATGACCAACGTGAATTCGCTCCAGCCACGATCCGCCAATGCAGCGATCCAGCGCATGGAATGCCATGCTGTACTCTCTGCGAACTGGCATAGCGCTGTATTGATGACTTCTTCTCGCTGCGCCGTAGGAAGTAGCTGGCTTAATAAGCAGCCCAGTTCTAGGAAGAACGAGGCGTAGTCCCCCATCTCCTCCACGTGAGCACCGAAGTTCTCCACTACAGCTGCGAGATAGCCAAAGATACGGTGATAAGCGTCAACTGTCTTCCGTACTTGACTGGAAAACAGTATCGCCTCAAGAGCCTTGAAATCATCCGTCGAGTTTGTCATTGAGGCGCAATCAATAACGCCACTCTTGGTCGCCAAGCACCTCTCCAGGCGCTTAATTAGTCGACTCACGTAGCTCGTCGTCGCAAAAAGTGCAATTGCTTTATCAAAATGCACAACGTTATCTTGTGCGGTTAACGAGGGAGAAAGAATAAATATTCCAGTTAGTTTCCCCAGAACGCCTAAGCATCTGGAGACCAAAGCATCCGACATGGCATCGGACACCTTTGCGATTTCCTCAAGGATTCGAATTGCGCCCGTACATTCTCCTTGGAGGAGCGTGCAACTGCTCTCGTGCTGTATCGAATCCTCCAGACCGTTTAGTATCACCTTCATCATCTTGATATGTTGCCCCCCGGCTGTCTTAGCTAACTGCTTTCCACGAGAGAGAACTGTCAAAGTCGTTGCAAACAGCAACTTCCGAGTGCGCTGTTGAGTTGGGTTGCGCTGTAGAATTGAGGTAACCACTGCAATCCACCGACTTTCCACTTCGTTAGATATTGGTATCGGAGATGCCAACATGGCCTGAAGCACTTGACAGCCACCGTCCACAAGCAAAGCTGGGAATTTCTTCACGTGTAAGGCTTCCTCGAGACAGCCAATAACTGCATCATCGGCCCCAGATTTAACTAACTGCGAGCAGACTGTCCGTCCGTCAACTCCATCGTGAGAATCTTGAGCTACTGGTATTCCCATTCCTTGCGTCACTGCTGGGGCTGTCACCACATTCAGTAAGGAATAGAAACACGTTGTGACGAGCTGGACAAACGAAGCCTCGCTGCGTAGTAACAGTTCTTGCTTTGCATAACGCAGCATTCCAGTAATACGCTGAATGGAACCTTCTTCGATCAAGAGGGGGACAAAAGGTTTGACAAACGCTAGAGCTCCCACGACACTGCAGCACGTATCCAACGCTTCTGTCAATATTGCCTGTTCATCGCAAGAAACACTAACATCAGGTTTGTACATCTTAACAGCAACATACCATAAAATACCTGAGTGCTGAAGGACTGCCCGTTTGAGACGTGAGCTTGTGGCTCGATCGTACTGAGGTTTCTGGTTACATCAAGCTTGTGAGCCACGTCACAAATAATGAGCCGTGCGTTCAGGCCCGGGGACTCTTTAGATTCCCACTGGTACGAGCAAATTGCCTTGGACACAACTTGCAGTAACGCTCGGTCAATAAACGCCGCTCGGATGCTGCTGTTTAACTGAAAAAAATACACGTCAGTAACCGAATCAAAACGAGTCGATAAAGGTGCGGTTGTGCTCCTCACCAGTGCATTCACCACAAGATTGAGCATTTCTCCTATGAAAGAGCACTCTGACAGCTTGACGCGCATGACACGAACTATATCTCGGACATGTTGGTTTGACAACAGCGGCTGATCAGAACTTTGCTGTGCTATCAGCCGTGTCAATGCCATCGCACACTCCAGTTGATACGAGTGGTTAGTGTCCAGGGCGAGCATCGATTCCGCAACGAGGGAACAGAAGCTTCTGCGAATTTACAGTAAAAAAAATGTGAAGGGAAGGCATACAGCATTTACTACGATAGCAGCTAGCAGAACGCCACGTACGGTAATAAATCAGGTTGGCATACACGAGATGACATGAGAGTCGTAACAACTACGTGAGCGCTTAGTGGTAGCTACAATGGACAGGAGTTGTTAGCAAAGTACCGTATACCCCTAACATCCAATATTTTCTTACCTCTTGACGTTTACTCAGTACTGATACGAAAAGGGCAGCACCGTTGCTTTCCGTAAACTTTTCCGAAAATCCCTACGCCACGCAAAGTAAGTTATCCATGGTTGGGCTTTTAACCTCTCGATAGTCTTACTTCGCAATGTAGCAGCGTTTTCAGCGTTGCTAGAAGGTGGCGTATAAGCTCATCGTTTCCATCCTCACATCTGTCGCTGATCACTTCAATCCACTTGTGGACGCCACTGCCATTTATTTGGACTTCGTTCCACGTTTCGTCCGGCCAATGCATCGACACATAGTACAGTGCTTGAGCCACTGCTGTTTCAATAGTTGTATTGCCGAGCGCAGATTCCCCGGCGAAAACGTTGGTAATTACTGCTATCCCCCCGCTATCTAGAAAAGCACGAGCTTCCTCTCTGTTCATAATAAATTTGGGCACGGAGCTGTTGTATGAGAATCAAGACGGAACTAACTCAAACACTCAGGCACATACCTCCATACAACACTCAGCAAAAGCGTCATCGCTGCAGTTTGAAATGCATTTACCTGGGCTTCAGTGTGCCTAGGGACAAAACGCAAGTTCAATGTACACAGCATTATTCACGTGATTGCGTCGTGTCAAAATACGGCATTGTACCTACGATTCATCAGGAGGTAACGCGAGATTTATCAAACATGTTAACGAGCTCTGGACAGCACTTTGAAGAGGTGCTCGAATCAGCTTCTCCACACAGGTTCTGTGAGTCTTCATAGGATGCAACAAATGGTCACCCGGTTACTACACAATGAAAAAAAAATCAGGTGCAAGTATTGACATCGGAATACGTTTCGTACATCATCTAGATCCATCTTGAGCTGATATTGATGCAAGGCAGCTGCCAGAACGGGCACCGAAAACCCAAGGTGTGGAGCTCGAAGTGCACTAGATCCTCCAGCATCTACAATTCTGTGAAATTAATTAGATGTTGCGTATTTGATCCACATAGTATTGCATTCATACCGAAAGATGACTGCCACAGCAGCCGAAGCAAACGCGGTGCTTACTCCATCCAATTGGTGATTGCACTGGTCAATAGTCTTCAGAACCACGTTCGCGGATGTTGCGGGGACTCCAATATCCGTTCTTAGCTGAAAAAGCAACTTCAAGGTCAGCACGCAATCGAGTTCGAGGCCATTGTCCAGCGAATCCGTAAGCTGCCAGCGAAACAACGTAAGAAGCTATCCCCCCTTATGAATTTATTTCATAGATGGAGGCGTACCATTGCTTGTGCGGTGGTTGCGACAAGTTGGGTCCACAGTCCACTTTCAACTCTTTCCAGGTTCTTGGCAAGCTTGGATAGAATATTGATTCCACACCGAACGCAGGCAGGTTCGTTCTGGTAGTTCACCTTATGAACGATTTTGTCGAGAATGATCAGAATGTCTAAGGCAGAGCATTATCATTTGGGTTAGTTATCTGCGATGTGCGTGTACTAGTAGTACCCGTGGTCGTAGAAGTCTTACCGTTTTTAAGGATGGAGCTTGCCACGATATCCTCGGCGATATTCAGCATTCCCAGCAGGAGCTCGAAACAAGAAGCAATAAACGCTGGCGAGTCCAAGTTCGCAAGCATGGCGTCTACAGTCCCCACCAGAGCTCCCGTAGCAATAAAGGACCCGATGCAATCTTTGATTTCCTGGTCGTCTTTATCTGCGGCGATCCCATCAGAAAGCTCCTGGTACAGGAACTGGATTCCACGTTGCAAAACGGGGTAGACGTCCTGGTACTGTGAAAGGGTGTGGATCAGGGCCTCGGCTCGACTTCTGGGCCTAGCTGGGTCCTGGTGTTGGTCAGCGTACGCCACTTCCTCTGTTTCCTGACCATCGCTTCCTGGCATGCCTACTTCACACCAAATGGAGACTGGACCGCGCGACTCTTCAAATTTGATCACAATTGGCAAGATTTTATTTTCAAGCCTGGGCCTGTATGCCCAAGATCAGCGATCATCATCAGTCCGAGCGCCAAATGACTGGAACCTCATCCGTGCGGAATCTATCGACAAGGAAAATATTAGTATAAGCAGCATCGAGAGTACCTTTCAGCTCAAGTCAACAATCATACCTCTGCGTGCACGTAGCTTCCTTGAGGGGCGTGGCTTCACCGTACTGGAATTGAAGGACACCAGCTTGGGCGATCATCGCGCCATTGTCGATGCAATAGCGCTGGTCCATGGCACAGACGCGTCCGTTGCGCTCCTTCGCCATAATACCCATCATTTCCTGAAGACGCAGGTTACCTACAAAGTAGCAAAATCAGTCAGCGCCATTGCCCCTGAGCTGCCAACCCAGGCACGTAAGTGAAAACAGGAAAGCATTTTGAACGTACATCCGACGCCGCCAACGATAAGCACCTCCGATTGTCCACAGTGAGCCATCGCACGCTCCGTAATTTCCACCTGGTAAATAGGACACGAAGAAAACGACAAAATGAGCTTCCACCCCAACATCTGTGCAGTCCTGGAGAAGAGCGACATAATACCAGCATGGCGAAGATTGTTTCCTGCAGCGAGTAGCACAAGTCGGCCTTGGTGCATTCCCCAGACTTGATCTTCTCGCTGAAAACAAAAATCAAAACACAGTACGGTGAGACGCCAGCATTCACTTTACCTTCTAGCAAAGCGAAGTGCAGTATTTCCGACATACTTGGCCTCCTTTTCAATGAAAGTCGAGATACCGGAGAAAGACACGTCCATTCCCTTCACGATGTACGGCAGCTCAATGAACTTCTTGCCTCTGCACCCACAACAAGCACGTCACGTCAGTCATCGCAAGCCTTGAACATTCCCCAAGCCAAAACTTCACGCACTCTCTCGCCAGCACTTCGATATTGTACCCCGGACTCGGGTCGTTCGACAGCTCCAACACTCGCGCAAAGCGATCCAGGCAGTTTCCAACTGCGATATCGATCGTCTCGCCGAAAATGCGATAGCTGCACAGTGCACAAGTACCCCCATTCATTAGCAACCTCTAATACCACCAAGTCCACCTCAAGGCATCCCGCACCATTGCATCGAGTAGGCGATCACTTGGGTGTTGCCACCGCTGACGTAGAGCACCACCGGGTCGGCGGCCTTGGTCACCGTGCGGCCCATCTCAATATCTGCACCAACCGACACGCGCCACAAGTTAGCAAGACCACCACCTGTAACACCTCCATCATTGCAGCTAGAGCACTGACGTCCGACGCAGTGGTTGACGCCCACCAGCGGCTTGTTCCACAGCAGCGACAGCATCCGCGCGCAGACGGCGGCCGAGCGCAGCGGCCCGCCCATGCCCGGGCCCTTGGTGTAGCAGATGCAGTCCAGCTGCTGCGGCGACACGTTGGCCTCGGCCAGAGCCGCCCGCACGATGCCCACGACGTGGTTCTGGTGATGCCAGGCTGTCTCGCGCGGCAGGAAGCCCTGGCCGGGCGGCGTGATGTACGTCTTGCGAGGGTTCGACAGGATCTCCGTCTCGCCGTCCGCGCGGTAGCGGATGATCCCTACGCCCAGCTTGTTGGCGCTGCCCTCGATGCCCATGGCGAGCACATCGCCGTCCTTACGCATCGGCGGCACCATCTTTCAAAGTCAATATTGCTGGACGAAATGCAGACCTATGGTGTGGCGAATTGTGGGGGTATACAATATGCCATAAGAGAGTTTTGATCGTGCGACCTTTCATGGTAATCGACACACAAGATCCGCTGCTGGAAGAGCGCAATGAGGTCGTTGGCGCTGACGTTCGTGGCGATCGCCGCGCTGTGCTGGGCTGCGGTTGTCCACGCAGACTTCAACCAGTGCCTGGGGCTGGAGATGGCTACGCTGCTCACGATGCCGTCGTGCATGGAGCTCTTCAGCACGTGTCAGCTGGGCGTGGGCAAGCTCAACCAGAAGCTTGGCGTCTCTGCGGCGGAGGGGTACAAACCTGTGAGTATCGTGTCGGCCAGCGAGTCCAAGACCGTGACCGAGAACAGCACCAAAGTTGCGATGCTGGTGCAGCTGGCGCCGCTAACGGACTGCTTGTCGGATCCATCGACGGCGAAGGGGGACAGGTGGGGACGAAGATGTGACGTAGTATCTGCGAAGATAAGAGATCGTGGGAGCTTCTAACTGAAGTTGCCCTGTGGATCTGGTAGCTGCCAGTTTGACATGTCCAAGGTGGAGTTCTACAGTATCCTGCTGACGCACGAATTTGGAGCCTCGTGGAAGCTGGAAGGCTACAAGCGTCATGCTCTCTCAGGCAAGTTCGCTTTCTTCCGTGGAGGGTTCTTTACTAAATCCATGCTCATAGTAGTTATGCCCCTACTACTGTGAAGATGACGAGCGAGCGCAGATTATGCAGGAATACAACAGCGGTCAGTTCTACGGTAGCAAGGTCGCCATTGGTATTTTCGATGCGCCGGGTGAACCGCTCGAGTCCGATTCCAAGGCCACGGCACCGCGGACTCCTACCGCTGTTGTAGCTGCCTCCGTGACTGCCTTGTTTTGTCTTGGGTTGGTCCTGCACCAGCGCAGGCGTCATCAAAATGGATACGCCCCGATCTACCTCTCGAAAGGAGGCAGCGTCCAAGGGAAAAAGTCGCCGACGGCCAAGGGAACTCCAGAGGAAAGGTCGCTGCGCCCAGCTGATGCCGCTGGTACAAGTGGAGGCCACACCTTTAAGCAGGAGGCTAACGAGCGTTTTGCGGTCTGAAGTGCTGTATGAGCGTTTGGCAAGGTTCTGCATTCGTCAGGCTTGAAGAGAGCTCAATATTTGTGAACAAAAGTAATGCAATTTACTGGCTTACTGCCCAACTCGCGAGGATCCGTCTCTACTTCTTTTTGAAGATGCCGAAGTAAATCAGCAGCAGAATCGCGATGACGATAAAGCCCGCAGCAATCGAAAGAGCGAGGCGTTGGCGCTTGTCACGTGCTGACATTCGACCCACAATGTTGCCTCCTCGGCGAGCCATCTCATTCACACCCTTCACCTTAGCGTGCGTCGCTTCGATCTTTTCGCGATTTCGGCTAAGCTCGTCACCAATTGCTAGCGCTACAAAGTTTCAACACATAGTCGAAGGTCAGATTTCCCGCTACAGCATATTAAAAAAAAACACTCGTTCACTTACCAACTTCCTCCGTGTCAGCAATCTCTTTCCGTGCAGCCGCTAGCTTGTCCGTCGTTCCCTTCATCCTGCATAACCAGAAACAAGATCACGCTGGTTACTTTCTGCTCCCCTAGACGTCGTGAATGACACACGAAAGCACGTACTTGTTCGTAGCTGCTGCCATGCGACTACGGTGCTCAGCCGAAGCCTATCAAACCACAATCATAACATCAGTAAAACACATCCACAAACGCAGAATCACCGAGCGCAAGGCCGCTCTTACCGCGTTGCCATCGCGGTCTCCTAAGAGTCCTTCTCGCTCCTCTTTTTCGCGGATTTTCTTGTGATCCGCCGACAGCGACGCCAGACTCTTCTTGTACTGGTCTACCTTCTTCGACAGCTCTCGGCGCGTCGCCGCATCCAGACTCCTCACCTCCAGCTCCATCTGCTGGATCTAAACACATACACAAAGGCCAGCGTCGTCAGCTTCGTCAGATAGATCCCCCTCCACCGTCTTCAGCAGGAGCGAATGCGTCCGTCCTACCAGCTGCGTGGCTTGAGTCAGCAGGTCGCCTACATGCACGATGCTCGCCTTCTTCTTGTCTGCAGCACAACAATCACAACATTATTAGCGTAATTGGCCCCACCCACGGTCGAATCAGACTCCGGTTCGCTCACCTTTCTGGTCCTCGTAGGACGCGATCTCGCTGATCTTCTTGGAGATGTCGCCGGTCAGCGCGCGGTACTCCTCATCGTAGCCGTCGAAGATGGTGGTCATCCTGCTCTGCTCTCGATACACGCCGCGGGGAAGGAGGACGTCGACTACCGCACGCACAACAGAGAGCTCTCGATGGAAAATCAAGCAGAAAATGCGGGACTCAATTGGCCGCACTGTTTTTAGCGCGGTGTGATGTGGCGCACGTAAATATTCAACAACCCCTAATAAGGTGTTGCTGACATGCACCACTAATTAAGCGCTTTCGCGGAAACGATCCGCTCGGCCGCGTGTCATTCGTCAAGTTGCCGTCGTCCGAACTTATCCGTGGAGGCCTCCAGACCCAAGTTAATTACCTCGAGATGCGCGGTGGAATTCTGACTCTGCTGCTGGTGGCGCTGGCGGTGCTGGCTGCCGTGGGCATGGCTGAAACGGCCGAGCCGCAGGAGGTGGCGGTCGACGTGGACAGCGACCTGATCGTCGAGGAGGAGACGCTGGAGGCGCAGCCCGAGACGGGGGCGCAGCCGGACGAGGCTGACGCCGTGCCGGTGCAGGAGATCGACCCGCGTCTGACGCCTGAGGCCATCGAGAAGGTCTTCTCCAAGATGTCGACCAAGTGCCTCAAGCAGGTGCAGGAGAACCCGACCGACCCCACCAAGGTGTCGGACCGCTGCCGCGCCGAGGTGGCGCGTCGCATCCAGCGCTACCTGGAGCGTCTGGACAAGGAGGAGAAGGGTGAGACGGAAGAGAAGAAGACCGAGAAGCCCAAGCGTCGCAGCCGCAAGGGCAAGAAGCAGTCGCGTGCCCAGCGCGAAGCTGCTGCGGCCCAGAAGAAGGAGGAGCAGTACCAGCAGACGCTGCAGACCATCCTTGGCTTCGTCGCGACTGTCGTGGCCATCATCGCCGGCGCCATGTTCTACATCAACCGCAAGCTCAAGGCCGCGGGCATGTACTTCCCTGACCCGGACGCCAAGGCCACCTGCTGCAACTAAGATGTAGCGCGTCATCATACTAGTAGACAGTAGTGTTGCGTGAAAAAATGCATTTGCTGGCTTTCGTATCAATCGCCGAAAGCCAAACGTCTATGTGTACGAGTATTTGTTGATGTTGCTATTTCTTGCCTACAGGAGCCGCAGCTGCAGCTCGGTGCGATACCTGAAGCGCTATTAAACAGCCTCTAGGGAGCCGTGCTTGAAGCCGTTCTTGACTCCGTTCTGCGAGATAATAAGCGGTGAGATTTCACCTTGCTTGGCTCCGTTGATCGCGCCACTGATTGAGGCGTCGCAGTGCTCGGTGTGCTTCTCTGACAAGACAATGATGCCGCCCACCGTTGTGACGATGCTCATTGGGTAGACAACCAATTGCCACCAGGAGTTCATGCCTGAAATCTCGTGGAAAAAGATCACTCCCGACACGGAGCCGATCAGGATGAGGAAGGCCTGGTAGATTGCCACCAGGTAAAGCGCATCGTACTCGCGCAGACCAAGATCCAGAACGTAAATGCCGCCTCCTGCCGTTGACAGTGCACTCACGAAAATGGCATACGTCTCGGGGTTGGTCCAGATGCCGCCACCTTCCGCGAGCAGCTCAACTGAGGCCTGAACAGCAATACGAAAGCGCCGCAACTAGGATCAATGCTTCCTACATCGGAATGCTGCACTACGAACATACCTTCAAGAAGAAGAGATTGCCGCCAATGAGCCCGGAAAGCGCGCCAAATGCAAACCTCCTCCATCCGCTCTTCTTCTCATAGCTGCAGATCATCCACACCAACTGTCAAAGCAGCACGACACCAACACCACGTCAGCCAGTCGAAGCTCAAAACGACGCTCCATCCACCACCTCGACGAACTCACCACTACTGCCGTGCACACGGCAAAGATGGCATACTCGATGAAGATGTTGCTCTGGAAGAGTGCAAACAGTTCGGCACTGTGGTGTGTCGGCGTGTCGTGACTCCCCGAAATGCCCACGAGCATGCAGCCGAGCAGGATGACCGCCGAACCTCTCAAGTCATGCGTGGACAGCTTCTCGTTCAGCAGATAAGGTGACAGTACGATGTTCCACACCACGCTGAAGCCGGCCATGGGAGCCAAAATGGACTGGAGATTGCAATTGCACAACAACACGCAGAGGTCTGTTAGCATGCCACGTGGACGTGTAGGGCACCGCAACGGAAGCTGCTGGTCCTCACCTGTGCAGCATACGCGTAGCTCATGGCGTCGAACACCGGGTTCAGTAGGAACACGCACACGGTCGCCGCAGCCTTGACCGACAGCGCCTGCGACGACGTGTGCGCCAACTTGAGCAGCACCTTGCCCAGCGTGCCGAAGAGCGTGGCGGTGAGCGACAGCGACACCCCGATGACCCACAGGTGCGACGTCATGGCTGCTCCAGTCAGCAATTATAAATACCAGAGACCTGCAGGCCGACGGTGGATCGATGGACGCACGAGCGGAGGTGGCCAAGCGGAAGAGAGCGAGGAAGTGCCGGACGACCTACAAACTGACGTTCAGTTTGCCGAGTCAGGACCTGCCAAAGATAGTACGAATTGTGGGAGGCTTAACTTCTTTATTTTTGTATCGGGCTACTTGAAGCTGTCCAATTAGGGGGATCGAACCTTCGAAATGGCGACAAAAATATCATCAGAGACGGGGCCGAATAATCAGCAACGTTCTGCCCCAAAAATCAACAAATCAAAGTACAGGCGTCCCCGGCCTATTCGCCACAGTGGTACTTATGATGTTTGCGAATCAACAAGATTCACGTCTGAACATAGAGGAGTATGTACTGAGTTACTACAAGCTTAGCTGTGGAGGTATTGATGCAACGTGCCACTTGTCGCAGTAGGTCTCGCTGTACACGCATCTAAGTCAATGTGTTTGCAGAAGTAGCGCGCAAATCTTGAGAACTGCTTGTACTTCCTGTGCGAGGTACATTAAAATATACAGCCGGGACTAGCCCGGGGACGCCTGTAGGGTACTCACTCTCAGCTTTCGCATGTAGATGGTGTTGAACTGGCTAATATCGCCATGGACACCAGAACCAGTACGCAGATTCTCGAGGCAGACCTTGGGGTACTGCCTTCTCTCTGGTTACCCATTGTGGAGTTCCTTCCAGGGGACATCGATCAATGGTTAACCACACACCCGGCCCCAAGCGACGACGCAGACGCCACAAACCGGTCAAACTTGCAGGCGCGCATGATAAGCGCGCATGTGCTAGCACCCACAAGTAGTTAGCAAGCTGGCAGAAGATGTGTAGGCTTCTGCTGGACGGACATTGGCTGAGTTGTTAGCAAGACTAAACGACTGTAATGTACCTCACCACAAAACTAAACTAAACTAGATGGTGAAAACAGGGAATTATCACTTCCTTTTTCGCCAGCACGCGCAGGCTCTTGCTTAGTGCATATACATCTGCTTATATTCAGCTTTATACCTAGCAATGGCCGACTCCAACGTAACACTGTCCAACAGCTCACAACGTCTCCACCATCGCGAGTTAACATCTAAAACTTGTTTAAAGTGATAGTGAACGTGTTTATTTGGAGAGGATTCGTGTGAAAACTTCCTAAACACATACACAACAATTTCTAGTTGAGGAGGGACTTCAAAAACAGCTGAAATTGTATCGGAGGTCGAGGAGGGAACAGCAAGCGGTATTGTGCTTTGCATCCAGTTTGCCCTCCTAATTAGTGCACTAGTTAGTGCTCGTACTTAGTGGTAAATCATGGAGGCTTTGAATGCAAGTTGCTCAAGTCGTGCTTCGAGCCCGATTTGGCTCGGAAATTGCACTTTCTAAAAGTGCCAAACGGATGCTAATCCATGCTGGATGTGCTAAATCATGCAGGAGATGGCGTTTGTGCACTACTTAGTGCTCATTGACCATCCACGACTTATAGCAATTCGTACTCGAGTACGATTTATAGATAAGCCATGCTCCATAAGTCGTACGAGTTACAGTCCAAAGTGCCAAAAAGTATGCAACGCACAATACCACTTGAAGTTCGAAATCATCATGATGATTTTTCAAATCAACCACCTCCGGAGGTGGTTGATTTTGAAAATCAACAAGATTTCGCCGAAATAATCAACATCAAATCGCCCTAAAAATCAGCACGTTTTTTGCCAGGTTCGACTCCCTATTGGCAGTGAGTGGCTTGCAAGTAGCTGCATGTACTTCAACGCAGTAAGAAGGAAGACTGAGGAGCAACGCTCGTTGCCGCTGAGCCAATTTTGCTATATTGTTGGTTTGTAACGTCGCGCTATTCGCGCTGCCACAACGGACAACATGCGATGCTGCTAGACGACCGACGGAAAACAAGACGGTCGCTTATTTTAAAGGAAATGGCTGGCTATGGGTTGCAACAGGCCAACGAGTACAGTATATCGTACGTATATAAATGAAAGCGCAGGCCCGAACTCAATGCCACTGATGCCCTCGGTCTGAGGGCCATGAATTCCTGCGCCGATAGCGTCAGGAGCCTGTTTACACTGACACGTGCGGCGTCCCGTTGGCGAATGATCCTTCCTCTTCTTCGGCGTCCGAGCATTCCAAAGGTTCTTTGCCGTCGTCAGCAGCGTCTTGAATGCTAACCGATGCGGCATTAGCTTCAACGTCAACGTCCAGATCGTCGGAGTCGTCAAGATCCCCGATGCTCGACTTGGGTTCGCCCATGACAAAGCCAGCGACGCCAATAATGGCAGCCAAACCACCGATGATGCCGCAGATGACAACCACAGGACCGTACGCGTCGATGAGCGACTTCTTGTCGGCCGAGTCTGTGCTGCTGAGTTTCGTCACGAGCTCGTTCACATCGTTGGCCGTACTGGTGACTTCCTTCTCGTTCGGCGCAGCCGCCTTCTTGGGCTTGTCCTTCGTACGCTTCGTCTCTCCATCAGTGGTCACGCTCGCCTTCTTGCCAGAAATCTTGACCGTCCCGTGGTTGTACTCGACGACGGTCTCGTCCTTTGGCGCTTGCGGGCTGGCATCCTTCTGGTGGCGACCCTTGGCCAGCTTCTTCGCGGGCGGGGCGTCCTTCGACTCGATGCGGACCGTGCCGTGGTCGAAGTTGCGCACGGTCTCGCCGTTGTCCGTGGCCTCTTCAGCCCCGTCCTTTTTGTGGGGCGAGTGATGCTTCTTGGCAGGAGCGTGGTTCTCCGGCTGCACCGCCTCGTTCTGGTGAAGCTTGACGTGCACCTTCAGCGACTCCTGCTCCAGCTGTCGAGGCACAAGCTCGGCGCCGACGGCACCGCCGGGGGCCTCGGACAGCAAGGCTGCCGCCACGCACAGCAACACCACGGCTCGAGACAGCACCATGAGGTCGATCTTCTCTTTGTGGCCGCCCTTTCGGGATCCTTGGTTTCGCTGGAAGTGGGTTGCCCGCACCTGATATAATCGGTTTCGGCAGGCAAACTCAGCATTGCGATGTCCCCCATAATAAATCCATAGTTAACGTTTACAACTGATATTTGTTTGCATCTGTTTTTGAAAAACATCAGTTGATACAGTTACCAGTTATTTGAAAGCAATTATTAATAATTCATTTTGCTATTCCTGCGCCTTGCGCCTTGCCCGATGCCGTTGCTGCCGGTGCTGCCGTCGGCGGTGTGCCCCACGCGTAGGACGCGTAGGAGAGGTGGTTCTCGGTGCCCCAGCCGCCGAACAGCTTGGTTGCCTCTGGGGTCTTCTTCTCCATGCCGGCGCCTGCTGCGACCAGGAACGGCATGAAGTGGTCTGCCCTCGGGTGCGCCTCCAGTGCGCCAGGTGCCGACTCCCACGCCAGTAGCTTTTCTCGTCGCTGCGCATAGGAGAGGTCCTCGCTGCCCTCGCCCTTGGTCAGCACCAAGTCGAGCCACTCCTGGAAATCGAGTCCGGACTGCGGGATCGCGTCTCCTTCTCCCCGTAAACCGTGCGTTGCCTGCCCAGAGCAGATGATCAGTGTGTCCTGATCTCGCAGAGGAGCCAACGCCCGGCCGAGCTCGAAGTGCGCGCGCGAGTTCAACTTCCAGTTGATCGACAGCGTCACCACCGGAATGTCCGCTTGGCGGCGGATGAGGGTCATGGGCACAAACGCCGCGTGGTCGAATGCGCGTAGCACCTGCGTCGCCTTGATCTTGCTCCTTGTCAGCAGTGTGGCCACCTCGTTCGCTAAGTCTGCGTCGCCCTTGGCTCGGTACACCACCTTGTACGCATCTGGGGGAAATCCTTCGTAGTCGAACAGCATTCCTGGTGCGGGTGACTTGGAGATCTCAAAGCCGATTCGATAAGTCTCCCAGTGCGCAGACACCAGCAGAATTCGCTTCGGCTTGTGGGCTCCACCGGGGTACAGCTTCTTGAAGATGGAGGCCACGTTCCTAGCCGGCCTACTCGTTCGGTTTTCCTCGCCGTGCTTGAGCAGCCAGAGCGGACCGGGGCCATGGGAGACAGCAACTACTGGGTGGTGGTAGACGTCTTCACTGTCGGAGCTCATGGTTTGGTTGGACGACTCAAGTGTGGATCAAGAGGTGCGCCTTGTGCAGTGAGTGGTGAATTCGGGAGTGACATTCCCATTGACAGCGGTGTTCAGTGAACACCTACTGAACACTGTTCACTGCATCAAGCCAACAAGGCCCGACGACCTTGCTCCGCGGCATTTTATTGGTTGGTCTCCACAGCTGATTGCGTCGTCTACACGGCTACAGCAGAGTTATCAAGCCTCGAAGCTTTTTCATCAGGCATATCGCAACGGGTAATGCTGAACTCCACTACGTGTACGTGCTGGTGGACCCGGGCTGTACGTCCGACAATAGCTGCCTCAGCCCGACGTGGTAAGGTGAATTTTCTCCGTCATTGTCGACATCGGTCGCAACAAGCCGTACACGACATCCCCGGACAGCTCGAACGGCGCATCCTGCTGCTCGGGATGCCTCGCACCCAGGATCTGGGCACAGCAACTCCACGTGTGAGTTTTTTTGAGTTTATTGCGGGCATTGAGCGAGGACATTACCTGCTTTACTGCTGCCGTGGTTGATTCTCGGCGCTCATGGTCCCTCCAGATGAAATTGTCGCCAAACTCGTGGTAATATCGGGTGTCCTGCAACTTCACGGTCTATCACCGTGCGGAAACGGTGCCGTGAGAGACTGGAACGCAGCCCACTTGGTTGCTGCAACCTTACCTTCTCGTCAATGCGGCAATAGTACCTGCACAAGAGTAAAAATCCGAACTCCATCACTCGCTTTCGGGTACATACCATTTTTTCGTTAGGCCTGGAAAGCTTTTTGTGCTTGTCGTGGCATCAAAGACGTACCACTCGAACTTCGACGTAAATTTCACCAAGGTCGCGGATGTCATCTGTGCACGAATTGTTAGCACGCCCGTGCCAACTCTGGCGCACGACTGATTCGCTAACATACCTTCGAACAGGAGAACGCGCTCGTAGAAGAGGATGGCCACTTGCTGCTGCAGTTTCGCAAGAGGCAATATCTCCGATGTTTGAATGATCTCTGGAGAACGTCCCTGCGAAGCAAAAAATACGTCGACGTGAGCAAGCATACGAATGCATCAGTGGAACTTCAGGATGATAATGTGCGCCCACAACCCACCTCGTGGGATACAGATCCATCGTAGCTCGTGCTACCCAACACGCTAAATATTAGTATCACTGTATGGATCTTCGGTTCTTACGTTCAAAAGCCCCACCTGTACGTGAAGTCAAAGGACGATGGCTCCCACCGATCACTAGTACACATTCAACGAAGGGTTAGACATCCGCCACTCGAGCACACACCAAGACGCCATACTTACGCATCCCCATCGTGGTCCCGGATCCACGTGTGAAGGGCCTCTTTGGCATCAAAATGGATCGCCAACCCACTAGCTTGGTGCTCAATCTGGAGCGTGCTGTCGGCGAACACGACCTCCGGGAGGGGGATCGCGGGTCGGAGACGCAGCTCTGCAGACAATGCATAGCGCTGCGCCGAGCTCATTGCTGGGGCCTTGTGGCAGGAGAAACGCCAGCCGCAGACCTCGCGCGCAGACTCGGCAACGCCGACGGTCGAGTTGCCGCTCATATCGGACACCGGTAGCGGTCTAGAAATGCCAATAAAACCCACTGGGTTTTTCGCTTGCGATTTGCGGTGATCCCTGGGTCCATTTCACGGACCCAGTGTCCACCGCTGCGGTGGTCTTCGGCGGCGGCCATATTCACACGCGATGGCAACCACGTATCGGAAAGGTGGCAACGAACCAGCACGTTGCGTACATGTCAAAACTACCATTGCGCACGTGACAAGTTAGCTGCGCATGGGTGCCAGCGACCCGCACGCGCGCTGCTGGCCTTCGAATGAGCATTCGCATTGCAGCTACAGCTAGCTAGCCGCCGTTTCACGGCCGCAGCTCGGCTCGAATGGCGAGGTGGCGGTTGAAGCCCTCGCGCGAGTTGCCCCTCGTGCGGTCGCTCGTCGACGTGAAGATACTTTCATGTGACAGGCAAAGGGAAAGGCGGCGTTGAACTTGCCCGCCCAACGAGCCGCTCTGAGTCAAACCAGCACCATCTCGCGAGCACCGCGCGGGCGCCAGACAGCGGCGATCGGCGGCGGCGGCCTTGGCAAAGCGCGGTGCAACCGGTTGAAGTCGTGTTTGGACCATGGCTACACCAGCTTGTCACGCTCTGCGAAATCCCATTCGTCGAATCGTAATCCCCTTTTGACCAATTGCAAGTCGTCATTATCCATTAATCACACCGATTTTTGGGACCAGAGTGGGAGAGAGTGGAACGGCGCGTTTTTGCGCACCTGCTCAGAATCATAAAACTTCAACTGGGACTTTCTCGTGAAATTCGTAGCACCGTCGGTACTGACGCTCGGCGCGGAGTGCACTCCGTTTCTGATCCTGTGGCGCCATTTTCGGTGGCGGCGCGTTTCGGCGCCTGGGTTAACAGCGTCGCACTAGCGCAGAGGTGAGATGAAAATGGCCCTTCGCACCTAAAGCGAATATCCAGCAAGCCATGTGGGACTTGGATGTCGGGTGAAAAACGACACCAAGGACACCGCCCGAACATTCCGATTCTGACTTTTACGCGTCTGTGATTGGTCGAGGGCAATCCCATCCGGCGCAGCCCCATACAAACCGCAAGTAAAACCGCCGGCTCTTTCGCCAAACGCCACTTTTCTCTGTCCTGATGTGTGCGTACCTACCCGTTGTCGAGTCGAGCGCGTCCTCGGGACCAAAAACGGAGAAGACACGCAGAGCCGCATAAGTCGAAGAAGCTGCTGCGCGCCACGACAGCCTCGGCGCCGAGCCCCCCACTTTCGCACCAGCCGGATCGCAGCGAGCCATTGACCACAGATCGCCAGGGATGACGGGAGACGGAGGCGTGGTCACGCCGCACAACGTGTTCGCCAAGCTGCCCTCATACAACCCCTTCGTGGGCACGTTTCACCATGCACCGAGGTGCGTTTGCGACTTCATTTTTGCTGCTGTTCTCCCCCCTCTCTGAAAAGCTTGCAACGCCATTGGTCGTGCTAGTGGCTAACGTGAGTACGTATTGACTGTGCTGCTGCAGCGCCGGCAACCGCGGCGCCGTCTACTTCTCGAGCGACATCGTCGACATGGCGGAGCTCGAGGAGCGCAAGAAGTTTCGCCACCACCCGCTGACGGGCATCTTCCACTCGCTGCCGGGCTACTACGACCCGCTGCACAAGCTCGCCGCCTGTCGTCGCGTCATGACGGCCGATGGCATCTACTCGGACACGGAGTCGCTGCGCTCGTTCGTGGCCATGGACATCACGGACAACGAGGACTTCGCCTCGCTCCAGCAGCCCATGCAGATGAACCGCATGTACAGTGACTCGAGGTGTATCCCCAACGCCGACCTCATGCCGCGCCCCCGTCGCTTCAGTGACGGTGACGCCGATCCCTTCTTCAACGGCAACAAGACTGGCTCGCCAAACAACAAGAAGGATGGCTCGGTCGACTACCACGACGAGTCTACGGACAGTGACGTTGACGAAGACCTTGCTGCTCTCGAGCAGGCGCCACGCTCAGCGCCGCTGAACGTGCTTTCGGTCACGGACAAGTATGACGTCCCCCCGCCTGTTGGTGCGCTGCCTCCTCGGCGTACTCCGTACAAGAAGGCGAGGAAGTCGTCTGGAACGTCGTCTACCAGTACGGAGAGCGAAGGATCATCGCCGCTGAGATCGTTTGTTGCGCCGAGCTACGAGCGCGCTGAGCTGGGCAAGTCGGCGGGCTGCTCCGAGCTGACGGACGGTTTCATTTCCACGGGCAAAGGCATTTTCAGGAAGGTTGGTTTCCGTTCGTCACTGCACGAGCGACCGAGTGACAAGGATAAGGTCAAGCTCACTTCCATGAAACTGCGTCTCCAGCGCTCTATGAGCGAGGGAGACTCGGACGACGACATCAACAACGAGTACACCCAGGCGGCACCTCGAATTCCTGCAAACCCATTCGTTGCAAGGCGTTTGAATGACGGTGAAGAGCTTCGTATTATGGCAATCCACCGCACGGGAAGGCGCGACTCCGCGCACCACGTCATCAAGAACGACCGCGGTGATAGCGACAGCGAGGACGAGTACAACCACCCGAAACCGTATTTTATTCACGAGAAGGCAGTCACGGAGCAGTATGAACTGGTTGGTGAGGACCAGCTGGGCGATGGCTCGTACGCTGTGGTAAAACCCGCTATTCGTCGCGTCAACGGAAAGGAAGTCGCCATCAAGCAGATCCACAAGCGTTTTCTGCGTGACGAAGCCGCCAAGAACGCCGTGAGCCGCGAAATCGAGATTCACCTGCGGTTGCGTCACAAGCACATTGTGCGTCTGTATGAAGTGTACGAGACCCCGGATTTCTTGTACCTGGTCATGGCGAAGGCGACAAAGGGCAATCTGAAGTCTCTGATGCAGCGGAAGCGTATGCTGCCTGAGGCACTAGCCGGAAAGCTCTCCCAGCAAATTGTTCGCGCTGTACTATTCCTCCACGATATGGGTGTGCTGCACTGTGACCTGAAGCCGGACAACATTTTGTTGAGTGACGCCAAGGCAAACCAGGACAACGGTGACAACTCGCCGGTCATGCGCCGCTCAACACCTCCGAAGTCGAGTCTGGACCCTCACGCCGACGTCAAGGTCTGTGACTATAACGTCGAGTTGTGCGACTTCGGTCTGTCAGTGAAGGTGCCGGATGTTCGCTTCTTTAAGCTGACAGGTGACGTGCACAAGGTCCCGTTTACCGGAGTCACAGGCACCTCCGGGTACATTGCGCCCGAGCTGCTGCAGCAGCAATCTTACGGTAAACCGGTGGATATGTGGTCGGTGGGCATCATTATTTTCGAGATGTTGACGGGATACCAGCCGTTCTACCCGCCGCATGCATGCATCGAGGAAGACGCGGACTTCTCGGACCGTGTCTGGACGACGATTAGCGCAGATGCGAAGGACTTGGTGCAGCGTTTGCTGGAGCGCGATCCGACAAAGCGACTAACTGCCGCTGAAGCACTAGCGCACTCGTGGTTCGAGTCGGCCATGTTTGCCATTTAGATGCGCCAACTCGTCTGACTGCCACGAGAAGCGCTGCGAGGCAAGATGACACGAGCAATAAAAAAAAGAGTGATACGTTTTGGGTATAGTAGACGATTGCCAATTTTCAATCCAAAGTTGATGAAATGACTTCTGTTGCGATGCAAAACTTGCGGACCAGCTCACTGAGCCTTTGGTTTCTTGGGGCCTTTGTTGTCGGCCCACTTGAAGAATTCGCATCTTGCATCAGGGTTGCCCCTCTCGCCCTGCACCGCAATAGCACATGGATAAGTACACATATACTTACGTAAGAGATACCTTGGATAGTTGCGCAGTACTACTAGTACACACACAACTTACCGCTGGTTTGGTACAAACGTAAAACTTGCGTCCCCAGTTCTCGTTTGCTTTCACAACTGAGCGAAGAACAGTCGGTTGACCGCAATAACATAATGGCGTTGGAGGAGGCCGCCCACTAAGCACTTGTTGCCACTCGAGTTTTCCTTCTTCCGCAGTTTTTCGCTTGCTCGACCGATGCACAATTTGTACACCGCTTGAAAAAAGTTGATAAGCACTTGAATCATCATCACCGCCAACCCATTTATCCGCTGGAGGTGACTTCCGTTTGATCCCTGCACTGCTGAAGAAGGAAGTGATCGACTGTTGGCATTGGTTTATCCGTTTCTTAGGTCTGGACACACCTGCAGCAGTGTGGCCTGGGGGTGCGTCCAAACCGTTCACGGCATCCTGGTTCTCACTCACACCTTGATTTCGCAAGACGAACGACTTAATACTCTGCTGTGTGCCAGAGAACTCGACGAAGTTCTTTGCGGACAATGCTGCAGTGATCCCACGGTTGATGCTCGAATCGGTTTCGAGCTCTACGGTGCAAGATATGACCACGGGGCAATGATCAGATCCAAGGCGGTCTGCTTCGATACTGCACACGAACGAAGACGAGTGTTGATGTTAGTTTTAGCATATTGCTTTTTGGCGTTATCACCCGATCAACTTACCTGCACGCAGTTACAGACTGAAGAAATGCGGGGTCTACCAATATGTAGTCAATACGAGTACCATAGTTTGTTTGGCGTGCCCCTGTTTGCGTATTCCAGCACTACAACAGTATTTATGGAATAATGGTGAGTCCACTCCCCCCAATCATATAAAATCCGACTGTGTTACGCACCGTGAATGCTTTAGTCTGCGTAGGATAGAAGTGCCGGAATGCATCAACCATTTTAAACTCGTACCCAGATTTCGGCTCAGAATAAAAATTGCAATCCTGCTCTTCTGGTTTTCCAACAAAGCCATCCATCCACCTTCTGCAGGGATGGTCGGCAAAAGAGCTACCATCCGCTCGATGGGTATCAGGATCACAGTGATCAATTTCGCGGTGTGCAATGTTAATATCTCCCTACGTGCGAATGTTAGTATCACTCCGACAAACACCTTCACCTCGAATCAGCTTACCACAACTACGACGCGTTTGTTCGCCCGCCGTAGAGCCCTAACTCGGTCTTCCAACAAAGCATGAAACTGGAGTTTATACTCCAGTCGATCAGCTGAAGCAAGTGCTGGGCAGTAGGTGTTGAGTAGCACAAACGCTTGGTGGTCGGTAATGACACAGCGCCCCTCGGCCTCCAAGTCACTCACTAGCTTCGAGGAAAGCTATGAACACACCAATACGCAGAAATATTTGTGAGACGGGATCCTTTACCTTGCGTCCGATTGAGAGGAGGTATCCTTGTCACCTCGTTTTGCAAAGACCCGAGGTGCCCCACGCTGTCTTTGGCCTGCCAGAGCCCCGTCAGCCCTTCTTCCGCCGCTACAGTCGGCAGATCGCTCTTGACGAACGTTACCACACCCGAATAGCCTCCACGATGTCGACAAAACGAGTAAAATGCGTCGAATCCTGCCGTGACAAACACAACTTTAGCTTCAATAACAACAAAAATTGACACTCATCATCCGCTGACCTGGCGGGCGCACCAGCTCCTGATCGAGCTCCGACCGCGTCATCTTGGTCTCCTGCAGGCAGATAATATCCGCCTCCAGACCCTCCAGAAACTGCTGCAGATTCTGCCCCAGACGCTGCAGCACGGCGCGCAGCCCATTGACGTTCCAAGTCACGAGCCGCAGCGACCGCTTCATGGTGCAAAGACTTCACGTACAATTTTGCTCCAATCCCCGACAGATTGTGAATTCTTATTGACCAATCGAAACATTTGGCGCCGTTTCCCGCGCGCAGTGCCCAGTCAGACCGACAATTGCGCGCGTCCAAGAGAGACCTACACTTCCGCAGCTGAGCGATGAGCGTCGACGTCGCGGCCATCCGCGCGGCCTTCGCGGCCTGCAACTTGGACCTGGAGGAGGACGCGGCCAGCACGTGCGTGTCCATCTGCACGGAGTTCGGCCTGAGCTCGGACGACATGGCGGCGCAGTGGGACGCCTACTCCATGAACCAGCAGCTCTCGGGCGCGGCCAGCGCCGACGGCCTCGTGGCGTTCCGCTCGCACCTCAAGCAGCAGCAAGCCAAGGCCAAAGCCAAGGAGACGGCGCCCGTCCCGGCGTCGCAGAAGCGGCGTCACCCCAAGAGCGCTGCCACGCCGGTGGTCAAGCGTGACACGGAGAGCCAAGACGCGCTCGGGTCGCTGTACAGCAACATGAAGTCGCCTGAGGGCAAGCACGCGCGCCCCTTTTCCAGTCCTACAGGCAGCAACAAGGTGCAGCGCACTAGTGACATGTTCTCGCCCACTTCGCTGCAGTCTCCGCCTGGAAACAGCTACGAGAAGCGCACGGACGCGGGCAAGACGGTGTCCGAGTTCAACGCGCACCTGAGGAAGCAGCTCGAAGGACAGGGACCCAATACAGGTCGCCCTGTCAAGGTGTCAGCCCCGTTCCCGTCCCGCAACCTCGCACCCAATGCGTCGTACATGTACACGCCACTGTTCCAGAGAGCGATTGCGTTGGACGAGCAGCTGGTCGAGTATGAGGAGCTTGTGAAGGAGAAGTTCAAACTCGAAGAGCTGAAGCCCGTGGGAGACCCGTCACCGGCACAAGTGGCGGTAGTGGGGCGAATCGTGTGTGAAGCGGCGGAAGGAAAGCTCAACCCGAGCGTGGTCCAGCTAGAGGGAACGAGAAAGACTTGTGGTGGTCAGCGCGTGCTCCTGGACTTGAGCGGAGTGCCCAACTTCCAGGTTTTCCCTGGCAAGGTGAGTCGGAGATGCAAACACTGTGTGGTATGGGAATGATTGTTAACTTCCTGTGTATTGCAGATGGTCGCGTTGGAAGGAGTCTTCCCTGATACTCGGTCTCCGATGACAGTCAAGAGATTCCTGGAGGTACGACCCCCCTATCTTGCTGCTAATTTGACATGATCTCATCGCACGTGACTGTTTATCTCTGCAGCCGATTCCAGCACCTCCCGCTACATCGACTCCGGCGCGTATTAAAGAGATTCAGGGCGAGCACGGCAAGCCTGTCCGTGTGCTCACTGCATGCGGTCCTTTTACGACTACCAGCAACGTGGATTACCTGCCGCTGAACGACCTGCTACAGATTGCTATCGACCAGAAGCCCGACGTTCTCATTCTCGTACGTCCGGCGCTGCTGCCGATTCTTTTTCAGGTCGATCTCGACTAACATATCTTCTGATGCAGGTTGGCCCCTTCATTGATTCGATGCACTCGATGTTCCAAGACGGCTTGGTCAGATACGATGGCATGATGCTAAGCTTCGAGGAGATCTTCTTGTTTAAAGGTAAAAGACTGGAACTGGTCGTGTTCGCATGTGCATCCTGTCTAACTAAGACTCTGGTTCTGCATTTGTTGCGTACAGTGATGACTTTGCTGAACAACGTCCTGGAGAAAGACCAGCGAATTCAGATTGTCATTGTGCCTTCTCTGAGAGATGCAAACCACGAGTACGTGTATCCCCAGCCTCCGCTGAACAAAAAGAAAGCTTGCGAGGCGTTCGAAGCATCCGAGTATGCCAAGGTGTGTCATAAGTTTTTTTTTCTCTGCTTGAGCGATCGGAGTGCTGACACTGAGCTTGAAATGACCTGTTCAGCGCGTCCACTTCATGTCCAATCCCAGCACGTTTTCCATTAATGGGGTTGTATTCGGAACTTCAGCGTTGGATGTGGTTGTGCAACTAAGCTCGAACGAGCTGTTCCGGTGCGTGGACAGCCCTTGTAGCTCTTTATCACTGCTGTTGCTTACCTTGATTCTGTAGGGCACAATCTCGTAACCACAACCGATTGCTTCGGCTTTGCGAAGAAATCGTCGACCAGCGAAGGTTCGTTCCACTGCAGTCGGGAACACTCCTCACATCGTGTCATAACGACCAATTAACGCCTCTTGTCTTCATGCACTCGGCAGCTACTACCCCATGTTCCCCCCACCGCCTAGCAGTGAGGCTCCCATCGACCTGCGGTACATGAAGCAGTTCCAGTTCGAACAAACGCCTGATATCCTGCTTCTTCCCTCGATCCTGAACCGCTTCTGCGGGGTACGTGCTCGCCGAAAACCAGGCGAAGTTCCCTAGCGCGTGGTATTAACCCTCGTTTTGCTCTTTGCTGTGTGCAGCGCGTGAAAGACTCGATTAGTATCAACCCCGGTCAGCTCTGCAAGGGCGAGTCTGGCGGCACCTTCGCGCACATTACCATTCTCCCTCTGCCCACCGACAAGATCGAGAGTGCGACCGATGACAAGTGCGCCCACTTCGTGCCCGACCGAACGATCGTTGAGATCAAGCGCATCTAGACTACATGTAGCTCCAGCGGTGTGATAGCACTTCAACCTTCCTCCCAATACCGGTATTATCAAAATGTCAACTTTGCTGCCAATATTCAAATCTAAAATTGGTGACCCGGGTGGTGAACCCGGCGGGTTTCGCAGTTCGAAGCAAAATGAAGCATTATAGCTAATGACGGGTAATGTACGCCGAAATAGTTTTAGATGAGGTTCGCCCAGTAGACAGCCTGTATTCACAAAAAAATAAAACCAAATCAACCTGTACTAGATAGAAAGAAATTAAAATTGCGACGCTTGCTTACATCGGCGGATATCTCGTAGCCAAGTAAGTACTTAAAAGTAAAACAAGCAGCAGACTCCGCGCGCGCAATTTCCCGTTAACATTATCAAAAACCTTGTGCTATTCACAGACATCTCCTGCACCCGCTTCGCAGCCGCAGCAACTGCCGGGTAAGCTGATGTGTAGGCAGTAGATATTGGAAGTCTTCTTTAGTTTTGTACCTGTACTAGACCGCTATTGTGGATGCATGTCGCTCAGACTAGCTGCCATCGTGACGAGCATCACTAAATCGACGAATTTATAGCGCTGGTCCCGCCGGTAGTACATTTTACAGCTTGAACACGCTGCATCTGCTTCAACCTCACAAGTCGGGGAGTACATACCTGGTAAAGTGCTTTCGGTCAAGCTCAAACAAAGATTTTTGTTTGATGGGGTAGTTCGGACCGATAAAATGCTACAAAATGAAACCAAACTCGATGGGCTCTTGTCGAGATCAATCATTCAAAATTAATCATTCAAAAACAAAACATGCCTTAAAAAAACAAAAGCGGCTCGAGGATCTAAACGAAGCGCAGTTGACTAAGAGGTCGTAACTTTTGCCAGCGTATCGGCTAGCAGCAATAAATCGGTGTAATTAGTTTTCACTTGATACATGCATATGCCAAAGCTCTACTTGCCGCTGTGTATGGGGTATAAGGCGTTTTCAGAAGGAATCATCATAAATACGGATACACCGTATTCAGTGACAACATGGTATCCTGTCAATCTCAAGATAGTTTTGCTTTTGCCTAAAAGGGGTTCGGCACATAAGAATAGAAACAGTAGCAAGCAAGCTACCTTGGCTCGCACAACTTTAATATTATTCGTGGAAGTCGTGCCTAATCCACAAAGACTCGTTCCAATGAATGTGCAGAAATTCCCTCTTCCAGGATAAATTTACATGACCAATTAATCGGTTTCATTCTCGTAGTCGACCGGCTCATAGAACTATGCATGTGGAATACGTTTGCAATATCATCTTCTAGTGTCTCTGAAAGAGGTCATACAATACGACCGGGTCGGTAGTATCAAAGCCAACGGGGTCAGTAAAGTACTACTTCGAAGTACAATTTTAAGTGCTCTGAACATTTTACATAATATGTAATATTATACAAGTACGACGTAGTGCTGTGAGAATGCCCGTATAGTTTATTGGAAGCTGTGGTTGGGCTCACGATCAGCATCATCAGGACGTATGCCCAACATTGAGCTCAACGTTATAGAATATAGTTGTCAGTAGCTAGCTATACAATGCATGCTACTACGACGAACAAGGTAGCACGGGCTGCATTCTTGTATTCTTTCGACAAAAAACGTAAATTTCGATTTTCTCTGTATATGATCTTGCCCTTCAGCGCGGCTCGACCAGAGCTGTGGAAAATATGATTGCGATTGTAATATTGTCAAGATTGTCAATCACAATAATTGATTGTTCCGTGATCTCAATCGACAATCCCGTTCCCATATGAGACAGCCTCAAACAAAAATATACTAATCAACCAAAGTACGAATCGCGATTTAAGCATACCGCTCGAAAGAGCCGTGTTCTGTGCTTGTTTTGAGCTATTGAAAGATGAAAAATGTTAAGAACTCGCGGAGTGACGTCGGTCTGAAAAAATATCTCCATTTTCGGACCCCCCAAATCCCGGATTTTATTTGGGGCTTGTGAGCTCAATATTTCTTCAAAATTTACGTATTGTATATTGCTGGGAAGTTCGTGCTAAAAGCAATCGAATTATAGTGTTTTGCGCTTAATACGAGTGATTTTAACTTTCACATTTTCGATGTCCTGTTAGGTACGAAATTTGATTGGTCAACTTCAAACGCGATTATCTCGATAACTCTAAATGGTGGCTTAGTATCATTTTGTTTGAGGCTGTCTCATATTGTCCCTTTACTGATTTTGAGCCTTTGCCAGTGATCCGGTAGAACGATATGCAACACCAAGCCCATGGAACCGAGCCTAGACTCATCAAAGCCTTTCTGTGTCATCTGCTACTTCGAAATGCAGAAATGAGGGGTCATTGGGTGCCTGAACGGGGTACACGCTTAACATGATGAATACAAGACCCAACATTGCTTTTTGCCAAGGCTTTTGAAGGTCAATACGTATGCGATCGAATAAGCAAAGATCTTAGGGCGATAGCGCCGCCAAACGAGTAAAAATATGAACCTAGCAGAGGAAATACAAGCGAGAACTTAGATTGCAATCTTTTGTTTTTGGGATTGTCAAGATTGCAATAATTGATTGTTTCAGATCTGAGTCGCCAATCAATAAACAATCTATATTTCCACAGCCCTGCGGCTCGACACCTGGCGATTCTAACGTATATGTAAAAGTTGAGAATATTGTGACACGACATAAAATACGCGTCAACTGTCACAAAACTATGAAGTACAAAACAGTACATCATAATTTCTTGTTGTTCGTTGCACGACCTTGTCTACCGGACTTCATCTTGCCAGATATTTTCGTCGTAGTCTGTAGAACCCGTGTGTTCATGTCTAAGCTGGAAAACCTGGTTTACATCAAAACAAACTACGGCTAAGCCGATCAGGCAAGTGCCCAACGAACAGGCCCAGTTTTTAATTAAAGTTTCGTTTCTGCGAGCAAGCCCAGAAATGGAATGAATTAAGTAATCGTCGATTCGGGCCACTTCAGAATTTTTGGGTCGAGAACTGGTTCAAACCATCTTCGAGGCCTAGCATAAATTGGAGACGCTTTTTGTTAAGAATAATACCAGTAAGGCGATCTATTACGCATACTTTCATAATTTTCTTGAGCAAGTGTGTACGTATCATACTGGTCACCAAGTGGCCAAGCGTGGCTTTCAACGTGCGTAGCTACTCCGTTTGAACTTCTGAAAGTCTTTCACCCCCAGCTTGGCGGAACGGCACACTGCATGAGCTCCGCGACTACGATGTGACTTCAGGCGCAACTTTATTACAGAGCTAGCAGGCTACGATTTCAACTTATCCTGGGAGACCAGCTTGCTGGTTTACCAGCCTCACAAACTTTAATTCGTCACGAATGTATTCCCAGTTACAGATAACGTTCAGGAGACATCGAAATCGCAATAAGCGATGGTACAAAAGCTTCTCAAAAACAAAACAGGTCTTTGGAAGGTTTTCGCTCTTCACAAGTTTTAAGAAAGTAGGCAGACATTTGTTCGTTTCAATTTGACTAGAACATCATTTCTTACTTCTCCAGCTGCACATTACCGGCCAGATGCTGCGGCTGCTTCGCAGCCGCAGTAGATGGCCGTAGTTATCATCAACTAACCGTGCTTCTTGACTCAAATTTTGTCCTAGGTTAGATTTTGTGCTACAAAACCGCCATCCACAGGCGTCTCCTGCGCCTGTTTCGCAGCCGCAGCATCTGCCTGCCTCCGACTGCTAGGGTTCTCGAAAGCTGCAGTATGCGTAGTTCCACAGGCAGTTCACCAACTACTGCATCGACCTCTAAAGAATATACAACAGGTTCGATACAAACGCGAATTTGAAGTAAACGCGTCGACTTTCAAAGAGTTTTAGATTGCGGAGGGCTGCATCTGAACATCTTTAGTGTAAACTATCTGTCTGTGAACAACCATGCAGATCTTTCACTTCCACGATAAAAAAATACTAAGTAAAAAATTGGTCTCCCAGCCAAAGCGCAGCAACCTTGTAATTCTCAATCAGTTGTCTGTCTAACTATTTGTCAATCCGAGCGCTGAATTGATTGAGGAAGATCCAAGGTTTCATGTGGCTTGAATGTCGTTCGATGTCATCCGCTAGGCGGGGAAGCTACGACTGTAGCGCGAATGTCGTTCGATGTCATCCAAAAACCTTTCCCAATCGACAGTTCTTCGAACTGCGAATTACTTCCTTATGTTCGGATTGTAATACGAAAATAAGCCCCACACGAGACTTTGTCCGGATTGGTCCTGTAAAACTATTGAAAGGCATGATGGCATATGCTAGAGGCGAGGTATATTCTAGATCTGCAACATAAACCATCATAGATCGTAGTAGTTCGAATGTAAAGTTGTATGTACCCACTAGCCGAGTGCCGCCGCTGCGGTAATTCTTAGTTAGTTGGCGCTTCGCTCGCTATGCTCGCTCCGCTATTGGAGTAGGCTGCGTACGCTTCGCTACGGCAGTAGTGGACCCGTTTCGCTCGCCTCGTCGGCTCATGCACTACTCTCAATGTTAGGTTAGTAATACAGAGGCCGGGGCGGGTCCTGCGGCCCCGCAATATCGTATGGTGGGGTCGCCTTCGCTGCGCTCGGCAGCAAATCGTACTTAGTGATTATCGTACTTAGTGAATAAGCGTGAGACGGACAGCGACGCTCTGATTGATTCTTAGGATAATGCTATGTCAGATTGCTAGACTACTTACTATCCAATTCTCCGACGCTTTCGCTGTTCCTTTTTCCGCAGGATTGAAACTATCGACAACCAAACTAGCTGACCACGTCGGCGTTTGCGACCCTTCTCCGTTCGACTAGGAGCTTCAATCGAGCTGGAACATCTATGATAAACACATGCCGCGTCCAATGCGCTGACGTCTCTGGTGTTGAGGCCCAATTCTTTGGCTTTGTCTTCAATTAGCTGCATCAGAAAACGCAAATCGGGCAAGCGTTTTTTCCCTTGTCGCTCACGTCATGCGGTTGCAGCCTCCGGTATGGTGGGTAACCATTATCAGGATCACCACAAACCCATTTTATCCAAGGGTTCAGCGCGTTCCCCGTTGGTAGGGGAACAATAGCAGGGAATACGCTGATGCGTCCATGCCTTGGCTCGACCTGTCGAACTTCTCGCTGACACGAATGCTCAGCAGGACCTTGTGGCTCCATCTCGAGCGGAAAATCTACATCAGCGTCAGTATCTGTAACAGGGTTACACGCACAAGTGGCTACAGTCACTTGTAACTCTAACAGACACGACGTCTGTTAGAGGTTCGAAAGACTTTCTCGACCTTGGTGTAGACACACCAAAGGCTACATACATTTACGACCACCACGACGGGTTAAAAAAAAAAAGCATAATAACTGTATAAAATGGTCCATAGAGACTTAGGATTCCTATTGGCTGAGAGCAGCATCTTTTAGCCAATCAGCGACATGCATAGCGTTAGAATTCTGCCAACCAGCCGTTGGCAGATTCCCAGTTTAAAACAAAAATAGCAGTTCTCATTTTAACCCAAAATCATTATTTGAATCGTTTATTTAGATTAATCTATACTCGGAGGCCCGAGTATAATTAACGCTAATTTGAACTGAGCTACGCTTCCTCACGTACACGCGCACACGTGTAAGCTAAAGTAGTGAGCCAAAGTAGGCCCATTACACCTGGTAGCACTTAGTAGTTCGTCCAACGACCAACTACCTGAGTTCGTACGTCACCGCACGAACGCGGAGCTGAGAACCTTCCCATGGATACGGAGGTGTCCATGGAAAGCTCCACTACGCCTGCAACTCACGTTGCACGCGCTGACTGTCCCCACCTGTCGGACCCAGAGTGGGAAGCTCTCCAACGACTGTCAACAGTCATTGGTGAGGCGGCTGTAGCTACGATGCTGCGTACGCTAACGCCGACAGAGCAACATGGGGTTGCTCTGGAATTCATCATGAAGGAGCAGCGGGATACTGCTTCGTCTACCACGGTGTCGTCGGGGATGACACCGCGCGCGCAATCGCTGAAGCTCAGCGTAAGCAATTACGTTGGAAGAGAGGGCGAGCCTCTCCTCCGTTGGCTTGTCGAACTCGACACTGCCATTGCGGCTCGACGCATCGTCGACCCGTTGTCGAAGGTCGCGTTCGCCATGTCATGTCTTGGCGGACGTGAATGAAGTTGGGCGTATGGACGCCGACTCTCGGATCCTACGTGCTTTAGCACGTACGAGGGTTTCAAGGAAGAGCCCAGACAAGCGTTTGAGCCCCCGCAAAACGAGTTCCGGTCGAGGGCCGAGTTCCTCGACCTGCAGCAGGGCAAGCATGATGTCCATGCTTACGCTCAGAGAGCACGGTACTTGGTCTCGAACATCGTGACCAATCCGATCGACGAGGCGACCAAGGTCGTCACGTTCATGAAGGGACTGAGAGATGGGCCTGTGAAGACGTATCTCTTCCGTGAGTACCCGAGTACTCTCGAAGCTGCAATCACTCTTGCAATGCAGAAGGAGTTTAGCCTGCGGCAGGCTAAGCTGCATGCACATGCGCCGAGGCCACAGCCTCGCCCGATAGTGAGGACGGGAGGCCCAGAACCCATGGACCTCTCGAGCGCTGCAACTGCTGGACCCCAGCAGTCGCAAGGAAACAATGTGCGATGCTACCGATGCGGTAGAATTGGTCACTTTGCTCGGGAGTGCACGGCCCCCGTGCACCAGCAGGGTGGCTATCGCGGCGGTGCGAGGCACCGTCGCAACCAAACAAAAAACGCTGGACGCCAGTAGGCGCGGGGCGCCCTACTGGTAATGCAGTTCCGCGTGTCGACCTTGGACACGCGACACTCAGGACTGCAGCCCCCAGTGAGGTTTATTCTCACTGCAAGATCCAAGATGACAAGCCTGACCTTGTCATCCTGAGCGTGAACTCGATGAGAGCAACCGGCTCTCTTCGTGATTTGGTAGACTCTGGCGCGTCGAAGAACTTTGTTCGACTGCGAAGTCTATCAAGGCTTGACTTCGAGTGTGACGAGGTCGGTGAAACCTTTTACGCCCAGGTGTATAGCGGTAGCCCAGAAAGGGTTGACGAACAAACCTCTTTGGGAAGGTAAACCCTGAACGCAGATTTCCTTGAACGCAGGTTCTGGGAATAAATGCGGCCAGGGTGGCGTGGCACCTTGTGAATCCCTATCGGTGTCGTTTATCTTCGGGGAGCCTGGATCGATCACCAGGTGAGTTGTCTGTGGGGTTGAAAGCCTTGAGTTCGTTGAACGTAACGTTCACTTGTCTGAACGCACTTCTCCGAAATGGCTGAAGCTTGAAGCGTGAGTGAAGGATCAGGCTTACTACCACGAGTTAGAACCCCAGAAATACACACCACTTTCAGATAACCAATACAAATGCAGAGTTATACACAAACACACAGCCGCCACTTATTCTTAGACCCTTGGGCGGTGGGTCGTACACCAGTCAACTAATCTGCGATCAAGGTACTGGTCAACCTTGAACGCACTTTCACACGCGCACCACCCTCAGATGAGGGAAATATACAGACCAAATACAATCCGATCCTAAACGCAGTCAATCAAACTATTCCCGGGGGCGCTGCTACCAAACCACCCGAGATATCAATCGTGAACATGAAATGTGACACCACCCTTACCTCAACGCAATGGGCCCAACTGGGAAATGGAATACGTGGATCACTTCAGCAGCCGGAGCAAACTGATCCCCACGTAACTGGACTTGAATGTGTGTGGGGAGCTCCGCACTGCCCTTGTCCTTAAAGACAGCGGACCCGATTCCTCGACGACTTGCGCAGTAGGGGGTAAAACGAACTCTCTGATTGTTATCTGCTAGACTATCGCTAGGCTTTGTGTAAAGGTATCTCTCTCGTAGCGTTCTTCTGTGTTCTTCTGTGTTCTTCGCCACGCGTCTGGCGAATATCTTGACTTGAGTATACTGGAACTGTTGACGTAGACACTTCCCACTGGATTCTTGCCCAGCTGCAATGTGCCCGTGTCTTTGTGCATGACTGGCTCTTGAGAAACCTTGGCCGCATGTGGCCAAGGTTCCCTTGAACCCGCATTCCTTGAAACCGGGTTTCAGAGTCGACAGGCCTGAACGCAGTGCGTCCAAGGTCTGCGGCCAAAGGCAACTTGTGCCCAAGGCTGAAACCATACTCAGGGCCTTGCGGCCAAGGGTAGGTTGACTCTTCACTTGGTCGTGGAGCACTTGGCGGGACTTCTTCCGGGTGGCCTGCGGTCTGGACACCATGTACGCGACTTCACTGGGGTGGCTGCGCTCCGGGTACACGAATTCGATGTGCGTTTAGAGCCTAGGCGAGGCGGGACACCATACACGATACGTTCGTGCAGGCGTTTTCGACGGCCTCAATGTGTCAACCCGCTTAAGGACGGGGGCGGCCTGGACGGATCGAGTGCGTTCAGGGTTTCTCATCTGAACGCAGTCTTCCAGGCCTGAAGGGCTCATCCTAGGCTTGAGCGCACTTCGCTCCGCGGAACACAGGCGAATTCCAGCTCAGATCTTGTCGCACGGTGTGCAGCCGGGTCAGGGTTCAGTCTCGGCCAATCAGAATGGCGGGTTCAGGCGGGTCAGTAGACAGGTGGTGGCCGGTTGAGGTAAAACCTCGTTCAGTCTCGTCACAACCGTCCCTTCAAGTCATGGTCTGTCATAGAGGAAATTCCATCCGAGCTGGCACATCATGGCTGGACGGAAGTCTGACGGGGTTGAGCTTGAACGCAGTTCTGAAGCGCGGACAGTTGGCCAACTGCCACACTTGCGAGCGCTTCTGCGCCCTGTCCCGCTTGGTCAGCAACTGTCAAATCGGCGGCCAGACTCGTCTCCAACCGCAAACTCCATTCCAGCTTTCCGTATCATTACAAAATCTTCTTCAAACGCGCGGCACCGACGCACACGCACCAACACGGCAACCTCACGGTCACACGAGCGGCGCAGCAGCATGGCACCGGCAAGGGGTGACGCGCCAGAGGCACGCACGCAGGGGGACGACGCGCAGGAGCGCGCCAGTCAATCGGGGGACGCCAGCAAGGCGTCTAAGTCGCTGGAAACACCGGCGGAGGCGTCCCCTTCGGGCGACGAGCGTCGGGTGCACTTCGCGGGCAACGACGACGACAAGGAGGGCGACAATGGCGAGGGGCACGTCGACGCGGATGGCGATGAGGTCATGGAGGGCTCCACAGTGGATACAGAGGCCAAGGAGAGTAATGATCGGCTGAACGCAGACCCAAATGGGCCAAGTAGATTGAACGCAGTTCCGGCCATCTTGAACGCAGTTCCAACCACCTTGAACGCAGGCGATGAGGCTTCAGATGCACACTCGCTCCTCGCGCCTGGTTGGCGTGAACGTCGAATCGTGTCCAACGCTGAATACGCGGGCTTCTCTGCGTCCAAGCTCGTTCTTGCGTCCAGCTTCAGCTTCGTCGATGATGGCGTTCAGCGTCCGGCAAGCTGGTCGGTGCCACCTCCCATCGCTACGGATATGCCACTCAGGGTGGTTGGAGTCCCAGCGTCTGCGGACGCAGTTCTCAACGGCGCGCTTTCAAGATGGATACGGTGGGCTGGAGGTGCTACAGGTTCTTGAAACCCTCACCGACGAGGACTACAAGGACCTTGAATCGGTCGTTGGACCAAATGTGCGTTCAGGCATGCTAGACGTGCGACAAAATCTCCCGTCTGGCATGAATCTCGCGTCCATGCTGAAGTCGTTGGTCCTGCAGCGTGAGTTTGCTTCGGTGCTCAGTGTCTTCCGCGCTGAACGACTTGCTGAACGCACTTTCAACACGGTGTCATTCCTGAAACGGCTTCTCACCAAATACCGGCAGCTAAAATTGGCGCTCGAGTCCGGCGGCCAGACTTCCGCACTGCGCACACTGGATCTGCTGGACGTGAAAGAGGGCCTTCGACGTGAATGGGCTGCCATGGAGGTGTACTGGAAAGAGAAGGTTGAACGCATCACTGCGGCCAAACAAGATGGCGAGTCCGCGTTCAAGGAGAATTTCATCCGTCAGCAAGAAGACCACCAACACGCACTGAATGCGCGTGCAGACGAAATTGCTGAACTCAAGGACCAGCTGCAGACATCTGAGGCCCTCTGTGAAGTTCTGCGTCGAGAGATTCGCGAGAAGACTTTGGGCGCGTGAGCGTTCAGCGATTTCTTGGATCGGGAACCACAGGTCACGGTTGCAGGCAACTGGAAACGTCTCCAAGAGCTCTTCGGTCATTTTGCGGACGGTACTACGCCTCCTGCTGGCTGGATCACGAATATCCACGTGGTGACCATCGATCAGCCGCAGTGCGTCTGTGGCGACTACGCGGCTGAACGCAAGAAGGCCACCGGTGGTGATTCTGCGCCCAAGCTGGTCCCACCGCTCACGAAAACGGTTGATCTCACTGGGGGCGACGCTGGATCCGGCGAATCCAAGTCCAAGCAATCTGCGTCCAAGGGAAAATGTGCGTCCAAGGGTAGTCGCAAGAAGATGTCCTGGAACGAGTTCCTGAAGAAACTCCAACTGCGTCCAAGCAACTATCGACCCAGCCCGCAGTTAGCTCTTCCAGCGTCATCCAAGCTCGCTCGTTCCGAAGATGAGGCGCGAGCAGCTCTCCCGGGACCTCAGGTCTGGCGAAAGCTCCGTCATGATTTGCGCTATGTTATGCGGAACGGCTTCGCCTACGAGGACGCAAAAGAACTCGTGAGTGGGGAGCACGTCGTTCACCCGCTCATTCATCATGAGCCACTGGTCAAGATGCTGGTCAGCATTATTCGGAGCGACGGGCTGGACGCAGTTCCCTGGACGAGCTTTGTTCCAGAGATGTACTACCTCAGCGCTGAAGTTCGACTGGAAAGCATGTTTGATCGGGATGAGAAGCCTGAGCCGTGGTTTTCGCTGGACGAAGAGTACGTTCAAGATGGACTCGAGCCTCTCTCTTCCAGTAGCAGCGGGGACTCCGAGTATGAGCAAGAAGACGAGGTTGAACCTGACAATTCGGATGCTGCGCCCAAGGTCTCTGAAACTGTAGTTCCAGCGAAGCAGTCGTCTCCTGCGGCCAAGCGCAAACTCGACATGCTTGAATCAGGAGCGGCCAATCAAAAGGAAGGTTCAACACTTCGTCGCTCACCGCGAAATCAATCCAAGGCCAAGCCGAACCAATCTGGATCTGCGGTCAAGAAAGCGCGACTTGCGGCTAAGGTCATCGAACAGTTGACAGAGTCTCCGCGCAAGGCCACTGCTTTGGTTAGGATCCCGTTCAAGCGTCTGACGTTGGAGCAGCTGAGCGTGATTGAAACGCCCGATACAGCAACTACCACGTCCTACAGGTGCTCCGGGATCAAGATGTGCTTCTATCAGAAAAAAAGCAAGCCTCAGACCATCGGGTTCCCGAACAACGCGCCGCAGAAAAGCGACATGAAGTTTCTTGAGGAGCGCTGGAGTATGGAGCAGTACGTGACGCTTTTTCCAGTGAATTCGCGCGGCAAGATGATCAAGAAGAAGCTCCCCTGGAACGTCATGTTCGCTGAACGCACAAAGGTGCTGTACTACCATGATGCAGCCACGCTCAGTGCTGATATCATGCGCGGTCTCAAGAAACACGTCGAGTTCATGGAGAAATTCTGTCAAGCCTGGTGGGACTTGCTGCACTGGATCACAATCAACCTTGAGCGCGATGCTGCTTCTCAGAGACTCTACAAGCTTCGTCGTAGGCGCACGGACTCCTTGATCCGCCGGTACAAAACCCATCTCAAGAAATTGCGCAAAATCAAGGGCTTCCCTGAAACGCTGTTTCAAGAACCTGGCGTCTGGCCGCTGCCTCAGCGCATTTGCAACTGGATCTGGGAGGACCCTCGCGTCGTTGATTCAAGCGGCGAGCCCAAGTCTCTGCGTCAGCAGCTGGTTGAGCTGGACGAGCGTGAGCCTGCCCGCACTCTTTGGGCGACTGTGGCCAACGAGGTTGAGCGCACCAAGTACGTTTCAGCCGATCTTCGCGCCAACCGCTCAATTCCCCTTCCTCGACGCGCTCGCAACTGGATCGTCCCTGATCGCGCGGACAATGAGCCCGCGGATGAAGATGATGAGGACGACGACGAGCTGAGCGAAGTCGACGATGAGGACGAGGGATGAGGACGATGAAGACGAGGAAGAAGAAGACGTCGAAGAGGAGGAGGTCGGGGAGGAGGAAGTCGAGGAGGGTGACACGGGCGAGAGCGATCTGTGAATCGCTGGCCGCACCTCCTCAGCCCGGACACTGGATGCGGCTTTAGCATTACTCCATTTGCATGTCGTGGCGTAGCTACTCAGAGTTCAGGAATACATGTTCTCACACCTTCTTGTCTGTTTTCCACCTTGATTCAGCCTTCTTCAATCGTCTGCGTTCAATCATCTTTGTTTGAAATGGGGTTTCAGCCACGCCTCTCGGTTCTCATTCCGGCACTTCTCCGCCAAAGTCACATCAACGCATAGCGGGCTGGCCACACTCCACCTGCCTTTTCACAGCGTAAATAATGCCATAATCCAATCTCCACATCTCCACTTCGCAATATTCACCGTCATCATCATCTGCGTTCAGTCAAATCCGCGTCCAGACATTTGTCTGCGGTCAGGGTCACTCGGTCTTGTTTTCAGTGTACAGTCGGTTTTCAGGCAGATTCAGTCACTTTCACATGTTCAGCGGTCTGCGGTCAGGCATATGGGCTCAGCGAGCGCTACACGCCTGGATGATCATCCCCAGCCTGCATGGCTTGGAAGCGGGCTCTCGCCTTAGCTCCCTGGTTAAACTCATACAGCAGGGCACCGCAGTTCAGCTGAGTGACTGGCAGCCACTCTGGCTCATCGTACCCCTTCCACTTGACTTTGTACTCCCGAATGCGTCGAGAGGTCCGGGTGCGCTTGACCCAACGCAGATCCAAGATTTTCTCCACTTCGTATTCGTCGATCAAGGCATCAGGCTCCCAGCTGTCCTCGGGCAGCAAGGTGGCATCGAAATCATCGTCCTCAGCTACTTCCACTTCTTCAGTCAGACGCTTGGGGAACAGCGCTCGCGGTTTCAGACGACTAACGTGCACCCAAGGGTTCACGCGATATCCAGTATCCTTCACCTTGAGCTTGACCCTGAAGTTGTCGTGCATCTCTTCAATCCGGGAAGGGCCGTGCCACATGTGAGCCAACTTCCTGCTCAGACCTGGCTGAACCTTAGGTATGTAGAGCCAGACGGCGTCTCCAACCTTGAAACCGGCCTTGATGCGGTCAGACAGTTTTTGCCATTTCAGGGTCTGAGCCTCTGAACGCAGTTTCTTCGCCTTCTTCTGCAGGTCCTCCGCGCAGGCTTGAGCGTAGCTGTAATCACGTTGCATCTTGCGACGCCACTCGTACGCGCTGCGCTCGGGCACACTCGACGGCTTGGGCCCGAGCATCGCTGAAAGCGTCCCTTGAGCGTCCCAGCCATGGACCAGGAAAAATGGCGTATCAAGCCTGGTCGCATCAAAAGACGTGTTGAGCGCAAACATCAGTCGTTCAGCGTGCTCATCCCAGTCACTCTGGTCTGATTCAGCGACGTAGGCTCGGACACTGCGAATCACCGTCTGAACGGACCGTTCCTGTTGGCCATTTGCCTGAGGGCGGTACGCCAGGGTTGCCCGCTGTCTGCTGCCAAGTAGATCCCTGAATCGGGAAAATACTTCACTCATGAACCTTGGGTCCTGGTCATGACGCAACTTGGAACTGGCACCAAACTGTCTGAAAACACGCTCCTCGTACGCCTCGGCCACTCCTGAGCAGTTGTCGAGCTCATCGGCTTGCACATCACATAGCCTGCAAATACATCCTGAAACAGGAGCAAAAAGGTATTTCCGCGTTCAGAGCTTGGAAGGTGCGTGACAAAGTCCATGGACACCACTTCGAACGGGCGACTAGGCTCAATGTTGCCGGGCGAAGGTCCTGAGTTCAGAGGGCGTCCCTTGGCGGATGCGCAGTCAGTGCACTCCTTCACGAAAACTTCCACATCAGCGTACATCCGCGGCCAGTAAAACTCTGAACGCAGTTTTTCATACGTCCGAGTTATGCCTTGGTGTCCCCCCTGAACATCTTCATGTGCATAGTGCAGGATGTCTGGACGCAAGTCTGTCGGCACAACCAATCTCAGCTCTGACTCCTTGTCGCGAGGGCGCTCCCGGGTAGCTGCGTTCAAGCGATACAAGACTTCTCTGGAATCCAGGACGTACTGGTCGGCGTACTTAGCGATCTTCTTGACCTGAGCGTGGGAGAATTGATCAAGTTCCCCCTTCAGATACTTCTTGATCTGCATCAGGAAGGTGTCTCCATCCTGATGAACCTTGATACGCCGCCATCGCTCTGCCTGATATTCCACAGGTTCCATTGTTTCGCCTGAATCAGCTTCGTCCCTTGAATGCACACGGGTCAAGACAGCCAAAACCTTAGCCGCAGGTGTCAAAGGAGCTGAGTCAAACACTCCATCCAGATCAGCATCCACAGTCCTTGCACGCACTTGTGCTTCGCTCGGGGTCTCAGAAGGCTTCATCACTTGCTCAGCTATCCGCGACACGAGTCGTAGGTGCAAGCGTTCATCGACGTCCTCAACCTGCCACGACTTGCCCAACGCTAGAGTCTTCGATGTCAGGTAGTCAGCAGCCTGATTGTAGAGGCGTTTGACATGCACCAGTTGCACAGTCTTGAACTTCGTCCGGATGACTTCATATTCAGCTAGCCTGCGCTGAAGGTTGGGGTGATTGCAGTTTATCAAACCTTGAACCTGCTGAATCACGATCCTTGAATCACCAACTGCGACCAGGTCCTCAACTCCGCGTTCAGATGCCATTTTTAGCCCGTTCAGCAGTCCGTGGTACTCAGCGTCGTTTACGGTCACATCTTCCAGGATGAACCCACGTGCGTCCAGGACTTCCCAACCAGGTAACTGCCAGAGAACACACCCGCAGCTCCCAACACGCGTTGAAGTCTTGGCCACACCATCGAAGCTGAGAACCACACCTTGATAGTCTGATTCAAGCATTTCGATGCTGACCGCAGGTGGCTTCTTGACACGTCCTTTGGCTGGAATCAGCTCTTCCACGACTGCGTCCAAGTGTTCACGTGGGGTAATACCCGCCCCTAATATAGCGGCAAAGCCATCCTCGTCTCGTTGAACGCGACGAATCTCCAGCGACCATCTAGACAGTTCCAGACCCCATTTCAGGCAGCGACCTTCGATGGAATTCGAGTTCAGCAACCATTTCAGCACTGAATACCGCGTGTAGATCATCACAGGGGACGCTGAACTATAGATCAGCGGTCGGAACAATTCCAACACTCTCAATATCGCCAACACCTCCTTCTCCGCAATGTGGTAACGTAGCTCGAACTTGTTCAATATGCGTCCAGTGAATCGCACCGGCTGAATCACTCCATCATGCATCTGACCCAAAACTGCGCAAGCAGCCAATGGATTAGCATGTGGAATGATGACGAACTGCTTCGCGCGGTCCGGGTGACGCAACAACGGGATCGAGACAATCTTGCGTTTCAGTATCTCAAACTCCTCTTTTGCGCGTTCAAGGTTTCTGCCTGAACGCACTTGTTCCTCGGTCAACTCATAGAGCGAAGCGGCCACCACTGGGAGGTCCTCAATGAACTTGTTGTAGTAGTTCAAACTCCGTAAGAAACTTTGGACCCCCTTGAGCGTAGACGGAAACGGCAAGTCCTGAACGGACTTTGCGATCTTGGGCGTAGCTCGGATTCCTTCAGCGCTGATTTCATGGGAGAGGTACGGAATGGTCAGCTTGTCAAACTCACTTTTTGGGAGGCTCACTGAGATATTCCAATACCGCAACCTGAACAAAAGTGCGTTCAAGTCCTCACATAGCTGATCCCAGGTCGGAGCACCGTGAGCAATAACGTCGATGTAGGAACTGCGTCCAAGCACTGGACCCATCTGCGAGGGGGCAGGGATGTTACGCTGAAACACCGTCATCTCCTCTGTCAAAACGGGGACCACAGGCAAACTGCGTTCAGAGTCTTCATCGCATGTGTGTTCAGGGTCTTGGACGCGTGTGCGGTCAGCGTCAGGTCCATCCAGTTTCAGGAATTCCAGCACATCACGGTCGACGAGAGCCTCTTCCTCAGGTGGCAGAGGCACAAATCCCCACGGACAGTTGTTGATCACCGCCTGGTAGATGAGGGGCACGTTCTTGAGTCCAAACGGCATCCTGATCCACTGGAAATGTCCAAACGGGCAAATAAATGCCGAGACCAGCTTTGCGCGTTCAGTCATCAACACCGCCCCGAAGCCACTAGCCATGTCCAGACTCATAAACCACATTGCCGACTCAAACCCAATCAAAAGATCGTCGATCAGGGGAAGCGGGTACCGCGATAGCTTGATAAAAACTCGTTCACCACGCGGTAGTCAATGCACATCCTGATATCGACTCCGTTCTTCCTGAGTACGATGACGATCGGCGAAGCCCATTCCGATTCAGAGTGCTCAATCAGTCCCGTTTCAAGGAGTTTCTTGAGCAACTCATAAACCTTGACCAGCAAATGCGGAGCAATCTGTCGCGCACGCTGAACCGCTGGCCGCACACTTCCAACATCTAGATCGCAAACTACACCTCGAGCAGGGACTGGAGCAGCATTTCCGTCGCCCAAGAAAATCTTGCGATGGTATTTCAAGATCTTCCTCAGCTTCGTTTCCATCTCCGGCGTCGAAACGCCTGGCTCGCCAACATCTGCCTCATCAATTTTGCACTCTGGGCACAAGTCCTGAAGTTCATGCAGCATGGTTAGCTGATCGCGCAATTGAGCCATCAACTCACTGCCTTCACGCACATACACAGCCGGTTCCAGATCCAATTCTTCCGCTGAGACACGCATGACCCTCGCGTACTCCGCCCCTAACCTCCTTACTGGCGTACTCACAAAGCCCTGGCTCGGAAAGTCTGAAACTGCATCTTCATCTAAATCTGCGATCAAGGTTTTTGACTGATCAGCAGCTTCCGGAGATCTGCGTTCAGAGCTTGCGTCGTCCCCGAAAGGCGTGGAGGCTATAACAGCACTCGCCAGACAAAGGCCTCGAGTGTCGACTCCAGCATCTTGAACGCGGGGCTCTTCACCTCTGTCTGGTTCGGTCTGCACTCCAACGTCTCTGCTCCTTGGCTCAGCTGCGTCCAGGCTCCGCTCATCAGTATCTTCCTCGGCGAAGGTGACTCGCAGCTTCTTGGGCCTCTTGTTCACCTGCACCATCCGAACTTGAGCGGTGCCAGGGGTTGGCCGCAGCATAATCTTGGACGGCCAAGGATACGCCTTCCGCGGAACACAAGGCGGCGCTTGATCGTGCATCAGCTGAAGCAGTCGATCAGCCCGCATCTGAGCCTGAGCGGACAGAGTGTTCTCATAAATGAGCTGTTGCCACTCCTGATACTGCCTTGTGCCTGGCCGCACAAATCGGCCATAGCGCGGGAAGAATCCATACTCAACAATCCTGGCAATGTCGGTACCCGTATCGATCCATATCAACTTGTCCGAGATGTTCACAACCTTGACCGCAGTCGGCCAGGACTTGGACGCATAAATGATCTTGGTCACCCATCGATCTCCGCGTCCAGCCCAAACGACTCCACGCTGAGGGTTGGATTGTCCATAATAAATACGCACCACAGCACTTCGTCCCGGTTCAAGGAACAAAGTCTCCGTTGGCCGCACAGGGATATCTAAGCCCATTCGACTGCGATCAGGTCCACCGTACATCAAAATCGTCTCTTCGTCTGGAAGCTGAATCAGCCCTTCTCGAGTCGACAATCGCACACCCGCACTGAACATGAAGTTTATACCAAGCAAAACATCCACTCCTTCGCCAATGTTGGCGACCCAAAGCCTGAAAATATAGACCACTCTTGGACCAAGCGTGATCTTGACTTCTGCATGTGCTGAGATGTATGTCGGAACACCCCCCAACCCTGAAACCTTCATCTGTTTGTGTGTCCGGAGCTTGAGCTTCACCTTACGCGCAAAATCAAAACTCAGCATGCTCACAGACGCTCCAGTGTCCAGGAGGATCTTGGTTCGACAGTCATTCACAGCACCATGCACCATAGCAACCTCATGCGCATCCTCGGGTTCGTGATCCTCCCACCATCCATAGCGTCCACCCGGCTGAAGTCGGAACTCAATCGGGGCAACTGAATCCGGAGATTCTGAGCGCACATTGTCTGAGCGCACATTATCTGAACGCAGGTTGGTTGAATCAGGGGATGAATCTTGAAACACGGTCATGCATTGTTGGTTATCTTGGTCTTTTCTTCTTCTTCTCAGCTCCGGGCCGACGTACACTAGGGCGCACAACTCTGGGGTCTTCTTCACCCGACGCGTTCTGGAACCCCTTCCAGCGGGCTTAGTGGTTTAACGGCTTCTTCCCAGAGTCGGCCTCACCAGTCTGGAGTGCGTCCAGAGTTTGGTCGTAGAGTGCACCTTGGCGGTGCATCTTCTTCACTGCTTGGATAGCTCTCCAATCTTCACACGAGAATCCACGATGGAACTGGTTGCAGCCAGGACATGGGTTGGTGCGGCAAGCATCAGTCGGGTGACCTTGTTGGTGACAGCGATCACAGATCAGGTCCGCCCAACAGCTCTCCTTCGAGTGTCCAAACCCTCCACAGTTCTCACAAGTCATCTGCCACGGCGAATTGCTTGAACGCGGTGACATCGGTCTTGAACGCAGATCTGGGTTGCCTGAACGCAGATCCGCATTTCCAAACTGAGGTGGAGGACGCCATCCTTCAGCATCCAAAACACGATAAATCTCCTTCGTGACATTCTCCACCGTGAACACGGGATGCGTTTCAGCTGGCACAAGGTTCACTCACACCCTTGTCACGTCCCTTGGCGAGCGCCACCTGAGTGGCCGGCTTGACTTCATCATCTAGCTCTTCAAACCGGACACGCCGTTCAGGCTCGGAGTCTGAATCAGGTTCTGAACCTTGAACGACAAAAGCGCGTCCAGGCCTTCGAGCTTTGAAACGGCCTTGCGGGTCGTTGTCAGCGCGGAAGTCACGTCGTGGCGGGTGAGTGTCATAGACTTCCTCACGCCAGATGTCCTCGTGGCGTCTCAACGCATGCTCAACCTCGCTGATACTCTTGAACTTCTGTCCCTGCAGCGCGGTCTTCAGCTGGGTATCCTTCAGCTTCTTGATGAAGCGACGAAGGTGTCGCTCCCGATGCTTGGATGACTTCTGGAACTCAATCCCGGCCTTGACCGCAGCTGCGTTCAGCCGGTAGAAGAACTTGCGTGGAGTCTCGCCTGAACGCACTTTCATGGTGTAATAGCGCTCAGAGTTGGAACCAGTCGTACGGCAGTACATGACCTTGAACCGCCGAGACAGCTTCTTCCAGTTGTGTCTGGTGGACTTTGGCAGCTGAGCGTTCCAGTCCCTGTGCGACGAAGACATTCGTCCCCGAAGCTGGCGGATCTCTGAGAGTCGTCGCAAAGCTGGACAAGTGCGGGAATCGAAATCCCCGCACAGTGCTCCGACGTTCTGTGTCAAGAAGCCAAAGGGCGGCTGGCGCATCGTTCATGCGTACAACAAGTTGAACGATGCGACGATGCCGGCGCAGACACCGATACCGCGAAAAGATGTTATCATCGATTCGATGGCCAGGAGCACTATCTACAGTGCTCTTGATCTGCGCGATGGGCTCTATCAGATCCTCATGCGTGAGAGCGATATCCCTCTCACGGCAGTGAGCACGCCGAGCGGCATGCTCTGGGAGTGGCTAGTGATGCCTCAGGGTCTGACGAACGCCCCTGCGACCTTCAACAGGTGCGTGACGCACTTGTTGCGCTCGGTGCGCGACTTCGCACCGAGCTACTTCGACGATGTGTTCGTCCACAGCCGGGCTGCGGACGGGATGAGCGATGTTGAGACGCACATGGTGCATCTCCGGAAGCTGCTTGCACTCATGCGCAAGCACAAGCTCTATGCGAACCTGAAGAAGTGTATCTTCGGGGCGAGCGAGATACCCGTGTTCGGGTGTCTCGTTGGGAAGAACGGTGTCCGCCCTGACCCTGAGAAGGTCAGAGTGATCAATGAGTGACCGACGCCGTCGAATGTCAAGGGACTGCGGCAGTTCCTTGGCTTGGCCACGTACTTGTGCAAGTACGTGAAGGACTACGCGAGCATGATACACCCGCTGTCACAGCTCCTGAAGAAGGACGCCGAGTGGATTTGGACTGCTGAGTGTCAGCAGGCCTTCGATGCAGTCAAGCGGGGCTTGACGGAAGCATCGATCTTGGCGGTGGCCGACCAAGATCGCCCGTTCCACGTTGTGTGCGACGCATCCGACTTCGCAATCGGATGTGCGTTGATGCAGCACGATCACGAGAGCCGTGATCGTGTCGTCTACTACCAATCGCGTCAGCTGAAGCCAGCTGAGCGCAACTAGCCGGTTCATGACAAGGAGCTCCTTGCCATGAAGTACGCACTTGCGAAGTTCCGAGTGTATCTACTCGGAAGCAAACCGTTCGTGGTCTATATGGACCACGCGTCGCTTCGGACGGCTGTGAAGTCGCCGCACATCTCGCAACGGATGGCGAGATGGCTCTCATTCTTCGCAGAGTACAGCTTCCGGGTTGAGTACAAACCCGGAAGACTCAATGTGGTGGCCGACGCGCTCTCGCGTCGGCCTGACTACGCCACGACTGATGCCGACGTCAATGCCATTGACGCCATGCGATCGAGCACCCCAACGTCGTCACTGTTGGACGACGTGAAGGTCGCGTACGTGCACGACGCGGGCGCGAAGCTCTTGCTGGCCTACGGCTCAGCGCCTTCTGACAAAGCTCGTCAGAAGTTGCCGAAGCATCTTCGTGCTCGTGCACACCGTTATCGGGTGCACGACGGGATATTACTCTACAGTGCAGTCGACGACAACGCGGACCGCGTTTGTGGAGTGTGCTTCGGGGGTATATCTACCGCGTTTACAGTGAATTCTCGAGGCAGGATATACTGGACGTGACGCAGAAGGTGGCGTCAAAGCTCGAGGCTGCTTTATTAAGTAAACGGAGCTCTCTTCTCTACTCTTCGGAACTCGATCATCTATTCGAGCAGCTCGAGCGTGCGTTTATCCGAAGTGAGTGAGTATGCCCAATGACCATGACCTGCGACTCAGGATCATGTACGAGTATCACGATGCACCGACTGCGGGGCATCCGGGCCGTGAGAAGACATACCTTCTTCTCACGCGAGACTTCTACTGGGCCCACCAGTACAAATGGGTACGTCCGTGCGTCAACGTTTGAAGCCCGCGCCTTTCGCGCAGGCTCCCTTGCAGTCACTACCGACTCCGTCGGAGTTTTGGCAGTCCATGTCTTTGGACTTCGTGTTCGGTCTTCCCCCGGACAGCCAGGGGAACACGGGCGTTGTGGTCTTTGTTGACCGCTTCAGCAAGATGGTACATCTTACTGCGGTACCCGCTGAAGTGACTGCGAAACAGACTTCGCGTCTGTTCGTTGACATGGTGTTCAAACACCATGGCATGCCGATCGACATTGTGTCGGATCAAGACCCGCGCTTCACTGCACACCTTTGGCAAGAAGTGTTTACACTTCTTGGGAGTCAACTTTCGATGTCGACTGCGGACCATCCGCAGACGGACGGGCAGACCGAGCGCGTGAACCGCGTGCTCGTAGACGTGCTTAAGAGCTACGCTCATTCGTTCCAACACTGGAGCGAGTGTCTGCCGATGGCGGAGTTCGCCAACAACAACTCAGTGCATGCCTCGACCGGGCATACACCGTTCTACGTGAATGCCATCAGGCACCCACGCCTCCCGAGTCTACTCGGGCTGGTGGCTCCTTCCTTAAGTGGGGGAGGATCTACGACTGCAACGCAGCAGCCGCAGAATGCCGCTGACACTTGCACAGTGTCAGCCGCGACTACGCGCAAGAAGAACAAGAAGCGCGCGTCTGTGCAGGGCACAGACGCCGACAAGAGCAAGAAGAAGAAGAAGAAGAACGGGTCTATGCAGGGCACAGACACCGCGAAGACGAACGCAGAGGCCGGGCCTACTGCTAGAAACGAGCTGAACGAGTTCCGCTCGGACGCAATCAACTTCGTGCAGCGCAGACAGGCCGTCATTCGGTATGTCCAAGACGCTATTGCAGCTTCTGTCGACCGACAGAAGCTGAACGTAGACAATGTTGGTAGGGGCAACACAAATGAATTCAAGAAGGGTTCATTGGTTTTGTTAGCTACTCAAAACCTGCCTAAACATGCCGTTTCCGACTTCGGGGCGAGCAAGCTCGCTCCGCGCTTCATCGGGCCGTTCACTGTGTTGGCACGGCATGGCAACGCCTACACGCTAGATATTCCATCTAGCATGCGCCTCCATCCGACTTTTTACGTCGGGCGGCTGACACCATACCGGCAGCACGAGCCACCTAGCTCGGCTGGCCCGAAGCGGAAGCCCCAGCGGGAGCGAACCTCTGCCCCAGCGCGTGAACGCGCTGGGCCAAGCGCACGACGCGACCACCCACGTCGAGAGAGAGGTCCGACGCGGTCTGCGAGGCCTGAGCAACTTGAGCTCTCAGGTCGCCATCTCCTGCTTCAGAGCGGCGAACTCACGGCTCTGAAGCTGCTCCACAGCAACGACCCGCTCCTCGAGCGTCGGGCCAAGGTCAACCCCAGGTTGACGATACCCGGAGCGTGTTCCCACCACCGCCGCCTCCGATCCGCGACGCCCGCGGCTCAACACGCTGGATTGTTGAGCGTATTGTGAGCGTATTGTGAACCATAGTATCCCGAAAACGAACCGGCAGCCGGTTCGTTATCGTATTCATTGGAGAGGGTTTCCGCCCCACCACGATACATGGGAGCCACGGAACGTCCTGCTGCAGGACGTTCCGGAAATGGTGAGGGAGTACGAAGCTCACCACGCACTGCCGACGCGAAGGTAGTGCGAGCGCTGTGGTCACCTACAGCGCCCGAGGCCCCACGATCGCCGCGTTCCTCACGTGCCAAGAACTTGGCACGGAGATCCTTGAGACTCTCAGGTACACGAATCGTCGTGTACCCGTTTAGGTCACGGTCGCTCAAGCGCGCCGCACCCGGAAGACACAACGTGCACTGATGGCCTTCGGGCACAGCGCATGGAATACCAGCGTCTGCAGAGGATCGCTGGAGCTGCTCCAGCCTCCCGCGCGTCGAGAATGTCTCGAAGCGTTCACGGGCATGCTTAACCCGCTCGCGGTAAGCAGCCGGCTTCTTGTTGAAGTTCTCAACAAAAGCGTTCCAACTTTGACAAAGTGCCTGCCACTCAGGCACTTTGCTGCGAGAAGAGGTCTTCTTGCTGGAGAAGTACCGGAGCTCGTGGAAGAGCCCGATGTAATAATCGCGCCTTTGATTCGTTAACGGATCAAAGTGCTGCTCCTCCGCAACAGCATCGTCGTGGATACCGCTGCATACGTACAGCGGAATTTCGTTTGGAGGCACAGTGTTGCCCACGCGGTCTGCGATCTCTGACGCAGACGGCATCCACGGATCGCGCGCTGCCTGAGCTGCACGCGGAGAGCTTGAAGTCGCCACCTCACGCGGGGACCTTAAAGCCCCAGCAGCAGAGAGCGGAGTGTCGCTCTCGCTGCGCGAACGCTTCGAGCTCGAAGCGTCCGAGTCGTCTCCTTCACGAGGGCGTCTCGACTCGGCATGCGGGTCGAGACTATCGCTGTCGATAGACTCCTTGCGCTTGCTAGAAGAGGCCTCGCCCTCTTCCATCTCCACGTCGTCGTCCTCGATGTCAACGGCATCGTTGACTACAGAAGAACCTTCGAGGACAATCTCTGGCTGAGTTGTCCCCGCCGCAGCCTTGGCAGCAAGAGCGTCACGCTTTGCTTTGTGACGCTCGCGATACTCGGTGATAGAGAGAGTCTCTATCCCGGCAGAGGACTTCTCCTCTGCTACGGCGTCGGTCTTCTTCTGAGGCGAGCTCATTGCGGAATGAGCTCGAGTTTCTTTCTCCCAACGTAAAGAATTGACGAATGGTCAATTTCCTGATTGACGTGCCGTGACTCGGCGCGTCTAACCTTGAGGGGGGGATGGTGTAACAGAGTTACACGCACAAGTGGCTACAGTCACTTGTAACTCTAACAGACACGACGTCTGTTAGAGGTTCGAAAGACAATCTCGACCTTGGTGTAGACACACCAAAGGCTACATACATTTACGACCACCACGACGGGTGGTCCATCGAGACTTAGGATTCCTATTGGCTGAGAGCAGCATCTTTTAGCCAATCAGCGACATGCATAGCGTTAGAATTCTGCTAACCAGCCGTTGGCAGATTCCCAGTTTAGCATATTACATTTAGAGGAAGTCAGAAACATAAAACAAAAATAGCAGTTCTCATTTTAACCCAAAATCATTATTTGGATCGTTTATTTAGATTAATCTATACGCGGAGGCCCGAGTATAATTAACTCTAATTTAAGCTAAGCTACGCTTCCTCACATACACGCGCACACGTGTAAGCTAAAGTAGTGAGCCAAAGTAGGCCCATTACAGTGTCGGTCACATCTTGACGAACGCTGGCCGGCATTGCTTCCAGCAATGCTTTCATACCGCGCATTTCATCCAGAAGCTACGTGACGAGCGCCGTATTGATAGCCGCTGGTGCAACGGCGTTGCGCTGCTGATTCGCTGACTGTACACTTGTCCAAGTGCCCGACTCCGTCCTCAGTGTAGCCACTTCCGCTCTCAACGACTTTACTTCTTCTGCTAGCGATGTTACTTGTCCAGTGAGATCGTGAACATGTTGTGTAAGATCCTGCATATTTCGTTGCAGCGCAACGTGAGGAGGTATTCCTGTAAGTGTGATGTCTTGACTTCCGGGTGGTGCTAACAACTGCTGCAGTCGACGCACGGTGGCGGAGTTTGCAAAGAGAGCCGACTGCATAACAGGATGCGTAGGAGGCAGCCTTGATCTGAGAAAGTCCGCATGATAGACCAATGAAGCCAACACAAAACCACCAATTGCTCTGGCTGACGAAGGTAAACTCGGAAAACAACTAGCCTGGGCCTTCTCGAGAAATCTTGCAGACTGGTTGGTAGACACCAAAAAATGCGACGGCGGAGAAGCAAATTCGGGCTCCATAATTTGTAGTCCGGCCAATATGCGCCCAGCGTATATATCACCAGCATCAACATGTCTGATGTAGCTGTTTTGTACTGCCCCCAGCGACCACCCTGCACGAATATGAATCACCCGCGATAGACTGTCACGAAACCTGCCAGCTTGACTCTTGTCACCAGGAAACAAATGTCGGTCATCAGATGAGTACTGGTAGCACAAGCAAAACATCCCAAGCGACAGAATTGGGCATAACTCTGGTTGAAGCGGGTTTGCATATATATGGCGTGGGTCGCGTGGGTGAGTCCCAAGTTGATCTGTCTTTGAGTTAGTGAAATACACGCGCAAGGCATCTTCGGCCCATCCCAAATGCGAGAAGCAGATTGCCGCAGTCCTCGAACCTCGGGCTATCAAATTCCACGTTAACAGCATGAACGTCCTCGCAAACACCATATAACACGTTGTAGACCTTAGCATCACTTCTGAGAGACGGCGATAAAGACGCATTGGAATAGGCTCTTTTTCTTTTCCGGCCTTCGCTGTTTCGTCCTTGGCAAGTGTTCGCTTCAACCCGCTAATGTATGTCGATAGGTTCTCTTCAAAATTTTCATGCACCCTCCACTCGTAGAGCTCACACAGATAATGAAACACTGCTCGCTTAATGTTGTACGTGTTGTAGAACAGATGCAAACCAGTTTTGGGGGCCTTGAGATCGTGCACCCATCTCAGGAAATCATCGGGCTGAAGGCTGGCAAAGTACAGAGACGGAGACGCAGGCGCTGAGTCCAGAGTGGCCATGATTGAATTTCTTGTTGGTGAACCGTGTTTATCAAGATCTACTGCTGCTTTGAATCTCTCCTTAGTCAGCGTGGGTCTGTTCGCAGCTAGCCACTGAAGGTACCGCACGATCGCGCCGCGATACGAGGTCACGCTGCTCTCCGCATGCTGGTACTTCTGCATCTCGTGGATCTCCCACGTCCCCCGAACCGTCCAGGCGTGTCGATGCTGCTGCAAACAGGAGCTCCATGGTCGAACGGTTTGCGTTCTTCTGGCGAATGATTCTTAGACGGAACTCGTTAGACAAATGTTATACAGAAGAATATACTGTATATTATGTTTGATAGGTAGCGTTGAGCAAAGGCATTTTGGTAGGCTCTTGTTTGCTTCATTAGCGAACGTTCGGCGCAAAACACAGAGCTCCGCAGACTACTTCGGTGCTCCCCCTACTGATTACAAGTGCCGACATGTTCTGGGCCCCGGCGACGTGCAAGACGCTGCTGGTGGCGACCGCGCCGCGCCCGCGCAGTTACTGTAACAACGATTGCCAGGTAAGCACTCAAGTACTTTCATTCTAAGGGAAGTCAGCGAGTTCATCAGGGTCGACGGCACCAGGGGCAAGGTCGTGGACCGCAAGGACGTGATAGTCAGCGAGCTCATGAAGCGTGTGCACTTGCAGGACGACTAGGCCAGCACCAGCACCATCGATAGCCCAAGCACACGCGCCACTTTACACCCATCAAGACCACGGCTCGCTCAGGACAAGGACGGCTAGAACAGCCACAAGAATGTGCACATCGAGAACCTCAAGCTGCATGCGAAGAGGCCCAGATGCTGCGCGTGCCACAAGAGCTGCTCGCGTTCATGGTCATCTCCGAAGAGCACCACACGCACGGACATCGCGGGATCAAGGGCGCGCTGGTCAAGACCGAGCTATCATTGCTCGCCATGCCTCTATTCAGTAATCAACGAAGTTATACACGAGTCGAGCAGCAATGAACAGTTGGTAATATCAAATGCAAATAGCGTGGTTCTCATTAGCACGTCATGATGGTTCTCATTGCTATGGATCATCATTAGTTGGCTGTTCCCTTTGCCTTTTTCCGCAGTAACTTTCCTACTGTCGCCCAGCTGCGTTGCCCACGACGGCGTTTTTGTGAGTGTTCCGTAATATCGTCCACGGTGACGCTGTCCGCACAGGCTAAGAAGACTTGAGTCGCTGCGTCGATGGACTGGCCAAGTTGAAGCAGCTTTTTAGATGTGGCATCATTCTCGATCTTGCGCAGCTGGCTTAGGCGCTTTTGCAGCGTTCGACTAGGCATATCGCGGCAGTCGAGAAGGCGGAGAGGTGCTTGGCCTTATTACCACACATCCAAATCACCCATGCATGGCGAACAGAACTATCAGGGATCCCAAAATCAGCAGGCACACGACGGAATTTGCCGCCCCAGTAGTGGCACTGGGGCTCGGCATCTGAACCACTAGCTTCGACAACCGGCTCCTGCCCACTTGCTAGCTTCTCCACAAGGCCGGCAACACCGGTATCACGAAGGCACGCCCTAATAGCATCATTCAGCCCGTCGTAAGTAACTGTTCCTGCTCCGATAGCCCTCTTCTCCAGCTCTGAGATGATGTCCTGGACAGTATCAAGCCGTGTAGCTTCGATTTGTTTCACCGTCTTGAGCAAGCCGTCCTTCAGTCCCTTCATTTCACAGAGAATCGAGACACGAGGGGGAACTCCAATCGGACGAATGCGTGCTTCAGCGCAGCCATAGCCAGTTCGAATTCGCGCAGAGAGACTTGATAGTAGGTTTTCGTCTTGAAACACGGGCGTCTCAAACACGTGGTGCTGGGGTGCAAGCGTTTTCTTCAAGAAAGCGGCATGATAGACTAGAGAAGCCAAACAGTACTCTGCAATGTACTCCAGCCTTTCGGGTAGAGCCGGAAACATCAGCCTCATACTCATTTCAACACACTCATCGCGTGCGTCAAAATGAGGAGCTACCGTCGAAAACTTGTAACTTTCTGTTGGCAGGCCCGCTACTGTACGGCCCACGTGCATATCGCCAGCAGCTTCGTAACGCAGATACGTGTTCTGCACACCTTCAAGAGACCACCCCGTTCGCAAATGGACAGCGGTAGATGACGGCCACGCTGTTGATCCTGACGATCAAAACGTCGCTGATCCTTTTCGCATTGAGTGGGTTCCTAGCTCGTTTGCATCGAGTCCTTGGCGCTTCAACTCGGTCGCGACGTCGTCTTGCGAAAGCAGCTGCAGCCAGCACTTTCGGAAGCGCTCGTACTGGTTGTTTCCGGGGAAGAGGAGATCACTTCCATCGAAATTAGACACCGTCCAGTAGAGACCTAGTGCTACAATTGGGCAGATACTAGGTTGCAGCGGATTGGCGTAGATATGACGTGGGTCTCGTGGGCGTTCGCCACCTTGGTTGTTTTTCATATGGGCGAAATAAATCTACAGCGCGTCGCGTCTCCACTCCATGTGCGAGTAAAGGCATTCGACGAACGGCACATTAGGTTCCACGCTATCACCATGTAGGCATGCGCAAACGACATCTCCTTGCTCGAGTGGACAAGCATCTTCTTCCACAAGAAGGAGTACAGGTCGAACATGAGCAGGTCCTTGCCAGTTTTCACGGATCTCTCGCCGTTTGCTGCGGCCTTTGCGAGTCTATTCTTGAGGCCTTTGAAGTAGTTCGTGAGCTCAGACTCTAAATTTTTGCTCATGGTGCAGCCGTAGTCACGGAAGAGGTTGAACAGCCCTTCTCGGTGCGTGTTTAGGACCGAAGAGCTCAGAGCCCCACCGTCCGTTCGCACTAGAGTCACGAGCCAGGTGACGAAGTCTTCTGCCGCTACTGCCGCAAAGTCCAGAGGGACAACACGGCGATCCTGGGTGATGAGGGCCTTGATCGTAGTGCGCAGCTGCTGCAGGCTTCCGTCAGCCGTATTATCGAGTGCTTCGAGGAAAGGCTGGGGTGCGAGGTGCGGCTTGTTGCGGACAAGCCAAGCGAGGAAACGGCAATACGAGTTCTGGTACGTGGCGCGTGAGCGTGTGGTGACGGTATTGTCGCGAATCTCGCGCACGGTGCGCTCTAACTTCTCCCAATCATGGTCTTCCATTCCGGTTCGACAAATGTCTGCCTTCTTCTGTGCGAAATGCGGTTTGCCACCAGACCACACACGCAAACAGGGGGACGAATTGAGACCACGGAAAATATCTGACCTTGTGTCTAACCAAAATCTCCATGTGGACCACATCGTCGTACTAATTTTTGGGGAATGTGTTTTTCCGGGCCTCCTATGCAACAGTCCATACCGTCAAAATTCCAACTGTCCGACCAAGGAGTCCAACCTGCACCGGTACTCGACCAAATCACTTTAATGACATCTATTACATATTTAGTGACAACACACACTATCCAGTAATATTTCCCTCAGTCAGCCTTTCCAGCCAGACAACGCGCGGACGACGACGACAGCGGAGACGCGGACGGTGCTCGGCCTCGGGCGGGGTGATGGCCCTCAAGGTCAGTGGCACCAGGAGCAGGCGGGCGGTGGCGGCAACGCGGACGGCGGCTTGGCCTCGGGTGGGGTGATGGCCCTCGAGGTCAGTGGCACCAGGAGCAGGCGGGCGGTGGCGGCAATGCAGACGGCGGCTTGGCCTCGGGCGGGGTGGTGGCCCCAAGGCCCGCAGCACCAGGACTAGGTCGGCGACAGCGGCGACGTGCACTGCGGCATTGCGTTGCGCGGGGTGGCGGTCGCCGAGACCAGCGGCAGCACGACGAGACAGCAGCAGCGGGGGCGACGCGGACTGCGGCTCGGTCTTCGAGCCAACAAGCCAAGGTAAATACTGATGCGCTTTTGGTTGGGGGAATATTCACTTCTGACTTTATGGCTTGTGCAGTGTTGTTTGTATTATAGTGTCAGTCAAGTGCGAGTAAATACACAAAGAGGTTCACCCATATCATGTTGTTGTCGTTCTCTACTTGATGGTGTTTACATGCTTGATCAATGTGCTGCGAGGCCGCTTTAACTTTGCTTTTCTGGAGTCTGCTTCTATGCTATGATTAATCTTGCTTAGGCTTCAGCCATATGAACGACGGCAATGCCGAAGGCGGCGTTGGATCGACAACGGAGCCACGATCAACGCATTCATGGAACTGTGTGATAAGCTCGTCAAGCTTTCCAAGCTTCTGCATCTGACGAAACGCCTTCAACGCTGTATCTGCTGCGACGGCGGAGGAGCCGTGCGACTTCAAGAAGGTGAGTGCGTTCTGTTGTGCTTTATCGCCAAGCTCGAGCACTTCGCTTTTGTATGCAGGCGACGAAGTGTCAAGCGCGAAACCTTTAGGTAAGAAAAGCATGAGATACCCTGCGATGTGCCTGTACTCGTACAACGCTGTCTTCTTTACAGAACGCGACGCATACACGCGAGGTTCCGCTGTAAACCACTCGAACCAGATCGCCGACAACGACTGGGCTCCCTTCTTCTTCAGGCGTGTCGTCGTAGCTCCTACTGGCGGTGGTTGCTCGAAGGCAGGATGCGTGGCGTCGGCGTTTGCTGGTTGAGTTGCGGTTGTGCTGGTAAGTGTCTTGAGGTGTGCTTCAACAGCTAATATGCGCTCGTCGAGTCGTTTGTTCTGTAGGATTAAAACATCGATCTGCTCGGACTGGCGCTTGATGAGATCAATCAACGCAGGCGACGGCACCTCTCCACCACTAGCAGACGCCTTCGACTCAGGAGGCGTCGCGAATGCCTGGCTAATTGTCACGCGAGCAGCTCGGACTCACCGATGGCTCGTTGTGTTAGGAGCTCACGTATCTTCGTGATGAGTGGGCTGCTTGGGCAGAGCACTAACATGTCGGGGTAATGCATGAACAGGGTAGCCGTAAGGACATCAGCGACGTCGTCGTCAAGGTTCAAAGCAGCGTCAGCGAACGCCATCGTGCTGGAAAAGAGAAGTTGCTGCAACTTGCGAGCGCGGACCAAGACTGGCGTGTCCAGAGCGGCTAGCGTTGGTAGCCGTGCGCCGTCCTTGGGCTTCCAGCCACTCAGGACGCGGGACACCTTTTGGTCGGCTTGGGTTGTACCAAGCATGTACCCGAAGCCCTTGTTGACGCGGTCCAACTGCCAGCCGCCACGCTCAATAATCCAGTTCTCGGCCAAGCTACCGTGGTTGGCATGCATGGCCCCACCACGTCGAAAGGAATGGGAGGTAAGCTCCGGCGTCATGCCAATGCTTCGCAAATCGGCGAGCTTCTTAACTCTAATCAGCAACCTGTTGACGTATGCTTGTGCACCAGGAACCGCCCGCTTTGTCGAAGGTGCTTCAGATTCCTCCATAGAAGGCTGGTCATCATCAACTTCCAGTAGTTCGATCAGTGTAAGCTCCTGTACATCATCAATATCATCTGATCTGTGCTTTTTGGCGATGAACTGAGGGAACATGCGCTAGCTTGGTGCCTTCTGCATAACCAGCGCCACAGCCAAAGCTTGCAGAGGACATGTCAAGAAATTCGTTGGGTCCTTGAATAAGGAGATGCCTTGGAGTAAAGCTGTTTTAACCCGCTTAAATCGAAGAAATAAGACTCCACCTAACATAAATGAACTCAGTGTTAAAATAATTCTGCTAAGAACGTGATAATCAATTACTTACCAGGCAAGATGGATAGCTGGCTCTTCTCGACTGTTTCCGCGTCCGAGCTTCGACCGTAAAGGTACGACATCATCACGACTAGTGCCGCGGCGAGGTATTCACTCTCCGTCGCTGCCGTTGAGTACAGTAGAGACACCATAGGTTCTAAGTCTTGTTTAGAGCACGGGGGTGCTTTCTTCTCGTCGCCGACCTCCTCTCGGTTACTACAATACTTACCCAGGCCTGATAGAATTTTTTGGAGCTGAGATTTAACCAAAGCTCCATGTAGCGGGTACTTATCTACTAGTCAATTCTTGATGTTGCCATAGTATGCTAGACACGTATTGGTCGCCCTCACCTTATCGGCTGACGTGGTTAACGAATATGCATACTTGTCTAGTATAATACGCAATGCCTTACCCGTCTTATCCCCGTCGATAAGCCTGTGGGTGGCTTCGAGTGTCATGCTCTCCGCGGCCAGGAACGTCGTGAACGAGTTGATCGCCGTCGTACTGGCCTTCTTGCTGTTGGCAGGAGCAAGCGATGCGATCGACATGCTAGCCTGCCTGCCCTTTCACTCTGAACAAAAAAATATGTAGCGACCATTCAGGTTGGAAACTGAAGGATATTTTTGGGATATGCATTTATATAGAATTTGTATGGCATTACAAATATTCTGACAAAATTCCAACCAAATATGGTCGGAACGGTTGGAAAAATGCCCTAGTTTAGAGGGGCTTCCGATTGGGCAAAATTCATCAAACGTAAGGCATTCATTGGGTGAAAGTCGTCGAGCACGAGCGGTTTGGGATTACAAAAAAGAGTAGCGGTTGGAACAGAGTGAATATACACTCCGCGCCAAGTGCAATCACGCACCCGAGTTTGTAGCTATATCTCAGTCAATATTTAGAGTTAGGAGCTGCGCTTTAGATATGTTGCTGCTACTACCGTTACCGACCCCGCTCTTGTGTTAACGATCGGTATTTCCATGGCTGTGGTGGGGCTCACATACAAGCAGACAAATATGGCTTAGTGACACAATTATCACGCAGATTGGACCATACAAAAATTCATATATTATGAATGATTGTAACATGTGGGTCAACTAGTTGTGTGCCTTTCCTCCTTTCTTTTCCAGTACTTCGACGAGCCGCTTGGGCATGGAGTCCTCCAGGGTTGCCAGGGTCGCTTGGTCGACAGATTCCCACGCCGCCAGAACCGCTTCGCGCAACTCGGACACACTGGAGTACTGCTTCTTGCCGTTGTCGTACACCGTGCGCGACAAAATGGCCCACAAGTTCTCTATCGGATTAAGGTCCGGAGAACGAGCGGGCCACTTCATCACCATCACCTCTTGCTCTTCAAAAAAATCGGCCGTGCGCTTCGACGTATGGATAGAAGCATTATCTTGTTGAAAGATATACTCCAGCCCAAAGTGCTTGTGAGCGTAAGGAAGCATGTATTCAGAGAGAGTATACACATAGTCATCTGAATTTTGCTTACCCACAAGAATGGCTAGCTCCGTCTTACCACCGCGGCTAACGCCACCCCAGACCATAAGCGAACCACCGCCGTTTTGGCGCCGGACGTTTTGACGCCTCGGGACCCGCAGGTCCTGCCAGTAGCGCTGATACCCGTCTGGACCATCCAGGTTCCATTTCTTTTCGTCGGAAAAGACGACGCGCGGCCAGACATCCTTGGAGTAGAGTAGACATTCCTTCGCGAACTCACGGCGAGCGAGCTTGTGCTCAGCCGTGAGCTCCAGCGTGTTGTCCATCTTCGCGTACTGCAACCAATCCACGCTCGCAAGAACGCGCTGGACGGTGCGTAGAGAGGCAGCACTACTGACGAGCTCCTTGATCTGGGAGGCGGAAAAGTCACCGGTTGCTGCCTTCCGCACGACTAGCCGCACCTCGCGGTCCGACATGACGGGCGGGGGGCCGAGCTTCTTCGGCTCCGTCGGCGCCTTTGGAGCGACGATGCGAGCCACCGTTTGGTCGCTGCGACCGACACGGCGTGCAATAGCACGGTTAGACCACCCGGCCTCGTGCAGTCCTTGGATTCTCCCGCGTTCTTCGTCGCTGACGCGTGGCTTGGGCGGCATCTTTGCGAATGCCGTACTGGTTGGGATTTTTACGGCCCCACCACTAATCTTAATATATGAATTTTTGTATGGTCCAATCTGCGTGATAATTGTGTCACTAAGCTATATTTGTCTGCTTGTATGTGAGCCCCACCACAGCCATGGAAATGCCGATCGTTAACACAAGAGCGGGGTCGGTAACGGTAGTAGCAGCAACATATCTAAAGCGCAGCTCCTAACTCTAAATATTGACTGAGATATAGCTACAAACTCGGGTGCGTGATTGTATGTATTACTCCATATGCTTCCACGACGAAGCGCAATACATACTAAATTTCAGTATGGCGATTAACGGACCAATCACAGTGTGATTACCACACTCGTCGCCAATCCACCACCGAGCAGACAGCTCGTCCCTCCGGTGTTTCTGCCGAATGTCGAGTGCTAGACGAAGCGAAGCTCCACCTCTAGTGTACGTGCGAAGCGGAAGAAGCCCAACTAATTATCAATGCATTGTTTATATGTTTAACTCACCCTCGTGCCCGCAAGTAGTAGCTCGGACGCGTCGTCGCTGACGCCCAAGGAGCGTCTGCTCGGCCGCATCAAGCAGAACTTCGACCTGGAGACGCAGAGCTGTCGCCAGGGAGACTGCCACGCAACAGAGGAAAGTGAGACCGGTGGTGATGAGGTCAGCCAAGTGAAGGACCAGTTGCGGCGGCTAAAGAGACGCTGCGCCAAGCTGAAGCGCAAGCTGCAGGAGAAGGAGGAGGAGATTCGGGCGCTGCAGGACCAGCAACAGCTGCGGTTTCCGCTTCTGATGCACGAAACGATGCGCAGCTTGCGCTCACTAGAGGACAACCAGTCCGACCGCTCTTCTTCCGCATTGGTGGGTTGCTACAGTGTCGATTTTTTAGTGGGGCGGTGGGGTTTTGACTCTTTGTCTCGACTGTAAATTGCAGCCGCTGTCGCATTCCGTGATCAGTGATATGGCGCACGAGAGAAGAGATGTGGATGCTCGGATCCATGAGTATGAACGGCAGGTGCGTTGCTGCGGTACCCTGATGTCTGCAGTCAAACCTCTTCGACTGATTGCCGATGTATGTATGACCTTGTGTAGATTGCTGAGCTGTATGAGGAGAACCAGCAGGAGAAACTCAAGAACGAAATGCTGAGCGAGTGCCTTCGCGACCAAAAGCACGCCAAAGCGAAGCTTATGAAGGTGTGCAAGCAGGTTAAACAGGAGCTGCAAGCAGTGAAAGACAGCGGACTGAGCCAGATGCTGATGGATATTGAGGCGAGGTGCGACGCTTTGGAGAAAGAGAAGAACAACATAGAGGACAAACTTTCGGCAGAGCGTGCCCTGGTACGATGCATCTCTACTTAGCATCCCTGGTCTTGTTTATCATTGTCACTTAAATTTTAATTTGTCTAACGATGCTTGCATATTCAGCGTGCAAAACAAGAAGCCCAGAACGAGGTGCTGGCTAACCAGCTTGAAGATATGATCTCGGAATCTAAGAAATGGGAAGGTACGCAGAAAAAAATCCGCTCGAATTTGACAGTATAGTCGTATATCTTACCTCGATGTTGTTCATAAAGACATTGTGGCTAGGAAAAACGACAAACTGCAGCAATCTCGAGACCAGATATGTGAGCAGCAACTGATGATTGAAAATTTGAAAGCGGACTTGAAAGTTGCGGAGAAAAAGATTTGTCGTCCGGCTGAACACCGTCAAGATGATGATCAAGAAGAGGTACAGACAACCGTTGTTGGCGTGAGCTCCATTCATCTTGTTATGTTTTAACTGTTCTCAACTTCCCACGTTGCAGCTCGAGCAACTAAAATGCACCATCAGTACACAGAGGGAAAGGTTCGATGAGGCTCAGAAAAGCTTACGGCAACTCACTGCTGAAAGCGACTTCTTACGCGAACAGCTTACTGCGCAACATGGAGGTGGTTTTCTTCAAGGTGATGCCAACGCTTGTGCAGCCGAAGCTACATACGACAAGCTGCTCACGCAGGTAAATGCTTTCGATGCGATCATGCAGGTTGAAGCAAAATACTGTTGATAACAGTTTAATTACTCTTGATTTTGTTTTAGCTGCGCTTTATCAAAAACAGACTGCGCGCGCTCAAGGATCTAGTTCAGGTGTACGAAGAGACTAATACGGTCGACATCAACTTACTTGATGAGGGAAACTGGTTCCACGACGATAGCGTTGGGGATGGTGCTAGTGCTGCTCAATCATGTGAAGCGTATGCGGTACAGCTTTCTGGAAGTGTACTGGATGCTGCTCGATGCCTGTCCGAACTCCAGCAAGTAGTTGAGGACGCCTGCGCGCGGCTGATGGGAAGCACTTGTGCGTTGCAGTAACCGTGTAGATGTTGAAGTAGTATGTGTACAGTGTAGTACTATTGTGCATTTCACGTATTTTGACGGGTGAGCTGTTAATTCAGGCGGAATTAGAGTCATAAAAGGGCGATCAACGCTTATTTAGTGCTAATTCTGCCTAAGATTGTAAGCGCTTCCCCTAACATCCGCGATCAGCATTTGAGAGCCAATCGACGGAGATACGAGCAGAATGGCATGGCCGCCTAACGCAGGCTGGATTAGCTTATTCCGCCTTAACTCGGCCCCACCATCGCCGCTCCTAATTCGGCGACGGAGGGACGACCCGGAATTAACATGGGAATTAGCTAACTCGGGGCGTAATTAAGGTCGATAAGGGATTAGAGTTATGCCAGAATTATCACGGCAGAATAAGTGAAAGGCACAATCCATGTAGAAGTAAAGCTGCGGAGATTTTGACTTTCAAATTATTTGTTGCTGTACTAAAGATCATGTCGTATTTATATTGCCTACTCCTTACTCGCAAAGCTATGAAAAGTTAGTCTGTATTGCTGTAAGCCATAACAATGCGGAGACTAACGGCCCATAGTATTTGTAAGTGCAGCTACCGCACGAAATGAATGAGCTGCTGCCAACAGTATGCAGTCCTTCAAGCAAAGCTCGAATCTACGAGGAGTGCTTGGCAAGGTAAGCGGCAATCTCCGGACTCGCCTTCACACGGTTCGCGATGGCCTCGAGTTTCGAGTACGGCGCGGCGGAGAAGCCGGGGATGAACTTGCCCAAGGGGTTCTCGAACAGGTCGAAGAGCTGGATGTCGGCGAACGTCACCTTGCTGCCCATGAAATAGTCCCCCTGGACCATCGACGTCAACTTTCCAAACTTGCCGGGGAGCGTCTCCTGCAGAAACTTGGCGGTTTTCTCAGCCTTCTTGCTCTCGTCCTTTTCGTGGAAGCAGATGTCGATGTAGTCCTCGAACAGCTCGCACAGAGTCTCGGAGATCATCTCGACGCGCAGACACTCGAGCGGGTCCTCTGGGTAGAGTCCGCTGAGCTTGGCGGTATAGCGGGCGATAGCCATGCTCTGGCAGTACGTGGTGCCGTCCACCTCAAGCAGCGGCATCTTGCCCAGCGGAGCCTTGGCCTTGACCGCACCCCACTCTGGGAAGCTCATGCGGACATCGTCAAACGGAATCTTGCCGTACGTGAGCACGAGGCGTGACAGCTCCGCACGAGCAGGGAGATGGAAGTACGTGAGCTTCAGTTGCGGGGCCATTGCGCTTGTCTTTGAGGGAGTCGAAAGGAAAATAAGCTCGCAGAATTCTGGGGGTCCCAGACTGGGACCAATACAATGAGCGGTCGTGATACCGCTGCTGCAGGCGGTCGCGATCCGGTCGCAATCGACGCCACTTCACCCTTTCGAAGTGGGGAGAGATTCTTATCATCATGAGGGCCTGGCGATAGCATAACCGGAGCACACTGAGCAATACGTGTGCAGTACAGTACAATCATGTTCACAGCACAACGCGTTTGTCCTGGACGAGGCTCTTCGTGCGCAGACAGCCCAATTCCATTGCTCTTGGACGGTGGTGTAAATACGGGAGGTACATCTCGACACGCTCCGTATATGCCATATTGGATTGCCTCATCCACTTCAGCAACTTTCTAACCGCATGAGCCTCTCCTACCGTTTTCTCTCTTATTGCCATCCCAATATCAAATGAAGTTCATATTGAACTATCTTCCATCATAACCATCTTATACGTCATAAGGTACTCACCGTCTGGAACGCCGGCACACTCTCGGATCCCTCTCATTTTGCCAAAGCGAATTCAAGCCGAAGTCATGAACCAATTCGGCCTCGTGGCCGTGACCGCCGTGCTGGTGGCGCTCTACCACAACTACCTGGCGCCGCAGCCCGCTGTATGGACGCCGCCGTCGCAACTCAAGCTCACGTACTTCGCCGGTGCGGGCCGCGCCGAGCTCTCGCGCCTGATCCTGTCGGCCGGTAACGTGTCATTCGAGGACGAGCGGCTGGACCGCGACTCCTTCCTGGCGATCAAGCCGACGCTGCCCCTGGGCCAAGTGCCCGTGCTGGAGGTGGACGGCACCACGTACAGCCAGAGTATGGCCATCGCCCGTTACGCCGCCAAGCTCACGGGCCTGTACCCGCAGGACCCGCTCGAGTGCCTGCGCGTGGACATGGCGTCCGAGTCGCTTGTTGACATCAAGGCGCTCGTCACTGAGATCACGTACCGCACGCCGGACGAGGCGGCCAAGGCTGAGAAGACCAAGAAGCTGCTGGAGGAGAGCGTGCCCAAGACGCTGAAGCTGCTCGAGAGCTTCGTGCACCAGGGCCCCTTCTTCCTGGGCGACAAGATGACGTATGCGGACTTGCAGTTGTTCGACATGGTGAAGAACGCCCTTGCTAACTTTGACGGGTTCTCACTTAAGGCGTACCCGAAGCTCACGGCGCTCGTGCGCAAGGTGGAGACCAACGCTAATGTGGCGGCCTATCTGGCCAAACATCAGAAGTAGATGCAGTGAGAAAAGAGAGAAAGAGGAGAAACACCGAGTTGAGTAGCGTTCCTAAAAAAAAACAAGCCGGGGCTTTGTCCGTGCAAAACTGCTAGTTCATTTATGACGCAATCTTCAGCACGATTCATCATCTTGTCCCCCTTATTTGCCGGTGGAGCAGGAGGGGCCTCAAGTCGATCCCCGGCACGTGCCAAGATAAGCTCATTCGCGAATTTACTCCGCTTCCCTCCAAGCACGCAACTTCCAAGCATGACTCAGCCTACCCTCAAGCTCACCTACTTCGACGGCAAGGGCCGCGCCGAGCTGCCGCGCCTCATCTTCAACTACGGCGGCGTGGCGTTCACGGACGACCGCATCTCGCACGCCGACTTTGGCGCTCTCAAGCCCACGCTGCCGTTCGGCCAGGTGCCGATCCTCGAGGTGGATGGCGTCGTGTACGCCCAGAGCATGGCCATCGCCCGCTACGCTGCTAAGATTGCTGGCCTGTACCCAAGTAACGCGGTGGAGGCCCTGAAGGCCGACATGTTCTCGTGCTCGATGGGTGACCTGGAGGGACCGTTCGTCGACATTGCCTTCAAGACTCCCGATGAGGCCGAGAAGGCCCAGAAGAAGAAGGTCTTCATCGAGGAGACGGTGCCCAAGTTCTTCGCCACGCTCGAGAAGCTGGTGGCCGACAAGTTCATCCTCGGCGGCAAGATCTCGTACGCGGACCTGCAGTTCTTCGACTTCGTGAACAACAAGATCTCGTGGATCTTCCCGGACTTTAAGACGGACGCGTTCCCCAAGCTCACTGCCGTCGTGAACAACGTCAAGGCGGAGCCCAAGATCGCCGCCTACCTGTCGAAGCAGTAGATTGGTTGCCTCTGTAGTTTATAATCAGAGCCACAAAGCTAAAAAAACGAACAAGTTTCTAGTCTTCCAACAAGGCTTTTGCTTCCGCTCGTCGCTTTCATTTTGTTGGCGATGGCGTCGATGGAATTGCCACCTTTTGCGCTAGTCGGGCCTGATCCGGAGTAAACCTCCATTGCCTCGGTATTACGCGGTCTACTTCGACACGTAGAAGTACATCTCAACGTCCACACTGATTTACACTTGGTGTACTGTATCCGAGATGTCAACAGTGAGAGGGGGCTGGATACGAACCGACTGTTGGGCCCCCAGCCTCGATCAAGCGTCCCAAAACGCATACCTCGGTACTTCCTTCCACGCCATGGCCCAGCCTCAACTCAAGCTCACCTACTTCGACGGCAAGGGCCGCGCCGAGCTCACGCGGTTGATCTTCAACTACGGCGGTGTGGCGTTCATAGATGACCGCGTAGCCCGCGCCGACTTCCCAGCGCTCAAGCCGACCCTACCGTTCGGCCAGGTGCCGGTGCTCGAAGTGGATGGGGTGACTTACGCCCAAAGCATGGCGATTGCTCGTTACGCCGCCAAGCTCTCGGGGTTGTACCCGAGCGATCCGGTGAAAGCTCTGAAGGCGGACATGTTCTCTTGCTCGTTGGGCGAACTGGCGGACGCGTTCATCGACATCGTCTTCAAGACGCAGGACGCGGACGAAAAGACCAAGAAGCAGAAGCTGTTCCTCGACGAGACCGTACCCAAGTTCTTCACTGCGTTGGGGAAACTTGTGGAGGGCAAATTCATCCTCGGAGACCACATCTCGTACGCCGACGTCCAGTTGATGGACCTGGTGGACAACGGGATCAAGTGGGGGATCCCCTCGTTTACCTTGGAGGCGTTCCCGAAGCTGGCCGCCGTGGTCGCGAACGTCGCAGCTGAGCCCAAAATCGCCGCGTATCTGGCCCAGCAAGCGCAAAAGTAGCTGGCCTTGGTTTGGTTTGGCTTGTGGCGCGGATATTGATGCGTAAAACACGCTATGATCAGAGTCTCGTTCGACTGAGGCGATAATAACGTCAACGTCGATAATAACATGAAAAGCAAACAGCCCGAGTTGATCATAGAACTCCGGTTTAATTAAGCTACCCGCACTTGCAGCAGGGTGCGCAGTGTCAACTACTCATCGATCGACTAGGGAAGTACGCGCGCCGCCGCACTGCTTAGTAGCTGCTCGCGTTGAAGTGGTCGGCCGTCATGACCTTGGCCCACGCCGAAGAGAACACGTGCTTGAAGACGGCCTCCTCGGACGCGAACAGCTGCACCGCCTCCTTCAGCTCGGGCGCCGCCAGCAGAGCCAGATCCGTGTCCATCATGTACACGTCCTTGCCCTCCGCCTTGTACTCCTTCGCCGACACCTCTGTCCACGTCTCGTTCAGGAGCACCTGGAAGTACTCGTTCGACAGCGTGAGTGAGTCGTTGCTGTACGAGCCGCTGTAGCCCAGCACCTTCTGCTGCGCCACGCTGCGCGGACGGCCCGCCAGAGCCACGGCCTCGTACGGGGACACGCCCAGGATCTTGATGTTGTCGCGCACGGCGATCAGCGTCGTGTTGTAGTACTCGCGCGGGGCCAGGATCTCCGTGCCGTTGCCGTTGTCGGCGTCCGTGCGGCCACCCAGGAAGTCGATGGTCACGTTGCCGGCGTCCTCGAGGGCCACCTGGCCCGCCAGCACGATCAGGTCGGCCGTCGACAGCGTCGGGTACGACTCCTTCACGGGCTCCAGCGCCGAGATGATCTTGTCCACACCGGCGTTCACCGGCCAGTCCTTCTCCGGCGAGAAGCGGATCCTGGCGCCGTTGCAGCCGCCAGCGTAGTCGGTGATGCGGAACGTCGACGCGCACTGCCACGCCGCGTGCACGAACAGCGCGCCGTTGTACGGCGTGCCGTCGCTGCTCGAGTCGCTCGTCAAGCCGTCCACCGACTTGGTCAGCAGCGAGCGGATGTCCGAGCGCACGGCGTCGAAGTCCGCCAGCGAGGCGGGCGTCGGCGGCAGCGGGTTCTGGAACGGCTGCGCGGGCGGCACGTCCTTGCCGCGGCAGCGAGCCACGGGGCCCAGGTCGCGCGACATGAGCTTGTACCAGGCGTGCGAGAACTCCTCGTCCAGCGCGGTCTGGTTGGCCGCGAACTCGAGCGAGATGTTGTGGTAGCTCTCGTCGTGCAGCAGCGCGATGTCGGCCGTGAGCATGCGCACGGGCGGCGTTGTGTCGGGCACGGGGCGCCACTGCACGTGGCCGCCCGGGCCGTCGAACTTCTCCCACTCCAAGTTGGTGAGGCCCTTGAAGTAGCCGTTGCCCCACTTGGTGGGCGTGAACGTCCACGAGCCCTCGAAGCCGCCCGTGAAGGTGTTGTTGCCCTTTCCCTTCATGGCGCCCTCGCCGCAAGTTCCCGGCCAGGGGTTCAGCGGGTCCTGCGTCGGATCGGGGCCCGGGCCTGTCGGGCAAGCACCGTGCGTCTTGCCGAAGGCGTGGCCGCCGCCGATCAGCGCCACCGTCTCGCGGTCGTTCATGCCCATGCGCTCGAAGGTGTCCCGCACGTCGTGCACCGACAGCGCCGGGTCCGGCACGCCCATGGGGCCCTCCGGGTTCACGTAAATGAGGCCCATCGTGGTGGTGCCCAGCGGCTCCTTGCACTGGCCGTCCACGGCGCACGGCGCCACGCTCTCCTGCTCGGGCGTCGGGCCCAGCTGCAGGCTGCTCGTGCCGTCGGCGTCGTCGCGGCGGCCGCCGCAGAAGCCCAGCACGGGGCCGCCCATGCTCTCGATGGCCACGTTGCCCGACAGCACGATGAGGTCACCCCACGACAGCGCGTCGCCGTACTTGAGCTTGATGGGCTCCAGCAGGTCGAGCGCCTTGTCCAGGTTGGTGTTGTCGGCCCAGCTGCGCTCCGGGTTGAAGCGGATGCGGCCGCCGTCGCAGCCTCCGCGGCCGTCGGCGCGGCGGTACGAGCCGTTGCAGTGCCACGCCAGGCGGATGAAGAGGCCGCCGTAGTGGCCGAAGTCGGCGGGCCAGAAGTCCTGCGAGTCCGTCATCAGGTGCAGCAGGTCCTGCTTCACGAGCTCGTAGTCGATCACATCGCAGCTCTGCGCGTCGTACAGCTCGCTGGAGATCTGGCGGTCCTGCTGGTGCATGGCGGCGACCGAGTCGTAGCCGAACGGGCAGCTGCCGGCGTTGGCGCCGCTGGACAGGCCGGCGAGCGCGGCGACGAAGGCGGCGAGGCGGACGTTCATCGTTGCGGGGCTACCGGGAGGGAATTGCGGCCGACGAGGTGGAACGAATAATGGGGGAGTGGAAGCTCGCTTTGGGTGGGGCCCCCAACTTGGGGTCTTCGACAGGCAAGGTGTAGACTTCTGGTGTTGAGACGTTTTACCTGTTGGCTGTTCGTATGGCGGCGTAGGACATGTGCATACGGCTCATTCACGATTAATTTGTTGAGTCCCGTGGAACACTCGCTTGAACTATCGGATGGGTACGGGGAAACCATGCGCCGTAAAACTATCCCAAATATGTACCAAAACGGAGTTGACTGATTATGGTCTATAGTCTATGGGCGACGCTTTCTGAAGAGATTTGTCGCTGATTACAAACTCGCGATTCCCACAACCTCGTGGCGAAGTCAAAATACGCGGTCGTCGATTATGGACAAAGTAGCCAGGGTCATCTGTAAATTCCACTTTCGGCGTGTCACTTTGCCGCATCAGAGCTGTCCGAGCTGTATTATATGCCGCGAGCAGCAATTCTATGGCACTCGATGTTTCTCTTCGCTACTGTGTATCTACCCTGTCGTGCCAGTCACGGCGCGTTTGGCCCCTTTCACGCAAGTGTGTGCATCTTACACGTTGCAGCGGATAGTTGGCAGGGATCCTTTCCAGTGCGCAATTGCTGAATCAAGTGTCGAAGCGAGGCACCCAAAGTAATTTGAAGTATCAGATACACTGGACAGCATCAATGGTGCAGAGTTCGACGCGAGTGGATCGAGTCAAAAAAACTATGGGTAATACAACACGTCACTCTGTTTTAAAGAACGAGTTGCACCTCCGGAATTGGACGCTTCGATCCACCATTATGCCTTCGAACCTGCTCCTCTTACTGAGTTCAACCTGAAACTGAGCGCTCCGTTCTGCAGCCATGCGTCCAATCATACTGAATGAAGCATTTGGATTGCCGATCCCTGCTCAGTTGTTTGTTAAGTTGCCGATTACGGGGGTATTGCATGTAGCTTTTTTCGGAGAGCACATTGGGACCTGCGATGTATAGGAGGTCATCTTAGACTCCTTTGAAGCTGAGCTGTCCAACTCGTGGTGTAGTAACTGTGATGGTCTTTGGCTACCGTACCGCCTAGCCAGACGATCAACCGAACACAGAGAGAGAGAGCGGGGATAATGCAGGCAAGCATCCCCAGGCGATTGGCGTACCCGTCCTATCCAGGGGAAGTGTCATGCTACCGACAGAAAGATAATTTGTTCCATGTTCGTAAGGTGGTCTATCACGCTTGTTGATCCACGCCAAACATTAGCGTTCCGGTAGATTTGATTTCCTGCCGAGATTATTATTTTAACCCTTCGTTTCAAGGTTTCCCATCCTAAAAGTTTTCTAAGCCTAAAGGCCGTTGTCCGACCACCTGGTTTTCCTTGAACAGAAACCTGCACTTTTGTCTGTCCTACCAAGTGAGCCCTGCAACAAATTGTTGCCAACACTTCCAACCAAAGGGCAACCTCTCATCGCCAACATGTCAACCCGACACATCAGCACCAAACTCACAGCTATTCATTATTCGTTCCACCTCGTCGGCCGCAATTCCCTCCCGGTAGCCCCGCAACGATGAACGTCCGCCTCGCCGCCTTCGTCGCCGCGCTCGCCGGCCTGTCCAGCGGCGCCAACGCCGGCAGCTGCCCGTTCGGCTACGACTCGGTCGCCGCCATGCACCAGCAGGACCGCCAGATCTCCAGCGAGCTGTACGACGCGCAGAGCTGCGATGTGATCGACTACGAGCTCGTGAAGCAGGACCTGCTGCACCTGATGACGGACTCGCAGGACTTCTGGCCCGCCGACTTCGGCCACTACGGCGGCCTCTTCATCCGCCTGGCGTGGCACTGCAACGGCTCGTACCGCCGCGCCGACGGCCGCGGAGGCTGCGACGGCGGCCGCATCCGCTTCAACCCGGAGCGCAGCTGGGCCGACAACACCAACCTGGACAAGGCGCTCGACCTGCTGGAGCCCATCAAGCTCAAGTACGGCGACGCGCTGTCGTGGGGTGACCTCATCGTGCTGTCGGGCAACGTGGCCATCGAGAGCATGGGCGGCCCCGTGCTGGGCTTCTGCGGCGGCCGCCGCGACGACGCCGACGGCACGAGCAGCCTGCAGCTGGGCCCGACGCCCGAGCAGGAGAGCGTGGCGCCGTGCGCCGTGGACGGCCAGTGCAAGGAGCCGCTGGGCACCACCACGATGGGCCTCATTTACGTGAACCCGGAGGGCCCCATGGGCGTGCCGGACCCGGCGCTGTCGGTGCACGACGTGCGGGACACCTTCGAGCGCATGGGCATGAACGACCGCGAGACGGTGGCGCTGATCGGCGGCGGCCACGCCTTCGGCAAGACGCACGGTGCTTGCCCGACAGGCCCGGGCCCCGATCCGACGCAGGACCCGCTGAACCCCTGGCCGGGAACTTGCGGCGAGGGCGCCATGAAGGGAAAGGGCAACAACACCTTCACGGGCGGCTTCGAGGGCTCGTGGACGTTCACGCCCACCAAGTGGGGCAACGGCTACTTCAAGGGCCTCACCAACTTGGAGTGGGAGAAGTTCGACGGCCCGGGCGGCCACGTGCAGTGGCGCCCCGTGCCCGACACAACGCCGCCCGTGCGCATGCTCACGGCCGACATCGCGCTGCTGCACGACGAGAGCTACCACAACATCTCGCTCGAGTTCGCGGCCAACCAGACCGCGCTGGACGAGGAGTTCTCGCACGCCTGGTACAAGCTCATGTCGCGCGACCTGGGCCCCGTGGCTCGCTGCCGCGGCAAGGACGTGCCGCCCGCGCAGCCGTTCCAGAACCCGCTGCCGCCGACGCCCGCCTCGCTGGCGGACTTCGACGCCGTGCGCTCGGACATCCGCTCGCTGCTGACCAAGTCGGTGGACGGCTTGACGAGCGACTCGAGCAGCGACGGCACGCCGTACAACGGCGCGCTGTTCGTGCACGCGGCGTGGCAGTGCGCGTCGACGTTCCGCATCACCGACTACGCTGGCGGCTGCAACGGCGCCAGGATCCGCTTCTCGCCGGAGAAGGACTGGCCGGTGAACGCCGGTGTGGACAAGATCATCTCGGCGCTGGAGCCCGTGAAGGAGTCGTACCCGACGCTGTCGACGGCCGACCTGATCGTGCTGGCGGGCCAGGTGGCCCTCGAGGACGCCGGCAACGTGACCATCGACTTCCTGGGTGGCCGCACGGACGCCGACAACGGCAACGGCACGGAGATCCTGGCCCCGCGCGAGTACTACAACACGACGCTGATCGCCGTGCGCGACAACATCAAGATCCTGGGCGTGTCCCCGTACGAGGCCGTGGCTCTGGCGGGCCGTCCGCGCAGCGTGGCGCAGCAGAAGGTGCTGGGCTACAGCGGCTCGTACAGCAACGACTCACTCACGCTGTCGAACGAGTACTTCCAGGTGCTCCTGAACGAGACGTGGACAGAGGTGTCGGCGAAGGAGTACAAGGCGGAGGGCAAGGACGTGTACATGATGGACACGGATCTGGCTCTGCTGGCGGCGCCCGAGCTGAAGGAGGCGGTGCAGCTGTTCGCGTCCGAGGAGGCCGTCTTCAAGCACGTGTTCTCTTCGGCGTGGGCCAAGGTCATGACGGCCGACCACTTCAACGCGAGCAGCTACTAAGCAGTGCGGCGGCGCGCGTACTTCCCTAGTCGATCGATGAGTAGTTGACACTGCGCACCCTGCTGCAAGTGCGGGTAGCTTAATTAAACCGGAGTTCTATGATCAACTCGGGCTGTTTGCTTTTCATGTTATTATCGACGTTGACGTTATTATCGCCTCAGTCGAACGAGACTCTGATCATAGCGTGTTTTACGCATCAATATCCGCGCCACAAGCCAAACCAAACCAAGGCCAGCTACTTTTGCGCTTGCTGGGCCAGATACGCGGCGATTTTGGGCTCAGCTGCGACGTTCGCGACCACGGCGGCCAGCTTCGGGAACGCCTCCAAGGTAAACGAGGGGATCCCCCACTTGATCCCGTTGTCCACCAGGTCCATCAACTGGACGTCGGCGTACGAGATGTGGTCTCCGAGGATGAATTTGCCCTCCACAAGTTTCCCCAACGCAGTGAAGAACTTGGGTACGGTCTCGTCGAGGAACAGCTTCTGCTTCTTGGTCTTTTCGTCCGCGTCCTGCGTCTTGAAGACGATGTCGATGAACGCGTCCGCCAGTTCGCCCAACGAGCAAGAGAACATGTCCGCCTTCAGAGCTTTCACCGGATCGCTCGGGTACAACCCCGAGAGCTTGGCGGCGTAACGAGCAATCGCCATGCTTTGGGCGTAAGTCACCCCATCCACTTCGAGCACCGGCACCTGGCCGAACGGTAGGGTCGGCTTGAGCGCTGGGAAGTCGGCGCGGGCTACGCGGTCATCTATGAACGCCACACCGCCGTAGTTGAAGATCAACCGCGTGAGCTCGGCGCGGCCCTTGCCGTCGAAGTAGGTGAGCTTGAGTTGAGGCTGGGCCATGGCGTGGAAGGAAGTACCGAGGTATGCGTTTTGGGACGCTTGATCGAGGCTGGGCGAATTGCTGAATGAGTGAGGGCCCAACAGTCGGTTCGTATCCAGCCCCCTCTCACTGTTGACATCTCGGATACAGTACACCAAGTGTAAATCAGTGTGGACGTTGAGATGTACTTCTACGTGTCGAAGTAGACCGCGTAATACCGAGGCAATGGAGGTTTACTCCGGATCAGGCCCGACTAGCGCAAAAGGTGGCAATTCCATCGACGCCATCGCCAACAAAATGAAAGCGACGAGCGGAAGCAAAAGCCTTGTTGGAAGACTAGAAACTTGTTCGTTTTTTTAGCTTTGTGGCTCTGATTATAAACTACAGAGGCAACCAATCTACTGCTTCGACAGGTAGGCGGCGATCTTGGGCTCCGCCTTGACGTTGTTCACGACGGCAGTGAGCTTGGGGAACGCGTCCGTCTTAAAGTCCGGGAAGATCCACGAGATCTTGTTGTTCACGAAGTCGAAGAACTGCAGGTCCGCGTACGAGATCTTGCCGCCGAGGATGAACTTGTCGGCCACCAGCTTCTCGAGCGTGGCGAAGAACTTGGGCACCGTCTCCTCGATGAAGACCTTCTTCTTCTGGGCCTTCTCGGCCTCATCGGGAGTCTTGAAGGCAATGTCGACGAACGGTCCCTCCAGGTCACCCATCGAGCACGAGAACATGTCGGCCTTCAGGGCCTCCACCGCGTTACTTGGGTACAGGCCAGCAATCTTAGCAGCGTAGCGGGCGATGGCCATGCTCTGGGCGTACACGACGCCATCCACCTCGAGGATCGGCACCTGGCCGAACGGCAGCGTGGGCTTGAGAGCGCCAAAGTCGGCGTGCGAGATGCGGTCGTCCGTGAACGCCACACCGCCGTAGTTGAAGATCAACCGCGTGAGCTCGGCGCGGCCCTTGCCGTCGAAGTAGGTGAGCTTGAGGGTAGGCTGAGTCATGCTTGGAGGTTGCGTGCTTGGAGGGAAGCGGAGTAAAGTCGCGAATGTGTTCTGCATTTCGTGGACACGAGGGCGTGTATTACCATTGTGCCTGGTAAAGAGCGCTGCACGAATCCTGCTGAAGATTGCGTCATAATTGCAGCAGGCCAGGAAGTTTTGTTGCGAATGAGTTGTTGATGAATGGAATTGGCGGCGGAGCTTGCATTGATTATTGCTGTGGGCATGGCACAACTTCCCGTAAACTGAGCCTTTTTCTTCCAAAGTTGAAGTTGCATGTACCGTTGCTGCTCGTTTAGCTCCGGCGGAAAATAACGGCTTTCTTTCTCTGCAAAGTCCGAGAGCGTCATTCGTCCATCGCCAGGATGGAGGAGCTGCGGACGCTGCTGCGAGACGCCGAGGAGGCTCAGCGCCAGACGCTGCAGGCGATCGCAGAGGACGCGGGCCAAGTGGCGCGGCTGAAGGACCCGGTGCTGCTGCTGCTGGACGTGCTGAGCCAGTCCGAGACGGCGGAGGCGCGGCGGGAGACGCTCCAGGTGCTGCGTCGACTGTTCGCCGCCTGCTCCGCCCACTTCTACGACGCCCAGGCCTTCCTGGAGTCGACCGCAGACACGGCGAGGTCTCACCACGTCGCGAAGCGAGGCAACGTCGTACTGAAGGCGCTGCTAGCCTCGTTATCCTCGTTGAGCAGCCAAGATGAGGTGGACGAGGAGACTGTGCAGTCTCTCGTGGACATGCTGCGAGATTTGTGTCTGCAGTCCATGAACGCCACGGACGTGGTGGCTCTGTTCGACTTTCTACGGCTTGGACGGCCGCCAGCTCGTCGGCGGGTGCTGCAGATGCAGAAGGAGCTCGTGGAGATGGATACATTGCCACGCGCGATCTTCACGATGAGAGGAGCCAATGCAGGGTTGATTGTGCCGTCAGAGCAGCAATTGTTCACTAAAAGAGGCTACAGTTGCAGCTTTGGGGTGCATTTGGACGCTACTGCAGCGGTTGTGCCGCTCTACAGCTTTCGTGGTCTAAATGGGCAGGGTGTGTCGGCAGTGCTGGAAGGGAAGTCGCTAGTTGTGAGGATGTTCGCGGGCCAAGGCGCTGTCCAGCAAGTTGAAGTGCCGTTTGCAGAGTGGATTGATAAAATGGAGAGGGAGTGGGTACACGTGTGCGTCGTGCACGCGAAGAAGATGGTTTTCAAGGATAAGGTGACAGTGTATGTGGATGGTAAGACTGTGTTTAATGGGAATCTTGGGTACCCAGACCCGCTCATGATGGTTGGCGGCCAGAACGGCATTGGTATCGAACCTCTCGCAGAGAGTCTGAAAGGGAAATTGTGGAGCCCGACACTCTTTGGGGTGGCGTTGTCGGAGGCGGAAGTGCAAAGGTTACACTGGCTAACCCATTGGAAGAATGACCTCAACTCGGTCGCAGCTGAAAACGCAGGACTTACAGACAAGTCCAAGTTTTGCTTTTGCTACGATGCGCGGAGTTGCGATCTGAAAAAGCGGGTTTGCTATGATGTCAGTGGCAACGATTGCCACGGCTCGCTGGGACCTGGAACGAGTGCCTATGTTACTCAGAGTTTCGTTCATGCTTTGGATTCTGTGGGTGGGTGTGCATGCTTCCTTTTGCTGTTGCTGGATCAAATTCCCGAAATGGCGGACTTTCACCCAGTGCACGAGTTTGGAATGGGCGAGATCTCTGATCTTCTGGCCTTTGTTGGTATCGGACTTCGTCGCAGCACTGTGTGCAGATCTCATTTCGTTCGCTTGCATGGCGTGAAGGTAGTGGAGTTTATCTTGCAATCCATTTCGCCCAGCTATCTGTCTGTGGATCTTTTGGATGGTGTCGTTTCGATCCTGGAAGCTATGACAGACTTCCTAGAAAGCGACGAAGAGATCATGGAGTATATTTACCGTCTGCTCTTCTTCAACACGAGCTGGTTTCTCTCACCCTTTGACACACAAGTCAAGCTATTGGGGGAGGTGCTTCCGAAGTACCTCCAAATACTTCAAAAGGTGACTTTACGGGAACGAAGTCGGCTATCCGACACTGGATCACCGAGTAGCAATTCGGGAAAGCTGGTGGTTTCCCGTGCAACATCCTTGAGTGAATTTTCTCGCTCGTTGGACACAAAGGACCGTGTGGATGCTAGCTTTTTCTGTCGTCTGATCTCGCAGGTATATACGTCGTGTGGTTCGGAGGATAAAGAGTTCACAGCTGGCCAAATGGATGCAGCCCAGTTGGCACAATTGCGCGACCTAGTTCTTCAAAAGTTGATGGATCTCCTGCTTTTCCCACCAGTTCAGGATGCTACGAGCGATCAATGGAGACAACTGGTCGCGTATATTTTCCGGCAATGCGAAGCAAAGCAGTCGTGTGACAGTGGCAACGTGGATGTGGAGGATATTTTACAGTATTTAACGCGAAATCTGGCATCGACTGAGCCTCGGAAAGTTGCTGTTGGTGTTCCGACGCGTCAGATACAGTTGACTACAAATGTGTTCAAGCTCTCTAAAGGCACTGTGCGCGTTCTGTGGAGGCCAATGCTGTCGACGAAGTACAACGTGCGGTTAGCGGCACTTCGGTTGTTTGAGCTGTATACATCCGAGAAAGTGTTACTACACAAAAGTGACATGCTAATGCTCTACTCGTCGTTTCAAGCCCACACGCTCACGGTTGATATTGCCTATCTCCTGTTGGATATTGTTATCGGGCGGAAGCGCCTAGCACAAGGTAACACGAAACCCGCCGTGGATGTCCGCACTGGAAGTTTCGCACGGATGACTTTTATTCCGATGGTTTTGTTGGGCTTGATCCATAATGCGAATTTCGATGTCCAAGCACGTATACTCTCAGAAATTCGAACTCAGCTAAGTTCACCTACTATGGGGGATAGCGTGAAAGAAGCTATTAGGTCATGGCCGTCGTGGATGAGTCGTTTACGATCACTAAGTCTGGGAGCGTCTGTTGCAGCAGCAGCGAACACAAGCGCTGAAATTGGTGTAACGCGGGAAAAGAGTTTAACACAGTCCGAGGAGCTTAACGAAGCATGCGCCATATTAAGTGCTGACACGACCTCCGCGTTTGCCAAGCTCGGAGCTGTTCGAGTGATTGCAGAGTCTGGAGATTTGTCGGGTTGCGACTTTGCGCTCAGTCTTCTACAAAATCGAAGCCAAAGCGAGGCAGTCACAAGTGCAATTATTGAGATGGTGATAAACCAATTCCCACAACGTTGGTGCGAGCTTGTGCGCAAGCTTGCCAACCAGATGATCGCTGATATCATTGTCTACTGTGTTCTTCACGTGAAAAATGGGTGGATGCATTTTCTGGAGTTTTATTTCTGCCACTGCCGAGTGCCGTCCGATCTTTGCAGTCTAACGGCAGTAATCTGCGAGCAAGTTGTGCGCCAACCAGCCCAGAAACACTCAATGCCTCAGTCCGAGATTATTTGGGAGAATTTGTGTCAGGTTGCTGCGATAGTATCGCAGAGCGTGCTGTTGGCTACGGAAATGAGCGAGAGTCTACGGTCTAACGACATTATCCCCTCTCCTGGCCAAGAAAGTATCCTGACTCGCAAAGCATTTGAGCTCTGGCAAGTGATTCTGCCTCATTTGGACAAAATCAACTGGGATGGTCTTATGGCAAATCTAATCCAAAATGCTGACTACGGATCAGAGGGTACATCGGAAGAAACGGCGATTTTCACGCACCTTGTTGCTTCGCGTTCACGGTCAACCTTTTTGGCTCTACACACGACAATCAAGCATGTAACGCTAGCGCAGGCCACAGGCGACGTGGAGCTGGTTCGAAAGCTTCAGAATGTATTGGAAGTCTTGAAACTGATCGCTTCGTTACCAGTTGCAACGTCATCTCAACGGTCTAGTGGATCTTTGTCACCACTGTCTGGATCATTCTCATCGGGGACATCGACGCCCCCAGTATCTGGATCTGTACTGCCGGACATGGCTCTCACGCTACCGTTATCTGGGATAACGGACTCTTCCAAGTTTTTCACTACTTTGCAGGAAACGGGCCCAGCTCCTGAGAGAGAATTAATTCACCTTTACACGCTAGATGCCTGCTACACGATACTGGAAGCTTCGCTAGAAGGACATGACATCGAGACCATCCGCTTGCTCGTTAAGATTATGGTGGCGCTGGCTAACACAGCACTGCACCTGCGCGACCCCAGTGCTAAGCCGGAGCTAACGAAGACCTTACAGATCATGTCATCAACGGACCTTCCGTTCTTCAGCGAACTATCTCAATTTCGCGAACTTTTCATGGTTTGGAGGCTACACCGTGAGAACCATCACACTTGCTGCGACCCAGAAATCCTGCAAGGTTATGTTGGCGCGCTACATGCTGACTTTGTCCGCCGTTGGATTTACGTGATGGAGCACCACGCTGTCGACTTTAATCCGTATCTCATTCAGCAGTATGCCAGGTCACAGGCAGAGTTGCTGGGGCAGGAGCTTCAGCAGTGTGAAAATCTGTGGAAGGAAATTACCGCCGAAGATGAGGCAGCTGAAGTAGCTCGTTCTAATGAGCAAGATATGGGAGATGAGTCGCGGCTTGTAGAGCTCAAACACAGCACAGAAAAGTTTGCAAGTAGTGTGCACAAGCTGCTCGCGCATTCAAGTCATGACAGTGCGTCGTCGTCTTTGTTTGGCGAAGGTGATTCAACCTCGGAAGTTTCTGGGCGGGCGCGTGAAGGTGATACTGGAGTTGGTGGTGATGGAGTGATTCTCAAAATCGACTCGAGGGAAAACAGTTTTCGAATGCGTCTTCGTCTGAAACGAGTGACTGAGCATTACCGAGCTCGGAACTTAAGCTGTGAGTACCCTCCATCAGAAACAGAAAGCAAAGAGAGTGGCAGAAAACTTAGTCGGCGTTTCCGTGGGTCGATTCAAGAGGGGTTGGCTGATTTGGAGCACAGTTGGCGAAGCGATGCTGGATCGGATTACAGTGATTTTCTCGCTGACGCTCAAATGCGGGCAGCCATAATTCGGTCAGTATCGAACCCAGAAGAATATGAAAGCGCGTATGGAGGCGCATCGGACGACGATGATCTGGACGCAGATGAAATGGAGTCTTACGATGCCGAAGAAGATGAAGAGCTGTCTCAATTCTCGACTGAATCGCTGCAAAAAGAGCTGGGAGTTGAAAGCAGCACACCAGCAGCTTCAGCGCCAAGTGCGCAGGAAGTCGATTCTGCGCCTACTGTTATTTCCGATCCAGTTGGCATTCCTGGGACGTCCGGCACTACGGCAACAGCACCCATATCGCCATCTCCAATGTCTCCTGTGTTGTCACAAAAGACTGCATCACCCTTGAGCTCATTTTCTTTGGGAGCGTCAGTCTTGACTGTGGTTGGTGGCGTCGCCGATTATTTCCAAAGGTCTGTTAAGGATGCCAAAGATGCAGTCGAGTACGGGGTGGACTCACTATACACGACGAAAGATACAGTATCGGAAGAAGCTCAAGCGTTGATGCAGGAGGTTTCTACTCTCATCGATAGCACACAAGGAAACCAAGTGGGCACTGAAAGTGCAGCTCCGGATGCCGTTTCATTAGAGTTGACTCCGACTTCACTGAAAATGATGGAGTCGAAGCTTGCTCCTGACAAAGCGGATGATGGACTTCCGGAGCTATTCCCATCATCATCAAGCACTCGAAGCGGGGAACTGGAAAAGACGGGAAAACGTATGAATCCACGGTCAAAAATCGATCTGCAAGTAAACGCCCAACTCGTACGCCATTTGCATGTTGTAGAGGGAAAGCTCATCCTGTCGAGTTCTTCTCTCCGGTTTGTGGCTGAGCGAGTGGTTGATGAACACGAGACTGTGGTTGTCGAAAAAATGCCTGGCTTACCTGTGGACAATGCTTGGCGATTTCTTTTTAAACGCCGCCGTTGGAGAATCGACGATATCGTGGGCATGTATCGGCGGCGATACTTGCTGAAGCCGACGGCGCTGGAGCTATTTATTCAATCCACAAGGAAAAACTACTTTTTTAATCTGGTGTCGGAGGATGTGGCTCTGTTTCACGAGGCTCTTATGACGCGAAGACCACTATTGCTGAAGCGTGATCCAAGTGTCCGTAGACTCCGTCACCCAAGCAGCTTATTTCGCAACTCGCCTATGAGTAATCGCTGGGTCCAGCACGAGATCTCCACTTTTGAATATCTTATGTGGCTGAACACGATTGCTGGCCGGACATACAACGATCTGACACAGTATCCCGTTTTCCCGTGGGTTATCTCGGATTACGAGTCAGCAACGCTGGACTTCGGTCGGAGGGAGTCGTATCGAGACCTGACAAAGCCAATGGGAGCTTTGGAGCCAACTCGCCTCAAGTTTTTTGTTGACCGCTACAACGCGTTTGAAGATCCTGATATCCCCAAGTTTATGTGAGTATACTACTTCGAAGTACTTACTATTTTAACGGAAGAGCTGACGTGTCATGTTGCTTTAATTGCAGGTATGGGACTCACTATTCCAACATTGGTGCCGTGCTCTACTACCTTATCCGCTTGGAACCATTCACCTCGTATGCACTGAGCATCCAAGGAGGGAAGTTTGACCACGCGGACCGTTTGTTCCACTCAATCGCGGAAACGTGGCATAACTGCCTCACTGACTACACCGACTTGAAGGAGTTAACTCCTGAATGGTTCTACTTGCCTGAGTTCTTAGTGAACTGTAACAAGCTGGACCTAGGTACCAGGCAAAGCGGTGCGGATGTGAGCGATGTTGTGCTGCCTCCTTGGGCAAGCTCACCCGAAGATTTCGTGATGAAAAACCTCGTGGTACGTAAACGTTTATTGTTGTACATTCCTAATCATTCAACTAACCCCTCTGTCTTACCAGGCTTTGGAAAGTGAGTATGTGTCGGCCAATATTCATCACTGGATCGATTTGGTCGTTGGCTGCAAGCAGCGTGGGGCAGCTGCTGTGAAGGCGAACAACGTGTTCTTCTACCTTACGTACGAGGGCATGGTTGACGTCGACTCGATCACTGATCCAGTCGTGAAGTCTTCGATGCAGTCTCAGATCGCGCATTTCGGGCAAACGCCTACCCAAGTTCTTCGCGAGTTTCATCCACAGCGACAATCGATAGCGAGCACTCTGCTCGCAGGTAATGTTGCATCACCAGCAAAGCCGCCGTCGGTGTCTGCTACACCTGAACTTCAGCGGACGGTGTTGGGGGTACCTCATGAAGCACCCGTTGTGCTTGTCAAGCTGATCTCAGGCACATCGCAGCTCGTCTGTGTGGACAGCAACGGCATGCTTTCTTGTCATCGATTCGGACCAAAGTTGACGAAACCGCACCACCACCATCATTCGAACAAGTCCAAGGGAGCAGTATCTGCGACGGGCTCCGGTAGTGAGCATGCTGGTGAATTCATTGAGCTTCAAGACCGAAAGAGCCGAAAGGTGATTGGAGAGAAGCGGTTTCTGTCGACCCCGCAGGGTGTCCCCAACTCGATCGCGTTGCTTCATGGCGGCATGGTGATTTGCACTGTCGGTCATCACGATTTCTCCGCGCGATTCCACTCGACCGCCGATGGAGCGCTACTGTACCGGTTGTTGCAGCATCAGTCAGTGGTGACCTGCGTGAGTACCAGCAGCTCCGGCACAATGCTGGCTCTTGGTTGCACCGACGGCACCATCTCCGTGTGGAAAGTGGCAAGCATGAACTCGACGTTGCTGGACTCGCTCAAGATCTTCCGAGGCTCAAAGACGAGCTCGAAACCCGTTCATGCTAACGACTACTCGGCCGACCAGGTGCTGCTAGGACACAACGCCCAAGTTAACTGCGTGAGTACATCTGATGAGCTCGGCGTCTGCGTCAGTGGCTCAGCCTCTAACGAGTGCTTAGTGCACAATTTGGAGGACGGCTCGATCATCCACTCGTTCGAGGTGCCAGGTGATCTCGAGCCCGGAGTTATATCGCTTGCGCTGTCCAACGTGGGTCACGTGGTGCTCCAGTCCATGGGCACAGGAGTTCCAATGCTGTATTCCTTCCACTTGAACGGAACGCTCATGGCCAAACTCTCGCTGGGTGACGCCCCGATGACATCGCTGAGTATCTGCGCGCGCTACTCGAAGGTTGTCGTGAGCAACAGCGAGCAGGCGCTCGTCATGACAGCGCATACGCTCGACGACCAGCGTGTCCTACTCGAACGAGCGACGTATGGAGATATCGCATCGCAAGGACTGGCCCCGGATGAAATGCACGTGGTGTTTGGCGTTGGCAGCGGCAAGATCGTGTGTCTTCCGCTGTTGCCACCACAGTTGCCGCCTTCCCGAACGGAGATGTAGGAGGTATATCAAACATATATTGTCTTTTGAATGAAATCTATGGGGGCCACGCTCATGTGCTCCGCTCATTCCTCCATCTCCACGTCCTGCTGCCCTACCGTCTCCGCATCGGCGCCCTCATCCTCTTCGCTATCGCTCTCCTCGTCTAGCTCAGGAGGTCGGTTGGCGATGGAGGTTTTGAGTTCGGCAATCGTCTCCTCCACACTCTGGAGCTGGTCCTGCAGGTAGAACTCGTCCCGCAGCTCCTTCTTGAGCTTCGTGAGCATGGTCTGGCACTTCTCAAAGAACTCGAGCGCGTTGGGCAGGTCGTCCATGGCGCGGTAGCACGTGCCTACGAGGAACCAGAGCTCGGCGTTCTCGTCGTCCTCCTGCATCACTCCTTCCAGCACGTCGCACGCCTGCTCGTAGCGCTCCACCTCGATGAGCATCTTGCCCGTGGCGGTGCGGAACTCCAAGGACGGCATGCTTTCTTCGTCGCAGTTCTCGTTGAGACGCCGGAACGTCTCCTCCAGCAGGCCGTCGGCCGCCTCCTTGTTCTGCTGCACGAGGCGCAGGTTGGCCAGCGCCTGCGTGGGCTCGGGCAGCCCCACGTCGAACTTCATGGCCTGCTGGAAGTAGTTCTCGCAGCGCGCCTCGGCCTCCTCGTGGTCGCACAGGTCCGTCATGTAGAGCTCCCCCAGCGAACAGAAGGCGTCGCAGATCTGCTTCTTGATGGTGAGCGCCGCGGGCGTGCTGGGGTCCACGTGCTGCTGCAATTCGTGCTCCAGCTGGGTGATGCCCTGCGTCGTGTAGCGCTCGGCCTCCTCGCCCGTGACCAGCTGCGACAGGTAGAAGTACTTGGACGGGTTCTGCGCGGGCGCCAGCGCCACGCTCTGCTGGAAGGCGGACAGCGCGCGCTCCGGGTTGTCCAGCTCCGTGCTCAGCTCGCCGATCGAGTCCAGCAGCGACGCGTTGCTCGGCTCCTGCAGCAGTGCCTTCTCGAAGAACTGCACGGCCAGCTCGGGCTGGCACTGGTCCACCAGCGCCTCCGCCTTGGCCACGAGCTCGGCCACCGAGTACTGCGCGTTGCCCCGAGCCATGCTGCCGGTCAGTCGGTTAGTCGGTCAGTCAAATGTGGGATGGCTTCAGTTTACCAATTGATGGCCATGCAGGAGCTCCAATGGTGCGGTACCATGGAATCGGTACAATTCTGGGTGTGTGAAGTTACGAACAGTTTTGAAGTTTTTATTGACAAATAGTGCGTACTTTATACTGCAACGGAGCCCGACACTATCACCTGTCTCGCCTGGTGGCGAACTTATCGCGCCGACTCATTCGCTCTTGCTGCTGCTGCTGACTCATTCGATCTGGATGCTGGCTGCGTTGACTCGGATGCTGCTGTTGGCTGCGTTGACTCGGATGATGCTGTTGTTGCCGTCGGGACGGATGTTGCGATTGCTGCCTCCTGCTCGAGTTGGTCTTGCGTTCCTCTATCGAGTCGTGCTCATACAAAACAACGGGGGTCGTGCCTGTGCGGTGGCGCCCTCGATCCGAGATATCCTCCTGTGCGTTGTTGTCACGATACCGTTGGCCTCGCCGCGTGTTGGGGCCAAGCGGATACGCATCCACCGTCAGTCTGTGGTGTGCCGGGGTCGTGTTGTTGTCCGAGAGGATAGCGGTGCCGTTAAGGGAGTTCTGCAACCCGCTCATGTTGGGCGAGTACTGGTACTGGCCTTCCACCCACAGGTCCGGCGTGATGTCCGTGTCCAGCACGCTGAGCTCCGGGGCGGCTTGATGGGGGAGGTGGCCCACGATGAACGGCATGTCCGTGTTGCTCGGGTCTTCTGAATACGCGCGTCGCCGGTTCCTTCGGCCATACAGCACCACGGCAATAACAGCCGCAATAGATATGAGGGCCAGGACGGAGGCCACGATCACAAGCGTCAATGGAGAGGAAGCTGTACCGGCCACCCCTTCGTCGCCGGTACTGCTGTCACTGCCACCGGCGCTTGACCCCGTCGGAAGGCTGTTAACTGGACTTAGTGTGCTGTTCCCAGACGCTGATCCGCTCTCGCTGTCGCTGCCCGATGAGCCACCGGACGAGGAGTCCACCGAATTCGGCGCAGTCTCGTTGACGGGGATGATGAGGATCTCCTCGTGCGACCCCGAGCCTTGGTAAATAATGTGCACGGTGGTGTCGTTGCGCAGGACGTCCGACCAGTCCATGCTTTCGTTCACCTTGACATGCCCCACGCCACTGCCGTCGACGAAGCTGGTCCCGTTCGAGAGGAACGCCATGTCCACAGTCCTGGCCGAGCCCGACCCACCGTTCGCATTGTCCTCCTCCTCGTCGACAAAAACCTGTTGGCGGCGTGCCTCGCGCAGTCTGCTAGCTGGCCCTGGCCTCTTGGTGGTCGTCATGGTGATCGACCACCGAACTCAATCCGCCAATTCCAGCGCAGGGTGATCAATGATCCGGAAGTGCGAACGCATCGGGCCGCCGCGGCCACACGGTAGAGGCAGTTCGTTCGCCTGTGAAAGCCCGCCACGATGTGACCCGATCGGGGTTTACGAAAGTGCAAGTCGCGGTCTGTAGGTGCACAGAAGCCAGCTCCACTGCATTTTGCGGGCTCCTTGCGCCGTCCTTACCATTCCAGATGTCAAGGAAGAGTTTGCACAGGATCTGCCTAAAGTGGCGATGGATACATTTACGGAACAAGGCCTTCGCATCGAGCACTGCGGAGATGGCGGCACCTGGCTCACGGAGTATGTCGACGAAAATTGCGCCGTGGTTCACACTTAAGTCGCTGGATACGCTCCAGCGCGAGATGAAGCAGCATCTTTTTGTCTATTAGACTTTTACCCTGAATTAAATTTCTGCATGGTGTTCGAGGTCAGCTCTGCCATTTCACGGCGCCAGTGCGAACGAACAAAGTCGAGCTGGTTCGGCGGTCGACACGTTTAAGTTACTATGCATGTATCAAGGTTCTTGACTCGAATACAGTTCAACCAAGCGAGAGTGATACATGTACAAGACCAAAAACGTAAAGGAGACTTTCGGGAACGGGAACCCGTACTTCCCCGCCGAAACTCATAATTAGGTTTCCAGGCATTTCATTCTGGCCGAACATTATTCCATCTCTATAGACACTGTTTGAGAACTTTACGTTGCCGAGCTCACCGAACAATGCAGACGCAACAATCAAAACTTCGGTCTCAGCACTCCAAGCATGTGCAGCTGTCGTTTTGGCCAGAAGCTGCCGCGTCTCGCGGACTTCACAAGGTCAAACAAGCACATGCTTCCGAGGAGTGCAACGAAAACATGGGGATGATGGTCATAAAAGTATTTTAGAGGGCGGAGCTTCCGCCGACGAGGCGAGGCCCTGGTTCCAACCTCGCATTTCGAGGAAGCCGTCATGCCGCCACCATGGTTTTCGGCCGAGGCCATCCCATGCGTCCACTTGACCATTTCACGATCGTACAGTCACTGGGTCGTGTCGAACCTTCCAAAGCGGCAGCAGCTTTCTTTCGCAGCGACACAGCTTTGTCGTAATGTACGACTCGTATGCTTGTACAGATGGTGTCCACACAAAACGGACACTGAACACAATAGTATTGTGTGTACTTTTAGTACATTTTCCATATTGTGTAATGACTAAAAGTACTGTTTTTGTCTTTAAATCCAGTTAAAACACTCAAAACAAACGCCGAAACTAAACACAATTCATGAATGTAATGAACCAATATAATTATTGAATTACAACTTCTGAGCCTGAATATATAATGTGGTCCACCTATCATTGCAAAATATTTAAATTTCAAACAAACCAATACTCAGCCCGGTTCCTTCCTTCTTCCTGCCGGTCACCGCCACCTCCTCCACGATGCGGCGCACGACGCTCGGCCCCGTGTCGTCCTCGCAGCTCAACACACGCTCCTCCATGCTGCGGCACCCGTCCACGCGCGTGTCCGTCCCCAACAAGAGCTCGGCCATGGAGCGCCAGTCCATCGGCGTCGTGTCTCGGCGCGTCTCCACGGCTGCCGGCCACACCGCACGCCGACCCCCCGCGGGCCCGCGCGCCTCCATGAACGCGCGTCAGTCCGTAGGCAACGGCGCCTCTAACCGACGCAGCAGCACTTACAGCTCGCGCGCGTCCGTGTCGGGCCGCGGCGGCGCGCGCGTGCTCGACCCGCGCCCCGTGAGCGACCGCTCGTACCTCAACAGCTGCGTGCAGGCGCTCGTGGAGTTCCTGAGCGACCGCATGTACGACCAGACGCTGTCGCCGGCGCTTCTGAAGCGCGGCCCGTCCAAGAAGGACTTCTGCAACATGATCCTGTTCCTGTTCAAGCAGGTGGACCCCACCTTCGAGTTCGGCGTCAAGTTCGAGGAGGACGTGGTGCTGCAGTTCCGCAACCTGCGGTACCCCATCCCCATCAGCAAGACGTCGCTGGCTGCCGTGGGCACGCCGCACACGTGGCCGACGCTGCTGCTGTCCATTTCGTGGCTCATCGAGCTGCTCAGCGTAAGGAGGATCGTGTTTATCTTATCTTTTATTATTTATTATGGTGCCCTGATGTTGTTTTATGTGGTTGATATTGGTTGGTGCTGGTAGTACGACGAAGCTATTCAGCAGGCGAACGAGACGGAGCAGAGTGACGAGAACGATGAGGAGAATGGAGACAAACCCTTCTTCAAGTACCTGGATGCGTCCTACCACGTCTTCCTGGCGGGTGAAGACGACAAATTCGCTATGCTCGAGAGACAAGAGCGAGAGAAACTGGGTACGCACGCACTTTTTGGTCTCTCAGTACTTGAGCGTTGGAGCTGACTCGACATCATTGCATTGCTGCAGTCGCGCGGAACGAGATTGTTAAGCAGGAGACGAGCGAGTTGGAGCAACAGCGCGAAGAGCTGAAGGAGCGCATCGAAAAGGCCAAGCGGGACAAGGTATGTCGGTCTACAGCTGAGTCGTTTATTGGGGACGTGACTGACGAGCTGAATGTTGCTTCATCACTTTTTTACCGCCAGAATGCGTTACCGCTACTTGACAAGAAGAAAAAAGATTGCCTGGGCGACCTAGCAAAATTCCAGGAGCTCGTGAGTAGGTACGAGATACTAGCGGCCAAGCTGAAGAAGAAAATGGAGTCTCTCGCTGAAGCTCGGCAGTCATTTGGTACGTTGGTCGACGCCCAAATTGGCGATAACTTCTACAGAACTTGTTGCTGATTTTCATTTGTGGTAAATAGAGGACGAGCTCAGCGCTCGTAACGAGGAAATTCGGAGGCTGCACACCCGTATTGAGAACCAGGAATTGTCTGCGCACGACATCGATCAAATCGCCCAAGAACGGGCTCGACTCACGGACCAACTTCATCAAGTGGTTAATCGGCAGAACGCTATCCAGCAACAGATCACTGCGGACGAAAATCGTGCTGCTGCCATACGCGATGATGTACGTACCTGTGTTGTATTGTGTGCATCATTGCTGTCGTTAATCTCACCTCGGTACCATGTGTCAGCTCGACAACCAACTTCGCGAGTACATTAATACTTGCAGACGACTGAAGATCATACCGGATACCGCAAAGAATGCTCTTGGCTTTAATTACATTGTCGGACTCGATCAAGCTCTGGAAGAGCTTGATGCAGTGACCAAGCTAGGCCACCACTTGAAGACCGACGTTCGTAGAGCAGCGCTTGAACTAAAGCAGAACCGAATCACGCGCGCCAATGCTGGTCTGGACGAAGCACTCGTGCTGGATGAGCAGTTGCAGCAAAGTGAAGAGCGACTGAACCTCGAGCATCAGACTGAGAAGAGGTGGGAGGCCGAGGTAAAGAAGTTCACAGAGCAAATGCGCAAAGAACGCGAAAAGCGAGACGACAATATCAGGCGAAAGGAAGTTGCAACTGGAGAAGTGGAGATGAAGATCACGAACATCGTGAATGGAGATAACCTCGCCGAAGAAGTGATCACGACCCGCCAGCACCTGGAGGACCTGACGAAAGCGTAAGTTCCCTCCTTTGATGGTCTGATGAGCGCAACAAAAGAAAGTAACCTGCATTTGTTATTAATTCGTCTTGCAGGTCGATGGAGATGACAGAGACGTATCAAGCTTTGGTCGACAAGAACCGGCATGCTGTAACCAATGTCCTGATGGCGTGCACGAACCACAAGGCCATGGTTGATCGAGCTATTTCGTCCCTGGAGGCAGAGATCAGCAAAGTAGAGCTCTGATGCATTGCGTGTGGAAGTGTAAGCACCCTTACAGTCCATCAACGCCAGTTGAACCCAAATGGCACATGCAAATATTGTAGGAGTAACGATGAAATGACTTTATCATGCAGACTTGCCCTACTTCATAGGTAAACCTTTGCGGGTAGTGCACTTCTTCTCATGGACAAGCCTCAGATAAGGCGTTCGCTGATACCCACGCGCACTACGCATCCAGCGATGTCGTGCGCAACACAAACTGGTCGAACCGCTCCTGCAGTTTCTGCCGCTGTGCCATACGTCGCCGCACAAGACTCGAGCGATTCTGTTTCCAGAATCGAATCTCGTCCTCAGGTATGCCGTGATTTTCGTCGTCGGTATCAACGTCAAGCTCCGGCAAGGATGAGGTGAACTGGTTAGACGCGTCCCAACCCATTGAGGAAAGTAGCTGCCACTCCATGCGCTCGTCGTACGTCAAATTCCCGCGGAGGCACGGCTCATCACACGTCGAGTCACACTGATGCGTCCCCATCGGATCCATGGATCTGATGGAGTTGTTGAGATCGTCATCATCTCCTTGGCTACTGAGAGAGTTGGTCGAAGATTGCGACGTCACGGTCTTACTGCTATCGGACTGCTTGCGCGTTTTGGTCTGCTTCGGCTTCTGCTTCTCTGCCTGTTGACTCTTCTCCGACTCGGAGCGATCCGCCTGCTTCTGTTTCGTTGCAGATTTGCGCTTCTTCTTCTTCTCCTTTCGCTTCTCCTTCTTCTTCGCCAACCTCCGAGACTCGTCATCTTCCTCAGCAAGCAGCTGCTCCATCATCTCCTCCCCGTGTAGCGCCTCCACCGCTACATCAAAATTGCGGCGAAGCGTTGACACGGCGCAGTGCACCAGCAATTCCTCTGAGCGCTTCTCTGACCGCGACTTGGTCCACAAGTTCTGCATCTTGTCCCAAATGACCATGCCCAGACATATGAGCACTTCGTCTTGCGCCTCAGCGATCGTCCGAGCGTGACGGTCTCCCCAGTCACCTACAACCTCCTGGTCTGCCCGCGACATCAGCTGGGACATAAACTCAATATTACAAGGCACAATGATCTGGTTTGTCGCTCGTGAGAACGCGAGCTCGTCGAACAAATACGACGTGTAGTGCAGATCATCGCCGTAGTCGCTGTGTTCGTGGTGTTTGTCCGAGCACTCGAAGCCTCCGCAGTCCTCGCAGTCGTCTTCGCTACAGCTCGAGCCGATCAGCAGATCATACGCCTCTAATACCTTCTCCTTGCATCGACAACAGAAGCGATGACGTCGCAGATAATTCTCCAGATCGGTCAAGAACTGGTCCGAATCGATATGAGAGAGATGCCGCTGGTGGTCCTCCGGGAGTTTGTGCCACAGCGCTTCAAACGCAGCAGGACGCGGACGCCCGCGCACTCTCTGGGAGTGGAGCTGACACCTCGCGCGCGACGTCCCTGCTTTGCTGTTTGGCTTGGTCGGCTTAGCCAGCGTCGTGGCGGCCCAGCGCTCCTGGTGGTAGAAGAGCGAGAACGACGTGTCCGGGCTGTTGAGGTACGACTCGTTGAGCCGGAAGTGGCTGTCCTGGTCGAAGCAAAGGCCCGAGCGACTCACGAGCTGCGGCACCCGCACGATGCCGTCCACCAGCTTGTAGAACAGCGCCTCGGCGCTGTTGCGGCAGCCTGGACACGGCAGCAGGTCCGTGGCCGTCTGCAAGAACTGGTGCACGTCTCCTCTCAGCGCCGCGACGCGCTCGCGGTCCGTCAGCAGCAGCCAGCGCTGTCACAATTACACCACAGGCACGTCGTCGTTAGCTCCCGCTGTCCCTTTGCCTCCAACCCCTGCTCCTGCTCCTTCTGTCGAAGTCTCTCAAGCGCTCACCTTGCGGAACTCGCGCGTCTCGGCGGCGCTGGGCTGGCACTGGCAGCTGGCGTTGGGGCCGCACTTGCTGCCGCCGTCGTTGGGCTGTTTCGAGCCTGCAGCGTCTGGGCTCGGCTCGCGGTCGCACCCCGCCATGGCCATCAACTCGGTCACGCTTCTAATCTTCTCCAGCAAGGAAATAAATCATAAATAAATAAAGATTGAGGTGAGATCGCTGGGCTTTCCGCGCGTTTCAAGGTCAATGCGCCGTCGGCGCATTGATTTGAGCCGCACCTTGACTGGGACCCCGTGCCTGGGTCACTTGGCTACTCACTTACTGAAGGCCTGGGCGCGCGCGCTTCTTCCCTGGAGCCAAGGCTTGCCGACGGCGCTTTGTATGAGGTCACACAGGCTCTCTATTCGCCCTTCCCCTAGCGCTTTTTCCGCCAATAGAAACGATAGTGACATAAAAAGACGTAATATAGGTAAATGGATACTTACGCAAAACTGCAACAAGGGCAGCTTGCTGTGACTCAGCTAAATAGTTTTATTGCTGCTCGTGCTCCTCCTGGTTCTCCTCCGCATCCTCTTGCTGCTGGCGAGCCTGCAATGTCTCGGCGATATCGTGAAGTCGAGCGACTTTGGCGTCCCGCGTCAGACGCCGCACCTTCTTGGGGAAGTTGGGCAGGTCTCGCCAGTTGAAAAAGTCGGGCACGTGCTTGAGCTCCGGCGTGTGCTTCATCACGGACGAGTGCTTCGAGACGAAGTACGGCAGCAGCGCCAGGTGGGCGAAGTCGTCCTCCATGTGCCAGGTCAGGTTGCGCTCCAGCATGACGTGCGACCGCCGCAGCACTCGGATGTCACTGTGGCTCAGTAACCGCTGCCGCGCCATCCGCTGCATCAGAGCCTCCGCTTTCTGCACAATAAGCAGACAGAAGAGGAGAGCACGAGTCTAAGTGTTAGTGCATCGTCGATCTTGAACAGTAGTCCCGGACATGCCAACCTTTGCGCCTTGAACTGGCCTGGACTTTAGCCCGATGACAGGGTCCAGCAGCTTCGGACCGTCGGTCGGAGCCGTCTCCGACTTCTTCTTCTGTGCAGTCGGCTTCGTGACGCGATTGTTCATGCCGATCACCTTCCGGCAATTGGGCGCGCCGCACAAGCACTCCGTGATTTCCTGTACGTAGCAGGTATACTTGTTAGACGCAGTAAGGCCGCGCTACGAGGATGCGAAGCTGCAGAACTCACAGCTTTGCTGAAGGACTCGAACTTGTAGTCGAACGTCAGCTCTTCGCCGACGACGATATCGCGCAGAGCGAAAATGGCGCATCGCTCTTCGCCATTGACGTCCCACTTCTCCACTCCGCAGTTTGGGTCGCAGCTGTGGTTGATGAAGCGCGCCCACCCGCCCATGCGCGTGGCATCGATGACTTCGCCACCACTCAACACCATCATGTAGCGGTGCTTCTCATTATGGTAAAGCTGGCGGCAAAAAACCAATGCTCCGTTAGCTCGGCACACAACAAAATAACCACGACAGGAACACGCACCACTCGTCGCATGTAGTACTCTTGCTCCGTCACGATCTCGCCCATATATTCTCCGACAAAGGAGCCTGCCTTCACGTTCTCCAACAGCTTCAGGCCGAGGCCTTTCCGTCCACAATCAACGAGCTGCGTAGGCGGCATGACACCCCGCTGTATCCTCATGTTGTCGCATCGGTCGCCACACTTGCAGAATCCTTCTATGCACTCCACCAAAGCCTGCTCGCGTCGGTACAGCGTCAGTGTTAGCGTCATTAATCGGTTCCCATCGTCAAAACTCCAACCACGCGGTACTAACCGCTCGATTTAAACAGTCATCGAGACACCCCATCTCGTTCTCGTTCGTCGGGGGCTTGCAGGAGCAAATAGTCACTTCATCCTAACAAGCGCAAGTCGTAAACACGACGGGTTATCATCACTCCAGAGCTCGATAGCTCTCCGGACGCAGCGCTCTAAAAGCTGCACGGTAGTCTCAGCAAGTACCTCGGCCAGTTTGCGCTCTTTCCGCTGTACGTAGACGTTATGCTTGATGATCTGGATCTCAGCCAGCGCCACCTCGATGGATCGCGTCCCCGTTACGCGGCTGGCACGGAACGCCTGCTCCCGGTCGCCATCCCTGAAATGTCAACACGGTTTTCTCAGCTCCTGAAGCACAATAATTGATGCAGCCTGCACGGCTAGGTAGCTGGAGATCTCTACTATCTGTACGCCAAAAGATGTGCTCGAAATACGTACAGCGAGAGCGCAGAAGTGTCGCCCGCCGCGTCCTCTTCCTTCGGCGGCGACTCCTCTTTCATGGCCTGGTCCATCGAGACGGAAAGTGGCAAACTTTTATGTGGTCGAAACTGTACACTATTGGTTGAAATAGAAACTCAAGTCTAGCCAATCATCGGGCGACAAACGCAATCTCGAGGCGACACTTGAAGAGCATGGAGCTGCTGGCCTGGCAGTGGCGCCCCAGGGCGACGCTCACGGCGGCAGACTCGTGCGATAGGTGTACTGTGTTTGCCTTGCAGTACAGCGATTGCGCCGTGCTCCGCGTGCGCTGGAAGTCCGAGTGTTCGCCCGAGACAGACGGATACGCAGAGCCTCAAGTTGATTCGGAGCCGCTGGATCGCGATCTGGAGCTGCACGGCCACGCAGAGCGCGTCGTCAGCATTAAAATATACGACAGAGATTGCTCGACTCTGATGTTATGCTCTGCGTCCCGAGACTGGTGCGTTTGCCTATGATGGTGGTGTTGGTGCTGGGATGGGGCTGACGTACGTTGTGCGCAGCGTCATTGTGTGGCATGTTACGGGGAGCTCGCGCGTGACGCAATGCGTTCTGGTGGAGAACTTGCCTGCCGAACCAGGATGGGTAGCTTTTGATGCTACAGGTACATTAGCGGCAGTGGCGAGTGAACGGGACGTCAAAGTTTTCGTCATCGAGCGGAAAGAGGTGCTGGTCATGCTGGAAGGACACCTGGCACGCGTACGTGTTCATGCATCTCTTGGAAGGTGTTCAGAAGTACGGCGCCACAATTAAAGTTTGTTGTGGTGATAATTGTCTCTAGGTGACGAAAGGAGAGTTTCATCCGATCCAGCACCACTTGATGGTAACTGCTTCTGAAGATCGGACGTTCAAGGTATACTTTAGCGCGGAATCAATCCAATGTGAATGCACTAACACGAGTGCGTAGGTTTGGGACCTAGCTGCAAGAACGTTGTGGTTTCAATCCGCTGTACTCTCAGCTTTCTCGATTCTTTCAATCGCGCTAAACCCCGTCAATGGAGATGCCGCTTTGGGGTTTGCCGACGGATCGGTCAAGGTATTTGCGCTCTTGGACGGCTATGCGAAAGAGCTCACCGCATTCAATGTTGAGAACTTTGTGCGCAAGTCACTGCGTCGAAAGCAGGTTCGCCCACAGAAACATTTCGAGATTTACTTGAATGGTTACTTACTTGCATGTCTGAATGTGCGCTGATCCAAAGGAAGCCGAAGTAGAGACGCGTCGAAATTTGCCTCAAGTAATCAGTTCTCTTCCTCCATGGGCACGAAGTGAAAACGCACAAAAATGTTCAGCTGCTGCTGGTGTACCTACGAGTTACGGATCTGCTGCCGGCCTTGACGCACCCGATGAAGACCAGGTCAACACAGAAGTTTCTTGTCCAGTTTTATCGATGAAGTACGTTTGTGTCGATCGCAGAGATGTCAGGCCTTCCAGACCCTCTCCAGAAGTCCTGTTTAACAGCCACCACAATCGCGACTTACTGGACTACAACCAGTTTCTCATTGCTGGCGTCCCGGGTTATCTTCTGAGCGTGAATGCATACTCCTTCGATATCGGGATTGTCCATGACTTCCAGCAACCTTGCGTGGTAAGAAACGGCGTTCAGCAGCAGCTTGATCCGATTTGTGTGGCGAAGGACTTCAGCTTCTACCATCCGCCAGGTTCGAGCACTCTCCAGTGTGGTGTGGTGAGCGCATTCCAGCCGTGTTTTACGATGCTAAGTGCTTCAATCGCAGCCAGCAGCCCCCAAACAGGTAATCAAGCGGAAGCGAGGACACCATGTGACTACCCGATGTCTCAAGAGCGAAGATTTTCGGACGAAAGCAACGAGTGGGTGTCCATAATACCTAAAGGCCCACCGCTAAGGGATAGCGTGTTGAATATGGCACCACTTTCAGCAAGGAAAACTCCGCCAAAAGGTGCTAAGAACCTGGACAAGCCCATCACTTTTCATACTCGAATCAAGTCTTCTGGGTACGGATCCTCGGCAACCCCCTTCGGTTCAAGACGAACACCGCCAAAATCGCGCATGATGGCACGCAAGCCCAACTCTGGATCCCGATCGAAGGGTACTGATTCGTCTACATCGGTCGGTTCTTACTTGAAAGAATACCCGATGAACTGCGGTCTACTGCAACACTACCAGTCAAAGAATACGCTACCACCAAAGACATTGCACCAAGGAGCGATCTTGCACATCGAGTATTCGAGTGATGCCAAGTGGCTTGCAACAAGTGGCAACGACCGCGTAGCCCAAGCCTGCAAGTTACCATTCAGCCGATTTGGAGGTGAAGGCAACGTGTTTGTCGGCCATGACCAAGCAGTGCGTGCCATTCACTGGAGTCAAAACGATCGGATGCTCGTGACTGTCGGCAGTGACAGAACGAGTCGTTTGTGGCTTGCTGAGAGTGATTCATGCTCACTCACACTTCAGGGCATCGCCCCACCCTCGAATGTCGCCGCCGCTGCTGCCGCCATGGGGTCGATGTCCAGCGCCAAGAAAACAACACGGCAAGAGGTTGTGGAGGCGCGCTTCTTCTACATGGACAAGTTTCTGCTATCGGCATGTGGAAACCTCGTGCGGTTGCACCAGTTCGAGCTGGATGAAGCGTTCGCTCGAGCTTCAAGCAGCAAGGCAAAGCCTGTCAAGAAGAAGAACGATGTTGAAGTCCTCAAGAACCGGAGTCGCAAGAAGCGCGTTGCTCAATGGAGCTTCGACGATATGCAGAGCGTGACCAGCCTCGCCTGCGTGAACGGAGCCTTCCTGTCGTCCGTGGCGGTACTTGCGGGCTCGGACCGATCGCTGCGGGTCCTGGACGTCGGTGCCGGTGGTGGAGGGCGCACTGTCCGCGTGGTGCGTGACGCACACAGTCGTGCCGCACACACAGTAGCACTGCCTCGACCAACATGTTACGCTAGCCATCCGAGCAACTTTTACGACCTCATGCTGAGCAGCGCGCCTGACAGCACCACGCACTTGTGGGATATTCGAGCCGACAACTGCGTCATGCGCTTCTGCGAGCATGTCAACCGCGTACATACTCTGGGCGTTGCTTTCAGTCCATGCATGCGGTACGTGGCCACGGGGTCTGAAGACCGGGCTGCCTACATATACGACGTTCGCACAGGCCGTCGGCTTGTCAAGCTCAAAGGGCACACTGACGTGGTCACAAGTGTTGCGTTCAACCCCCTCCATCCCCAGCTAGCAACAACTTCAACCGATGGTACGGTGAGATTTTACAGCAGTGAACGATCGGACTGACAGCTCCAAACAAACAAGAGGAAAACTGCGCGGTTATATTTCAACACAAAAAATGCATTAGAACACATTGGAACCTTGCGCATTGCAATGCAGGTAGGCAAGCGCAGACATCTCGAGGCCAGCAGAAGCCGGCAAGGAAGCTAGCTACAGCTACAACTCATGTCTCCCAGTTCAAAATCTACGGTCGATTTCTGCACTCGTCCTCGAGAAGCCAACCACCAAGTCGAAAAACGCAGCTAGGTTTACACGCGCACAGCGGGCGAGTTCACGAACGAGCCCTCCTCCATGTCGGGGTCGTCGCTCTTGGCCTTGGAGCTGTCCATGAGACCCTTGCGCTCCTTGGTGGTCTTCTCCTCGGTCTCCGTCTGCAGGTTGTCGTCCTCGACAGCGTGCTCGGCCTTGGCACCAGCAATGGTACGCTCCAGGTCTCTCTGGGCCTTGCGCTTGCGCATGACGAAGACGACCAGCACGATGATGACAGCGATAAGCGCAACAGTAGCAGATCCAGCGATGGCAACCTCTTCTGGCTCGAACTCCTCCAGTCGGGACAGGAAGTCGGTCTGGACGGCCTCAGTCTCGCCGGCAGTGCCGTTGCTGGCGTGGATGTGCTTCATGGGCTGAGCAAGGAACTTCTTACGCTGCGAGGGCGTCATGCACTCGGGCACCTCCTCCTGAATACGCAGCCAGTTGACAATCTCGCCCTCCTCACGATGACCGCACTCAGTCAGAAGCAAGCGCTTGCCCTCCGGGATGAAGTTAAGGATGAAGCGACCCTGGGTCTCGTCCTCGCCGTTCTTGGTGCAGTTGATGTAGGCCACCACGTGGTACGAGAAGCGTCCGTTTTCCTCAGCCTTCTGCTCCACAGCGTTCATGGTCATGTTGAAGGTGTCGCACACTTCCGTGTCGTTGTACGAGATGAAAGCGTACAACGAAGCCTTGATGACAAGCAGCGGAGGGTCATCGTACACGCTCACCCAGCCGTCCTCGTTGCGCAGGTCGATCTTGTCGATTTCGGCGCTACCCTCCGAAGAGTGGTCAATAACACCATTGTTCTTGTCACCCTTGATCTTCTTGTCGTTCACACTCGATTCGATGACAGGCTCCGGGGTCTCCTCAACCTCCTCCGTCGTCTTGGTCGACTTCTTCACAGCGGAAGGAGTCTTAGTGGTGGTGGAGGACGTCGTGCGCTCCTCCTCCTCCTCAGCTGTCGCGGGCGCAGAAGTCGTCGATTTTTTCTTCTTCTTCTTTGGGGCCTCCGTGGTGCTGGCTTCCTTCTCAGCCTCCTCCTCGGCGGCGCTAGTCTTCTTCTTCTTCTTGGTGGTGGTGGGGGCCTTTGTCGAATCTGACGATTTTTTCTTCTTGGTCTTCTTGGGGGCCTTCGTGACGTCGTCGTCGTCGTCGTCGTCCACGACGTGAGCGGCCAGCACACGCGTTTCGTGCGCCGCGTTGATCATGGAGGCGTCGAACGCCGCAACGGTGTTCTCCGAGTTGACAGCCAACGTGTTGGCCTCCGTGGAGGCGGGCAGCGAGAAGGCCGAGACGGCGGCCGCAGTCAGCAGCGCAGCGCGGAACACTCCAGAGATGCGCATGGTCAGTCAGATGAGGGGGAGCTCTGGCTAGCTTTGGCTGGCGGAGTGTGCTGGGCTCGAGGGAAATTCGAGATTGATGGGGCCGGCTACGTGGTCGTCGGCTGCGAGCCAAGTTCGCGGCGGACGCACTGCACTCTTGCACAGCAACATCGCCTCCTCTCGCTCCGAGCCGCGCGCGGCCCAATCAGCGCGCCGCGCGGGAACTGAATCCAGGGTATGTCGCGACGCAGGTGAGCTGCAGTACTTAGCCGTTACATACTGAAAATCGGGTTGCCAAGGGTACTGATTATTGGGAGTTCGCACTTTATCTGGCCAGATGCGGTACGCGCCGCCTGCATACAAACGCCAAGTGTTTTTGGTGGTCAAGTCCGGAGGGGAGAGATGAGCGCGGGTAGGGGTACAAGATGCTGACAATCGGACGCTCACGGCAGCGGAGCTGGGGTCAGGAGGACTTGCGGCGCCGCGCGGCCACCTGTCGCCCATGCCAGCTCACGGTCACCTCGCCGGCGTTCTTCTACCCGCGCCAACGCTGTCGGTCATGGCTGCATACAGCAGCTGCCGCCGCAACGGTATACGATGGCCGAGACGGCGGTGACCGATGGCCGGGGTCGGCGCTGAAGGCGCCAGATGGCTGCGTCTATCAGATTGCGGGGCCAGTGACGTTGGTCAACTACACTTGACCGTTGCAGGCCGAAGCCAACGAGAAGGTGTTGAAGTGTTCGCCGCGGCTTCAAGGCAGCAGCGGCCAAGGCGCTGGGCCTCATGCCGTCCGATCTCAGTGATTCCCGCGCTGACGACGCCCGCCCGCCGTCAGAGGCTGGGCGGCAAGTTGCAGCGGGGGCCGCGAAAGCGAGCGCGAGCCAACTGATCTCGCGACTGCGGAGACTGAGCAACTCCAGCCACGCTCCTACGCCGGCCTTTACGCCGCACAGTGGGACGCGAAAGCAACACAATGCCGCGACGCGTCAGGTTGCGACTCGGCTCGCCCAATCAGCGCGCGCTGCGTGGCGCAGGATCTCGTACTTAGCGGCGACTGTGAAGCCATGATGGCGGACTGGGATGTGAAAAGCCGCAAACCCTCATGGCCAGAGCGGAAGATCGAGCGAGCGACGACGATGGCAGCGACAGCGCCAGTGACAGTAGCAGCGGGTACGACTCCGCGAGCAGCGACCGCAGTAGCAGCGGAAGCAGCAGTGACGGCAGCGAAAGTGGCGAGGAGGACGACGACGTTGATGAGACCGACGAGGCCGCCGCCAAGAAGCAGCGCGTGCGGGCGGACATGGACGAGATGCGGCGCATGATGGCCGACATGGACGCTGTCAAAGCGAGGTTGCAGCTGCGCTTCGCAGCCGAGCGCCAGGCGAGGCAGGACAGGCTCGCGCGAGAAGATCGGGAGCGCGAGGTGCAGGAAGAGGCCCGCCGGCGGGCTGAGGAGGAAGCTCTGGCTCGGCATGTGGAGGCGGGTGTGCAAACCGACGATTGCGGAAAATCACAACAGCAATCTCAGTTGGCGCAGCACGGCGCGGCCCCTGTCTCCGACCATGCCGCCGCTGCAGTCGACAATCGCAGTCTACACGCGATTGATGGTGGCGCCGGGTTTGCAGACGCCGCCGCTCCAAATAAAGCCAAGCCTGCTGGCTTGAGCTTGTACGATCTGGTGAAGGCGTCCGGGTTCGGTCCGTCGCGGAAGGCGCGTTCCTCGGTTCGACAGGAAGATCCGCAGGCGGGGCTGTCACCTTCGCACGCCTCGATCGAGCCCGAGTTGGACGCTACACATCAGCAGCAGGAGCAATTCCACGAGGAGAGTTCAGGTCCTGGTGTGAAGCAGGACTGGGACGACACCAATTCCCAGCTTAGTCATGACCAAGAGGACAGCGTCGTGGGCGGACATACCGGCCGCACGTCTAACGCCTCGCGTCACGATGTTGCAAGCGTCGGGTCGATGCGCAGTCATTTGGCGCAGTCTAAGGGCGAGCGATCGCTGCGGCCTCCTCACAAATTCGATGAGAACTCGTCCTCCGTGAGCAACAGCTTCGTCTTGTCTGGGGCTGGCCATCAGACCTCGGTCTTGTCGGACCTGACTCAACGACGAGACCACAGGTTCAACGCCGCCGCCCTGCTCAGCGCGAGCAAGCCAGCGCCGCATTCGTCTACATCTACCGACGGCCACAGCGACAAGACAGATGAGCAGCGAGAGATGGAGGCCATCCGGTGCCTGCTCTTCGGCCATCGGTGACGATCACACAGGGCTACGCGCCCATCACCGGAACTTCAATTTGCCTCTAATACAGATTCCTCATGTGTGCGTGTTTGCGCGCCTCCAAGCCAAACCGTAGTAATTGTACCTGCCATCTCGAATACGGAAGTAGAACATTCACCTTGCATCGCCCAATCTTGGGGCGAATAATATCACATCGTGGCTACTGCGTACATTCCATGCACGGCATTGGCCGATAATATGTCGCTTTTGTTTCGACCGCAGGAAGCGCATTCGAGAGAACGTCGTCGTCGCGCGCGCGCTTCGACTGCTATCTGGCGCCACCATGGCCGAGTTCGTGGAGATGATCCTCGCGCAGGTGCGTCGCCGTGCTGTCCGCCGTCTTCTGCTGTGCCTGTTGCCGCACTTGGCGGCGCTTTGGGGCTTCTTCTCACTCGTTTTATGCTGCTTCATGGGCCGTGGTTCAGCTGATCGGCAACATCTCGACGGCGCTGATCCTCGTCCTCATCTACTTCAACTTCCTGCTGTTCGAGAACTACCTGCGGCTCATCGTCTGGGCGATTCTGTGCAGTCAGGCGCTGCGGCAGGCCAAGAACAATGTCATCTCGGTGCTGCAGTACCTTAGCGACGACGCCGACGTGGACCGCTACGTACGAGGCAGTCCCTTGCAGGTCTGGTGGAGTAGCATGGTGGACTGACAAGTGTGGTTGTGTGCTGGCTGGACTGTGGTGACAAACAGGGCTTCTTGACGTGCGTGTTCTCCAAGTCGGCCGAGATCTTCATCAGCCACCCGCACGACGGATCGCGCCGCACGGCCAAGGAGCTGTTCCTGAACTACGGTATCTTCTTGTTCTCGCTTATTGGCGCCGTGTCCATCTGGATGCGCATGTACTCATGGGTGTCCTTCTTGAACGTCATCATTGGCTTCTGGATCGCGGCACTGAGTTTGATCAAGATCCTGGACCGCCGTATATTCTACTACCGCTATTTTTTCTCGGATGAAGTGCTCGTCTCGGTGCTGCTTATCCTTGGATTCTTCATTACGGTAAGAAGTGATTGCTGAGTAGTGCTGTGAAGTCTTGGGGATAACGCTAACGTGGCGTATTTGTTTGTGCTTGTGTGCAGGGCGCGTTTGTCATTCTCTTTCTGGGAACGGAAAGCTACCTCGAAGGGAGTCGTGCGGCTACCGACTTGTCCGACTGGGTGCAGGAGAACTTCATCAATGATGAGCGCACTCGGCAGGTCTGGAGTGAGCAGGTTGAAAACAGTCGCGCTATGATCTCGCAGGCCATCAGCGGTGTCGAGAACAACTACAACGACACAATGTGGTGGCCTCCGTTGAAAGGCTTGGTCAAGACGTACTACTTGGACGCGAAATCCAGCGACGGAAACGCTACTGCGCACACGTCGCTCTTTTCACGGTTGAGTCTGCCCGAGAATATGACACTGATCCAGGCGGTGTCACTCGCGTACTCGAAAGTGGACTCGGTGAACTTGACATCCGTGCAACTGACGGATTGGACATCCAAGGGGCTGGAAGTAAGCAGTATAGCTGTTGGGTCAGTGGCGCAACTTGTGTTTCTGGTGTGCACGCTGCTCATTGCCTTTGTTAGTCTCGGCATCCGCTCCTTCTTCCTGATCTCGTCAATGTTCTATCTGCTATGCATGAACTGGGATCCCATCGAAAGGCTTGTTCAAGACCTACTGCCGATTCAAGTTGATAAGAGGCCAGAAGTCGTGCGATCTCTGCGGAAGGTGATCGAGGGCGTTTTCTTTTTGCCGCTGAAGATGGCGAGCATTCATGCGATCGTCACGATGGTCTCCTTCACTATTGTGGTGCGTACTTGCTTACTCTCGTTCGTCTTTTGTTTTGGCAACACCTATTGTAATCCGAATGTGCTTGTTGTGCAGAATGCGGACTTCATGTATCTCGCGACTACCGTCACATTTTTTATCTCGATTGTGCCGATCATTCCTCCGTACTTGGTATGCGTGCCGTGGGTTGTCTCGATTGGACTCACGTCTTCCGTCGTGAAGGCTCTGGCTCTCTTTGCGGTCCAGTACGTGGCCTTCACTGTGCTGGATGAAATGCTCTACGAGAAGAGCATCGTAGCGCTGAACGCGTATGTATCGGCACTAAGTGTGGTGTTTGGCGTTTACGTGTTCGGATTTGAGGTGAGTGTTGACGAGTAGTGTGTTTTATCTTTGTGCGTCGGTCGTGCTAATGTTACTATCACACTTTTAGGGTGTAATTTTCGGGCCGTTAATCGTGTGTGGAGTGACTTTCGCGTACGATGTGTCGAACCACGGCATCCAAGCTGCACAAGACGAGTACGGGAAAGCTGACGAAGTAAAGCAAGACAGTCTGCTGGATGGCAGCGATGGAGAAGGGTCACATAGCACCGCGTCCTCCGTTGATGGTGATGATCAGGAAAAGGAGAAGGAATTTACTGAACCATCAGAGGAGGATGGGGATCAAGGGATGAACACCAACATTTTCTCGAATGCGATGTACCGAGTAATTTCGGGCCCCCTAGTGGATCGCGTTCGCCGACGGCTCTCGATTGATATCGCCACGGAAGGATCCGTGTGTGTGACTTTGGTTATAGAAGGCTTGAAGACCACCCGGAAGGTTCGCTTCGTGGTGAACAAGTCGTGGTCCCAGAAAACACTGCACGACAACATTCGCCGTATGTTACATGTCCACAGTGTTGAGTGTAAGTCTGCGTTCCCGGCCTGTGATTGATGACTACATCCGAAGTATGCATGACTAACCCCATTTTTTGCTTTTCTAGGTATCAGCACCGCGGATGGAGCTGAAGTGCTGTCTCCGCTTCACATTATGGCGGATGAAGTGCTGCACGTGAAGGTTCGCTCTAAGCATCGTCTTCACTTGTATAATGACTCCTACTCGGATTCGCATGGGCGAGTGTCATTCCCAGTTCGCACCTTGTCCCCGTCATACCACTCAATTCGAACCAGCATTCCTTCGCTTCCTCTAGCAAGCAGTAATGATAAATCTGCGAAGAAGAGTACTGGCACTCCACCGAAGCTGAAGCGAGCCGGGTCATTGAGCCCCACAGTTGGGCATGGCTCGACAGGAGGGCAGCGACAGCTCCATGACCGTTTGCAGCGCAAAAGCGGAGGGGTGACAATTCAGTACGAGGGTGGATTAAGAAGGAGAGGCAGCTACAGCGGAGTCACCGTGGCCAGTGGGGCCTCCACTCAGCTTCCAACCGTTCGCAGATCTACTACTCATTCATCTCCACGCGAAAATCTTGTACCGCAACCAAGTCCAAGCCCGCTGGTTTCCAAAGGTTTATCTATATCGACGTCGTCGCTAGCTCAAGACTACGAACTCCTGTCGCCAGACGATGGGTTTCACACCCCAGGAAAAATGTCATCAATTGATGGAGGGGAGGGCATTAACAACGCTGACGCGTCCACAGATGCGAGTAGTGTGTTGGACCTGCCGTCGCCCGCCAGCGTGGAATCCACGAAGAAAGGAAAACCGAAACTAAACTTCGTGGATTTGAGCGACTCAGGCAGCTTTACGACTTCACCGGTTTCGTGTGATGCCCGTGATCCGTTCGGTGGCGCGGATGATGATAATGACGAAGCAGAAGATGAGGTTGTGGTTGAGACAACAGTGGAGGCAGCATCGGAGGTCAAGCCCCTGGAAAAAGCGCATCGCCGAATTTCCTTGAAGACACGCCAAGGTGCAAAGCTGATTTTCTCTCCACTTGCTGTTGATCCGAAGGTGCCAGCGAGGAACTATTCATCATCGGGGGATGAAGACGAAGACGAAAAAGAGCAATGAACGATAAATGGGCCGCTTGATTTAAATGCATGGTAGGTTATGAGCAACATCGAATACAGACGGACGTTAAACTTTCGTGCAGTGTTGTCCCAGACAATCGAGTGAACGCTAGCATGGGGCAATCCATTACATCATCGAGCCGGCTAGCCGCTGCTTCTTTTTCTTGAGCACAGCGATTTCATCTTTGATCTCACTCAGAATATCCGGGTTAGTCTCCGTAGACTGCTCTCGGAACAACGACCGCAGACGATCGCACACGAATGTCCATGCTTCCATATCCATCCGCTGCTTGTCTAGCGTTGCTCGCTCCTTTTCCCATGCTGCTTGCTCAGCTTCTCGTTGCTCACGTTGCCGGAGCAGTTCAAGCTCCCTACTAGCGATCTCCGAACGCACAGCATCGCCTTCAGGTTCCTTCGGGGCTATTAGTCTTTGACGTTTTACAACGGGCTCAGCACCCGATTGGTGGGAGCTCGACGACCACGCTGCATCAGCTGACACATTTTGTCGCTCGAGGTTTTCATTATTGCGAGTCTCACCGTGTGCCAACGAGGCTGGTTGTTCATCGTGGTAGTCCGAAGTACTAGCCTCGGGCGTCTGGGGGAAGGAACCGGTGGATCCGTCATTCTCAGAGCGAGGTTGTCTGCCCAGCCTCTCTCTCAAATCGATCTCCCTTTGGATGGAGCGGGCCTCCAGCACTTCTTCGGATGGCGCCTTGCCCTTGTCTTGCTTCCAGTTGACCAGTTGTCGGAACTTGATTTTGACTCCGGTCGTACTCCGCTGCGAGCGCTCATTTGGGATGCAATGGTTCACGCGATACAATTGCAGCACCTGGTCCCAACTGCCCGGTCCCACGGGCAGAACCTGCTTGACGCATGCGAGCAGTGCCCGTGTATCTGATCGCGTGTAGCCCTCTGATCCCAGCGTCCTCCCACCGCGACGAGGCGCGACAGCAGGGGGCTTGTCGCCACCCTCACTGATGCTCTTCTCCTGACTGGTCGGTGCTTCCGTCGTAGCAACGACCTCAACCTTAGTGTCGTGCTTTTCATCAGCACAAGTGGGGGCCGCTTCGAGCGACCCCTTGGACCTTTCCAACTGCTCGGACACCTCCCTCCCAAGCTGAGTGGTCCTGGCATCAATACTGGCCTGGATCGCCAGCGCCTCCGTCACCAGAGGGCGCGACGAGCCGTTCGCGTCTTCGCGGAGCCACGTGCGGAACTTGTGCTTGAGCGAGACGCCGTCCCTGCTGAGGCGCTCGTTGGGCACCGCGTACTCGCGGCAGTACTCATCCGCCACCTGCTCCCAGTCCGTCCGGTGCACCGGCAGAATGTGCCGCACCGCGCTCAGAATGGCCTCGCAATCGATGGGCGAGAACCCCTCGGCGCCCCTCACCCGTCCCCCGCGTCGCTGGAGCAGCTTGCCGTCCGCCGTCTTGGTCGTCATCAGCTCCATGATGGTGCCGGCCTCTTGCACGTCCGGGTGCACGTCCTTGCCGGGCGCGAAGCCGCGCGCCAACTGCTTGAACTTGACCCTCAGCGAGTGAGCGTCGCGCAGCGACCGCCCCTTGGGCTCCGCGTGCGTCTTGCGGTACTCCTCCAGCACCTGGTCCCATTCCTCGGCGCTCGTCGGCACCACGAGTCGCACGCATTTCAGCAGCGCCAGGACGTCCTCCTTGTGGTAGCCCTCGGCGCCGCGGACTCGTCCGCCTCGGCGCTGCAGCGGACGCTCGACCTGCCCGCTCATGCTCATCTGGGTTCCGAACCGCTGTTTGTTCTTTGCCAGATTTTGAATGGCCTGCTGGCTTCCTAAATATATTCTGCGGTTCGAACTTGGTTTCACTAAGAGCCTATTTCAGATATATCTGGAAAGTTGCTGATTTATATTTTTAGAAAGCAAAATGGTTTTTTTTAGGAATCAAAATAGAAAGAAAAACGCCGATCTAATGGTGCTGCTCGGGTACGAAGATCTGACGGATGCAGCGGCGGCGATCGAGGCGCTGGGCGCCGATCAAGAACTTAAGAGGCGTCGACAGGCGCTATTGAGCGACCCGGTCACGGTGGTGACGCGCGAGAGTGGCCTGAGGTGTATTCACGTTTTGTCGGAAGAGATGGCGTTCGTGGCTCCGGCGGAACACGACTTGGATCTGGTGGCCTCGGACGACGCCACCACTTGCTCCATCGTTGTGGTAATTGGTGGTGGAATCGTGGCTGTCGCGCACTTGGATTCCCAGAAGCAGATGCCTTTCTTTCTGAAGAAGTGGGAGACATTGACGAGTGCTTTCCCGACTCGAGTGGCAATCGCCGGAGGATACGATGACGAGAGAGGCATCGCTCACCCGATCTCCGTCGACATTATCGAGGCGCTTTTGACCAGCAAAGCAGTGTACCAAGTTGAGCAGTTTGTGGCGGGCAAGTGGAATACGAAGCAAACGGAAGAAGGGGTTATGCTGCCGCGTACCCGAGGGATCGGATACTTTCCTGCGGAAGACGCGTTTCGCTGTGTGGAGTTCGAGGCTGACGCAAGACTACCGCTGGTGCCATTGAGGTTCGCTGGGGTGTCGCCTCAGCCGCTTCACATGTTGGTTTGCTGCGTGGAGAAGGAGAAGCCTCTCGAGGTCACAGTAGGGCCATACTGGGGCACCTTAAAGCCGCCAGACAGCTGCCCGTACATGCTAGCTTTAGACGACGACGAGTTGCTTCCGAGGATTTCAACCTCACCGTTTGCAGAGGGTCCCAAGTTTCTTCAAGACATGAGGGACATGCTTGAGTTCATAAGCAGCTGCTCACTGCGTAGCCTGGGAAGTATTCTGGTGCTAACTTTGCCATCGACACGGCATGCTATGAACGAAGGAGAGCAACAAACGTAGTAACTAGGGTCTAATTATAGGGAGGTAGAAACTCGACTGAGCATTTCTTGAGTGCATTTAACATTGACGAGCAGCAATGGAGCCGAGCTTCGTTGCTAATCCGTACGTCCAAGCATCAGCACCTTCAAGCCATAAAATACGAGAAATACTGAACCGCGAAGAGGCCTCATACGAGGCTTGGCGGAAAACGAGGAAACCAGTTCGACTTCCTTACGCAAGCAAGAAACTCAACAACCCACTAAAGTCGCTTGGTATAACGCGAGACACGAATCAATCGAAGTCTCCAAGCGCAGTGGCGACTTCACCTAAAAGTGCTGATCCAGCTACAGAAGCAAGATCGGATGTGGCAGGACACAGCAGAACGCAAGCTCAGGCGAGTATAAGCGGAGGTGCGATAGCTCCGACCAAGATCGTCAAGCGCCATGGAGACTCGCTTGCAGGAGGCGCCGCTCGATCCGTGGAAACACTTCCAAGTATCGGTGGCGTAGATGTCCGCCGACAGCCTACACTTACTGCAGATCCTACGAGCAAGGAATTGCTGGGTGATGTTATGCCACGCAAAGGAGACCGAAGACGATTTCAGCAGTATCTATACGATTTTCATTCTCGACAGGTCTTCTCGTACGCGAGAAAGGAAATGGAGGAGGTTGAAGAGGCAGTAAAAGATCGTGGTCCGTGTGCAGCGGGGGATTTAGTGGGGGAGACTGAATCGTTGAGTGGTGACAGCAACGGCGGTGATAGTGACTGCTTCTCCACAGCAAGTGATGATGGGGAGCCTCGTAAGCGGCGCAGCGAGTGTATGCTTAGCGGTCTAAGTTTCTTGACTGACAGCGATTATGATGCAATCTTCGAACTGGATTGGAAATCGAGCGAAGCAGAGAAAACCGTGCGGGACGCTGTCGATCGTGAACGTATTCGCGAAACTCTGCAAAAAGCATACCGCATGCTACTTTGGTTTTTTCGCTACTACGCTGGAAACGCTGCGCATGCTGCAGCGTCGGAGCGCCGGGCAAGTACCGGTGCAATAACAGCACTTGGGGAAGGGTTGTTCGAGATTCCAAGTCGAATTCGGCTGTTGGAAGATTTAAATGTACAATGCGTGGATGCGGCCAGGTTCGGTGTTACCGATTCGCCATTGAAGCGGGAGAGCTTGATCGACTTCCTCCTCAATGTCGCCCGAATGATGTGTACGCATTCGTCCAATCCCAACCGTCTACGGTTGGTCATAAATGAGGGAATTGAAATGTCGGATGCGGTGAAGACGCTTGTGCGTGATCACTTTGGCGTGTTTGCGCAGATTCAGGATGTGGATCACTTCCGGACTCTATTTCTTGGCGGGGGCTCGCGCAGACTTCACGCCATTATTGATCTACATTCGATTAATTTGGCGAGTTTCTTCGAGGAGCTACAGGTCGTGAGTGCTGGAGCTTTCACACGTAGTGGTGCCGTACATGATCGTGGTAAGGGATCAATTCGACAGCGGGGTAATGGACTCGTGTGCACTCAATTCCTCAAAACGCTGCGTGCGATCAACTTGATTACAAGTAGAGGTGAGAATACGTCGACTAACAACAGCGCTGGCAGTGCCGGCGACGCGTCGGGAGGCCCCTCTGGCGTCGATGAAGTCCGAGCGGTACGAATTTTTCTGTCGTGTCTACCCATGACGACTGTCGATGAAAGCAGCGACCAGGACGGGGTCTCAACACCAATGACTAAGAATGAGCCTCGGGAGCTGACGCTGCCCCAATTTATTGAAGCGCTGCTGCGGGTGGCCTTCACGTGGAAGGAGCTTCAAATCTGCAACGGAGGCTTTGATGTGTGTCCTAACCAAATTACGTCGGATTGCTGTCGGTGCCTCCCAGCCCCAGCAAACTACGCTTTTGACGTATTCGATGACGCGGTGGAAGAGATCTTCACACGAATCCATGCGTACCGCCTCAAACGAGCTCAACACCGAACAAGCATGAGGCTGAAATCCATGACGATGAAGTCGCACCACTCTCTTCGTTCACTTGTTACGCTGACATCTGCCCAGAGACCCCCGGCGCGCTTGTTGCCTGTGGATGCGAGCAGTGATGCAAGCGATTAGACGCTGCGGTCAAGCAAGCTTTGATGCCCACTATTTTTGTGGTGTAATGTCCTTCGGCATTCCTGTCGAAGCGTCGCTAGCTGGCATCAAGCAAACCACGACAATTCTCGATTGCCCATGGCGCCAGCTCCGAAGTTCGAAGTCCCCGATGTGGACACGAATCCTTTCAAGATGGCTGCTGTCGGGAACCTGCAGCTGCTGAAGACGCTCGTGGAACCGGAAGAGAACGTGGAGGGGAAGGCGCCCGCGCTGAACGTGAACGCGAAGGACCCGTACGGCTGCACGCCCCTCGTCTGGGCGGCTCGGAACGGATACCTGGAAGTTATGGACTACCTCGCTGCCCACGGCGCCGACCTCGAGGTCGCCAGCTTCGGTGGCCTGCGTGCTCTGCACCATGCCGTCAACCACTCGCGACTGCCCATCGTTGAGCGGCTGATCCAACTCGGTGTGAGTGTCGACCCAAAGGACGACGCTGGTAATACGCCGCTGCACTTCGCCGCCTCCCGTGGCATCCTGAACCCGATCTTGCTGCTTCTGAACGCCGGCGCCAAGGTCAACGCCACGACTGCCCAAGAGGTATCCCCGCTCATGAAAGCCGTGTCCGCCGGCCACACCACAGCCGTCGAGAAGCTTCTGGACAACGAAGCGACCCCGAATCACGTGAACGCCGAGGGAAACTCGGCCCTCCACCTCGCAGCTCGAGGCGGCTTCAACTCGATTGTCAAGGTCCTGCTGGACGCCGGCGCCACGCCAACAATGCGGAACAAAGCCGGCAAAACGCCCGCCGAGTTGGCCTCGTCGTCCAGCATTGCCAAGATGCTGGGCTAAGCGTAGTAATACAGGCATAGCAGGTATGATCACGGCCACACACTCGTCAGATGACGTTCACTGCATGTTTTCAAACTCTTCCATCTTGTACCCACTTTCCGAGTGATCCCATTTGTAACGGTTCGAGGCCAAAAATTTGTTACCTTTTTGAAACGTACGCCCCCAGTGCCACAATCGCCCTTCACTTCACGCGTCGGCAGCAAGCATCGACGACCATGACGGCGCCGCTGGGACTCGAGACCAAGGCCCAACGCGGCATCTTCGTCACGTACATGGGGCTCTGGGTGAGCTACGGGCTGCTGAACGAGCTGGCCAAGCGCGAGAGCGTGCGCTTCAACTCGGCCTGCGCCGTGGTGCTCCAGTCGCTGCTCAAGCTGCTGCTGGCCGGCTACATGTACCTGACGGCGGACACGCAGGCGACGGAGCCGCTGGGCGCTCGCCTCCGCTTCATGCTGACGCAAGCCCAGGAGCACCGCAACCTGCTGCTGCTATACTTCATCCCGTCGGGGCTCTACGTCGTCTACGACGTGCTGTCCTACGTCAACCTGCGCGCGTTCGACGCCGCGACCTACTTCCTCCTGCTCCAGTTCCGCCTCGTGGTGACGGGGATCCTGCACCAAATGATGTTCTCCAAGAAGCTCAACCGCAACCAGTGGGTCTCCCTGGGGGTCACCACGGTCGGGTGCGCCATCAAGACGCTGGGCTCTCAAGAACCCAATGCAGCCGCCAAGCACGGCGACGGCCCTACGCTCATGGCCTACGGACTCCTGATGGTGCAGATGCTCAGCAGCACCTTTGCCGGCGTGTACAACGAAGTTCTGCTCAAGAAGCAAGCCTCGATCCCTGTGAATCTGCAGAACGTCTTCATGTACATCGACTCCATCGTCTGCACGATGGGGATGCTCGCTCTGGGACTCACCGGTCAGACGGCGCAAGAGGCGCTCACCATGGCCAACTTCAGCGTGCTGTTCTCGCCCTACGTGCTGCCCATGGTGCTCATCATGTCGTTCATTGGTGTGGTCACGAGTCTCTTCCTCAAGCAGCTGGACTCGATCCGCAAGGCCATTGCGAGTGCTCTGGAGCTGGTGTTCCTGCCGCTGCTAAGCGCCGTGCTCTTCGGACAGCCCCTCACGTTGTACACGATGGCCGCCGTTTGCTTCGTCGGCTTCGGTGTCTACATTTACTCGCTGCCGGTCGAGGCGACGGCGATGTCGGGACTGCCCCAGTACACCAAGGTGGCATCGGGCGAAGGAGTCGAAGAGGAGTGCGACAGCGCAGAGACAGTTGCTGCCAGCGAGTCCAGCTCCGCCGCTAGCAGCAAGTTTGCTTAGAATTAACTGCACATGATTGCATATTACTCTTCTAGCCTCGCTTCTTCCTTCTGGGCATGTATTCGTAGAAGAAGGTGGGCAGCTTCTGGTAGATTGTGTACTCATCCGCGACGTCGTGCACCTTGACGTCTGCTGCTTAGGCCACAAGCAGTTAGAGAAAAAAAATGTAACACTCAAGGATAAAAAGTATCCTTACCGTTCGCGTTTTGTCCCTGGGCTGTAGTTCCCATAGGCGACGTGTAGAGCTCCCCGATCTCTTTGCCGTAGCGGTCCCAGAGCACCATGATGAGGAACAGCAGAAACAGGAATAGCACCACCAGGCCACTCAAAATTTTGAGCTCGAGAGGGATACTAAGGCGCATAGAGGCCCCCAGAAGCTCCTTCATATGGCCTGGCAGCTCGGAATGCACGCGGGGGGCAGCGGCGGCGGCAGCCGCCGCTGCAGCAATCCCTTCTTGAAACGTCCCGACTTCCATTAGCTTTTTAGTTATCCAAAAGAGAAAAAAATCGGACGATGCTGCTACCACCGAATTTAGACGGCCATTATTTGACCATTTAGGGTGCGCAGCTGTTCCTCAAAAACACGTGTCGAAATGTTGCCCATTATCTAGGGGAAAACTATTTTATCTTCGTTTTTGTGTATGCAAAATACACCATTGAGATTCAGTCTTTTCGGAACGATTCTACATTTGGGAATCGTGGGACTTAGCGGATTTTGTGATGGTTGAAATTAATTTTGGTGCCATATTTTCGGTTACACCAAAATTAATACCGAAATCAAATGATATGTATATTGAAGTTGAAGTCACCCTCTCATCCCTCTCAAGCTGCCTCTTTGCCCAGGAAAGCAAGAGCTTTCTGCAGATAGCGCAGCCGCAGGTACGGCAGCAACCTGTAGATGCAGTCGTCCCACGAAGCGTCGCAAAGCAGCATCTCCAGAACTGCGATGCACCACACGCCACAAGAACTGTTGTCCTGCTGAGTGCACCACTCCACCTTCTCGTAGTTCACCATGCCACCTAGCTGAAGCACCCCTTCAATGACGGTCCGCACGCTTCTTTCAATGACGGTGTAGTTGCTTCAACTTTGTAGAGGGTCGAACATAAAGCATGTCGCCGTCTTCGTGCCCTTGGCGACCGTCCTGTCGATTAAAAACGCCACCCAGTGCCGCTCGATGTGAATGATTCCAATGACACGCTTGTTCTTAGGGTCGCTGGCCCCGAATCCTGCCGCGGTCCTGCGTTTTTGCTCCGGCAACGCAAAGTCGTGATAGCTGGGGCTGATGATGCCTACGTCCGGGTAAGCGTTGCGCAAAGCCATCAGCGACACCAAGATGGACGTGGTATGCAGCCACAGATTCTCACGGACGTCCAGCAGTTGGTGTCCGTTCACACATTCACCGGGCACGCGATTTACGCTCAGATTGAGCGTTTCGACGTAAGCCTTGTGCTCGTTCTGCAATACACAAGATATTTTGTTAGTTTTGGTGCATCTTCAGTTCAAATGCTGTGAATTGTTTCTTACCTTTGTAGTTGCCCTCGTGTCCGTGAACGGCTCGCGAAGGTCTGCAACACGCCACTCCACCTCGTCAATCCACTTTGTAGTGCGCATCACCAACGCGAATCGCTGACGCGCCTCCAGGATGATTGCCATAGCGTCCAGCTGATCAAATGTAGCGTAGCCGTAGTCTGGCCAGTAGGGCAAGAAGGTCGATGTCCTGCCTTATCTTGATAGCGTCAATAGCCTCTGTCACAATGGGTAGCGGAGGGATACCCTTGATAAACGGAAAGTCTTGGTCGATCTTGATGGCTCGGACGGACAGCGGCCCGGTAACATCAACTTGGGGCAGTACAAGCGCGTCAACCATAGGCTTTGAGTGGAATAGACTGTAGGGTCCGTCAAGCAAATCGGCAACATCATCGAATGAAACCAATTTTCCCACTTTTCGTTGGCGGTACTTAGCTGCCAGTTCCAATGCAGCTTCACGGTCTTGTTTAGCTTGGGCACGCTTTCGCTGAGCATTGGTCATTCCATTGATCACAGGACGCTCCGCAAACGTCCACGTGACTGCCTTTGGGCGTTCTTCTGACGGCTTGCTCGATTCGGTGGAGACTTGTGTGGGTTCGGTAGAATCTTGTAAGGTTTGGTCGGAGGGTGTAGCGTTGCCATCTTCCTCTGCTTCCGCACCCGTTTGAGTTTCTCTATCAGCGGCCACATCGACTTCAACAGCAGTGCTGCAGGACTCCTCCTCACTTCTTTTGATTCCGCCAGTATCTTCAACCTTGGTGGGTTCCTTTGCTCTGGAGGTCACTAGAGAAATCCCCGTGAATACCGGAACCTCGCGCTCTGCAAAGGCAACCACGTCGCCGGAGGTGAGCGCTTCGTAGAAATCCTGAAGCCACTTCAGCGCGATCCGAAATGTGGGTGTAGATTGAAGTGCCATTCTTGCAATGATCTTCTCCGTTGTTGCCTTGGCTTCGATGTACATCGCAGCCCCCGGCAAAGCTCGCTCCTTCGCTCGAGACGGACAGCTCCCTTGCTTCAACCCTCCACACGGAATTTCTCCCCAGTCGATGTTGTTTTCTGGACTCTGCACAATCCATCGTGTAGGGAAACAGTGCATCGGGGGCAGTACTGTTTCGAAGTTGGACGTGCTCCGGACGTACATCACGTGGCGGCAGGGTAGCAAGCAGGTCTTCATGAAGATGCAGTTGCAGGAGTTCGTCTGTACAGCACAGATTACATGTCAGTCGTCAATACCAAAGATAACTGAATAGACCAAAAGTATACCATAACTTGAATAGCTTACCCTCGTGTTGACTTCATGCACTTCTCCAGACCTTGGGCTCGTGACAGTGGCTCGTCCTGGTGTGTTCAGCTCAACCGTGTAGTCTGCGTTCGGACCGGTTGCCAAGGTGTGCTGTTTGGCGACCAATTCGAAGGCAAACGGGCTCACCTGCAAAGCTAGCAGCGTCAGCGCGCGGTCCTCCGAATCCCGCGAAGGCCGGCTCCCAACTCGATGATATTCTGCGAGATACTGCTCTTCGGCATAGTGCTGCAGCGCCATCAGCGTAGACAGGAGTTGGTCGATAGTGAAGGAGTCGTTAATAACATCCTTTATCTTCCCCCACTTGGACTCGATCCTATTGTTGGGGTTGTTCGTCAGGTGCGGCGTGTTGCCGCGCTTGTAGGAAACCCACTCGTCCTGGTTACTGTCCCAGTTTGCGATGAACGTGCGGTACAACTCGTGTGATGTATCGCCTCCAAGCAACTCCAACACAGCTCCTTTTGCATCTTCATACTCGTCCTCGTTGCTTGCGTACATCCAAAGCGGAAATGGCTTCGGCAAGGGCGCCGCCGTCAGAATCCGAATCTGGCTCTATGCCGAACATCTCGCGCGCGGCACGTGCTTCCCACCGCTCGTACATGCTCTGCTCGCGGGCTTCAGCCCGGGCCTTCTGCCCAGCCTTCTTCCCATCTTCACTTCGCAGCATGGCGGTAGCACTCCGAGTGCGTTTGTGCCTCCCGTCCATCGCCAGTCGGATCTCCTGCTCGTCGCGGCGTGCGCGCGCCACATTCGCGGCACGCTGCGCTTCCAGCACACCGCGATTGTACACTGGTAGCGGGGGGAGATCGCGCAGCGTCCTGTCCGTTTCATGCCGGAGTTCGCGCTGGCGCTGCCGACTCCGACTCCGCTCCGACTCAGCACTGTCGCGCTGCGCACGCGTCACATGGGCGTCTTCGGGGCCTGGAGGGCGCTTCGACGAGCCAGGCTAATAGAAGCAAATGTCAGTAACACATATTCCTTACCCATGACTCGCATGTAAGCGTACCGTGCCAGTTGTGCGCGCCATTCTTGTGCAGGGACCTTCACCCTTGCTTCTTTCTCTCTTGGGGCCGATCGACGAATGCCATCCAAAACGGGGGGCGCGGGGCGGCTCTTATTTTTCGAAAAATCAGTGCTTCCGACGGTAAGGTAATTTATTGTCGCCCTCTCCTGACAAGTTCAACCCGAACCTCGAAAACTGGCCATATCTGGTCTACCAAATCTTCACAGGATTCGACTGCAATCACACTGAACGGGGAACACCGTTTTGGTGGTAGCAGCGTGTGCCGAAAAATTCGGTGTATCGAAAAAGCTAGGGGATGTCCCACCACCGATTTGCACCGGATCGGACCTAATGTTACCGTTTGCCACCGAATGTCTCCCGCTTCAGTGTCCCGGTTCCCCTTCAACACCGTGACGCTGCTGTAGCACGATTTGGGCGGCTCAAAGCTTCTTGACAACCTTCGTAGGGCGCGCTCGATCTACACGGAGCATGGTATGTAGTTTAGAAACCCTACTTTAGTGTGGGAGTCACCCTTACATAGCGCATCTTCAATACAGTGAAAAACGGCGTTAAGGGCTCTGTTGCGGGGGCCTACGGCTTCAATTTAGTATCAGGAGGATGCCTTCGTGCTCTTTCCTCTATTGCTACGATGTACTACTGAAGAATGCATTGCGTAGCGGGCCTAGAGGACGTGCAACTAGCGCTATCACGCAGCAGTCGCTTTGCGTTCACATATATGTATCCTTGTTTGCATCTAGAGCATCTGATAGCGCGGCTTCATTCCTACAACAGGTGAATACAAGGCCTGGACGTATACGCCGCTCGCACCCATCGTTCAGGTCGTCGGAGATACCAATGAACCTGAACATCCAAGCCTACTTTGCGTTCACGATACCTCGCAAGTAATACATTTGTGCAGATACTCATAGCTACGTCAAATTACAGTCTGACAGTGTCCTGATAGCCTTCCACGTGCTTCCGCCGGCGGCGGAGATTGTCGGATTTCGGGTGCTAATGCCGGAGATGTCGGGGCCTGGCGGCCCCAACATCACCGATAAGTAAAAGAATCCCTTCTTGAAACTCGAAACTAAAAACATGTACCGGTTTCTGTGTCATCGGAGTTTCCCTCCTCCACACCGTCTGCGCTGACAATGCGCAGAGCGCATGCCCACACAACAGCCTACCCTCAAATGTTCAAAAATCGTTTTCGTCATTACGGCTGGAATGTTGCCAGCCTCCCCAGGTCAAGCAGCCTGCACTTGAGATGCTCCAAAATGTTAATGGCAGCATTGACGTCTCGGTTCCTGCAGAGACTTTTCTTACAGCACAGGACGTTTCTCTTGCCCTTCAAAACGATCTTGTCCTCCTTGGTGTCTTTGTCCTTGACGTTGATCAGCTGTCGGGCTCTGCGAAGGCTCTGGTGGCAGCAGGAGCACAGCTTGCTGGTCCGAAACTCGTCCATCAGCAGCACAGTAGCGCGTTGCTCGAGCGCCTTCCTGAACGCCTTCACCGGAGCGCGAGGGATGCCCCGGAGTCCGTCTTGGTAGCTCCTGTCCCTAAATGCAACGCACACCTGTGGACTTGGGATCGGCACAAGCTGCTTGGTCAGAGCGTCGATTGCCTCCATTTTCATGCGGTACAATAAAAAGCGCCACTTCCGGAAGGAGTGCCGTGCCGAGAACAGCACCAAGTACTCTGCGTGCTTCAGAAAATACCGCAGTCGATCCAAGTAGACTTGATATCTTGCTGTCTTGAACGTCGGCATACCATCAAGGATCTTGGCGTAAGAAGCCTCCTTCTCCCGCAGGCCGTTGTTCCAGAAGCGATGCTTGCCAACCTTGTACATGTTTAGTACTCGCGGGTGTTGATGGCGACGATCCGCTGCCAGTGTCGGTTCTTGTGCTTTCGCTTCCCTTGTCGATTCCGTTGGCGTCGCGACTGCCGAATTGGAAGGCTACCTTTACATGCTGCGGTGCACAGAGTCCTCAAGCTGGGAGCGATGCCGATCATGACGTCAGGAGCATATCCGGGCGGTAACTTCTTCATCACCACTTCGAGGGCATCTTCCTCGACCACTTTCGGTGCCTTGACTACTTCACCTTTATTATTCTTTTGGCGCTTGAGAGACTGGTCCGGGTTGTCGTCATCCTCGCGGCGAGGGGTCTGGCGGCGCAGCAGAACGGAAGCTGTATAGCCTCCCGTTGTGATTTGGTACGCGAACTCCCGTGTGCTGGTCTCAAGTCCATTTAGCCGAAACATCTTCCGAAAAACAGCATCTTTGTTTTCGCTAAACCGGCGGTGAACTTGCTCTGTAGATCCGCATTCCACGCCAAGCGCGTCCTTCACGTACGTCTTGACTTAAATCTGTCGTTCAGGGTCCGTGAAAAGCCGGCGGAACACTTGATGCAGCGACGTAATGTTTAGCGTCACGTGTGCGGGGACGAAGGAGCTGGAGTACGGAAGCAGGGAGTAGAGACACGCGCCTTTCGTCTTTGGGTGCTTCTCGACAAATGCATCCATCCACTGGAGCATGCCGCACAGCTTCACGATAAAGTGCGTCGGGTTTTGGCGAATGCGCCACTCCCAGGGCACGAAGCCAAGCCAGTCGCGGAGCTCGCGCTCCGCAGTGGATCTTGGTTCGCCCCATACATAGACCACCTTGCCGGTGTCCGCGCCATCGACGCCGAGGTGGGGGGCCTTCTTGACACGATAGTAGCCAGCAACGAGCTTCCGCATCGCCTTATAGCCGAATTGGAGCTTGCCCGTCTTCGCGTAGCGGAATCGGATGTACTGGTGAAGCCACCGTCGAAAGTGGAGAGCCAGCATGTTGATGGTGATGGTCTCCACATCGCGCGCCTCATGGGGCCCGAATTGACGCTACTTGGGGGGAGGTATTCGGGAAGTCGTCCGCACAGCTCCCAGTATCTCACAAAAGCCGGGTGGAGGTCAGGATGCTCTGGGCCGTTCCTCGTCCTCTCCTCCGTCTTATCCAGTGAGGGGCTGCAGCACCGGTAGAATAAGTTGCTGTCGAGGGCCGGCAGGGCAGCGCCCTCTTGAAGGCACCGCAGACGTGCATGCCAGCAATCTTCCATCCCAGCAAGCCGACTAGCTTGAGCTCCGATGCCATCGTGCAGATCTCGTCGATCAGGAAGTCGAGGTCGCAGAGCTGATTGAGCTTCTTCTTGACGCATTGATAGGTGTAGACGGGAGTCGAGTCCACGAGGGGCTTCTTGCGCTTGCCCGGCATCTTGCAAATTGCGGAATGAGAGCCACCAGTGCTAGGCGGCTTCGGTACCAAACGCCTCCAAACGCGGTATCGCCCATTCCCCTGTCACTTTAAGTGAAGTGCAACCTAGAGCACCGGGGCTAATGCGTGTTCAGAGTGATGGTCTCCCGCGACTCAAGCCAATCAAGGCCCTGTGACCAGACGCAACTTCAAGTTGCACTTTCAAACTTGGCGCCACTTGTGCGTCATCGTCATCCTGGCGGAGATCGCTATCGTCGACCGAATCTCCTCCGCGCCGGGAATTGACGCGAAATAGCCCGTGGTGGTGCGGATCGTGGCGACGCGGACAATTGTAGAGCAACGCCAGTTCACCAAAGGCGTCTCCATTCGTGTTGGGGGCCACGAGCTTGACATCAATCACGATGCCGTGTATTTTTGGTATTAGACACTTTTTGCTAACGTATATTACGGATTCTGCTGCCTCCCTGAGTTTCGTAAATTGTAAAATTGCCAACGACACTTTTTGCCCACTTATATTCAATTAGGTACGAATATCAATCTTCGACAGGGAATCGAGGGCAGCAGCGTGGTTAAGTACCACGCGGGCTTTCCAGCTCTAGTTGATGACCCCTGGCGCAAGAATCAAGTGTTTACACTATAGCTGGAGTCGCCCGAGGTGGCGAGAGGAAGTCGGTTTAGCCCACCGGCGACCGCTCTTATCCCGATTTTGCAGGGATAAGATTAATATAGAAATTTGTATACTTGTGGGGTAGGTTAAGCGAGGCCCCCAGCGGCCGGCGCCGACCCTTTGGGTTCCATTAGGTTTCAATCTCATTGGTCAGAGTTATACAATCAAATGCCGGCTATGTGCTAATACTGAGCTGGTTCAAGACTCAACTGGTAAAAACCTTGGCCTATTTTTTCCTAAAAATCGAGATATCTCCATCTGTAGAGAATCCAAACCAGAATGTTGTGATACGTGAGCAGAGTACTTGATAGACTGACATTTGGTATCATCGTATTTTAATCTGCTCGGGATGACCCTGTGTGGCAGCGGCGGCGACAGTCCCTCACGAGCATGCGGACGCTGAGGCAGCAAGCCTGCCGTGATAGTCTGTCAGCGTGAGAGAGATAAAACCCAGAACCCTGGTCAATAAGCAATCCGTTCAGTATCTAAAGTGTTATTGTATCCTGCGGGTGAAGCCGTGGCCGTACAAGACTTCGAACATGAGGAAGACGTACTGCACGTGAGGAAGTCACTGAGTCCGTGATGCGACTTGAAATATGGTGTACATCGATCCACCTCTGTCATTCCTGCACAGCACGTTGATTCATGCTTCCGCTGCTCGATGGCAGGCTACTGTAGTTCTTGATGTTTGCCAGCACGATATCTTGCCCGCTTGGGTAGCTCCACGCCAAATGCAAGTTTGAGCTCCAACGTAAGTAGATGGATGCGTTGGAGGAGGGTAGACCAGCTAGAGAGCGCCGCTTTCATGCTGAAGTGGATTTCAAAACATGCCAAACCGAAGGTAACACGCTATCAAAAGCTTGGACTAGTTTACTACTCGGTCTCTCTGTTCCCTGCGAGACCTACGTTACGACAAGAACATCAATGGTGCTCCGATGAAATGGCTACTCTGCCGAATGAGCGTGCATCTGTGGATTTCAGTGTGATATCACGAAGCAATGGTGATTGTGGCCACGTGGCTATGCGTATTGGGTTTTGTATGGCCAACCACGACAACGTGGCTTCGCGGGCTCGTCAACACTGACATGTTTGTATAGTTCTTAGTATAGAGGTGTCATGGTTGATTCAGAGATGTC